AAAACAATCACAAACAGGTTAGTACACTGCTCATGTTTCATTATGTCTGAAACAAGCAGAGATTTTTTTTTATCTTGCTTTTATTTTGAAAGGTTGGCCATCACGAGACGATATGAATTATGAAACAGTATAGTACTACGATACTGTACTTTATATTATAATACAAGGAAGTAAAATACAACAGGGTATGAAAACACATTTTCATGACCTGTAATGACATTGTGTGATGTGATACAATACTTACAATATGATACGGTTTGATACAACAGAATACAATATAACAGGATACTTTGTCTTTTTATATTCACAGTGTAACAGGATTTTATGCAGTATGAAGTCATACTTTGTGATAAGTACCTTAGCGTAAGATATCATATGGTATAGTATGATAAGATTGCATAAGCACAATAGAATACAAAATATTTTACTATTATAGTAATGGAATTGGAAAATAAATGCGATCGTATAGTTGTCCTTTGACAGTAAAAAAATAAATGCCCCGACAGGATCTCTGAGAGCAGAAAAAAAGACTTTTTTTCATGTAATGTATGTGATCATTATTGTAAAACCTCTATCCTTGCTTGGAGTGTTTAATTGGTAGATATGCTTAAATACATTTCCTGAAAGCTTCTCATACATAATAAAGTGAGATAAATGGATTAAAAACAAAGGACCAGTCTTAGTTAAGCTGAAGTGAAAGAATTTAAAGCACATCAGGTTAAAAAGTAAATAAGGATACAGATTCTTTATGTGAAAAGCTTATTTAATGAGTGTAATTAAAGTTTACCGGTTTACATTTATATTCTTAAAAGGCACGAACAGACACAGTAAAAGAAAAGGAAAGGAGATAATGTTGACTTAAAAAGTGCAATCTGAGAGAACTGAGAGCACAAAGACAGAAGACAGGAAAGAAACTCCGGGGCATCTTTCCCATCCTTGTGAGAAAGCGTATTGTAGACAGTAATCCCATGTTATGACAGTGACGTAGTCTGTCTCTCCCTCCTTCCCACAGGTTGGGAGGATGAGTCAGACGGCGAGGAAAACAAAGCAGCAGGCAGGAACCTGCAAGGATTACGCTCTCATCATGTGGAAACTAGACCCTGCAACCAGAGCTACTGCAGCAACACTCGCCCAACTACAGTACATGAGTGGATGACTGTGGGTGTTGACCTACAGTCAGTCGTAAAGTGACTGTATCGGACCACTGAGGCAACTTTTAGGCAGACCAGGACAGTTAATGTTTATAATGTAAAGAACAAAGTAGTTTATATCCGTCTTCTATTTTTAAGGTGCTATCACATACACCAGCCATGGAAATTTTTTTATATATATATATATATATATATATATATATATATATATATATATATATATATATATATATATATATATATATATATATACATAAATATATATATATATACATATATATATATATATATATATATATATTTAAAATGCCATTGCCTGTGCAGCAGGTAATGAAGGACTATTCAGCTCTCGGACACTAATGACTTTGGGGACATGATGAAATTCAATATAATTAGCTTTCTTACGAGCATTGCAATCCACTAACACACAGGCTTGTTCTGCGATCATCCTCTCTATTTCTCCTCTATATGCAGAGTGTGACCTGGGGGCGGAGCTTGGATTGGTTACATAGGAAATCTCACTGTATCTGATCCTGCTGTTTGGGTCTGCCAGAGATTCACAACGATTGGAATGAAATACTCAGAAAAGCAATTTCACATTTAGTTCTCTCATGATATGTCCTGTAGCATCAGAAAAATGACAGATGAACATTTAAAAAACAAGAAAAACATGATTTTCATCGGAGTGGGTCATATGTCACATACTTTACTGCTGCTGTGAGTCGGCTGTTATTGTTTGCTGTTTGCCTGTTTACAGACAGCGGTCCCACATATTTTGATTAGTTTGGATGTAACAGTCTTCTAGTTAAGATGAGCCCCCTGTCTTCATGGTGCAGGCAAACAAATGTAAAACTTAACTAGTTTAACAATGGTTCAGAATGGATTTTACACTTAAACTTGTGCTTAGCTGGTACAAAAGTATGAAAGATGATTAGGGCCACATGAAGAGAGAAAAAAATGAGTACAGAAAGGAGATTTAAGTTGAAATTACAAGATTTTGACATTAAAAAATTTAAATTATGTCAATAAAGTCAAAATTTCAAGATTAAAGTCAATATGAATAAAGTTCAAATTTCGACTTTTTAAAATTTTGACTTTAATCTCAAAATGGAAATTTTAAAAAATCCTTTAAAATTTGATAATATTTAATAATTTTAATCATTTTTTTCTCTTCTTGTGGCCCTGATCCTCTTTCATACAAAAGGCTACAGGTTTCTAGAACAGCCAAAACAAAAGGCATGGATATACGCAAACTGCAGATACTTTTCTTAACAAACCGATGAAATATAATCCTGCAAAACTGTCAAATTTTGTAAAATGTCACAAGCATGAAAGCAACACCCCACAAAGTGGTACCGCAGCGTTACATAAACACCAAACTTTCCTGAACCCCCCAGTGAGAGGGTCAGTTTCTGCACAAACTCTCTCAGGATTCCTGCTTTTTTAACGGCAGGAATAAACTGATCGCCCAGAAATAGCAGCATAAACTATGAGACAGCAGCTCTGCATGGCCTGCAGACCCACATGGCTTTTAAAGAGTGGGGCTTTCCAGGGTGGTTTGCAAAGTGGACACACACTCACACACACACACATACACATTTGTACAAAGACACACACACACACATTCTCCAGAAAGTATGAGGGTCATGCTTGTCTGATGTAAAACACAGCTACCCACAGAGAGCCACAGGGCCGGGGGCCAACCTGCTCTGATGTTCACATCTGCTGAAGAGGACTGTTGTGTGTGTGTGTTTGCCTGTGTGAGTGTTTTTTCAGACGGTTTTGTAATAGCTTGGCGGTGTGTCACATTTTATATGTGTTTTGTTTTTGGTCGAATGGGCTCTGCCAGTAGAAGGGCAGTGGCTGGAGTCATTAGACAGTCATGTTTTATCGTTGTTCCCATGTCACCTCGGCCCTCAAGTCTCCTTATATTGTCCTGTGGTACGTGTGTGTGTGTGTGTGTTTGTGAGCGTGTGTTTGTGTGTCTGTCCCCCTGTCTCCTCCTCTCAGCCAGTGAGTCTGGGACCCGAAGGAAAAGGCCAATTATAAAAAAAAAAACCTGGCTCTCCATCTTTGTTCTGTGGGCATAAACCACTTCTTTGCTTTTTTTGTTTTCATTCTTTCTCCTTCTTTGGCTTTCTAACATTCCTCCTCTATTCCCACCGTCCCTGAACCCCCTCACTCTGCCCCGTTACTCACACACACACACACACACACACACACACACACACACACACACACACACACACACACACACACACACACACACACACACACACACACACACACACATGCAGGCCGACTTTTTGCCTAAAATAGCCTCTCTGCTTCCTGGTCCTTCATCAGCACGGTATCTTATCATTTTTGAAAGAAAAGTTGTGGGTGAGGCTGCTTGTTAGACTGTCTGTTGCTACGGTAACAGCTTTATCCCAGGGTTTGTTTGATGTTTTCATTTCATTTGCTTTCATATTTCTTTATTGGCCAAAAAAAACTTTTTCATACTTGGACACAGACACACCTAGTTCAGCAAAAGACATTTTTGTCCACAGGGGGCGCCAAAACGGATGCAAACAAAAAGTTCCTTACAGGAGCTTTAAAGTTCTTGTGAGGAACTTTTTGGCTTTCATGTTACAAGCTTAAAAATAAAATTGATGTTTCTTTATAAACTTTAAATAAAATTAGAGTGATCAGTGCTAAAGTTGATCTTTTTCATGTGATAAATTTTGCTCTAAACACTGCTGGGAGAACAGAAACAGACTTTGTTTTCATTTCCACGATGCAGACTCAGACTGAGTGAGACGTTTCGCTTTTTTGCAACAACCATATCAGATTTTTTTTTTTTATCAAAACACACAACACAACACAACACAACATGAGCAACAGTTATGTCCATGTCAGGAGCCAAAATCAGCACAAACTAAAAGATCTTCAGAGGAGCTTTGAGTGGTCGAGCTCGGCTATTTTAATTTGCTACAAAGCCCAGTACAGGTCTTCAGCTCTGTTAGCTTGTATTGTTTACTTCATCTCTCATGACACATTGTAGGATTTATGTGAGCATCAGAAACACTCCTGTGAAACAGTGGTGTATTTGTTTGTGTGTCCTTGAAACCACACAAAAACAGCAAAATAAACATTTTTGCCAATCCTATCTGGACTGCCTGGTTAATATTTATTACACAGCTAAAGATGCTCGGTACTAAGTGAGAAAAATATAGAAAAAGTTACAGTAAAGAGCAGGAAAAAGACAGGAAAGGATCCGACCTGCAGCTGGAGACGAGTCAAAGGCATTTTGCAAACTTTGTTAGAAATAAGTGCACATCATGCAGATCTCCTCCAACATACCAGCACAGAGAGACACAGGAAAGGACTGATAAACACAAAAACACTCTTTATAGACATAAACAGGTGACTCATCTACTGCTTTCAGGACCAGAAGTCAGAGTCCAAGAGTAAACAGCTACAAACAGGAAAAAGGTCAGATTATTAAGTAGCTATTTTGACTATTTCCTGCTTGCTAATCTCTCTGCCGTCAGCATGCTAACTGCAGCTTGTAGAACGTTCTGATAAATTTTGCTGAGCAACTTTCTGGTGGCCTTCAAACAAACAGACTCCTCTGACGCTGTCTTTCCAGCTGCTCTCACACACCCTCCGGCAGATTTTACCAGAACTTCCCAGTACATCTCTGCATCAGTCTGGAGTCCCTCTCTCTCTCCCTCCCTAGATCACACACACACACACACACACACACGCACTCACACGTACACACACACCAACCGTCTCTCTGTCTCACACATTCACAGAGCTACACTCGCTGCTCAGTGTCCAGCTCTGGGCGGTGTTCCCATCCCCATGGCCTTTCCCAGCACAGACAATGCTTTGTGTCCCACAAAGGAAGCTCTCATCCAGGCTCTGGGGCCCCGTTTGGCCCTCAGCGGCCCCCCCAAAGCTCAAAAAGGCCCCCGGAGCCGCCCTACCACAACCTGCGGAGGTGCCAAGAGGAACATCTGTGTGACTCGGGTCGAAGAGACCTCGCTGAGCTTCTCACACTGAGTGTTTCTTATATTCCTTTGTTTGCGTGTTAGTGTGTTTATGTGTTGTGTGTGTGTGCTGGTGTGTACGTGAGCCTGCTTGTGCGTGTCTCTCAGCTTGTGTCTCCCACTGTTCATGTGAGTACAAGGTCCAAAGTCCTGAGAGTCTTCCAGTCCAAATAATAAATGGTGTGAGAGGAAAGACAGAGTGTGTTGCCAGACCTTCCCAGTCAATGAACCACGTGTCCCTGCAGCCTGGCCGCAAACCAGAGTCTGTGAAACCAGGTCACACGAACAAAAACGAATAGATGACAGGAAAACAAGAAGAGGAATAAGATGAAGAAATGAAAACGGGACATATCTGATGCCACCTCCTGTCATTTCAGTTTCTATCCTTGTGTCTTCTGATTCCTGCATCATCCCCACATGAACTCATTACACACCTGCCCTCGATCCCCTCAAGTTAATCTGTCGACCATACTTCTCCTCTTCCCTGCTCCAAGGTCAGCTTGTTTTTGTTCACTGCAGTCCAGCAGCTATGTCCCAGTGTTGTTTGTACATTTCTTTTGGGTTTTTGCCTGTTTCCTTACATTTGATTTATTTGCTGTTTCAGACAGAACTGCGTCCTGCTTTTGCTACTGAACACAAAGTTGTTCAAGCTGCACATCATGTCCTGTTCAATGTCTGTTTTTGAGAGTCTGATTTTTCCAGGACCATTTAAGTGACTGAGCGGCTGACCGTATTGAAAGATGAGCAACCCATTTCCACCTCCTTCTGCTGTACATAAGTGAGGCCAAAATACACTTTTGACTGGCTCTCAGTTTTATCTTTTAGAGCCAGAGTCTACACAGTGAGGATCTGTTGGTAGTGCCTAGTATTTAACTATCGTTTGCTATGAAAAACACATTTAACTTACTGATAAAACATAGATATGCTAATTTCTTATACATGTATCTTAAAGGTATATTGTGTAGATTTTTCCAGCATTTTTTTTAGCAAAACTATGTTTAAATTAGTTTAAATAATAATTGTTTCATTTTGGTGACTTAGAAAAAGTAGGTTGACCATATTCTGAATCCTCAAAAAGAGGACACAACTATACTACGGAGTGACGGAGTTGTGCGTAGTTAGTTTTGAGAGTTTTCGGGTCGAATGTTTTTTACACACTTCTGACTCAGTAAGTCCATGCGAAACAAACTCAAACCTTCCATACAAACCCCAGACATTTGAAGTAGTTTATAAACTCCCCCGGACAAAGCCGGACAAGGCCGGACAGCCCCCCAGAAAGAGGACATGTACGGGTAAAAGAGGACGTATGGTCACCCTAAGAAAAAGTCTTTTATTCATAGAAGCAAAGAGTCCTGGTTCCAGAAGCTGCTGTGTTACATTTCCATGTTTTCTACAGTGGCTCAGAATGGAAAAATTAGCAGGCATCCACTGGCAATGGCAGAAAATGACGTTAAATGAGGGGAAACCATACATTTATGTTTGAAGACTGGGGCTGAAGTTTTCAGTTTTCTGCTCAACAGGTTAGAGAAAGTTTACAGGAAAAATAAGCCTGAATGAGCTCAGTTAATGCTGCTTTTAGAGAGACTGCCAATGTTTCTTCAGAATAAGAGTCAACTATGAGGCGATGTTGTGCTAATAACTCATTCATTTCTTTTCTCTGACAGTAATTCAACTCATATGAGGACAAATTTTTAATCTCGTAATATTAAGTCTTCATTTACATACAGCTTTACTTTCGTGATAAACTTTGCTGCGGTTTAATTCTTGTAGGAAAGGTTTTATTATGACTTTATTTTTGTAATATAATGACTTTTTATGCGGCCCTTGCACTCCATTGTACACCAGAAATACTTTGTTAGTTTCAGCTTGTGTTTCTAAAAAAATGTGTCATCTTTCATTAGATAGTGAAGGCTCAGTCTCACCCAGCCTCCACTGAATCCTTATTATAGAATAGAAGTAGAAAATTACATCAATTTGCTGTAAAACACTAACCCAAAATTGGGACTTGAAACAGCTGTATAATAATCAGGCTTTAATGCTTCTTCACAAACAAGGACTTTTTTTATTCTCTTACTTTCTGCTGGTGTTAACTTTTAGATAATTCGTGACAAGAGGATGTGTCAACACCGCTAACATGTCATAATTATCTGCTTATACCGCAGAACAATGACTCAGTGTGAATCATTTCTGTCAGATTCTTGTACCGATGTCTGCTCTTTGTTCACTCTGTGTGATGGTGAGTTTCAACAGGGAGGGACGGTTGGGAGTCCCTTGCAGGTGGGTCCCTGCATGATCCACTTCCTACACACATACACACGCTCCGGAGCTATCCAGCACAGGAAGTGACATCATGTGCTACTGGACGGAAAACAAGAAGCATTACGACAACTTGTGAAGGAACATGAGGGATGCATCAGCTCTGTGTGATCCACCAGCTGCTGGTCCCACACCCATGAACGTACAGATCCAAACATGATCACACACACTGGACTTGAGTTCTGGTTCGCTTCTGCCAGCTGCGTTATGCCTTTGACCAAAACACAGCTGTGCTAAATACTGGTGCGACGGTATTCAAATATCATCGCTGGAACGGAAGCCAACTGTGGGAAGGTTGAGAAGTGAGTCTTTATAGTGAACGTTTATTTAATGGTTAATGTTGTCTGTTAAAATATAATCTGCGGTTCTTCTGTCATTAGTATCACAGTGGTTGTGCTTATCTAGACTGCAGTAAACTTATACAGTTATATTATTCTCCAACAGTGGAGGACATGATCTTCATACTTTATGTATTTTTACATCCCCTCCTCTTCTGTCAAGGTTGTGTTTATGGCTCAGCTTCCTACGCAACACACTTATGCTATTCTACTCCAGGAATAGTTCTGCATTCCAGTTACCTCTGTAGTCAGATGTCGGAGCTGAAATGACGCCACAAGCCAAGTTGATGGCGTTCTAGTTGACAAGTCAGAAAACAAAGATGGTTGCATACAATTACCCATTGTTAGCTGTTGTTTACAATTGTCAGTTGTTGTTAGCCGTTGTTAGTTGTTGTTTGCTATACCACTTGTAAACAACGCTCAACACAGTACTTTACTCTTACAAACACCATAGCACCAAGTTCACAGTTAGACGTAGGGCAGCACAACATATACTTCTTATTCAATTTCACAAAAACAATAACTGTAAAGAGTAACAGCTTTTACTGTTACTCTTTACAGTTGATGCACTGTGCTGCCGTTTTGAATTATGACATCATCAAGTCAAGGTTGGCGAGGATCGTCCGACTTCAGGGGGGCGTTTCAGATGAATTTCTGACTCTGCACTCAGAAATCCCGACTTCTGAGTGCAACTGGAATGCAGCATAAGGCCTGGCATGGAAACTCTGATGCATGTGCAGAGTGCTAAGGCCAGTTTTAGTCTGAGAAATTGATCCCTAACTGCATAACCCAGGTATGTTATTCCAACTATGAGATTTCGTGCAATTTCAGTTGGACTAATACCTTTATATGTAATGTAACACTTCAATTTCAATTGGACTAATGCAATAAATAATTTTTTATGTCCCACTCAAATCAGCCATTTCCCTTATTATGAAAAATTTGCAACCTTTACATCTTCAAAACTTAGGCGTAACTAAAACAAAAATCCCCTGTACAGTCCTAAACATGTTTATGCTTTTAGCAGTAGATACTGTTTGTCGTGAATTTTGAATTGGTGTATATGTGGCTTGTAGTGCTTTTGCAGTCAGCCTCTGGTGGACACTCAAGGAACTGCAATGTTTAACACCTCCACATTGGCCTTATCTCTGAAGGTAGCTGAGATGAAGGTGTTATGTACCTCTTTAGGACTGATACTACCAGCAGGCATGACAAATTCTGAGTAAAATTCATAGTCAGTTATCATCTTGTAAGATATCAGACATGATGATAAATTACTTTTTCTCAACTTACTCCTGTCTGCATTTCACTCCCTCTGTTTAGTAACAGTGCACAGGTTATGCAAAGATAGAGATCGAGCTCAAAGGTTACTGTTATTTTTGTAGAACCATGTGGACCACGTTCACTCACAGTCCCTGCTGGATCAGGTTGCCTCTATGTCCCTTCTACAAACACACACAACCAAGTACACATGCATAAACACAGGCAGATGCCCCTTCTCCCTCATCTTTCATTGCCCCCTCCACAGAAATGCGAAGTCTTCCCTTTGTTACTTTATATTTGGCGTCACACACATATTCTTCGCTTCCTTTTTTTTCTGTCTTTCTGTCTTTGTCTCTCCTCTCTGTCTCGCTCCCACACTCTGGACACACACAACAAATGCACCACCAACCCTCTTAACTTTTGCCCGTTCCTCCGAAGAAGTATGCACCAATAACCACAACAGTGCTCGCTCATACACCACACTCACGCAAACATACACAAAGAGCAAACCCGCTGTCGCCCAAACAACATGATCCCAAATATTCATGAGAGTCGTGTCAAAGCTTCAAAGCAAATATGTGCGGTGAACACCAAGCGAAAAAATCTGGAACCATGTAAGGATGTCACAACTTTGATTTTCATTGAGCCTTATCCTGTCAATGACTTTTGGATTTCTTTCTGTCTTTGTTTTTTAAAATACTCTGTCATTAAATCCCACTGAATACATCCTCTACCTCTGATCGCCATCAAGATGATACAACCGCCTGCAGTGACAGGTCTCCGGTATCCAACAAAGCCTTTCCTGTGCCTGTGGAACTCAAGCCTCTGTCTATTTCTATCTGCAGGCATAACAAACACAGCGTAAAGCGCTGGATATAAACATAAACATGGGAAATATTCCTGAGTCCGCTGCATGTTTTTGCATGGCATGTCTGAAATACTGCGAGGCCCCCGGACAAATAACCAAGACAGCAACTTTTCTGCAATCAAAACATCCTCAGGAGGAAAATCGACATTTTCAAGAGGGATATGTTACCGATTTGTTTGTCCTGTTAGGACACGTGTGAATGACATAACAGTATAACACAACACAATGTCACCGTTCATGGAGGTATGTTAAATGAACAGTTAGAGGTCTAGTTTCTTCAAAGTGGATACCCATTGCTTCCTGTTGAGACTGTAGTCCTGTTTCCTGTTAGCAATGAACAATTTCCATAGGACAGAGCGCTCCAGTACTCTGTGTTTAAGTGTTTTTAAGACTTATGGTATTAACGGCACAGATCTGTCTGAAGGATGTTTGTTCCGAACAGGCGAGACAGAGCAGAAGAGACCTAAACATGATATTCCCCGTGTCTAATCAAGAGGTATGCCCCCGTCTGTCATATTAAGAGCATTTTCAGATCTACATTCCTCATTTTAAAGGTATGCTTCATTTCATTACGGTGGTCAAGAGAGCTCAATGCACAGCGCCTCAAGAAAAACCAAGGCGAACCGGACTCGCGCACATGTGCAAGATTTAGACTAAAAGCTTCAAAGTCGAAAAAATACAAAATTCGAAGAAATGTTTGTCATCCCACTTCAATGACTTCGTGAGTCACAAACTGGCTGTAAAAATCATGTCCCAGCTGTGTTCATCTCTGCTTCTTCTTCTTCTTCATGTTTTCAGGAGACTATTTCCATGGTAGTCTTCGTGTTTTTCAGCATTACAGTTTTTGGTTTATTGTTTTCCTCAAACATTTTTTCCGAGTGTATCATGTCAGTGCTGTTCAAACAGTCTAACTGGCAGTGATGTATCATCAATTTAGGTTCATTTTGTGTTTCTAAACTGACAGTGCAGTGAGCACTGGGCTCTCAGGGCCACCGTACTTGAGGTAAACTTTTAAACCATTTTCTGATGTACTTACGAAGAAAGATCCCAGTCTCAGTTAACAGAAGAACTGTGACTGCAAAAGAATATTCCACCTTAAAGGGATATTCTGGCGTAAAATTAAGTTAAGGGTCAAAAACACTGAGTTAGACACCCCCTTTGAGTGATGAATGTTGCCAATCACTTGTTTCTCTAGTTATACCAACTTTAGTAACGACCGCACGATAGCAATACACAACGATCTGAGGAAGCAGCACTAGCCACCAAACATCTTTTTGACTTTGCCTGATTTCTTAAGCAAAGAGACTAAACACAACTCACCTCCCCTCTTTCACGCCGTAAATTCTCTTACAAAACTTTAAACATTGTTATGGATAAATAGACTGTTCAGAGAAATACATAAATCCATGAAGTGAGATGGTTCAAGAGAAAATCTCTGAACATTTTTTTGCAGAATCTCAAAAACTCTTACTTTGACACCATTTCACACAAGTGTCACTCACGGAATGATGTGATGACAGACTTTTACTCAAAGGTCAGAGGTCACCCTCATATTATGATCCTTAAGAAACACTTTCCTGCCATGGTTTCCGTCCCATTTTTGGTACCTCACAATACCAAGCGGGGTTATCTCCAGATTTGGCACCATATCCATTTAGGCTCAAGGACCAACTAAAATAATTTTATCCACAAAAGATCAACGGGGCAGTGACTTCAGACCTGTTTCATTCTTATGAATGCACTCACCGATTATTACATCAAGTTCATGTTAGTTATTTTTTAGTCAATGATAGACAAGCTCCCAAAAACAGAATTATACCACCAAATATAACTAATGCATGCAAGTGATTTAAAGTTTAAAGACAGTGGTCCTGACTGAACTGTGTTTCGTTTCACAGGAGTTTACACATCAACAAGTCTTTGCTAACTTCATAATGCTCACATAAAACCAGGTGGAGTTCACTGTTGATCTGTTTTTCAGCAGTTATCTGGCACCAAAACATTTTCTAGACAACCTGTTTGTTTGTGCGTGTGCGTGAAGACACAAACTCTCTTGTGTGGTTGCTGGTGTGTACGTGTGTTTGTGATCTTGTGTGTAATCCTTTCCAGCCGTTTCCCTTCCTCTCCTTTTTCGCTCTCCGTCACAGGCCTGGGAAGCAATCGTGGGGGGGATCTCTCACAGCCGCACGGTGTTTGTGTGTGTGTGTGTGTATGCGTGTCTGTGTGTACGCGAGTGTGTCTCCCAGACAGCTGTGTGGACGGCCGGGAGCAGCCGTTACAGCAGGGACACACACTCCCACACCCACAGCCGTCCCATCTCAGCATCCTACCCCACCCTCTTCCTCCCCAGTGGTCTCATCACGGCCTCTTAGCAAGAGGGGGATGTCAGCTGTGTCTGTGTATGTGTGTGTGTGTGTGTGCGCGTGTGTATGTGTGTGTGTTTCCATGTGTCTGTGTGCCCCTGTGTCTTGTAAGATGAAGAGACAGACATTCTAGTCCACTGCTTTGGACACTAGAGGTTATTATATCACTGTGTGTGACTGTATGTGTGTGTGTGGTGGGGGTCTGACCACCAGATGGTCAAGCGGTGACCCCTTTAACAGTGTGTGTGTGTGTGTGTGTGTGTGTGTGTGTGTGTGTGTGTGTGTTGCTAAGACAGAGTCATTTTATATGGTTGACTAGGTATTCATGTACCATATCCCATCTTGAGCATGTCAGTGTGTGTGTGTGTGTGTGTGTGGGTGTGTGTGTGTGTGTGTGTGTGTGTGTGTGTGTGTGTGTGTGTGTGTGTGTGTGTGTGTGTGTTTAAGGGGGCTGGTTCATGAGTCCAGAGCAAAGATGACCCACAGCTGAAAAGTCTCAGTTTCTTAGATCAAACAATTTTTGAAACTCAAACTTAAAAAATGAAAGTTGTAGAAAAGTTTTTTGCAGGAACTTTTATTTTTGTCAAGCTGAGTTCATTTTTGGATTGATATTTTAAACCTGATTTGAATAGTTTCATAAAATTGTGCTTGATTCGAGTCAAATTTTAGTCTAATGAACTCTCATATAGTTTTGGATATTGTTACAGCTTTTCTTCACACTGACAAAAATACAAAGTTATGAATTAGCAGTTAACTGTATTTTGTGTTTACTGTAATAAAATTGTCATTTAGATTCAAAAACTCCTCCTGAAGTTTCCCCCCTGCCATCAAGCTGCAAGTTAGCTTAACTAAGCACAAGGGCCTGTGTCCACTGACAACTTTCTTCTTTTTTTGTAGACATCATCCACATCCTTCTTAGTAGAGTTGGTAAGGCGTCACATTCTGGTATCAGCAGCATCTCTAGACCTGGAAATTGCACCCTTGGGAAAACAAGTTTGTCGTTGACAAAGATCTCCCCTGCACTCGGTGGTTGACTTGTCAGGGCTCCTCCACAAACAAGCAGCTGCTGGAGGAGAGTGGGTGAGTTATGTTTGGTCTTTTTGCCAAAAGAACCAGGCAAAGCTAAAAAGATGTTTGATTGTTAGTACTACGTGTTTAGGGTGACCATATGTCCTCTTTTACCTGGACATGTCCTCTTTTGGGGGGACTGTCTAGGCTTTTCTTAGAGTTAGAAGTGCGTGAAAGACCCTTGATCCGAACCGAAAAACTCTCAAGATTAACTTTGTGCAACTCTGTGACTCCGCCCCCGTGTTGTTGCATCCTCTTTTTGGGAAGTCAGAATATGGTCACCCTATACGTGCTGGGACCCTATATGTACTGCTGATGAAGTAAGGTGCTGTTCTGAGCATTATTTGTGGCTATGAGTGGCTTTTTGGTTGAGGTTTGCACATGGAGACATAGACATAGACATATTGCTATCATGTGGTCTTTGCCAAAGTTGGTGGAACGAAAGAAGCAAGCGGTCAGCGAAATTCATCTCTCGAGGGGGTGTCTAACTCAGTGTTACAGGATGTTTGACCATGGCTTAAACTTACGCCGGAATTTCCCTTTAACTAGCTGACAATGGAAGAGATGGTCGAATGGACCAATCCTCATCAGGTTGAGAGTGCAGTGTGTAATCACATGACTATTTATTTTAATTATTTTAATTATTGGAACAATTCAGTGGAGGCTTCATCTTTTGGGGTCATGTCCTTTCTGTCCTGAGCCACGTCTGAGGTCCTTGCTTGATACTGCTTGTCAAGTATCGCCTCAAAATTTGTGAGTTGCTTGAACCGTTTCATACACAAACTTCACATCACTCGTGTCTCTGCTGTCTCACTGTGACTCAGTTAAATATCCCATTTGAGGCCAATTTTTCAGCCGTTTTCCTCTATAATTTTGAAAAATACTGTATTGTAATCATTTTGATTTACTGTATGTTATTTCAAAGCACAGACAGGAAGCTTGGTGTGGGAGTCTTGGGGTGCGGGGGACAGAGGGAAGAGCGCGACCCCACTGTTTGTGTTGGTATGGCCACAGGGACCCAATGAAAACAGAGCTGTCAGTAGCACTTCTAACTGCTGGGCTCTGTGTCAGCCCACAGACCAAATAAACAGCAATCAGCGCTGTACTAACCACTGTGACAGAACACACACACTCACACACACACAGACACACACACCAAAGCAAGAGCTTTAAGACCGGAGTCGAATCACAGCAGAAGAGCATGCATACAGCACACACCCCTATTCACACATGCATGCATGCACACAAATGCATACACACGTCACTCACAAGTCCAAAAGCAAACAAGCCGGGAAGTCTGACTAATTAATGTTTTCAATCCGGCCTCTGAGTGATGTCATGACAACACGTAAGTCATACTCTCAGCTCGGTGAGCGCGTGACTTCCCACAATCCTGAAATGGACGTGTGTGGGCACACAGCAGCCGCATGCAACCAGAACACCAAACACCTTCTTAAGCATCATTGACTGTTTTATATTGACATCTTTTATTACACATTACAGTTGTCATGTGTTTCAATGAAGCAAGCCTGACCGTTCTTTGGAAGTTAAAGCTCCTGAGAGGATGTTTCAATTTGTGTCAATTTTGGCGCCCCCCGTGGATAAGCTTATTATTTCTTTTTTGTCCTCTACTTATATACTAATAAGTTGTTGTTACACCAAACCTCATAGGGCTGAATTTTGACAGTCAATGCATCATTCGTCATGAATATTCTGGGCTGAACTCTTGCACTGATTTCAGGCACCAAAATTAAAAATATGAAAATTTTAAATCTTGTGACTGATGGTCTTGTTTGTGTTTGTATATCATATAAAGGTATCAATATGAATTTTTAGTCTGTTTCATAAACATCAAAAACTCCTCAAAAAGAACTTGAAAGGACGAAAAAACAGTATGACACACACATATAGGAAGGAAATATGCTATATGTTCACTTTACTACCAATGAGAGCCAATCTCGTCAAGTGCAAGCAAGTCAAAGCTATGAGAGGATGTCTTGTCATTATGTGATTAAAAACTCCTCATTAAAATATCAAGAGTTTGAAATTTAAAGATCATTTTGAATCTTTACCTAATAATTATTAGTTTTTATCACATAGTTTTAGTTTTGCATCTCACAATTATACTTAATCTCATAATAAACAATGAGAATATAATTACTGTCTTCATATCATGGAGATTATTTTTACTATACAGGCAGACTTATCGTCTTAATTGTTTCTTTTAATTCCCAAAACAGGCTTTTTTTTATCAATGCTGATCAGCTAATGCAAATGTTGAATTTGTCTGAATTTGCTCTTATAGAGTTTTATTAAAATGAAAAATGTCTCTTTATCTTGTCATGGAATAAATCGATCACTCCAATGACCTGAAGAGAGACAGTTGTTGTCAAAAGACTGTCATGTTTTCCAAGACTGTGTTTATAAAAAGCTATGCTGACTCAGCTCATTTAATCCCTGCATACTGAATTGTGTAGTAAGTATGTAGTGAACTCCATCATTTTGTGGTGACGATCTGTTTTAAAACAGGGCAGCGTTCAGATCTTTTGAATTATTCTGTTTTATACGACACTTCACCCTGACATAACCATCCTTCACGTCTTATTACAGAAGACATTAGTACTTATAGACATTCATGGCAATGCTTCAAAGGAATTCCTCACTCCGACTGGATTCATAAATAAAAAGATAAATGTCCTCGCGTTCTTATTTTAGCAAAACCTCAAGAATTTCTGAGCCGGGTGTGCCGCATTTCAATGTCAGCCCCCATGTACAGCAGAGGGATCAGACATCACAAGTCCCAACTAATAGATCCGATTGTTGCCAAAAGCCTTTGAGAGGGAGCAGACAGACAGAAAAAAGCTCCCAAGATCCCTCTGTGATTGAATAAGCATAAGGGGGGGATTGGTTTTTGTAGCTGCCATAACGAGCCTGCAGATATGACTGAAGTGGTCACATCTAAATAGGCGGGGTAGACAGACAGACAGAGGAGGTTTGACCGAGAGCACTAAGAAGAATAGCAGATGCTGCAGATGAAAGAGCAGCAAGGCCCTCACTGGAGGGGTCTGTGGTACAGATACCGACACATGCACACAGCAAACAAAGAAAACAAAGTCTGCTAATGTTCCACTGTGCTCTTTAAGAAGATCTTGTTCTTTCCGGGATGTTATTCCCTGTCTATCCACTGTCCTATCCTCTCAAATAAAGCAGGAAATGCCCCAAAATAAGTACAAAAAAGTGAAGAAATGAGCTAATAAGGCCACATTACAACCCAATAAAAATAATAATAATAATAAAAAAAAAAAATACTTAGATTATCCTCAGTTTGTCCAATGGTAACAAAACCCCTTTTTAATTATTGTTACAAGAAGTTCATCATGTATTACCTCCAGAAAATCCACAATTTTAAATTATTTATTTTGTTAAACTTTTTAACTCTATATTGTTGGTTATGTTATTTAATGGTAGAGCATCATGTCGGGTTTCTCCATCAAGCGTTTATCGTTTCAACAGAGAACAAGTATATTTTGTTTATCTGAAATGATTTTCATCAAAATCCATCTGTTTCTTGATTGAGGAACAGGGAGTAACAACTTTCTTAACTCACACAAATTTCTCGAGTGGTCAGAGGCAGGTGTAGATTTTGTTAGCATCGACAAACAAATTGGAAATACGGAAATATTGATGCTAGTTTGCCTGTAAATCAGTTTGGCTCATATTTCATGAAGGAGACCCTCTAGTTTTTCCCCTTCTGTTAACCTGGGGAAGCAGCATTTGTGACACATACTGCAACCAGTCAGCAGGGGGAGCTCTAACTCTCATGGCCTCAAGTCAGATGGAGACCAGGGATATCCACCGCATCTGGAACGGCTCCGATCCGGAACGGCAGTGATTTTTGCCGTACGCCAATTCTTACCAGATCCATTTGTGAGGCGTATTTTGCGGCAGTGATCGTGAGAACTCACAAGAACCCGCAGATTCACTTGCAATCGTGCAATAACAAGTTGTCTTTATCCACATAGGCTAACCATATACACAGTAGATTGTGTCCTTCCAGAGGAGGAAATCTACTTCTAAACTTATAAAATCAGCATCCTCGCATTCATGGTGTCAACAGGGTAAAATGCTGTCTATGAACCTTTCACTTGTTCGTCCCTGCCCGTTTGCATGGTGTGAAATACAATCCACCTGAAACACGGAGTGTTTTATTTTGAAAAGAAGCTGGATGTTTTATTTTGTGTCTGTGCCCGACTTCCTTTCCAACACAGGTAAATCTGTGCTCAATTTATCTGGCATGCTGGGGCGTCCGGAAAAATTAGAACTCTTGCGATCAGCAGGGGAATGGAAAAAGCTTGACGCATTCACTTGAATGGTTATGATCAGCTATGATAGGTGGATACGACCTTTTTGTAGCTGTTCTGGATGTGGTGGAAATTGGGAGTTATGGTGTCCTTTTGTAGAGAGTCTAACTATAAGAGAATTTAGATAACTATGTCTTTTAATACAAACAGCTCCATGTAGCTGTGAGAAATAGTTTGTTCTGTCTTTCTTTCCATCTCAGGGAAAAGTACATTCATCTAGATTTGAGTCTTTCCCTTCACTGTCTCCCATCAGTCTTGTTTGAGACAGGCAGGCAGACAGGGCACCCTGGTCATGGCACGACAAGAACAACCACCGGGATCAACCATTTCCGCTGGTGTGTCTCCTCTCCTGTAGTGGTTGCTCCCTCCTACACACACATACACACACACACAACCACCACACATAAAAAATAAACACACACCACAACTGGTCCCCCTCTGGAGAGATCAATTTCACGGGATCACACGGCGAGCTCTGGTTCCCAGGCGCTCCTCACGCGCTCTGCAGACGTAGACGGTTCCCTCGCACAACCTGACTCCTGACCCTCCATCATTACCGGGGTCAGAGGAGCAGCAACCCCTCGCTGAAGGAGGTGGGGGGGAGCTTCTTTATCCCAAGGCTGCAAAAGATACCGACGGGAGGTTCATTTTTTTCCCTCTCTTTCTTTTTTTTCTTGAGGCCAAATGTCAAACGTTAAAACATGTTTCAACTGTTCAGCCTTGTTATCAAATTAGTGGGTGAAGATGTCTGATTATATGTTTTTGAACCTCAGGAGTGTGTGTGTCTTGTGTATGTTTGACAAATGCGTGAAACTAATGTTGTTTTTCGCCTCAAAATTCGACATACCTTCATGTCAAGCTTAGAGGTCACACTGCCGCCGAATCAAAGGATTAAACCCAGAGCGGTGTGAACACAAACTGTGAATTTCTTACGCTGTTCCTGAACTTCTGTCACGTACCAGCTGGTTCTCTTCACTTGAATCTCAGCTGCCACTCTCACTATGATTAATTTTTTTGTAACATAAAACGTCAAAACAGAGCAAATTTCAGTTTTCAGGGTTACGGGGCTAACTCGAAAGCGTGACTGGGTCAAATGCACGGCAAATAATCACCTCAAGCTGAGATGAAAGTAAAATTTCTGCCTTTGTTCTCTGACTTTCTCTCACTCTGTCCTCACTGTGACCACCCACAAGGAGTTTCACCGGCTTTAAACATGAGTCACACCCAGACCCCTCAAAACCGGCCATTCTGCTTCCCACTTTACCCCCGCATAAGAATCAGACAGTGCCGACTTTTTGTAAATAATCGGCTGCAGGTACATCAGTCTTTTTCATGTTTTTTTTATGCAACAACTGGGAGTCGAATGCCAAGTTCTGCCCCCCCGTCCACCTGTTGAATCCAGATCTCACATGTACAGACTGAGGATTAGAGGACCATTAAGAAGATCAGAGAATTTCAGATGATGGGGGTGTGTTCGGGCCCTCGGAGTTTCCTGTAACTAAAAGAAAAATTGCAGACATGATCCCTCAAACATATGTCCGTCAAGTCTGCTGTCTGGGAAATACTACAGGTGCCTCATTGAGCTCTCCACTAAGATTAAGAACAGATTTATGACCGAACCATGTCAGATAGCAGTTGAGCTAATGCTGCATAAATACCTTACTCTACTTTTAACTGATTCTCTTTTTTCTGCTATTTTGATGATAAAAAAACACCCTACTTATGGACTGTATTTGTCGCACGTAGTTACCACAGCCAAAGCCCAACACAGCACATAAATAAACACTGTGGTTTCTCATGACATGATGCAACAAATGATGCTCAGAGGACTGAATGTGTATTGAAATAGTCCCACAGATACGATTAACATTGAAAATTTTGGTCCTTTCAGCAGTAATATATATTTACCTTACTTTTATTGTCGATTTTAAGTGGAATAAGTCCTTATTTTTCACATTTTCTACTAGATATAAAGCTATTCAAACAGATTCGTTTCAGTTTTTTGTGATTTCTTTGTTTTGTTACACAGAAGTTAAAGCTCCTGTTAGGAACTTTTGGTTTGTGTCAATGTTGATTCCTCTTTTGTACAAAGCAGTCTCTGTTAATCGTGTTCTTTACATGCTCTCATCCTGTTGCGATTAAAAATAGATGTGTGCGAATTGTAAAATGTATTTAGGGGCACGTGTGCATGAAAAAAATCAACTTATGCAACAAATGGTTTTTCATGTGAATACCGCTGTGAAGTTAGTTTTAGGTCGGATATCTGACGGACATTAACTGCGGATCTACCGGTTTCTTAGCAACAGCAGCGCGGTTAAATCTACTCTGCACCCTTGTTGTCGACGTCAAGTGTTGAATAAGGGACCGTCAATAAATTACTGGTTGATGTTCTCAAAAATGGCTGTTTTCCTTCAATAGCTTCCATGTCATGTGACCAATTGACCTAAAATTGATTTCAAATGATAGAACTTATGTCGACCAATAAGGCACACATTAGTTGATCAGTTTTCATTGTGCCTGTAAAAGAGCACACGTGGTCCTAAGTTGAAAAAAGTTAGTGTCAAGCCCTTAATAGTCAAATGTTTATTAGGAAATTGTAAAAACAGGGCTGTTTAACTGACACCTACCCCCTTACATTGGTTTCAAGCATCAACTTTGGCTGTATGCAAATCATCAGTCTCGTCACTGATGGTCTTATTGAGAAGGCATCACTATGAATTCCACTCTGTATGATAAAGGTAAAAAAGTAAACTCACAGGAGCTTTAAATTTAGATATTTTTGAGCCTTTTTTAAATACTTTTCTTCACACAAACAGTGATACAGATATTTTAGCAGAAACACAGCGCGACCAAAAGATGTAGAAATATGATCCAGATCCATTCATTAAAAAATAACTGCATGTTTTGAGGGATGATGAACAGCAAACAAAAGCATTTATAAACAAATAAACTAAAAATAAGATCACAAAAATGAGACAAACCCCCTGTTGTTTTCAGAGTAATTTATTTATTTAAACAAAGGTAAAAGTTTGCTAATAGAAAAGATTAAAAGAAGATGTCTGTTAAAAAAAAAAGGAAACACTTGTCCTGTATCGTCCACACTCAGTTTCTCCCACTCCCTCTGTTTCAGTGTGTGACAGAGAGTGAAGGAGGAGGCCTCAAACACTTCTTATGGAGGGGACGAGCCGGAGATAAGTGTCAGTGGGTCAACTCTGACACTTCCCTCACACGCTGAGAAATGTGTTAAGTGTCGACCCAAGTGAAGGAGAGGACCCCGCCAACAAAACTCACAAGGGAACCGTCAGCGATTGACAATGGCTAACAATGAAACCAGGTTCAAACCTCCGCCCTCCTGAAGGACAATACTCACCCCTGCCTCACAAACCGCTCACCCCTAAGACATACATTCATAAACAATGCCTCTCTCTCTTTTGGCCCCACTCGCTCTCTAAGGCACAATGGTCGGGTGTCACACACGTCTGGGGCAGAATTAGCCGCCGCTTCCTCTCCCTGTCAGGGGAAACAAAGATGGCCTTCCTCAGCGCTGCACACAGCTCTATTTATAAACAATAACAAGGCTCTCCCTCTGCAGGGTTTCACCAGAGAGCCGCTCACAGTATTGTTTTCAGGCGGACAAACATCTGTCTGTGGCTAACCTGCAGACGCCTCAGCCCTCTGTGTCTCATGGTGACTCACTGAGGGTCACACCTTCAAACACTCATAGTCACCCTCTGTTTATACTGTACTCCAGGTACGGGTGTTTGACTTTCACTCCGAGGGATTATCTGTGAAGAGTTTGACACCAAGAGACAGCAGGTTTTTTTCTCTCCCCTGACTGACTCCGTATACCCAAGTTTGAGGTTATTTACATACATATTCACTATCTCTCTCTTCGTAGACCAGCTCACTGGTGCTTTTTCATAAGTCGCCACACTCTGTCTAATTCACAAATAAACCCTTGAGCTGTGAATCCCCGCTCTTTACCTGATTCTCTGTTTTTTTTTACTATGTGAACAACAGGAACTTGTGTGCTAATCTTCACAGTTATTGATCTAAACAAAATGACAAAATATTGTGTTTGACTGTGATTTTTAACCTCTGGGAATGAAATAAATCAGAAAGTTAATAAAAAATCATATATCTCCACTTTTTCCATCATATGAAGAGGGATCCCCTCCTGGTTGCTTCTTTTATTTTATCTTTAATATACAGTATGTCACCACTTAATACAGGATTCTGTGCATTTCATTCACTTTGAGGACGAGGATATTTTGGGATTTGAAGGCAGATAAAATCCAGACATTTAATCGATCAGACTTTATTTGTATCGCACTTTTTATTCAGCAAAAATGCAGGTCGAAGTTCTCTGCATGAACAGAGTCATTAAAATCTGTTTAAAACCCTGATTCAAGTGAAAGGTCAACGCCAAGCACACAAAAACAGGCAAGATATATTTCAAAGAAAAAAAAATAGTGAGATAAATAAAAATAAAGGATTCAAAAATAAATATATATTTAAAAAAGTGCTGAAAGTGCAAAATAAGGAAGAAACAGTAGTAAGATTAAAGTATAAAAATTCAGAAAAGCAGATTTAGAATGAAATAAAAGAACAAAATGAATAAAATGATGAGAAAAAAAATCTAAATAACTTAAAAACCATGCCATAAAATATCACAAAAGTCAGACAGAATAATAAAAGAATATAAGAATGAGATCATAATCAGTAAAACAGGCTAAAACTTAAATATATGAATAAGTAAACAGTAAAATACCAAACTATGAAGACGGGTCTTGAGTTTGCTTTCAAAAGAATGGAAACTCTGTGTTAATAACTAAAAGCTGCCTCTCTATAAGTGTATGTTTGTATTTTTGGCACCATTGAAGACCACAACCTAAAGACCTGGGGGCTTTCATGGACTTATACAGTAAGAGTAGATCTGACAAATAAGTTGGACCAAGACTGTTAAAAGGTTAGAAATTCAGTAAAAGAGTCTTAAATCAATTCTAAAAGAGGCTGGAAGCCAATGCAGAGACTTTCAGTTTGGTAGAATGAAGACTCTATCTCATTTTTAAAATAATAGTTTTCCCACATTTTGACTGAGACAGTTAACTGATATATAATATCTATGAATGACTGTTCTCTGTCACTTCTCTGTGACTGTAATGATCCATAAAAGTGAGACAATGAAATGAAAACAGAAGTGAGTCCCTGTGAAGGAGACGCCCCCTCGGATCCGACAGTTTAACATGACTTTGTTTATTCAAGAAGTAACTGAGAGTTCCTGAACATGATATCAACATCATTCATCAATGTCACTCTATCAACAGTACAGCTAAGCTTCATTTACACTCGCTGAAGTCATGTAGATCCACGTATGCACTCTGCAGGAAATCAGATCTAAACAAACTGATGCAGCTAAACACCTGATGACATGTGGAGCCCTGTGTAAATATATACAGCTGAGGTTAATTACACTTAATGCCAAAAATATGGACTGTGCACAGCAGTGAAGGGAAGTTATTGGTGAAATCTGCCTTTAGGAACGCTCCAAATCCTGACTCTGCTACTGCAAACAGGGACTTATTTTCCCTGAGTCTAGACTTCTCTAATGTTTGGAGTGGGGATATGATATTGCGCCAAAATAGCATTTGTGTCCTGCTCTTAAAGTGAAATTTAAACCTCTTTTAATGGTACTTGTGGTCAGATGACTTAGAAATGTTTGTTTTCCCATCAAAATATCTGCGCAGTGTTTTGTTTGACTAAAGAATTTGGACAGACCTTAATTCGTATGTTTATTAATATCAATATTTGAGGTATAGAGAGGGTTTGCAAAACAAAATAACCTTTGAGCTCAAAATAACAGTAAAGCACTGGTTATACTGGAAGAAAATTGGAATAAAAACCATTGAAAGACAGAGGGAAATGTGTGCAAACAGGAAATCAGACTTGAAAGAAACAGAGAGATTAATACATGCAAAGTAAGAGCAATAGAGGTGAACTGGCACTGCAAAGCCTGATTATTTTGCCCCTGCCTTTGAGTCAGTTTGGTGGCCTGATTTGTGGCGAGAGTAGAGGAGGAGGAGGTGGTGGTGGTGGTGGAGGAGAGGGGTTGTGGATTTGATGATGTCGTGTTGCGGGCCCTCACCTTCAAAGGGCGGCCCCTGAAAGGCCCTACTAATCACAACATGTGATGAGACCGGTAGAACAAAGACAGCCGTGCAGAAAATAACAGCGTGGGAACTCTGGGTGAACTTGAAATACAACAAGAGAGGGCTCAGCCCCCTCCCTCCCTCCCTCTTCATCCTCCCCCTCCCTCCCCCAACCCTCCCACTCCCCCGTAGTTACACACACATACCCACAGTGGGTACCTAGTGTGGACGCACACCTGTGTTTATTTTGACAAACGCCTTAGGTTGCACGTACCCAAACTTAAGTGAATGCAAATCTTACAAACACTTCTCTGCGAGGATGAACACAAAGACACACAGACACACACACTCAGAGCTCAGTAATAATAAGTTGGATGGATGTGGGAGAGAATCTGTGTGTCTGTCCTGCTATAAGCATAGCCTTGTACAACAACAATAAGATGAAAACAGCCCTAAGTGCTTCCTTTCATTCATATGAGGCAAACAAGGCAGCCTCCTCTCTCTGTGATGACTATTACGCCTTTGGTCGCTTCCCACTGATAAGATCACCCTGTTACTGTGTGTGTGTGCGCGCAGATGTGTGTTTAAGGTTAGCAATGGCTGCTCTGTTTGCGCTTGATCTTTATTAACACAGCAAATCTAAAATGGTTCATTCCCTTAGAGCATAAACAGTACTGTGTCTACTTCATAATGCAATATTGTGTGAATGTTAATGAATCCAGACTTTGTTTCCACTTGATGTTGAAACCTATTTTTAAATAATGCCACATTAATTTTTGTGACCTTAACTGTCTATGTATTATCTGTCCATTTAATTATTCCATTCAATCTAGTAAACGAAAAAACAAGTCAATATTTTATTTATTTTTCTGTTCAACCAAAAAAATTTAAAAAATTAGTATTTATTTTCGTATTTTCAGCTCAAAACAGATATAATAGAGAAGGAAACAAAAATGAAATAATAAATCTTATTGACAATTTCTGATTTTGAGTGCGCCTGTTTACATACATGCATGGAGGCTACATTGGCCTTCCCATATAAAATTCAGTCATTTACTTTTATTCATGTAATTTTATTAACATGAAAATGCTGGAAGCCACCCAGACACAGGACTAACTTTTGCTTTCTGTCTTGAAATGAGTAAAAGAGTTTTAAGTTTGCTGCAGGGGGTATTTAGATCTGAGGAAGTTGGTCAGCAGGATGTGATAAATTAGTCAAGAACATTGCTTAAGTATGCAGGAATAGATAAACAGAGATTACTTAGCCTTATGGGGGGGGGGGGGGGGCAGTTCTATCAGAGGTGTGTAAAATATTGATTAAAAAACTAGAATAAATCCAGTTGTTTTATGTGCAAAATGCAGTTTGGAATCTTTTTTTAAGGTCATCCCTAAAGCAGGCATGGTACCTTCAGTGAACTACTCAGGATCATTAATCTGGATTCACTCCTCACGCAGTTTCTCACAGTGGTGAACCTCTGTCCAAATCAACCTCTCTGAAGTGACCTTTTGACCTTTACCCAGTCATGTTGCTAAAACTGATAAATGAAGTGGTTACAATTACTTTGTGACATTTTCAGTGTTTTGTACACTTAATATAATATAGGTTTCAAATATTTGCAAACTTCTTTCGTTAAAGCAAGAACGTGTTTGCAAAAAATCAAACCAGTCCCACTAAACAATAGACGCTATGAGACGTCTAGTTTATTTTAGACCTAATTTAAACTGTCTAGATTCTGTATATTTTTAGACAGAATTCAGACATTGCAATTGAACCCATTATTCGATAACTATTTATTCAAAAAGCAACTATGAGTTGCATAACTGATCTCCAAGTACTTAACCAAAATAATTATGATAGCCGTTGAGCAATATACAGCGTAGTATAGATATAGCCCAGATTTAGACTTAGTCTAAACTTGGTCTGAATTTAGACGTCGACAAAACTTTCATTTTTAGACCTGTGGCAGTCTGATTTTAGACCAGTCGTCTAGGCTACATTTAGACGTCTATTAGACCTCTTTTAGACCAAAAAAATGCTCAGTTTTCAAAAGTTAGGCAATTTGCTTCAACCACCTGCTGAATGAAGCAAAGTTTCATGTCAAAATGAGAAGGCCAGTCTATCTTTTCACCTCATATCTACACAGTTTGTCTTCCTAAAACGAGACTCTGCCGACTCCTTATTGCCCCACTACATTAAATTATAAGACGTGAAATTGTTAAAGATATCTGACACCCTGACTATGAGGCGATAATATCCTCTTGCCATTTGCTCACAGTGTGTTATTTAAGTACCACAGTTCAAGCCCTGCAGGAGACTCTCCACTGAAGAGCTGAAACTCCACATGCAGTAACACGAGCCCTCCATGTATACAAACACACACCAGCAGCTCTGTCAAATTATTTGGGGAGTGTGTGTGAGAGACCACTATAGGAGCCACCAGTCTTGTGGTGGTGATGATGTGGAAACTCCACAGGGGGAAAAGACGAGGACGGCTTTGATTGCATTCTGCTCTTTTGTTTGGTACTTTCAGACAGTCCTTGAAGTCCCCACAGCGTCTTTACCGTGCACGAGGTCTCTCTGTGGGGTAAGATTAGACTTGGTGGCTTCCTCTGGTTGCGGCGGTGCTCCCTGTCTCTCCTCTCGGGCTGAGTTAGTATTGGATTACAGGTTCACACGCTCGCTCGCAGACCGCCCGTCGCCCCGACCAATTGCTCCATTCATTCCAGCGCCGGAGACGACCGCCGGCCTCTGATTGGTTATCAGCGCCGGTTAGGGAACTTTCCCACGGCCAGCGCGTGCTGACAGCCGGCCAGCCACTCCTCATCACCACCGGGACACACACGGGGAGGTGGAGGGAAGAGAGGGGGGCAAGTCACGGACCGAAAGTCCATTGGACCATTGTCAAAGTTTCTCCAAAGATCTTCTATATACGACAAGATGAATCACTCTGACACATTTATGGGAGGAAGAAATCCCCCCCAAAGGGCCCAAGAATAACAACAAACATAACCTGTTAACAGTGTGATGTGAAGACTACATTCATGTATTCACAACTTAAAAATAAGGTGGATACTCCCCCAATAATACAATAAGACCTTAAAAATGGTTGAGCTGAGGAAGTTATGCACCAAACTCCACTTTTAAAGGCCAGTCTGGTTAGGAAAGGTCCCAGTCTCACAGATGATTTGAGGCAGAATTGCAAAATATGCATATGACACTTTTTGATTAGTCATAACTTACATGTAGATTTTGAATAGGCTTTATACTGTTACTATAATTGACAAAAAAATGAAGCATCAGGTGGATTTTATTTTTCATTTCAAGCTCCGCCCACATGATATTCTGAATATGTAAAAAGAAACTGCTGTTTCATAGGTCAACAACTGACCGTGGGTCTAATAGTTGAAACCAACATGGAGATGAGAAGTGCTTGACATTAAATGATGCAAAACAATGTATTTTTTCATGTCAATAGAGCAACAAAAAAGACCACAATGTCATTTGAGAAAACTTTGGAGGAGTAAACCTCAAGACGGTTATTGCTTCCTCTAAAATGTAGCTTTTCTACATTTGTGAAAATTTTGAGATTAGAACAAGTTATCCAATTTATATGGTAATAAGTTATATTATCTATTTACAAGAAGTGTCATTCAAAACTTACAGTTAGGCCCCGAGTCGGCCCAAGGCATAAGTAAGCTAATGCCTGCTTAGGGCCTCGTGGCCAATAGGGGGCCCCCAAGAGCAATTAAAAAAATATATATTTTTTTTTATTTTTTGCATGTATCAGTGATGCTTTCTGTATGATCAAATAATTATTATTGTAAAAATAAAATAAAGTAAAAACATTTTAGTGCTGCTGCTGATGTAGGCCTATGATTCTTAGTGCTGATATGTCGACGCTACCACTACTGTTATGTGCCTTTTGCTGTGCAATGTGCACTGAGCATCCAAAGCGCAGGTAGAACAATGATGCAAGAAAGGACATATCCTTCGGGAGTAGAGAAAAGAAAAAAGAGGAAAGAGGAAGAAGAGGAAAAACACCAAGATGAAGGTATGTTTGTATGCCATGGAATGTTAATCAAAGAGCTGTGTGAAGGTGTGTGAATGATCAACAATCAATATTATTGGCAGAAATAGAGAACCTCAAAATTAAATTTTGCTTAAGGCCCCATTGAGGCGCTGGTTAGGCCAAATCCAACAGTTCAGTCATTTACGTCAACAGTTTCAGTATCAACCACAGAGTAAGACGTCTTCTCTCTTCTACGATCTTTGATTCTGTCAAAGCGCACTGACGTGTGTTTGGGCCAACTGCACTGTCACTCAAATTCTTCGCTACCACGTGATTGGCTGCTTCGCTTCGAGTCCCCGCCCCTGCTGGCTGGCTCCACAGTTGAAATGACACCGTGGGAAAGCTTGGTGCTTCAAACGGAGACGCTCCGGGCAAACCTGGGTAGACGAACGTCAGACGCAGACACAACAGGACACTCTGAGGACTATCGTAGGTTTTATCAAAATGAAACGGAATCACGACTTCAGCTCCTCGGATAGCGAGCTGGATGAGACCATAGAGGTGGAGAAGGAAAGCGCGGATGAGAATGGGTAAGTTCTTTTAACCTGGAGTGAATGCTGGGCTAAGTTCCTAGAAGCTGTTATATCAAATGCACACACAGTCAGAGTCCTTTTTGATGAAGTCGCCATCTCTTTGAAGGGACATCAGCTCTCCTATGGGGTCCATGTCTCCCACTACATCCACCCAGGTGCAGGCGAGGAAAAGACGTCGAGGGGTGAGTACATAAACATCTCCAGGAAGACAAAAACATGTTTGACCATGTGTATATTGTAAAGATTTCCTTAAACTAACCAAATATTGTGTTTTTTCCTCCTTAGATAATTGAGAAACGTCGTCGTGACAGAATAAACAACAGTCTCAGTGAGCTCCGCAGGCTGGTTCCCAGTGCCTTTGAAAAGCAGGTGAGCAACAGGCAACATCACAACTTTATTCTGACTTTCACACTCTTTCTCAAGTCCAGAAACTGTGTGATCTCTCTCCTGATAGTTTATATCTACTAATCGTGTCTTTTCTGTCTGCAGGGCTCAGCCAAATTGGAGAAAGCAGAGATTTTACAGATGACTGTTGACCATCTGAAGATGCTTCATGCTGCTGGAGGCAAAGGTACGCCTGGGATCTATTCAACCTTTTTGGAGTTATCGTCTTTTGAAGAGGAGAAAATCTGGATACTAGATAACTTTTTGTTGTCACTCATAGTAAAGTAAAGTAAAAGTAAACCAGTTGAAGATGATTTAATCAGGTTTTATTATTATAGTTGTTATTGTGAAGGTTTTTTTCTCTGTTACTCATTGGCTAACTTATTTTGCGATGTTCTGGGCAGTTTCCAATCTTTGGTCTTCTTGTCCCCCGTCAGGTTATTTCGACGCCCACGCTCTGGCGATGGACTACCGTGGTCTGGGTTTCAGGGAGTGTCTGGCTGAGACGGCCCGCTACCTGAGCATTATCGAGGGCCTGGACAGCACTGACCCTCTGCGTCTCCGTCTGGTCTCCCACCTCAACAACTACGCCAGTCAGAGAGAGGCTCACTCCGGACTGAGCCACCTAGCATGGGGGTCTGCATTTGGGTCCCCTCCTGCTCACCTCGCCCACCCCCTCCTCCTCCAGCACCAACAAGCGGCACCTTTGGCACCCTTACCCCGCAGCACCACCAGCAGCCCACAAACTCCTCTGTCAACTGCATCCACTTCATCCACCTCCTCCTCTTCCTCCTCCTCGTCCTCGTCAGTCGCAGAAACTCACACCCTGAGCAGGCGCAGCGGCAGCGCCACCCCGCACTCAGATCAAGTCCCCATCCGGGTGCCCCCCACCAGTGCCGCTTCTGCCTCCGTCCCGCACCCTGCCCTGGTCCCCTCATCCTCCAAACTCTCCCCTCCTCTGCTGTCCTCCCTCTCAGCGTTTCCATTCCCCTTCAGTGCCTTCCCCCTCATCTCCCCCACTTCCACCATCAGCCCTCCAGCCCCGACATCCAGTGTGGGGAAGCCCTACAGACCCTGGGGGATGGAGATAGGAGCGTTCTGACTAAAATGAAAACCTTTACATCATCTACAAAAAGACTCATTCTTCTCCCAGCTGAGCTGGACTTTCAAAGGACAAGACTTTTTATTTTCTCAGCCAAGAAAGATTTTTCTATGATGTTGACATCTTAACTAGCTATAGAGTTATTATTTTTTTGCTAATGTATTATGTTTTGTATAGAAGATAAAAAAAAGTGCGGAAGACCACGACTAAAAAGCAACAGTGATTTATTGAGATTGATCTGAGCTCCTGCCCACCCCTTTAGAAGTTTCACCCACCGTCTCAGCCTATCAGGAACGGCTTTTCCAGATGGTCAAGCAGTCCTCGCCCATCAAGTTCCTGGGTGAAACTACCCCCCCTCCCCCTTTTTGTTTTCTTCTCTGAGCTGAAACACCCGTGTTTGTGCCCTGCAGAGGGGGGAGTGAAAGGAGGCCTGAGGTGGTCGACAGTCACCCCCTTTTTACAGCATTTTATGGGGTGGAATAACCGAAACCAGGTGTTTGTTGGACTAAATACTGGGAACAGAAGTTAGCTACCAGCTTGGCTGAAAAAAAAAACATAACCATGATTTACACACAGCCTCATATGGTGCATTGTGCTCAAGCTCTCTCTCTCAAGTTATGTTTCCTCGATACAGTAAATTTGATCTTTTACAATTGGGGCTCCACATATGTTTTTTTTACAGTCTCTTAACAGCTTTTCCACATTTCTCCTGTAACAGGTGTTTGCATGTTGTAACTTTAATTGTCTGCATTTATGTTTCTTACACAAGCTCAGATTGGATGCATCTGTAATTTATAAAAAAAAGTTTCTTTGTATTTGTCAGAGCAGTCGAACAAAGCAACAAGACTTGTTCTTTTTTCTGTTTACAACACTAACTCCTGTTTTCCACCTGATTCTCTGGTTCTTCTTGGTACTCCTGATGTGAAGTTTGTATATTTGATGGTTGTAAAAAGCACATGCAAACACAGAAAGAGCAGATTTCTCAGCTTATAATATTGTTGCTGGTGGTGACGACATCTTCCCTCTAATAAAAGAATCCAGATAAATCACCTGTGGCGCTGTAAGAGTCTTTTTATGCATTCACATGTTTGTTCAAGTGTTATCGAGAGTGTGCATGTGGTTAAAAATGTGATTCTGTGTGCTTGTTTGTAGCTATATTTACATGTGTTTGTGTGTGTGGGTGTGTACTCGGTACGTGTCAATGTGTGGTATCAGATGAGGCTGCTTGTTTCTCTCAGCAGCCCTCTGTGTGTGCACAGGAAACCATTAACAAGGAGGGGATATCCTGGACAATAGCAGTCCGGCTGGCCCCATGCACCGCGTGGGAACTAGAGGAGGAGGAAAGAAGGAGGGAGGAATGGTTGGAAGAGGATGAAGAAAGAGAGGAGGAAGAAGGGATGGAGCATAGGACAGAAAATGCAGGGAGAGAGAGGGAAGAAAGGATGGGACAGAGGGATCAAAAGAGAGAGCAGGAGAGAGGGATGGAAAAACTGTGAGAAAGGAAGTGTGCACAGAACACTTTTGTCCCTTTGCCATCATTTCAGCTCGAACCAGCTGCACCTTCTGTTCTGGACTCTTACGCACCGTCCCCTCTCTGCTGATCCGTAACTCATTTGCTAAAATATCCCTCGCTCTTTCATCTTTTTTGTCCAAAATATTCACTCCGTCTTCCTCTTTTGTTGTTATCTGTCACTCACCTTAACTTGTTTCCCTTTTTACAGAGGATGGTGCAGAGCCAGGTTAGTGATGTAAGCTTTGCTGCAGCCAAAAACATGAGGTCAAAGACATTTTTAGGTGGGACTACTTGTCTGTTGTCTCCCCCTGCTGGTTATAAATGGTACTTCATTAACTGAGGCAAACTGGGATGACTTGCAAATGTTCAAAGAGGGGAGAGGGGGCTGACATTGAAACATTTAAAAAAGTTTGATGAGGAAAATTTAAACTGTTCTAACTTTTCATCCTTTGGTTGCATTTACAGCAGCTTGTGTTTACATTTTCTGACAGTCGAATACATTTTTTGGATCACAATAAATCACATGATTCGCATAATTATTGCAATTAATCATATTTTTATTACCATGTTGAAAAGCTGCTCTATTGGCATTTTGCTGATTGCTGATTAAGTAGACACCATTCAGGGCTTCAAAAATTCAGCTCATTGAGGACATTATGGGGTGTTTTCAGGATTTTTATTCATTTAAATCTTCCCCACTTTAAAATTGTTCCCATTATTAATGCATTATCTAATTCTTCAAACAAATTAAAACTCATTCAAACCTTTCTAATACTTGAGGATTTTTAAATTTTCCCCGTTTTAAATTAGTTTCAATATTCATGCATTATTCAATCCTTCAAACAAAATCCCTATTCTCTACTGCTACTACTACTTCTACCACTAGCTCTACTACTTTGACTTCTACTTTCTCTATTCTAAAACTACTTCTACTCCTTACATGACTACTAATGTCACTACTACGACTACTTATCATACTAATACTAGAACAACAGATTAAACTTATGCCACTTCTCAAACAGGATTTTAAGCCTATGCAGTGATTTCCAGTAAAGAGTCATGTCTGCTTTTATTATAGTACTGCATTCTGTGTTATTCAAGTCATTTCCAAATGCTCAACCCATTGCAATTTATCATCTCCTCTGTGACATAATACCTCTCCAGGATATGTGTTAAACATGGACTACAGGGACTTCGAAATATTATGTATTTAGTCATCTATGTATTTATTTATGAATCTGTTTTTACTAGTCCTTTTTTTGATTATTTTTAATTATTTCCCCAGATTTTAAACAATTTTTTATGGTTCTTTTTTAAACATGAGTCATGGGAAATGCTTAAAAACTACATAACTAATTGCCAACACAGTCTCAGATGTAATGTTATAGGCTTAAGTGTCATGATATGTTCTGGTTTTTAGTGTGTCCCTGGAGTGTATTCTCTTTGTGATTTTCCCCATTGTTCCTGTTCTCCTGTAGTCTTGTGTTGTGAGTTTTCAGTCTGTGCCTGACCCCAGTTGCCTCATATTCTTAGTGTTCTATTCCTTATATCAGTGTTTACAGTTTTATTTTGTAGTAGTTTATTCCATGTGTTTTTATTTTTGCTTTAGTTTTCCCTCCATTGTGATTCTCTGCACCTGTGTCTCACTAGCCCCGTTTACATGGGTCCAAGAATCCTATTTACAATCAGATTGAAAGGTCAATCAGGTTCAAAATGTCTCATATAAACACCTTAGCCAACCTGATTCACCCGGATCTGATTATATTTCGGGTCGGATTGTAAAAGGTAGTCTACGCCGATTGATAATCCGCTCCATGCTCCATATATACGGCTGGGTGGCGCGGATTGGCTTTACGAGAGGCTTGTTTGGTCTGCGCAGGCGCTCCGTAGTACGTAAGAGGCACGTAGTGACGCAGAGCGCGCCCAAGCGGAAACAAACATGGCGCTTCAGGACGATAAACTGCTGTGACTTCAGAGCCGCAAATAAATGTAACCACAACATAACAAGCGTCCCCAACAAAATACGACGCGGATCCATCTTTCTACAGGTAAACAGGAAGCAGGAAGTGCACCTCTTCTTCTCTTATACATTTGCAGGTAGTGGCAGAGTGACCCTCTGCGCATGTAAAAAAAAACTACAATCGGATTCAGCTGGGGCCATGCAAACGCGGATTGAACGCGGATCTCTTTACTTAAAGTTCATGTATACAGAAGGAATCAGATTCATTTAGTCCGATTGATTTCAATCAGATTGAGGAAAACTACCCATATAAACGGGGCTAGTGTCTCACCTGCCTCTCGTTGCTCGTTTCCCATATAGTCCCTGTCTTCCTCTGTTTCCTTGTTGGTTCATTGTGTGTCGTATGTTGTATGTCTGCGTGTCTGTATGCCAGTGTCTCCTTGGGATTTTTTCCTCCCAGTGTCTTTTGTTGGATTTTGGATTTTGCTTCTTTGGGATTTCTTTTGGTTGGATTGTTTTAAAAGTAAGTTTTTGTTGCTTTTTATTTAGTTCATTTTGAATGAATCATTTTTTGTTCTGTATTTTGGGTCCTTCCCCCTCATCAGTAAACAGTCGTGACATTAGGAGGATCAAGAAATCAAGTTAAGCGCTATATTGAAAGTAAAGAAAGAAGTCACGCTGCTGAAGCTGTTTTCATTCACTGAACCCCAAATCTTTATTGACCACTGCTTGCTCACAAAGATACACGTGGAGAGGGGAAAACACACAGATGGACAGAGGAAAGAGAGAGAGAGGCATGTATGACAGTCACTGTCTGTGATGAACTTGTGACAGCTGTTACACACTGTAATGATTTACACTTCACCGGGCCAGTACAACATAGACCAAACATCCCCTTTCTAAAATGCAGACACACACACACTCACACACATCTACGGGCCTACTCTGTGCATGTGTGTCACCAACAGGGTTCAACCTCAGCCTTCTTCGCCCCTGGTTACAACCTATTCAGATACTTTAATTCACTCATATACACCTTTACAAATGGCAATAATGTTCTGATAGATCATTGTTGCAGCGATACCTGTTATGGCTTCAATATCTGTCTTGTGCTGACCTTGCAGCTGCGTTTACAGTGGAGTGAAATATGATGATTCCAGTAGGCGCTGATGATGTTGAGCACTACTCTAGCCTCTTTGAAACAGAGCAAGATGGATGGATTTGTTTTCTCCCTAATAGATTCACAGTAACATGTCTGATTTGAGTGAAGTATTTATGCATTCCCAGTTGTGGTTTTATTACAGTAAGATGTGGCTGAAATGTGATTGGAAGCTTGTTTTAGAGAGAGGCCCCGCCATTGGTTAGAGTTGTTCTGTGAGCTTTTTCCGGTGCCAGATGGACAGAATTTAGCGAGCGCCAAACCGAGCTCTGTGCTATGATTGGCTAAATGCCTGCCCATGTGGAGAGCATGTGAGAGAGTGCTTGTATAGTATGTATGTGGAGAGATAAGAGGTTGCTAACAGAGGGAAGATGGAGGAAGAATGGGCTCATTAAATGCTATAGTGTTCTCCTCATCTACCTCAGAGGATTTGGATGCGCAGCGATGGCCTGCAGTCCTCACAGGAAGCGAACCGTCCTCTTTCCCTCTGCCAATTTTTCCGCACAGGTTCCAGGCTAATTGGAACATTGGCAAAAAAAAGGGGATGGAAAATCACTCCGACCGAACACAGACCCGGTTTTTGTGTCCAGATCTGCGGGGTCAAACGAGAGAGTGCCCACTTGAAAGGATTTTAGGGAACTGAGCCAGGATGCAGGCCTTGTGAGGGGTGCAGTTGATCACGGCAAACATCAGCTAGCTGGCAAACTCACAACAAACACCTACACCTGACACGATCATCAGGCTGAAATAAACGAACCGATAGAAAACATGAAAATGAACAAATCATTACATCCATGTATATGCAAGGAGAAGGAACTTATATAGAAAAATGGCACACTGCAATCAATACTTTTGCTGCTTGTATCATACTGTATATAACAAAAAAAGAAGTATTTACAAAAACCAATACCCACTATCGCTTGTCAATTTGATTTTTTCTTTTCTTGTCATTTGAAACGGAGCAAAAACATTCTCTTTTGGAAGAGTGGGTGGGAGACATTAATTTTTCTTTTCTTTTTTTAAAATTATTTTTGCTTTTTTTTCCCACCCCCAGTCCCTTTTTGAACCTCCCACTGTCTTGGGATGGCATCTCAGGCGGTGGTGGTTTCATAGTAGTATGGGGGAGTATGGCGAAGGGGTGGAGAGGTGGGGATATGTTGGACAAGGTGGGTAGGAGGGGTGTCCCTCAGGGTCGGGAGGTGGCGGTGGGCTGGTGGGCGGGGTTTGGGGGTGGGATGTGAGACCTGTTGGGGCTTCTCACGCTGTCACTTCTTCTCTCAACTCCTTGTTCCTGCGCACTTCCTGCGCGTGCTTCTCCTGAGGAAAACACAAACACAGATTGATGATGGTTTTTTTCGCTCTGCTGCCAGCGCTTTCACGACATTTGTTTCTCGCTGCCTCGAACATTTGTCTTATTTGACCTTTGCCATGACAGCCCACTTAATTTTTCTTCTCTGCTTCCAGCCCTTCTCCCTCCCACTCACATTTTTCTTTATCTTCTACCCTCTAAGCACAAGATCGTACCTCTGTCAACCTTTTCTACACTCTCTTTTCACAGAGGTTCAGCAGGTGTACCAGCCATTGTCAGTCTTTTTTCAATCCTGCATAAACCTTATTCTGTCTTTTTTTCTTGTCACAGCAGCACTGCTTTACCTTAGAAGAAAAGTATTTAACTGGTAGACTTAACAGATTATTAATCTAAGTCAGTTGCACCATAAAAGCGTACTCTTTTGTAGCTTTTATAGCTGTACAAAGTTATTACATCTCGAGGTGCATGCAGTGAGTGTTTTGTAGCCGACTGAATCAGCCCATCAGTCTATGTTGGCATGGTAACTAAAGAAATGCTGACTCATGTGGCCTTAAAATACAGTTTTATATGAATAGAAAGAATTTGAAGTTGAATTTCACAAGTCATACTTTTGCACAGCAAATTACAAAGCATTACACTTGGGGATGAGTAAAATTGAAGCTTTAAATGCTGCAGAAATGTCAAGGTTTAAAAGTAAGGGCCAGAGACTGTATGATAAAACAGATGACGCAACAGATCTCTAAAAGTGAAGCCAAAACATTGGCGAGGTGATGTGGGTTTATAACTGACAGCTCTGTTGACAAATGCAGCTGCAGCAATGAGCAATGAAGGGTGACCATACATCCTCTTTCACCCAGATATGTCCTCTCTTTGGGGGGGCTGTCCGGCTTTGTCTGGGGAATTTTATAAAATCCTTCAAATGTCTGCGGTTTTGTATGTTAGTTTCGATTTTGTATCACAAGGACTTAGAGAGTTATAAGTGACTTTGTAGGATTCTGTGACTCCGCCCCTGCTTAGTCGTGTCCTCTTGTTGGGAAGTCAAAATATGTACATGCAAGAAATGTTCTGTTGTGGACTATTATTAGTAAATCAAATGTGCGTTGTGGTCAGCAGAGATGGCAGCACATCAGAGGCCAGATAATCTCTATGCATGTCTTGGTCTATAACATGTTTAATCAAATTAGTCATAACGAAGTGTTAGGAAAGACTTGAAAGTACATTTTACAACATTTTACATTAGTGTTGTAAAAAAAACTGTTGCTTATCATTTCAGGATTTAGTCTACCAACAAAGAAATTTAATATAAATATGGTTTGGCCAGAATTTTTAAATAACCTGCAGTTTGGAGGAGGCTTGGAAAACCGTATTTGGACATTATCTACTATTCTGCATTATTACGCTGTTTTACACAGACAACAGAATAAACAAAAGGTTCAAAGTCAAACTAAATTTTTTTCATGGGTTTATGACTTCAGCATGGCTAAATTCCTGGCTTCTCACCCTCTCCTGCAGGCGCTCCATCATGGCTGCCAGGTAAGCCAGCCGGTTCTCCTCATTTTGCTCCATCTTCAGCTGGAGCTTCTCCTCGGCCATGCGGCTGAAGTTGCTGTTCTCCTCCATGGCCCTCAGCAGGACATCACGCTCATGCTCCCGTTTCTCAGCCAGGACCTGGAGCACCTGTGCCTCCTGGGACTGCACAAAAGAAGGAGGAGACCAGCAGCAGAGAAAATGAGTCAGGAAGCGGGGGTCGATAGTGAGACACTGATTTACGAAAAACCAGTCATTGATTTTCTTGGAAATTAAGCACGAGTCAGCGAAGCTGCAATTAATCAGATCAATACACTAATGATAAACACAAAAATGTCCAAGGATTTCACCTCTTGACATCTTCATCGTGTCCTTATATTTTCTAAAATTCATTAAATTCTTTGTTTCTTTAACTGACAGTGTTGGACATATAGTAAGTAAAAATTCAGACAAACTCAATCATTGATTTTGGGATTGATTGGTTGGTGGGCTTCTGGATTTGTCAGCTGTCTCACACTGACTTTACCGACACTCAAATCAATGAGTTGCAGGCTTTGGCCAGTGTCAGAGTGGATTTTTACCCACAATTTGCTGCCTTGTAGTGATGTACAATTAACTTGACAACCAGAAATCAAATTACACAAATATTACGGTAAAGAACTATCACTATATTACTGATGTTGTGTAGAAGGGAGTACACATTAAGCTACCTTTGGCTCCTGCCTTTAATTTAAGCAAAGTGATTCATGGCAGCTGTGTGTTTTGACAGTGATTGGAAGCATCCTTACTCTCCTCCGGTCCTCAGCTGCCTCCAGTTTCTTCTGGATGTCCTCCAGGGAGAGGTCCCTCTTCGGGGGGCTGGTGACGCAATGGCCGCCATCGGACACGGGTGAGGTCGGCTTCAGGATCACCTCAAAGGCCTGGCCCGAGGCTCGCTTGTTAATGGGCTTGATGTCCAGGTCTGCATGTACATTTACAAGAAAGACAGACGTATATAAAAGCCTTTGCTGCATGAAGCTAATTTGATTAGGTAGAAAATAAATAAATAATTAAATATGTGATTACCTTCAAAGTCCCCCATGATGTTCTTACGGCTCTCAGGGTAGAGACAGGAGCAGATGAGGGAGAGAACTGAGATCTCCTTCATCTTCTCTTTGTAAGCTGTGAAAAGAAACCAAGGCTTCATAAACTGAGCACTCACACGTGCTTACAGAAAACATGTTATTAACCTACTAACACACAAATGATTCAACATCTTGAACCCACTCCTTTATTAGTAATTCTTCATCTGATCCCCCGCAATGAATCCATCAAAGGCAGTGCTTCGCTTTGTGTTTCTGAGCCACTCTGCAGCCTTTGTTTTCACAGACAGGGGAGCAGGATGGATACATCCTTGCTTGGCCTAATTTTCCCAACAGCCGAGATGCTGCTGTCCCTGCAGGATTCTCCACACATCATTAGCTATGCATTTCATTTTGGTCTATTATTTATTAACGTTGCCAGGCCAACGCCCATCTTTTCCTCTCTGTGGTTCTCTGGTTAACACCAGAAAACAAACAAGATTTGTTCTGCTTTTTAGAGAATTTTAGAAAGCAAAGACGTCAGGATTAATGGCAGATTTTTGGATAATCTCCGGTTTATTTCTTCTCTTTGTTGTTTCTAGTTTGTGGAAAGAAACTAGCAGCCAAGGTTTAGCTTACGCACAACACAGTAAAGTTACTTTCCTTTTACATCATCCAGAAAATAAACAACACTAACTCACAACCTGCATTGGACAAAGCCTGCAAAAGGCAGACAGTGAAAAAAAAAAAACAGCAAAGAAAAGAACAACCAACCTTGTCTAACCTTGTTTTTTTAAATATTCCTGTGTTTTTGGCACCTGCTACTTTGTAATACGAGCCCAGAGTTCAGCAGCAGTCCCTGCAGGGAGAACGGCAAAAATATCTGCAACTCACTGCAGGTAGTGAATTATTCTGCTTGTGCCCTGAGTGCTCTGTACTGAAAAGGTGCATTGCCTCTGAGTGAAGATTTGCATGGCGGCTGTCATATTACAGCACAATCCATCACCTCGATCACATGCCTGTGGGGCTGAAATGTGCCACGTTGATTCATGATTTGCAGCGGGCTACAGTGGCAAAGCCAGAAATGAGATTTAGTGTAGAGGAGCTTCTCTCTCTGAGCTGGGGTTCAGAGTACAGTATGATTAATCCAAATCCTCCCCCGTACTCATTTTCCCTTCACTCGTCTTTTCTTTCTCTCTCTCTGTGTCTGCCCTGCAGACTGGCAGACGCCGTGGTAATGTGATCAACTCTCAGATGTAGCGCTCACTACTCTCTGATGGCCTTGTTAACCCCTTCCCTGAGGAGGAAGTGGGAGAGGGTGTGAATAAAACTGGAAGAAGAAGAGAGAGGCTGGATGAAGATTAAGGATGGGTTTGGTAAAAAAAAAAAAAAAAGGTGGAAAATGGTGAGTTTGGAGAAAAAGATGGAGCCACCTTTCTGGTATTTACAGACAGAAAGGATTAAGATCCAGCCAAAGAAGGCAGCTCCCTGTGGGGCCCACAGCCACCATAAACTGCCCCCAGGATCTGCCTAATGGAAGCAGCCGCCCCAGGTGGACACTGCTTTAATTTGTAATTAGCGGACTGCACCATTTCCCCTGATGAGTGGGGGGGACCGAGTGTTTGGTGGGTTGTCACAGACTCATTAAGCGCTGTGTACATGTCAAGACCCAAGCAGCCATTTTCTCCCACTCACAGCCCCACTTGACAGCTGAAGATGTGAACAGTTAACAATCCTGTGGAGCAGCTAATTTGGTTTATGCGCTTATGGAGCAGATCAGCAGAGATGTTGGTTCGGTGGTTGTTGGGCTTTAGGCGGGGCTTTTGTGTGAAACAATCAAAGTGTTCTTGTTTCCTTTTGTCTTTTTGGAAAGAGAACTGGGAAAAAAAACTTTCATTTAAAATATCTTGAAAAGATCTAGACACTCTGATGATTAATCCAAAGTTTAGATCTACTTTGTTCAATTATATATGAAAGATTAAGCTCGATTTTTACTGTATCTGCTCTACTGGAGTTAGTCCTCACTATCTTGGAAGATAAGCACTCCTTGTAAATTGAAACCGCTCTCTAACTTAGAGCCATGGAGATTTTCTTTTATATCCTTAATCAAAAATATATGAGATTCTCAACCGTGCAAAAATATAAAATTGCTGCTGTATTTCTCCTGAGAAGACCAATCCTCTCCTTCTCTAACCGCTGTAGTAATAAGCTCATTCCCAGCGGATCGGCTGCATAAAAAAGACAAATGGGCCTGATTGAATTTCCACAGCAGGATGTGTCCCAACACTAGCGTCAGTTCAAAGACTCTTTGTGAGGTTCAGGTGCTTCCATCAAACTGAGACGAGACGAAATGATCAGACATCGACAACACCGCTTTAATGCTTCCACTCCTCCCTCTTTACCCTTGCAGGCTGGTTTCAACCAGTCAGCTCTGCTCCTCTTGTCTTGACCACAGACACACGCCAGCAAACTGCACTTCCTTCCTCTTTCAATCCATCAGCCAGAAAGCACAGGTCATCAATAACTACTGTACAACCCCTGTAAGGCCCCCCTCCCCACCCCCTCTTCCTGAACCTCATGCATCCATGACTCCTGGTTTCATCCGTCCCTGATGCTCTCTCCCCTCTCAAACCCATTTCCTCTATTCTGCTCTCTTTCTCTATTTTTCTCCCACTCTCTCTGCGTCTCCTGGGATCTTAAATTCTGCATCTGCACACTGCACCACACCTCTGTTTCCTACTCTACTTCCTTTATGTCTTCCTTCTTGTCGACTTTCTCCTTCTCTCTTAAAGGCCCGCACTCAACCGCAAGACCTTAACCAAAGAGCTGGGGCATTGTAACATATGAGAAATACTGTTTACAAGGCTATGAGCAAGCTGCCCAGTGTTTTGTAGTGTTTCTTGCCCCTTTGGGTGCCATAACAGAGTAGCAGTATTGGCTTGGCATCTGTGTTTGGTGCATACTGGCACTTAACAGCACGGCCACCTGGCAACAGCAGAATTGGCTATTAAAGGAAACATTACAGCGCCCAGATGATCAAGGGCAGGTTCAGTCATTTAATGGAGAAGAGATGGGCTGGTGGCAACACCCTGAACTGTACCCAGGGTCTGTCTAAGAAGATCTATGTCTGGGGTTGTAAAAGAAGGTCAAATTTGATCATTAGGTACATCTACAGGTGGATAAATGAAATGAAATGGCTTAAGATGATATGTTTATTGTAATAGATAGATATTTAGTTATCGTGATATAAAAGCAATCAAAAGTCACATCCAGCAAGATGTTTTTGATGGAAAATGACTTAAAATACTTTCTTTTTTTATCAAAATAACAATAGAAATTGCTATTTTAAGAAAATGTTACTGTCATTGCAGCGATTTTGTTCCATCCGCTGCAAAGTGAGGTATAAAAAAAATCGGTCCCTGCCAAATTTGTTTGAGAAAGTGTTTAAACGGCCCAGAATCTACAGCCAAACCAGAATGAGCTGTCATTAGTTATATAAAAAAAAAGTGATGAGCAGATCACAAGCTGATGCTGCAGCATCACCAGCGGATTGATGTCACCTCTTCCTTTAAGAGCAGCGGTCATCTGAACCAGGAATGGGAGTGTGCTGCATTGATCGATGGGAGTGGGTGATAAATCAGGATGAATAATGAGGCCAGGAGGGCTGTGAGCGTTACGCACATGATGCAGACTGTTACCAAAGTAGTGATGCGTATGATAAGTTGAAAAATATGCATCCATTTGTCATTCTTGCAGATGGGTTGTATGCTAATTTCCTGAGAGGGCTTGTGTTTCTGTACACAAAGGAATTGATTTTAGGGAGCAGGCTGAGTGACCACACCTTGTTGGATGTGACACGGGTGCATGATAAGGATCAGGAAGAGGGCTTAAAGGCCCAGCACACACAGGAGTACTCCAAGTGAATATATGCAAGGATTATTATACCAACATACAGCAGTAAATATTTATTGATCCATAAAACTTTAGAATTAAACTCCACGTGGGACTCTAAAATATTAAAAGCCGACATGAACTCAATGAACCTGCAGTGTGCTGACAGGCCGACTGCTCACTCCCTCCTGAGTGTCTGCTCCCTGCCTGTGCCGTTCTCCCTGTCCACAGCTCACATCAAGGAGGAGAAGAGGAGGAGGAAAGGGAGGAGGAGGAAGAGGGGAATAAATATAACAGTCAGGGTTTAGTAGCTATGTGTCCCTCAGTGCAGACGCTAGACACCTTACTGCTGTCTGTCTGCACGGCTCTCCATCCATCAAATGTGTAGTTGAGCAGAAAACAAATATTATCTCCCCGACTGGACTCGCACACACCCTCACAAGACTTATCGGCATGTGTGCACACACCTCGAAGCCTACACCCTTTCTTTGATGTTACATAAAAGTATATTGATTAAGCCTGCAGGTCAAGTTGGCCCAGATGCCCAAAATAATGCTCAAATAATCAAATCCACTCAAATATGTGATATTATGAATGTATGAAGGCATGCAACCTGCCATAACATCCCCTCTTAAATGGTTTCTCTCCATATTTCAACCAGCGCAGACGGATTTTGCAGTTCTGGCATCATACTGACCCACATATACAGCCTGTAACCTTTCTAATAGAATTGGAGTCTGATCTTCCATTTTCACAGCCAGTTGTAAATCCTCCCCATGTCTGCAAAATGATGCATTTTTCTTTTCCCTAGTCTCACTCCCATTCATGCCTTCAGCGGTCACAGCACAAAATTTGGAAGAGCAGGCTTTAAAACCACAGCAACACACAGGATGGCCCAGTTTTCATAAGGAGATTTGTCATGGTGAAATTTTTCACACCCTACAGAAAGAAAGAGAGAAACAGAGGAGCAGAGAGAAAGAGAGAGAGAAGGAGAGAGAGAGAGTAGCTGGCTCGCTTTGAAGGGACCGGAGATGTTGGGTGGGGTCGCTGGCGCTGCATTATGCTGCACGGCTCTGAGTCAGGCAATAAGGGGGCAGGTGCGGCATGCAGACATCGTCCAAACAAACGTACTGCTGCGTTTTGGCAAATAGTAACAAAACCCAAACATTTCCACCTTTTTCACAACCAACTGAATGATCATCTTGCTCTAAAATGCCTCAAATCATCCATCACTGAAAAGCCAAATTGAATCCCAATCGGGGTCTTTTTGATCGGTACTAATGAGGCTCCAAGATCAGTCAAAAAATACACAAATGCGCTTTCACCTCGTGCAAAAACACACGGAAAATCTCGAAATGTTGCATCAACTCACGCAACTTAATCTCACTAAAGTGACTTGCAGAGGAGTTTGGCCGCTCCCTCTCACCACCCTCAGCATCCTTTTGTGCCATGGGTGTCGCCTCAGCCTCTCAGCATCCTCAAAAGCAGAGAAACCATGGCTGGATTGACGAAAATATATGTATATACAAAGTGAAAAACTCACCGATAGCGGTCTTGGCCATGTCTGCACGGTGGTGTCGGGGTGGGTTGTCCGGAGGAGAGTGCGTCGGTAGCTGGGTGCTGTTTCTCGGGGTGAAGGGACTGCTGGTAAGGCACTGAGTCAGCAGAGACGGGGGCTGCCGGTGCGCCTGGTGGTCTGTTATGAGCTCGGTCGAGTCAGCGGCACTTAACTAGATGAGAACCGGAAGCGCACTGACAAACACTTTCAGAATAAAAGTCACATATATCCTCAGATTCATACGATATTGAGATATTGCAAACACATCATCTATATACGACCAATGAATCTTATAGCTGATTCAACTGGTGAGGTGATGTGGGTTTATCTCTCTGTATTCCTTCCCAGCCCAGCAGCGGCCTGAAGGCTGTCTAGCATGAGTCTGGTCTTACCCAAGGTTTCTGCCTGTTGAAAGGAAGTTCTTCCTTGCCACTGTCACTCGTTTTAGATGAGATGGGCCAAATCCCATCTTAGGTTGGGTCTTGATAATTCATCAAACATTGAGCGTGGTCTAGACCTGCTCTTTTTCTTTGGAAAGCGTCTTGGGATGACGACTGTTGTGAATTGGCGCTATATAAGTAAGATTTGATTGATTGATTGTTGACAAATGCAGCTGCAGCAATGATCATTACCACAGAAGAGAAACCGTGAAACTCAAGGGTCTGTAAGCTTTTAATAACTTTGAGTGTCTAAATGCAAGAAATTCTTCTGTTGTGGACTATTAGTAAGTTAAATGTGCGTTGGGCTGTGGGATATAGAGATATTGCCAACAAATCATTTATATATGACCAATTATTCTTATAGATGATTCAGGGTTTTGTCATTTTCCACAAAAGGAAGATAAAACTCTTACCAAAGTAAAACTAAAGGAAAACTACTACAGCTTTTTGTTCCCTGACCGACCTAAACGAATAAAACATGTAGCTAATCTAATGAGAACATTATCTTTATCTTTTTAATCAACTCAAATTTCTTTTATACATTTTTAAAACTCATTTTATAGCCTTTAAAATTAACCATGCTCACAAGGTGTATGAGTTTCTGTTTTAAGGTTGTTTTTATTGTATAGTTAATATTCATGGTAGCCTACTTTTCCAGAGAAAACATTGGCTTAACTTACAGTTATGCCTTTTATATACATAGGAGTTGTATTCTGTCGAGTAAGTTTTTCTTTGTTTCCCCAACAAGTAGGACTGGGTGATAAAACAATAATGATAAATATCGATAATCAATTTCCCTCAATATCGATGTGGTCAGTATCCTTTTTGATAGCCGGCATTCTGCCATGTTTTGGTCGACTACATGGATAGCCAATGAAAAACAACTGCGTAGTAGCTGGCTGCAACAACACTGGTGCGAAAACATTGGTGGTGTGGAGATATTTTGGTTTCTTGAGGTTAGAGCAGAGTCGAGAACATGTTAAATTTCATGTAAGAGTAACAGGGAACATTTAAGATTGACAAGTGATTTTTTTATATCATGATACATGTCGATATTGACTGATATGAAAAAGATATGTCATGATAAACCTTTTCCCATATCGCCCAGCCCTACCAACAAGTGAAAAAAGCCATTGATTCAACCAAGTGCATCATCTCCCCTACATTGGTTTAAAATGCACTACATTAATATTGAAATGAAAGACAGGAAGTCCTAGCATTCAATATAACTGACTTGACACTAGGCCAGTAATGAGCGTTGATGTTCCTCCTTCAGCATATTGGCTACTTTACTCTCTTGACGCGCCTCTTAACCAAAGGCCTGACGAATCCACTGTCCCCTCATAAGGGAGAGTTCAGGCCCTCATCAGCGTGGGTGTTTCCCTCTTTGTTCCTGTGCTGATTAGCTCTCTCTGTCCATGGTGCTGAAATGGAGAATGACTCTGGGATTGTTTTAAGAATTTCTAAGACACTCTTTTCTCTTGACATTGTCACCAAATTTAGGATTGAGGAATTTATTTCCAAAATAAGCCTTGTATGTTGATGTGATTTATAGGGACTCAGGATGCAGTAGGTTTACAAGCAGCTGCAAACCCATATCTTCTTTGATGGCAACCTTAGCATGGAGTACCAAATATAGGTTAATCCATACTCAAAATCAGCTTTCCATATCATACCAGGTAGGCTACTGGGTACTACCTCTTTACTGCAAGAAGCACTGATGATCAAACCATAACCATAAAAGTACATGGATGGAGTAGGTCAAAGAATAAACAGTAGATGGCAGCAGATCTCAAGTTAAACAGAATGTGATGACAATGAACAGTTTTTTTCTTCACAAACACATAGGATATGAGATTGTTTTCCACAATGAACCCTTCATATTAATTACGTCCTCTTTCATACAGTTTGATGCAGCCGTGAAAGCTGTCTTAACTGTTTTCACCCACTTCTGACTCCACTCATTGGCATACTTTTAAGCACCACCACAGTTCAAACCCACTCACCACAATGTTTCTTATCAGAGAGCATGTGTTTGTAGAGCCATGGTAAAGCAGAACTGTTGCTGCTGTTGTTTGAGACCAAACACAAATATAGAGAGTGCGATGTTGTGGATGGTCACTGATTAACCAAAGCTAGCTTTAACTGTTGTTTACAGTGGCTATGCTGTCTTTGTGGGGCCTACAATAAACACTGAAGTAGCTCTGTATTAGGGACAGTGACTGCAGAGATGGTTAATAGAATGTAGTCTGACCAAATACCAAAATAGATATTTAACCTTAGAACACCCGACCAAACATGTTTACGGGATTTTCATTATGTTGCGTTCGTCTAAGTATCATGGGTCCCTGGCTAGCTTCAACATTGCCTCGAACATCTTTGAAGGCATATTTGTTTCCCTGATTGAAAACCTGTTTTTCCTACAGGCACGTGTTTGGGTGATTTTCACCTAGCAATAGTGATAGAGGGTAAGTAGGTTTGGGTGGATTTGATAGCTGCATGTAGGCGAATAAGGTCAGTAAGAGTGATCCTGGAATTTGCATGCTATCTTTATTTAGCACAGTGGTTATAAATAACTATCACAAAGTAGTGATTTTTAAGGGAATTCATATGGTAATGAGAAATATTTTTGTCAGCTGGTCATTTTTACTCACTCAAAATATCCCATAATATGCCATATTTTGCTTCTCTCTCCTGCAGCTGTAATTGCGCCAAGAACCCTAAGTCTTCACCAGGGAAGACTCACATGCCCCAGGAATGGGTAGAAAAGAAACTAAGTTTACATTTGAATTTTTTGTTCATGAATGCCTAATTTCTTTTTCTTTTCTTTTTTTTTTTTTTTTTGCTGCATTTTTGTATGGTAGCCTCATGGCACTTTTTTTGTCCCTTTAGACATTGCACAGTTCAAAATAAAAGAAAACTACTTAAATTTGTCATGTATTACTCTATTTTAATGTGTTTTGATGACTAGTACTTTTCTTCGTATATTATTTCAGGTAAAAATCACCTGGCGATAGTGATGTTATTACTAATTTTAGTGACAGTGTTCTAGGGTTAAGATGAAAGTATAAAACATAAAGCATATGAACTCAATGTCAAGGAGAAGTAGCCCATATAAGGCCACTAGATATGATAAAACAATATGAGTGGGAAGTTTGGGTATCAATAAAGCAGCAGCTTTTACAAGAAATAAATAACAAGACTGGAATAAATTTTATCCAATCAAAGTAAAATAAACAAGTTGTGACGCACAAAATATAAACAGACACAGGTCTGTTATTGCATATCAACCGTTGCCACGAATAGCAGCCCACCTGTGTGACATCATCACTGTTCAAACGTCCATCCACGCGTTAAACTACTGCCGCTTGCCTGATTTTTACCGCGCCGTGACAAATGGAATCAGCATTTTTATCACTGCCTTCGTTAAAAAAGGTGACGTAGCCTTCTCGGTATAAATAGTCATTTTTTTCTGCGGGTGACGCCGTGTTCCCCTCGGTTTGTCGGTAGGCGGTACCGGGGCCCTCCCGTAGGACTGACGAAGATGAGGATGAGGAGGGGCTAACCGCAGATGTTTACCGCCTGTGGATTTACCAAAGTTAGTCCCACAAACCAGAGACGCTTCAGATGTGAAGCCTCATGCCCCACTGGAGGAGAGGAAGCTTAACTAAGGTGACTGTTTTCTCTTAAAGTTTTAATTATTAAAACACGCCTAATTACGCCCCGAGCTGTTAGGCGGTGAAACGGCGGAGCGGAACAAACACATCTGACGGTTACCGTTTTACATATAAACCGACGATTATGTGTTACCGTCTGCCGTTAGCATGTTCATCTGTAGCATCATATATGTTATATCTGCTTGAGGCTCTGCTAGCTGTGTTAGCAGCACCGCAAACCCACCGAACAGCGAGTTTTACACGGATACTGATTGGGGAAATGCCGGCACGAGATAGTTCATTAATTAACACTCAGGCTGTGATAGGCGGTTTAATTGATACTCCACTGTCCACCCTTTGGTTGGCACTAAGTGGGGGCTAACGACGCTATCAATCCATGCGGCGCTAATCATGATGTGGGACACGGGAGGATGTTAACATTACTGTGGGTCACGCTCTGGCTGAATTAACATAACTTTAAAGCTTTTTACTTAAAAGTCAAGAAGTCTCCATCAACAAACGTCCTGTAACGAAGTTTGTGTCCACGTCTCCATCCCGTCTGGTCTGCGCCCTGATTGCTTCATGAGGACTTTAAAAGTAGAAACTTAGGTCATACAACAGTGAGGAAGCTGTGTCTAAACGTGTAGTTGCATTGCTGGAAAAAGTAAAAAGAGTACTTTATTCTGTTTTCTCTTAATCACGGGGTTGAATTAAGCTCCATTCAGAGTTCATGTGGTTGTAAGAGGTCATTTCCTTCAAGTAAGTGTCTTTTTTTTCAGCCTGAACAGAGACACTTAACTGCAGCAGCCATGTTGGCTTTAGAAGACAGACCAGATGCTCTTGTAATTTCATTGCAGGGCTAATAGGACACATGGTGCTTGTCCCCCACCAGGCTCATTGTTTTTTTAAGTGATTGCAATAGAAAATTTGTTTCTAATGGAAGTTTTAGTCAAAAAGAGGATGTTATACACAGCCTAGCAATCATATTTTTGCCAATTAAATCAAATCAGGCACCAAAAAGCATAGTGTAAATATGCTTAGTACAATATGATCCCCCCTAGGACTGGGGGATATATTGATATTAGAAATATATTGATATATCGAGTAATTTTAGTCTAAAAGAGGTCTAATAGATGTCTAAATGTAGCCTAGAGGACTGGTCTAAAATCAGGCCACCACGGGTCTAAAAATGAAAGTTTTTCAGACGTCTAAATTTAGACCAAGTTCAGACTAAATCTCAATCTGGGCTATATCTATACTTCACTGTATATTAGGGCTGAAACGATTACTCGAGTAACTCGATTAATAAAATTCCTCGAGGCAAATTATATGCCTCGAGGAATCGTTTAAATCCGGAACCATGTGCAGCGCACGGTGTTTGACACGGACGGTTATTTCTGTTGCGCAGCAGCGTGCTCTTTCCGCTCCTTCCGCTGCCGCGCGTTTCATAGACATAATAAAAGGGTAGACCCCGCTGGGGGTGCTGCGCAGCGAGAAATGCGGCCACCATCTTGGTCAGGTCAAGCTTCCCATACGCTCCGGTCAATCATATTCATTCATTCAGCGATGCCGGAGCACTGTGCGGCGTATTCCTGTGCCAACAGGCGGACAGCAGAGAACAGGGCTCAAGAAATAACTTTTCACAGTTATGATTAAACGTTTTTTAAACATTACACTTGACTGTAGAGTCATTTGTAGGCCAAAGAGGAAGACTATCGGTCAACTCCAAAAAGGAAACAGCATTTGCGAACAGCTAGCTTATTCACAATAATAGCAACTTTGGTCGATTATCAACAGATTTGCATTAGATTGAAAAACTTTTGTTTGAGAGAGGTTCTAAGAAACGTTAAGAAATAAAATAGAAAGAAAAAGGAAGAAAGTGAGCTCTGTTTTATTATCTGTTTTATTAAAGATTTCTTTGTGGTGATCTCCTGTTTCATTTTGAAGATTTCCTAAGGACAAAAACTTGAGGAAGAAGTGGGAGATTGCTGTTAGAGGGAGAAATTCGCAGCAAGTGATTCCTCTGTGCTGTGTAGCCAACAAGCAAATTGATATGTAGTTTAGATGCTGTCCTGTCATGCTGTTCTTGTGTTTAAATCTTTTTGATATGTAGGCTATATATTTGTGTGTATTTTCCAGTTATTAAAATAGTGCTTCTATATGACATTATTTGTGTGTGTCTACAAATGGATAAATAAAATTAAACAATATAAAAAATTATAATCAAATCAATATATATTGAATTGGCCTATTAATACCGCCAGTTATTAATAATTATTGAGACATAGCAGGAACCTAGCTCTAAACCTAAATATATCCTTGATTAATTGTTATACTATAATACAGCCACTGCTGCCATGTTCTAAAATATCATTTTATTCATTCTGAGTATTTGAAAACGCCAAAAAAAAAATATGGCCTCTATCATGCCTCTTTGAATGGCGTTTGCAGGGAAGAAAATAACGTAGTATTGAGCGAACTATGATTCATTAATGCGCTCAGACTTCATTCCGCCGGTTAAACAGCGGTGCAGAGTGAGGCGGATGACCGGACCAAGATGGCGGCCGCATTTCTCGACAGCGCCCATTCGTGGTAGCGGCCGATGCGGGGTCTATCTTTTATTATGTCTACGGCGCGTTTGGTTCAATCATGGAGGGAAACGAGGACAGACAGAGAGAGGAAGAAAGAGATGACACGCAGAGGAAACGGCAGAAAGTGTCTAAAGTGTGGGACCGTTACACACTGAAAAGGAAAGAAAACGCCGTGCAGTGCGTTTACTGTAAGGCGGAGTTGGCGTTTCACAACAGCACGTCGTCAATGCTGCAGCACCTTAAAAGAAAACACCCGGTCCATGCATTAAGTCCGCTCTGAGGCAAACGTGATTCAATGCAAAGTATTACAGTGAGAGCAAAACATTTCTTATCCGATTACTCGATTAATCGACAGATTAATCGATAGAGTACTCGATTACTAAAATAATCGATAGCTGCAGCCCTACTGTATATTGCTCAACAGCTATCATAATTATTTTGGTTTAGTACTTGGGGATCAGATATGCAACTCACAGTTGCTTTTTGAAATAAATAGTTATCTAATAATGGGTTAAAGTGAAATGTCTAAATTCTGTCTAAAAATATACAGAATCTACATGGTTGTCTGTCCTCTGATGTCGACCTCAAGACAGCAGTAACTGTTTATCAAAGTAAAAAATAAAGAGGGGGAAATGTTTACTGAATTCATAGTTTTGTGCGACTGGTTGAGACTGTTAAGAAGATTAGAAAGACAGACAGGTAATCTCAAATTTTCTTTAACTGAGCACTTTATTTTGTTCCGTCTTTATACATGTAAATGCTGCCCTTACTAGGGTTTGTCATATTTAATTCTTTTGTGGTGTTCGTTATTTGCATCTGTGGATTTGTTAGAGAGGAGAAGAAAATCAGTAATTTGATTTTAATAGGCCATTTATAGTTGTCAAAATATTGACGCTTTTCTCATATAAATACATTTATTTCAGAAAAAGATTGAAAAAAAGAGATATATTTTTCATTTAAATGTTTGGTCCATATCGCCCAGCCCTAATTCCCTCTAAAAATAGAGACTGTGTGGTAAATTATAAACAAATTTTGATGGTTTGCGAATTGTTTTTGTCTTAAATTAGTGCACTGTGGTGTGTAAAAACTTTCTCTTACCACTGTGTTGCATCACCTCTTCTTTGGAGTGAGGTGCCATCCCATTTCTGCTGATAGAGGATTTAACTCGCTGAACAGGCCCAGATCCCCTTTGCCAGATTTTATGTTTTATGATGCGCCAAATGTTTTCAACGGGTGACAAGTTGGGACTGCAAGCAGGAGAGTCTGGTATGTAGAGCCATGCTGTTGTAACACAAGGAGAGAGTGGTGTGTTGCTGGCTTCTGATCTGCATGCTTAGAACAAGCCAGGTGGTCCTTCTCCTCTTTAGAGTGGAGGATGCATCATTCATGATTTCCAATAAAAAAAATACATAAAAGAAAAAAGCTAAATTTGAGTCATTAGACTACAGAGCAGTTTCAGTCCATCTTAAATGAACTTTGGTCTACAGAAGTCACCTGTGTTTCTGGGTCATGTTAGTAGACGTCATCTTTACATGTTACAATTTGAACCTGTCGTTGTGGATGCAGCATTGAACTGAGTTTACATGCTGTGATTTCCACCCGAGAGTCATGTCTGTTTTTAATGCAGCACTTCCTGAGAGCCTGAAGATAACCACAGATCTTTAAGTTTTTGCCTTGTTCCTTTTGTGCCGCGGTTTCTCCAGAGTACTCCTTAAATCTTTATTGATTTGACATGTTAAGGATGACAAAATTCTCAACTTCTTAGTAATTTTACACTTAGGAACATAACTCTGATATTATTTAATGATTTGCCTACACAGTCTCTCACAAAGTGGTGAACCTCTGCCCACTTCCATACCGATACTGACCGCACTCTGAAGTGATGCCCACAGCTGAATAGAGCACTTTAAATGAAGATGTAGGGAATAGTTACAACCCAAGGTACAGGAAAGGGAATTTGCTTGCAACACGTTTGTTTTTTGATTTACAGGACACAAGTTTGAGGAATCAGAGGCACAGCAGATTTGATGGACAGGCAGGCACTCTGTAACCATTTGTGAGAAGGCTAATAATTCTGTTTCAGAAACTGATGGGTAAAATCACGGACACTACATTGAGTTATTATACAGTTTTTGGTCTAACTGCAAAGTTAGGTCTTAATCCACTGACTGTCACAGAAGCAGGAAGTTGATGTAACCATGGCTACATGCCATACAAATAAAAGGCAGTTTACATAAATAACCATTCGGCAGACTCACGAAAGTCCCTCTGCGGTAGGAAGAATATTCCCTTGGTGGCGTTTCTGTTTGTGTACACATCACATTAATATTCAATGGAATTCAAAGCTTGTAGATTTTAATATCTCTGAAGTTGTTTTATTCCTATCTTGGTAAAAGCAGTTTCTGTCTGTACATAACTTTAAACTATGCGGCGTCTGCTGTGACAGTTGATAAAGGGTGTGAAATCCGGTCAGTAAGCCAGCTGTTAGAGGGTCTGACATCCCACTCTCACTCTGAAAATACTCTGAAAATTTGGCCGGCGGTCCATGTGATGGACCCTCAGAGCAAAGACTCAAGCAGAGGGAAGTGTGTTTTGAAAGGTTGTCGGTGTGGTTTTGGAGAGGCCCACTCAGTCTCTAAATGCTCTCTTCATACCCAGTCATGGTTCTAACCTGTAAGATTGCTTGACAGTATAATTACTCTGTAAAAAAAAAGAAAAGACATAAATAGGAGCATCTGGAAATCAGTAAGTGTTGTTTTGCACAACATTTCCTGTGCGCCGAAATGTTTCAGACACATAGTCAGTGGATTGGTTGTACTTAAATGAACATACTATAGTAGGGATCCTGAACACAGTGCTGAAAAATGTGACTCCTGGAATGTACAAATTGCTCACTGTTAATTTGTGCAGGATTGTTCAAAGGCACCATGTTCATCTGGTTTTAAAGAAAAGACCCATACTAGCGTTTCTGATGTTAGAAGCCAGTCCCATGATCAGCTTGACCATAAGAAATGTTTCAAAATGTCCCCTCACCGTGTTTACTTAGTGGATTTAACATTCTTCTCTTCAACGCCGATTACCAGCCAGTCAAGCCGGTTTACATGTATAATTATTGAGTGATTTACAGGAGGTTCAGGATGCAAAGGCTTTTGGCTGTATGCGCAGTACAATCCCATCTCTTATTGGAGACTGTCTTGGATTGGAGCCAACTGTTACATCTTGTGTAAAGTTACGTTTTTATTGTGTAAAAGTGATTCAAAACTGTAGTAGCTGAAATACTGAGTGACAGTTTTTTTTTCTTGCCACACATGTTGTGTCATTTGTCAGCAAGACTGATGATGGTCTCTGTGTTTTGGTTTCAAACAAGGAAGGAGCACAGGAGGTGGGTGGGTTCATAGAGTGTTCACTCATTCTGCAGAGCACAATCGGCTTTTCAGGTAGAAATATAACCACCGTCTTATTGTTCCTGAAGAAAGCCAGGTAAAGATTTAATTACAACCCGATTACAGGTAGAGGTAAAACACAATCCATACAGCAAAACCCATGCCTAAGATCTTGTGTGTGAACACTATGTAGAGTTATAGTTCAAGTCAGTTCCTCTTGGTGTCTTTTTATAGCAGGGTGTTTCATGCAGTCTTAAATATCTTGTCATCGTGTTTGTTCAGTGTTTTGAGGTGTCCGGACCGCTCCACCCTTTTTTTTCACAGCTGCTTCCCAGAAGGATAACTTTGGTTAGTTGCGGTTAAATTTGGACCCACACACTGCTGTGTGAATCCAAGGCATTCCTCTGAACAGCCTACAGGACATTTATTTACCTCGGGCCCTGGACAAAGCTGAGAAAATACTTTTCAGACTCAAAACAAGTCTTGTTCAGAGAGTTTGAGCTGCTCTCCTCAGGTCGTAGATACCGGTGCCACACCCTCATTAAGAACCGGTCCAGGCAGTCATTTGTACCACAGGTGATCTTACAATTAAATAAACTAAAATAACTTTGAGCAGCTTTTATTTTTAGATTCTGGTTCAGCTGCTCTGAGAACACATATTAACTATTAAGACTATTTATTGGAATACTTTCTAGATATATTTAGATTTTTTTATCTGAGAAAATAAAGTACAGTAGTATTTTTATATTGTCTTTACTGAGTTGTTTGTTTTTATGTGGGACAGTATATGAATTTGTGTCTGGCTGTTGTCTTTGTGTATGTTTTTTTCAACTCACTGCAAATGAATTTCCTCACGAGGACAATAATTTCAACCTAACCTAACCTGAATACACTCCTTGTGAACTTGACTGTCATGGTGCTTCAAGCAGGGCATGTGCTTATACTAGAAAAGTTTCTCAGTTAAATAGAGCCTTATGTTGTCTAGCTTGTTAAATTTTCCTTTTGGCATTCCTTTGAATTGTTTGACTGTGACGACCCACATATTTCAGATGATCATTTTGATAATCCAGTATAGAAAATAAATGAAAGCGCTTCCTGATAGCCTGTTTGCAAAGTAGGGGTGGGAGAAATAAAAGACCCAGCATAGTATTGCAATATTTTGTCTGGTGATATATATCGTATTGTCTCATTTACCAAGTATCGATTTTTCAAATTAATTGCTAATATAAAGTCAAATCTATGACAATGGAAAAATAAAGTCAACTGGTTGTCGAGTGAGATTGGTTAGAGCGGGAGAAAGCCAAATGCTAAGATAGCTAAACAGTTGAAAAAATTGTATAAATCGCAATATATTGTATCGCAATATATTGTATTGCAATACTCACTGTATTGCAATAATATCGTATCGTGGCCCAAGTATCGTGATAATATCGTATCGTGGGGCCACTATTGATTCCCACCTCTATTGGAAAGGCAAGTAAAATCTATAGGTAGGCTACATAAATGCTAATATTCTAACTTATTGAAATCACCAGTTTCTCTCAGGAGAGCGAGGAGGAGTTACATAGTATGTTCATGAACTCCTGTGATTGCATCAGCTCTAAACGGGGATTGAGAAGCAGCGGATTGAAAGTACTGCTTCAGGTCTTTTGAAAACCGTAACATTGCTTGTTCTGTGCCGCTCAATCTCATATGTAAATCGACTCATAAATCTAAAAAGGCTTTCAGTTCCTCCATTCACAACCATCTGGTTCCTTTTTCACGTTTACCTGTAAGATTTCTTTAGTCAAATATGGTCTTTTTGCTAGCTCTCTGACTAGTTTTTCCACTGTTCAATAGCTCCACAGTTTTTCGTAATTTGTAGGTAATTACCTTAAAAGTTCTCTGCAGCTCTGAAACTAAAAGTTTTATTGGCAGGTGTGATATGTCAGTCATTTCAGCACACTGTAATTTGCTCAAAGAATCCATTAGACTCTTTAGGTTTAAGTATGCTATCAGATAGGTGCACAGTACAGTATTAAATGTATTTAGGCTGTTCTGAATAGATTTCTTCTAATATTGTTCGAGAATGAATGAATGAAATGTGAGAAGCACCTTCATGACAACTCCTTTCTCTGTTTTTCTCACAGATCAACCCAATGGAGGATTAATCCCAGGATCCTACAATGCCTGAGACCTGCACATTCTTAGCCTTCCACTGACACTCCCACCTCCCTTTTTTATTACCGGGGTCCCCACCCTGCTTCTCATTTGTCCAGTATTTATCCTTTGACCCTAACTCAGCGCCTGGTGCTGCCAGGAATCAGTCTGTCCTCATTATAGTTCCACATCACTCCCCTGGTACCTCTCTCCGGTCGAGGCTGAGGGCTGTAAATCCCTCAGAATGGTTGCCGAGGCAGACTCTGCATCTCAGTGTAGTGGCGTACGGCTGAAGCAGGAGATCTCCCTCCTCCATGGCGTCTGCCTTATCGTAGGAAATATGATAGGCTCTGGCATCTTTGTGTCACCGAAGGTAAGAGTTGTTGCTTTGTTGGGCCATAGTAGTTTTGTCTTCCTCTTTAAATGACAGGACATTAAACCAAGTCAAGCAAAGACACGGATGCTCAGTCAAAGCTAAACAAAACCTGATACCACTCTTTGTTATTTTTGATCTTGCAGGGCGTTCTTATGTACACAGGCTCATTTGGCCTGTCTCTTGTAGTGTGGGCCATTGGAGGGATATTTTCTGTGTTTGGAGCGCTCTGTTATGCTGAGTTAGGCACAACCATCCGTAAATCTGGAGCCTCCTACGCCTACATCCTTGAGGCTTTTGGAGGGTTTTTAGCTTTTATTCGGTATGTATTTATCTTTCATTTTTGAATCAGTGGACACAATTTTAATAATCATTGATCATTTGTTGTTCAATATTTTTTAAATGTTGTATTCAAGGTTGAAGGTAAACCTAATTATCCTTGTGAAGGGTGATTTGTTTGGCAGCCAACAGGAAGCTAACACTATTAAAACCATAAAAAACAAAAAAAGCATTTCCCCATACAAAGACAAGAGATAACAACACAATAGACAGTGGAGGGAGTCAAAGCCAGGTAGACCATGACTCTGTGTAATTGTGGTCTTTGATCCCATCACAGGTTGTGGACGTCATTGCTGATCGTGGAGCCAGCTTGCCAGGCAGTGATAGCTCTGACCTTCTCCAACTACCTGGTCCAGCCTTTCTACCGCACCTGTTCAGCCCCCTATGACGCTGTCCGCCTCATCGCTGCCGCCATCATATGTAAGGCTCACCCTCTGCATGCAACACATTTGTATGCCCTGCTTGAACTCTTGGGTTTGTGTTTGTATTAGCTGTGACCTGGGGCCTGTTCTACGAAGCAGGATTACTGCTTAGCGAGGTAACTTTGAGGGTAAGTTCAGGGTTTCCTGTTCTACGACGCGGGTTCACTTCTTAGCATGGCGAGTCTCCATGGCAACGCTTAACGGCTAACCTGCTCCGGGGCAGGTTAGGTTCCAGATTGAACTCACAGAGTATAAAAAACCCCGCCCACTGACCGATGAGCTCTCTCGAAAAATGGCTTGTCCGTTCTTGGAGGATCCTATAGACCTCGGTGCTCGCATTGTCCGAGGAGCACTCCGGCGCGTGAGAGTTTTCAGGGACCGCACGGACCCACTTACTTTTCCGGATGACCACCTTTATGAAAGGCCTACATATCACACAAAAAATGTAAACACGATAGGAATGAACAAATGAATGAATTCATCTTGGAAATGAATGAGACATGTCTGGCGCATGTTAAAAGCACATGGTAACTAAACTTGGTAACTGAAACGCTGGTATCTCGGGTGTGACGTCATTTTCAGCTCTGACATCTGACTTCCGAGGTAACTCGAACATAGCATAAGTGTCAACGGTGAGAGTCACTGTACAGATGATGGGATCTTCAAATGTAATTTTAAACTCCAGCATCGTTTCAAAGGCTGAGAAGAACAATAGTTTCATTTCATGTGTGTCTCTAGTTAGTACTAACTTTATTTTTATCACCAGGGTAGTGCCGATGTTTACTGAAAGTGCTGAGCTTGCATTAAAGGGCTTCTACTATAATTAAGTTATTTGTCTAAATAAATGAATTATGTTTATTTATCGGATTATATGTACCACAAATAATTAACCATGTGTTAGTCTGCTTATTTGTGCTTCCTCTTCATTAAAGTCGGTGTCAAGATCAGATCAATTGAATCACAGCAAATGTGTTCTGTTTTTATACACAGAGGATTAAGAAAAGGCTTTCTCCACTGAAACCCGCCCTGTGTAGGTTTTGTTGAATGTTGCTGCTGTTTGCTCAAGCTAAACTTCTTCAAAGCTGTTCCTGTAAAGTATTAGCAAACTGTCTAAGGAGGAGTGTAGAGGGAGCTCTTAACAATAGCTGAGAGGGAAAGTCGTCAATGACAAGCCACATGTATTTAAGGAGGCTGTGTTTGAACAGTTGGTGTGGAGTTGATGTTATCAGTCATGTTACACTCAAAACCGAGCACACTCAGTTTAACCAGATAACACACCGTCTGTGGCTTTTGCAAGTTTTCCAAACATTAATGCTATTTGTGGTGTTAATTCCACAAAATTAAGAGTCAATCATGTGTCAAAATGGGCAGTCACACACAGATCGCTTTCAGTCTGGTGTGCTAAAGCTTTGTAATCTCAAGAGATAAAGGGTTGAGCTGAAATAAAAATACACCACAGATATAATCTGTGCTTGTGTGACAGACTAGGGTCATCAGAGCAGTCTGCCAGCTGGTTTAAAGGTGGAAATCCTTTTGTGACTGATCAGCAGTTTGTCCTCTGTGCACATATATAAACCGTTTAAACCAGACTTTCTAGGTTTATAAATAAATTCTCCCTGCCCCCATCCCACCTCTACTATTTCACTATATCAAATGTACAGTGTATTTTTGTATATCAAAGTCCTGTCCTGGAGTTCATTACCCTTAAGAGCTATTATTCATGTTGGATAAATTCATCAAAGGGTTTTCCTGTCAGGAGTTTATGTTTTTAGATCTGCTGTGGTCATGATGTGGTCAAGAGTCAACTCTAACAGCTGTTTTCTCACTCTCTCCATCAGGTTTGCTGACTTTTGTGAACTGTATGAAAGTGAAATGGGGCGCTATTCTTCAGGTCATCTCCACGGTGGCTAAAGTCCTGGCTCTGATCGTCATCATCATCACTGGCCTGGTGAAGCTGGGACAAGGTTGTCATTAAATGTCATAGAAATAGTCTCTTTCTAAACTAAATCTATTACATTAAGTTATCCAAGCGTCTTAAATAGTTCCAGTGGAGGACTTCTAAATTTAGCATTTTTGCAGGGAAGTTTTCTAATGAACTAAAAAAAAACGCATCTGTAAAATCCCGTAAAATGGTTATGCTGTGCTTGCTGAATGGTGTAAATAATGCAGTTTGAGTTGAATTTAGGAGTCTTGTTTGAATTCTCAATTTTTATTACATTTAAGAATGTTTGGCAGTTTTCATCAATTATTGTCAGGATTATTTCTTGTACTCAACTGAGTCTTACTGCTAAAATACTCAAAGGCATGCTTGTCTTGTAAATGTCAAAAATACAGATAAAACACCAGGTAGGTTGTATTTTAAGTACATAGAAAAAAGCCTTTGATGATAAAACCAAGAGGAAAAAAAAAAAACTTCACAATGACCTGTGTTGATGTAACAACCCTGTGTTTGGGCAGGTTTTGACCAGAACTTTGAGGACTCATTCAAAGGGTCCAAGCTGAACCCAGGAGACCTGGCTCTGGCCCTTTATTCAGCCCTCTATTCCTACTCCGGCTGGGACACACTCAACTTCATCACAGAGGAGATTAAAAACCCAGAGAGGTATGAGGTTCGGTATTTTAGATGGATAAATATTTAATTCTGATGACATCCGTTTACTTACTGATATTACTGAAGCTTGTTAAGAGGTAAAACCAGTGCTACATAAGTTCTGACTAAATCAAGAAATCTTCTATCATTGTAAAGTCTCTACTTCATGCTTTAAAGCAACATGTGAATTCAGAGTTATGTTGTCGTAATCTAAGTGAGACTTTGATCATTCAGTCCACTTTTCTCAATTTCCTTATAGGAATCTGCCTTTGTCCATCGCTATCTCCATGCCAATCGTGACGGTGATTTACATTTTGACCAACGTGGCTTATTATGTCGTCATGGATGCAGATAAAGTGCTCACCAGTGAAGCCGTTGCCGTGGTGAGTCGATCAGCCTCGCAGCAGCAGCAAGTTTCGATCGCTCCCTCTTGTCGTCTGTCGTCATCTCTCTCAGTCTGGCTGTCAGCCACATGAACCGGTGTCTCCTTCATTACTCGCCCTCTGTCATCTCTGACTGGAGGAGTGGAGATGATGACAGGAACATCATTTAGTTAAAGAGGTTAGCGCCCCACACAGGAACATCAGGAAGTTGATGATGCGATTAGTGCATTGGAGGAGGAAGAGTTGTACACAGGCATGTTGACAATGGTATTTGCTAATCTTTTTAGTGTATTCATTCATATGGTTCACTAATCCGACAGGCTACAGGGCTTTCTGCTGTCTTAATGACATGACGGTGAGCTCTCCTGCTTTGTGACTTTGTCATATATGAAACAGGTTTTTGATTTTCAGTCGTGCCAAAAACAGTTGAAGTCAGACCTCTTCTGCTCCACACACACAAACCAAAAACTTTTCTTTACTTTTTTCTTTTTCTAGAAGTTGTTTGGTCTATCAAAGTCTGGAGTTGGGAAAACATCCTTTAGTCAAAACCCAGGTTAATGTCCTCAAATGTCTTACTGTATTTGTCCACCACACATGATACTCAATTTCCTGTTGTGGAGCTGCATCTCCACATTTAAAGTCCCACTTTAAAGTGGTCTTTAAATTGTGATTTAAGTTTTTATCAAAAATCGCGTTACCTGTGTTACTTTCAAGGGCTTTTCTTCTGCAGAGCTCCAGTAGCTCATTAGCAATTCACCTCTGAGTCGTAGGCAGAGACAGCGCTGCTCTGCACACTCGTCTTCACGTTAGCTTGCAGCCTAACATTGCTGGTGTCGTAGAAGAAGCAGGTTACATAGGATTTATTCAGCTCTTGGACACAAATGTCTTTAGAGACATGATGAAAGCTAATATCATAATTAGCTTTCTTACGAGCATCGCAATAGGCTAAGGCACACGCTTGTTCTGCGATCGTCCTTTATATGCAGAGTGTGGCCTGCATAGCGGGGCTCCAGGGGCGGAGCTTGGATTGGTTACATATGAAATCTCACTTTATCTGAACCTGCCGTTTGGGTCTGCCAGAGATTCACAACGGTTTGAATGAATAAATAATCAGAAAAGCAATTTCCCATTTAGTTTTCTCACGATATGTCCTGTAGCATCAGAAAAATGCCATATGAACATATTTAAAAAAAAAACAAACACGATTTTCATCGGAGTGGGTCTGTAAGGGGCCAAATTCAAAGAATAAATAAAGTGTTTAACTCTTGAATTAGTTTACCAGAGTTGTAATCGAGCCCTGACTCTGCATCATACTCTTACTTGTTGTGACCCTTCGAAGAATGCCGAGCTTTTCCCAGCTACAGACTCAGGGCACTGCCAAAATGTAATGGCCTCCTTCCACTTTCTAAATTGCAGAAGTAACTCTTGGGGAGGATTACAGCTAAAGTTACAGGTCACACTGACCTCCTCAGCAAATATTATCTCACACTCCAGATGGCAGGATGGCAGGTGGAGCTGTAAACCGAGTGGAATTAGGAAGTTAAACAGAAAAGTGCACATCTGTTTCAGTTGTGGGCGCACACACGTCTGTGCCTCTAGGTTGAGTCATTGTGATTTTAAGATAATGAACAGCTGATCCTACTATTGAATATATGTGAGCTGTAAAGGCTCTGATGAATGTCTCCTCAGACATTTGCAGATGAGGTGCTGGACTGGGCTCGATGGCTGATTCCTCTGTCCGTTGCCATTTCCTGCTACGGCGGTCTGAACTCCTCCATCATCGCCGCCTCCAGGTTCGTCAACACGAGCGCATCCAGAGCAGCTCTGATTAGCTCTCCGCAGCTCTGCTGTTTTGAGCCGTTACTCCACAAACATCTATATTTGCCTGACAAATTTGACATTTTAAAACTAAAACTATAAACAAACACTGACTTTTTTTTTTCTCCTGCAGGTTGTTTTTTGTCGGTTCAAGAGAAGGGCACCTGCCGAATGTCCTGTGCATGATCCACATCAAGCGTTTCACTCCGATTCCAGCCCTGCTTTTCAATGTGAGTATTTTTAAAATGAAACAGAATATCTCTGGATTCCTGTGACCCTGACGTTTGTTTTACTTTCCGTCTCCTCTCTTTTTAGGGTGGCATGTCTCTGTTCTACCTGTCTGTTCCTGATGTATTCCAGCTGATCAACTACTTCAGTTTCAACTACTGGTTGTTCATTGGACTGTCGATAGCCAGCCTGATCTACCTTCGCTTCAAAGCTCCAAATATGCACAGACCTGTGAAGGTAAAAGATCGACACGGCTTCAGCACACATGTTCATGAGTCACAGGGACAGCCTTCCAGGCACATGAGTGGTATGAAACCTGCAGAGACACGAAACATGATTTTAACCGTCAACTGTAGTGTTATGGATCTGGGAAATTAGGACCCCTGAAACTTTGAACACAAGTTTTAAAGGAGAAATCACAGGTCTCAAAACATTTCTTACTTTCAAGTTTGATTAAAAAAGAAGCCAAAATTATTTTCAGAAAATGGTAATGCTCCTTCTAACCGCTAAAGCCAAGAAAAGTACAAATTTAGAGTATTTTCCCCCCTTGTTCTCGTCCTGTCTCAGAGATGGATCCTGGCTAAACACGGCTACTCTTGAACTGACGCTGACTTCCTTTTCAAACCTCAACGTCAGCATATTTCTCATAACGTCATCCGTTGATTTAAAGTCTCAGTAGAAGTGTAAAAAAGGCTGCTTTTGTCCTCTTCAAAACTGAAGTCAAATACACACCATGTCGCCCACACTCTTTCAAACGTTTGTGTATGTTTACCCATAAGCAGCCCCCTCCTGACTGCCCTAAGCTACGACTCTGGTCATGAGTTATGACCTTGTTTAAAGCCTCTGTCGTTGACTCGATTCTCTTACTGTTAAAACGAGTATATGCCCTGCAAACTGGCCGAGCAACTTAAGGGCTAATAGAGCCACAATCAAATAATCAGGATTATGTTTTGGTTTAATTTAATTCGGTAATACTTTTACCTCTTGATTCAATTTTTTTTTACTTCACTTCTCTTCCTTTTTTTTTCTTTTCCCTTTCTCCTCTCCACCTTTCCCCTGCAGCTGTCTCTGTTCTTCCCCATCGTCTACTGCCTGTGCAGCGTGTTCCTGGTAGTGGTCCCCCTCTACAGTGACACCATCAACTCTCTGGTGGGAATTGCTGTGGCTCTGTCTGGTGTACCAGTCTACTTCATTTGCATCCATCTGCCGCCCAGCTCGAGACCAGCCATCCTCGGTCAAATGCTTGGTAAGACGTTCGAGGCTCTTACTCTTTCGAGTGTTCAGAGGAGTAATTCAATCATCATAAAAGATCCAGGGTGCCAACATGTCAGTCTATTAGAGGGTTAGACTTCATAGATCATAACTCTTACCCTGAATTTCCACCGCATCCGAAACGGCTCTGACCCATTCCTACCAGATCTGTTTATGAGGCAAATTTCACAGCGGATTATGGACCGTGGGAATCGCAAGTACTCAGAAGAACCCACGGATTCACATGCAACTGTGTGATAATGAGTTGTCTCTATAGCCACATATAAGCCATATAAGCAGTAGATTGAATCCTTCCAGACGAGGAAATCCACTTCTAGACTTATAGAATCAGCATCTCCGCATCCAATGTGTCATCGGGGTAAAATGCTGTCTAAAAACCTTTTACTTCGTCCCCGCCCGTTTACATGGTGTGAAATATGATTCGCCTGAAACACAGAGTGTTTTATTTTTAAAAGAAGTCGGATATTTTATTTGGTGCCTATGCCCGACTTCCTTTCCAGCACAGGTCAATCTGTGCTGAATTTATCCGGCATCCAGTAAAAATAGAACTCCAGGATCAGCCGCGGAGTCCGGCGATCTGCAATGGAACAGAAAGAAGCTGGTGGAAATTGACACATTAACTTGAATGGTTACGATCAGCGGATACGACCGTTTCGTAGCCATTCTGGATGTGGTGAAAATTTGAGGTTAGGCAGATTTGTTCTCACTCAAACTGTCTTTGAAATAATTCTGAGAAGTTTACTTGAATGTATTATTTTAAGTTGAAAAATAACCCTTAAACAGTGAGTTTAACGGCACACTTTCCTTTATCGCCTTACACTCACTTCTAAGTAAGCCATTTACTGCAATCAGTCAGCATTTCCAAGTACACAACATTTTATCCAAGTCCCAGGACTTTTAATATACGGTAATCTGTAAATGAATGTGTTTGTTAGGAATAACTCCTGAAAGTAGCTTACCAGTTTTACATTGCTGCCATAGTATAAGCATTAATACACCTCCTCTTAGTGTTTTTAAAGGCTTAAGTGTTAAGATTATTGTCTCAAAGTTCAGTGTACTTGATTTTCACATACTGTAAACAGTTCTCAAGTTCAAGTTTAAAAGTCTTTTCATTCAGGAGTACCTCTTTCTTTTTCTGTTTACTTGACGCTGAGATGTTTAAACTCATATCGCTTAAAGCTGTTTGTTCTGAGCTAACATAAACATCTGTTTCAGGCGAAGTTTATTCTCTGAAACGGTCTCTTGTGTCTAACCCCTTTTCTGTTTCCCGCTCTCTGCAGATAAGCTCTCTCTTTACACCCAGAAACTGTGCATGTGTTGTGTCGCCTCGCCGGATATTGACCTGGACAATATAGACCCAGAGAAAATGGAATGAGGGAGCGACAAAAGACTCGTGTGAAATGCTCCGCAGAGAGATGGCAGAGGAAAACTGAACACAAAGGAAGCTTTGAGCTGCGTACAATCAGGATTTATATGAGTGGAGCTTGATTGATTTTGTAGGAGGAATGATGGGGAGATAAGCTCAACACACTTCCTACTCCTCTTCATCTCTCACACTTGAGCCATATGAATGAAGGAGCGAGACTGAAACACGAGTCAGCCTCCTACAAACATCAGCGTGTAAGTCAGCGTGGCTCAGACACCTTCACATGCTGGTAACACAATGTAGTTTTGGTCATGCATTTCCCTCCACTGCGGCCCACACACTGCAACTCCCTTCACACACATAAGCTGACAGAAAGCCCCTGAGATGAAACAACCTGATCCAGAAGGAATGGACCCCTTAACGACGCCTGCAGGGATTAAGTCACAAGTAGCCAGTTATTGCAGAAAACCGCGAGTAGAGTTTGAATATGTTTATTGTATGCATCACATGTGCTGTATCACGTTCCACATGTCCGAGCTCTGGGTTACTGTAGCTCATGTTTGTGTTAAGACGAGCCTAGATTGTTCAAACGCCTTTTTAGCCTCTTGTGACTTTCAGCAAAGGTTCTACATGGATGGGTCCGTGTCAAACAAACACTAGCTTCTCTTTGGATGTTACCACATGGCTCAAGTTCCTAAGATAATTCTGCTTTTAATTAGCTAAAATAGTCGTTTATAGTTGGTAGAGGTACAAAAACTAACACATTAATTTTTAAATCTGATCACCTCAAACACCAAAGTGTTATAAGCTACCAAATGGGCTGTTTCTTGACCACAAGACCCTTTGGGGAGTTTTGTGGAGGTACTAATTAACTACCAGAGCTGGTGAAAGTTGTGTAGGTAGATCTGTGTGGGCATCACATTCACAGCCAGTGTACACAACCTTTTTTTTTTTTTGACTTGTGACTTCTGTAAACTGTTGTTAATTTAATTTAGGATATTATCAGTTCATGACATAAACACTTGAGCGATTTAATCTGATTTCTTACTGAACAGAAGGACCAAACAGACAGATGTTAGTAGTGACGGTATGGTTAAGATGCAGGAAGATATTATGCTCTTAATTTTGCAGTTTTATGAGGCTACATGGGATGTTGTCTGTAGACTTTTAATGTATTTTTTCAAGCTGTAAGCTAAAAGGAACACGAACAGAAAAGCCGTTACTATGTGTCATGCTGCTTTAGTTTCAGTAGTTCATAAATGTTTGTTGTTGCCTTCAATGCATCTTCAGGGCATTTTTTTTTTGTTTGTTTGTTGTTGGTGCCTCCTGGTGGTAGCTCAAATGAATTTCCAAGGATATAAAGTACAAGGTCATTATTTGGGAGTCCAACAGTGCGTCAGCTTAAACCGTGTGGTTTTGTTCTTTTTCACATGTACAAACACAAACTGGTGGGAGGTTTGTGACAGAACTACAAGTACCTCTAAACTGTGCTCAAGTGCAGTACTTGACTACAGTCTATAGATACGAAGATCACTAGTACATCGTTGCCTTTCACCACTGATGGTTGTAGTAACACTCTAGCTGTAACAGATATTCACACAGCACAAGAATTTATGTTTTATGTAAAACCTTTAAGTTTAAACACATGCTATTTTTTCCAACATACTCAAATGTCTAGTATTTTTCTGAACAGGCTCTTTGTAGATCCAAACCTCAGGATCAATCTCGTTGATAATATTTATTATTTTCTGTCTTTTGTCAGTGGAGCTAGTGTCAGTGATTGGCTGTTTAATGTGATGTTGCTTCTTGAATATATCACAAACTGAAAAACATGTTTAGATGATGCAGAACCAAAGGTCTGTCTCAGTGTTCAGTGAGTGTGAAGCGAAATGTCTGCTTTCTGTTGAGAACATTATGGCTGAAATATGTTGAACTACAGGTTGAACCAGTCCGACTTTTGTGTTTGCATCGTACTGTAGTCTTTACAAACTGTATGTGCCTTCTGTGAGCGTGTTCTACCTGACTTTCTGTCTGTTTTAAGGAATTGTGACGTGCCTTTCTGTGTATACTGTCAAGAGCACAAGTAAATTACTCTTTGCTGCAAGTTTTGTCGTAGGGTTTGCCAAATATATTCAGGTCTATTTAAAACTCTTTAAAACCAGTTAAACCGATAAAGCAGCTTCATGTTCTGTTGTACAGGTCACTTTAAAATATCAAGTCTTTAGATGAAACCACATCTAGTGGCTCGATAAAAGCACTTGCACAATACCAGCCAATGAGATATTTGTTAAATGTTGGTTTCTCTGGGGGTTGAAGTGGCCATCTAACTAGTCCTTCTTTTATGTGTGTTTTAAAAAAAACACCTCGCCTGTAATAATGGAACATTTTCAATGTTTGTTCACATATGAAGCCGTTATATACTCAGAAAACTTGAATGTTGCAGTAGATTTCGCACCGGGTACCAAACGTGTTGTTTTTTTTTCTTTGTCTTGTTTTGCGTATTTGTCAAATTGTGTTTTTAAGTGACGATTATGTTTTTATTTATCATGTTTAGGACAAACAAAGTTGCAAGATTTCTTTTTTTTCTTTTTTTCACCGTTATTCTAATAAAGGCCATTGCAGAAAGTGCTTATCTGTTTTTTTTTTTTGACTGAATACTTACAGTAGACCTTGTAAAAACTTTGACTGGCATCACTTCACCCTGAAGGCGGTCTCAGTACTTGGATAGCACCTGAAGTTAGGTCACCTGTTATTAAGTTTTAGGTTCTTTTTTAAGTTGTTTTTTAAGAATAATTCTACAATCTCATCTTTGTCCACTTATACTCTTTTTTTTGTTTCAACAGCCAACCAACTCTCTCAGGACTTTTTAAGATATCAGGTATTCTATATGCGACACACACACACATATCTTTCGTTCTTAGATTACTTATAAGTTGTGTGTTCTGGATGTTAATGGTTAAAAGGGTTAGTCACTTTCTGATGTCGTTAATTTAAAAAAAAAACTGCGAATTGCGAATCAGCACCTCCATGTCCAAGGTAAAAAGGGAGATTGCCTTCTCCTGATCAGAGGGGCGGTCCTGCCTCAAGTGGAGGAGTTTAAGTATCTCGGGATCTTGTTCACGAGTGAGGGTAGGATGGAGCAGGAGATCTACAGGCTGATCAGAGTGGCGTCAGCAGTGATGCGGATATTTAACCGATCCGTTGTGGTGAAGAAAGAGTTGAGCCGAAAGGTGAGACTCTCGATTTACCGGTTGATCTACGTGCCGATCCTCACCTATGGTCATGAACTTTGGGTAATGAACAAGACTGAAAGAACAAGATCGCAGATACATGCGGCCGACATTGGTTTCGTTCGCAGGGTAGCTGGGCTCAGCCTTAGAGATAGGGTAAGGAGCTCGGATACTTGGGAGGCCCTCAGAGTAGAGCCACTGCTCCTCCACGTTGAGAGGAGTCCGCTGAGGTGGTTCAGGCATCTGGTTAGAAGTGTTCCAGACATGTCCCACCGGGAGGAGACCTCGTGGCCGGCCCAGAACCAGGTGGAGGAATTATATCTCTCATCTGGCCTGGGAGCGCCTGGGAATTCCCCCGGAGAAGCTGGTTGAAGTGGATGGGGTGAGGGCCGTCTGGGCTTCCCTCCTGAAGCTGCTGCCCCCGCAACCCGGACCCAAATAAGCGAAAGACAAACAACAATGACAACGAAAACAAAACTAAAGGGTTATACCTTTAAACATTTCAGAAGAAACATTGTTTTGAACATTGTAAAGCTTTCAAGTGTTTTCTGTATACACACACATTTCCTCCTATGTTACAAACTGAGGACTATCAACAGAAACCAACCAAGTGTGGACCTTATGCTATCCTGTGCATCAACTAACAAATCATATAACTCCGAGGACATCAGGGCTTTAGTGATGGAGTTCCACAGGGATCAGTGCTTGGACCAATCCTTTTCACCTTATCCATCTGGGTAATTTTTTCAGGAAAGATCACTGCTATGCACATGACACACTATAATACCTCAACTTTTTTATTACAAATGCTGCTACTGATGAATTATGCATCGAGATTCAAGTGCACACTCTTGTGCGCCCTCTTTATAAAAGCTGAAAATCACCAGAGAGGTGTAACAAGATTTTGAGGATGTCCAACAAAGCAGGAGATATCAAAATGTGTCCCTCTGGGGTTGTTCGTCCCTTCTTGGTGATGTGTAATCTTTCTAGGTCTTACTGTCAGGGGCACACACCGTCATCAGATTGGGGTACATGAATAGTTGCAGACAAAGGGAGGAGCCTGGCATCTTTGTGCTTAACCACTGCACACACACACGTAAGCACAAACTGTCCCCATGTCTGTGTTGACTGACCGCCTTCATTAACAGCCTCCTCAGGTAACTAGCCTCCATCCACCTTGCCTCTCAGGGGGATCAGTGGTCCGGCGTTATGTTTCAGCAGGGTGTGCACTTTAAGCTTCATATGCTGGCCCGCTGATAGGTGCTGGTTCCTGGAGGGAGGCCTGTCTACCTCCCTTCTCAGGACTCCAGGAGTTGGGTTCCACTGACTCATGCATAAAAGATAAAGCAGCGGAAAGGAGATGTAGCAGAGCGCAGTAACAGCCACAGTAACAGCTCTCTGCTGCTGAGTGCAAGCCGGACCGTAGACATGCTGAGCTATTAGCTTTGAAGCACCTGCGCTGTTGGTTCTTGATGCTCTTGAGGGAGTATCCGTCCTGGGGATGGACAGAAACACCAGGGTGCTGCTCTTTAATGGGTGAGTGGCCGTCACACTCTGGCACCAGCTTGTCATCATGGAGCTGCCTCGGCGCCTGAACTGGATAAGAAAGCGACCCTGGAGGCCTCATGTCTGCCGCAGGGAGTTCAACCGTAAGTGTTCATTAAGTCGAACTTCTTTATCTGTTAAAGCGCACTGGATAAATCTGGAGTCTTGTAACTCTGTTTGTCTTTTCTTCAGTATTTTGTACTTTCTTCCAACCAATTATTTGAACACTAATTTTCTAAGTGCTGCAGTGAACCTGAGAAGCTCCCAGTGAAGTCATCTGTCTTTTCAAGCCAATTGTTGTTAACAGCTCCTAGAGACTGTTGCTCTTAGTGACTCCTCGTATGTTTCCCTCTGCGTATAACAGTCTTACACTGATGATTTAATGCTTTAAAATATGACTGAAAATACAGCCCACTCTTAAAAATTCAGTGTTTTTCATTCAGTTATGCGACACAGAGGGTGGATCTCATCAGGCAGAGACCGCTGACACCCCCATAGAGGCATCAGTTAGATTGATGTTGAGCCTGATCATGTTGGAAATGTCCCAGTTTGGAGTAAAATTATACACTAGAGTGCATGTGAATTCATGACATAAAAGCTAATAGCTTCTGTCAACATTATCATAAAACATAAACACGTCAACCTCCGCTTTTTAAACCACACATCACTCTTATATACGGTACTTTTACCGTGCAGGGATAAAAGTGTCTCCGAGCTGAATTTAAGATAACAAATAAATCTGCAATCACATCTACTTTTGGTTTTAGTGATGGGTTATGAGTCTGTGCTCTGACATGTTTAAGTGGGAGCTTCTGCTATGAAATCTCATGGTTTTGACACACATTGGACGCTGCAGTGTACGCGATCAGACTTGATCAATGAATGTTTTATTGAAATAGCATCTGCGCTGATTATGTCCGATCAGATTGTAGACAGAGTGGATTACAGCACTTGTGTGGTTGAGCCAAGTGGGTCCAGTGGTTTGTAATTTGGACTTGGTGTTGCTTACAAACAGCACACTCTCTTCGCCTGTTTAAATGGATATTTTCCCATAGGAGGGGCATGTGTGTTAAGTGCAGACTATGGTGCATTAGGAGAATGGATCCATTAAAACTCAGAGGAGGCTGTTGTCTTCATTTTTGTGAGTTGAAAGTGCCTTAAACTTGAAGATTGAATGAAGTGTAGGTGTATCCTAACTTCTTTTTTGGGGATTCTCAAAACAAAGCAGAAAATTGTATGTTTGATATTCTCCTTATGTTTAACAAAACATTAAAATGTTGTGTTTTTGTGCTAACTGACTAAAGTACCTTCAGCAGGTGGGGGATGGGGGACAAGTGGCGCCACTGATCTAAGTGGCTATAAGGGATGCACGACTTGAAATATGGATGCTTTTAAGAGAATATGGCCTGTTTGAATGTGTATGAGTTGGTTAAGGTAGTGAAACCCATTACTGTTTCACATGTAGTTTCTCAGCAGAAGTACGAAGCAGTAATTTGCCAACAGGAAATGGTCTTAAAATTATGTTAAAATGAGACTGAATTGAAATGTTAAGAACAGACATGCTCTTCCTGTCTGGATGATCTATTATCAGAAATTTTTGATACTACATTCAGACATCACATTAGTCATTTTAAAAGACATATCAGGACAACAGGAAGGGAAGAAAACTATCTGATTTTCTGCGTTGACAAAATATAACACTCATGATTTGATGCCACTTACTCCTGCAACTATTATGAGAAATATCTTTTCTGTAGTCTGTCTGCAGCTTGAAGCCAAAAAAGCAGCTTTATTAAAAAAGGAAGTTTAAAGGAGCAGCAGTTAAAAGTCTTCTTTTTAATAGTTCCTGGAAAGCTTTACAGCTTTGTTACCAGCTAAGAGAGAACAATAATGTTCCTCTGGGTTACATGAAAGGAAATCACTGCACTCATGCAGATAAACATACTCAGTGTTGTTTTTATTGTTTCATATAGTCTAATCTATGAGTTTGAACCTGAATGAGTCTGGGTTTTTTTTTCCACACATCACCACCCCTAAACCTACATGAACTGTGTATTTCTTGTAATTCAACAATTAACTTATATATATATATCATTCTGTTCATTTTATATAGAAGTTGTAGTAGCATAGCAACAACTTACATCAAAGTTTTTTCATATCTGCAAGTCTCAGAGGTGCCACAGTTTCTCAGCCCACATGTGTTTTATCATACAGCTGCATACAGTACTGTGTGTACTCTGGTTATTTTTGCCAACTGGATGATGACGTACACAACCTCTGTCATATCAGGTCAGCTTAATTTAGCTGTAGGGAGTGAAAAACTGACCGCAGAGTTGTGTTTGATGGTCCATGACAAAGGGAATATAAACAGACTGAAGAAAAAGCCAAACATAAAAAGATGATGGCTTGAATGTTAAAATCATTAAGTTTCCTTGATCTAAAGTCAGAATAGCCCACAAGTGACTCAGGGGACCCCAAGTCCTCCATATTCATATCTAGAAAAAAATATAGTTTTATTCAAAATCTGCCCTTGTAATCTGGATTTCTGTTTAGAACATTTGATTGCACAACATTGTTCAAACAGTCGTAAAATCATTTAGTTAAATTTAATTTAATTAATACAACTCTAAAAAATTGTTAACTGGTTTTAATTTAGTTTCCTATGTTAATACGAGTTATTGATTTTCCTGTATTAATGCTATTTTACTTTGATTACTTTGATCTTTTCTTGCACTCTCTGTCTCTGTTCTTTTGTAAAGCACAGCCTGTCTGTCTGTTTAAATCCAGTCTCTGTTCTGAATTGGAAATAAAACCTATATTTAACTGAATCTTCCATATTTTGTCTGCATTTACCATCAAACTTTGCTCTCGCTGTCCTCTGCAAATTGTAAACATTCAATCTGATTTTGTTCTCGATGTTGGCTGCAAATACTTGTAGTCCCGGTACTCACCACTAGGGGGCCTCAGCAGTTAAATAATACAATGACCAAATGCTGAATTCACCACAAACATGCAGAACAAACGTGCTGTATGTTTCTCTTCTTAGCTTAAAGGGAAGTGAAGCAACAGCAGAAGTCGCACTTCTGCTCTGCCCGGCAGTGTGGTGGTGGTGTTTGAAATGTGATGAAAGTTGCTCTCTTTCTCCTCTGAAGATTACAGCGTACTCTTCCTGTTTCTGACTCCAGCTGAGGGCAAAGTGCTACTCTGAGTATCATCTGTCTGATTTAATGAATAATGCAGAGGCTGAAAAGCGGAGGCACTTGCTTTTCTTGTGAGGTGCAACACCAAAGCACATGTGCAGGCAGGACCGACTCCTGATATTTTAATTCAAAGCTGTTTTTCATCCCTGAAGGAGCTGAATCTTTTATCGATGTTACTGAAATGTCACACTTCACTTGATTGTTTTACTCTGTTTCTCTGACCTGCCTGCCTTCGCCACATTTGTCTCCTCCTTTATTCTGTTGATGTCACCTCCCTCTCTGCCTCTCACCTTTGCCCTTGATGCATTTGCTTTATTGCTTCCTTTCTTCCTCATCTCTCCTCTTCTCATTTATCGCCCTCGTGCCCCTGTGACCTTCCTCCCCTCAAACTGTTCCCCATTTTTCCTCTCTCCAGATCTTCATTATCCTCCTGCCTCCCCTTCTCTTTTCCTCTCCTCTTTTCTCTGAAACCAGATTTGTAATGGTGCTCACTCTTTGCAAATCTTCCCACTCCATAGCAACGCGCCTCCTCACTACTGTAGCCTCTGCTGGCACTGATGCAGGAGGCGGCGATGGGATGTGAAACTACATCAGAGGAGATTACATATTGCCTCTGCTCATTTTCCACTTGTCAGCCGTAGCTGGAAAGGATGTCTCTCTGTCTCTCTCATGGTTCACTCACACCTCCTATTTTTCTCTTCTCCCTTAATTCTACTGCACAGTTTTTCTCTCTCCATTTCTTTTTTCTCTCTCCTGCTTTTCCACAATGTCGCTCCATCCTCCTCTCACCCAGAAAAGTATTCAGTTCACAAGCTTTCACTGCACATGTGAGTGTGGAATCATGTTGGCTCTTTCTCTGTAATTTAACACAATAAAGTCAACAAGCAGGGTTACTGCGTGGGCTGCTTGTGCACACAGAGAGAAAGACAAGGAGAGAGTGAGAGACCGGGGAAAGAGAGGACTAAATAAAACACAGGCTGCATTTCTCATTGAAGAAGGACACGTGTTGTATTTTCTTTCTGCTGTAGCTCTGATTTCTATTTGTGTTTGCCAGAAAGTCTAACATATATGCTCGTGTTGGCTCTCACTGAGCGTGACACTAATGAACTGAGCATAGAGATGCATGCATCCTTGTTGCCATCAAACTATACTTCATTATATCTATCAGAAACATCCTTTAATGCAGATTTATTTGCACAAATATGATTTATTTACCCAAGATGTGAAACCTAGTACTGAACAACTTAATGCAAAACAGAGGAAAAAGCTAATGTAAGCAACTATAGAGAAGCCAGAAAACACCTCTTGGAGTTACCATGCCATCTCATGATCTGAAACTTTGCTGTGGTTCGGCATCCAACATTATAACATTTTATGCAATCCCATGAATTACCTTTATCTTAAAAAAGTTCTGCGATCTAAGGAATTATATAAATTGATAAACACATAAAAACACATCCTACAAAAAAGCAGGGTACAAAAAAGACAAAACCACTTCAATAGCCATGTTTACATGTTCAAAATTTCATGATCGATTAAAAAATTTGAGGTATCAGATAATCTGAATCCACTCTTTCTATGGGTGCAAAATCAAATAATCCGATCATGACGTGCGTATACATACACCAAGCTTTCTAAGAAGCATTTGGACATGCGCAGAGTTATCTAACTATGCAAAAATAACCGCAGAAGAAGAGTTGTATTTACGCCCACTGTCAACAAACCAACAAGTAGTGCTTCAATCCACCCAAAACGAGTTTTCCCCCTGTTAAATCTTGTCACTAGATGGCGCCCTTGCGTACTTATTTTACTGTTCTGTCAAAGATGTGACATCATCACGCTGTATGTACGCCTTGTTATGTTACCGGAAGAGCAGACACGGCGCCTGCGGTTGTGTTTTATGCCAGAGTGTTAATAATGAAACCTCCTGTACTGACCTCACTAAATAAGCCAAAGGCTAAAGAGTGAAGATCGAGTCAGGTAAGAGAGTGACGATCGAAATAAGTGTTTACATGGATGCATTTTGGAACAACGATCGGCATAAACCACCCCTCTCATTTGAAATACAATTTCTTTCCGATTGAGCCGAATTGGATCAAAATCTTCCGATCGACATCTTGATATGACACATTTTTATTCCGATTATTTGTGCCCATGTAAACGCAGCTATTGACAGACCACGCTGGTTCAAAAAAGCTGAAAGATTTCAACAAATCAGCTTTTAAAACCTTCTACAGAGCATCCTAAATTCTAGTAAATTGTAATTCCAGAAACTCAAGAACTCAGAAAACACACAAAAAGATAACATAACAAATTTAAATAAGACACTGAAAGCACTCTGGGGGCTTTCAGGTAAACTCAGTGAAACTTTTTTGTTTGTCAAACTTCATTTCAACTGGAAATAATTCATTGTTTAGCTTAGAAAACGGCACAACAGATGTATTTATTGTTCTGGCTTTTTACAGCAGGTTATTTTTTACTCGAAGTGCTTCTCAATCAGGGCCTTGCTGATGTTCATATATGTACATCATTTTCAGTTTGCAGCAAGTTTCTCCTGAAGGTAATTTGTACAGATCAGTTCCCATAAAGTATCAGACAAATAAAAAAGGCGGTCTAGTACAAATCTTTATTGAATGTCTTTACAAATTTAAATAGATTTAAATGAATATAAGATCACTGATGGGCTCTTCTATCCACTAAAATAACTAAAAGTACCAGAACAACATTCGCCTGCACCGAGGCCTCAGTTGGACCAACTTGATTTCAACTTGGAAGAAAGCACAGCCCTCCCATTCATTTAAATGGAGCAGGTCCAATGTCAAAGATGCAGAGTAACAGCCAACACCCACGCCATCCAGCCCTCTGGGGCGCTGCAACAAAACCAAGCCTGACCACTGACCTCTCTGGGTAATGGAAAGAGAAAATACAATGTTGTTGTTGTTGTTACAGTCGAGACGGGATTTTAAAGTGATCCCATCTTCTTACTGCTTTATTCCATAAGACTCAGTCATGATGACTCACCAGGTACAATGTTTGAAAGACAGCAGATTTCATGATAGAAAAACACAATGATGGATCGATAGGACATGTAAGACCTGGAAGAAGCTCAATAAACAATGAGCCCACAGCGATATTTAATGTTTCACTGTAATCAATACTGTATGTACGATGTGTTCTATTTCAGTTAAAGCAGAGCGATAAGGGGTTAACAATGTCACTTCCTGATAAGATAGTTGTTGGTTGGAGCTCAAGATGTTCAGAGATTATCATCAGGACACAAATGATGAGTTTCTGTTGACTAGAATAAGAGTATTGGATCACACTCAATGCAAATTCAAGGTCTCACGGTCAGGGCTGGAAGATTTGGCATCTTCTGAGTATATGGCATCATTAGCTCACGAGCTCATGGTTCCCATGTCATTGGGTTTGTACTGGGTTGCCAGTTTGTTCTTTGTGCTTCTCAGTAGAACTCCTGAGTTTTCATGGTGGCCAGGATGTGGCTTTATTGAGTGTCCATTCCCCACAGAGGGATGCCAGACTAACATAATCGTGTAAGTGTTTGTTCTTGCGTGCAAGAGAGCAAGATGCTGGCCTTGGTTTAACTCATGCTGGCTTCACAGACGAGAAGAGACATTCAAATGCTGATGAACAGGAAAGAAAGCTTTAATTTGACTCACTAACACTGTGGGAGAGTCTCAATAAACATTTGGTCATTTGTTAGAACATTTGTTGTCATCGGTGGTCAAGGAGGGGTTTTCTGAAATCTGAGAAATTATCCACAGTGATGTGATAGGTTATCCTCATGAAAAGTCTGCAGACAAAAATCACGAGTCATCGATCAGGCAGGGTGTATAAACAGAAAAAGCATGAATTGCAGGATTGAAACTAAAGGATTCAGTGTTACTGAAGCTACTTCTGCTTGTCAGAGTCACGGAAATCATTGCCTCTGTAGCTCTGATTTTAACCCTCCTGTTACAATCTGTCTCAAGTATAAATGCAACAATAATGAAAGCTCCAAGCAGTGATGAACCAGCCCTTTCACATCTGTGCATGTTTGGTGCACATTTGGGTGGGGCAAGTGCTGGGTTGCTGTGAAGACATGATGAATTAACCCATGAAAGCACATCTGTCTATGAAAATAGTGGTGTGATGGATGTATTTGTGAATGTTGAGTCTTAAAGCCACGCCAGTCATCCACACCTATATCGACTGTTTTGAGGCTCAAATAACCCATATTTGCTGACTAATAATTAACCCATTTTTAAAGCAACTTCCTGGTTGATGGTGAATGATGCATCGCTATGGTAAAAGCATCCCCTATATTTGGGTCCTGATGATGTAGTTCCCATTGTTTATCAGTTACCTCCGAAGTCAGAAGTCCGAGCTGAAAATGACGTCACACCGGAGTTACCAGCGTTTCAGTCATCAAGTTGGAAAAAAGCAAAATCGGAGGTGGAAACAAGATGGCTACATCCACGAAAGTTACGAAAGAATATAAGGCAAGCACTAAAATAACTTTTAATAATCAGGTAACTCGAACGCAGCATAAGGTATTTATATCTATTGGTCAGTGAAGCAATTTTCAAAAGTCTTTGCAACTGGGCTGAAAATAGAGTACCAAGTTCTTAAATACTAAAACATACATTCCCTTAGATGTCATCTTAAGGAGACCTCTAAACAAATCAATCACAAAAGAGGGTTTACGTTAAAAATGCTCAACTATCAATACAGCAGAATAAACATTTTTCCTGACCAGTAAGAAAGTAGCCTGGACTTTTTCGGAAAAACTCAAGATTGGTACTTGGACCAGTTTTAAAATCTTTCAAATGACATCTAGCCTCAGTGGAAAACCACACCATCGTCAGCATACAGCATAGACTTTGTAGGATTTATCTTTCTTCTTATGTGAACATGGTATGTAAACTTAATAACCTTATGTAAAATATATATGAATAGATAATTTTAGGTGGTAAAACAGAAGAAATGCCATCTCAGAAACAAATTGCCAATGAAAAAGGATGTAGTCGCGCCGTATGTGGGTCAAAATGAGTTGATTTAACGAGTGCTGCTCATACTGCAGGGAGGAGGACAGATGTGTAGTCATGGCAGATGTCATCACATTGGAGAGACTTGATACAAAGCCAGGCATGGTGAAAACACAAGTAGTCACGCGCGCACACAAACATGTAGAAATTCTCCTCTTCCCTCTTTTTTTGGATGCACCCATGCATCATGATGGACTGCCACCACAGTTTCCAGGCCAGCTCCTGCTGCCCCTGTTCCTCTGACCACCAGAGCAGAAAGGCTACATGTGTAACACTTCCACTGACCAGCTCTGTCATTTTCCAAGTCTGAATTACTCCTCCACCCACTTCCTAACTGTGACACCCTTAAAAGCTTCTGCAGCACATGTGCACTCTGTTGTACTCTGAAAAATTCAGCTGCAATGGGTACTTGATGTTATTTTACACACTATTGCTCAACCTTCCCCCCGTGCCCACACCCTGTTTCTCAGAAGCTAGTTGTGTTATCCTCCCTTCCTGTTCTCTTTGTTGAATTTGATTAAATCTGTGAAGGCACCCTAACTTGGTCTCACTACTCTACCTTTGAATCCAGATGTTTGAGTTTGGATATAAGATACCGTCTACAAGGATATTCAACTTTAATACTTTAAAGTTTCACAGCTTAAATGATAAAAATAAACTACTGCATTCGTTGCTGGTGAATTTTCATATGTTGAAAGTTTACTTCCCTGTTTCTGTGGCAGTCAGGTGTGGCTATAATGTACACAGGAGGATATGGGGATGCACTGGGTGGCGTGGGAGAGGAAATTGTGGTTTAAAGGGCTCTAGCCCCACCCTGGTGAAACCTTCCTCATCTTTCTTCCAGACCACCCAACCAGAAAAGGTCTCTCAGTCAAAAATAGAAGTAGATTTTAATATTCTAATGAGTTGCTTGACTCTATCGAGAGATTTTAACCAACAGATTTATGCTTGGTCATAACTAGATGATATGACAGCTGTAGCATGTGAGCATGAGAGTACGTTCATTAACTACTTGCTCTGAAATCAAGCACATTTTTTATTTTCTATTTGCTCTAATTGACCTTTAGCTGAGCCCAACCCCCACTGACATCCTATGCCATATCTGATTTGCCCTTCTGAAACACATTATGATAATTTTAGCAGAGTCATCTCTCATCATTTACAGTTACATGTTAACTGTCTCTTGTTCTTGAATCACACCCTCTTTGAAGAGGTGTTACAAAAAGCCCAAAAATGACATCCCAGCTGCCACTGGACCTGGGCTCACTGGGCTGATGTGTAACAGCAAACAGCCGTTCAAGCACTCACTCACACTAATGGTCAATTTACAGTGAGTCCTGATGAGCATGTTTTTGGACTGTGGGAGAAAGATGAAGTACCCAGAAAGAACACATGCATGCTTAAAGGGATATTCCGGCGTAAAATTAATTTAGGGTTAAACACACTGTAACACCGAGTTAGACACCCCCTCAAGAGATGAATGTTGCTGACTGCTTGCTTCTCTAGTTATACCAACTTTAGTAACGACCGCACGATAGCAATACACAGCGGTCTGAGGAGCCATAAACAAACCTCAACCAAAATGCCACAAATAATGCTCAGAACAGCACCTCACTTCATCAATACATATAGAGTCCCAGCCATAGTACTAGCCACCAAACATCTTTTTAACTTTGCATAATTTCTTTAGCAAAGAGACTAAACACAACTCACCTACTCTCTTCCAGCAGCCACTTGTTTGTAGCGAGACCTCAGGCCAGTCCATAACGGACTACAGCGGGGTGACGCAGCTCAAGGAAGAACATTTATGATCATTTCTTCATGGAAATGCAACCAGACTGAGACACTAAGGCAGAAGAACTACCGCGTCTGCAGTACAAAATGATTAATATGATGATTATTACTTCAAGGAAATGATAAAGAAATTATCATTCAGATCAGGAACCTTTATGCTATGAAGCGACAGTGCTAACCTCTTCACTGTGCAGACCGACTTCTAAACAACTTCAGCACATTTAGTCCACCTTATTCAAGCATGATTGTGAGGTTGTCTTTCTCAAAGTTTAAAGAATTTTTTAGGATGATGAATACGCAATTTATTAGCATGTTTTGGAAAGTGAACACTATGTCACTTTATATCCGATCTCTAGGCTGGTTGGCTGGGCATGCTCAGTCCTGCAAAACAATTTATTGGTATACAGTATTGTAACGAGTTCAAACGACTCATTACAGTTTGAATACTTATTTGCATCTCCTGGAACAGAGGCATGGATACCTGAGTCAAACAGTCAAAAGTTCTCTGATTTTCGTCAGCTCATCCTCCAGATTGTTCAATGAAAAACTACTCAAACTTAATGTTTAAGCTTTAAGACAAATGGACAAACAAGGCAGTGGTCAGTAGAGCTGCTTGTTATTGTTTGACCCCCAGGGGTACCCAGCAGGGCACAACATGGGCACTGCCGTCTCTGTGGTGCCAGTCTGCACAGCTGGAAGGCAGCGGCTGTATTGCTGCCATTGTGTGATGCCCTCTGTGCACTCTGAGACACTGTCAGAAAAGGCAAAGAGTAAATGAGCGAGAGAAAAGGATTCAATTGTGGAACAGAGGAAGACAAAATACAATAGAGACAGGGAGAGACAGGGAGGGAGCATGGGAATAGAAATTGGTGACAGCTCAGAAGAAGTCCTGGATTCAACACTTACAAGACGACATCTGCTGGGATTTCCAAAATGTACCGCAGAGTCAGGACATACAACCACATAAAGATGAAACGATACCGATACTCTTACAGTAGGTATATCTATTACAACCTTACTTTTTTTGGCTTTTTCTTAACACAACTTTGGCTGTTTTCTTTCATCTCTCTGCTGCAAACTAAAACAAACATCATATTTAAACCATAATTACAGGCTGTGTGTTTGTCCAGGTGGTGTTTGGATGCTGCTGAAAAACTAAGAAGCTTAAGCTAAAATAATTGGAAATTCAGGACTCATTTGCAAGTTCATGCATTCTGATGCTCTCTTGTTTGCACAGACTAATTTTCTGCTTAAATAACTCCAGGTATTCATGAGGTATTTTATTCAGAGGCTCACACTGATTGCAGTTTGTGTCTTGGCACTGCTTTTATCCTTGCCGCGAAAAAGACTGAATGTCCTGCACTGGGACTGGGATCCACTCCGTGATCATTTTGAAGAAAAGCTGGTTGTTAGGAAATTGTGGAAGATTTGTGCACAAGTGCAAGTGTGTGTATGTGCGATGCATGTGTGATTTTGTGCAAAGAGGGTTGTAGTACGGTACATTATACTTGTCTCCATTGAGCACATGAAGCCGTGCATCACACACACACACTCGCTGTCTCACACACGTGCACACCAAATGAGTCAGAGAGTGCCATGGCAAATTGGATTTACCATGCAATGCCCTCATTATTGTTACCAGGGTAACCAGGCACCCCTTCACAATCATGCCGTTTTGTCATCCTTCTTTGAGGGAGAAAAGAAGCCGAGGTCTGGTGGAGGGAACAGAGACAGAGAGAAAGGAGGGACACAAAAGAAGAGGACATCTCTTTTAACTCATCTTTCTCTCTAAAATTAGTCTGAGGGACGTATCAAAGATAGATTGGACTAAATCTGCCTGTAAAAACGAAAACTTTCTGTCCTTCTATTTCACCTCAAACCCATCGTATCTGTGTGTCATGGTTTGGGAGGAAAAGTCCCGTTAACTTTCACTCTCTGCCTTAAACTTCTTTTCTTACCTGCCTGTTCTTGTAGTCGGTATCAGAGCATTCTTGACCGGGGGTGGCATGCTGATGCTGTTACAACACACAGTTGCTCAAGTTTCCTGTACTCGGAAATCCAGTTTCCACAAGAATGAATCCGGCTTCAGTGATGCAACAATATCCTGTTGGATGATGGTTGAATTCTTTATTCTTCATTTGAACAGTTTACGTAAAAACTGTGTCAGACAAGTTCACTCTTTTCATCAGTGGCAGTCTGTCACATAACACTGATTTATATCCTGGAAAAGGATTAAAAAGTGAGTCGTTTTTTTTTGTTGTTTTGTTGTTAAAGGCTCTGTGAGGAGTTGTTGACTGACTTCATGTCTTTACATGACCCACATATAAAAGGATTGTCAGCAAAAACATTGGATATTTCTTTACACTAAATATTATCACCTATGTTTGGGTCAGCTCTCTTAAATATGCGGTTAAGTATAAGGAAGCAAGTTAGTGAGCAGATTCATTTTCTCTTTTATTATTTTTTATGACATCTTTTACTCACAGCTTATATCAAAGACAGATCAGCAAAAGGGACCTGGATTTTCCACTTAAGTTTTGATTTTGGACTGAGATTTTCTGCATGCTTTTCCAGGTAATAAACAGGATCTGTATGATAGTGTGTGAACCATAGACTGTGGACAACTTGGTTCCGCCTTCCGCCTGTATACGGATTCGAAGGAGAAAAGCTCTCAGCATTTTCGTGATTTTTCTCCACTTCTTGAAACCAACATTGCGCAGTAGCGTTGTACGCATTCGGCGGGAGAGTCGCAGAGAGTCGCTGTGATGACACTCGGCTCAAACAGCGTATCCCCCCCGGGTGAGTCTTCATACACCCATAGGCTGTATCAGGTGTCAATCATAGAAAACATGAAACCCCCTAATAACTTTTAAAAATGGAGCTGTACAGAAAAAAAGAGGACTTGAGCATCTACACAGCTTGAAGTCCTGTGACTATGACACGTTTTGTACTTCCTCTCTTTCTCTTAGTCTATAACTAGTCAAACTTTGGATGAACAAAGGTCAAAATAATGTCATTTTCCTCTTCAGATAACTTGACATGATGACCGATGCTTCCTCTTATGGTTAAAGTTGAAGCTAAATTAAAATTTAAGTTTCCAGTTAGAGATCGGAGATTAATCAGAGCTAGAGTCATGGAGAGAAAAAGGAAGTTCAGATAACTCTGAACAAACTTTTTCGCTGAGACTCAATTTAAAAGTTATTGTTATTGAATCTCCTGTTTTGGTGTTTTGGTTTCTCACACCCATTTGAGAAGAGCTGGTTGTAATTGAAGATTGTACATTTTAATGAGGACATTTCCGAGTAAGTAGCATTTTTGTCTGGTGTTAATTACCTTCCTCTGCCTCTTGTTTTTCAGTTCTTTATGGCAATTTCAGCATCTGCACTAAAAGTAGCAAACATGCAAAATAGCCTGCATCCCAGAATTAGCCAGGATGCTAATGAGTTGCTGTTTCCATGCTTATAACAGATATTTCAGTCCTCAGTAACAGGCGGCGCACTGATGCATATTGTCAAGGCCAGAGGAGCGAGTGTGTAGGAGGCTGAAGCCGCCCATTCAGCCTCCTGGGACACTCATCATCTGGCTCGATTCAGATGCCAAAGAGCTCCATTGTTTGACCCCATTCAAACAAAACCATTGTACCGAGCGGGTCTGATTGTGCTTTCTCTTTGCTGTGCGGGGGTAACAACTGTGTGTGTGTGTGTGTTGTCTGCCGGGTGTTTTAGTGGCATTGTGGGTGAGTATTACTATATGGACTTGTGTGTGTATATGTGTGTGTGTGTGTTCTTGGCATTGTGCATTTGCATCCCTGCAGCATGCGTTTGCATTTCCCGGAGCAGGGGGGGTTTCTCTGCTGGTGACAACAATGTAGCCAGTCATTGAAATGCAGAAGGGCAAACGCAGCCCAAACATGACCCTGTTAGTCTCTGCCTGCAGAGCAACTCAGACTCAGAAAGAAAAAGGAAATAAAAGTTGTTGGAACTTGCATATTTTTGTCTAACCCTTGGTTGTATCTGTGTTGTGGTTCATAAATCATCGTACAGTCACTCGCACATGTGATAGTTATAGCGGTGAACAGATGGGAGTGGGATGTATCTGCATAAGACAGTGGGCTTTGCATTACACATGTTAGTGTTTTGTATTTGTGCCTTTAAATTAAACCACTAAACTGGGTTGAGAACATTTATGTTAGATTTTTCAATGACTACACTACCAAAAAGTTGGGTTTGAAGTCCTGTGGATTGGCAAGACTGTTATTCTTGACCTTTTAATACCCTTTGCTGATAAGAAAGTTGCTCATTCACAGTATTACAGGCACTGTAAGGAGTTTTTAGCTGGTCAAGAAGTAGCCTTGAACTGATGCTGATGCCTCTTTATGTCCTCCAAAATCAGATGAGACCATCAAAACCAAAGCTGAAGGTTCCTCAGTTGTAAAAATTGATGCCTGAAAATGCCACAAGAACGTAGGTGTCAGATCAGATGATTGATAGCAAGCCTTAGAAATAGCACATAAAAACAAGTGAGTAAGTGTTTGTCATTTGATATGCTGTCATATAGGATGGTTAAAACATGTTATCATTTAGGGGTGCGACAGTGACGTGGCAGGGTTTAGCAGACGTCCACTCTACGTATTTATTCACTTTTTCAATCTGCCTTGCTAGCGCAGGTATCAGCCTATGCCTCATATTTAGAATAGTCTACCTATCGGAAGTTGTCAACACAGGCTGAAAAGCTGGCTGAGTATATATGTGTTTACTGAACTGCGTATTATACAATATGAAAAAAGCCGATTCAGAGCCTATCGCACCTTGAAATGCTACATGATTTGTAAAAGATTTCTGCTTTTTTCTTTTTTGGGGGAAAAATGTAGTGTTTATTTTTCAGGAAATGGCCCTTACACCACATTTAGGCTTTAAATAAGAGTGTTTTGTACTCATACAAACAAGCCTTAACCTTGACACCACCTGTTTAAAAGTGAACCACAAATGTGTTGTTGTGTGAAGCCTAAAGCAAACAATGAAAGCCGAAGAAACAAATCTAGTAATGCTTATGTTAGTGGATAAGACAAGTGAGTTTCTTACCAAGTAAACAGTGGTTGTGCTCTGCTGAGTTTTTATGGCCTTTAATGCAACAGCTTGCACTTGCAGCCATCTATATGTTCTTCCAAACAGTCTGTTACTGAAACTGAAGTGAAAAGAAGTTAAAATTTGATGCAGTTGTTTTTTGTTGATAATGGTCCAGCCAGTAATGGTTTACTTCTTACAAAATCCTCTGCAATTACCTCGGACAAAGAGGCATAAACATCACTTTTAAACAAACAGTAAAATGTGTTTAGACCCCAGAGTCCTTCTCATGATACATGGGATGTTTCTGTATTGTCTGGATTAGCCTCAGTGAAAATGAGTTTGTCTGAGTTTCAGTCCTTTGAGCTTTGGCCCTTTGGAGAGCGCCAGAGGAGAGGAAGTCTGAGGGACGAGTGATAATGAATTGACATAAGGCCTAGTTTCTATTTTGGTTGGGAACAGGTTTGCGTAAATGGGATGTGACTCAGAGAAACTGCAGTGTGAAGACGGACGATAACATGATGTAAGATACAGGAAGAAATTCTGTGTTTGGTGTCTTTTTAAGTCACCATTTGAGAGTAAACCGAAGGTCAAAAAGAGACAAGTACTTACCAGTAATTTGAGGCTTGATGTGTCTGAGGAGGCTCTTAGGGACGGTGCAAAACTCTTAAAAGCCGAGATGAAAAAATACAATTCATAACAGGCTGGACAGTTTTTGATAAATAAGGACAAGTTTATTCAGATCCATCATAAGTCAGTGACCAGGCTGCTTGGAATATATACAGTTTTATGGATAATTGCAGTTAAAGTGATGATACTCGTAATCTTCCAGTTTCTAAAGTTGAAGCTGAAAACTGGTTTGAACTTTTTAAAAATGTACCTTATTGATTTAAAGTCTACATAGGTGGTCTTGCTGAGTGATAGAGTCACTTAAGTGTCGTTGGGCAAGATACTTGACTAGGGTGACCATATTCTGAATCACCAAAAAGAGGGGACACATCTACGCGAGGGCGGAGTCGCGGATTGAGTGTTTTTCATGCGCTTCTAACTCATTAAGTCCACATGACTCAAACTCAAAACTTCCATATAAAATCACGGACATTTGATAGATTTTATAAACTCCCCTAGACAAGGCTGGACAGCCCCCAAAAAGAGGACATGGTTGGGTAAAAGAGGACGTATGGTCACCCTACACTTGACCCCAGAACCACCCCCAGTGTGATGATGTGTAAAGGGGATAAGTTAAAACTGATAGAGGCATAACATAGTGGTCTTTTCCGTCAATGCTTGTGTGAATGGGTGAGAATGGCATGTTATATTAAAACACTTTTAGCAGTCAGAAGACTCAGCAAAGTGCTGTAAAAGCACCACCCACTTTTCCATTTCACCAGCCCATGTTTGTCTGGTGCTCTTGTAAATAAGTGGTTATCCTGAGATTGTAAAGTGTGTGCACCGTGCACCCTTAGCTTTAAGCTACAGCCAAACATAGTAACACAGGCACAAGAGTAGCTCTTCTTTTGTTTTTAACGTCATCTAGGAGCATTGCAGTAGTTTCACTCCCAAGTGTTCAAAATTGATGGATTTTGGGGGCTCTAGCTTGGATCTCACTCATGAGAGATGAATAACATAACAAAATCTTAATGGGGCGCTCACACCAAGCACGAGTACAACCATCTACTTGCTTAATTCGCTCGCTTAAAGTTGAGACATTTTCAGTTCTCGCCCAATTCATGTCATTGGCGCCACCAGAGTTGTAGGAGCGCCGAATTGCGTCTTTGCATTGACTTTACATGTTATTCATTTGCATGGATGATTTTACTCTCGCTTGGTGTGTGGAGACAGTTACATTTAAACCAATATGTTGTGCATTTTTGAGAAATGAGTTACATAAACAAGCATCAAGCATTGGCAAAGTGATATCCTGAAAGCAGAGCTGCTCTCTGTGGTCCCAAATATCAAAAACTGTGACAACAAGAGGATAAACAGAGTTTCCCGCCGTGTCCATGGAGACTTTCGGCAGCTCAGACAACACCAGACAATATCAGCTCTTAAAAATAGAGAGAGCAATCAGTGTGGTCCCATGATTCATAGCGAGCTGTGAAGGAATTACAAGTATAGCCAACCTCACACCTCACATGCTATGTCACAAACACACACTTTTTCACACCCTTTTGCGTGTCCGTGCTGGCTCAAAATACTGATTCTATTTATTCCTCTTATCACCAGCCTCTCAAGCTGACTCATGTAGAGCCATACTGTGCATACGGACACACATGAACAGATGACTGACCCCCCTCACCACCACCACCACCACCATTCAACACACACATGCGCACACTTACTCATACAAGTGCACTCCAAACAGCACACTCTCACTTCAGCTTTGAACAGGATGTTACGAAATCAGCTGTGTTGCTGAAACTTGGTGAAGGTCGTTGGGAGTCCTCTCTCACCCACACACATACACTCGCACTCACACACTTCACCTGGCACTTACACACATCCTCCAGCGGAGAAGCTCAGTCCCAGTCCTCTGCTACTCGAGCAAGGAGCCTGCCGGTGGTCGGACCGACGCCTGAAGCGCAGAGGCCGATCTGGCGTTGATTCGATTTTACAGCCCAGTCACTCCCTCGGAAGCTCTGATTAGTAAGCCAAGGGAACGGGGTGGAAGGAAGAAGAGGAGCGGTGATGGCTGTGACCGACATTGCAGAGGATGACCTGGATGAGATGATGCGCGAGGAAGCGGAGGATGTCTTCTCTGAGGACGGTAGGCTTGCCAAGGGTCAGTTGCAAGGTGTGAGAAAGCAGGCGTGGGTTTACAGGTGGGCTGAACCGGCTGCTGCGGCTCCGCACTGTGAGGAGGTCAGACTCTGTGGTTTTACACTTGTGGTTGTGTTGGGGTTAAGAAGAGGGTAAAAGTGTGGCCCAGAGGGATGTCTTCGGCTGTGTAGGTGGAGTTGTTATCTGCATGGTTGAGTAGGCTCAGATGTGAAGTGGTGCTAAAAACAACCTCCAAAACCTGATTTATCTGAGTGAAGAGCTAAAAGAAACCATTGAGGCCAAGACAAGTCATGTTTATTTCTAATATATGCAGTGATTAAGATAAAGAGTCATTGTAATGGCTGATAACTCCTTCCTACTTCACTGTAGCTGGAGCTTTCTGGAGAGTTTGTCTATTGATTTTTCAACTTTTACCCTTTTTAGAAAGCTGAGAAGATCCGTGCCCTCTGCAGTGTGGGCGGTCTTGTATAACAGGCAGATGTTTCGAACCAAGCAATATACACCACAAGAAAACAGTTCCAACACATGAGAGTGTTTTTACTCTCAAAACCAGCTGTAATAATAACTTAAACCTGGCTGGAAGACTGACAGGCAGGAGATTTACAGGGCGATGGAAATGAGGGAGAATGATGTTAGGGTGTAAAATGATATATGATGTGCTTTTACCTCAGAGCAATTTCGAAGGTAATGGCGGCAAATGATTGTTTGGACACATTTATTGCTGATATTATCAAAGATGTGCATTCACAACTTGGAGACAAAAGCGCCGTTTTACTGCATTTAATCTGACAAGTTAGAAACCATTTGATGCTCGATCAAAATAGTCGCCAGCATCGTGATATATGGAAGAATGAATGACGTTGAGGCACAGACTCAGAGTCTATGTCTTAGTATATGACATTCTGTAGACAACAACATATTTTCTCTCTTTACATGGAAGGTTTTACACTAAATACATCTGGTCACTGAATTTAGTCCACTTGCTAATGCCTTTTATCTACTTATTGATATCTCACAAGACTGAAAGCTATTTAACATTCACCGATGTTAGTTTCCTTAAGTTTTGTACTTCACTGTAATTTGCTATATGCAAGAGTGTGGAGGTGAACTTCTAGATGTTTTATAGGAGATGGCAGTTTGGAGGATTTACTTCCTGCAAAACATGTCATACATTATGAGATGACTGCTGAAAATAAACATGAACGATGTACGCTGTATCGTTGGTGCCTGTTCCTTGCTTCGAGAGGCAAGAGGGGAAAGGGTTAGGTCAAAAGGTTTCCTGGATCCTTAAGTGTGTCATTAATTCATAACAGGAGATTTTTACTGATACAGAACTGGCTGCATTTTTAAATTAGGGTGACCATACATCCTCTTTTACCCGGACATGTCCTCTTTTTTTTGGGTCTGTCTGGCCTGTCCGGCTTTGTCCGGCTTTGTCCGGGGGAGTTAATGAAAACTTCAAATGTCCGGGGTTTTGTATGGAAGTTTTGAGTTTGTGTCACATGGACTTACTGAGTTAGAAGCGCATAAAAAACACTTGATTCGACCAGAAAAACTCTTAAAATTAACTACGCGCAACTCCGTGACTCCGCCCCCGTGTCGTCATGTCCTCTTTTGGGGGATTTAGATTATGGTCACACTATTTTAAATAAAAGACTGTGATTTGGTCATCATACCTGACACCAAAAGGGAAATAGTCAAGAGTTTCTGTTGCTCCAGACCCACCTGCCAGCGTAAATGTATATGAGCTGGTTGTTCAGGTTTGCTGTCTTGTCCATCCAAAGCAAGGAAAATAACTCACTACAGCGTTTGTTGTGTACACTTTCATATTGAGTCAGAGAAGATAAGAGTAGTTTCAGCCTTCAAATGTAAAGAACACTAGTGTATATGTGCACTGAGTGTATTTCCCCAAAAGTCAAACAGTGAATCCCCTTCCCCCCTTTAGAAACACACACACACAAACACACCTCAGGCGAAGTGGTCAGTCACACACATGCCGTTGGCTCTACAAGTGCTCATCCGTGTATTATCTGCTTTGAGAAGTGTTTAGGCGTCAACAGCTTGCATTGTGCACATTAATGCATGTGTATTTTTACATTTAGACCTATTTAAGCTCCACACAGGCTCTCAACCCTACGCAGCAGCCTGACTGATGATGATGAGTGGACAGTGAGGGGGATATTCCCTTTTATTGCATCATTTGGTGTGTAATGTATGTTAATGCCTCGGTTGACCCACTTCTGGCTGAGATATACCGATGGTAATGTGACGTTCCCTTTGAACATCACAGCCAGGAGGTGCGCTGCCAGATGACTCGCTGCAACAATCCAGCCAATCAGAGTGCGAGGATTCATGCCGAGGTTGGCGAGCAGGCATTGGTGTGTTTGTTCACAGGCACAGTTGAAGGTTGCAAAATATAGATCACATATTTTTCCTGTTCTAATTAGCTCTTTGGATTAGTCAGGGGAATTATAATGTGTGTTTTGTGTTGTTGAATATTCAAGTGTTTTATTCTGATTGGTCCTGGATGCACGTTTTTCTTCCACTGGCCTATTTTCTTTCTTGAATTATTAGTGTCATCATGGAAGTGGATTTGCAAATCTCTGAGCTTTTATCCTCAAAAAGATTCAGTATTGAAATAGATCAGCTTAAAATTTACAATTAGATTTTCAAATATATCTGAATATTTGATCTGGACACAAACTTGAATCTTTGAAACCAGCTGAAAATATTAAAAATATAGCTGCAGAAGATAGATAATGTTTGATATTGCTTTAAGGAATCAGCCTTGGGTCATAGTAGACCACATGAACAGATGGGCGAAACAACACTATAGCTGCTGTTATGCAACAATGCTTCTTGTGTGTGCTGCGAGTGCAGAAATAGCTGTAAAATGCACCAACTAAATCATTTATTGAAAGAGAGACCGGCGAGGAAATGAAGACTCCACGGTTACATAATAAAAAGGCAGAGTATCAGATGTCTTTGCTGTTATTTCTGCACCTGCAGAGACAATAGGTTGTATTTGGCATGGTTGCTCTTGCTTGTTATTCTTTTGCTGCCGTGCTGCTGAATTATGACTAACGCAGCGCTACTTTTAGCCCAGCAGCATAAATGACAAAGTGCCCTCGCAGAGTAGATACAAAGCCACAGGTTCACTTTCTCCCTCTTCTTTACTTCTCTCTCCTCCTCTCTCAGCCTCTCAGTGAGTCCACTTCAGGATATATGAATGAGGAAAAAGCCTCAGTTAGCTTTTTTCAGTGGTAAGAATGTGTTTCAGCTCCATCCCTGCTTAAGTCAAAACGGCTACTTTGCATGAATTTCTAATAGGAAGTCAAGGGTTCAGGATGCCATTTTAAAGCCAAGAGAGTCGATGAGTGGTGACAGGAATTTCCAATGGGTATAGAGAAGTACATTGACTGATATTACCAAAGTCTGTGTAAGATTAGGAGACATGTTCACGGTGTCTTTTGGATTATCTTTTGATGTTTTTTAAGGCACATTCATAAATGTAACCTTTCCAGTTGTGTCTAGGCGCCACATCTCTGAATCGCTGCCATTAGTACAAAATTTAATGTCACTGGCTGAGCGACAGCTGTCTCGACCAATTTAGAAAACAGCCATGCAAACTGAGTTAAAGGTTCGAGAGCATGACCAAGGGGATGTCACATCCTTTCAACACAAGCTTGCTGCAAAGCTGCCTTCGTGAAAATCATTGGTGAAGAAAGCAGCAAGCTTACGATTAAAGCAGCTGTTTAACCTGTAGTGTCACTGACAAACCAAACTTACCTTTCAGTGTATTTTCTTTAAAGAAATAAATACACCAAACATGGACTTGTCATTTTCCTGTGTTTTTTTTTCAAGGTCAGGTAGTTTATGATGCCCCTTTGATTGACAGTGTCATCCTAAATTAATTAAATTAAATTGAAATAAATTGGCGGCTCAGTCTGGATGCCAAATTGTTAGACACACATATCTCAGAATATAAAACCAAAATCTGTCTATGTGACGCTGTACTTGTAATGCTAGAGAGGATTGGTCTTTGCCTGGCTTTTGTCCTTCAGTTTTCAATCATGTGCCAACACTATGTGGATGCAGATGAATATTTGAGCCTCTTCTATGCGTGAGATGAAAACTTTGGATTGATTTTTTAGATCCTATGAAAGCAGCTTTGTTCTTCATTTGACCGTCAGGGATCAGCGAGTTTATGCAGATTTTTTTTTCTTTTTTTGGATGATTTTCGCAAACTCAGGGGTCATAGAGTTGTATCAACAAGATTAACATACACAACTTGGAGGGTTTGATGCTCTAACCCAACACGATGCTACTACAAAGTCTCAGCTCGCCTTTTGTGAAAGTACATGAGCCCCTGCAAAGTCACCTCTGCACCTGACTTTATCCATTTTATTCAGATTTTACATAAAACAAAGCCAGACCCCTTGAGTGATTTTTCACATTTCTACACAACCATAACTCTTCTTTAATCCTTTGTTACAGCGTTTTATTAGAAATACCTTTTCTTTGAACTTAATCCTCAAAAAAAAAAGATTTAACCAAATGAAACAAAGACTTTACTGAAAGACCACAGCTACTTCATTGAGACCAAAATAAACCCAACAAACTTTTAAACCCCTGCTTCTTCCTTTTAACTAATTTAAAGGGCCTGATTTTGCTCTGCTAGTCTGCTCACGTGGTTGGTACCAGAGAAGCACACAGTACATAGCAGAAAAGCACAAGTGTTTAGGGTGTCTTGAAGGAAAGCCTCAATATTACAGTTTTAATGGCTGAAAAAATACAGCTCAGGGTAGGATCGATGGGGCCTTTATTGGTAGGAAGAGATGTTGTTTGGTGTCTAAATAGCCCTGTGTTTGACTAACTGGGTCAGGTCAGAAAACATCACAGAGCTGCTTTCAGTCAGGAGTGAGGAGCTTGTGGTAAAAGGAGGTCTTGAAACACCCTCAATTAAATTTACCCTGGAGAAGCACACAGGAAATAAGTCTTCCTTTGACATGCCAGTCTTCAGAGTCCTTTGAGTTTGTTGTATACTGTTGCTCTTAGACTCTTTGTGTTGAATTAAGTCCCTGACATTTAAACCCATGTGTGGCTCAGAGTTAAAAGTTAGTTTTGGTAAAGTTGATCTAAAGTGAAGCTGGATTGTTTTGTAATGATCTTGTTGTGCAATAGGATATGTTTTTCACTCCGCCTCTTGACTAACAATTACATGACAAAACCTCTAATTGCTGGGCTCAACAGCTATTGTCTGTGTGTTTTCTCCTTTTTTACTTTGGTTTTTGAAAACCCTCTTACGGCAATTATTGACAATAACATGTCAATCACTCCGATTTCCATCCAGGCTTTGTCCTCAAATAGATTTAGAGAATACAAACAAATCCTTGTCCGTAAAGTTGGAGGTGAAAATACAACTGAGTAAGGTTAAACCTGTAATGATGTGTTTTCACCTGTAATCTTTAAGTCCCTACTCCAATCTCCTTTGCCTCGGGGCTTTTCTTGAATGTTCTTGGCCTGACAGAACATGCAGGTTTACTGTAAAGACCGTATGTTGGTCTAATTTCCACTGTACAGAGCTTTTCTTGGAACTAGGTTGTTGTAGGACAGCATTCCTCTGGTAATCTAAGAAACAAGGACTCAGATGCTCTAATATGAGAAGAAGACATTAAGGCTATAAGCACCAAGTCTCAAAGCTAGTTCTGGTGACCTCTAAGCTTTAAAGTGTTTTATGAGCATATTAACCTCCATTCCATTAACCTTCTTTTAAATGTCTCTGACAGAAACTTTAACAATTCAAGCCCAGTTCTGTGTTACTATTTTGATGTTTGCTTACCGCTCCAAAAGTATTTTTTATATAATTTAAAGTGTTGTCAGTGGTCTTTAGATTGTAATTATGAAGTTTTAAGCCAAAATCATGTTATCTGTGTCATTTTCAAGGGCTTTTTTTCTGCAGAGCTCCAGTTGCTCATTTGCAATTTGCCTTTGACTCGCGGGCGGAGACAGCGCTGCTCTGCATACTCCTCTTCATACTCCTCTTCATATTAGCTTGTGGCCAAACATTGCCGGCGCAACAAAAGTGGCAGATAATATAGGAGCTACACTAATATCTTTGTGCACATGATCCAAGCTAACATCATAATTAGCTTTCTTACGAGCATTGCTATCCGCTAACGCAAACATTTGTTCCACGATCATCCTTATACTTCTCAGAGTCTGGCCTGCAGAGCAGGGCACAGGGGGCGGAGCTTGGATTTGTGACATAGAAAATCCCACTATGTCTGAATCTGCCGTTTGGGTCTGTCAGAAATTCACAGCGATTTTGCAAAAATACTCAGATATGTTATTTCACACTCATTTTTCTTATGATTTGTCCTGTAGCATCAGAAAAATCCCATTTGAACATGTAGACAACAAGAAAAACAGGATTTTCACCAGAGTGGGTCCTAAAAAGAGCCAAACTAAGCCTCTAGCTAACATCAACACTCACTTTTCTGATGCTAGTGTCCACGTTAGCAATCCTTACATTGAGCTAGTTTTATAACATAAATATATCATCCACAGAAACAGCCACATTTGCAGCATTTTTAAGACTTGAAACCTGATCTGTTAATACATGGGAACATTATTCAAAGCCAGCCTGTATCTGAGAAATACAAAGGCTATGGAAAAAAAGTGTGATATTGATTGTGTATTAAGGCCAGAAGATTGAGCCACATAACCGCATCTTAATTTAATAGTGTGGAGTTTAAGGGACGTTATAATCTAATCAAGACTTCATTTAATATGAGCTATGAGTGGCACTCACTATATTATCTCGCTGATGACATGAAATCTATCTCACTTGTACAGTATGAGCTTTCAAGTGCTGCCCAGAGGGTGGAACAGTGAACCACCCCCACTGCACATATAACACAGTCACACAGTCACACAGGGAATTAACATGATATGCAGGGCTCATGGAGGAGACTGCAAGACAAGAAACCAGGTCAAATTTCACAAATCCATTCCTCTCTCACTCTCCTGTCTGGACTTGCCTCGTGTGGTAAACCCAATGTAACTGTATCCTCATCTCGGTCGACACAATGCCCAAGCAGATTCAGTGACTGTGAAGCTTTAAGGAAGATTTTCTATCACAACTACCTGCAGCTGTTACTTAACATCAGGAAAGAGAGGAAATTGCTGGAAAAGCAGGTTGACGAAGAGTAAAAAATCAGGGAATATATTGAAAAGCCATTCTGCCATATTTCATGGTCATTCTGATCCAACCCCTAAGACTGAGTTTAACTGGGCTGCACCAAAAATGGTGTTAGGAAACTTTTTGTACGTACAGTAACTTTACAGCACTGAGTCAAATCATTGTTTGAAAGTAACTGGAAGTTGGAGGAACTTTGGGAAACAAGGACTTTTTAAAGTGTTGTAAGACTCATTGTGGATGGAAATCAATGCAAAAAAAAGTGAGTTGAGCGTGTTTGTCTCTTGGCAGCAACATGAACTTGAAGGGCAAGAACAGGTTAGAGGCCCCAATCAATCTGTGCAGGAGCCAGATGCAAACTAGACTTAGTATCCCGAGGCTTGACTTGTCAATACTTGGCAACTTTAAAACTCAACTGGAACAAAAATGTGTCTAAGGAAATACTGGAAATGCTTATCATGATTTTTTTATTATTTAAAAAAAGAAATCCATCAAATATTAAGCCGTCAAACTGAATTTTACAATTTTAAACCACTTTCTTTTGTTTGCCTGCTCTGATGATACATGTAGACTTGTCTGCAGCTAAAACTTTTCAATCTAATCATATTTTAACACACATGTATCTTTATTTAAAAGCATTGCTTAAAAACTGCAGTATAAGTAGATGTCTTAAACTTAATATACTACCCTTGCAGTTACAACACAGAATAATTAATTTGACTGATGCATTTCCATCTTTGAATTATGACACATAAACAGAGTGACTCCCTCCTCCCAAAGCTTAGTTTCCAGTGGGTCAAAATCATTATATGGTCACATGATTCTGTGTAATATCAAAGCTGCAGTGACATACATGACAGATCAGTTTCGAGCCAAAGAGGCCACTGCTGAAGGAGAATGATCCAAAGCTGACTTGATCTACTTGCCCTACTGTAAAACACACACACACGCTCGTACACGCGCTCACACACAATGACCAACTCCTCTGCAGCTTTACACACATAAACGCCGCCTTTCATCCTCAGTTGCCACACAGTGACAGCCCTCCCACACATACACCTCCACTGTCTGGCCACAGATGTGGTCTCTGTCAGCAGGATGGAGATCGTGTCAGTGCTGTAGATTGTTCATTGGTGGCTGTAGTGTGACTTGGGAATAGCTCTGACCTGAGGGGACCTACAGTAGCTGGAATATTACGGCTCTGCATCACCCTCTTCCTGCTTCTGACAGTTGGCTCCACTGACCTACTTTTGACAAAACACTGTAACTATGATTATTTCCTGCAGTTAAAGAAGGAGAGAAACAAAACAAGGAAAGCCTGACACGTAAAAAGCATTTCTGCAAAGATTCAGGACTTCAGGTGGATTGTGCAACGGTGCAACATCCAGTAAACATATGATGCAAGAGATGAAATCTTTATCAGCACTTGAAGATTAACCTTTCCCTGCATTTTTGGTAGAGATATTAGCATACAGTTTATGTCCTATGGCAATTACATGGCACTGCTAACCTTTTAGTTCCAGTTCCCGTTTGTTACCATGACAATCTGTTCTGCGGGTGGCACTGGGCGGGCCAGGTTTACACTCAGTGGTTTGGATCCCCTCTCACAATGAGGTAATTCTGTTACACATGAAACCTTTACTAGACCACCCAAAAACCTCCATGAAGAAAGAGCTTAATGAAACATAACCTGGTGCACTTTTGGTGATGATGTTCAGCTCCTTGTTGCGCCCCCACTCACAAAAGTGTAAGTTATTACATTTCTAAGAAGCAAACTCACTGTTATTGTCACCTCCTCTGTATCTGGAATACTTCAATTCATACATCCAAAAGAGGAAAGATTCAAATATAAGAGGTAGCTTCTCCTAAAGATGAGGTATAAGCCTAAAAATGAAAGTACTTTTGAGAGGTTAACAAGAAGCAGGGCTAAAATTATTTTTGATGTAGCTGTTATATATGATTTGACTGGTTTTACCAGCTCATTTCCAACATTGTCTGCACACAATTGGGTGATAGAATTCAATCCAAGGACTAGAGAAAGGGCTACTTAAGAAGTCCATTTATCAGTGTAGTTTTATTGCTAAAAGACTTGTGCTGGAAGAAGGGTGGAAAGGAAAGAAGCTCCCTGATAAAAATAAAATAAAATATGTGACTCACCCAGTTTATGTTTTATCCCGAGAAGAGGCGTTGTCTTAAAAACTGTTAAAACTGTTATTTTAATGCTTTTATTTTGCTCCATTACTAACTCCTGACAAAGCCGCTTTGTTTCTTTCTGTTCTAATTGGGCTTTTATTTTGAAGGATACAAAACCTTGGCTTGACTTTGACAAATGGCAAAATGGACCATCCAGGAGTGAAATGTCTTATGTTTTAGCACTATTCTGGAAAATATGAGGTTAGTTTATAACAACCAATAGCCTATATTGCATCAATACAGCAAACTAAATAGCTCAAATAAACTAGTTTTTGTTTTGTTTTGTTATGTTGTTGTTTAAATAACCTGTTTTTGAGTATCTGACCCTCTCTGGGAGGTATATGCAACATGCATATCTAAACAAGACTTTAAAGCTCTGGATAGTGGAATTCCCACTACAGAGCTGTTGATTCTTGCATACAAAGTTTGTTGCTAGTAAAAACCTTTTGCAGTCATTGGATCAATTAATGATCATTGATTGGTACAAATTTAAAACCTACAGATTTTCAGGGCTTACCTGAACAGACCCTAAAGAGCTGCAGAGGAAGGACTTCAGAGAAACCACATTCCCTTTCATAAATCTTTGCTTTGTGAGGTCACTCTGACATGTCAGCAGGTGAGATGATCTTGTTGGCACACACCTGCAGTTTGCTGTCTGTCTGTGACGCGTCTTCGAGCCCTCCGGGGGGAAAGACTTCACCTGGGAAAAACAACCTGTCATTAGAGACCAAAGGAGTCACCGCATAGGCCTTCACCACGGGGGAGAGTACATCCTGTAATGTCTCATCCCTGTGGAGACATACTGACTAATGTGCAGCTTTATAGGAGACATTTATAAGCAGTTTGAAGTTTGAAACATACTCTAAACCTCAGCTACAAAAATGATAAATATACTCGCTTAAAGATAGTCAAAACAGGACTAGTAACCAGAGAGGCACTATGCATTTTCTTGTGGCATTTACATGCACTTACACACTCTCACTCTGACACACACACACACACACACACATACACACCCCATCAGCTGTGCCTGTACATCCTTTCGCCTTGACCTTCCTGCCCTCCTGTCATGTGGGCTTTCTGACTCATCCAAGTGGTAGCTGTCAGACATTTGTCAGGCAAAGACCTCAAACATGTTAGGTAAGGAGAGTCAGAGAAAGAAACTGAATGCATGGCGTCAATGTTGGACTGAATAAAGCTGAGAACAATTGGATATAGAGCGGGCGACAGACGGTGTTTCAATGCCACGGTACATGCAGAGCAGGAGATTGATGGTCATGACGAACAGCAGTTGCTACAGGAGAAGAAGAACAGCTTTTCTGGGAGGTCAGTGGAGGCTGGTTTCATTCAGACTTTCCCAGTATCAAGAGAAATGTGAATGACCACAAAGAACTCTATACATGTTCTTCATATAATCTCAGTGATGGTTTTTGTTGGTAGTTGCGCAATAGATGTAACTTGGTATTAAAGTCAAGTTTACTTTGAAGTTTTATGTGGATAAAAAACCTTCTTTTATTAAGTTACTGCAAAAAAATGATCAACTTAAAGCTCCTGTGAGGAGTTTTTTTAGACTGAATTTCATGCTGATGCCTTTTTATAAGATATAAAATCAAAGAAGACCATGAGTGACAAGATTAAAACATTTTATAGTGTAAATTTTGATGCCTGAAACTGGCGCAAGGAAGGAGGTAGGAGCAAAAAAGCGGAGGAAATAACCCTGTTTTTACAACCCCCATGTAAATGACACATTAGACTGTCAAAAGTAAGCTTGGTGAGGTTTGACTTTAAAAGAGACTTCTTTTGCAAGTCTAAGACAAAATAAGCAAATAAGCAAACACTGCTTATTTACAGAAGGCCCCGAAACTGGCACTAACAGAAAATTCCTCACAGGAGCTTTAATGAAAAATTGAGTAGATGGGGAATGAAATTTAAATTAATGCGCAAAAATCATGATACTTGTTGAGCTACTTATAACTCAGACCAACTTTAACATAAAATATTTGCATCTTTATGCCTCGCCTGTGTTAATTTGTTGAGGTCCTGTGTGGTCAGCAAGAGGTTTTATTTTTTAATTTATTATTATTTATTTTATTTTATTTTTTTGTAACTTTTGGAAAAATTTCTGTCACACACTTTTTTGGTTCCTGGATTATTTTACTTTAACAAAAAATTCTGCTTTTTTCCACTTATTCCGGGGGTTTATTTGAATCTAAATTGATTGAAATAGCATTAAATTGAACTGAGGGACAACACAACACATGAGGTTTTGACCTTAATAAATATTTTACTGTATCATTTTACTGCACAAAGCGGATGAGCCGAAGTTAAATTTATACTTCCTGAGAAAATTCTTAAGAGGATTAGAGCCAGTGATGCAGATGAAATGCTAAATTACCTGTTGCTTTGATTTGATTGGCAGCGACTATAAATAAATGGTTATGTATCTGTGTGTGTGTGTGTTTGTGTGTATTACTGTAACTTTAAGTGTGTACGGGGCTTTCTTTGTGTGAGTGTGTTCTTTAGTGTGCTGGTTCTTTAGTAAATATAGCTGCTAGTCAGGGGCTGTTGATGACAGCTATAATTACAGGCTGAGCTGTTCAGCAGCTGAGAGTCCAAGAAGAAGAGGGGCGTGTCTGTGCGTGCACGCGTGTGAATGCTCGTGTGTGTGTGTGTGTGTGTGTGTGTGTGTGTGTGTGTGTGTGTGTGTGTGAGCACCAGTGAAGGGGCTTATGGAAACCCTACACACCCGAATGAATGTGGCTTTCTTTTTCAGCATACAGGATAAAGTAGAATAAAATGGTTTCATACTTTTGGGGAGGTGATGTGTGACATTGCTTTATAAGTCATTATAGGAGATTTAAGAGCCAGCCAATCAGAGACGTCATTAGAAAGAGAGACTTAGGGGGTCAGTTTGATGGTAGTTTGAGTCTGAATATTTGAGGAAAATCTCACCAATAGTAATACTTTGAAACCATGTGAGTAACAGACACAGAAACTGCCCTCGAAGAAGAAGATCAACACCACTTTGACGTACTCCTGCGTTAGCTTAGCTTAGTATTAGTACTGAGAACAAGGAAACAGTCTACTTCTACTTTCACCTCTAAAGCTCACTAGTAGAAACAACATGTCTTGCTGGTTCATTTGCTCAATATTGAAGTGAAACCACATGATGCTGTTTGAAAGAGGAGCATCGTGTTGAACCATGTCTGTCTTGGCAGAGTAACTTCCTGGGTTCATCCCTTTGAGGTTGCCAGGCAACTGCTGGAGACTCCAAAAAGAAGTGATTGCCCCGTACAGCCCAGTCTGAGTATGAGTCTTGTCATTCCCACCATCTTTCTTCCCTCTTCCTCCTCATTTCTCTCCCTGTATCTCCACTTCCGGCCTTAAATATGTTTATATATTGAAATATTGTTTTTCCCTCTTTTGCCATCATCATCCCTCTTTTTCTGCACCCATCTTTCCGTATTGACTAATTTCTTCTAAACACCACTTATAGTTTTAGCTCTATTGTTGAATTTCCAGCATGACAACCATAAATGAACTCGTATTCAACTTCACACTTGGTAATTTAAGAGAAACAATTTCTCTTTAATGCGCTCTAGTTCTGTTGGCAAATCTGTTCCCACACTTCTTAGAAAAACAGGACGAGAAAAATCCCTGAACCTTTCCTATAAGATGAATCATATCAATGAGTCATTATGAAATCCTTTCCTCTACTTAAACCAAACTGATGGATTAAAAGGGACAAGCCATTTTCTGCTCTCTTTGCTTCTTGGAAGGGCAAGCTGAATTGGATTTGTATGGACTCGGCGGAACAGCATATCCACTTATGGAGGCCAATTATGCTAGCAGAGGCACTTCCAGACAAGTCACTCCACATTATACCAACCCACTCCCCTGAAATATATTTCCTCCAGCACCTGTTCGTCAGTGTGTTCCTCACTGTTTCTAGCTTCTCCAGATGGAGATGTTTGTCTTCTTCGTGGTTCTCTCACGTGTAATTTAATTGTGCGTTGCTCTCTGTCCAGAGGAAAGCAATCATCGTAAACCTCGGACCCACTCCAGGCAAGCGTATAGGAAAGGCAATTTGGAACAAGCCCCTGTTGTTAAAGCCATGTAATCACAGATAATCACACCATCATTTTCGCAGCCTGTCAATACATTAACAAGGAACGAATAAAACTTATTTCACATGCTTGTAAAATGCTGCTGAATGAAATGAGCCATACAGTGCTAAAGTGAACATCAAAGGTCTAAATTTAAAGCCACAGGGCTGAGGAGGTATCACCTCTCCCACCTAAAAATGGCCCTGCTGCAGTCCAGAGTACAAGGGCAGACAGAAATGTGAGAGACAGTTCAGAAGGTGACAGCTGGATAAATCTGGAGCTCAGACATGGATTCATCCTCTAAACTGGACTGCTGTGCCAAGAGAGGCGAGGAAGGTGAACCTGCAGTCTGAAGCAATGAAAAAGTTTTTTTTTTTTTTGCAAAATGTTTTATTTTTATTATTAACCCATTTAATGGCTTTTGTATCATATTAGATACATACTTTTATGATACTTATATCAAATCAATATGATCAACAAATTACTAAAAAAAACACCTGAATACAGTCGGATAAATGATAAAAATGTCTGCTTTTAGTTAATCGGGTTCCAAAAACTTCTGTCTTAAAAATGTCCTCAAAATTTAACAAATGCATTTATTTATCTCGTTTATTTTTTTATTTTTAGTAGAAAATGAAATAAACACTTCAGCTCAAAAAAATTGGAATTTTCCTGCCATAATTTGTGGTGTCAGGCATTAAAGTGCTACGTGTCAAAAAGAAAGTTTCATTTTGATGCAGTAAAAACTAGCAGCTGCCTTGTTCAACATGATCCAAATAGTACACTTTTACATAAGTACCGCCTCCGACTAAGCAGGTATCCAATCATTTTTGAGGTGGCCAAACGGATTTTAAGGGGCCTGTGCCATCCCTGGCCCCTCCTTTAGACCCACCCCTGCCATTAGGGACATTACTTACTACAGACTGCACAAGGAAAATTACTTCATCAGGCCCTCTTGTTTTCAGTCTTTTCATTTGTAATATCAAAGGGATATTCCGGTTTAAAACTAAGTTACAGTCAAATACACTGTAACACCATGTTAGACACCCCGTTGAGAGATGAACGTTGTTGACTACCGGTATATAGCCACAAATAATGTTCAGAACAGCACCTAACTTCATCAACAGTACATATAAGGTCCTAGCAACAGCACTAGCCACCAAACATCTTTTAAACTTTGCCTGATTCTTTTGGCAAAGAGATTAAACACAACTCACCTACTCTCTTCCAGCAGACCCATAACCCAGAAACAAGTGACATAGAATAAAACTTGGATCATTCAGAAAAAGGGAGCAGTGACACAGGCAGATTGATGACAGGCTGTCTTTAGATGATTTTAAAAGAATAGGTCAGAGCTTTGGTTTCTTGTTTGTTTTGGGGAAACTTAAACCAATCCCATTACAAACCCGGCTATTTTTCTTTAGTGTTAAGTATGTGGCTGTCAAACAAAAACAAACACATCTATTTCCTTCCTTTAATTCTATTCCTCTTTCCTTGTTATATATAGTATTGAGATAGTCCACGCCCACTGATAAAGCCCAGACTGATTTCATTGAACAAGACAGACATAAAGGACATTATAAGGCAAACCCCAAGCTTTTCTCCACGGCTCCAAAGCGCGCTCATGTGCACCAACACGCACGCGTAACCCCACCACACACACCAGTGAGCACTGGGGGCACAGAGCAGGGGGACCCCGCCCTCCTTGTGACATCCGCCGCCTCCTATTGGTCCTCCGTTGTTCAGGAGGAGCGCTACAAACACAAACTGGAATGCGTGTAAAGGGGGTTCAGTGTTTGCTCTGCACGGACGCTGCACAGAGTCTCACCGGGGGAGGACACGGAAAGTGTATGTCGCTCACCCGGCAGCCTGGTTTGTTTGTTTCGTAGGACTGAGAGGTTTTCATCGTGATCAGCTGATCGATACTAACGCAGAATTTATTCATTTTTACGCATGGATGGAGAGGCGCAGGTAGACGGGCAGAGACGCCACTGAGGAGCCACTCGTGAAGTTTTGCAGCGGTAAGTTCAGACATCATCCAGTCTGATTTTCATTGATGATGAATTCGTCAGGGATTTGTTTCTGGGAAATGCGCTCACTGAAAACAATGAAATCTTCACTCGTGGCGGGGGAAAGCTTGTTCTCGGGGGCAGTAGGTTAGTGGATCAGAGCGAGGATGCGTCTCATTGGAGGATAAACCCGCATAACCCCCAGTCCTCCTTTTGAAATCGAGTTTTCTAATATTCTGAGCGGTGCACAGGGTCGTGTCAGGAGAAATACCCTTCTCTTGTAACAAAAAGTTGTCAAATAAGCTTTAGTAAATGAATTTCAATCTGTCAAAACAGAGACTTCAAGCCTTGTTGGTTATGTAAACCTACTGAGTGAGTTATCTGTCAGTGTGTCCACTTGACACATGGAGTGGTGTGAATTCTGTGCAGCTATAAGGTCGCATTGGGTTGCCTTTGGACACGTGATGCAAGTTTAAATAGGTAGAAATCTTACTGTGAACCTTTGCCAGTCTCTGTGTTTGAGTGTGTGCATGTGGGAGTGCACTTTTACTGCTGAGAGAGAGTGCCAAAAACATGCATAAGGGTGATGCGCATGTGAAACGTGAGAGAATCAGGTCAGTGATTTTAAAAATGCCCCTCCAGGTTTGTTGAGGATGGAGGTCAAAGGGCATCAGGCTTTTGTCATCCTCTGCTCACTGATACCACCCACAGTGGATCCTGCCGCTGAACCTCAGCAGATAAACACTGGAGAAAAATGGTCTGTTTGCAAAGCGAGCAGTCATGGCTGTTCTGATAAGAGAATTTATGCAGCTTTCTACCTGCCAGATGGTTTGGAGATCACTTTTTCTGCTTTCTAGACTTTAAAACGCAAGAGAGAAGTGTCAATCCTGCCAACAGAGTTGACTTTCTTCTCTCAGCTGCATGTCCTCGAGGCTGATCAAAAGACGTTTTTTATTATTAAGCCATCCTAAATTCTGGACACTTGGAAATAAAATCAAAACAACAGGAAAATTATTCACCCAAATAAGCATGCAGCTTGCAGAGAAGCTTTCCCCCCATCAGCTCCTGCTGTCGCTGAGAAAAAAAGTATTTTTTTCAAGGCTAAAATGCTCCTTCAGTGCTTTGATATGGTTAAGTGGAAGTGCTTTGCTTCCCTGCCAACCAGTTTGGGCCTTGGTTAAGCTGTTTGAAGGGGGCTGCAGACACGGGGGTAGCGTGTTTGTGCCAAGCCAAGACCAGGCTGAAGGGATGCATGAGCAGCGTCTGTTCCCAGACTCTCTCTCTCCCTCACCTTCTCTCTACTTTACCCCAGCCGGCCTTTCATTCGCTGCATCTGCTCCCTCAGTCTCAGCCTGCTTTCTTCCCCCTTGCTCTGTGTCACTTATGCAGGGACAAGTGCGCACACACACACACACAAACACACACACATGCACTCATTTCCTCCTCTTTCTCCTGAAGTCTCATTAAAGGAATTATGGCTGTGTGGTTTGGAGGAGATTCAGACGCTCTTGTTGTTTTGTTGGGTTTTCCCCCAGAACTACTGAAACACAACACTGAAATGTTGGTGTCAACTGAAGCTGATTTCAAGGGCTGTTAGCTGGACAAATAACTTTGTGCTGAAACTACAAATTAAGGGTATTATTGATCAAACTGTTCAATTGTTTTTTGTTCTTTTGGAGTGTTTTTTTAAGGAATAATTCAAGTGACATCTTAAATGTTTATGTTTTGTCTGAATAGAAGTCCAAACCCTTAAATATATCATTTAAACTTTCTCATGACACTGGAAATATTTGCCCAAAAGATGATCATATTCATTTTATTTTCTGTTTGACTTTTTCTACAAATTATGGCAAATCTCTGCAGATTAATGTCCAAGTATGCAGCAGATGAAATCAACTCATTTAACAAAAGTCAAAGGCTTGAATTGTGCAAGCTAATCAGATTTACAAACTCAAATATCTTCTCAAAATAGTGACCTTTCCTTGCTGATACTGAATGATTTGATTAAGTTAATCAGCTTTTTTTACTTGGTTTTTGGGAAGTGGAATGTGTTGCTCGGACAACTTTCAGCCAGGCTTGCTGCTGTTCATGAGCGGCGCTGATCAATGAGTTGATCATTTTGGTCTCTAGAGTGAAGGATCGGAACGTGATTTATAATGCTTGCCTTAAAATGAATGAGGAGACATTTCTTGCCTGGTGCCCAGATGATGAACCCTGATGAGGGATGCCCTGAATCTTTGTCATGGGGTTGATATGGTTTGTTGTTTTGGAAAATCCACCCATTTCACCATCAAATCTGGCGCAGAATCATGATCCCCAAAGGCAGACCTTTGAACACTTCTTTTGTTTAAAATTTGATGCCCACTAATCATCCAAACTTCAGTCGATTATCCACGCTTTGGAGATTTCTTCTTTGAACCACTCAATCGTTTTTATCCTGGTCGACTGTACTTCAACTAGCTGCCTCACACAGCTGATTCATCTGATGTTGAATGTAATTGCTCAATAATTATGAAAGCTAAAGCGGGGTTATAGCCTGTCAGCACATTGTCGACAAAGCTGTGATGAAGACTTAAGTGCTTTTTAGTCTATGAGTGTCTGACACTGGGAGTACTTGACCTTCTCTTTTCCATAAAGACTCTCGCTTGTCTTGGGAACGTCTCGTGCCTCTGTGAAAGCATGTGGGGGTGGCACTGTGCATGTGCAGCATCCACATACATATGTTTTTCCATCTGCGAGCATGTGTGTGTGTGTGGTTTTTCGGGGGGAAGAACTCAGACCTTACATTCTTCCAGGAGGAGTGTCTCCTTCAAGTTTTTACAGCTGATAGTTATTTCATAGGACATGTAAGCTGCAGAGACTCAAAGAGCTCAACGAAAACGTGGAGTATTTGAACTTTTGCTGATCTTGTAGTCCCATGAAAGTAAAGGGATTAAGATTATTCTAAATGATAAAGTTGAATCTTTTAAGGAGTTTTAAGATCCAGATTTCTAAATTTAACTCGACTCTTGATCTGCATCTGGCAGACTGCTTTGATTCAACTCAAAACTTGCGAGAAGTTGGTTTTATTCTCTTTTATTTGATCAAACTTTTATGCTCCCTGTAGGGGAACTGGGTCATTCTGCTCGCAGATATGGATGACAGATATTTTGATGTGCCTACAAACTGGTTTTATTTTAAGAAACGCTTTTAGTTCTTCACTTTTGCACCCCTTGCTGTTAGAGGAAGTCTGTTTAGATAAAGTGATTCAGAGTGATCAGTTACAAACCTCCATTTAGATGGCGGCTCGGTGACATGATGCTGTCTCGTCTGCTCTGAGTCAAAGGATATCTGCTCCCAAGATGATGATGAGGGTCTGGCTTTCCTCCTGTCCCAGCATGTCCCACCCTACAATCACCCCTTCCTCAGAAGAGGGGTGGGAGGTGTTTTATGGGTGTTGGGAATTTTTGGTGTCAAGGAGGTGGGTTGTGGTTGTTACACTGGGGTTAAGTGGTATGCGGAGGGAGGGGCAGAAGCAGGGAGTGGAGGGGCGACTGGGGCAGTGGAGGAATGAGGAATGAGGAGTGGAGGTAGGGTTGTAAGATCTTTGGGGAGGGGATGCAAGATAGATGTGGAGATAGGAGAGAGGAGAGGCTTTTAGGCATGATAGCAACATTGCTTAAGGGATTAGGGTTGAGCATGTGAAACCAGCTAAATGATTACATGTCATCACTTTCACTCGTTGGTTAAAGCTGTTGTTTAAACTCATAATTAATAAATATTTTTAATGTAGGCTCAAAATGCTCATCATATGTTGTGTCCAAGCTGTGGAGTCACCACCCACTGCTAGCCTGAGGCTCCAGTTAATGACTACTGCCATAATTCTTCAATGTCATAATGCGTATAACCCAAATGTAAACTTGCACAGATGGCATCTCGGGCAGTAAAGAAGTTTCCAAGATTGAGATAAAGTTATGTTTGGGCTGTGTCTGTTTAAACTGGCACATGACCGCTCATTCATAGGGGTGCACAACCAGCACAGCATGTACAAGTTACAGCCTTTGGTACCGCTCTGCAAGGGGTGCACTTAATGTTCCTCTTTTACCATTTTTAACATGATATTTGTAGTACTGGATGAAGTTACAGGAGCTGTTATCAATATGTTTAAGACAAATGTATCAGCTAGGCCTGGGCAATAATCAATTAATCAATTCGCCTTGTGCATGCGTGTATTTGTTGTCCTCGTCTTGCGCCTCCAAACACGCTGGATGACAAGAGGGTTCACTCTGTGCATCAGTCTCAGCACCTGGGCGCGTCTGCACCCTGCTCTACATCCTAGGGTGCAGGACAAAAACTGCACCTCGAGATGTAGAGCCATCGGCCCGACAGTCACGCTTATTGAAGCGTTTGGTCGACAAAGCAGGTACAGTCAAAACAGCGCAAAATGGTGTGCACTCACAGGAAGGGTAGTCGGCTACATCGCCAAAGAAATGCTGCCATTTAGTACAGTTGAAAAGCCAGCATTTGAGAAATAATACTGACTGACAATACGAATTGTGCTCCAGAAAATATCACATAGGTGGTTATTTTGGTCTCGATAATGTCAACAATAATATCGTTTATCGTCAATAATTCGTGGCACAATATGTCGTCCAACAATATTTGTTGTCGTCCCAGGCCTTGGATCAGCCTACATGACAGTTTGGATAAAGCCCCACTGAGCATTTTTTGGTCTAAAAGAGGTCTAATAGACGTCTAAATGTAGCTCAGACGACTGGTCTAAAATCAGGCTACCACAGATTTAGACGTCTAAATTTAGACCAAGTTTGGACCAAGTCTTAATCTGGGTTATATCTTAACTACACTGTATTTTGCTCGATGACTATCATTATTATTTTCGTTAAGTTCTTGGAGATCAGTTCTGCAACTTACAGTTGCTTTTTGAGATAAATAATTATCGAATTATGGGTTAAAGTGCAACGTCTAAATTCTGTCTAAAAATATACAGAATCTAGACGGTTGAAATTAGGTCTAAAAAAAAAACTAGACGTCTAATAGCCGTCTATTGCTCAGTGAGGCGTTATTGTGCGATAAGCATTTGATGTTGTGATGATCCTTCAGAGGATTAGCACCTTAATCTGAAGCTCGCTTTGACATAATTCATCTTTATACCGTGTTTAATCTGGTAGTTTGGTTATTTTGATGCCCTTTGTCATAGCTAGAAGTGTATTTCACATTAGCTTTAGCAACATAGCGTTTAATGAGAGTAGCACAAATACCATTAGCTGTTAGCATGGGGGGGCTGAGTGGTTTTGAGAGCTTTCTCAAATCAGCAGCTAAAATGAAGTTTGTTTGTTTTTGTTTTTAACTGCTGCAGTAAAAGAACAATCAAGCCTCCGTGATTATCGAACTGAAGACCTCACTGCCTCTTTCTCATGCAGTCAGCAAAGGAAGAAAACAGTCACACACTCAGCACACGCATGCATTAGTGTGTGTAAGTGTGTTTTTCTTCCTTCGCTGACCGCATGAGTAAGAGGCATCGATGTATGAAAAATGATAACCGGAACAATTATGTGTTACTAATGGACTAATGAGTGTGTGTGGGGGAGGGGGGTCATCAAAGTGAACGGTTTCTGGTCTACCCCTGGGTTTTCCATCTTTTATTATTTCATTTTTCTCATCACTTATCCCCCCTCCCTCCATGCATCCTGCTCTGTTTCTTATACCAGTCCCATCCCATCTGTCCATCCCCCCCTCCTCTACTTTCCTCCTGGATACAGACAGGGAATTTATGGAGGGAGGCTTGAACCCAGTTTCACCCCTCCCCTGTTGTCTCTGAGCAGATCAGCACTACATTCTTGATGTCTGTACGTGTATGTGTGTGTGTGTTTGTTTGAGGTGTTCCTACGTAATCCTTTCCTCCGACTGGGTGACCACACTATGCCCCCACAACACATGCTCCGTACTCTTTGTCATCTGCAGCACATTATATTTATCAGACTGACCCACACATACACATTTAAACACATACACACCTCTGGACGGGGCAGCTGGGAGCTCCAGCAGCGTTATGATTGCCATAAGCGTTTTAGGGTCCTAATCTCATAATCTGTCTGTTGTGGTATTTGGTGCTTTCTCTCTGCAGCGTCCGGCAGCTGGAGGAGACACTATTGGTTGACGTCTGTGTGTCGTAAAGGTTTTAGGTTTGTTTCTTTATCGGGCGGCATAAGAACAACACGCAGATATTATTCTGTGTGACATATCCCGTGCCAGCAGCCGTGACAGCTTTTAAGTAGTTGTGCTGTCAAGGTTTTGATGGATCTTTCAGCAACCATCAGTGCTGCTGTTTTTCTTTTAAGCTGCTCATGTCCGCCGTCCCCGCTTGTTACGCGGTTATTTCTGTCCTTTCCTTCTTGTTTGTGCAGATTTGTGTGGTGAGTTTCAGCACCCTAGTCCAAGACTCTTTTGCAGCTTTCAAGAGGAGACTGTTTGTACCTTTGTGATTGTTTTTTATTTTATCACAAAGTTTAGGTTTTGTTTGCAAAGTGAAGTGATGGTTTCTATTACAAAGCTGCCTAAGGGTGGCGGTGGTACACAGCTGTGTGATGACAGAGGAGTAAAAGGGGTGAATGGGGTGAAATGAGCCTATGGTGCTCTAGAGTGTCATTTCCACTCCGTGACTGACAACTCTTTGAACTGAGCTTCTCCTGCTGCAACAAAATATGTCTTTAAAGGTCGCAGCTGCCTGGAGTGATGGTTCTGTTTTTGGGGACCTGCATAAATCAAGCTTAAAAATAGACAGGAACGCAGTGGATGCTGTCAGTACTGAATTAATCTGATGATCAAAAGAAGATCAGTCCACTTTAGTATTTATAATCAGTTTATTCTTTGAAAGGATCAAGAACAAACCCACCACTCAAGATGGATGGATAATGTAGATTCATTTCTAGAAAGACAGTCTGAACAACAACTTGGCATAATGTTTGCATTTAGCATTTAGTCTTAAAAAACAAGTCCCTTGACTTAATGGATGCCACTAAATTATCCATCTGTTACCTCTTTAGTTTGTTTGGTTCAAAACATTTGTAGGTTGAAGCTTCTTGGTTGGGGCACCATTGGATGATTTGTTTTTAAGTCGTAAATCATTCTTTGTGTCAAAACCAGAAACCAAATCAGAGCCCCTTTGCATATTTTTCATCCTTGGTCAACAATATCATAGAATTGCAATTTAAATCGAATCGGCATCCAAAAAAATTGTAAAAGAATTGAGAGAAAAGCATGTTGTCTCAGCCCTACTATCTTATCATAATTGATTTTATCATTATATCTTATTATATCCTTCAAATCTTAATGTGTCATATCGTATCATGTCTGATTTGATTGAACTGAAAAGAGACAGATAAGCGCTTCATAGACCATGAGTATTAGATTACACTGAGTTTGTGGGACTTTAAACAAGTCAACTTGGATACCTCAAGCAGCCTTAAAAGATCCCTCAATTTTCAATTGAATATTGAAAAGGTCGCATTGTTCTGTTTTACGGTCACATTGTCTCCTTCTTTTACCATTGTATACCAAATATTTATAACCGAAATCAGTTTGTTTTTTCAGTTTCTTAAAAAAAAGAGCAAGCTTTAATTTTAGTTTTCCACGTTTCCGTCAGGCTGTTTAATGGTGGTAAGACAGCAGGTGAAAGTGACAAGTTAAAATTTCAGAATAAAAGCAAAATCATTGTTAATTATTCCAAGTTGGACCCCAACCTCCTCAGGAAAACTCAACAGTTAACTCCGGTACCCTGAACCTAGAGCCCTCACCATCCTTGATGCCCACATCCTGAAAGAGACAAACAGAGAGAAGAGTGAAGGTTGGTGTCAGAAAGATCAAGAAACCTGTTTGGGAAACAGCTCACCTCCTGTGGGTCAGACTGTGCCTCCCTTTGCTCCCTACTTTTCACCAAAGTGGATGAAGGACAGGAAAGGCAGAGCCAGAGAAACTGTGAGTCAGGCTTTGCCATTTCACTGTCAGCCAAGAAATTTTTCATTTTGCACCCAAAGACTTCTTTGATAATGGACGATTCATCCGAGGTCTCGCGCTGTAAATGAGGAAAGAAAAATCACACCTAAAGTGGTTCAGTTGCACATTTGTAGAAAAGAAAAAAGCTGGATTGCAGATGAGTACATTCAGAAAACTAAAGAAATAAAATTCAGCTGAGTGTTGAGTTCACCGGCAGGCTGCTGCTCAATGGGAACACCGCATGTATATCTGAGTGGCTCTTGACCTTTTATGCACGTCCCGCCCGCTCTGCCTCTCATCTCTCCTGCCAGTCACGATCTCACTCTAGAAAGAAAAAACGACTTGAAAATGTCAGTGATCCATACAGAAACACACAGCGGAGTCACATTTGTGCATAAAGCACACCAGGCAGGTGATTGAGTTCACATTATACCTTCTTTAAATGGCACGATAGATAACAGAGTATCAGTGCAAGTTTGTGTCTATTCTCCTCTTTGGTGAATCAGCTTCATTTTGTTGTCACTGCTGTATGCTCTTGTGCTGTTCCATTATCTCTCTCCACACATGGTTCTGAGTGAACAACACCCACCATTAAATCTAAATAATTAACTCTTCTTGAACTTTTATGTGCAACTTTGATCTTTGCTGTTATTAAACTCCAGTCTTTGGCTCTAATGCACTTCCACCTCCTCAGTTCCTCGCTCCCTGCTGAGTCTTTACCCCCAGACTGCATGATAATCTCCTCACTCAGTTGAAATATTAAACTGTGAAACCACTATGAGGGAAAAGGAAGAACGATTGCCCCCCTCTTCATTTTTCTGTGTTTTTCTTTCACTCTTTAGCCTTTTTGTTTCTCTAACTGGGTGTTTTTCCTTTTGTTCAAGCGCTCCGAAAATTGCCATTCTGCTGGTAACATTATGGTAATATCTTAGTGAAGGCTGCAGAGCCATGAGTCGGACAGAAGTCCGCTGAGACATCAGTTTGTAAATGGCACCCACAGTGTGCATTTGTTCCTCTACTGTGAGAAAACATCACCAGGAAGCTTGAGGAACTGAAGGTCTTTGGCATGTAAATAATGAATATTAGTCATAGTATATTCCTTTGGCTACTATTATAGAGGAAATCGTTGTTTTCTGGGTTTATAGAGGGTCATTTTTACCTCCTTATGAGCCCATAAAGCTCTACAACCATTTATAATAACACAAGTGTTTTTTTCCTGTAAATCTTGGCTGAGTCTTTGTTCCCAAGCCCAAGAACAAACCTCAAAGTCCTGCCACCATCCCAGCTGATACGACACAGTTATGATTTGTGACAATAGCTGGCCGCTTTCCCATGGTCGCCTTATTCACACATAGCTGTACAACCCTCTGAGCTTGTATTATCACAGGAGCAGCTATCAGTGAAAAAAAGAACGTAGTCTTTTGCTCCTAAAAATAACAAATGGAGCTGAAATAACCGGCAAAATCCTGTTTGTATGGTAACCACATTCCAGCGCCGCAGCATAGGTGGCCACTCTCAATCACAGTCCGGCGAAATAATAGACAAATCAAAGTAGTGGAGCAAGTGGGGAACTTGTCCTCAAGCTGTGAGATAGAGCAAGGTTGGAAAAGAAAGAGAGTGAAGAGTGCGGTTGAAAAGACATCCTTTCTGTCTGTGAATGAATTCCAGCCTGAGGTACTTTTACAGTCAAAAACAGCTGCTGGTGATGCTTTATGAGGCTGAGTTTTTTACTTTGTTTTGTGTAATTTTCCCAAGAAGCGACAAAAATTCATAGTACAGCTACAGGTTGTTTTCTTTCATATTTCTGATAATATTTTTCACCCGCAGCACCAAGAAACAGCAAATTAACTCAAAGTTTTCATTGCTAGTGTTTAAAGATTGCTGGAAATGGTGAAGTTCAAAGACTAACTGATCAGAAAGCTGCACCTGTAACCTCTCCAAACAGTGAGTGATGGCGTACATGTGTTCATCGCTGCATTAGAGGTTAGAGTTAATCTTCTGGAGATCAGCGGAAACACTCTCTTTAAACAGTTCTCGGACTAAGAGCCTAAAAGCTAGTCCCTTGAAGGGGCCCCTTTTCTGCTTAAATGCACCCTTCCAATGAAAACACCTGTGGCTGGAGACTTGGGTGTGATGATGATAACAGAGTTTGACAGGAGAAGCACGTAGGTTTCAGTTTTTTTAGTCTAAGTTATGGCCTATTACATACTTTGTCAAAAAAAATATGGGTTGCCAATGATTTAGTGTCTAGTGTGTTTTTCCACCAACTTGTGATGTTTTCTAAGAATTATGATCTCCTCCGGCTGTTTGCAGTGTGAACACGTGGAAAAGTGACAAGTTCCTCCCAACTGCTCCAACTATTAAAAAGTTTCTCCTGACCCATCCATTATTGGATGCAAAATTTTATATTTTGAAGATTCAGAACTCTTTTTTTTTTTTTTTTTTAAAGAGCTTCATGTTTATTTCTTTGTGTTTGTTTGATAAAGTTTTTCTTATTTTATTTTTCAGCTGCCGACAGCTCAGCCTGAGTTGCATATTTTTTAGTTTAGAAGAAGCTAATGTAGCCCCATGATGATGACCTTATCATATCTTATCATATCTTTTCATAATGTATCCTATCTTATAGGGGTGGTGGAAAAATTTATTTCGCATAAGTATCAAGATTTTTTGTTTTACAATTTTCAAATGGATTTTTTTGGTCAAAAATTGATTTTTTTTTTTTTAAGTATAAATCTTAAAAACTGACTTACATGTGGTGTGTATTTTTTGTGGAAATATGGTTCCTGGAATAGTCAGTAGACAATCATAATCATTCAACTGTTTCACTGGTGTTAAAAATGCAGAATAAAAATCAACAATATCATAGAATCGCACTTTGAACTGAATCAACATCCAAAAAATCGTAGCAGAATCGAATCGGGAGAAAAGCATATCGTCCCAGCCCTAATATCTAATCATAATTTTATCATTATATCTTATCTTATCCTTCAAATCTTAATGTGTCATATCGTATCATGTCTGTTTTGATTGAACTGAAGAGAGACAGATAATGTTTGGAGCGGTGAGTTTGGGAAAACATGCAACAAAGAGCCAAGGTGGGACTCAAACTGCCACTGTTATGAGGACTACAGCCTACAGCTAAATCAGCTCCCATATGGTCAGTCTTCAATTTTAGTTTCTCACCAAGTAGTGGTAAATAAGGGCTTAGTAATTTGACCATGAGTATTACATAACATTGAGTTTGTGGGACTTTAACCAAGTTGGGTACCTCAATCAGCCTTCAAAGATCATGTAACTTGCTGAACAAGATTCAGAGAAATGAGTCAGTGTCCTGGAAAACTCTTCATTTCACTGGATTTATTCTGTGTGATGGTGTCACTGGAATCATTTAGACATGATGTACATGTGAAAAAGTCTTTTAGATATGTAAGGAAACAAATACATTTTATGAACTGTACTTACTTTTGCTATAGAGATTGCCTGGTGTGTGCTGTTTGCTGTCGCTGTGTGCAGCTGTACCAGAGCTGCTGGTGATGATGTTGTCATGGTGCTACTTCATCCGGCTGCAGCAGTTAATGACTTTGTTGTCGGTGTGGAGAAGCAAGAGAAGCATCATGTGCTTGAGGCTTAAGCGTCTTTCTGTCAACTGCTGCTGCTTTCTACTGTACTGCATAATAATGTATTTAATGTCATACAGATAACCTTCCAGTCCATCAACGTTGATTGTGCTTTTACTGGTGTGGCTTACAGTTCTCACAAGTGATTACACGCTGCTCTCCTCTGTTGAAATGTCAGCAGCAGCTGTTTGAGTGTAACAGCAGTCCAGACACGCCTCGGTTAATCTGGTCATCTGAACATTTAAATGCCGCCTTGTATGTCGGCTTTAATGATTCTCTCTCGCACCGCCCCACATGGACCTTAATGACCTATAACTGGAACCTAAGTGAGTGTTGCTGCAACCTATCTATGGATGCGTACTTATGCACACTTACTCAGCCTGAAAGAGCATAAAGGTCCCTGTGAACGCTGTTGTCAAAGAGGTAGAGAGAACAAATTTCAGTTCATGTAAATGCTGCCGAAGGATATGATAAACACCTTTTTTCTGTAACATTAGGGCAACAAAAGCCCTTTAAAATCCATATCTTACAGTTAAACCGCAGATTTAATGTTTGCCTGAGTCTATTTCTGCAGCTGGTGGGCAACATTTCTGACCTGACTGGACTGTCATGTGATGTATCTGGCACAGGCAAACACGCTCATGCACGCACAGCACAGACAGACTCTGTTTGATTCCCAAACTTTGGCACTCGTACAACAGTCACGTCCCCTCTGCTGCAACATCAGATGACTAAAGGAGACCATCAGCTGATCCTGGTTAATATCATTATTAAATATAAAATCTGACTAAGTTCAACGCTGACCTGAAAAAGCTTTAGGCCTAGTTGTGTTTTTAGTAAATTATTCCCCATGTGAGGTCGTCTCGTGTCTCAGAGGAGTTTGATTATTTAGGTCAACGCTTCAGGCAGCTAGATTATTTTTGGTCAGGAAAGGTCTTTGTAGTTAGGGGGGGGAGGCAGAAATGGACCAAATGTTGACCTGTAAGCTTTCTGAGATGATTGATGAAATGATGGGCTCACTGCTAGCCAGTAGATCTGCTCACCTCATGAACAAACATATGTCAAACTGTTGTAGCTGTTTGTGTCACACAACCCACAGGCATAGGGCTGGACGATTATGGCAAAAATAATAATCACAATTATTTCAACTGATATTGAAATCACGGATAATAAAGATGATTATTAAATCAAAACTTGAGTATTTATTGAACGACCAACATTTAACTTTAGGTATAAAACGGGGGGTCGACTGTGTGAGTGTCGAGTGACTCACGGAGCTCACAGGAGGGGTGTGAGGGTGTGTGTGTGGGGGGTTAATCAGCTGTGTGATTGCCGACAATAACTTGCTAATGCTAATACTGCAGTGTCCGTGTCCGCGCGCATATACTGATACAAATGAGTCCGAATTAGAGCCACGTAAATAAAAAAAAAAGCCTTTTATTTAGCCGTGATGGTGCGACACAATCAATTGCACATAGAGGAAACATTAAAGTTGCCTTGGGGAGCAGACACGACAGCGTAACAAACAACTTCCTTTTACTTGATCTCCGTCAAATTGAAGCCAAAATGTTTCTTAAGTTGTCCTACCGTACTTCTCAACCAAAAGCGGCCTTTCTGCCATGTTTTTAACTGCTCACTCTTCATATTATTGATCCACACACGCTTGCTGCAGCTGCACTTAGCAGGGGTGCATCCAAGGTGTTTTCCCAGCACAGGAACTTACTTACATGCTGCACCATGCGGCGCATTAATCATCTCTCTTCGATTATAATGTTTTTATGATGTAAAAAGCTAAAATCAAAATAATGATTAAAATTCGGTTAATTGCTCAGCACTAGTCAGACAGTATATAATAGTAGTGGTAGTAGAAGTCTGTCAAAAGGCTCAACCTTGACTTCACTTCTGAACTGGTAACTTCATCTTCACTCTTTGTCAGTGTTACTAAAATGTTTCTGTTCCTTCAGGAATTTTCCACCACTGTGACCCCTCTAAAGAAGTGTCACAAAGAGTCATTGTTCACACCTGCATACTCACCATTGACCAAGCCATTGATTCTTTTTGGACCTGAGGTGTCATGGCTGCATACCTGCATCACTCATGCAGCGTTGACACCTCTGCACTTCACATTGTTTCTTTTGTGTGTTGTCTGTGTGATGGGTTTCCTGGAACCACGAGATTGTGACTGTCAGTATTTAGTCAGAGCAGAAGAATGTTATTTACCCCTCAACAGGTGACAGACTCAAGATGACAACATTCATAAAAGGCTCTCTGTTCGTGGGGTTTGACCTTCGCTGAATCCTCGGCTGTCAACTTAGTTACAACACCTTGTTTTACGTGATTGTTTTCTGGGTTCAGTTTCACTCAGTCCTATGTAGAAACCATACATTGTTATCTGCTTACTCGTTTCATTTTAGAGTCTCAGGCAGAAATAACTTGAACTTTTCAACTTGCACTCTATCATTTTGGCAGAAAAACAAGCTGCAAACAGCATCTGACATATAATCACCTTCAGGGACTAATATGCTGGCAAGCTGTTGCCTGCCACAGATCCAGCAGATGGAGAAAAATGAACTTATCTAGGGTATACTTGTTGGATTATAGTAAAACATTTGTGTGCTGTGTTTGCATCTACCTTGTCTGTCTCTTCGGCTACTCGGTAAGAACACAGTAGTCAGTAATGACAAACACAAGAGACAACTATACAGATGTCGTCTGTCTTTGTGATTAGGGCTGGGCGATAAACTGAAAATTTACTGTTTTTACAACAGTAACCAATGTCATTTTGCCCATGTCAATATATTCAGTGTCAAATAAATAAATATATAAAAGTTGGTTTTGGATGTGTGTAGGTAGGCTATGGTCTCACGTCCCTTTTAAGACGCTGTCCTACGTTGGAGACATGACTCCACCCAGGTGAGGAGATGGAGGACGGTTCAAAAGTTGTATCGGCTGGAGCTATCGTTTATCGTTATCGAGGTGTGCAATATATCCTGATATTGATATGAGGCTGCATCGCCCAGCCCTATTTGTGATGAAAGTCCTGTTTCCTATTCCAATGACACCCATAACTATTTCAGGCTATTTCATAACCACCTTAAAGCCCCTCATATGAGCTTTAAAACAACTTACAAAACTTTCAATGGCATAACAATTTCCAAACTCCCTGTGCCGTCTTTTAGCACCTTCTGGTGTGTTCCCACTGAAGGGTCTGGTGCAGTTTGGTAGGAAAAACCCTTATCTTGCTTGTTGTTCTACAATAGATTGTACCTTACCCTGGTACTTCACCCAGGGAGCGTGTTGGTTGTGTGACAGCCTCTGAGCAGCTTGAGATTGCATGTTGAGAGACGTTATTCAGACCACCAGCATGAGCAGCACGACTCACCTGATTGTTTTCTTTGAGCTGTGCAGATCTTAGCCGAAGAAACAAAGAAGAAGGATAAGCTGAAGGCTGTATTCGCTCTACACCTGTTATGTTCATATCACACACATAAAAAAACTAGATCCATTAATTGTTTTAATAGAATTATTTTATTCTGAAGTTGTGTCCTGCACAGTTTCTTGGTGCAAGTAACTCTCACTGCTCTCTGTGCCCCCGTCACCGCTCAGTCGGTGTCTGCGTGTGAACTAAGCACAGATTATGAACCCCTGACAGCTCCTGGAAGCGTTTCCTGAAGCGAATAAAAACATACACAAAATGAAATCATAACTCACTGAGGTATTTAAGTTTACTGATCAAGTTAAATCAGGTGGTTCAGTTCCCGACAGAAGGATGCCATTAAGGAAGGAGAGTATGGATCACTTATTTTGGCACTCTCTTCGACTTTGGACAAAAAAGACACTCAAATAATTGCTTACTGTAACCAGACCTTGGTGAAAACACGGCTTCTGAGAAGCCTTTTACCGGTGGATGAATCAGCCCTCGCTCTCTGAAGAAACATGCACTTTTCCTTAACATTTGAGATAACAAGGCCGTCTTTCCTGGAGTCGTTTTACCTTCTAATCGAGCTACAAAAGACCAAATCCTGACCTCAGCTAAGAAGCAACTTCAAAATCTTTTTCAGACTCCACATTTACATGCGCGTCGTTCCGCTGTTGCCTTAAATAAACATGACTGCACTTTTGATATGAGCTTGTGTGATCAAGCAGATTTACCTGCGTCTCACATTTTTCCTGCTCAGACTTTGGGATTTAAAACATGCTCCGTCTAAACCAGGTAATAGGACATGTGATGAAAGTGGGATTAAAAACATGCCTTTAATCTTAATATTGAACCCGAGCTTGTCATGTAGACGCGGGATTAAGTAGCAAGTCTCATGAATGTTTACTGCAAATCTAAGGAAAAAAATTGTTTAGAATATTCCCATTTTGGACCTTTTTAGTGTTTTTTATTTGACTGTTATTATGACAGTATAGAGGTCTGTGAGAGGCTGAATATTTCAAATGAAAAAAAATCCAATTCAGATTTGAGTATTGCTACTTTACACACGATGACAAGAAAATAAACAGCCAGATAGAAACAATACTGTATGATTTGGCTCAGTGTTTGACGCCTGCAGCCAGATGTCGTCCTGCTTCAACAGTAGTTATCCTCCTCACTGAACCACTTCCTATAAACATGTTTTCAGTGCACCATAAGGGACAATTTAGCAGGTTTCAGGCACGTGCTCGCAACCTTCAGGGGTTTGTTGGAACACGTCGGTCTGTTTTCAGTCATTTGTAGATGTAAAATCATCACTGTAAGATCTCCTTTTTGGTCTGTTCCAGCTGAAGTCTGATTGTTTTTGTTGTGTAACCAATCTGCTGCATCTTTTATAGTCTCTTTTCCGGTCGTCATCTCCTCGCTTCTTTACTCTTTAATTTGTTCCTATTTTTATCTGTAACTCTTGTCACAGTGCTTCACAAAGGATGTGAGACAGACGAGGCTCAAAGGTGCTTTTGATAAAGTTTCATTTGCGTTTATGATCTTAAAAAAATCAGGATAGGAGAGACACTTTTATAATGAAGGTTTGGCGCTTTAAAAGCCTCAGCCCTTTAATGAGAGTCTCAGTGTGTGTGTGTGTGTCCTACTTCTTGGCAGTTGGCTCATAACCGTTGTTTTACGTAACACACTTCATCCCATTTTGTCTGCTGTTGCCATGGTGAGGCTAATTTATACAGGCATTAAGAATTAGGCTCCTGTTGTTAGCATGCACGGTGAGCTGACGCTGGTTTTTACACGTTAATACACACTCATGCATCCTTGGAAATGAGCACGCACACTCTCAGGGGATTATTCAAGAGCCAATGTGAGTATGACTTGGTGCGGGTGTGTATGTGTGTGAGAGAGAGAGTGAGTGTGTGTGTGCAGCAGTTTTTGTGAGGATGTTCAGTTTGTGTTTGCAGCAGTAGATGAGAGGCTGAGGTTGAATTTTGGTTGTTATTGGTAAGATATTGCAAAGTTTGATGTGTACATTAACAAAACATCAAATATCTTCTTGAAAATTTCAGCCCATTTTGCACATTTTTGTTGTCACAACACCTCCAAACTTTTTAAAACTCTCTCTTTTTAACTCTGAATGCCACTTTATAACTTCCTGTTCATAAAAGTAGTTAAAAGAAGGAAAAAGGCAATGAGTCATTTTGTCATTGAGGAGAAAAAATGGAGGCGACCTTGGTAGGAGGAATGAATTAGAAGTCTGAATCACCCAATGCAAACTACTTAACATGAACAGAGACGTAGACAAAGACAGACTTATTATTTTGTGTGTGTGTGTGTGTGTGTGTGTGTGTGTGTGTGTGTGTGTGTGTGTGTGTGTGTGTGTGTGGTTAAGACTGTGGCTGACAGAACATAGCCTGTGAATTAACCCTTTGCATCACATATTAAACCTGTAATTAACTACAAATTATTGTTTTATTTATATCTGCTTGTAACTCAGTGACAATAAACTAATGCGTGAGGATTCCAGTATTAGATTTAGAGATGAGTGTCTGATACTGAAGCCTAGAAGCTTCTTCTGACTAAAAGAAGTGAGAGATATTAAAAACAAATGTTGAACGTCAGTACTATACATGAGCAAAGTTTCAGATTGCGAGGTTAATGTGTTTTGAAGTAATCCCTTTATTGGACGGCAGTCTGCTCTGAATGGCTTGTTTATAAAGTCACACGAGAATTCAGCGAGATTCAGATGAGATCACCAGACAGTAAATCGCCTCTGGATTGATGGTCGGGTCAGAAAGTGTATCCCATAAGATATTGATGCTCATGTTCCATAAATAAGAAACACTTCGACTTTTTTAAACCACCTAACAAATGTTTGATATTAACTTTAGTTGAGTAACGATTAGACTTATAAAACTAAACCCTAGACATGTACCAATTTCCAAACAAACCTCGCTACAAACAAGTGGCTGCTGGAAGAGAGTAGGTGAGTTGTGTTTAGTCTCTTTGCTAAAGAAATCAGGCAAAGCTAAAAAGATGTTTGGTGGCTAGTACTATGGCTGGGACCCTATATGTACTGTTGATGAAGTTAGGTGCTGTTCTGAGCATTTTTTGTGGCTATAGAGTGGCGTTTTGGTTGAGGTTTGTTTATGGCTCCTCAGACCGCTGTGTATTGCTATTGTGCGGTCGTTACTAAAGTTGGTAAAACTAGAGAAGCAAGCGGTCTGCAACATTATACTACAATTTTGGCGTCATAAGTGATCAGTTCGTCTGTTGTTTTGGTGTTAGGATATACCGTTATTAGCACATCATGATACTAAAGAGCCTCCTTCCCTTCCGTTTTCACTCCAGCTTATCCAGCCTGTTTGTTCCCCAAACCACTAAAAACACATGCACACAAACACACACAGACACACACACTCATCAAGGGTTATTAAAGGGGTCTGGTATAAGAAGCAGGACACCTGATGTAATCTCAATTTGTCTTTGTACCTCTAAGGTCCATGTGCACTAATGCATTAGCCTCCCTCCCTGTGTGTTTGCGTGCACAAATGCATCGGAGCAGCATCCCGATTAATCTAAACACACTGCACATTTAAACACACTGCTCACACACCTCGTTGAGGGCATTTAAGGCTGTTTAGCGTGAGAGCACCATAGAAGAAGAAGAAGCAGTGAATGGACTCTGACTGGCAGCTGAATTCAACATGGAGAAATGCTGGCACTGATCCAGAGCGCACTGCAAGTGGGCATTGTTGTTCTTGTTCTGAAAGCCTCTTTAGACGAGATGAACGGTGACACTAAGAGGTGCAGAGGAAAGGTATTTATGATTCAGCGGCTGAACTCAAGTCTTTATGAGGGGGTGTGTGTTCCTGTGTGTGTGTGTGTGTGTGTGTGTGTGTGTGTGTGTGTGTGTGTGTGTGTTTGTGTCTTTTAGACTTTGGGAACACTGATTCAAATGTTTTGAAGGGGCTTACTGAGTCTGGGAAAGGTTTTGAGGCTTAGATGCGGGTCTGAGCGTTTAGTAAGCCAAAACAGGAAAGTAAAAACATGCAGTATTGGTGTGTACGACAAATTTCTCACTCTTAAATACAAATCATTCAATGAAAATTGAGATATTTGTTGATTTTACTTGACATTATAGTTTTGATTTTGACAAATCATTCAGTAGTTTAGTCTTTTGTGAGTATACTGTTCCCCTGAGGTATATGTTGAGCTATTATCCTGTTCTGACTTGTGTTAGTGCCCTTTTTCCTGATTGAACAACCTGCTTGTACCTTTTTTTTAACACCTAAGTGTTAAAGAGACATGATAAATGAAACCTACATCTATCCACATCGTCCCATCCAAAGTAGCTAAAGTGCAGAGTCCTGTCTCTCCTGTTAAAGCATTATTAGGTAACAAAATGTACCGTCATCTACCGCCCACTGCTCTGCTCTCTTCTCTGAGTCAGACAGTCAGGGAGACAAATAAACTGACGAAGAAAACTGTGCTGTTGTTGAGCACCCAGATACCGAAATGGACCGAAATGCATCAGAGCATTAGAGGGAAAATTGCTGCTCTCCTCTAATGTCTTTCACCTGCAGTTAACTTTAGGAGGCATAAAAGGATAATGCAACTCTGCAGCCTATTTCCTCTCAGCAGAATGGAACTGTGATGAAAGCATCATGTTATTTTGTTTGCTCTGAATCAGTCATCAAGGTCCGTCCATGAGCAATGAATCAGCTCCAAAGCCTCCACACCCACTGTCCTGACTAGCTCTTTTTATTCCTCTGTGTTTATTAGCCTCATTCACATGGAGAAAGTAGAAGTAGAAACCCGATGTGACTTAGACAGCACCTCCCCTTTTGCATCTTTTAAGCAAAGACTATTTACTCAAATTTGCTGACATTTTCTTTAGACATCAAGTCAAGCCTGTAACACTTTGATAGGCAAAAAACACGATTGCTGAGCCTGTTAATGTTGAAAGACTTAGTTTACTCGATGCCACCATGCGTGACATGCATCTAATCCTCTCATGAAATGTGGCCCCTCTCATGGATTTGAGCTCGCTCCTTCTATGGATCGGTGTCCATGCTGTGCAGAAGATGAGAGGGCTGAATTAGCATCCAGAATGCTGCCATGATGACTATTTTTAATTGCAAGCAAAGCCTTAATATAATTTTTAATCCTGCAAGGACACAGAGATCAAAACACCATGTAAAAAAATATTAAAATTATTAAAATTATGAACTTTTAAAACAACTATGTTAGCATGGAGTTATCTAGGTTCACATTCATTGATGACAGAATACAACAACCATCTACATTGAGTCAAATTTATAACTTTTGTAGGTAATCTTTCAGTATAGCATACATTTTTTTTTCCTTATTAAGGTCCTTACACACCGGGAACGACACAAATATACGACGCGAAATTAGGAAATATTCCGAGGCGAATTTTGACACGCCTGACCATACACATCAAACGCAATGCGATTTAGCGACGGGAAAAAGATGCGTCCTGGGTGGAAGCAAGAAGACTAACACAACACCAGACTGACTGTTTTTCAGTTCTGATTAGACTCTAGTGTTGAGATGTCTGTCTGTCATGACAGCATGTACTGAGTCAGGGCCAGTAACAGATAAGCACATGGAACTATAATCCATAAACGTAAGGTAACAACCGAGACCTAATGGTGCTGTGACAGCAACGCGACTGAGTTTGAGACAGTGAAAATACATATGGTATGTTGAATCTGAACAGGTTAGCTAACGAGCTAAAGTTACTTAGCGCAGATGAAAGTTAAAACAGAGACGTTTAGCAAACTGTTAAAGCACACAAACCATCGTCATATGAGAAATCCGACGCTATGATTCTCCACAAGTTGTCCTTCAGGTCGTTATCTTTGTAATATTTGTGTCTTTTATCAAACAGCACTCTGTTCTCCGACACGTAAACAATCAGCCGGTCGGCCATGTTGGATATACCGGTGAATCTTACGTCGCAACAACACGAAATCTGATTGGTCAGAAGTGGACACATGGTATGCAAAACTTAAAAAATTCGAGTGTGATATGAAAAAATAGATGCCGCAATATCGCAGGATGGGAAAACGTTACTGATGTGAACGCTTGTAATGACATAATAGGGGTTTGAAAAAAAATATTTGACGTCCAAAATAATCGCACAAAAAAAAGCTCCCGGTGTGAAAGGACCTTTTAAAGTTAACGTTATCAGTCAGCATTGTAAATATTATATGATTAAGTGTTACTGTGAAAAAAATGAAACTTTGACACTGACTGTGTTCATTTCCACAGGTTTGGTGCTAGCTGTTGTTACCTTGCAACCTAAACAACATCTCAACAATCCTCTATGTTCGAGCTATCTCCAGAACCCAGTGAGATATTTTTAGCAACATCAAACCAATCAAACAGATTGAGCTGTCTCAAACCAAGGTATCCAAACAGCTATCGGTGATTCACTTCTGAGTCAGAGCCATCAGAGTCCTTGATGTTAAAGTGAGCCGGCTGCTATAAATAGCCTAAACGATATCAGTATCACAGGCCTTTTGTCCCCCAACCACAAAACAAGGCTCTAGTCTTTCCCCAGGCCCCATGTTGGGCCTTTGTTCAGCCCTCTGTCCATCACACTGACCAGAGAAGGGGAGGTCAGGTTGCTGGCTTAATCTCTTGTAGGAGTGAGGTGTCTGTGGACGAGGTATAACAACACAAGCCCAGCTCAAGTTGTCTCATATCATCTCGTATTGAATTTCCCTTCAGGGATCGATAAAGTTCTTCTTCTTCTACTTCTTCTTTTTCTTCTCTGCGTCGCCACAACAGAGTTGCTTCTTTTTTCAAGGTAACGAAATAAAGACAGGAAAATATATCTGCGGTAAAGATCACTCTCACAAACACACAGAGTGCCACACATAAAGAACCCAAAGTGCAGTGTTTAGCTTTCCTTTGGTTCAGCTGTGTTGTTGAGCAGGTAGCACTAAGGCTGGTTTGTCTCATTTGTGCGAGGAAGAGGAGCAGAGGCGGCAGGCAGGCAGAGCGGAGCTGAATATTGAGGCTTCTCCGGCTGATTCTTCTGCTTGTTAGTAGAGTTTAATTTGATTTGACAAATCTCACTCCCTCCTCCAGGCACTTCTGTATCCACTAAACTTTTCCTTCAGCTCAGCAGTGAAGTAATACAGATTAACGAGACAGAAGTGACACTTGTGCTTCCTCATCGCAGAGTTTCCACTCATCACTCTGTTTATATGTAACTTGGTGTTTTGGTCAGTTGAGTCAGTTTATACTGTTTGCAATTTCTCATCTCTTTTTCTGATGCTGCATCTGGGATCTAATATCTGTGGCTTTAATGTGATGAAAAATGCTGGTGTGCTGCAGGTCCAAATGATTATATGAGGCAAAGTCATATTTTCACTTTACTTTCTTTTTGGTTCTCCTTAAAGGGATACTCCGGTGTAAAATTAATTAAGGGTCAAACACACCGTAACACCGAGTTAGACACCCACTCAAGAGATGAATGTTGCCGACTGCTAACAGGGTCCCAGCCACAGCACTAGCCACCAAACATCTTTTTAGCTTTGCCTGATTTCTTTAGCAAAGAGACTAAACACAACTCACCTACTCTCTTCCAGCAGCTGCTTGTTTGTGGCGAGACCTCTGTCCAGTCCATTACGGACTACAGCGGGGTGATGCAGCTCAAGGAAGAACATTTATGATTATTTCTTCATGGAAATACAATCAGACTGAGACGCTGTAGTCCGTAATTGACAGGCCCATGTCAATTATATGTTATGGTGTTATATTGTATCATATATCATATCTTTTTATATCTAGTGGTTTTGTATCCTGGTATGATATTGTATCATACTGCTTTTTGTACCATTTTATCAGATCCTGTTGTAATGTTGCATCATAGCAAATGTTTGTATTTACAGCTGCAGGCGACTTACACTGAAAACTGGTTGAATATTGTCTCATCAAGTTTAGGCTCATTTCACAAATACTGGCACCCAAGGGGAGATCTTTAACTGTTAATTTGGTGTGACAGGGTCTAATACACAAAAATATTCTATAAAAACTTAATTATAGTAAAAGTAGTAAGTGTTCACATTTAGGAAACTGAAATGAGAGAATCTGGGAATGATTGGTGATCAGAAGTGATACCTCTTAATTTCTGTTAATGCATTTTTTGAAAAGAATGAGTTTTGCCCCTTCTAAGAAGAAGCACCTGTATTGTCTGTATTGTTATTGTCTTGTGTTGTGGTCTACAAAAAAGTCAGCATTATGTTCTGTTAGAGATTTAAAATGTTGGATGAACTCCTGTTAAACTTTAGACATCAAACTAATGCCGTTAGCTCCATGATCTGAGAAAATTCTCCACATGCTAGTTAAAACCATCATGAAGTTATCTGAGTCTTCCCTGCTGGGACTTTATCCTTGCTGCATGATTATCTGACAGCTTTAAGTGAATGTTTCAGTGTCTATTTTCAGCTTGCTCCCAAAGTGCCCACCAGAGTCGGTTCACATCTTAAGCTTAAAAAAGGTTAAGATCTGACAGGCTGCTAAATATAGGCACGCTGATGAAAGACTTTCTCAGTATCAGTGAGACAGATTAGATAACTCCGACATCACCGGGCGGTTTTGATTGGCTTATTTGAGGTTTATGTCTGATAATTTGGCCTGAATACATCACAAAACGTGCATTTTAACCCACAGCAAATCTATAGTCCAGTCCTCTGGCATGTTATGACTCCTGCTGTTGACTCGTGTGTTTCCTTTAAACAGCTGTCAGTCTGATGAATTACACTCTCAGAGAAGGGTACCTCTTCAAGTTAAAAAAAAACATGCGCTGAGTACACAGAGCGCTGAATGGAAAGTAACAGGACTTTTGTTTCTAAAGCCTGTCTGAAGAGGGAAAACATGGGACTGTAACAGCTGAAGTATGTTCGCCGTGGTGTGGTGACAGCAGGCCAGAGGAGTCCAGGCGTGTTAGCACAGGCTCTGAATGCTGCTCATCCACATCGTGATGCAAGCCTCACAGACAGTGCATACTTTGTTCTGCATAGCATAAAGCTCCTGCACTCCGTTTCACCTCTCTGTTGACATGGTCAGGGTGTTAATTGGATTCAAAAGATGCTTTTGTTCAATCTGTTATGTCTCGCTGACTCTGGTCCTGAATCTGTCTGGGTGCTGTCAGTGGATTTGTAAGTGATGGATCCGTGTTTTTTGTTTTTTTGTTTTTCTGCAGGAGTGTCGTCCCGTGTCCCAGAGATCATGGCGGCTGGCACCCACTCTCCTGGAGGGCCGAATGGCATAATCCGGAGTCAGTCCTTTGCTGGGTTTAGCACACTTCAGGAACGACGCTCTCGGTAAGCAGAAATACTGAGAACTGATACTTAACAGGACAAGTTTTGTTTTCATTTCTGAAAGTGAAAACGGGTGCGTATATGCACTGTCTGTTGGTGCAGAGACAAGAAAAAGAGCATCAAGTCTGCACAATTATTCAATGCCACAAAAAGTTTATTAGTGTGTAGAAGAGTCTGTGCACTGTGTTTAGTTTTTAAATATAGCTTCACAGACCTTGTGAGAATAAACTAAATGTCTTCGAAAACTTCCTTAAAAAGTAAAAACTCCAAAGTGTAACCTCTTAAATATCTAACAGCCTCATAACCAGTGGAGTCTCTTAAATATTAATGGTTTGTAGTGCACTTCTGGTCACTTGTTTTGCATAGCAGAGTCTGAGTTGTTCTGTAGTTTACCCCAGGCATGCCAGAACATCTGCTCCTTGGTATGAGTTGGATATGAAAGCCAGTATCTGCTATTCACAATTTTATTTAATGTGTGACTTTTCCTCAGATCAATTCTCAGTTTGAAAAGCAGTAACCATGGTTACTACAGTCACTGAGATTCTTAACACCTGTTGGAGTAGAAAAAAATGAAAGACGTTTTATACTTTTTTGATGTTAAAGCTCCTGTGAGAATTATTTTGACATTTAAGAACTAGACTGAAATTCGAAAGATACTTCTTCAGGGTATCCAAAAGCAAATTAGACCCTCTGCTCAATGATTGATGATTTTTACATCTTGAATTTTAGAGCCTCAGAGCGATGGGGTACATGTCAGCCGAGCAGCTGAAGAAACAGCCCTACAATTACTGCGCCAAATGTTCACGATGAATGATATATATACCTGTGAAAAGTCAGCAGGATGAGATTTTTGAACATAATGTATTAACATGAAGAGAACAGAATAAGCAAAAACTGTTGCCAAAATTGACCCAAATCAAAAATCTGATTGCAGCTTTAATACTAGCTGAAGTAGCCATTGTCTGTCTTTTGAATACCCATAAATATTTAACAATTTGTTTATTTTAAGAAGCCATATATACACAGTCTGCTTTCTTTGTTTGTGTGCTCCTAATGTCAAATTGTAGTGCTAGTATCATAACAAGATTCAGGATCGTCTACACAGAAGGAAAGAAGATGAAGAAACAACTTCATGACACCCAGCAGGCCACTTCAAGTCTTGGAAACTGAACACTGAATAAATAGTGATCAGCGCGTGATCTTACTTTTTAAAATGAAAATAAAAGGTTAGGAGAGGTTTTAAATCACTTAAGTTAAAGTTACAAACTCAGTCTCTGTTCAAGTTTAACTACGGTTAACGATCCTCACTCCCTCATCACATGACACAAAAGACGTCTCATAACCCTGAGAACGAATAATAAAATTTACATGATATATCTACTTTTGATGGCTGTCTGTCCAGAGCAGACTTGTCCCTGCTCAGAGTAACTATTTGGAGACACTGTTGCCCCTCTTTTCTCACTCAGACAGCGAACAAGGTAATTGGCTGGAATGATTTGGGTGTGTGGGCGACTGACAGCGACTGACAAATAACCGTTCTGATAATGAGCGAGAGAAAAATCTGCAGGAATTCAGCTCTCGTCAGTGAGCGTGGTCTTTCCATGTGTGAACCCATGTGCATGTGCATGTGTGCGTTTATGCATGCATGCATTCTGCACACTTTGCAATCAGAAGTCATGGACTTGCGTTTGCATCTTTGCATGTATGCAATTTCCTGCCGAGAGACCCTTTGCACACTACAGCTCATGTGACCCCCAAGGCTACACGGTGCTCTCATTCAGCGCTGCCCTACATTTGTGGCAGCTTAGCCTCACTTGTGCTGTATTTGTTGGCATGCAGGAAGACGTGGCACGTTCCCACTTGTCGAGCGCTGGAATTGGTTGTCGCCTTGTAGTGAATCCAGGATCATTTTATTACGATAGAGGAAATGACATTTGTCATCTTAATCTGTAATGAGTTTAAAAAAGCTGAAATATGCATAAGTGGGTAGAGATAAGTGTGACTTAAAATGAATTGATGTGAGGAGAGAGGATTAAAAGGTGGATTTTCTGTGTAACAGAGAGGGATGATTTTTAATATTTGAGCACAAAAACTGGGTTTGGACGTATGAAACCAATTTCTTTTGACTTTTCAACTCATCTGTCAATTATTTGAAGTAATTTATCAAGAATAGGTGACAAACTTTCTCAGATTGAAGCTTGTTAGAGGTGATGATAGACTCAGTTTTACTGGACAGTCAATGACATTGATTCCTTTGAAGGGACCTTACATGAAAACAGAAGCTTACTTTTCATTTATTTCCTTTTTTTCTGAGGAAAAAGTGTCTTAAGTTTGCTTAAAAAAGATGTAAAATATGTGGGTTTTCTCTTTGAGCCCACCCACACCCCTACTAAATGTGCAAAATGGTGTATCCCACCCTGTACAAGTGATAGGATCAGACAGTCTTACCAGAGTCAAAGGAGTGAAGTGACTGATGCAGAACATGTCTCCCCCTAGAAAACAAAGTCAGGATATGAAATATAAAAGACAGGTGGGGTGGAGGAGGAGAGAGAGCAAGATGTGGGGTTGTTTTTGTCCAAATTCCTATCACAAACAAAAAGAAAACACAACTTTCAGAGTTCGAGAATGATTCAAGCTAATTTTTAGCCACCAAGATGTAAGGTTGTCATCTTGGTTTGCTGTGTGAGTCGCAAAAAATATAAATCCCAAAACTTCCTGGCATCATGAGTACCATTTCATGTTTTTTTTTTCAAGTCGACTTGTAACTGTATGCACGTGCTACAAGCTTATTCATCGCACCATAAAAATGAACCTTTGACTGCGGTCTATCGATACAAATCAGCTGATGAACCCTGACTTACTCTGTGTACATTTGTTTGGCATCCACTCATGAGCCAGTCAAGCTGATTCTGCTTAACTGCTGGAGGACTTCAGGGCCAAAAACTAGGAACACACAAATGTCATCAATGGTCCCCCCGGTGTGGGTTTGTGCGTTCACTCCAGCAGAAGTTCAACAGACACCACACCCGGGTCAAAAATAAAGAGTAGAGCATGTAAGTCCCACGTTTGCACTTGTGTGTTAACAATGTGTCCATGAGATTGATGAAGAGGTTTTACAGCGTTGGTTGTTATTAGACTGCTGTGTGCTCCTCTGACAGGTTTCTTTCTGCTGATGGTATTTGAATAATATGTGGGTTACATGTGTCAGTCCTGTGTGATTGAGTTACTGTCGGATGAACAGACTCGACAAGTCCACTCCAGCTGACAAATGAGATGAATTCATGCAGAAGCTGTGAGATGATACCGTATCTCATCTGATTCTACATTATTATGGAAAGCTGCAGGCCTGGTTATCTGGAGTTTGTGCTTAATTTTTATATGCGATGTAATCTCGTTCTTGTGTGAGTCATTCTGAATCTAGGCTTTTCATCGTCTGGCACTGTGAGTCTGACACCTCCAACTTTCCTGTGGTTCTGTTTTGTTCTTTGTTATTGATTCGAGGTTACAGCCATGTTGAGGTTTGAGATCAATTACCATTTTGAGGGCAAAAAGTCAAGTTTTACATCGGAAACTTTAAGTTAACCCTACAGCTGACTCTGTTTACATTTAGCTGGCACTGTCAGAAGTAAGCTGAAAGTGCTGTTGTCTGCTTTCAGTCCACCCATAGGTGTGTATATATAATCATTTCAGCGGCTAATTTATGATGAGTATCTTCCAAAATGTCGTGTGATTTCAAGCACATCTGTGAATGTTTATTCCTAGAGGTTCGAACATGCAGGTGGTACTGACTCATAAAAGAATTCATGTATTTTAAATTTTTCCGAGGTTCACTTATGATTATTTTCTTTGTGTGCGTAGGTGTAACTCCTTCATGGGGAACTCTGCGGTGCAGAAGAAGCCCCAGTCCAAGCCAAAGAAGCCCCACCTGTCAGGACACAAGGGGGGCAGCAGCTCCAGAGAGCCACAGCCCAAAAGACTGGAGGAGGTTTACAATGCACTCAAACAAGGCCTACTGTGAGTACCACACACACACACATGCATGTTCACTAACTCCTCAAACAAGCTTCACCATGAAAAATCTTGTTCTAGTCTATGATTTTGAAAATATTATCCATTATCTGTGCCATATAATAAAACAAAATGTTTATCTGATCCTTTATTGATAATGTGGTCATTATAGAATTTAGGACCTATCATTGTCATGGTTTTCTTTTCGTGCTCTTGCATCGCTGAATTGCTTTAACTTGAGCTGATTTACATGGATGAAATTTAAAACATCATTTTGAACTTGCTCTGAATCCTCTCTTTTTGTTCCACAGTGAATATCTTGAATTTCATCAAACAGAGCTGGAAAAACTCATGTCTCTGATGAAGGACATGAAGAGGAACTCTCGCCTGGTGAGAAGCTGCACATCAAAAACACACAAATACAAAATAGACACAGTTAATACTTGCCATGGCCACATCTTTATATGCTTATTCATTTTTCTTGTAAAAAGTAAGACAATAGAAATGATATTTTTATTATATACTATACAAAGTGTCTCCAAAGCTCAGCTAATAAGTTTTATCAGTTTTGTTCCCGTCACATAATAACTGGAGGGTTGAAATGAAGTTACATCACTTAAGGTTGTGATATTCTAGCTTTTTCCTCCTCTAAACAGAGCCTGACATTTACCCAGGTTTATTGGGGTCCATTATGCTAACCAGTCAGCTGAAAAGGGTCATATGATGAGCTTATTTTATGTTGGTATCAAAAAAAGAGGAGCTTAGTCCTATGGATTTCTAACAGAGTAAAAAAGTGTGATGTACCAAACTTCAATACTTTAAAGCTCTTATGAGGAGCTTTCTGTTTGTGTCCATTTTGGCGCCGCTGTTGGAAAAGCAATCTTCGCTTATTTTGTCATACACACAAGTTGCATCTTCTCACAACAACTCATCCCGTTGACTCTTGACTGTCAAATGTATTATTTATTATGAATAATTTAGGTGGAATAAACAGGGTTGTCTCTTTCACTGCCTGGCTTACACCTACATCTAGTTAGTGATGGTCTCTTTTGTTTTTGTATGTGAGTAAAAGACATTGGTATGAATTTCAGTCTGTTTCAGTAGAGTCAAAAAAGGAGCTTTAAGAATAAAATAAATAGATTTTTGTATGAGATTAGTCGCCACAATTCCCTTGTCATATAGAGTATAAACTCTATTTGATTCTATATGTCGTAGATAATACAGCGCCAGCAGCAATGACACTTTAATTTTAGCATCGCTGACTCACCCATAGCAAACACAATTTGATTGGTTTCAGTGCATGCATTCACTCAGTTATATAATACATACTCTAACACACGGCTGTTTTTGGACAGCTTTCATCTGCAGTCTGCGGCATTAAGCGTCACCTAAGTCGCCTCAGCTGTGCTATCCATCTGTACTAACTCTCTGATCGTGTGTGTGTGTGTTTATGTGTGTGTGTGTTTTTTATCTCCAGGGGGTGCTGTACGATCTTGACAAGGTGAGTTGATGGAGGGGAGGGTCTACTTTGACAAGCACTCTGACTTTCCTGCGTGTCGGGGGAATTTTTTGATGAAAAAAGAGATGACAGCGAGAGGGCGAAAAATGTCTCAAGGTGCACGAAAGACGAGGAAGGAAGGATGGAGTAAAGAAATCCGGGGCTTAAGGATGGGTAGCAAAAAAAAAAGCAAAAAAAAAAAGGATGAAGAGGGAAGTTTGAGTTTTAAGACAAGATGTATGACTCTATTGAAAATATTTAACATTATTGTCCCTCTTTTAGAGTAAGCTCAGGCTTGCAGACTGAGCCTCATTAAAGTCTAAGATAAAGATGCATGGATCTCTGTGATTGCATACTGTATGAATCCATATTTAAAGCAGGTAAATCATCCTTTTTGTCTTCTTGCAGCAAATCAAAACCACTGAGAGATACATGAGGCGCCTCGAGTTTCACATGAGCAAGGTAAGAGTAATTGATCTACTGATTTCATCCCCTGAACATTTTTCTGTTCTGGTCCAGCAGCTTATTTATAGATTTGTTTTCTGTTCTTTGCTTCAGTGCAAAAGTTCCTTATTGCTTTAATTTCACAATCCTCCACAGTTGCACAGAAACCACAATGCTGTTTCATATTTCTAAAACAATGATGTGACATTTTTGCAGAAGAATATGCTTATTTGCTTTCATACCAGAGTTTCACTGAGAGATTGATACCACTCCTACATCTGCTTGTCATGTGTGAAACTGGTGAGGCTAGCAGGCTGTGGTGTGTACCTCAAGACTGAAACAGTGACAGAGCTCACCTAGTTGGATTTATCCTACAGCAGCAGTTTACTTATTCTGTGTGGTTTTAGTCCAGTTGAGCCATATACATGGAAGAGGGAATCAATCGGGTATGATAGTCTGGCTTTGAGGAGTTGAATTTAGATTTAGATTCAGTCCTGTTCACTTTGTAGTAGGTAATGATCACTTTAATGCAAGTATAACATATTTTAAGAAGGCTAGACTGTTAACATGGTGTGAACTAGGGCTGGGCGATAAAACGATAATGATATATATCCAAAATTAATTTCCCTCAACATCAATATAAAACATGGTCAATATGTTTTTCGATAGTCGGCATTCTGCCATGTTTTGGTAGACAATACGAATAGCCAATGTAAAGGGGAGTTGCTCCGGGTCCGCTTCAAGCTGAACCAATCATGTGCTGAATTAGAACCAAGTAGCAAACAACTGCGTAGTAGCAGGCTGCAGCTACATGCAACCATAATCGCAACCAGGTTACAAACCCTGAGTGGAGCAAGGAGCCCAAGGCGCCTGTGTAGCCCAAAAAAGACGACCATTCAGTCCGCTTTTTCTAGTGTAACGCCTTACGACAAAACGTCAAAGAGACACAAAGACCTCACAGATGCAGTAGCGTATTGTATTGCGAAAGACACGTTACCAATATCGTGATCTATATCAATATCGACTGGTATGAAGAAGAAATATCGTGATAAACTTTTTCCCATATCGCCCAGCCCTACTGTGTACTCAACACATCAGCCGTCTCAACCCTCCCCTCATAGCAAGACCCTCTGCTTCCTGTAGAGGTCCTGCTAACCCTGTTTCAATCCACCATAACAACCTGCTCACCTTACATAATCCCTCAGATTAATTATTTCCCTTTTGAATTCGCTTCAGCTGCAGCTTTTTCATTTAGTTGTTGGATAAGATGCACTAACTTTGCCAAGTTGGCCTCTGGAAGTTTTTTTTTTTTGCTGCTTGTCTTCACTCCATGTGTTGATTTGTCAGCTGTTTCCAGCTGTTTTGATGCCAAGTAGGGAAACTTCCTTTCCTCTGTCCTCCTTTGTTGCTGGTTGGGGACTTAAATCCCCTGCTAGGCCGCACAGCTGAGTGACTCCTATTCCTCATCCCCTTTTGTCGCTCCAGTCCTTCGTGCTGTGTGTCAAATCAAACATGACAGCAGGCAATCAGAATACACACACCCAAACAACAGCGCAGCTACAAAGGTAGCCATGGTTACACCCAAAAGGAGCCTTTGAAATCTTTTAATGGAGATCCGAGGAGGCATGTAGTGGGGGGACGATAACCTTTTTATGTCCAATACATCCTGACAGAAAATACAAAAATCACCTTCAGTCGTCTAAATACAAACACGTGTACAGAACAACAGCACTGGAGACGCAGTGACAGTCTTTGGATGGTGTCTGGAGGGTTGAAGGAAACAGTAAATCTGGGTCAGGGCAGTTATTGAGGACTCATTTGGAGCGACTGGCAGGGTCCTTAAAGATGAAAAACCAAGGGAGCGAAGGAGATGGAAGGAAAAAAAAAAGAAAAGAGGGTTTGATGAGAGTCAGCTGAAAATAGGCGAGGTTGTCTTAGCAACTCAAATATTTTCTGCCTGCGTACTCTAAATTTACTTGGTTACAAAGAGAGAAAAAACAAAAGCAGATTCAGAGCTTGTTCGGTCTTGTGATGTTGTACAGGATGCAGTTAAAACAAACACACTTTCAAAGCCTTTTTACTCACAATCCAACACCAAATGCCTATGGTCTTTCAGGTGCTGCATAAAAATAGACTTCAATACTCTTGTAAATATTTGAAAGAGCGACTTTTTATCTTGTCAGGCGGGTAAAAAGCATGAAAACATCACATTCAGTGCAGCGCTCTCAGTGCTGTTTCTGTTTAACGTGTGACTCTCTGCAGGCAGGTGGCTCAACTTTAAACAGCTTAATGTCTGCAGACTTCAGCGCATTTACATCTTTGTATCTCTGCTAAACAAAGTAGCAGTAGACTTGTGTTTCCCTGTTTTATAATGCAGTGTGATACTCAAAAGCAACTTTTTGTTTTTAAGATGAATCCAAAAGGTCCATGTGCATCAATTGTGTTCCTCTGGAGTGTTGCAAATATATATATTAAGTTCATATACTAGCAGAATAAGAACTTACATGACTTCTTTTCATAATGCCGTACTGTGAATTGTCACTGTGGGGCTAAATATGCAGGCAGGGGGCTTCACATAAAGACATGTCCAGACAGTGCTGTTCCACCCTGCCTGCTCTGCTGTCTCACACAGACCCCTTTCACCCCTGTGGTGCCTTTTGTTACGACAGTAGAGCCCCAACATCACACCTCAGAGACATTCATAAACAAGGTGAGACATTACAGGGTTACACTGCGCCTTTATCTGGCAGCATAAAAAGGCCTAAAAATGCATCTTGGACCCAAGAATCAAACTTACACCAGTGCCAAGTTAGCGAGCAGCTTTTGATGCCCCTGGCCAGCTCAATAAAAGCTACAGGCTTATCACACACACAGACACAGACAGAGGTCCATCTTCCAAACTTCACCATCAGCAGATTGCTCCTGAGTGAGATCAGTTGTGTATTGTCCGGCCAAGAGAATTCGCCAACAGCAACAGCGTCAGGGAATTGAACATGGCACACACTCATACATAAAGAGCTGCCCTACCATTGGGTAAAAAGTGTCCCTTTTGTCAAGAGCTGTAACAGAGCTGAATGAATTTGCTGTATGACTGATATAATTCCAATAATCACCCATTCAAAGTTTTGGTCTTCCCAGATTAAGAGTAGTATTTAAATGTCATTCATGTTGTCCACAAGAAAGAGAAAAATATTATCCTAGCTGTGGATTGACGTATGTGTTCAGGTTGTCTCTGGTGTCATCTTTGCTATTCAGGACTTAATTTAGGATTTTTTGACCAGTTATAATCTTTATGTGTTATATGATTCATCCAATAAACTTAAATACTGATTGGTTGATGTTAAAGATGGTATTAGAGATTTGTAGTCTGTTTGCTTTGGCTGTCAAGTTGTAAGAAATTTACAAAGATGTCAAACGAAAGGTTACAAGTAGAGATGCACAGATCCATTTTTTTCCGATCCAGTCCGATACCGATACTCAGACTGAGCGTATCGGCCGATATCCGATACCGATCCAATACTACTGTTGAATGAATTAGCTGTATACCTTGCTCTGTGAGTGAAGGCACCAGGCTTGACATTAGCCTTGTTAAAAAAGGTAATAAATTAACACAGATATTAAATTTACTTAATATTATGTATTAACAAATAACGAATTGCACATTAGCACACAGCAAAACGAAGTAGGACTTCCACGTATTAAAGAAAAATTAATTAAAATCGGTGTCATTAATCAGATATCCGATCCAGTTAATTTGTCAATATCAGAGCCGATATCAGATCCAAATATCGGATCGGTGCCCCTTAGTAACAAGAACAAAAAAAGTGTAAAAACATGTCAGGACTGTTCACTTCTTTTCTGTCTGGACCTTGTTTCAGACACTTCGTTTCAGAGGTATCTAAGGCCTTATACCAGCAAAAGAAGGTTGAACCCACATGACCTTTATATGTTAACTTGAGCCACCGGACAGGATGATTCAGCGATTAAGCCTCCTGAGTCAGCGGAGCACTCATCAGGAAACACGCAACAATGAACTCGTATGTGCACGATGGTATGAAAATGAATGGAAGCAAATATCCTTAGTTTATATTTAACACATGCACACAAGCCAAACTGGAAACGGAAATAAACAGCACATGTCCTCTTCTTTATCTCCGATTAGGACAATAAAGAAACCTTCAACAATCGTATTTTCAGCAGCTTTTTGTGACGTTGGTTGCCCTCATGTTTACCAGTGTGTGTGTGTGTGTGTGTGTGTGTGTGTGTGTGTGTGCGCCCAGACACAGGCGTGTTTCTTTGTGCAGGACAGCTGCCGTGAGGGATGACTTAACAATCATCCATCAGCAACTTCTCAGGATGTGTGTGTGTGTCGGTGACTCACATCAGCCTGCTCTTTTGTTCGTGTTCATGCTGCTGGCTGCCTGCAGATGTCCAAAGAGTAATTGGCAGACACGGAGGAAGCAGGTGGCACAGCACAACCCCTAAGATGTCCTGTACAGGATAGGATCTATGCTGTGTGTGTGTCCGAGTGTGTGTGTTTGTGTGTGTGTCAGCAGGGCATCATTAAACAGATGAGTGACAGAGATTGAAGGTGAGGAGAACGGCTGCTCGGCCCCTCCTCATCCTCCCCAGAGAGAGAAATTGTGTGTTAAACATGTGCCAAATTCAATCCAGATTGAGTGTGGCTACTTAGCATGTGATTATTTTAATATTGAGTCTTTTTGCTTTCTTTTCCTCCTTATAATAGTAAATGTGCCACCAACGCACACACGCACATATACGCACACACACATCAACGCACACTACACACCTCCCCAGAGAGGGTCTCGTGTGTTTGATGCTGTTTGATGTGGCCCGCCTGTTTTAATCTGCTTATAATCACTCGCCCCCTGGCAGAAAGCGTGTGCCTGTGTGTTTGTATATAATTACACGTGTGTGTCTGCCTCTGTGTGTGTGTGTAATTATCCTACATCCAGGATAATGGCTGCGTTTTAAGAGGATTCCTGCCACATCCTTAAGAGTCTCAGCTCATGTTTAAAATCCCTGAGTTTAAAGTCAGATATATGGAAGATACGGACACAATCCTTTCAAATTCACTGATATCTTACCTCCGACAGCTTTTTAAACCTGTGTTATTTAGAATATTTCTGAGGATTAGCCACAAAAAAACACAACTAAAATAGATGTAAACACAATAGAGTCCTCGCACAGGGCATAATTGATTCTCAAGAAAAGATTTTCCCATAATCCTTCACTGGCTGTCACCCACTGAGTTGTGAATAATACAGAAGCTCTGTGTCTATGATAGGACTCTATATCGAATACATTTGCATTTAGTATTTCCTTACATATGCTCGGACTTCATTATGAGGGTCCAGATGTTTTTTTAATTAGATGCAGAATCAGGTTTTAATATGTGATGAGAAAAGCTTTGATTGAGCTCCTCCTTGTTTTTGTTGCACATCTGATCCATCGGTCTGTATTTGGGTTCCTGACTTTCCTTTGTTACGTTTTTTTTTAATTTTCTGGGGTGCTCCATGCCCCAGGCCGAGCAATATCCTGCCAGCCATCCTCTCGAGTGAAACTTGGCTGACCTTCAAGTGGACATTTCCTCGGAGGCAGCAAGAGGCGATTGTAATTGGGGACAAAAAAAAAGGCTTAATTAGCTGATAATGATATGATTACTGATTGCATGAGCAGAATGACGGCTATTCATCAGCTGCAGGATTTTGTTAGTGAGCTGCATAATTTCCTCCGGGTGAATGAATAACTCGCTGTACTTGTCCACTTTTAAATAAGAGCACATTACTTTTTTAGATGTTTAGATGAACAGAGTAGAATATTCATGTTTTCTTTTGTCTTGCTGTAAACAGATGTGTTTCAGCACTGTCGATGTCTGCTCACGCCAATCAGAGAGCTGAGAATAACAGTTGTGGTCGGAGGGTGTTTAATAGCCGACTCAGCTCAACTGCTGCAGCCCCGCCACATACACCACATACCACAGACAGACAGACGGGGCTGGGTCCCAGTCATCGGGGGTGCAGGGTGTAGAGGGGGGTGCTGTTAATTTTAGGTGGAGTTGGTGTTTTTTGTGTGTTTTAGTGCCAAGTTGTTTTAAAATCATCAAACTGTGCAACAGAAACATCCAACTGCAAAACACTTTCGCTTTTTTACCTCCAAACTCTGCCGTGTTCACACCCACCACCTCAAAAAACATGCTCTCCACACTCATGTGAATCAGTCCACATTGATCGTCCTCAAACACATTAGCAGTGTAGCCTCAGACATGATGATACACAAACAAACTCCCAGAAAAAGCTGTCAGGACGGCAGGAGCCAGAATGGCCCATTTTCTCCCTCTTCTCCCTAATGAGAGCCATACAGAGCGCGAGGCATCAATATTTCAGCGCTCTCCTCAGACAGGCTGCGATATTTCCCCTTTGATGAGGCTCACCAGAGGTGTTTTGTTTTTTTTCGCCCGGCTGCCACTTCAATCACGTGTGAATTCAGGAAGCCAGAACATTTGACAGACATAACGCCAAAGATGGGGATGTGGGCAAGTCGTGGCTTCTGAGAAGAATTACTTCGAGTGACTCAGCAAAGTAGATTTTCGCTGCATTTTCTGCATCATGATGAAAATAAGACACACTCCTGCACCTCAGAAGAATTAAAGCTGCTCTGGTTACAACATCATTTCATCCTGATGGTTTTATTCCAGCTGAAACTTTAGCGTTTCCTGCTCACAGTGAGGCAGCAGGATATTAATGGAGTCGTTCCCTCTCCCTGTGGATTTTGGGTTAGATCAGCCTGCTCCTGCAAACTGGAGTCAGGCAGACACGTCTAAATGAGCTCTAAGCGCCGTCTGTTGTTCCCCCCCACTTTGGGAGTGTCCCACTGGGGTCGCTCACTGGAACAACACAGGCGTCTGCTACTGCCTGCTACTCTTACACTGATACACAGCAGCTGTATATCTGTTCTCATTAGACCGTTTTTCATATTTTTCTCTGTTGATAAAAGGTAACGACTGCAGCACCAGCCTAAAGCTGTGCTAGCCATCCTTGGATGAACCTCAGTGAGATGTGAGCACATCCAGAGTATTTTGGACGGCAGAGGGAAGTGTTTGAGGAGTTTTTCTTCCTGCCCAGAGATGTTTTGATGAAGGACTTCAAACTTCAAAGAGTCATTTTGTTTCATAAGAGCAGAAGTGTCTCTCTCTCCCTCTTGTGTGTGCTAATGACCGGGGAAGTTTGCATGTGAACTCTTGTCGTGGTAGGAAGATTATTAAAGTTGTGTGTCGGTGTGTGTCTCCAGGTGGAAGAGCTGTACGAGGCCTTCTGCATCCAGAGCCGTCTGAGGGAAGGTGCTATCAGGATGAAGCAGGCTTTCTCGTCCTCGCCCTCCACTAAAGGCACCAAGGAGAGCATCGCAGAGGTCAACCGCCGCTACAAGGAGTACACAGAGGTACAGAAGATGAGATGTAAAAGACATCATGTCGGACACAAGCAGGAATTCACAGATTTTACAGAGGAGTTTTTCAGGAAAATGCTCATCATACAGACCGTATCTCAAATTTATACACTATTCCAGGGCTTGACAGTAACTTTTTTCACAAGGAGCACATGTGCCCCAAAGTTGAAAAAGTAAGGAGCACACAAAGACCTTTAGGGGCACAACGAAAATTGATCAAATAATGTGTGTCTTATTGGTCGACATAACTACTATTATTTGAAATCAATTTTAGGTCTTTTGGTCACATGACATGGAAGCTATTGAAGAAAATGTTCAAAATTTGCTTTTAAATTTAACATAAAATTTTTTTTAAGAGGTCAAATTAGAGAAATAAAGGAATATTTCTTACTGTCCGACCTTGGTACTATTATTTGAAATCAATTTTAGGCCAATTGGTCACATGTAATGGAAGCTATTGAAGGAAAACAGCCTTTTTTGAGAACATCAACAGGTAATTTATTTATGGTCCCTTATGCAACACCCGACATTGACAGAGTGGGTGCCGAGTAGATTAAACCGCGCTGCTCTTGCCATTTCCAGTTATGGAGAGTGAGAAGACACTGCTAGATCCCCAGTGAATGTCCGTTGAATATCCAACCTAAAACTAATTTTGCCGTGGTATTTACATGATAAAACATTTGTTGCCTTGGCTGATTTTTTTATGCGCACATGTACCCCTAAATACATTTTACAATTCGACACATTTATTTTTAGTCTCAAATACGAGTGAAATGGTCGCAGTGTCGAGCCCTGCACTATTTCCATAACAAAGGGTCACACTAATGTAAACTAGTGCTTTACACTGCCATCTGTAAATACTGCCATCTGTAGTCACACACTCACAGAATAACCTATAATCCCAACAACACACACAGCTGTCGTCACCTGTCTCCAGAACTCAGATCAGCCATCTCACCTACTTTGGAGTTCAGTGTTGACAGGCTTTGTCCGGATAACTTGATTACTATTTATGTTCTTGTTCGTTCCGCAAAAGGCTGTTTATGTAATCACTCTAATCTCTGTTTGTCTCCAGAACATGAGCACCTTTGAGAGCGAGCTGGAGAACCTGCTCGGGGAGTTTCATATCAAAATGAAAGGTGAGGGAAGATGACGAGTAAACCCACTTATTGACTGATTTTTGAGATATTCAGGTAGAGGATCAGGAAGAAAAAGTCCTCAAGATTGATTCAAGTAAAAGAAATATGCCTATTCAAAGCCATGTGCACTTCACTTGGACACTGTATCCTGCAGGGTGACTCACTGAAAATCACCAAACAACATTAAAGTCACCCAAAACTAAGATGTTGTTTGTCCTGGCTCTGATTTCCTCATGTTCTGTCCAAATGAGTTATTACAAAATCAATTTCCTCTCTCTGACAGGTTTGGCAGGCTTTGCACGGCTCTGTCCCGGAGACCAATATGAGGTAAGATAAGACATTTTATAAAACAGGGAAGTTAAATCTTTACTTTTATATTTTAAACATATATGCCATTAAGTAGAGGTATTGGTGGGTAACATGTCTGTTTCTTCAGCTGCTTGGTTGACTCCTACCCTCCCAAATATGTTTCAAGCAGTCAAGATTTAATACTTAAATCATCTAGTTGTCATCTTGTTGCTTTTGTGTATCATAAAAGAAACTGACATGAATTTCAGTCTATTTCATACATGTAAAAAAAAACCTTTACAGGAGCTTTAAGTATAAACTAAGTGGTTTTGTTTTCTTCCCCACCTGCTTCTGTAATTTCTCTACACTGGCTCCTTTTTCCTTTCTGTAGATCTTCATGCGGTACGGTCGCCAGCGGTGGAAGTTGAAAGGAAGAATCGAGGTGAACTCCAGACAGAGCTGGGATGGAGAGGAGATGGTCTTCATGCCTCTTATCACAGACCTCATCAACATCAAGGTACAAAATTAATCCACATTTTTCGCTTGTAGCATCATTTCCTGGACTCCAGCGCAGGGAAAGGCACATAAATATATCATCTATATGTCTCTAAACACAACCTTGTTTTGATAGCATCCTACTTAGGTAATTCTCCATCATCAGTGAGAAATCCAGTCTATGGAAGGATGTACTTTTATCACACATTAGTTTTCATACAAAAATCATGAAGACTGCACTTAACGGGCTGTGTGATGTTAACAAGAGGGGAGCAGTTTCAGTCTGTACAGGAGAGGAGAAGAAGAAGACTACACACGCTCAGGCACTCATGTTGCGCAACTCCTGCAGTGACGACAGAGCGACCCTTTAGGTTATTAATATGTAAAAACATCAGATCGAGCTGCCGGATAATGATACTCAACTAGAAATCAGGTCTCATGCGCTTGACCCCAAGCCATGTGTAGACGGTTGTTATACGGTGACTGTGATACTCTGCTCACTTTCACCTTTATTCATAATCATTTAAGCCGCCTTATTTATGAGGCTTAAAACTCACCCTTAACATGTGTGTAAATATGTGATGGTAGAGGCAGATCCCTTGATGCACCCTGGATTGAACTAAGTCTACATATAAAGTTTGATTTTTGAACCAGTTTTTAATATCTTTTCAACATAAACAGTCAAGTACTCACTTGTTATCAGTGCCAGAAAGAAATCGTTTATTGTAAATCTTTTGTTTGTTTTTTATTTGTCTATAATCAGGTGACAGAGCTGAAGGGTCTGGCCACTCACATGCTGGTGGGCAGTGTAATCTGTGAGACCAAGGAGCTGTTCACTGCCATGCCCCAGGTGGTCGCTGTGGACGTCAATGACCTGGGGACCATCAAACTCAACCTGGAGGTCACGTGGTAGTAAGTACACTATCATATTGGTTGATAATGTTTAATTGCATGGTGTTATATTCATTCAGTGAGTTGGTTTATCTCTAATTCTTGTTTTCTGTAGAGTATTACCACTAAAATGGCTCAATTTCAGACACTCTTTATGAAAAATGATAGATATTAACATCTGCATAGGATTAAAGTCCTCTACGTTCTTGTCCTTTTCACATACAATAACTGTTTTCAGCGACATTTATCATTAAATTTGTCTATGTTTACATTATTAGGTGTCAAATGCAGAATTAAAGTACACATTGACATAGATAATGTGGAGCTGTCAGTCTAAAATAACCTGATTCAATTACACAGTTTTGAATTATTACATAGTCAGTATCTCAACCACTCTGTTGTTCTTGTAGTTGCCACCATCCTCCTACAGTAACTATTAATATACTTCAAGTGTCTTGCATTTAATTTTAGCTCACATCTCTGGTTGCTTTCTGCCCCCTGTTGGAGAAACATGGTCGTTACATGTCGTAGAAGTCAACTCAAGCTCAATGATTTCTCTCCCAGAAGTCTCTTGTAGAAAAATGCGTAGGCAGACAGACTGTAGATAATTCGTATTTATCAATCTCTGTGTGCCATGCTTAATTTTCTCTTCCAGCCCCTTCGATGTCGAGGATCTGACTCTGTCGACTGGAAATGTGAGCAAAGCCACAGCGCTCCAGAGACGAGTGTCCGTCTACAGCCAGGGCACACCAGAGACTCCCACCTTCCAGGACACCTCTTTCTTTGTGAGTCAAACAGACAAAAACCTTTAACCTTATTTGTGTTAGACTAGTTTTTGACCATTTAAATCCTCACCTAGACTAGAAACAGCTGAACTTTGTGTTTGGAGACTTATAGTTTGTTGTCCTTTACACCTCTGTAGTCACTAACCTGAGTCGGCTCCTTGCTGCACAATATATTAGATGTTTTTTTCAGTTGATTCTTCATGCTAATATTAGCAATGCTAGTGCTAGTGCTTCCCCTAAACTAACCCTCACTCATCTCCCTGCTATCCTCACTCTTCTTTGCATCTCCACATCAAACCCCCCTTGCCCACACTCTATCCCACTTTGCTCGTATATCCATCCCTCCTGTCTCTCACTCACTCGAATACCCAACTTGCCTGCGTTGCATTGTGTAAAGAAGTGGCGACCATATCCCGTGGAGCGCCAGCGCCTCTCCTTCCTGCACATGCTCCGAGACACCCTGCTAGAGAAGCTAAGGCGCAGTCGCTCATTTGGTGACCTGGCCTCACTGCGGCCAAGGCCCAAATCCAGTCTGGAGGTCTATGTGAGTGTGTTGTGGCCCCCTCCCCGACTCTCCTTACCTGACCTTTGTGTGCCCCACTGCCTCAGTAACATTTCAGGGATGGACTCCTCTGTGGGTGTGGACACATTAAAGCTCGTTCAGTCCTTTTCTGTGGGCTGCAGAGGGCCATGTGTGGTCAAGTGTATATTTACTTGCATGACTTGTTTAAAGGGATATTCCGGCGTAAAATTAATTTAGGGTCAAACACACCATAACAACGAGTTAGACATCCCATCGAGAGATGAATGTTGCCGACCACTTGCTTCTCTAGTTATACCAACTTTAGTAATGACCGCACAATAGCAATACAGAGAGCCACAAACTCAACCAGAAACGCCACTCTATAGCCACAAATAATCCTCAGAACAGCACCTAACTTCATCAACAGTACATAAAGGGTCCCAGCCACAGCACTAGCCACCAAACATCTTTTTAACTTTGCCTGATTTCTTTAGCAAAGAGACTAAACACAACTCACCTACTCTCTTCCAGCAGCCGCTTGTTTGTAGCGAGTCCATCGACAGGAGCGGGGTTACGCAGCTCAAGGAAGAATATTTATAATCATTACTTTTTCATTGTCTTGAAGCAATAATCACCAAATTAAATCATTTTGCACTGCAGACGCGGTAGTTCTTCTGCCTTAGCGTCTCGGTCTGATTGCATTTCCATGAGGAAATGATCATAAATGTTCTTCCTTGAGCTGCATCACTCCAGAAGTCTCTTTGCTAAAGTAATTAGACAAAGCTAAAAACATGTTTGGTGGCTAGTGCTGTGGCTGTATGGCCTGTATGTACTGTTGATGAAGTTAGGTGCTGTTCTGAGCATTACTGAGCATTCTGAGCATTATTTGTGATGGGGTGTCTAACTCAGTGTTATGGTGTGTTTGACCCTAACTTAATTCTACGCCAGAATATCCCTTTAAAGCAGTTTGTGTGCTTTATTTCCAGCTTTACCTTGTTGTGATTATAATATAGTTGAAGTGTACCGATGATGGGAAATACAGAAAAGTGAAATCTGACGTGGATTTTAAAGCATGTCAGTCTCTGTGGTTCGACTTATTCAAGCTTTCTCTTTGCCTTTTTCCCGCTCAACATGTACTGATTTCAAAATATATACAGTGAAAACCTGAAGTGTGAACCCGTCCAGGAACTTTCCATATTTTTCAGTGCTACAACCTGGAATACAAACAGGATATCTGAGGTTTTTACTCTTTGTTTAGCAGACAAGAGGGGTCCAAAAAGCTAACATGCATTTGGTGCATATTAGAGGCGTCTCTTCCTGAGTTGTAGCATGGTAATATCTGGAAATTTCAGGGGGGTGTATACTCGTGCAAGGCGCTGTTTTGATTTTCCATCTGATTGTCATGCTTACCCATGCCCTGTCTCCCCTATCAGGCCACTCTACCCGATGATGTCTTCGAGAATGGTGGCTGCGGCGTAGCTGAGTGCAAGCGTCTCTCCTTCACCTTCTCAGACACCTCCGGTTCCACGCCAAGCCCAAGCCCCGCCCCCAGCTCCCACTCCCAGAGCCAATCAAACCCAGAGATCACAGTCACTCCCCCAGAAACCGAACCATCATCCACGCAGATCCTACCGACAAGGGAAGACTCCATTGCAGAGGAGCATTTAGAGGAGGAAGAAGAGGAGGAGGAGGAAGAGGAGGAGTATGAAGAAGATGGGGAGACAGGGAGTCGAGGAAGTAGGGGCACCAGCGGCAGCCTCGCCAGTGATGAAGCTGAGGTGGCAGAGGACTCAGAGTGGGAGCGAACGGAGTCCCAGAGAAATTCTGGCTCAAACTGTGGATCAGCGGCCCCGTCACTCTGCTCTGACAGCCACCTCTCCACTGTGGCTCCTGAGGACGTTTTCTTAGACCACTCTGATGAACTCAAACCCGTGGAACTTGACACAGAGGAGGCAGGCAGCCTGACCCGGCAGCTCGTGAAGAGGCTGACTTCTTCAGAAATCGTGCCTCAGAGTGGGAGCTCTACCGAGGGAGGAGGAGGAGGGAGCCTGAGCTGGGCTGGAGAAGGGAGCAGAGCCTTCCTGGAGAGCAGCCTGGAGGAGGCGATCCACAGCCTGCTGATGAAACTGGAGTCACTGACCCACCGCTGCAGAGAGCTGCAGGACCTGGAGCAGGAGGTGATGCGCCTGGAGGACCTGCTCAAGGTGACTTAACAGCTGTCTGACACTTTTTGTCATTGATAAGGGTTAAATAAAGTTTAGCTAATTTAAGATTAATAACTGGTTAATCCCTGTCAGTTTCATTCATAGTTATTAGATGTGTAGTTTGTAGATGATATACAACCAAAATATCAGAGTGAGGACTTAACAAATGTTAAATTTTGTCATCTTGAATTTTCAATTTTTTATTTTAAGAACATCAGCTCTGTAACATGAGGCTTTTATTTTGGAGAGGTGTTTATGTGTAGTGTCTCTGAACTATTTTCAGACCTTAAAATGAAGAGGAATAATAAAAATGTATTTTATGTACTTAATTTATCTAAAGAAAAAATCGGGGCACAAATTTTCTAGAAAAGAAATTCACTAGACTTTTCCCATTACTTGTCCTGTTTTTTCTATGTTTTTGTCAAGGACTCTTGGTATGACGTTAAATACTGACTGTGTGTTTGCATTAATTTGTTTAAACATGAAGCAAAAGAATCATAAATTGTTGAGCTGTGTACAATAAAGTGTGATGAACGTCTTCGCTGGGATTTGTAAGAGTAAAGGTATAAAACTCATTCTCTCCTCTTCACTGTCGTCTTTGCCTCCATAGTGTCGTCTCCCAGGTCACAGGAGCCGCTCCTCCAGCCTCAGCTTGACTGTAGAGAGCGCCCTGGAGAGCTTTGATTTCCTCAACACATCTGACTTCGATGATGAAGACACAGGAGACGATAATGCCATCCTGAGTATCCCACAGAGATCTCCACTATTTGATGCAGATGGAGAGCGAATCGGGTGAGAAGTAGATGCTGGTTAGAGGTGTCCAAACTGAAGAGGAATAGAGAAAAGTCTTTTGAAGTTTCTCACTGGTGCTTTGGTTTAAGTCAGCAAATGCTCAGCTCTTCAATAATGAAATCATTGTGTTTGAGAGATGCTCCGTTCTGCCCCCATGTGGTGACTCTGGGTACTCTCATTTCAGAAGTCAGCATCCAGAAGCCAGAGGACACTTAAGTGAAGCCTTGACAGAGGACACCGGAGTGGGCAACAGTGTAGCAGGAAGCCCCCTGCCGCTGACCACTGGAAACGAGAACCTGGACGTGGCTATTGTTATCCACCTGCAGTACTGTAATCACCTCATTCAGGTGGAACTCTTTTACACATCAAATATCATGTTTTTACAAATAAAAAATAGTTTAATATTTCATGTTTCAGCGGATGCTTGAAGACATCTGACATGTCTTTGTCATGTTGCCTTTTTTCAGATGTTGACCAGTGGGGTGAGTTTGTGGCAGCGCCGCAGTCTCCTCCTCAAACTCTCAGGACAGACCCAGCTGTTGGAGGAGCTGGCAGAGATCAGTGTGGACAGACTGGGAACTATCACATCTGCTTCTGATGGTGGGTGAAGACCGCTAAATTTGAGAGACTTTGTTTTCACAATTCAGCATTACATCTGTGGGATGTTGTTTTAGTTTTGAGCAGTCTGTGTTTTGTAACATTTAAGTATGGTAATGGAAACTGTGACGCAAAACAAGTCCTTCTGCTTTGAGGGTTTTGCAGCTGCTGACCTTCTCTGTCGTCCTCATCTCTCAGTCCTCCCAGGCCTGGCCGAGCGCCCGCAGCTGATGACTCTGTGGTCAGAGTGCAGCGGCTCTGCGGGACTTTTCCACACTACGCTGGACCGAGTCTTCAAACACATGAACCAGCACTACACAGCTGTGCTGCAGGAGCAACACCCACACAGCTCTCACACAGGTTTGATCATATTTTTTTTCGTTTCCTCTACAAACAAGCCAGAGGGGTAGATTTTAGCAGAACGGTTTTCTATTTTTTAATATCTGTGAAGTTGAAACCGAGACTCTGGTTTGGGTTTTAAATTGGCACACAATAAGTTCAAAATAGGCTAAATTTGATCATTGTAGTTGGCAAGAATATAATGTAGCCAAAAAAATAGAGGCTGAAAATCCAGATTTTGCTTGATTATTTTAGAGGTGGAGTTCATTTAACTGCATTTGCTATATTTCTGTAATTTTGTGCAGGTTTGAAATTCTTGTATTTTCTAAAAGTTTTCATTCAATTTATACTTTTCTACTCATCTAAAATCTCAGCGGCAAATACTGTACTTCTTCCTGCACAACAGCTGTAATTACCCCTCATTTTAAGATAGTTTTAATGCATTTCTCAAGCTTTAAATACCTTGATTTTTTCAATCAAGATGCTGACTGCCATTTCATTTCCTTTGTGTTAGTGATCGGTGTAGTTGTAGGTGAGATGGTGGACAGGAGTGACCTGATGGCTGCACAAAGTCCTCCCACTGCTGCACTTTCCCAAGACGTCTTGACGGTGTTTCAGTTCTACAGCTACATCTTACAGCATGAGGTTCAGGACATGGAGACGCACCTGCTGCACCTGGCCAGAGAGGGTGAGCTAATTTCATATTTTATATATGACAGAAATACGTTCAGAGTTGAACCAGAAAAAGGTGAATTTTTTTTCTTTTCTTTCTTTTTTCAATCCCTGATAAATTGATGGATTGGTCCTTCAAAAACAAGCTTAAAGACATCTATTCATAGCAGATATCAGCTTCAGGAGTAAAAGAAAAAAGCCTTCACACGTGATTCTCTCCATGTTTTATGTTTGAACCTTCTCTCTGTCTGTTTGTGTCACACTCAGAGGTGTTTGCAGAGATTTTGCACAGTGGAGACTCATCTGGCTGTCTAGAAGAGATGAAGGAGGTACCTGTGTCGTCCCTGTGGCCTATGAGCAGCACTCTGAGGGCCCTGGCCTCCCTGCTTACTGCAGAGGACCCTCAGGTCAACAAGGCAGCTGCAGACTACCTCTCTGCTGGAGCATCACGCAGCCACTTTAGGAACAGGGTGAGTAGTGCTGAAGAGAGGGAGGATGTAGGACAGATTTTGTCAGTGATTTTGGAGGCAAATAAGATTTTGAATGGTTTTGACAGATGCCATGAGCCATGTTTGAATGTTTCTGTGTGTGTCTACAGGCCGTGGAGTGCTACACTCAGGCGCTGTCAGAGGCTGGAGGTCAGAGCCAGAGGGCGGCCTGTTCAGCTCTGAGCTGCCTGCAGGTCAGTGACCTCAAACAGCAGCTATAGTGTCAAACTGTGAAGAGTTAAGAGTTAGTTTAGGTCTCAAAATAGATTTATGATCTGGGTTTTCAGAGTGGCATTATCACTGGGGGGAGACTTGCAGATTTTTTTCTCATTTGCCATTGCATGTCGAAGGGACATGAAGAGTTGTCTACTTTGATTAATGTTATTTGCCTAAAGAGTGGCTCTAATTTAAGTTGTAAGACAAAAAACAAAGAATTTGTCCAGTGCAAAAATAGGTAAGACAAAACCTAAATGACGCTTACACAAATCGAGTGGTATCCTCCTAAATAAGGTCTCCTATAGACCTTTGTGTAGGGTTAAACTTGTTTTAGCATCAAATATGCAACTAAATTACACAATTACCACTTTGAAAGGGTTTTTTTTATTAACAAGTATAAAGTCGACGGGTTTAATGAAAGTTAACTGTTATCTTTTGACTTTTCTAACTGCCAATTCTGTAGGTATTCTGATAAGATAGGCTTGAAGCATTCTATTTGACTAAATAATGTTTTTATCTTAATAGCTATAAGCCCCAAAGAGTTATGCAACATGTCTGACAATTTGAAGTTTATGTGTCATTAGAGAAGAGAACATAACTCAATTAGCCAGCTGTTTTTTCTGTCTTCTGTATATTTTGACTAATAGTTTATTCTCTGTACAGGGTGTTTCAGTCTGTCTCTGTTTGTCTTTTTGTCTGTAGGCAGTGGAGAGCATCAGGGCGGTTGTCGCACTGTGTGACTCTGCAGATGAGGAGCTTCGCCATGTCGCCATAGAAACCCTGCTCACATTTGGTGAGTTGTAAACAAAAATTAAATTTGGCAATTTTAAAAGATATATATTTATACACAACTGCCAGAAAGTCATCAAATATTTGATAGTATGTACAAAAATGGATGTGAATATTTTCTTTTAAGCGTAGATAATTCACTTCATATAAACCTTCTAGTTAAACAAGAAAAAGACCCAATTTTCACTGCTGCAGAGTCGGAAGTTTGTCATCATTTTGCTTTTATTTTGTTGTTGTTGTTAACGTTTGAGTACATTTTATATTGATCTCTTGTGTTTGTGTCAGGTGAGGAGGGGCGGCTGGCGTACGAGCAGCTAGACACAATGCCAGGGGAAATCATCCGTCTGGGCACACGGCGTGGCAACGCTGTCACCACTGCCTTCTGAGCCAACGTGCCACTGAAAAAAACATCACAGAGTTCATCTCAGCCCAACTTCTGAAGAGAGCACTCCCCACTGCACACCTCACAGGGCTGTTAACGACTGATCACTTTGATCGATCCGCTTTTATTTTGGCACAGACTTTCAGAACCACCACATCGGATCACTGTTCTTACTCACACTGCCTCCTGAAAGGAATTAACACCAAACAAACTCTGTTAACCACAAAGACACACAACCTTAACCCCTCCTGCACACGTGTACCATTTTTTTCTCTGTCATCTTCACCCACATACTCCCCCTTTCTCCTCCACCTCCTCCCTGCTTTCTGAGCCAGGCAGACCGGTCACATTAAGTTTCAGAAAATGACTGGACAGAGACGCCGCTGAAATGTACCCCAAAGATTGTGGATTTGACCGCATCTTCACATCGACATTGACAATAAGTTACCCACCACTGCCCACATCACTTGTTTCACTCACTCACTGACTTTCATCATGATTGTTTCAAAGTTGGTTGTGTTACACGCTAAACTAACTATAATCTTTGTATAATCACTGTTTGTCACATTTTTGTTGGTGGTTTTGCAGCGCTTTCAGAAGATTTGCACTGTTGTAAGGCATGTAAATATGGCATATTTTACACAGCTTGTGTAATATATGTGCTTGTGTTTAAAATGAGATATAAGTTTTGTTTTCTAGTACGTTCCATTTTTGAGTTTCAGGGATTCTTGTAAGGCTGAAAGATGTGAGTTCGGTGTCAAGGAGGACCATAAAGATGTTGAGAATGGCTTCAGAGGAAAAAATGGTTTGGTTCGAACGCATCAGTATTGGCTAAGCTAGGCTGCGCTAAGCTAAACTAAGCTACATGAGAAAAGAAAACAGAAGTAGTGATGTAGGTCAGCATAGTGCCCTCAGCTCCCACACTCAGCTGTTGAAATCTGAGTTTCCTCATACTTGCAGTTGAACAAGTGCAATTTTTTGTACATATATGACTCTTTTGCACCTAACATTTGATAAAGTTAGCTTCGACCACCTGAGCCTTCGAAGTGGTCGAGCAGACAGGCTCCACAAACACTCTCTTTTGTAAATGAATTTTTCCAGCAGGTCAGGAGCCAGTCAGGGCAATAACTCTGTTTGAGGACGGTGAACTTTCTCAGTGAAGAGGAGGATCCTGTGTAAAAGGTTTAGCCTTTGTTCAGGCTAACAGCACATTTATAGAGTTTGTGAGCTAGTAGCAGGTTAAGGTACTTTCTTTATGAGAAGCTGCAGAATGAAGTGTTTTGTTTGGTACGTCGTGGGTCTGTTGATTTCCCTGCATCCTAATACTTACGTGGGAAAATTGACCCAGGATTAACACCTAATTCCAACTTTTCTCATTGTAACTGTACTACTGAGTCTTGTGCTCGTGCACGGCGACAAAACTCACTTATGTTCACATATTGTATTTATTATTTACTCTTTTTTTTTTAATGCTAATATTCTTTGGAGTTATACTGTAATAATGCATAAGGCATTGTTATGTAAATGAGTTGTGTATTTATGTTCGTTTTGGAGCAGGTCTAGTATTTGAAATATTTTTTATGGGTTATGAAAAGCCTCTTATGTTGTTTCCATGCAAATAATGTCATGCTTAACGTAAATTTGAATTTATTTTGAATGAATTATACTAGATAAATTATTATTTTGGAGATTAGTCTGCTGGTATTATAGGTTTCTTATCCCTTAAAAGGTCCCAACATAAAGGGGCGTTATATATTAGAAAAGTAACTTTATTACGTAGAGGATTCACTATAACCAAAGGAAGAATTAATTTTTAAAATGGTCTTTTAATAAGAGCTCATCACTCATTAAACAGAATGTATTTTCAACATAATACTTGCATTTTGGCCACAATACTCAGATTTAACTTTGGAAGCACAACTTGTGAATAGGACACACCCATGATATTCAAATTATGTGACATTTGGTTCTAACTGCACAGTCCAAAAGCCATATTGATTAAAAAAACAAGTAATATTTTTATGAAATGTATTTTTTTTTTCGTATCATAACCTGTAAATGTGTGAAGTTGTAATGAAAAACCGATGAGTTTTCTTTTTCTTCCCATACAACCTTTTGAAAAATATGGTCCATATCTTAAACAATCTTTTTTTTTCTTCCATTATGTGAATAGCATTACAGTATTTTGGTTAAGTATCTAATTCATCTACCCACTCAGTGTTTTGAGCTTGTTTCCTTTTTATAAACTCGCAGCAGACCAGTGTTAAGATGATTTATGGCTGTTTGACTCCTAATCACTGCTAGAAAAGGTTGTCAAAATGTGCACATGTAGAGCCCGGTTATGACAATATGCTCTTTCTTAGCTGAAATTTACTTTTCAGTCCCTCTTGGTCAATAGCTTCTGTTCTGGTCCATTTAGTTGCATACTTTTCTTCTCCATTGTCAGCATTTCCTCTGCTCAACAGTTGCAATAAAGTTTATTTTTGCATAATTTAAATAACTGATTTCTTTCTTGTTCAAGTTTAAGATTTTCAAACTAGTGCTTTTTAATTTGTAAACAGGGGACAAATATCTTCTCAAAAGCTACTTTTACATTAGAGTTTAAGCAGAGGAGCCAGGTCCGATACCTAGAATGTTAGAAAGGGGTTCGAACACAACTTTTTTAGGGCTTAGTCAAACTGAAAAGCCAGCAAATGTCAGAGGAAAGAGGTAAGTTTTAACATAAATAGTATTAAATTAATTGAAACAAGGCAGACATAAAGAGACTAGTGTCTGACACTAACCCAGACTAGCAGGATACTTTCATGCAAATCACAAAAAAAAAAAAGTTGTGATTAGCAAGTTAAACATCTGAGGGAATTGCCACAGCTTCAAAAAACAAAAAAAAAGGAAAAAAAGATTTTTGTTCAAGTTTTTTATTTTACATGTTTTATTTACAGCCGTGCCACAAAAGCACAAGTTCACATTGTAAACCAAAACACATGAAAGCCACATTTGTTGCTCTCTGGAGCACAAAGCCTTTCATAGCTCACATATTCTGATGCATCACAGTAAGAAGGGGACAGATATAAACTGATCGATAATAGCTCTGGCCTATTCAAGTGTCCCAGCTACTATGGAGATTGTAGGCCAACATGCATAAAACCAGGACCCTCAAACTGAAGCGGCTTAAAAGAAATCAAGCCACTGTTAGAGCATTTACACCTACACCTGTGCTTCTACTGCAACATCAAAAAATAGGTCTTCTGAGAAAACACTCACCTGAACTAGAACTGACAGCATAAGTTAAAATAACTGAACAATAAAAACAGGCCCTAGATGGTTCAAGGATTTAAAAATAATACAAAAAAATTAAATTTGGGTACATCCAAAAACTTGTTTGAGTTACACTCAAGTTGTCAGTCAAATAGATGGTCATGTTTTGCTGCCGATTCTGCTGACCTGTCCAAGCAGTTCAAAGTCCAAAACATACAAAAAGAGGTCTCTCTTAATCCTCTGAGAGTTCAGCTTCATGCTCTGAGGCCACTCCATCCTCTTCATCACTTTGAATGTAATCAGAGTCCTCCTCATTCTGGGTCGTTTCTTCACAATTTTCTTCATCATCATCATCATCATCATCTGCATCAAGGGCAATATCCCTCAGTTCCTCCAGGTTTTCCGGACTCTTTCCAGTTAGCCTCTGAAAAGACATGACCGCTTATCAAGCCAACATACACATACAGAGTTCCCTTTGTTGTCTTTAACAACATGAAAGTTTAGAGCAGAAAATCATTTACCTCAATCATGTCAGCCATGTACTGGACATGTTGTGCCAGCTCCTGAAGCTCTTCATTTTCACACTTAAGTTTTGATATCTGTTCATCTTTGGCCTCGATATTTCTGTGCAACTGGGAGGAACAATAAAAAGATGTGAAATGAACATCTAAAAGAAAAAGTATCTAAAAGAAAAACAGTATTAAAAGTATTGTCTCTTTAGTTTATTTCCCCTTGGAGAAATAAACTGTTTTTACTGTGTACTGGGTGCATTTCACCTCAGGTTACTTTTCAAGTAAGTGCCACCTGAACTGAGGCCAGCTAAGATTGACTCAGCCCAAGAGAGCGTGGGAACAGCTCAACTTACAGCTAAACATTAGCCTTCTTAGTGATTAGTAACTCACCTTCTCGTTCTCCTGTAGAACATTGTACAAGGCCTTTCTGCGCTCCTCAGCCACCTCTTTCCAGTACGTGGAAGGAGGAGTTTCTATAAAATGAAGATTATGTTACACTCAATATGAAATCCAAATAATAATCTAATATAAATTGTGGTAGATTCACAGCATTATTTGATTCTCTACCTACCTTTGACCATAAGCTCATATGCTTCATTGGACATGCCATCTGCTGAACACTGAGTTTCTTCTGTTTGTGTAGATTTGACCTCTACCTTCACCCTTTTTGGACCTCTTGTTTGTTCTGCACTCCACTGTTTCCGCTTAGGAATGACCTTACCCGCCTATAATTAAAAAACAATCGAGGATAAATGTTTTTCTCATCTGCTTTGTGAGAAATTCTTTTTTAACTTTACTTTAAAAACAAGCCAGTTCATACCTGAGCCGACCTTCCTAAATCTCTGTTAACAGCTGAAGGCTGGAGGACCTGCAGCGATTGCCTGGGAGGGCCCATTACCTTTTGAGAGGGTGTGAAAAAGCTCTAGAAGACAAAAGCAAAATGTAAACTTATAGCTCAGTCGGTCACAAATTTTGGGTATAGAGCCTTGAGTCACATGGGAAACTACAGTGACCCGTGTTCTCATCCTTATCGTCTATTCAGAAGGGCTTAGCATCATTTTGCAGGCTTTACTTTGGTTACACTGTCACCATGGGTGAAGGCATAAGTGAAGTGGCTTAAAAACACTGCTGCCATGTGCTACAGAGCCACAGGTGTGGGAACAGCCGTGGGAAAGTTTCTCTTGGAGGCTCATTACAGAGTAGCTTAACAGCTCGGTTTGTTAATATTTGGCTAAAGTAATACAAGACTGCTAGTGTGTTTCATTACCTTTAAAAAGGCTGACCTTTAGGAAATTCTGAGCTGAGGAGGGAGGGGGGCAATGTCTTCACCTACTGGGAGGTTAACTATTTTTAAATCAAAGCACTTTATACTCATTTTACACACTGAAACAGTTCTGAGGCCAATACAAAAAGGTCCAATCGGTCACAGATTTTACATTTGAAAATAACATTTATTCTTCTTTGCGTCTTCAGCAAAAATGTATCAATATACACTGAGACATACCTGCAAAAAAACCTCTCGTGATGGTTAGAAAGAGAACAGGTATAACTCACACCAAAGAGATTTCACTTGTTTCTTACAAAACTACCATCCTTTGAGCAAGAGCTTCTTTATGCAGTCTTTAAAAATCCCTTTTAAGATAAAGATGTCCATTTTTTACTGAACATAAAAGGGCAGAAAGACCTGTATGGTGCATTCATCCAGGTAAACTATGGCAAAACAGACATTTTTGTGTTTAGTTCTTTAAAAAAAAGGTTAAATTAAGAGTTAACGGTTTTTTTAAATTATTATTTGTAATTTAAAAATGCCTCACAACAGGAAACACTTAATGACTCACCTTTATATTCTCATTGGACCTCTGCTGGTTGTGTTTAAGCTTTGCATCGACACTCATTTTCTTTTCAATCGACCTGATGGGAAAACATTAACATGGCGTCATTACGATACAAAACTAAAGCGCCGAATTGATACACGAGGTACTGCTTATCTAAACCAGTTCAAAACTTAATAAACTGTCAATGTTACATTACAGGCGTCACACGAAACGCTACATCAACATTATTCTCGTGTGTATAAAGAGATGTGTGTGAAAAGTTTAGGAAAGTTACAAACGGTTCAGGGGGTTTGCGAACGTTAAGATACGTTACATGAAAAGACTACAGCAAAGGTTGACAAACGCAGGTACCGTCCCGGTGTTTAACAGGCAGAAAATCTACGGAAACTTCACAAATTGAAAGAGAAAAACAACTTACCGTGAATGTACCACACCTCGTAAAAACGGCTTGTATGTTCTCTTGAATGGAAGAACTCGCGCCAGCAGCTTAAATACTCCCACTTTGTCACGTGACAAAGGCGCCACTCGAGAAAGAACCACGTCCTGTTTTTTTTATATTTATTCATTTTAAGATTTTATTAACGAATACTTTTGATAAAATAAGAGTTTCAATACACCAACTTTGAAATATATCACACGAAAATTTAAAGTTTTGTTTATCTACTTATTTTTACAGTGTTTATGTGATCAAATTTGTTGTTTAAAGCAGTGTTTTTCAACCTTTTTTGAGCCATAGTACATTTTTTTTAATTAAAAAAAAAAATCACAAGGCACACCACCAACCAAAATTTTACCAAATGAAACTTAGTAGCCCCAAATACAGTTTATACAAAGACAATATAGTCTCTCAGTTTATTCATACTCACTATGTGTGGAACCTGGGGCTGTAGATTACAGCACAGACACTTGAGAATTGTATATTATCTGCAGATAATAAGTTATTAAAAGAAAGAAATAGACCAATAAAGTGAAATTAGATAATTTCCCAGGGTACACCTGACTATCTCTCATAGCACACTAGTTTAAATGTATGTTTTAAGATTAAAAAATGATGGTTTAAGTGAAAAAAAAATTTAGTTAAAAGAGGTAAAATAAGGTTGTTGGGTACTAAACGGGGGGGTGAACATATAGTCATCACAAAAAGCTCTGGTTTTAAATGCAGTAAAGATGAGTTTGCTTAGAAATGTTCCTTTTGTTCCTTTATACGGTGGCCGAAAACCACCACTGCTGCAAATAAAAAAAGAATGCAAAAAAAAGGAAGCGGTCACAACGGAAGTTACTTATGCAAAAAAATAGAAGAAAAAAAAAGGAGCCCGCTGTAAATAAAAAAAGAAACAGTGCAGATAAAAAAGCCACAACGGAAGTTAACATTGCAAAAAAAAAAAAAGGGGTGATGGAAAAAAAAGTTACCTACTGCGAAAATAAAAGGATGCAAACAAAGAGAGCCACAACTGAAGTGTTTTTAAACAACTTCCATTGTTCCTTTTTTTATTTGCATCCTTTTATTTTCACAGTAAGTAACTTTTTTTATATATCTGCACTGCCTCGTTTTTTTATTTTCTGCAGGCTTTGGTTTCTTTTTTTTTCATTAATAGCTTCTGTTGTTGCTTTTTTTATATTTGCATCCTTTTATTTTCGCAGTCAGTAACTTTCTTTTTTTAATCTGCACTGCCTCTTTTTTATTAGCAGCAGGCTTTGGTTTCCTTTTTTCATGAGTAATTTCCGTTGTGGCTCCTTTTTTTTTTTTTTTTTTTTTTTTGCATTATTTTTTATTTGCAGCAGTGGCTGTTCTCGGTCACCGTACCTTCAAACCAGTTAAAGTTTTAATAGATTTCAAATACATTTTAAATTCGTTCGGTCTTCCTACTAAAGGCTGATGTTTTGCCCTCGTGCGGTCACATGTCAGCAGACGTCACACCTCTGTAGTTGACGGCGCAGCCATTTTGGGGGAGGCTGTGGTTCGACGAGCTTGTGTGTGTTTGCCATTATCAGCAGCCCGAAAAAAACACACAAAGAAACCAAACGGAAAAACGTTGGACGACACGCCGTTAAATATGGGCCCGCCGGGAGACAGAACACAACACACGTCGACTGAAAGACCGGAGGATCTCAGCTGGATTGTCGATTTATCTTGACATGGCATGCTGCAGGGCGAGTCGGAGTTTGTGACGATTGAAGAAAAGAAGAGAAAGAAAACAAGCTCAGCAAACACCTCGGAGAGGAGAGATTGTGATCAGCTCATGTTTATTTCGCCTCTCAGCGTCCCGTCGTTGGTTGGCTTATCGATTCCCTCGGCTGATTTGTGTCGATGTTGTTGGCGAGATACGACTGAAGCAAAGTATATCGAGCTAAAATGCTGAGCATAAGCAGAAAGAGCTAGTCAGTCACCCCCTCCCCTGCCCGTCATTTGACTCTCACAGCACTGGCAGCCACATCGAACCGAGCAAGAAGATGTAAACAGGTGGAAAGATGACTGAACGCTAGCTCACCAGCACCACATAGGCCTAAATTAAGCCAATCAGTCAGAAGATAAGATGTAGCTTTACCGTCGGTTCACTACTAGTTAGTGTTGGAAGTGAATGCCTAGATTAGCCTGCTAGCTCACCTTAGCTAGTGTGCTAAAAATACGCCCACATAATGACGATCAGCAGTGGCAGCACCGTAGGCCTCTGGCCGAGTGAGTGGCAGTAAGAGTTTAGGAAATGTCAAGGTACTTTCACAGCAGGCCTCGATGTTACCCGGTGCCAACATCTCCTGGCATCTGTATTTACCTGCCATGTTTGTCTGTATCCCCAATCTGTCTGTAACACGCTCATAACGCAACCTCTACAGAAAAACAAGCAAATGACAGCCATGGACGAGGGACTTTGAAATAACCCAAATATTAGAGTATTTGTCTGCTTGCTAGTCTCTGTACTTCTCAATTTTCACAAGCAGAAAAAATGGGTTTTCACCAAAGCTGCCGTTTTTAAGTTACACACACACAGAATAAAGTTAGTCAAATTTCAGTTGCTTTTTCAGTTATATCTTGTTTTCCCTTGCCAATGGCAGGTTGAAAAAAAGCTAAATTGGCTCAAAAGTCTTGTCTTAAACATGGATTTCCGATAAAGTCATAAGGAGATGTAGTCTTAGCTCGTTGGTCATTCCCCTCCTCGACATTGCCCTTTTACAAAAATTAAAATGACTTAGTTTTGCCTCTGATTTGTTTACCTTTTCAGTTTGTAGTTAGTGGGTAATTCACAGATCTAGCCTAAAGTTGTTTGATGCGTTGTTTCTGCAAAGGGTAGCTAGAACCATCTCTTATCCAGCGTATAAATACAGTAGTAGAGAGTGTAGCCAAAAATATTTTTGCACAAGAGAGGAAGATATTACCATCAAATTCTAACCATGGGGGACCCAACTTCACGAAGAAATCAGACAAGAAATCGACTTCGAGCTCAGCTTCGGAAGAAAAGGGAATCTTTGGCTGACCAGTTTGACTTCAAGATTTATATAGCCTTCGTTTTCAAAGAAAAGGTTTGTAGAGTATGAGAGTTTATGAAAATCTGTCTGTCGATCATTCAGTTTTTTAGCGTTTCCCAAAATATTAAAATATCCAATTTGTCCCTGTGATCAAGTTTGTCTCTGTTTTGTCGTTACAGAAGAAGAAGTCTGCACTTTTTGAGGTCGCAGAGGTGGTGCCAGTGATGACCAACAATTATGAAGAAAACATCCTTCGAGGTGTGCGGGATTCCAGCTACTCACTTGAGAGCTCGATAGAACTCCTGCAGAAAGATGTTGTGCAACTACACGCCCCTCGGTACCAGTCGATGCGAAGGGTAATCCAGCGTTCCATATCAAAAGTGTAATACCTTAAAGAGGCTACTGTCAAGTTGTGGTTTTAACATTGTGACTCCTTATTTCCTTGTAGGATGTGATAGGCTGCACACAGGAGATGGACTTCATCCTCTGGCCACGCAACGATATTGAGAAGATTGTTTGTCTGCTTTTCTCCAGATGGAAAGGGGCTGATGATGAACCCTTTAGGCCTGTTCAGGTCAGTATGAGGCACTGAGTTTGATTTCACAGGCTATAAAAATCTGGTTTTATTTATCTTAAATGTGGACTGTTGATCATGCATGTTTTTGATGTAGTCAAATAGATGTATCACTTTTCAACTAACAGGCTCTGTTATACATAGAATTAACAGCCAGTACAGCATTGATTTTTTTTGGTTCTTAGGCGTGTAGCTGTAAATTCAAAGAACTGTATATAGTACAAAAACAAGAACTCAGTTTTCAGAGCAATACCTTTCATGTATCAACACGTCCTATATGTGCAAACCCAGATGGAAGTACTATACATCCTAAAGAATGTACTTTTGATTTATAGGCCAAGTTTGAATTTCATCATGGAGACTACGAGAAGCAGTGCTTGCATGCTTTGGGTCGTAAAGACAAGGCTGGAATGGTCATGAACAACCCAACTCAGTCTGTATTTCTCTTCATGGATAGACAGCACTTACAGGTGAGTCAGTCCACTGAAATCATCATAACACTGAACCTTCAGGCTGTCTCTGTATGCACTTAACTGACAAATGTTCTCTTTGCTCTTCTCTCACAGACTCCTAAAACCAAGGCCACAGTTTTCAAGTTGTGCAGCCTCTGCCTGTACTTGCCCCAGGACCAGCTGACCTGCTGGGGTGTGGGAGACATCGAGGATCACCTCCGCCCATACATGCCTGATTAGGGCTCCCTGCGTCACCCAGCCACATAGAGAAAGCCCTTCCCCTCCCTCCTGCCGAAGCCTTCAGAAGCAAATAGATGTACTCATCTTCACCTGTTTCCTTTTTAAAAGATTTGAACTTGTGCTTGGATCTCTCCTTCTTTTGTTACCTACTTGTTCTCCCCTCCTTGACCTGCAGCTGATTCAGTTCCCCTCCTTGTTTTTTTCCCCCTCACGCTCCCAATGTTCCTCCTCTTCTCTCTGCCATTTTTTGGATTGGTTCCCCCATTTTTTCATTTTACCCCCTCTTCATTCCCTCCTACTCACTCATCCGTTTTATTTTTTATTTGAACCTGCACGAACATTGATTTTGAGTGGTTGGTTGTTCTCTTGGAGCCGCACTGTCAACAGCACCGGTCATTGAAGGAACTCTTTATGTTGCATCAAAACAGGAACAAACAACACACAGGTCTTCACGGTGGTTCTCAGATGGACGTGATTTTATATCCTTGTTGTCATAAGAGAGGATTGTTAAAGCTTGTTTGTAATGTCAATGGAGTTTCTAGAACAACTTTACACAATCTTTTGACCAAGGACAGGTGTGAATAGGCGTTAAAACACCTGTGTAAGCAAAGAAAACAAGATGAACAATATTTGTCAAATCATATGGTGTAGGTATGGCTTCTTATAAACCGCCTTAGTTTTTTTGCTGGACTTTTAAAAAATGTTTTGGTGTCATTTGCTTTCCTCTGAGACATGCTAGGCAGGCCTTTGCTAAAATCTTGAGTGACTTGAAAGGCATTGTGCACAAAGTTAAGACATGTTGGCTAGATGTTGAAGGTCATGGTCACTGTTCAAGCCGCTCATGCACCATTCATTTAAGCTACTGAAATCTGATGTTTAATGTTTTGTTTTGTTCGGGATGTGGGTTGGTGAGAAGCTGAAATGGTGACATACTTAATGTTTAACAAACCTAACCAAAGTTGCTGTAAGCTAACTGATTTTTCTTTAATTTGACCTACTAAAAATGAAGATAATTTGCTGCCATGCTCATAAATTAAAAATTGGATTTTTGCTGGCTTTTTGTCAATTAAGGTACATTTAGTTTTGCTCCTTGTTGATTCAGTGTGTTCAGTTCAAAGGGTTAAAGGTGTTACTTCTGGGTTTTTTCTGTTGATTCTCAAATCAATACTGCTGAGCATATCCCAATACAGTGCAAATTCTGAAAGCATCATTCTTGTCCATTTGTTTTATTGCGTATGCATGAAACACAATCAATGAAACGGTAGTTAGACGATGTTGCCCATTTGTATCAGTGGTAACTTGAAGTAACCAGTCATAAAAAGCTTTAGCACTGTGTACCACATTTTTTGTTCATATTCAGGAGTTAAACCAAGTATTTACAGGTAGGAGTTAGTGTAAAACCTCACTTTCAGTCCATTGTTTTTACAGTATACAACCATGATATGTGATTTGTTGATAGGCACTGAAAGGTGGCAGTTTAGCTCCCGCCGAGGTGTTTCGTGTGTCTCCCTTGTGCAATCATCTTCCCTGTGGCTTTGCTGGTAAAATCCACAGACGCAAACGCCAGCGTTCGTCCTTGTTTAAGGACCTGAGCTGTGATCAGGACGTCCTCTCCCATCTTGGCAGCGCTCATGTATCTGTAAGACATTGACGTTTGTTTACAGTCACAAGGAGTTATAGAAGTTAATCTTTAAGCCACATGGTTCACACTCTGAAGGACAAATATTAATTGGTAAATACATTTGAGCTTTTTGAAGGTGAGATCAGTATTTGGCTCACGTTATGTTCATATCAACACTGACTCCAGGAGCTCCTCTTTCACTGTTCATGATCGCCACCGTGGAGATCACATCGACCAGGGTCGCTGTCATTCCGCCATGCAGCGTCCCTCCCCTGTTAGTGTGCTCCTCTTCTACCCGCATTTCACATACGACCTTACCTGGGCTGGCAGACAGAATGTTCACCTGAAGGATAAACATGACAAACCTTGAAAACAGTGCAGCATTTACAGTCACCTCGTTGCTTTTAAAGGTGGTGACTGAGCTGAAGAATAGCGTGTAATTCTATTTCGTAAAACATAGCAAAGTATACACCGACCTTACTAAGAACTCTATCGAAGCCCGGGGTATCTAACATCGCTTTCACTAACTGTCTTAAAGAATTTAAAGGCATTGTAGCCATGTTTACAGCGAATGAATATGACCTGTCGCTACCCGATCCGTCCCGGAAGCGTTAGATTTTTTTGGAGGATGGTAGAGGAAGGTCCCGCCTTCCTTCGCCTCTGATTGGCTAGAAGTGCTGGGCTCCAGTGTGTTGTTCCCAGAGCAGTGGATTAAACAATTATTTGCTTCAAAGTTAAACTTTAATCATAAAAATTCGTTTATTGGATAGATTTCGTCCAAGATTTTGAAATGGACTTCTTTTGCCTTGGGAGGTAATGGCAATCCCCTATTATCCTACAAAAAATATTGCTTCCGGGACTACTTGAATGTTTACGCTAAACCGGAAACTGTGGCCTCCATATATCCCTCCGGTTGAAATTCAGCTAGGAAGACCTAAACTGACCTCCACTTACATTTAAAACATAGACTTAATATGCAACAGAACTCAAAATGATAAAGAATTAATATAAACTGTGTATATATTTAATTTTCATTGGTTCAACTTTAATATTTACATGTATTTTCTAGATTTTGCTGAAATTCTGAAGTGCACCCGGAACTGTTTCGTTGTCACACCTGGCGGAGACAACTTGCAAAGAAAGCGAAAGCATGCGATAACAGATCCCTGGTATTCTTCTTCAATATAAAAAGTGTGAGTAAAAAGATGGCCTCTACATCAGATATGGACAGACCTTCAGTTCCTATTGATGAAGAAAAAAGGACTCGGCTCTGCGATGAGTTTGTTGCAATAGCAGGTACAGACAGCGCAGTGGCTCAGTGTTACCTGGCTGAGAATGAGTGGGTGATGGAGGTGAGTACAAACAACTACTCAGAGCCAATGGACGGTGAAATTACCGATCCACACGGTTGTTTGGCAAACTGATGAAAATGGGCATTTTAAAATCAATCTGAATACTTCTGCAGCTTATTTCAGCATGCAGTGTGTTAATGTGCTTTACTGAAATTAGTACAAAAGGGTATTTTGCCATTTTCTGACACAAGACTGATCCACAAGGGTTTTTAGAAAGTTTAGGAAAGTAAAATCCTGGAGCACATGTTAAACTTGTTTTCACTTATCAGCTATAACTATGTGGCCTGTCACTGTGTGATATCACAGGTAACAGTAGCATTTTATTCCTATGTTGATGTGTGAGGGGGGAAAGGAGATTTAGACTGCCGCTGGATATAGAGGCTGAGGCTAAGCAACAACAGTAGAGAGAGGAGGTTGTTGTAATAAAATGGGTATCATTATAAGACCTAATATACTATAATCAATGATTTGTCTTCCAGAGAGCTTTGAACTCATTCTTTGAGACTGACCTGGAGAAGGTTTTTGATGAAGATTTTGTCGACAGTGAGTCCAGTCCCAAAACAAAGAAACAAAAGGTTGAGGAGAAACCTCCAGGAGAATGGTAATGTCGCTGTCTTTACCAGTGATGAGACTGTGATGAGCTGTAGGCACTAACATAGTGAAAAATCTCTAAAAATCTCCCAGTATAGATTTGACCGGGGACAGTCCGGCCTCCTCCAAACCATCAGAGGAAGATGACAGCAAACTGTCACTGATCACCTGGAATGTGGATGGACTCGATACGGACAACCTTGGAGAGCGTGCCAGAGGCCTGTGCTCCTTCTTGGTCTTGTAAGCTTGTGTTTCTACTTTTCTGGAGTCCCTCTTTTTATTTGTGGAGAAAAATCAACCAGTGTGTAACTATTTTGACTTTAAATTCTGCTGTTAAAAGAAAACCTTATTTTCATGTAGATACACCCCAGATGTGGTGTTTCTCCAGGAGCTAATTCCACCTTATGTCCAGTACCTGAAGAAGCGGGCTGTCAGTTACCTGCTTATTGAAGGTTTTGTCTTGGTTTTCATCATTATTGCAAAGTATCTTGTGCTCAATACAAAAAAAGTGCTATGCCTGTATTGTGTGAAAAACTGAGGTTAGCAGATTAAACCACTCTTCTTTATCCTCTTCCTTTCAGGTGGTGAGGAAGGTTACTTCACTGGCATAATGCTGAAGAGGTCTCGTGTTAAATTTACAGAGAGCGAGATAGTAACTTACCCCACCACACAAATGATGAGGAACCTGCTCATAGCTCAGGTTTGTGCACAGACAGCAGTCTGAATACTCGTGTCGTGTAAGATCTTGCATTATTAACTACATTGTTTGATTATCCACATTGAAACCAGGTGACTTTCAGAGGCCAGAAGCTTTGTCTGATGACGTCACACTTAGAGAGCTGTAAAGGCCATGCAGCAGAGCGGATGAAACAGCTGCAAATGGTGATGCAGAGGACGAGAGAGGCGCCTGATGATGTTACTGTTTTATTTGGAGGAGACACGAACCTGAGGGACACTGAGGTGAATACTTTTTCTTTGCTCATTGTGTGACTGTTCAAAAAATCTTTATGTCTACACCAACTCTTTACCTCTTTGTCGAAGGTGGCAAAGGTGGGTCTGCCCCCAACTGTCTGCGACGTGTGGGAGCGCCTGGGAAAGCAGGAGCACTGCCGCTACACATGGGACACCAAAAATAACAGCAACAAGACGGTTCCCTATGTCAGTCGGTGTCGCTTTGACAGAGTCTATCTCCGCCCGGCTACCAAAGACGGCGTCCCCTGCCTGGCCCCTGACCACATGGCCCTGGTGGGACTGGAGAAGCTGGACTGTGGACGATACACAAGTGATCACTGGGGAATCTACTGTAGCTTTTCGTTTAGTTAGACAGAAGAAACCCCGACCCTGTTTGTTCACATCTTTCAGTGTGCCTCTTTAATAGTCAAGGCTCAGCATGTTTTCCTTTATGTAAAATAGCTAAATAAGGGTAGAAAGCACCAACAGACATTGACATGTGACATTGTGATCATGTGATACTTTATAGTTGAGCCGGCAAGTTTGTTCTTGTTCTTTGAAACTGTGCCTAACAAAGATAACATTTACAGCCTATACATCTATAAACCTTCTGCGGTGTTAATCAAGACTGATTACTATTTAGCTTTGTGGTATGAGGGAGTTCATCTGGGTGGCAATGCATATGTATATGTATGTCTTATTGACATTTGGACACTAGAGGGCACTACAGATCTGAAATATATGTGAAAAACAACTGTGACCCTTTGCAGAGCTACCCCAGGATTTATGATTAGCACTACAAAGAGATAAAATACTGCACGCTCACTGCAAATTCAGCTTAATATGTGACACCAAATCATTTTGATTAAAGCTGTAAATCAATGTGTGGCTGCAGCCCAACAACCAAATCCAAACAAAAGCGCACTGGGAGGAATTTGTTCAACTACAGCCCTTAAAAAGCCTCAAAAAACATATTTTCCAATCATACTGTTTTTGCAAAACTGTGACTGATTTTATACAGATAGATTTGAAAGACATAAAAAATGTCATAAAGTGTAACATGTGTGTTTAAAAATGTGAAAGATATTAAACTTCGTACTAAAGGGATGTGGGTTTGGAACATTTTACATGTGATCACATCTCTTCTCCATGTGTGATCACATGTGGAAAACGCATGTGTTTTTTTCTTCTTCTAGGGTTGGCTAATACGTTGGTATGTAGTCTCTGTTATTGTGGTGGAAACCCTCATGGAGCCCACAGCTCCGTGCACTGATTGGTTGAGAAGCATATTCCCACTACACTTTGTAAAAGCAACACCATGTAACACCTTTGTATTTTATGCATCTGTGGTTTTGCTGCTTCGGATGTCTGCTGTAAGATTAAAAGCCCATTAGGATGATAACAATTTAACAGCAGCGTTAATCTCCACCTTATATCACAAGCCTCTCACTATACAAAGGCCTCACTTCCACCCTAAACCAGATGTGAACCCCTCCTCCTCCTCACAGTCTCTGCCAAACTTCTGTTAGCGTGTTCCCCTCTCCTCTCTGAACAGCACCCATCAAATCTTAGAGTGTGTTTTGATACACTGCGGCAGAGCAGATAGAGCAGAGCAGTTTTTTACAGCACCAAGTGAGGAAGAGGAGCTGACCTTAGGAGAGGACACAGATGTGACTCTTCCCTGGGAGCAGGCGTCATCAGAACAGACCCCCTCCACCCACCCATCCCCCTCTCTCTGTGATTCCTGATTAGCAAAGGACACATTAGGTCTGCCCAGCTCTGATGAGTTCACCTAGAGCCTAAAACATTACAAATGAGCCTTCTCTTGTTTATAATGCATCAGATTTCATATAGCGCTTTATCAGAGACCCTCAAAGCGCTTTACATTGGATACATCATGTTTGTCCTCTGAGTAAGAAGATCTGTGTCATACAAGCTTAGGGAGACAAAATTTAACCAACTGGGTCACAGATGTGAAATTCTCTTGGTTTCAAATACACGTGGGTGTCTGATTTGTGGATTTGAGATTGAGATTTCAAATTAAAAGTCTACATTCACTGTTGTTTGTATTTGCAAATAAAAGTGCAATAGGTGGATTTGAAATTTTGAAAATTACAAATTACTTGAATTTTAATTAATCATGTAAATAGAAATGTTGAAAAAGATTAAAGATGTCTCAAATTGTCCTGTCAGGTAAAACATCTCACTACATTTGGAGGTTTGATGACAGAAACTGTTTTCCATTTCAAGAAAAAAAATATTGATGCAGATCCAGAGTCAGCCTGCATGACTATAGACAGGTCTTAAACAACAGACATACACAGATTCAGCTTCAGGCTTGCACACAGTCATCCAGAGGTGCACTGTTTTCTCTTTATGTGAATATAGAGCAGCAGAGGATGAGGAGGAGGAGAACAGCAGCAGGTCATTGATGGTACAGATGGAGGCAACAGCTGTCTGGGCCAAGAAAGTGGTCATGTGACGCATCCGTCTGCCTTGAGCGGGATGCCGCTGCCAGAGGCCCATCACTGTCCACCTCCTTCACAAATCCATCAACATCCACATCAGAAGTTCAACCTTTCTGGAGGGCTGCGTGGAAATTTTCCAAGATCATTTCACTCACCCTTTTATAATTTCACTCTGTGTATTTCAAGCGCCAACAGCCCAACAGATGTATTTTTGGATCCTCATCCAAAAGCGTCGCCCTCAGTGGGAACTCAGGCTTCCATTTGAGGCCCCGTCAAAGTGAATGTTCTTGGTTCTGCGTGGACGTATCCATGTGCCAGCGGGGAGGCTGTGGGAGGAGGTTTTGTCCTTTGAGGCGGGGTTGGACGATGATGGATCAGACACAGATCTGACCTGAGCCCGGGAGAGATTGGCGGGTTGTGTGTGAAGAGCGGCACGGTAATGTGGTGTGCTGCAGCTTCTGGTAACAGACGCAAGAGGAGTCTGGTCTGATTCCATCTGATTGATAGATTCTGGCTGGGTTCTGTGTTTTTAGATGTTTGCAGGGCTGTATGCAAATATCTCCGGGCAACTTTCAGTGTCTGTGTGTGGTCGTATATTTAAAATCTATCTGGACCATGTCTGTCAGACACGGTTCACGCAGACACCCCTCTCCCCTCTGTGCAGATAGCTTGTCAGACGCAAGGCAAGGGCAAGAGTAAGTGGTGCCCAACTCTGTATCACCACGGCTACATCCATCACGACTCCCCTTCAGAATCGATGTGACAAACTGCCCCAGAAGCCAGCATTATTTCTGGCCATACAGTGCTTCTGCTGCTGCTTCTGCTGCATATTTGAGGACTGACAGTTATTTAGAGTTTTGCAAGATAAGGGAAAACCATCTGAGTGAGAACATTTTGTCTTCTATCACTCTCTAGGGGGCCGGGGATGAAGCCAGCCTGGTGCTATTTACAGGCCCATGCTACGATCTTGCATGAGGTTTTGATATGAGGGGATGAATCAACAAAAAAAAAGAGTGAAAACATCTGTTCACAAGCCATTATTTCCCGCAGATACACAACCCCGTACCTTGAGCTTTTTCTGTCCATGTGAAGGGTTGAGAGAAATCTAAGTAAAGGCACCAAGAAAAGGGAATCATTTAGCGTTACATAAGGTCTCTATCGCTGTGAATTATTAAACAAAGGGGAGTGGAGAAGATAAAACAAAGTACAAGAACCACCCTGACTTGTATGCTTTCTGTTGCCAAGAACAACAAATATAACTTTTGTCCAAAAATTCTTTAAAAAAGCAAAACTTTAGACGTGAAGTGACCATGTGTTGCACTTGACTAAAAACACCAGAGTGTAAAGAGAGAAGAGCACCTCAAAGACAGGGACTAATAAAAGTTATTAGTATGTCTCTATATGTAAAGCATATTTACCTGAGTGTGGTTTAAAATGTAAACAAAAATAACTTTTCTGTCCGGGTTTCGAAATGTCAATGTCTGTGTTGAAAAGATGAAGTATAAACTGAGCAAACGTGGTAAAAAGTTGAACAGGTTTTATTTTCTCTCATAAATAACACTGAACAAGCATCGTACAGCGATAAATATCAATATTTATACACTGTAAAATTCTCTGTATTACAAAATACAGCATTTGTGTAATGCACTTGATACAGATGGGAAGTATTGCATTTCATAACACCAAATGAGACCCTAAAATTGACCCTGGATGTCTCCTCTACAACGGTTCAAGGTGTGCAGAAACATCTCGGACCCAGGTCTCATGTTGGCATCTATAAAATATACTTCCCTTAGGAATCAGTTGTTGCATAACTATATCTAGAGTTAAGTAGAGCCCATCTAGGAAGAACCAAAGCTTTTACTTTGAAAACTGCTCATTTTCCCACAAGTATAGGTTTTCAAAATCCCAGTTTGATGAGTTGATGGTAGCCGATTGGAGTTTGATATTTGTGATTTTTGCATTAACAAAGGCGTCAATTCAGCACTTTGTAACTTGGATTTTGAAACGTGCTCTCCAAATGAAGGTTATTATCAGTAATTCCAGTTATTCCCCACTTTTGAACAGAACCACTGTATGAAATCACACTTCCTTTGGAGGGTAAGAGGTCACTGCTGTCAGGTGGAAGCCTCGTGTATTTATAGTTTCTCATCAGGAACTGAGGAGAAACTCATTTTTCAAAGGTTAGGAGGTGAGTCTAGTGAGCAGGTTTGATAAATGTCATTCATCTCCCTCTACATGAACCTTAAAGTCAGGCCGGGAAAATGTCTGGGTTAGAATCAAAGAAGCGTTTTTTTTTAGTGAGAGGTGATCAGCAGATTTTGAAACCCTTCAAAGAAAAGTGAAAAAGATTTTTTACGAGCTGTTTTTATCACGGATGTCATGCGAGTCTTCCTCATCATTGGCAGAGCAGAAATCTTTTAGTCAGAGGCAGCGGGAGGTAACAGGCAGGTTGAACACGAGCACAAACCTGGGAATACTGATACTGAACCATACAGGGGGGAATGTGGGTCCACAAACATGTTAGATGCAGTTTTTGTTTACTTTTAAATAGAAAGTCCAAGTTTTCAGGCGGACCTGAAACAACTGCTCCTGACTCTGGGCCAGTCTGCTTATTGATCATTCTGGTATCATGGTGTTTTTGCTCTGAAATATTATTGCTAAATTCAGACAGGAAGGGGCCCTTTAACCGACATGTCTTCAAAATAACTCTACTGTGGTTTAGAGGACTGACAGCGTGGAATGTGTTCGGGGGAATATTTAATCTGGCTTTGAAGACAAAAGTTAAACAAAAAGTTGTGTCACCATTAATAAACAGGCATTAGTAAGAAAAACAGGGACATAAAGGTGGATATTTCATAAAGGAGCCCTTATTATTCCTCAATCAGACGTTGTCTGAGGAGCAGCATCACAATAATTCATGTAAAAATAAAAAGTATTATCACATTCATCACTTAGTGTCCGTGTTGTGTTTGATTGTCGGCTTCTGAGACACAACAGATTCAACCTTTGACCAAACTCTTTTCCAGTTTTACATAATCTGTATGAAAATAATCCGTCATAGTGGACTGTGCAAAAGAATCTATGATTAGGAGAGCTTTGTTGTCGGTATGTTAAGAGCTTAAACAAGAAGGAATTCTTCACAGATCATTTCAACCATCAAAAAACAACATTGAGTCATCACATATTAAGTCACATGTAGCCTCAGCTCAGGTGGGGCCAGTGTCATGGCGTCTGATATCAAATTATGGCACATAATAATAACAAAATAACAGCCTCTTTATCCCATTTAGCTCACTTTGTCTATAATGTGAGTAAAAGGTTATATAAACACAGGTTGTGTTATTTCGGATGCATTTCTGATTAGTTTGGTTTCAGCACTGAAATATGACATTCATGCCATTTTGTCACTGTTCTTGATATTGCACAGAATTAACAAAAACTACCATCCTAAACGAAAATCTACGGAATAATCCTAATGGATCATCATCTCACAGATACAAAATAATGTAAACCAAATTAAAATGAGTTAGAAAGATATACATGAAGAGCTGGACATCAGTTTCAGTTCAGTGTGGGTATTTTTCTGCAGCCAGAACATGTGGCTGTGCTGCAGAGAAGCTGATCACGCTGCAACTTCCAACTTTTCCTGGCAGAAACATTCCTGAGTTTCCCCGCTGTGAAATCTGCTCTCCTCTCCAGCTGCTCTTATCAAAACTGCAGAAGCGCTAAAATGAACTCTGGGCAGACGTGGCTGATTCAGCTGATGCAGGCGCACACCAGCAGAAATCACATGGGTCAGAGAGCGTCTTTGTGAGAGCTCCGGCTCTCTTTCTCTCTCTCTCTCCATCGTCCAAAAATAAGACACGTAAAGAAAACGTTCAAAACCAAATGTTAAACAAATACTGATAATGCCCTTGTTATTCGTACTGTGAAGAAGCTGTAGACCTACACAGATATAAAAAAGTAAAGAAACAGCAGATGCAGTATGGAAGAAAGGTGCATAGGCTGGCATTCGTTGACACTGACATGGAAATGTGGTTCCTTGGTTCTCTAGAAAAGCTCCAGATTGCACATTCATCGTGTTAGCCGGCGGTTAGCCTAGCTAGTTTTTTAAAGACTCACTCGCTCACTCAGCCACCTCTGATATTTCTAAATATCATTGACATCTCCTGTAATAGAGCAAATGTTAAGAAGTACCTATAAGAAAATAACAAAAACAAAAAGAGGACCCCCCCAAAGAGGATGTACCACAAAACCATCTTCATCCCAACTTTGCACCGACGAATCCTCAGAAACCATCTCACATCAGCGTGGTTCCCTTTAGCTCTGCAGTTTTACGGGTCCGTGACCGATTCATGAGGCCGACCGCCTCACATGTCGATTTTCGGTCACACCACGTTAATGCAGTTCCCTCCGCCCACTGTCGCCCTCTTGCTGCAGTAGGTGAAGCTGCTGTGATTAGTGGAGGAGCCGTTCATGTGCGACGACTTCAGCTCCATCTGGCAGGCGGCGATGGCGGCGTTGAGCTCGACCTGAGCACGGTGCACGACGTAAAACATCAAGCCGATGCTGATGACGATCTGCAAGAACAAAAAAAAGGAGTTACATCTTATCGATTCAGGTGTGAGGGTGAGAATAGTTGTACATAGCCTTTTATACTTTTTGTACATAGCATTGTACATAACCCTTTATATTTTTATACTTTAATACTTTTATACTTTACATATTTCTTGCATGCTCTTATTAGTTTTTATTCTAGTATTTTATATTACTCTCTGTTTATTGTTGCACCATCATGCCAAAACAAATTCCTACTCTGTGAATCCTGTTCATCAACAATGGCAATAAAACCCCTTCTGAGTTCTGAGAGGCTGAGGCTAGCATGGTACTCATGAAGGTACCAGCTGACCATCGAGGACAGATGTTAGTAGTTGAGAGGACAATGATTGGCTGAAATTAACGAGGACATCATTCGTCCTTGATATCAAATGTTGAGCAGAATTAATTTGCCAAAATCAAAACAAAAGAATATTTGTCCTTGAGAAACATGAAATGTGCTCTTGTAGTCTTATCGAATCACAGCATCGTTAGGAGAATCCTCTGTAAGACTGTGGGGCGTAGACATCTGAAGCAGCAGCTTTCCCTCCTTCCCCTAACATGGATACCTACTTAATCTTGACCTCTGGCCCCTGTGAGCTCATAAACAACCCCTGATCTCTGAGCAACTGTGGGGATTAGATGAAGCTGAACAGGTGCTGGGGATGTGATGCCGGCAACAGACGACCTTTGGGTGAGCCGAACAGCTCTGTGGGAAAATGGTGATAATCTACATGTGGACTTGGAGGTTTTATGTAACTTTAGACTCATGGAAGCAGCAGATGTAGACGCTTTGCTGCAGGATGAGGTGTGACAGGCTCTGTAGACCTGATAAATGTCGAAATGTAAAGAACAGAAAAGGAGCTGTTTAACAAAACATGTCACTGAAGATAGATGAAGTCGTCCGGGGCTTTGTGTCACCTTGTGAATGAACACTGCAGCTGCTCTTTATAAATGGGCTGTGAAAATAAAAAAAGCAGGTTTTTCCTGCTGCGGTTTCGACAGTCTGCTGGACTGATTGTCTTTTTATGATTCGAACAAACTCATAAGAGTGTTTCAAAAACATGAAATACTACAAAGCACTGACTTTGGATTTTTCCAAGCACAACAGAGATTGTGAAACTGGTGATACTGCAGGACATGAAGGACATTTTTACACTTTAAATAAATAACATGTACAGCTCACCTGCAGGCTGAACACAAAGTAGCCGCTGACACTCTGCTCAGCAATGACGTCCTCCATGGTGCGAAGTGTGGTGCCCAAATAAGAGTTGAGAAGCTGAGTAGGCAACAGACCCACAGAGGAGGCCACCAGGTAGTTTGGCAAGGACACATCTGTGATCTGAAAAACAAGTAAACAAAAGACCGATGCATGACTGGAAAAAATGAACTACATGAGAAAAAAAAAACATTCTTTACTTTGACTTATGTTTGACCTTGGCTCAAGTCAAGCTGAATTTCTTCATCAGTTTTCACAAGTATAAATAGATATTTCAAAACTCAAGTTATTCAAATACAGGAAACTAAAGCTACTTAAAATTACTTCAATGTTTTGCACACTTACCTCTGAAACAATAAGACTTTACTGCAGCCTCACCTGAAAGCTGGAAATCCTTAAACAGATTGTCTTTTTCATTAGATCTGCACTTTGTTGATTTAATAAGTCCAAGAACACTCTACGTGTTAACGGCTATTTTCTCTTAGTAGAAGATCCTCCATACGAGACACATTTACCCTCTACAGCTCTCTTATGACTTCTTTGAAATAACTGAGTCCCTAAGAGGTCGAATGATCTCATATTCCTGAACAAAACCTTAGTCTTTGTTTTTACCTGTCCTTTACCTGTCCTTTTCTTAATTAATTCATGACCCCTCAAAAAGTGACCCTTCAAAGTGGTCCAGCATCCCTGTTTGGAAGCCACAGACTAGACTTTACATGAACCCACCTCTTATAATAAATCACAAGCACATTTATAAAGCTTCATAAATGCATCGATTACGCTTTATGACATATCTTAGGAGGCTTTGTAAAGGTGCTTATGAAGCATTATAAGGGTTCACATAAAGTGTTATCGACTGAACTTACTGGCTGTGTAAGAACTCGTCCAAACAGGCTTCGACTCAAGCAGCCACAACAGTGAAATGCTTTTTCCACATGAATGCATCAGCACCAACAGTTTACTGTATTATGTAATACGTATTAACTTGCCAGTCAAGCGATTGTGCGAGTCTAATAGAGGAACATTTCTAGCTTTGACACATAAAGCACATTGTGCAAGTGACGTATAAAATGCAGGTCGCTTTGACATGTCCAGAGTATTACAGTATGACTTTTTTTCTGGATGTTTTCTTTTCTTTATTATAGTAGGTAAGTGAAAATTTGGTAATACTTTATCTGACGCCTCTCTCTATAATGCATCATAAATACATTTAAAATGCGTTATAGTCACGTTATAGCACTGTATAACTACAGTTATAAACACTTACATAAATGATCAAAATGCTTTATAGCAATAATCATAACACATTATAAACCAGTGGTTCTCAAGTCCAGTCTTCAAGGCCCACTGTCCTTACATGTTTTGGATGTTTCCCTGCTCCAACACACCTGATTCAAATGATCAGCTCGTTATTAAGCTCATACAGAGCTTGATAACGAGCTGATCATTTAAATCAGGTGTGTTGAAGCAGGGAAACATCTGAAAGTCAGGTCTGAAAGTCAGAATTTGTGGCTTTTTGCTTTACCCGCCCACCAGGTCACGTGTGCACACTGGTGTGCACGCACAACAGTCATCCGGAGCATGATCAACCGAGCATGTTCAACCCACTACAATGAAACCTAAAACTCAGGACAGTTTATTGGTGGTTAAGTTGTGTTTTTAGTTTGTCCTGCAGATTATCATTTTACTAACTTCCTCAAACCTTGTGATTTCCTTTTATTTGTAAAAGCAAAATACTGCTGTGCATTTTATTTTGGTCAGAGGCTCAAAACAGGCCTGCAGTGTGACCTGTTGCACAAGTTATAAATTGTTTTCAGACAAAATCGGTATCGGCGGGTCAAACTTTTTAAAGATTGGTGATCGGCCAGAAAATTGCGATCGATGCACCTCTAATTATAATGCATAATACATACATTTCAATGCGTTATAGAGATAGGCGTCAAATAAAGTCTGACCGAAAATTTCAATTTTGATTTCAACAACAAGGAAGGTAGTTGGGTTACATCCCTTTCTTGTAACCACCGTCACTGGGTAGGTATGAGACGAACAAAGACGGCTTCAGCGCGCCGCAGAATCAGTCTTTGTTTACATTTTAAACACTGAAGATTAACAGTCAGTGACACTTCCTTTAAAGCATGATGAGATTTTCTTATCAGGAAACCTATGAACGCACGTACATGATGGGAACAACGAGATAAGACACACTGATATGTCAACAGACGGTGCCAAAATGTCGAGCCCTAATCTCTTACAGGAGCTTTAAGTAAAGGATCTGAAGACTTATAACACAACTGAGTAAAGCTGAAAGAAATCTTTGTTTACGATTTGTCTCCCTTTGTTCTACACAGACTGACACAATTATGAAGGGGAACACTATGAGAACACGACTTGAAGGGAAGCAGCAGAGAATTTCACATCAAAATCTGCATCTTCACGTTTCAGTTGGCAAAAAAGAAACGACTACGTGCCACGAGAAGCCGAGCCAAGTGTCTCGTTTCATATCTCATTACTACCACTAAATATGAACAAGTGTCTGTGTCGCTGTCACCCTGGATCTCTTAATAACGTGATGACATGAGTGGATGTGTGTTTGAGTCAGGGTGGAAGTGACCTTGGCTCCGTGCACTGTGACCACACTCTGGTTGATAGCTGCAAGTCGGCGGGCTGTGACGTGTTGCTGTGAGACGCCGCCCTGAGCCAAAGTCTTATCAGAGGGGCTGGAGAGCATTTATGCTGCTAAAGCATCTCGATGCATTTATAGATCTGAAACCCTTCTGCTGTTATCGCACGCTGATAAGTTTCATTTCTACGCATGCTGATGTTACACAACTGGTTCAATCGTGCTAATGTTAGCATCGAGCTGTTGGACCTGTATGTATCATCAATCAGGCTGTTCTTCTTGAAAGATTGGCGCCGATGTGTCCGCACTACGTGTCAACACGGTCCCGACGCCTACAGATGATCTCTGAGACATGACATGCGAGCTAGGGGAGAGCTGCAGAAGAGAAAAAAAGGGAACACGCTGTCTTTTCTCTCGGCCCTCATCCCTGAGTTGTGAAGCACATGTCCTCTAAAGTCACTCCCTGCCCAGGCATCTAGTGCATGCAGCTGTCTGATACACGACTAGAGGAAGGGAGCTATTCAGTGGTATTTTTATAACAACACAGAGATTTTCCACTGAGCCTCCCACTCCTTTCTGCAGGCTCGCTTATCAAGATGATCTGCAAATTCGAGTTTAAAAAAAAAAAAAACACCTCATCCACAGCTTGACCTGATTTATTCAGAGCAGCAGCAGCGATGCAGGTCTGAGTTTGCGCTTGTAAACAAAAAAAAGGGAGTGGGATAATTCCATAAATTTCAGGAGTGGTTGTTGTCATTGTCTAGGAATGTAATCAGCAGCTACAATAACATGTTTGCCTTAAAGTTAAAGTCAAATTGCCGTTCCTGCAGCTGCTGATTATGACAGCGGAGGCCAGTGAGCGCGTAGTGTTAAAGGTCAGACCTCTGTAATAAATGTGCCGCTCTGATTACAGCTTCTTCACTTTCCAGGTATATGCAAACATTGTTTTTCCAGAGCTGTCCCTTCTGTTTTGCTCACCGCTGCAGTCTTTGAGTCGTTTCAGGTTACCCGCCACAATGTAGCACCATCGACTTCAGCAGAAAGAAGCGAGGAGGGACACGGTGAAATGTAGCCCCGTCCACTGAAAGTGCTTACCAAGGGCAGAGCATAACTGCCCTTGGGGCCAAGAAGGATGCACCCACTGTTTGTTTCAGCTTTTATTGTGGAGGGTAAGATCCCAGAGATACTAAAGGTTGGAGGATAATGAGTCTCCAGGTAAGATAATTAACAAGGAGTTAAGTGAGAGCCTGGAACAGAGCAGAAGATGTGGGTGAACTCAGGATTCAGCTCATTAGCCTGCTTCTTACGAGCTCTGGCTCTACTAAAATCTCATTGGCTGGACGATCGCATGTGACACTTTCACAGGAAAGAGGCGCTTAATCCATTGTTTGCAGAGGTGGGAGGAAGGCAGGATGTCTTCTTTTATTTCTGGGTGTTATTGTGCTGGTTTGTTGGTTTTATTTCTACGCTTCATAGACTTAAAGAAGGAACATACATGAATCTGGATGTGGTCAAATATTGGCCTGACTGCAGGTGCGTCTCTCTGTGTGACACCTTCACCTGCTTCAGCGTGTGGTGACACCATAACACCTGCTACAGCTGAGTGCACTACCCAAGTGGATGTGTGCCATGCTGGCTTAGCAAAATGGCTACTATGATGACACTTGGCACTGGCAGGAATTTATGGTGTTTTTTTTTCTTTTGGACTTCACACTGATATGAAGCCTCACATGAGGGATGTCAAACACGTGCACTTCTTCTAGAGAGTGGCTATGTTTCATTAGAATGAGGCACATGCTGAATTTTCTTTTCATGTGATTTTAAAAACAAAGGTCCAAGTCTTTTTTGTTCTTTTAAACTAGTTTTAACCAGATGAGTTTATTACTAAAACAAACATGAAGAGGCTGTGCGAAAAACGATTTTGTGGTGATAAAGGTTTTTTTTTTTTTATGTTAAAGAGTTGACAAATGGAGATCACACTTATTGTACATCACAGGAGCTTTATCTCCTTGAAGGCTACTGTCAATTAGCTGACAGGAAAGGGTGGGTAAGGGGGCGTTTCTATCTAGAATGAGACTGCCAGATATTTCTAAATATTCAAATTTCTACATACTGCACCTTTATAAGTTAAGACTAAAGATTAGGGACGTACCAATCTGCTTTTTTCACCTCTGATATCAACACAGATATCTGCAGTTTAGTATCGGCCTATACCGATCTAGTTCTAATACAGAAAAGCCGCGCTGAATTACCTTTTGTCGTAACTTGAAGTTTTACCTCTGCCCCTTGGAACGTCGAGCTTGTAGGCTGAGGTATTCTAATAAAGTTCAAGATAGCAGACCCCTTTGCTCGCTCCATTTTGAAAACAATGTGGGCATCCACTCAGCATGTTTACTTGTGGATGCCAGTCACGGTGCATAGCATAGAGTTAGACTGAATAGATCCCTATGCATCGGGCCGATTGTCGTGATACCCGATCTAGAATTTTCTTCAGTATTGGGACCGATACTGACACCAAATATCGGATCAGTGCATCCCTACTAAAGATGCATTAAAAAAAGCTTGCTAGGTTAAGAAGAACTGAGGAATTAAGATTCTATGCAAAGTTTCTCAACAACACTTTACAACAGTTACTATCAAAGTTGGATCAGCCAACCACCAAGGTCAAAAATAGGCAAAAACCTAGCATTACCTACAGAAATATTAGTTAAAATTAACTTAAAATCATCACTCTTAAAGGACAGTCTCATGGGCCTAACAATCAGTCAAGCACACAAAAAACAGCCTTTTCAACGACAAACAGCTGTCAGAAGTTGAATGTAACCAGCAGGAATATGACAAATGCAACCTGGCACACAACACAAAATGACCCACTTTTCTAAGAGCTGTTTATAAGCCGCCGTCTCTTTCACAGAATCTTTTTGTTTGCTTTCTCCCGTAAATAATGATCCGCTGCAAACTAAAATAGTATTTCACAAGGCTGTCAACCGCCCGGCCTTAATGTGACCCTCGCACAGAGATTTGCAGACAGAAGCGGCAGCGATGCCGGTGACAGAGGCAAGCGACATGACAGGATGTCTGTCCCTTTGACTTTGACACCTCATTTTCGCCTCGCACAGAGGAACAGTAAGTGTAATGTTGTAACCGCTGTTAAAGCCCCATCCTGGCGTGAGAGGGACGGCTCAACCTTTGGACACAGAGCTATGTCCCAACCATGAAGCGGAAAGTATGAAACAACGACAAACAGAACAGAAGCCATTTAAGCCAGTCAGGCAAAAACGGACCATCTGCTGGGTTTGGAGGTCCTGTTCAAAGAAGTCCTTTCACAGGTGGACAGCGTGCCATGGTCGGGGATAATACAAAGGAAGTCGATCAATTTGTAGCACATAAAGCTCTCTTGGAAAAACATGTAGGATAACACATTTTTTTGTGAAACTCCAGTTTAAGGCACACGTCTAAAAGGAGAGGCGTGAACTTGTCTTTTCAACGGACTAAACTTAATTAACCGATAACAAATGAATTATCTCCGGTTTCATGATCAGCTTAACACGTCAGCACTAATAATCCCGTCCTCTGTGTTCAGATCTCGTGTCCCAGTTTGAGCTTTTGGAATTTGAGATGCTTCCAAAAAAACAACAACACCTAAATTATATAGACAAGAGCAGCTCGACTGTTTTCTAAAGGCAGGGCTTGTTGTAGCTTCAGTCAGCTGATCTCTGGGATGATTCACTTCACTGTTATCAAATGACTATGTTCTTTTTTTATCAAGTAGTCTTACTCACTGAGTGTGAGTAATAAATTCCTCATGAGAGTGTCATCTGTCAAAGGCTGTAACGATAACGATAAGATAAAGTTAGATTTAAATAATCCGGACAGCAATCGTTATTGAAAAACTACATTCATAGACAATGACATCAATCTGTTCTCAACTGTACATAGAGTTTTACATGACGTTTTAAAGGAATAGTTTTTTTTGTCAAGTGAGGGGACGCCGGCCATTTTGTTGAGAAACTGTTTTCACATTTCTATCAGTCGTGGTATACTCGTGCCCTTCCACCTGCAGGGCACTGATCAGCTTTGAAAGAGATAAACGCCAAACTAAATAATGGCAGTGATGATGGCCTTCTGTTCACTGCCAACACAAGAGAGCACCTTCGAAAGTAGGAGTTCACAGAGGGACAACGAGTCAATGAACTACAGGAGAGAGGGCACAGACTTTTATACTAGCTGGAGGGCAAGGGAGATCCAAAGTTAAACTGCGATGTCCATGCCCATGACTGAGATAGTCAGCTACTTTCCTAAGTAAGACTTTGTAACAACTGGACTCCCTGAGATTTTCTGGATCAGAGTCGCTCGCAAGCATCTGCAGTCTGCATCACTCACCGACAACCAGACAGCCGGATCAAAGTGTGCCATTAAAGGAAGATTTCGACTGTTTTTAAAGAATAATGATACAACCAGTGGTGTGCACAATTTTGAGCTTTTCAAGAGAAAGACAGAGCTGAAATAACAAACTCTGCAGCCATCGCTGTGCCAGTTTCAGCATTTGTTTATTTACACTATTAAACTGAGACAAAAATGTCACATTATTGATGTGTACATCACAGACCTGACACGTTCACTTGGATTGAACTCTCTTTCGACTAGGTATTTGGTAGGGCTGAACCTGCCCGCTGCAGTTGATCCAGTTCTCAACAAAGAGGCCAAACATGCACGTCACACAACCCGCTCCAATAAACACTGAACTATCCCTTTAACTTGCCTAAGTGGTGGTGATAGCCTTGTTTCAGGTTAGATTATTTCGATCAGGGGTTTGATCGGAGTTTCTTATATTTGCAACCTAATAAATTTTTGTTATTGGGTGTTAATCCAAAAGATTCCCTATAATCCCTCCTGTAATGCTCATTCTTGATTGGAAAACAACAAGATATTTGAGGGGATACAATTAGCTGTATCTACTCCATGAATGTCAATCAACGCTCAAAAACTTTTAGTTGTATCAATACATTTTGTCCACAAAAAAAAAAATCAGCAGTTGTGTTTTTTTAAGAGGATGTCGATTTTTAGGTGATATGAAGCAAGTATGAAAAAACTATGAAAGGCTGAAGCCAAATAAGTAAATATCTATACTGCAGAGAAGTAAATCAGTCAGCCGGGGAAACGGACTGGGTTTGCAGCATGCAATTACTGTGCTTGTGAAACTCTCTTACGTCATTTTCCTTTTTCCTGCCTCAGGCCCGTGTGTCAACTCCTTCATGCTCTGAGCTATAAATGCCTTTCAAGCTCCCCACTCTGCATCCACTTCTGGATGTTTGTGCCACTATTGGGTTTTTTTTTTTCTTTTTGATTCCCCTCTAACCAGATATGTTTCCATAAACACAGTCCAGTGTTTAACAGAGCTCCGGTTGGAAAGGATGAAAGGTTAATTAAGCTGCTTTCTGGTGGAGTAATAGCTTACAAACAGGCTTACTGCTTGTGAAATGTGATCTGGCGTTAATAGGCTAAATTCTAATTAAACGCAAGCCAGCTCACTGGAGTCAGTTCCCTTGAGTCAGTGCACGTTCGAGGCTAGTTATCTTACAGCCCACTTCCGAGGAAACGTATTACACTAGAGCAAATCCTCTAACCTGGAAGTTTTAGTTTTTTCATGGCCACTGATGACAACATTTGTTCTTGCAACCTTCCCCTGAACAATGTTGCAGCACTTAAGTAGGTCAGAATAAGGTGCATATAAATATGCGAGGCATAACTCTGCTTTGACTCCCCTATAAATACAAGAAACCAGCTGAGAGCAGAATCTAGCACTACATCTATGTTGATGCTACTCTTGGACACAACAGTTACTACTATTCAATGTTGATTTTTTAAATTTTGCAGCTTCGTTGCTTCTGTATTTTGTGACAATAACTCAACAAATACTTGTGTGGAGAGAAAGTAGCCAGTGTGATACAGTAAACTGGGGCAATTAGGCAGTGATGAGAGATATTTTTAAAACAGTCTGACTTTCACTACTTAGGAGAGACTAATGTTTAAATAGCTACATGACATTAAGTGCACCCTCGGGTCTTTATTCTTCATTTATCACTCAATTACAACTGGCAGAACATCCCTCATATTGCGTGAATCTGAGCTGATTCTCTATGATACAGCGACGCATCCCTGAGGCCATTTAATGTTTGTAGGTATCAAGGATTTGACTCGGGAGAATAATCAGTGAATATAAATTATTCATGGATTGCTTGAAGGTCAAGGCCCTCAGGTTAAGAGTAGCTGAAAGCATCATCGTAAGTACAGTGGTGTCTATTACTTTGACCCTTGATTTTACATTTATCCCGCAAGAAAAATACAGAGCTATCGACATAAAATACGTGCAGAGACCCCAAGTGGGACTTCAAATGTAAAAGATATGCCTTAAGGTTAAAGTCCATATTTGAAGGACAGTTTCTCCATCTGTAAGAGCAGTGAGTTTCCGTTGTCTGGGGATTATCCTTGCATTTTGATGTCTGCTTTCATGGGTTAGGGTTAGGGCTGGGCAATAAGGGAAAAATTTATAACAATATAAGATTTTCATATCCGTCAATTTTAAAATATATATGGATATGAGATATAAAATTTAACAGTGCTTATTGGTAGCATGTCTTTTGCAATACAACAAGTTACTGCATCTGTGAGGACTTTGTGTCTCTTCGATGTTTTTTCGTGAGGCGTTGCGCTAGTGAGAGCGGACTGAATGGTCGGCTGTTTCAGCTGCACAGGCGCCATGGGCTCCTTGCTCTGCTCGGGGTTTGTAACCTTTTGCATCGTACGTGCTCTGCTGCAGTGCTGTCGGCTTCTATGGTTGCGTGTAGCTGCTGCCTGCTACTACGTGGTTGTTTGCTACTTGTTTCTCATTCAGCACATGATTGGTTCAGCGTGAAACTCCCCTTTTCATTGGCTGTTTGTATAGTCTACAAAAACATGGCAGAATGCCAACTATTGAAATGCATATTGACCATGTTTTATATCGATATTGAGGAAAATTTATTTTCGATATATTGTTATCGTTTTATCGGCCAGCCTTAGTTAGGGTTACATCTATTGTAATCCTGTCTGTTTCTTGAGATTGTTTTCTGACTATTTCTGATTTCCCCTGTGTGGTCGGTTGGCTAAGAACTACTTCCTGAAATCAAAAAGGTCAAAGGTTCACTCCTCATGACTTCAAGTGACTTCCTGAACTGTCTTCCAGAGGTTTAATAAGCCTTGCCCCTAGCTTACTGTCAGCTCTTATCAGCCTGCAGAAGATATAACATGACTATTAAACGTCTGCTGAAAACATAGAAAATGGTGCTTTTCATACTCACCGAGAAAACTGCATTTTGGAGCCCAAAAGGTATGGGGGTGAGTCTTGCTAAGGCCACAACTTTGAGTCCACTCCCTCCCTCCACCACTCGAATGACAGCACTGAGCTGCTCGCTGTTTCCAACTTTGTTCAGCACCCAGTCAGTCAATAGTCGTTTGCACACCAGGTGTGCCACAAAGGTCCCTATTAAAACTCCCACCATAACCAGTCCCATTCCAAGTACAAAGCCATAGAGGTAGCCAGCCGCCACATTGAGAACGATATATCCCCATCCGCATGGAAACGACACTATAATTAAACCAACTATGAACAGCATGGCCCCCACGAAGCTGTCCAAGCTCTCCACCCAGAGCAGCAGGTCCTTGAGGTATTGACGCACCAGGGCGACCGAGGAGAAGCACACAGCCGTCAGGATGCATGCCAACAGGGCGCTCTTGAAGCAAAAGGTGGTGATACAGCACGGGTGCCTGAACTCTGCGCTGTTGCTGAAGGTTGCTCCCCCTGCGGCGCTGATGGCCTCGGGGTCTCCATCTGACTTCCCAATGCCAGCCCCCGTTTCGTCAAAGGCGCTGCATATCAGGATGTCTATCTTGTCACACTCCTCTGTGGCAGTCCTCTGCAACCAGCGGTTCAGCTGAATCTGTGCCTTCCCCACGGCATGCTTGACAAGCTTGGTGAAAATCTGCACGCTCGTCGACCCTGACATTGACATGTTGGCCCTCAGGTGAGCTCTGTGGGGGGGCCAACAGCAGGGCTCAGGTGAACTGTCTGACCTGAAGACAGCTGTGGTGTTTAAGACTTCCAGATAGTTCTTACATCCAGTAAAAGTCCATGTCTAGCGTTCTCTGTATTAATATAGTATCAATGAACTCCAGGAGAGGCTTCAGTAGCTATGACCCATTGTTATGCAACTCTGAGAGGCGCTATGAAGTGAGACACGAAGATGAGCTCCGTCACTCTCCTTGGCCATTACATAAAGAGTCAAATTCAACAATATTTATCTTGGGTATACCAGCTGATCGCGGCGTCGCCAGTCCAGTGACATGAAAATGCCAGTTTTGTGGCTCCTGTTGGAAACACTCGCCATATTCAGAGCTGTCACCCCTCCACTCGGGACAATGCAGAGTTTAAGGATGGAGGGAGCTGTCAGGTGACAAAACCACCCAACACTCCTGAATAAAGTGCTCCCACAGCGTCAACTTCTCACGGCGCCACCTGCATCGACATCCAGCTAGCGGTAGCTCAGTAGTTAGCATAAATCACGGCGCGGCTAACTCACTCCTGTCGTGGGCTAAATAACTCTCAGCCGTGGAGAAAGTCCACACACACACACACGCATCCACCGTTGGCTGGCCTCCGCGTCCGCTTCCCCTGGAAAATGGAGCGACAAAAACAACTTCAAGTCGGAGATGAAAAACCTGTTTGGTTCCTGGCTGCACGCTGGGTGTTGTTGTTTCTTCTCTCCGTGATCAGTCGAGCCGCTGCTGCTACTGTCGCCGTTCAAGCTCCTCATACTGACCACTGTTTGTGTCCCAGAATGCCAAGTAACCCGCAGACACGTGACGCTACATTCGACGTTCTTACCCAATCGAAGCGCCCCGTATGTCATCGCGAGGTTTTCACGAGGTTCCACACGGAAAAAAAAATGTTTGTTTTGGATCAATTGACTGGAGCTTCTGTAAACTGCAACCACACAGGCAGGAAAAATCATATTGGACATCCCATACTGTGGTTCAAGTACATTTTTTTACTCTTGTACCTCCAATATAAATATCCAAAATCTTAAATTTAAAGGGGCAATTCAATGCAATCAAGTTTAATAGTCAGTTTGTCAGTTAGACAGTGGTGGTTGATGTTGCTCCATCACATTTTCTTATGTATAAACTATCATGATTATGCAACATCACTTGACATAGATTTATATCTCGCTTGGACTAAAAGAGCTTTAATGTTGCTGTTTATGGGAAAGTGGGGTAAGTTGAGCCAAAGGGTAAGTTGAGCCACCCCCTGTTGCTTGGAAATGGTAAAGAAATTGATCGTGTGACCAAATATTTAGGAGATGGACATCAATTCACGGAGTCGCTGAAGGTTAGAAGCACATGGGTAAAGGGGTTAGACATTTATTTAAAAAAAAAAAAAAAAAAAAAAAACATTTTTCACTCTTGAAAGTGAATTTCGTCTGTCATAAGTTTTATTGGAATTGTGTTCAGACCAAAAACGATCATTTTAAATTTGTTTTATACATCAATTGTGGTATCTATGAGCTACAACATGAGGTCAAAAATCTAAAATAAAAGTCCACCATTTTAACTTAGAGGACTAATAAAGTCGTTATAGTAGTTCTGGGGTAAGTTGAGCTCAACAGAGAAAGTAAAGGAGTCTGATGAGAGGATCAGAGTTTCAGAGTTTCAGTTCAGATTGTTGAAAGACTTTCTTTTTAAAAATACATCTGTGAATGTTCTGAATCACTTAAAGGTATTCACATGTTAAAATGGCTTCTTACAAAACAGCTTTTTAGCTGTTATATGCAATAATAATGAAAAATAATTATTGTACCAGTTGAATAGTGTATAATAGATAAAAATACACCTGAATGTGAAGAAGTGACTGTTATTTAGGGAGAGAGATGGTGAGGGAGGGTTGGGATGGAGAGTGGGGGCGTAGTAGGGATACGGCTCAACTTACCCCGCTCCTATGCCCATACACAGGGTAAGTTGACCATATGAGACCACTTTTTTAGCATGCTATATTATCAAGATAGTTATGTTTACACTCATTCTGTTGGTTTGCAGGGATGCACAACATCTTTAAATATATGCAGATACACTAGTTAGAGACAAAACTATGATTGCCTTGATGTAGTGATCCGAAATATGAAAAATGGCTCATCTTACCCCACTCTTCCCTATGAGAGTCAGTTTGTCAGTTAGACAGTGGGGGTTGATGTTGCTCCATCACATTTTATTATGTTTAAACTATCATGACTATGCAACATGACTTGACATTGATTTATATCTTGCTTGCACTAAAGGAGTTTTAATGTTGCGGTATACTGCTATTTTATTTTGCCCCAGATCCTAGTGTTACATGTTATAAAATGATCAAAGTTTTAGCTTTTGGGTTGTTTGGTGTCAAAGTAATTTACAGGCTTCTCATGTAGTAATTTCAGACAATCATGTTCTAAACTAGCTGTCAAATAAATATCTGAAAGGAACAGCATCCTAGAACTATATGAAAGCATGCAAAGGAAAAGTAATACAAAAATATCATAAAATTGTAGGTAATTTTATTTGTTTAAAGGTAAATATAGAATCCTAGCAATGAAAGTAAGTCACATTTACAGAAAATATTCATTGTAATCAAGCACACGTGAAATAATTTATTTAGAGTGTTAGGAGAAGAGCTTCATAATATTCCTCTGGGAGCATGCAGGATTTCTAGTACACATTAAAGTTTATACTCATATTCCTACATTTTTCTATATTAATGAGAGCATACAGTATAATGTAATTGCCTGAGGGGAATGTACTGCTTGTCATGCTAACCATAAATTCATAATGAAGGGAGTGAAGCAGACAATATGTGCATTCATGCATCTACCACAGCCTGCTGACTGGCAACTGCAGCTGTGGGCATTAAAATGTTTTCAGAAAACTTTGTTCACTCTGCACATACTTTTTAGATCAACTGTCTCCTCATGTAGAGACAGTAATTCTGATTAGGTTAGGTTTCGTGCTTATTAGGTATTGATGGCTTGTTAGTGCGTTAGGTTTAATAGCTGCACTGCTGTAATAGTCCAGTAGATGGAACTATTGCACAGAGTACGCCATGAGCTGAGCACTTCATATTAGGGAAACATTATAGAAATGACAGCTACCCAGGCAAATCTGTTGCATAGTTATTTTAAACTTTTTTTACAAGCAATTTTATCCTTGTATCCTTGTATTTGTCATCTCTCAGTGATCATTCATGGATTTAGTAGCATGTGTGCATGTAATGAATATGTATTGCCCCATAGAAGTTATAAAACCAGATAAATGTGTGACAATAAAATGAATCTGTGGTCAGAGCTGCTTCTTTAAACTTTAGCCACTCTTCATTTTAGGTTCAGGTTCAAAAGTTTAGATGCCTGCCAATCAATGCCATTATAAGTCTTAAGTTTTAATTTATGTTTCCAAACAAAGTATACATAATTTGTCATCATAGTGAGAGTTTATATCAAAAGCATCAAATGCATAGTCAAAGTCGTTTAAAAAATGCGGTTTGCTGAGTAGAGAACTGAAACGAAATAATGCATGAAGCCTCTACAGTTTGAACACATACGCCACGAAAACAGCCCTACTAGAAAGAAGTAAAATATTTTTATATTTAAAATCAAATAATCAAGCAAAAAAAATCTGCCAATGGGGTAAGCTTTTTTTGCTTGACAAGATTTCTCAAAATAAGAACAAATGTCTTGGCCCTGACAGACTCAAATGGAACTGAAAGCTAGACAGAAAATGTTATATAGATCCAATTTTTTTCTATGGCAAGCAATGAAAAAAATGAAGATGAAGTTACTTAAAATTAGAATTTTAGTCTCTTGAATAAATGAACTTCAAGAAAATACACCTTAATCTAGGATTATTAATGAGCATGACAGTGGTTCAAAAAAAGACTTAAATCTTAAAACAGCATAGCAAATATAAGTGATGTTGTCTTAAATCAAGATACCAAAACATTCTCATTAAATATATAATTTTTATTCCGCAAGCATGTGGAGAGCAAGCATGTTCTTTGTTGTTCTTTGTTGTTTTGCAGTTTTCATCTGGTCATTGTATTATGTTGTGTGTTGTACAGACTAGCCTACTGACATCTTTATATGTCAGATAATGTTTGAGGCAGCAGATTGTGTCAGATTCAGATGACCTGCAATGGAAAGTCAACTGTCAACTGAAGTTGTACATATGTCTTACTCTTAAAATGAGACGAATGATCTTGTTGCCCCACTGGATTTTATTGTAAAACATTTTTTCTACTCTATTTCGGGTTCATTCTATCTCAAAATTAGCTGGAATATCTTATCAAGAAAAAGTTTTTTCTTAAAATTAGATAATTTTTCTATGCAAAACATGCTCGACAAGATTAATATTCTTTTTGAACAAAAAATAAGACTTGTTTCCTGAATACAAGGCTGTTTTCCTTTCTTGAAATTTCTTTTTTGCAATGTATGCTACAGGTTCACAACGACAACACTTTTAATCAAGTCTGACTGGAGGCACGGCCGGAAGTTTAGTGATTGTTTATCCCTTCAAAATAAAAGTTAAAATATGTCAGATATTGGGGCCATAAAAAATCAATGCAGCAATATATTTTTGATCATGACACAAGAAGAAGAAGAACAGTAGAATTATAAATATGTATCTTAATTTTTGTAATGGTGTTTAAAAAAACAACAACAACAGTGAATGGTTAAAGTTTGTAACCGGAAGCTGCACGTATCACTCCCGGAAACTTGACGGCTGTACTGGCGTCAGCTGTCTTTGAATCGCAGTGTTGATCAGATACGAGCCGCACATTCCTTCAGCAGTTTCACGTGAAGCTTCATTTTGTGAATGATGGATTATCCAGTGGAGGTTCAGTCTGTTTCTGAGGAGCCCAGCACTCAAATGGAGCTAAAAAAGGGAATGTCGATCTTCATTGATGTAAGTAAAACAATTTTATTTTTAATTTTTTCACTTCTTGTGACACGTGTGCTTCATCTTAAACACCTTCCTTGACATATTATTCTTTATTTCGTGCAAAAAATGCAAGTTTAAAAAAATAATTTTGTTTAAATCCACTACCAGTCTATAATAACAGAAAAAAACAAGAGGAAAAAGGAAAAATATATATGTTTTTTATAATCTTAAATGATCTGTTTGAGGCGTTTAATCACCCGAATCAATAACCTTATAATTTATGCAGGGCACAGAGGGATCCTAGTTTCAGAGGGTGAAAAAGGCTGCACTTCAATTTAGATTCATGATGGAAGACTTTAAAGGCTGGCCATTCGTCTTTATGTCAGTGTTCAATAAGTAAGAGGATTGTTACGAATCTGCTGGTTATGTTCAATTTACTTAAATATGGGGAAAATGTTGATATTCAGAACTTTTGGAATCTAAAATGTCAAACTAAATCCTTAAAACACTCAAAATGTTAAATAAAGACTGCTGATACTGATAGATTTACTTCTATGATGGGAATCAAGATATTAAAATCACATCTTACATACACCAAAGATCTTTCCTCTTTTATCCTCCTCATTCCTTCACACTCTAACTTGTCACGTCTCAGATATAAACCTGTTGGATGAGACACACGCTGAGAGGAGGATGTCCACAGGGGAACTATTAAAGCTGTGTTTCCTCCACATCCAATGTCTCACTGATGTTGAACATGCTTCATCCTCTGGCTCTGAGTGTCGAGGAATAAAAGCACAGCTTAACAGGCGAGATGGTCAACAGTGCTGCTTCTGTTGCTACCTGACATCTCAGAGCTCCAACAGCCTGCTGTTAGTCATTAAAAACCCACAGGTTGACTCCACACAGTTCCCTTCATGCAGAAGCCTGTCCGTATGTGTGTGTTTCTTTATTTTTGTGATGCTGTTTCAGGACCTGATTTACACTTCATTAGCAGAAAATAGGGAGGGGTATCCCTTAGGACAATCTTCCCTGTTGGAGTCATTATATTTTACTTATTAGACATAAAAAATGGAGATGAGCTTTTATTTGACTTAATAAATCCAAACAATGTTGTCTATTACTGAAAAAACAAGCACACAGTAAGCTGCATTTATGTAGAGAAGGTTGCAGATTTGAAACGTCTGCCAAAGCCGAAAATATTTGATGCAAGCAGCAAATCTTCACTTTTAAAAAACAAAAACTATGTTTGACTTTGTTGTGGGATTGATAAATTTGTTGCTTTCATTTATTATTTGATGTTTTTTTAACTTCAAAATGTAACCCCAAGCTCTGTAAATCAGAACAGGAGGGTTATTTTTCTCAGATTGGAGAGTATGTTTCTGGATTCAAACATGCACATGATGCACTTTCATATGCATAAGGCAATTTGCTTTAATCATACATACAAATACGCGCAGATGATAAAGTAGGCAAGGCTATTTTGCAGGCATGTCGACCCTTTTAAAGCTGATGTGGTCATTGCGAGAACGCCTTTCATCTCCTCTGGACTCTGGGTCAGGACTATCAATAATTAAATGACACACTGCTTTAGAGAGTGTGATCGATCACACACACGCACACACTAACTCTCACTTTGATGGTGTGAAGCCTTTTTGATATTCTGTTTTTTTCTTCCCTCATTACAGATTTTACGGCGAGCGGATAAAAACGGTGAGTATTCCCTCACACAAACAAACACCACTCCTGTTTTCTTGTTGGCACTTGAGCCTCTGAATTCGTGGAACAGATGCACTTTCTCAATGAAAATTCTGATCATGACTGTCTGCTAATACTCTTTCAGTTTCCATGGAAACAGGAAACTGACCGAGCCCACTGAGGTTCAATAACAGTGCAATAATGAAGAGAAACACCATAAATATGCAGCACCTGGATGTTTTTGGTCTTTTTTTCACTGGACCTTTCTTATTTACTTCCAGGAGTTTAGCCGGAAGTTACAGACAAAAAGTTGCTCTTGGTTCGCCTTCACTATCTCACGCAGTTTTATCAACATCAAAAGTTTACATTACAGTTTTATATTGACTCTATATCTCACTCCACTTGCTGTAAGGCAGAAAATCAAAAACTGAGAGATATAAAATACAGTTTGCACCACTCAAAACCCCTGGGTGTTACAGCACATAAAAACATTTTTGCTTTTTCTGGACAAAGACATTTACCTAATAACTCTTCTGGTCTTGTCTTGTACATCCAAGGTTGATTTCTCTTGATTGAGCCTGGCTTGCTTTAATAATAAAATAGGTCACTTGTTGTTGTTGTTGTTTTTCAGTCAAAAATGTAAAAATACTGTTTGCGCAGTATGCTGTCAGTTGTTTGGTTTAAAACCTTCCTCTTATTACAGTTTCAGACACCGACAGGTACAAATTGCTTGCAGACTAATTTTTTACATTGCTCATGAAGAACCTCATTTTCAGTATTAGTTTCATATTGGATTCGAATCTCCTCATAGTGGCTGTTGTATTGCAGGTATTTGTTTAGCCGAGACAGCCTGATAGACTGTTTAATTTTCTTGCATTTTTGTAAAGTCAGAAGAACCATTAACATTCATAACTAAAAATGTTATTGTTGCAATAAACCACAATGATCTTTCTTGTAATTTTTTTAGCGACATCTTCAATTTCGCATGAATTGGCCCGCTGAAAAACAAAAAAGTCACCCTTTTTGCATAAACAAGTCAAAGAATAGATTTTACTTTTTACTTGAAGTAGGCACTGAGATTCTCTAAAGTAAAATGATACGGTAACTGCTCTCTATATAAGCCTACTTCAGCATTAGCATGTAAAACAGGGTGAAAATGTCGTCCCGTGAACATAAATATGTGCAGCATCTCCAGAACTGACCGTATATGGAAATACTTAGCAATATTGTTTGCTTAAATGTTTAACCTGTCTTTTTTTACGTCATTAGCAGGCAAATCTTAATGTTTCCAAGTATGAAGACCAGTCTGAAATCTTCTCAAAGCTTTTAAACAAGTCTGCCTCAGGAAGTCTTTGCCATTCTGTGTCATTTACTGTATTCTTGTGATGACAATACGCTTGCATTGTTCAATAAGAACAAATGTAAACTATATTATTTTAACTTTAGGAACATGCCACATCTGAAATTTGACTTAGTCCCTGTCATCAGGCTGCAAAAATAGCTCATAAGATTCATTATTAACTTGGCATGACATGCTTTAATTATTCATTATACGGCCATCCCACGGTCTTGTCATGCAGCAAGATAAGATGTCATCTAACATAACAACTTTGCTGTTTCCCTCATTATTTCTTAGCTAACTCTTTAGCCGTGAGTCACTCTGTGCTCAGTTTATGTGCATGTGTTTTTCCTTTCTTACATCCTCTTGCCCACAGCGTCTATAGTGACATGACAGTCACAGTGCGCATCACCTAGAGAGCAGCAGGTCAGCAAAGAACATTTAAATTTCAGCCACCTCATCCCCCACAAGTGGAGGGAGAGCGCTGGAGCCACAGCTGTGTAAAAAATGCGCTGTGTTCGGTTGGTTATCTTTGTTTTGCTGCAGGAACTTCAGATTAGGGACTGCTCCTTTTGAAATTCTGTTTTGTTTTCACCTCATGAATATTTTCACTCAGCTTGGGTGTTTCTGTTCTTATCATAAAAATAGAGCTTCCAAACATAAAAAGGACAACTAAAATAAATTCTCAATAAGAAATACTATACAAGCTTTTTTTTTTATTCTCATGATATGACGTCCAAAAATGTGAAACCATGCTGAGCTTTGTAAGGACTCGGATGATTGGATTGCAGGAGTTAAAGTTGAGAGAAGATGTCTTGCACTGAATTTCAAGCTCAGAGACGAAGTATTGGGTTCATTTTTAGGTTTTGTCCATAAACTGTCCTTAGCTCAATCTCAGACTGGTGTCTTTGTGAGCCACAATTGCTGCTACTGTCTCTATAACCCCTTTTTCAGCTCTCCAAGAGCCAGCCCTCCAGAAGCTTTCTCCACTGTTGCCATGCAACAAAAGTTACCATCACGCATCAACCGGTCTTTCTCAATTTAGAGTTATGAGTTCTGAAACAGGGTATGTCTTGGTTTGGAAATCTGACCAAATCTGACGTTTAAAAATCCGCAGCAGCAAATGACGGAGCAGTTTCTCTGGGTGTTATGTGTCCCTCTTGTGTAATTGTCATCTGACCTTTTAAACAAGCCTTTCAGAGCTGCCTGTGGCTCCGTCCTGAGACCACATCTAAACTTCATACTTGTTGGTACAATACGAACTACAGCATAATAGCACCTCTTTTAGAAGGATGTATAAATGTGTTTACAGAGATCAAGTGAAGCTAAACTCTCATTACATAATAAATGTATGGTCCCAGGAAGAAATCAAGACCATGTTGTGCTCTCTACCCAGACTGCTTTTCTGCAAACAGTCAAATCTCTTACAGTTATAAACATAACCCAGAACATTGCAAACACCATTAATTGTGTCCCATGCTTGCAGACCCTGAATTCATGTCAGTTAAGCAGAATTATTGCCATAAAGCAACAGGAGTCAGTTTTTTTTCTTCCCTTTTTACTGGCCACCAAAGCTCTCAGTCCTGACACGATGTTCACAAGTTGCCTTTTGTTTTCTCTCTCCCCAGATGATGGAAAACTGTCTTTTGATGAATTCAAAGCCTACTTCTCTGACGGAGTTTTGACAGCCGACGAACTGAAAGAGCTCTTCCACACAATTGACACTCATAACACAGAGTGAGTTAATGAGCTGCTTTTTCTTTTTCCACTATTTACCCCACACTCGCAAGACTTGAAATCTTTAGAGCATCAGCTTCTTTACAGAATGGGAGCACTACTCTAATGGCATACAACAAAAAAACTATTTGTCTTTTGTTGTACAGTAACATACTGTATGTAACAAACTGTAAAATGGAATAACTGATCTACAAATGCGCCTTTTCTTAGATTATGACGTTCTGCAAAAGTGTGCAATGAAAAAAAATCTTCTAATGAAATCTCAGAGGTTTTATTTGTTTGCTGTTGATATGTGAAATGAGCAATATGCCTAAATACGTGTAAAAATCAGTGAATATTCAGAATAATGGGGCCATATGTGATTGTTTTTTATTTATGCATATGCTCAGTGTCACACAAGTGATGACAAGCGGCCTCAGATGTGAGGAGAGGAGCTCCAGGCAGCGAGGCTGTGTGCTCTCGCTCAGCAGGACACAGGAGACTCCCGTCAACCCTGTCTCTTTGTTCGCCTGTCAGCCTGTCTCACAGTCTTATGTCACATACCTACAGATTAAAGACAGAATTACCCGTACAGTGTGTATTCAATGAAGGAAACCTGCACCTCTGCCATCCTATATAAACCACTACTACGTAGTTCACCTAATTACCCTGGCAACCACTAACCAGACAACCATCATGTGCCACACTGACACAGAGGCAATTAACCTCCTGAAACCCTCATTACCAATCAATCAGCCACCCTAAACACAGCGCTCGTCATAACTCGACTTGTGAGCTGTGACGAAAAGGCAGGAGCCAAAAATAAATGCAATCTTATTACAAATTAAGATAAATAAACAGATAAACAATGATTAAATATGAGGTATGTAGAGGCTATAAGATCAGTAGTGTACATGTGGGTGTGTGAACATGGTGTAGTGAGGAGTTCACTCTGGCATAAGGTCTAACAAAGGCAATGGTGCGACGCTGGTCTGACATAGGAGAGAAAGAGAGAGACCGAGGCCTCCAGCAGCTGCTTATATATCCACTGTGGAGCGCTGGGCCCAGGTGCTCCACGCCAGAGTTGATACGGTCAATCAGCTCTTCAGGCACCTCTGAACAAACACACACAGATGAGTGTGGCCACCCGAACAACGTAGACGCAGGGGCCATCACACGTCTTACACACCAATGCATTAGATGATGGGATCAACATCAACAACCCATTCCCTTTTTTAATGCTGAAATGTCTGTGCCACTGTATCATATAATTAACTACCATTATTATTATTTTATAAGCTAATATATGCATTTTATTTCCATGTTCCCATTGAATTATATTCTCCTGACCCCATGACTCATAAAAGGGTATAAATGGGCACAGCCAACCAATTACTTTTATTTAATATGTGTCTCTGCTGGAGTGAGATCAGCTGCAGTTCTCGGTTAACTCAGTTTTGCAAATCGAACACCTGTTACTCTAAACAGCCTGCAGGACTCTTTAACATACTTACAGCCTCTCTCCCTTTAACGAATCCTCTAAACAGCCACCTGCTGGAAATTAAACTTTAATAGAATCCCATAAACACACATAATTAACATTTGTTTGTCTGTTGGTTTATTAAGCAGACAGAGGAGGAGAAGAGATAGTTTTTAATGGTTACAGGGATCAGGTTCAGGAATCCGAAGCGAGCTGTCATACTTTCTCAAGGTGTTAGTCGGGCTGATTTGACAGAGCACAGAGGAGGGAGGTACTTACTTTCAACTTTGCCCGTCTGTCTACCATGTGGCAGGTTACATGACTTCTGTGTATCATCCGTGCACTTATAAGGATGTAATTGGTTGGGTTTCTTCACTGCACTTGTAAATACCGTATGTTTTTGTGAAATGCTGGTCAGCACAAGGTCATCTATCACCAGGGTCAGTATCCTATGAAGATCAAAAATTTTTAAGGTGAATATATCTGTCTTGAAAAACGTCTTCCACAGTGAGAGTGATTAATGAAGAGGATTAGGATTGAAAATAAAACTGTATATTTATGTTTTACACTAAAATATTTATAATGTTGATACTTCTAAAAGTTGAATGTGTTATTGTGAGTGTTGATGTTATTTTGCTTACAGCGCTCAGAGTGACTTTGAGAACTTTCTGAGTTCTTCAAACTATTTGTCACTCAGTAATCATTTTTAACATTCAATACAGTCAAGGGAAACTAAAAACTGCATTTCTGTTTGCTGAAATTAGCGATAAAAGCATTTGAATTACTTTTAAAGAGGTTGCATCTGAGTTATTTATTCAATTCATGACAAATGAAATCCAATCAAAAAACACTTTCTTTCCTTATTGCTGTAGAAAAATACAGATTTTTCAACATGACAAGTACAAAACAACTGAGGAGGCAATTTATTACACATGCCAGATGATAAAAGAATCACCTTGAATGAAAGTGTTTTCAGTTCTCAGGAAAGAAATTTTTTATTATTGCAGTGGTTTTTATTTGTAGTCCAACTAAACTTGATCAGAATCAAATAAACCAGAAGCTGCTTTAACTTAACCTTTTTAAAGGCAATGGCATTCCTGGCTAATGGCTACTTTAAAGATCAGTCTGTCACATAACATCCATCAAGCAACCTTGAGTTGCATAACTGACACAGAAGTTTCTCCTGAGGTTCTGGCAAAGCCTATAAATACATGCACTTCCAAAACTCCTATTCTACATTTGGAATAATCCATCACTAATAATCCATCAATAATCCATCAAAATGAGAGTATGGAGAGTATTAGCATTTGGTTGGAGTGATAAGTCCAAATGGTAAGAATGAGCAGTGAAGAGTTAAAAATACATTGAATTCATGGCAGTCCTGGCGAGAATGGTAGAAGCTGTAAAGTAAAGTTAATTTCATAATATTCATTCAGTACAGGAAGTTGTTTACTCCAAATATTGTAAAATAAAACCAAATATAGTAGAAACAACCAGAAAATTCATCTTTATATTCATACTAATGCAACATGATAAGCCTGTCTGTCAGTCTGTTGCTCCTCGATCAATCAAAGCAGCTTCAAAACAAAAATAGTGAGCTTGCAATCCTCTAATGACCCCTACCATCATCACAGAAATGCAGACCAATTATCACTCTGTCACAATGTCTCACGGTCATCATCTTGTGCCAGTTTGGTAGACGTCACCCAACCCTAACCAATCAGCACTGAAAGGAAGGCTAAACTCCAACACAAATGTTCTCTTTACTGACCACCATATTCCTAATCAGAGAATTTACTAGTGTGAGGATTATTGCCTGAAAAACACTGTATCTGTTGCAATCTAAACTAGTCTATATTATCAGAGCCTCCAAGTTGCCTGAGTCACGATCAGAGCTTTTCTGGTCTGTTAGTGTCTAACCTCTGTTTTACCTCCTCTGTTCCTGTCTGTCTTCTGTGCCTCTAAGTGTTTTCTCCTGTTTGGGATGATTGATCGCTTCGCCACTTCTCCCCCCTTGTGCCACAGCTGCAGCTCGAGTGAAACTGAGTTTAAAACCAATGTTTTTCCTCCACCCATGAAAGGATGTCTCCTTTTTGTCTCTTAGAGCTACATGTACAATGTCTAATCCTCCACTTTTTCTGACTTCACCTCCATCCCTTTCTCTTCTTTTTGTTATTTTATGTTTCTCCTCTCAGACCCGCTCATTCACGGACATTTATCAGCCAACGTTTCTGAGTAGTTGCCTATTTAAAGATTAATTGTGAAGCTAGTTGGTCTTTAAAGGCTGCCCAGAGACAAATTGCAACTAATTTATTCATTTTTCCTAACATTTATAACTCGCTCTATTATTCATAACTCACTGCTTTGCCAAATTATGACCCTAAAAAAAGTCTTTCCCCTTCCTTTACCTGAGGAAACTTTTCAATTAATCTCTTTCTTCTTTCTTATGCAGCAACGTGGACACTGATGAACTCTGTGGTGAGTAAATCCCTGTAAAAATCACATTTTAAAATGCCATCACAGCTCATTCTTGCTTTATTCCTTACAGTCAAGAACAAAAAGACTCAAAAATTATTTGACATTTTCTCATGGAAGTAAAAAACCATGTTCCACGAGGTCACATGGTCTGTGAATAAATCCCTACAGGCTGTGTTACAGAGGTGTCACACCAATGCTGCGACAACAAAACACCTACAGCCCTGTCTGAGCAGTTTAACTCACAAAGTGTTTCCTCTTTTTGTCTTCCTGTGGTGAAGAGTATTTCTCCCAGCACCTTGGTGAATATGAAAATGTTCTCGGAGCCTTAGAAGACCTGAACATGTCAATACTGAAGGCCATGGACAAAACAAAGAAGGTAAGATGACATTGAACAGATTGAGTGCCAGTTACTATCAGGGCTGCCTCTGCTGTCTCTGTTTCATACTGATCCTGAATGTGTGAAACCATCATAAGTAGCATCGGTAAGGCGTTTAAATGGTCTCAACATGCCGATTTGATATACCTGATTCGACCCCCTGCAGTCAATTGCCACTCTCTACTATGTGTTGTTGATGCCTTTGATTTCGTTTTATCCTCAGCGCTAACGTCAGTCTGATTAGCTGCGACTGTATTTTAAACTCAGAGTTCTTTGGTGATATTTGAATTTTATCTGACACAAAGAGTATGTTTACTTTGATTTATCAAGTGGAGTAAAATGTGTCAAAAGCACACTGTCCTTTTTTCATTCCCACGAGAGAGCACAGGAGTGGAAAGATGCCACTTTTGAAAATGTGATGTGTACTTACTGCATTCCCATATATGAAATATTTGTACAAAAGTGGTGAAAACATACATGTTCATGTATGGACAAACTTTATATGAAACCAATTAGACTCTGGAGCAGTTTCATTAATGCACATATATGTGTGGTCAATAAAAATATATAGGTTTCATATGTGTTTACTACACGCTATATAGTCAAAACATATGAAACCATAATGATTTTTTAACATACCTGCATAAATTAGATACACTTTTTACACATACATGAAGAAAACATAATGCCATAATCAGATTGAACATATATTGTCAACATATTGTATTGATCAAGAACTAAGTCAACATACATGTATAATTTTAATACATTCATTTATGTATTTAACATATGTAATTAACAGTTTATATCAAAAACATTTTATGTCCTATACAGATTATTTCTACATTTATTTTTTAATGATTGTCAATATGAAAATGTTATATGGATATTTCATATAAATATGGTCTAAACCTACATCTTCATATATATTCTGGTAATGGATATGTTAGTGTGATTTTAGTTTTGTTTTTATCATTAACAGCCTTAATATTTACATACAGCATTACTTTTAGATCCTTGATTAATTAGATTTTTTTAATTTTTTTTTTTAACATCAGGCTCTTCCTTTTTATGTTCATATACTTGAGTTAATATCTAAAACAGCAATATGTCTAAGCTTATCAGCTAATAAATCACACAAAGCCCTATTACTTTGGCATAATTTTAACCATGTGCAAAATTTACTAAGAGGGTAAAGCATATTTTTAAATACACTCAATAATAATAATAAAAAAAAAACACCAAAGTGGTGCTAAATAAATTTCCTGTGAAATCTCCAAAGTGTCTCCATCACCGTATTTATTTTTGTCTTCATTTTTGGCAAATTTGCAGATAAGTTCTGTTGCTTTGGCTTCTTCCTGTTCACATTCACGCTTGGCAGACAATGACAACCGAAGTTACTTCTTTAATTTTGCAAGAGGAAAACATAAAACACAGGGGAGAGACAAAAACAGGCCAGTCAACAAAACAACATCCTAGAACAGGATGACTGGATGTGTGTTGTTTTGGTTTAATGTTGGTGTGTGTGTGGGGGGCTGTGTTTGTGTGTTGCACTAATATTAATACTGTTAATAAATATAATATAGAGCTTTAATGATAATAATATGATGGATAATAACCTTTTAACTTCCCAAGTTCAAAATTAATTATGACAATGCTGTTTATTAAGATCATTTCAGAACCTAATTCACGGCCATTAAAAAAAATCCTTAAGCATTATGTAGATTTAACCTTAGTGAATAATTAGGCTTTGTAGGGGTCTGTGTCCTGATTTCACATAGCACTCTAAAAGAAAGAACTGTTGTGTATAAAGTGGCAGAAAAAAACACGTAATTTTTGGGGCTGCCTGTATACTTTTGGCATCAGATAAGTCCGATTATAATTGTTTAAGTCCCAGTTACACACTCACTGTACAGACATAACGAACGTCCCACTGACTCGACATGCAGTGCGCATAATGGTTGTAATGACATGTTTGATTTAACGCACAGTGTGATTCAAACTTCATCCTACAAATCTCTCCCAGCATGCTCATCTGCTGCCTAGCTGGCTCTCCGAGATTCTATATTTTTATTACAGAGCCAGGGACTGTTAATAACCCATGACAGAATAAAATAGGCATTAAATTTTGCTTAAAAAAGTTTATTTTAGCGATTTTTGATGCCTTTCTCACTGAAGATAAGGGAGGAAAAGAAAAGGAAATAGGGTGGTGAGAGAAGAGAGACGAACAGACATCAATGTGGAAAAATAAAAGGACAAAAGGGAGGAGGACCCCAAGATGTGAATGAGTGACTTCCTTCCTTAACTCTCTTTATCTGTCTCACATCCATCACAACACTTAGAGAGCTTAATAAATGAAATATACATTTGATTGATGCATTATATGTGTTTGTTAAAATACTGTCAGTTTAGCAGGTAATTGATATGAAACAGTAAATCTACATGCAGCTCTATCACACTTGAATTATGGGTTCAACAGTTTTTCTGTATTTAGGCTCGAACTGTGTGTGAAGCCCTTCGGTCGTGGCAGCAGAAACATACTGAGCTGCTAAAGGAGCTGCAGGTCCTTCGCCCTGGAGGACTGACACTCATGAAATTTTGGTTTCGATGGGTTCATTTTTGCAAAAACAGCTCTCCGAGTGAGGAGAATATCTCACTGTAGAGGAGACAGCGCATCTCTGTTTTTACTTCAGTGAGCGCAGTCCCGTTTTTCTAGAGGCAGCCATGTTTGTTTGAGTTGTCCTCTTTCTATGGACTGTATGTGGTCACTGAGTATGTATTTAGTCAGGACTGTCTCTTATTGATTGTTTTATCACAGCTAAATATTGAGATAATTGGAATTCTCTGTTACACTCCACAAGGATTTACGGATTGATTGGATTTGTAACTTCCACAGATTTACATATTTCTGGAACCTGTAAATTGGGAATATTTTAATTGCATAACAGTGAAATACCAGTCTTATATCCTTTCTTGTTTTTTTCTCACATGACATATGACACACTGTGAAGCTCAAATCATTCGTCACATCTGCTCTAAAGAAGACGAGACTCATATAGGCTCCTTCAGAAATACAGATTGAAGGAGACATGCTATTCAGGTTCTGTGGGAGTATTATATGAGCACAGACAGAGGTAACCCACGGTAACACCTAAATTCAGTCAAATCAAAGACAAATACTTTGATTTAGTAAATGTTTGTATTTTTAATAAACTGAAAATAAGCCTTAGTGATGAAAGAAAAACATGATCATTCCAACAGATCTCATCACACAGTGCAGTAACTCACATATTCATCAAATTCAGTGTTCATTTTCACAAAGAAACTCAAGTCCAGATTTTCCTCCCAAGAACTCAACATGCACCAAACTGTGCAAGAGCCAAAATAATCACACCTCTTGTTTTTTTTATTCTTTGGAAATAATGAAGGAAAATGGCCGTGTGGGTGTGAACTGTACGGTTCTGTCATTAACAGGAAGCCAAATTATGTCACAGGAGACCTTAAAAAGCTTCAAGTCACTTGTCTTCTAAAAGCAAGCCTCCAAATTTGTCTGCAGTCAGCCTCACAAATCAGATTTTCTCCATTTACGACACTCACCACAACTTTTTCATCACCGATTTCAGAACAAATGTATATTTGAGCTCCAGTAGAAATGAATTGAGGAGTTGTTGACAGAGGTAAAAACTGAGAAATTAAATAAAAGCCCTGCTGATGTCTTCGCTGGAGCTTTTTACACTAACTGTTTCTCCTTGACGTCTAATTCATCATTTCCCCCCTCTAAAAGGCGCCCATAAATGATTTCTCTGCGCCTGGAATGAGTCACAGCACCCGAACAGTGAGATATAACATGAGACCTGCTGCATTTCTCTGGCTGTTAGTGAGTATTGGGGAGCGAGGAGAAGAGCAGATGCCGTGTTAGTCACAGACTAAAGCTCAGTCGTCTCTGCTCAACTGTATACGTATCTGAGTGGGTGGTCTCTGGCTGTGGACGTGTTTGAGGGGGCAGGCGACATGCGTGTGTACGTGCTTTTAGGGATGTGTTTCTCCGGTGTGTGTAAGCTCACATATGCACATGGTAATTTGTGTGAACCTTTAAGTGTGTGCATATCAAAATCTACGCAGAAGTGTGTGGGAGCTGGAAATGATTTCTAAATGAAAGTGTGTGATACATGTACATGAGACACGCTTTCATTATCCACAGCTATTTCTGCCAAAGCTATTTGCAGGCGCCGTGTACACAATGTCTCTCTGGTCCTTCTACTTTAAACCTTTGCTTGCAGGTCTGACCTGCTGATGGTCCTTTATTAAAGAGGATTTTTCATTTATAGAAATAAAATGAATGATGGCATCATTTGCTGGCAGGAAGAGCCGATGTCTGGACGAGGGATGGGTGATATGGGCTAAAAAAATAATCATGATAAGATTTACCATTCTGGCGATAACAATAAACGGCCCGATAAAAATATTATAATTCCAGTTTATGTTTTTGACTCATTCTGTCTTGAGAACACCAGTTGGAATAGTCAAATAAGACACTTAACCACAAGTTTAAGTGGTAGGTTTTAGAGAAAACGACATCAAACAAGTCTCAAATGTGTAAACACTTATCATTGATTGAAAACTCTTATTGCACAGAGTGAACAGCAGCAGCAGATCATCTGTCTGATGTCAGGCAGACCTGATGCACTCATCTAAGCCCCAATCTTGAAGGAAATCTCTCATGTGGAGCCTCAGAAACGTCTTCTTCATTACCTTCGGCCAAATTTGTTTAGATAGATAGATAGATAGATAGATAGGTAGACAGACAGACAGACAGACAGACAGACAGACAGACAGACAGACATAATAAACTTGCCTTTACCGTATTTATCATGGGATGGCCAATATTTATCATGGAGGATTTTTCTGACGATGTATCGTGAACGATGATTTATCGCCCATCCCCACGCTGGACTAGTCTTGTGAGAAATCAGGGTTTGTTGTATGGAGATATTAAACGAACTAAATGACAAACATTTAGCCACACAATGTGCCGTGGAGTAGGTGTGAGATAAGTATTTAATTAATTAAAGCTCCTGTGAAGAGTGTTTGATTGGGAATGAAAAAGACTGAAATAAACAATGCTTTTTTTATGATGTACAAAAGCAAATGAGGCATTTAAGAACAATGCTGCCAATTTTTATATTAGTTTTCAATGATTGTAATGAAGGGGTAGGCACACTGAAGAAAAAGCGTGTTATAGTCTCCAGGGAGAGATAAATTTCACTGTAAAAGGACAACAGGAGAAGAGTGTTTGTCTTGTAACACCTCTGTCAGAATGACAATAAGTGGTGATATAAGGGTTACCAAAGGGCGGCAAAAATCAAAACAAACAGAAAGTTCCTCAGAGGAGCTTCAAGAAAAACAGATCAGAATATTATTTAAAGTATCCTTTTCTACCTTTTTACATTTCCCACAGCAAATATTCCCCATAAGTGATTTATTTCACTGTTAACAGACTGCAGGAAGAGATCAGCAAAGATTATTCATTCGAAGGCGTTTGTATCACCCGATAACAACGCTTGTCTCATTGCATGTTTGCATTGAATTTACATGTAATTGACTCACACAAATGGAATATAGAAACTGAGTTGTATATCTGTAGGCCACTATTATCTGACTTGTTTTGAGATGCTCAGCTCATTTCCGAACCTATTTAAAGAGATGAGGAAGCACACAGAGACCAGATTTCTTTTCAGCAGAGTACAGCCAGCAGATGGCTAATAGATATTTGCTAGATTTGAAAAAACGTGCTGAATTATATTCACTTTTCTTCCATTAAGGTGTAGCCTAATATAGCAAAAAGGGATTTTCAAACAAGACTGAAATTTTAAAGACATCAGATTAGAATTAATGAAGAGTTGTAAAAATCCAGTCTCATTTCTGAAACTGTGGCTGGAGGCGGTCAGTTAAAAAGTATTTCAATTTTTAAACACATTATTTTGGACATTATTTGATCATAATTTGCAATAAAGATATTAAAAATATAAAGTAAAAGCCTAGAGGAAGTTATGATTGGGGTGTCACGGGGGGGTGAATGACCTTCTTGTCATGACTCACTCTGTCCAAGTAAATATGCACTCGCTTGAATACATGATACTTACTGTAATATTGCCAATTTAAACCGAGTTCAGGTCTCATTTCAAAGACATGCTGTTCAATCTTTTGTCAAATATTCAGTTAGAGAGGACAAAGGGGAAAAGCTTCTGACTAATGATCTGCTCTGAATGCTGGAGGAGAGGTTAGTTTTCACAAAGACAGACTGCTGCTCAATATCTGCCCAGAATAAATGCATGTGTGTGAGTGTGTGTGTGTGCATGTGTGTGTTTCTTCTCATTCATAGTCAAATGCTGGTTTCAAACTAAATGCGTCTTTATGGCACTTTTGACCAAAAATAATTGCCCCCCTGTGGTCACACCTACCTTTCCTCTTGCTGACACACACGTACAGGTACACTCATGTTCATGCATTCATCACCCTCCAATCTGACTCACATTCGTATTTCCCCTTGGACCCTCATTGTTAGTCAAATGTACAAACAGTCCGTGGGAGCAGGTGCAGTGTGCAAACAGCAGACCCTGTTGTGCCGAGCATCATTCACTCCCCTCTGATGAGATCCAGAATAACAACACTCAGCCCTCCTGCTCTGGTCTGCACAAGCACAGAAAATGATGCCACTCCGACAAGTCATTTAGTTTGATTTATTTCACATCAGCCTTTCCAACTAACACAACAACCTGCAGGAAATAAATGCTGCCTTGAGTCACATAGTGACAAATTGTGGAGCTGTAGAAGTGCGCTTATTAGCTGGGATTTTGATTATTTCACATTTTTCATGTGCTGTAAAATACTACTTTGGTAAGGACTTTCTTATTTTGTCAGCTTATACAACCCAACCAACCTGCAGATACCTGTTGCATGGACTTATAAATATTTGCTTTTCAAGTATCACATATCCGACGAGTCTGTGTATCATGAATAAGAGAAAAATTAGGAAAAAAGAGAAGAAAAATAATCTATGATGAATACTTTTTTTCTCACTCCCCTCTCCAATTTCATATATTTGTTATTAAATTGTTCTATTGTATCCCAACCTCTTTAAAAAATACCATAAACACGGCACCTGTCTGATGATGAACGAAATAGTTAAGCAACCAAAAATAATGTTATTTGAGAAGAGATCTTTGCAGGAGAAGCTGAGAGTTGAGGAGCTTGGCCAGATCAACTGGACACCAAAATGAGCAGCGTAATGACAGAGGGAGAAATGACTCTGGATCATTCAAAGAGCTGGTTCATTAAGAAGGCTTGGCTTTAGCATGTCATCATGAAAGTGTTGTGTTATGTTCCACCTGCCTATTTTTTAAATACCAGGGTCAGGATCATGGATTCAGTAAATGTAAAACACTCCTCAAAAAATGTTTTAGAAAAAAAGAAAAGAAATGGTTCCCCAAAGAAAAGTGCTGTGTTCATTCCAGCGTAACAAATTCAGGTTATTGCATTTTATTTTGATTAATTTAGTGCGCTGGTATTACTGCTGTTGTTACTTTCATCTTAAACTGAATATTTATGTTTTGGATTTTTTTTTTCATCACATTGCATTTCTTACTTATTTAGGTGGAGAGTTCAAACACCAGATTTTTCATGTTCATGCCCCCAACCTTTCTGTCTCCTCCTCTGCAGCCATCTTATATAATCTTTTTTTCTGAACCAATGATCTTGTCGGCATCTTCTAATTAGCGCTGTACATCTGGACACTAAGTGACTGTTGACTGGCATGTGAAACTTGTCACCACTTAATTTTTCTTTAACGCCCTCTCCCTTTTCTTTCCTCCTACGCTATCCCTTCCGCCCACCTCCTCCCTTCTTCTCCTCTCCTTCCTAATTGACAGGATTATCAGGAGTCCACCCACCTGGAGCAGTTTGTGACCCGTTTCCTGCTGAAGGAGACAACCAATCAGCTACATTCGCTTCAAAGCTCGCTAGAGTGTGCCATGGAAACCACTGCAGAACAGACCCGACAGGAGAAGTAAGGACAAAATTTTGCACGTACACACACATACACAAACAGAGAGAGAGAGTATAAAAAAAGAGAGAGAATTAGTCATTAAAACACGGACAAATTGTTTTGTACTAAAGAACACATAGTCACAGTTCTCACAGCTAGTCTCACAATGTTCAAACTACAAACCAATTTACATATTTATATCCTCCACATGAGACTCAAAGGAGACCTGATCTGTATTTTAATACATGGTTGTAATGTTGCGATGTGGGCTGTTCATACTAAACTCTGGCAAAGTTTTAAAACATCAGATACATGGGTGTTGCTGTGATCCCTCAATAAGACTTAGCCTGACGTCAGACTCTGCTGTTCGATTAAGTCAATATTGAAGTAAATGCTCCTGGGTGGATTTTTCCTCCGATTTGCATTTTGTTGATTAAAGAGCTCTTTAAATTCACTGATAGTTCCTCTTCCAAAAGACTTCCAGAAAACTGGGAAATTTTTGATGATTTCAAAAAAATCGATTTATTGCATTAGTCCACCTGAAGTTGGATTTTAAAATGAATGTAAACATATTAGTCCAACTGTTCTCACTCCAAATCAAACCTCTCTTATATGGACTAACATACCTAGATAATCCGATTGAAGATCAATTTTTGTTTTCTATATAAAGGACTCGATCAGACCGATACTTGCCTAAACGTTCTGTGCATACCAAATTGATGTAAAAGAAACTCATTCATTTAGAATATCTAAATGAATCCCAAAATGAGCAGAGTGGGCGGTTGATTATGGAGTCTAAAATTCTTGCTGTAAGGGGATGAATGTGTGCGTGCATTAACAAGGGGGGATTGTGCAGTGTTTGATTATTCAGGGTTTGCATTCAGATTTAGGCATGCCCCTGGTGCTCTCCATTCATTAGTGCTGGAGATGACTCACCAGGGTGAAAGAAGTTCATGCAATTTCATATCCACTGTTTGTTTGTGTGTCTGTGTGCACACGTGTGTGTATGAAATCAGAACAAAAGTGGGTCTATCCCTGAAGGTAAAGTGTATTTAAAGACAGGTGGTGACTCATGTTTTTTTTTATTTTTTATGTCTGAATCAAAATCTGAGCTGCAGCTTCCAAAGCAGAGCGTGGATTTCCAACAAGAACACAAACAACACTTTGATTTCTTATTATGGTCTTTTACAAGGAGGCTTTTTATCAGGTGAATGCAGAACAGTTTCTGTGTGAGTTCTGATGAGAGGAACACTGAGGCACGATAGGATAAAAGACTACAAAGCCAATTAAAGGTACAATATGAAGTATGTACAACATTTAACAGAGCAAACTAAATATAAATGGATTATAATCTTTAGAAGTAGTACGTGTAACGTTTGTTGTGAGCATGTTATGCAGACTATGTGAAAACAGAGCAGTCTCCTTAGCTACTCTACTGACACTTTTTGAGCAGTTTACATCTATATACTAGGATTATGAAAACATTGTTACGTTTCAGGGTTAAACAAAAAGGGGAAGGACCCAAGTGCAGAACCAAAATGATTTTTTCAAAATGAACTAAAAGAACAAAAACTTACTTTCCAAATGTCCAACTCAAAAATCCCCCCAAAAAACACAAGAGGCAAAATCCAACTGAACCAAAAATCCAAAATTCACAAAGACACTGGAGACCCACAGAGGCATCGACATACACATTCACAGTGAACCAGTGAAGAAACAGGGGAAGACAAGGATTATACAGGGAAACGAGCAACGAGAGGCAGGTGAGACACTGAGACACAGGTGCAGACAATCACAGAGGAGGGAAAACTGAGGAAGTAAAACAAGACTAGAAACACAGGGAATGAACTACTTCAAAATAAAACAGGAAACACTGATATAAGGAATAAAACACTGAGAACATGAGAGAACCTGGGTCAAACACAAAACTCACAAGACAAGACTACAGGGGAACAGGAACAATAGGAAACAGAAACACTAAGAAGCACACAGAGAATAAACTCAGATAACCAAAACCAGAGGAAACTAAATACCCGAACATATATCATGACAAACATACTGCACTGCACTGCCAGCGACATATCAAACCAGCTGATATAGACGTATGGCTGTAATTAGCCTGACAGGAATCAGGTCAGACGGAAATCTCTGCGGGAGACCAGGCCTATCCACTAAAGCAGATCAAACAAGCCTGCTGATCTTAGTCTGTACTATGAAAAAATGATTCTAGAAAACATTAAATCACTATAGTGTGATGGTCAACAAGGGCATACGTGCTTTGAAAGGGCCCACTTGGAAAACACTCTGCACCTTAAGAATTAAGTACAGTTCAACTTGCTGAAAATATGATGCTGAAGAAATCCAAACCAAACAAACTAACAGCTCATGTTCTGAAAATACTCAAATAAAGAAGATATAGAAACACCCAAACCCAAGAACAAATACAGTCGAGAAAAGCTGCACATCCAGCCATCACAACAAAAATGTCCAGTCCTCTGGAGGGAGAACTAAGTGGAGCAGCAGCTTGTCTTTAACCCAGGAGAGAGAGAGAAAGAGCAGGCTCTGCTTTTAATGTGTTTGCTGTTTGTCATACTAAAGGATGATGGATTTCACTGCAGCATGCGATAACATTCACTACCCACTATCTCCAAAAATCAAACTTTCAAAATTTTCATGGATTTCATTAAAACTAACTAATATTTTCTAATTCTCTCTCCCTGATAGACTGATAGCTTTGCTTCGTTAACGCTGCTGGGAAGCGCTCGTTCAATAAGCTGCCCACTAAGATTGACTCTGCTTGGTCTGGGGGCTCAGAGCATCAGCCTGGTCTGTATTCACAGCTCCGTCTAAGACAGGAGCTCTGGAGCACTGGGAGGTTGAGGTTGTCAGGTCCAGAGCAGTGGCTGGATGCTGGAGGAGTGTGACAACTGGGAATAATGGTAAACTTACAATTCTCAGAAATGTTGCAGTGACTTGGACCTGAACTCTGACAGAGGGGGATAAAGAAAGAGTGTTTTCAGTATGTTCTAGCACAATTCTCTTATTAAACACACTTTTTTAGCGTGGATGCTGATCAACAACTTACATGTGTATTACATTAATCCTGGGTTCCTTTTTGTACGTACGTTAAATGACTTCCGAAGGATGTGGGAAGTTGTCAAGTGTTACTTTTGACCCTGTCAGGTATAGACGGACGTCTATGATGACAAGGTGTTGGCATCTTTCAGGTGAATCATTATAAATAGTTTTCCCCAGACAGCTGGTTGGTAAGGTCTGTCCTTGTCATGAGTGTTTTAGAGTTTGGTGGGAGTTTTTGTGCTCCTTTTTTATGCATCACAAGCTTGTTTAAACTCATTCTCAACGAATGAAATGATGGGGTTGGATAATTGGCATCATCTGCTCATCCTCTTCCATATTATCTCTCTCCTCTCCTCTGTTCTGTTTATTTTTCCTCTTTTTTACCCCTCTCATGTCATTTTTAAAGTGTGACCATCCCTCGCTCCCAGAGCAGCTTCTTGTCCTTCATCTTCTCAGAATTGCAGCACTCGAAAAATCCCCCTGTGCATCTGAATGGAATCACTCTGCCCTAAGAAACATCTAGAGGATGGGGCTGTTTCTCTAGTGGCTCTAAATAGGTTTCTGTGGTCAGCTTAACATGTGTGAAAAGGACAAAGGGGAGCCCGTAGAAGATACACAGTGTGAATATAGTGTTATAATCTGGTTGTGTTAATGTTAGTTTTTTAAACAGTACTGCTGTTGTCTCTTTGGTTATTTGTTGTCATTTGGTAGATAGATAAATGCAGCTTTTAGACGAGAGTGGTGATGGACTAAAATATTCTTTATCCTCTCCTTCTAGTTCTGGTCTCAAAGTTTTTTTCTTCTCTCTCTCTCTTTCTCTCTCTCTCTCTGTCTCTCTCTCTCTCACTCAGTTGGTATCAAGGCTTGGGGAGAAACACGATAATGCGAAGGCTGCTGGTCTTTTTCGTGTGACCGTTTTAGACAGCTTTAGCAATTAAATTTGATTTGTAGCCTTGAATAGGGTATGACTCAGTGGCAGAACAGGGGGGACCTGCCACCAGCTGCTCCAATATACATCAAAATTATGTGCACATTTGGCTGTAGCTGAAGAGGACTTAATTGCACTGCTTTTCTTGGGGATGTAGAAAGGAGCTCAATCCTCATACACCGGGGAGCAATTACAGCCCTTACGATAAAAGAGGAAATTTAAGCTAAATTATTTAGAAACAGTAACGCATTTTTTACATTCAAATGGCAGAGAGGTGACTCTTTTCGAGGTATGCTATACACTGCTTTTATGAAAGCAGAGTGCTGTATGCAGAAACAGGTTGCCATATCTTTAGAAACACATCTTCGAGAGCACCAAAACAGAATTTCCAGCTTACAGCCTGTTAGCATAAGAACAGCTATCCTCAAAGACAAAGTCTGAGTTACAAATATTTTTATAAACATATTAAAACTAAATCATTTTAGGTGTTTTAAGTGGGTTTTGGTGAGGCTGGAGTATGGATTTCCTAGCCATCTGACTGTGAGGCCGTTTCATACTGAGTTAGGGCCTGTGTCCACTGACAGCATCGCTTCAGCACCCTGGACCCCCTCGGCACTTAAAGTCCAGAGGTCACGGGAGTATTTGCTTTTATCAGAGAAAATGTTCATTCAAAAAGAATGGAAAGGACTTGGTAAAAGTGGCAGATCAGATGTGTGTGCCTTTGTTATGAATGCAGTTGATGTAGGAAGTCCCGCCCCTTGTTGATTTTGATTGGCAGACTAAGCTAAGTGACGCTAATGTGTTTGTAAACCTTTTGAATGCCATGCAAATATTTCCCAATACATAAATATTCCACAAGAATCGCAACTGAAATATGAAATATTAAGGTTTGTGTGATAAGCCTGTAACTGTGTAAATATCTGCAGGGGGTTACCTCTTTGCCTCATGCAACATTTACACCCATGTATAGAGGAATGCGTGCCATTACCTGCACACATACACATCCCCACAGACACCCTGAGGTCTCCTCAAAATATGGGACCAAACAAGTTGACAGCACTGAGATAAATCTTAGGTGATGTCACCCTGCAGCTGCATGTACCTTGTCACTGGCATTATCGTCACTGTCAGACCGATACCGAATACGAACGTAAAAGAAGCTCAGACAGCATCGTGCCTGCAGAGTTTGTTCAAAGAAGAGACATCTATACGTGAAACTGCATGCCTCAGTCACCTGGTGCCATCCAGATTTAGTCAAAATAGAGGAAATTTGGGCATAAACAGCAGGAAGCATTGCCAGTTCTTGGACATTTTATTTGCGTCCTGCTGTTCCTTGGTACTCTCTGAAAGCAAACATGACTTGTACTTCGCTTCCTTTTTATGTAGTCTATCAATTTAGAAACATCTATATTTTATTCTTCAGTGTAAGCAGAGACTGAATCAATCTTATTTTGTGTTACCGATCTGATTTTTGTGCATGCAGTGCACCGCAGAAACCACCGAACAAAAGGTCAAGGCTTTTAACTGTAATGTCATGTGTCCTGCTGGAGAGCAGTCGCAACAACTTTCAGAGAGAGAGAATACTAACATACTGTGACTCCTGAATAATTATCCTCTCGTTTTGACTTCAGACAGGGCCCGCTGAAGCCAGAAGTTTTGTCCATTCAGTGGTCCGGTCGTCGGTCTAATCGGCGGCTTCAGAGGAACAGCAGCCTCTCGCCAAACAATCCACTCCTCAGTCTCATCAATTCAGGTTGGTTATTTCCCCGTGAAGAATGAAAGAGGGAAACAGAGAGAGATTGAAGAAGGTAGCAGGTACTGGTGTTGCTGGCTTGTAATTTGACACAGACTCCACATGTTTAGATGCTTGGGCAACAGGGTTTTACAAAATAAGCAATGGTGTCATCTGCATAAGGTTGAGCTTAGGTATCGAACATTAAGAACTTTCTACTGCACATCTCAGTTTTCATGTGCTGTTTCATGTTTGTTTGTTAGTTTGTTTGTCTTATATGTAGTCACTCACACATGTTGTGACGATAGTAATTCAGGAACAGTCTCCCTTGCTACACAGCCTCACTTTTACCCAAATGAACCCCAGATATTCAGATTGTGAGTGTGTCCATAAAAGATAATAACCAACCCTGAATTATGTGTGTGTGAAAGGCAGCGCTTGCAAATATCAGGGCATAAATGTCTGGAAATAATTGAGAAAATGTCAGAAGTTCAGGTGTAAAAGGGGCTTCAGAAAGGTGAAAGTAGGAGGCCTATTTTAAATTAAAACCTAAGAGCTGCAGTATAATAACACCTGCTGGAAATGAGCAACAAAGCCTGATCTAACACAAAACAAAGTGGAACAAGCTGCAGTGTTCGCATAAAAACACTCAGTTGTTGGTAACTTGTTGTAGTTTTTGTAGACACCACTGTTAACTTTTAACTTTTGTTTGTTTTCTAGCTTTGTTGTTCTCTGTTTGGACTATTGTTTGGACGGTTTTCTATCAGACCTTCATTATCACACCAGTCGTGGTTGCTAGGAGATATGAACCTCTATAAAGTTCAATTGTAGGTCTCAAAGCTTTTCTATTGATTGGTTTGTTTTACATGAAAGGAAATGTTAAAATGCCTTTCGGGACATTGCCACAATTTCCAAGTATTCAGCTCCAAAAAAAATCAATGAAGGAAAGAGTGTTTAAAATGCAGTCGATGTGATCCAGCACCTTTCATCCCCTTACCTTTGTTGTTTACTCCTTTTGTCTGAAATCTATCCCCTCCCACAGGTGTGTATGATGAAGACAGCCAGTGGATGGTCCAGGTTAACAGGCTGCAGAAGCTGATTGACCGTCTTGAGCAAAGGGTGACTTCTTTTCTTACAACTTCTTCCCATCTGTCTTTCTCCTTTTTTCTCTCCTCTGATATTTTTATTTTCCTCTTTTACCGTACGAGCCATCTGGTCATTACATCGCTCATGTTGTACAGAGATCATGCCAAGAAAACTCAAACATTGTCAACAAATAAGCTAAACCCTACAACACCCGCCCACGTACAAACGCATAGACATATGTACAGCATAAGCAAACTCTCAGGGAGGATATCTGCTTGTGTTGAATAAAGACCAATATTTGTTTAAACATATGCAGTCTAAGTTCAACTCCAGACTGCAAAGTGAACAGGTGACTCTATGATCACAATCTGAACAGAGTTAAAGGTACAGTGTGTAGTATTTAAATGAATTTAGCAGAGCAGACATTGTAGGAATAAAATGTAATAGTCTTGGAAACAGATGAATTAGTATAAGCCTTATGTGATTTTTGTATTTAGCGAGCAGCACCATTTGGATGATGATAAAGAAGAAGAAGAGTGTGGTTATAGTTGTGTGAAAAATAATTTGTATTGATAGACACTTTGACTGTAAAACTGAGAAACAAAGGACTGTACTTATCATGTATTGAAGGAGCTTTCTGTCTTTGGACAGTAGAGAATCTTGGAGAGGATCAAACATGAATCACATGAAATGATTGACAAAGAGATTTAAAAAAAGTATTTCTTTTAATCCTTTTGTGGTTAATTGTAATTAACTCTCTGATTTTGCTTCCTCGTTATTCTTTTTTAGTACCCAGGTTTCTACAGTGTTTAAATGAGGTTGCATTCTTAAGAAGTTTGTGATTTGTATGAGCAGATGGTTTCCATTCATGGGTGAGATTTTTTGGTGTCATTTTTGTTGCTCCTGTTTTTCAGGAGGTTCGTCTGGAGCCGGTTGAAGAGGAGGTCTTGGAGAGCAAATCGGTTAGTTTCTGTGGACTTTCTGTTCTTATTTACCGCTGTGATCCCACTGTGTCGGCTTGCTCTCTCACAGTAGAGTATTGCTCAAAGTGAGGCCATGATGATAATAACTATGGTTGCATAGCAACAGCAAGGAGGACACTTAACAGAGTCCTATTCCCCCCTGTCTTTGCTCTGTCGGTCTTCATCGAGAACGTTTCTCATCAAAACTCAGTATTGAGTTTGTTGGAGAAGACTCACAGGCAATAAAGGGGGTAGAGATAAAGGACTGAGTGAGGTACAGAGTCTATTAAAGTATGTCAGAGATTATCTGCCACTAATCTCTGATGGTTTGATCTGCAATCATACTCCAGATGAATATAAAGAGTCATCAGCATAACCTTTCACACATATAGTTTGCAGGTGTGTGTATTCACATTATCAGCCATGCATGTGAGCCCACTGAGCAAAGGCAGACTGTTATTTCTGCCAACCCCAGGATTCATTTCACTCATTTCATGGCTGAGAACTTTCTCTAAAGCCGACAGCTGACTCACTAACCATCTCTGCAGACTGACAAAAACACTCACAGAGGGATCTCTCTTGCATCACACTGGGGAGGAAGAATATTTTTACTTAAAGGCGGTTTCTTTCTTTCTAAGAGAAAGTTAATTATCTGGGTTTTTTTTCTCCCAGATTTGATTCTGACACATGCGTTAATTATTATTAATCACAGATATCTTATTAGCTTTGTTTGCTTGAGAAGAAAAACTTCAGCTTTCCCATAAAAAAAACTCATTATGTATTAATTAACTGAGCATGAAAATAATTATTCATCTGAAAATGTCTTGATTTGATTACATGCTTGTTCGTCGCAATACTTTGGGTCTGAGACAGCTTACACTTGGGCATACTTTTCCTTGAAACGAATGAGTTCTACGATGATATGAAACAAAGAAAAACAACCATTAAGTCATAAACTTTGTGTGCTGGGAGTTCCAGTGATACAATTTGGGAATCAGAAGTATCATGGCACAGTGGCACAAATGAAACCATGCATATTAATATTACATGCGCTGTCAGATCACGTAACTAGCGCAATGTTGACATCTCTGCTCAAGTGTGAATAAATCAATACCTAATTGGTGTGTGTCACTGAGAATGAATGTTCAGCCAAGAGAGAACCAGTAATGATCCGCTACACATGGCTGATGTGCGACTGTGTCTGTGTGTGTGTGCGTGTGTGTGTGTGTAGAAAAGAAAGATTTTTCTCTTAAATAAGCAGCCAAGAAAAAGTCCAACTGCATTTCATTGCTCTCTTTCTCGCACACACACATATACACACCCTACGACAACAGGCAGACCATTCACTTTCTGTTCCCATCAGCCTCGTTGACTCCCCCATCCAATCCTAATCTGACCTTGACAGCATCCTTTCAATCGTCATGGTTACGCCGTGTTCTCTTCTTTCATGTTCTGTGATCTTGATCCATTAACACACAATTTGCAAATGTTTCAGCGTGCAAGAATCACATCTTAGGATCATTTTGAAGAATCATCTGTTAAATCTCCGGAAATTTGACTTGAAACGGTAAAAATGCAGAGAAGATAAGACTGGAACCAGAATCAGAATTTCATTTTAAAGAAACAATAAAAAGTTGAAAGCATCCCCGCAAAGAACCCAAACAAAACTAAGATGAAAAAAGTTGATTAAAAAATAAAGTAAACAGTGTAATGTAATGTAAAAAATGTGTGGTGTGGTTTAATTGTAAATAGCTGTAGAGTCATGCATAAAGAGAGTGAGCAGACAGAATTTAAGTCGGAGTCTTTTTCTGCAAACCACAAAATTATACATAAAAGACTGCTGAGACACTTTGTTCAAAAACAGCTTATGTCTTTTCTCAGTAGTCAGACTATTATCACTCACAGAGGGTGTGAACAACCGCACAGCTGCCGTGTGAACACTTTTATGTTTGGTTTGCAGAATTCATCACATAATTTTTGCAAATAAATACCGAAATATACCCAGGTGCAATGCAAACCCAATCTGAGAACAGATTTTGGGATCTTGAATAGAACTATTTTTAATTTAGTCTTTGTGCAACAGACACGTACATGGGCCTGAGACACAGATGTTGAAGGTTAGTCAGGATTTGACTGGGTTTTCTCTGCCTTTGTTAAAATTAACTCAAGAACTCAAAGGTCCAGTTCGTAGAAACAGCAACTTTTAGCTGTAACTACCAAACACATGAAATGATGATAGCCTTCAAGGACACAAAGCCAATATGATGCCACATATGCATGATCACCCATTTGTCAAGTTTTACCATCAAACCTTGTAACTGATGCATTTCACATGGCCACTGACTGAATCCAAAAACATGTTTGGTACCAATTTATCCTTTCTGTGCTAATATAGAAACACTGTAGTGCAAGGGGGATCAATTCCTGTGTAGATATAAAAGCCTCATTCAGAATACACAAAACAAAACTATATTTATATTCACTTTAGCTCATTTGTACCAAGTCTATTCTGTTTAATAAAGCTAAATACTGCGCACTGCACCTTTAAGGGGATGTTTTTACTCTGTTGCACACTTGGTTGGATGCCGGTTTGCAGAGGCATCAAACTGCTTCACTAAATTGTATAAAAAAGGACTTAACTGCAAGTCATTTTCATGCTCCGTGATCATAAAGTGATCCCTTGAAGGCAAATAGAAAGAATCTGACAGAACAATGAATCATTATCTTTACTAATCTAACGATAAAAGCAGCACTTTACATTTTACAGTTCAACAATGCTCACCAGTAATTTAACACAATGAGCTTCAGTGAAACCCTGACAGAAGATTTTGAAGGTCTCCCAGGAAATAATCCTGTCTTTGACTTTGCGTGTCTTTGCAGCTTCTTGTGTGTATATATGCAGTATATTCATGTGTGCGCGCATTTATGTGTGTGTGATTTTTGTCTTCGCAGCACATCCTGATTGTCCAGAGGCAGCTCTGTGTGCTGGAGGAGGAGCTGGAGGAGTTTCGTTTGGCTCTCAGACAGTACATGGAGTGTTCCTGCGCCCAGACTGGATGTCTACAGTCAGTTTATATTCTCTTTGCTTGTTTTGGTATCGGGGGTTCACTAAAGAACATTTCATATTTTTTGGTATTTCTGCGAAAGGTTTTAAAAGTTTATGAAAATAATGAGAAATGAATCACTAAAGGAGAAGTAAAAAAAACAGTCAAATGATAGAAATGAGTTTTAAGAAGAGATTTAAAAGAGGACCCTGAGTTTTCTCGTCTGACATCCACAAGCAGAGAGTTCCACAGCTGAGGAGCATAAACTGTGACCAGCAAAGATTCAAGAGCTCTGAAAAGAGCCCCTATAGATGACCTCAGGCTGAGGTTCATAGGGACTCAGCTGCTAACATATATTGAGTAGGAGCCTGAACACTAAAGGCTTTAAAAACAGGCAGAGAAATCTTAAAACCAATTCTGAAAACTTACAGGGAGCCACTGAAGGGCAGCCAGGACTGGTGTTATGTGTTTTTTCCTCTCTTGCTGCGTGATAAAAGTCTGGCAGCTGCAGTTTGAATTGATTGTAGAATTTTAATGCTGTGCTTCTGGTTCCAGAAAAAAAGTGCATTACAGACTAAAAGAAATAAATGCATGGATAACTTTTCTAGGGTGTGCGAAAAAGACAGATTTTTGTCAACTGTCTCAGTCAAAGGAAAGGTCAGAGGTAAAACTGACTCCTTGGTTGAGGACAAATTATGGATGTTGCTTGAACTGGGAGTAATGACAGTAACTCCAGATTTAGAGTCATTCACAGGTAGAATATTTTCAGACCTCCTATTTTTTATCTCAGTCAGACAGAAAATAATGAGAGCAACATCAGTGGTGCCTGGTTTTAATGAGGGATAGAGCTGAGTGTCATCTGCATACCAGTGAAAGTCGATGACATGCCTATGAAGGATTTTCCCCAGAGGAAGCTTGTTCTTAGTGAAAAAGAGGAGGCCTAAGATAGACCTCCGTGGAGGAGCTCAGAGGAGCTCAAGAGAAGGAAGCATTTTCAAGCTCTACAGAAAAAGACCTGTGTGACATGAAAGAACCAACTCTTATTCCACCAGAGAATTTTATTTACACTCCCTATAGGATCTTTTTTTCTAAAGGAGGAGCGTCTTCTTTGTTGCTTTTAAAAGAAATCTGAATGAGAATGTTTGTCAAATGTTGGGAGCTGTTCTTTTCCTGTATCCTTTTATTGATTTAAAGATCATCTATCTACACAGAAAGAAAAAAACAGTCCTTCTGATACAAGATGGTGAGGTCTCCATGACAACGGATTCTCATCAGCATCCCTGTATGGTTGACCTAACATTTCACTAAACAGTTCGACTCAGAGTCAAGGTGTACTCTGTGGTTCTGTTGCCATTGTCTGGGTTGCAGGACATGATCTTTCTCCATGTCTGTGCTCAGTTTCCAGAGATAAAAACCATCATTTTTACCATCTTGTCATCTTGCAAAGACGTGATATTCAAGACTCCTTTATATGGATTGATTTAATATTACATTGTTCCTGATGTAGCTGTTGCTTTTGAGAAATAATTACCATCATTAAGGGGTTTTGACTAATCAAATCATGTATTAAACATAAGTAAGAACTAAAACAACATCTTAATTATAGAGACACAACTCCAATTCCTTCTGCAACTCAAATCTCCATAATGATTACTATTGTAATAAAATAGCTGATGTAAATAATAAAGTATGATAACCACCTGATGCTTTGTTATAAACCACATTTAGAAAGGGACAAAAAGCCTCACAATTTCTGTCTAATTTGAGTCTAAATCCAGCAGCCTGGAGGACGCTGTGACATTTACATGCCTTTTAATGTTGTGACTATTTCAGTCATGTTCACTCATTTTCAACTTAAATAGAAACTCTTGAAAAAAAATCCTTATACAACTATAATTTGAGGGTTGAAATATCAAATCAAATTATCAGGCAGGTTCACTCTGCCCGCTTCCCCTCACACTGTGGGAAACAGGCGGTGCTGGGGGACAGGATCTCGCACACTAATTAGTAATTGCATGACTTGTGCTCTGTCTTGTTTTCTCATTCGGCAGCATCGCAGTGCAGAGGCTAGCAAATGAATCACGCTTCATTCTCTATGAATTCTGGGAGCACAACAACGTGTGGAAGAAGTAAGTAGTCTCCCTCTCTGTAAGTGATTATTGTGATTAATGCAGCGTGGCCTGTTCACATAAACCCCAAATTATACTCAGTGCTCACTGAGAGGAAGTTTGTCGGCCTCTTTTTTTTATAAAACTAATAAGGAAAACAAGAATGTGTTCATAATAGAAGAGTTTATTTATTATTATTTAATTATACCAAACTCAATCAGGTCAAAATGATAATTTTTCAGGTACTTTTAATTTGAAAATCATGAAAAAGCAAGTGGCCCGGCAGAATGGTATCATAAATAACATGGTTTACAAACAACAGCGTATCCATGATCAGTAATTGAGCTTTTTCCTGCACAGTCACCTGCAGACCAACTACAGTAAGACCTTCCAGAGGGGGAACGTGGACTTCCTGGAGACTCCTGAGACTGTAACCACCATGCTGGTTCCTGGTAAGAACCTTCATCATCACACTCGAATCGATCACATGAATTTCGGCAGACTAATTTTACTTAGCTCCAGGCTTCCTTTGGTAGGTCACACCATAAATCAGAGAGATGTGCACCAACACACAGAGATGCTCTTTGCACTACAGCAAAGTTTGTGGTGCATTTAACCCTTTGAGCATGCTTTGTGAATTAGATGACGTCTTTTTGGCTCATTTGCAGAGACTTTTTGTAAATCAGGTCTTCACTTTGCTGGATACTAAAACTAGCAGAATAAGAGGGCTTGATTTTGACAGCTCAAAGGTTTCTTTACAGCCTTGGAAACAGAACTTTGACCAAAAATAAAATGTCAACACAATGTCAGACCTCGTTAACAGAAAGGTGAAGAGAGTGGGCTTTGGCCATCACAGTTTGTAAACACAACATTACTCATTCTGCCTTTAGGGAAGCCTGAGACCACATCCAAAGACACGGGTTATTATTATGGTCAAGTTAATACCTGGTCAAACTTTAAATTTAAAAGAAAAGTTGTAAAAACTATTGATGTACTTTTAAAGGTGCAGTATGCAGCATTTAGCAGCATTTAAAGGGATATTCAGGCGTAAAATTAATTTAGGGTCAAACACACGTTTTTTCATGGAAATGCAATCAGATCGAGACGCTAAGGCAGAAGAACTTCCAAAATGATTAATATGGTGATTATTACTTCAAGGAAATGATAAAGAAATGATTGTAAATGTTCTTCCTTGAGCTGCGTCACCCCGCAACAGTCCGTAATGGACTGACCTTAGGTCTCCGTACAAACAAGCAGCTGCTGGAAGAGAGTAGGTGAGTTGTGTTTAGTCTCTTTGCTCAAGAAATTAGGCAAAGCTAAAAAGATGTTTGGTGGCTAGTGCTATGGCTTGGACCCTATATGTACTGTTGATGAAGTTAGGTGCTGTTCTGAGCATTATTTGTGGCTATAGAGTGGCGTTTTGGTTGAGGTTTGTTTATGGCTCCTCAGACCGCTGTGTATTGCTATCCTGCAGTCATAACTAAAGTTGGTAAAACGAAAAAAAGCAAGTGGTTGGCAACATCCATCTCTTGAGGGGGTGGTGTTACGGTGTTTGACCCTAAATTAATTTTACGCCGGAATATCCCTTTAATTCAACATAAATATATATATAACAGTCACAAATGTTTTGAAATTTGTGTATATAAATCGGGATTTTATAGTTGTGTTTCTTTTGGTGCTTTTTGTTGTTTGTTTTGTCAGTATTTTAGACAAATGTACATAAATAAAGAAACCTTAAAATGGTCTGATAATCGTTTTTCTGTAACACCTTTTCTGCTTCATTTTCCCTGTTTCCTCCTGACCTCTGCAGCCTCATGGTGGGTCCTCAACAACAACTGAAAGCTGGAAAAAGTACCTTCCACAGATCATCGTCGATGTGCGCAGTGGTCAACACACCAGGAAGTCTCACACAGCACACTTACACACACACACATGAACACGCACACACTCACAACTTGTGAAGTCACGGTGATTAGTATCAATTTTGTGACCTCCATGTTCCTTCATAGTTAAGTGGTAGCTGAAATAGCCCCACGTTTGTGTGCGTGTGTGTGTAAGCGAGTGTGTGCATACCTGTGTGTGTCGTTACACTCCGACATCTGAAAAGCAATGACCTCATTATGTGATTATGTGGCATCATTGCTGCGTTTGACACCATGTCATCCATGGCTCGTTGTAGATCATAAAAACTGAAGCGTGTGTGGCAGGCTGTGTGGCTGAGTGTGGCTAAGTGTGTGTGTGTGTGTGTGTGTGGGTGTGTTTCTGTGTGTTTGAAAGAGAGGCAGTGAAAGACAGATATAATTGTACCAATTGTAGCAGCTCTGGGGAGCTCATAAACTGTAATTTTGATGTTTCTGTAGTTATTGTGTCAAACTGAGTCACAAATAAAGATGTTTTATTGTTGCGCAAGTCTGAATGTCTTATTTCTCAGTGTGGATCTGGAAGAATACTTAAAGAGACACAATATATCGTTAAGAGTTTAGTGGGTGTTAAAATATGAAATTATTATGCGGGTTTAAGTTGGAATAAAAGTAATTGCACTCATATAAAAGAGCTGCTTTGATTATATTTTGAAGGAACAGGAGAAAGAATCAAATACTTTAATCAAATGAACTAAAAAACTCAATTTCATTTGTCTCTTTTCTGTTAATGCTGAAAATGAGACACATTTTTCAAACAGGAAAATACTGAATGTGTGAGTGGCGCCCCCATGTGAGCACATAGCATTATAACAAAAATGAAGTGCTGGCACCTCATATTGACTCTCGAGTCGAATCACTGTTTCTTTTGGTTTTATTTGGGGTCATTTTAACCCCTCTCCTACATCCCTTTCTCCTTCTCCTCCTCTTTTTCTTAACTTTTCCTCTTTTTATCTTCCTCTTGTCGGCACTGACACCCTTGGTCGTTATGTTTCGTTCAGTTATCTCTGTATGAGTGTACAGTATGTTAATGTTCAGTGATTGCTGAGTTAAAGGTCATGTAGAGAAAGTTATCTTATCTTGTGACAACAACAGTGGTCCTTTAGACATCAGTGTTACAGTGTGACATTTACTGCTCTTTACTTTTCATGGCTTGACCTTCTTTTGTATCAGATTTTACTGAACAAGTAATGGCTCAGGGTTATGGAATGTAAAATATTTCATGGTGGAAGTTCTCCATTGTGTGCGAGTATGAAATACTGTACTTTCACATACAATCACTTTTTGCAAAATGCATTAAAGCACCTTCTGTTTGCTGGTTTCACTTGCTAATCCAGAACCAGTGCAAACATCATAATCACTTTAGTAAAGAGTTTTTTCACATTTGAATAGACTGAAATTCATATTGATGCTTTTTTATGATATTCAAAAGCAAATGAGACCATCAGCAGAAAGACGGGGTATAACTATGTTGTCAATTTTAATGCCTAAAACAGGTGTGAGAGGATAGGTGCCAAACAGCTGCAGTCCTGAATAATACATCTGACTGGAAAGTCCCCAGTTTGAGATGGTTTTTAAGAGACACGATTTAAGCATAACAGAAGACAAAGTAAACAAAGACAGTTTTGTCAACAGGGGGCACCAAAGCTGGCAGAAATTGAAAGTTCCTCACAGGATCTTTGAGCGTTGACGCTTTTCTTTTATGCTTTTAACATTACTTGATAAACTCCCCAGTTTGTTGAGATAGAATATATTTTTCATCTGTTTCAGTCATTTATTTTCACCTCTAAATACCTTAATGGTGTACCTTATTGTTCTATGATGGCTTCAGTGTTTCTCACCTGTATCCAAAATATTAATGCACTTAAAACAATAAAAACACACATTAAAAATAATTAGTAAGGTGTCTCCAGTAACAGAACTTTTAGAGGGTTAAACTGTAAGAGTTAGGCTTACACAAGATTGGTGTATTGATTTCAAAATAAACTTCATCCTTTGAGTTAACTCGTTTTTTATGGGCCGAATGTTTAATAGCATGAAACACTATATTAATGTGTATCAGATTACACTCGTGTTTGTCACGCCATACACGAGAAACCATAGTTAAAGCTTCTTATGTATTTACACCATGGGTAATATCAGGCATACAAAAAGTATTTAGTTTAGCATTATTAGAATATTATGAGGAATTATTAAAAGGGTTAATCCTGCATGTGCAAGTGAACAGAAACTTACTATAAGTACATTTAGCAAAAGATGTAAAGCTTGAAACTTCAAAAGTGAAAACTGGTTCGTATAAAATGAAACTCAGAGCCATTATGAAGTCATTTCTGTTGGAGCAGCACTTGTTTAACTTTTTTGTGTTTTTGTGTTAAACTGTTATTATTTTGAAAGATCTGCCAGAATAATGTAATGAAGTAGAGGGTAAAATATTGGTCATAACTGGAAAAATTAAAAAACTTTATTCTAGAAAGGTACCAGCCAACATGCAAAGAGGACAAAACAAACAGTTTTAGCTTTTTATTGATAAATTATTATTTTAAAAAGACCCACAAGTCTCCCCTCCTTCATCCTCTCATTACAGTTTTCCAAGTACTGAATTTGAACTATTTACAAGGTTGTTTTTATATATTTTCTCCTTAATCATCATCATCATCATTATCCTCAACATCATCATCATCACATTCAAGACAAGGTTAGAAGATTGCAGACTGGTCAAGAGACAGGATGCTGAGTTGGCCTATAGCAATCTAGCTAGCTAGCACAGGGTTCACCGGAGGTCAGAGAGCAGCAGTAAAAGCGACAAGAGGAGAAAGAGGAGGGTTTACATTCTAACTTACAGGCAGAGGGAGTAAAGACAGGAGCATCGTGAGCTTCAGCTTCCTCTCTGAAACAGGAAAAAAACACAACCCCAGTGGCAGGACACAAACATGCAGACATGTTCTGTGAGTGAGAAGGCAGCGAAAACTTGGTGAGGAACACAGTGAGGCTCCAGTGTAAAGGTTATTACTGTTTTGAGTTAAAGCTGCACGGCACCAAAAATATTAGTGCTGACTGAAAAAAAAAAAAAAACACACACTCTCCTGTTGATTTGATGCTCTACTCAACAAATACTGGGCAGCAAAGTTCGCACACACGGGTATTTAAGGAGGATTTCATTCAAACTGATCATTTTGCAAGTTAAAAATCATAAAGCAATACTATGTCAGTGTACACAGGCAAGGTTACATTACAGTATGGATATGCAGCTGGAGTCAAACTAGCAGCAAAAAACTAACACAATTGCATAAAATCGTAGTGCAATGGGCAAACTAATCTGAGGAGGTCATCTCATTTCAGTCTGGTCAGAAACAAAACGTCAAGTTGCTAAAAAAAAAATTATTAAATGACGAGGCCAAAAAGACCAAATCCAACTGTTTAGCTAGACTATTTTCTGAATCAGCTAATTTTGGCATTCACACAACAAAAATCAGTTTTATGGACTTCTTGATTCCTTATTGGAAGGATTTGAGCAAAACCTGGCCAGGATTGAAGTCAGTGTGGACTGATTGACACCCAGTAGGTTTGTTCAGAGAGTAAAACTCTAAAACAGACACAAACACAACAAGATGCATCTTCAACATAACAACCCTCCACACATACAGCTCTCCAACATACTCTGCAGGCGTCCCGCTCCGCTGGACATGACCGGTATGAAATCTGAACGTGATGAAACAACTTAAAAGAGGGGTCTGTTCTCCCAGCCGCGCCACGCTGAGCTCTGCTCTAGGAGAAGCTGTTCTCGGGGTAGCTGACTTTGATTGCCCCCCAGTAGCAGGCTCGTATCAGACAGATGAGGCCCAGCAGGTAGGCCAGCGCCCAGGAGACGTAGGTGGCGTTGTAACGAACGGCAAAGCTTCGAGTGCCGACCTGTTGATACAGAGAAGAGGGGAAAGCTGATGAAGTGTTGATATCAGTAACAGAGAATTTGACATTCAGATCTAAGTGACTTGACTATTTAGTTGCACAAGAATGGCAGAGAAAGGCAGTTTGATACAGTTCATGATGATAATAGTGCATCCTCCAACAGTCAAAGAACGTAGGACAGGAGTTGGGCATGATGAGAACCATCAAAACAGCCTCTGGACATGTAGGTGAGTGCAAGCAAATGCGCAGCCTACAAGCAGCTGCAGACATGCTCGGGCTTGAGTGACTGATTGACGATGACAAGCGCAATGCAAATCAACATTAGGTAAAAGTGAAAATAAGCCCCCCCCCCACTCACTATTATAGTAACAAAGTAAAAATAGAGGTAGAGAAGCTGCTTCTGTGAAATGTAGTGGAGTAAAAGTTTACTTTTCTTTTTATAGATGTAGCCGAACAAGAGTAAAAGTCACAGGCACAAAAAAAACAGTAAAGTACAGGTACTTCAAAATTATACTCAAGTACTGTACTTAGGTATCGCTACTTACTTACTACACAACACTGATTATCATACAATGGTTGGTTAAGACTGAGTAACAGGATAAATTAGGTGCCACCTTCATCAAAGTCATATTTTACTGATGAGTTATTGACCTGAGGAAGATGAATCTGTTAATGTATTTCCAATCAGACAAGGGTATTGTGTTGTGAGTTCAGCTGATTGCCATAAAGAAGCTGTCAGCAAATCAGCTTTCAGTCAAACTTGAATAAACGTTGTAAATCAGTTTCCACTCCTGACCTTCACTGAGAAAGAAGTGCTGATAGGAGGAAGTGCCTCCAACATTTCTTCTACTGGAAACGTTCAGAATCTGCCTTTTTTTTTAGAATTGCCTTCCCAAGCTTTAAAATAAGCACTTCAATCCCCCAAAGTCATTTAGAAGAGATTATAGCTCTAATATGATTTGAAAAAGTCTGATGTGACTCTGATATATTGTGAGAAACTGAACAATAGCTGTTGTTTTTGTTTACTGATAAGTCCAGAAGCCTAACAGGTCATGTATCGACATATTGTTTGGTTATGTTCTCGTGACTCTGTCGAACAAAAAGACTCCTAACAAGAGGAAGGTGGAGTGAGTCTCTTCAGATCAGTACTTTGTAGATGACCACTCCTCATTTAATATTTAACTTTTCAAATGTTTATTTTCCATTTTTCTTCTGTTCTGGTTTTGTTGTAAATCCAAAAATATAAACCTTCTCTATATAACACACTTGTTATAACATAATTCTTACAAGACAAACAAGAATTAGACAGAACTTACTGTTAAACCGACTCCAATGAAAATGCAGATCATTCCTATTGTTACATAAGCACAACAGCGCCTCCTGGGGAGCGCACTACCAACAGAAGATCTGTAAAGAAAGAGGAAAAAACAGAGAAAGTCAGTGCGCAGGGGAAGACTGAAAGGATGGTTCAATGACAGAAATATACATGAAAAACCACAACTGATATTTTCTTCAAAGGAGTTTAAGTTTTGGATTAAATTTAATATTTCCCATGATGATGTGTCTGATGCTTCCTTAATCCTACTTTTATTTCTGCTGTTTTCACTCGACAGCGTCCTCTACAATCCCATGAGCCACAAGAAAATCTCCACTCCTTGTTTTACGTAACACATGAAAGCGCAGGAAGAGTCACATGAGCAGCTCCCAACACTTTCAGACTCCGATGAACACATGAACAAGTTAACTGCCCCAAACCACCAGACTGGAATCTGTTTTTTTTCCCCCCACTATTATTTCACTTTCCAACCCTCCCATCGCCGCTCACATGCCCCTCATGTGACGAGACTCATACATTCTTCAGGAATTGCTGGTATTCAGGTGGCCTATGGGGGCCTGATCACCTGATATTTTTACCTTTTACTGCTACATCTCAAACCTCCGTCTACTTGCACTTTTCCTCTCTTTAAGACTCACTTTTCAAATTTTGGACCACCTGATCGACCCATTAGCTTTACCGATGACATATCTGGAGCAAACCTGCCTCTCAAACAATGTCTTTGAAGATTAGGCTGTAAAAGGCCAGTGGACATTACTTAAACAAGATTTAATCTAGTGTCTGAAAGTTACAAAGTTTAATCTCTGCGACACTTAAAACACAACTAATTTCACTTTGATTTGAGGTACTTTTGTGTAAAAAAATGCTCTAGAAAAGAGCTTTTAGAGTTGAGCTTTTTCTCCTTTTTTGGGAAAGATTTGAAAACGAAGAAATTAAATTTAGAGACAAAAGGAGCAAACAGATAAAAACAGATATATTAACGCACTTTGTCTTCGCACTTATATCGACAAAAACATAAAATAAACACAAAGGTTAAAAGTGAGGCAGAAACTAAGGGAAGGAACATTGAAACATCAGTGGCTGCCTGATGTAGTTACTGTCCATTCTCTCATTTACAGACTCCTCATTTTCCCTGCACTCCCACCACCTCTGACCCCTGCAGGCACTCTCCATCTTTCACATTAACTTGTATTGAGGCCAAGCCCTAATTCCTGTCACCTGCTAGATTAGCCTCCATGGACCCCTCCTTCACCCTCACCAACATCACTCCCTTTCTCCATAAACTACAAAATCTCTGAAGCCGGGCAGCTGATTTACAATAAAACAATCCAAATAAGAATAACTGAAACTACAAACAAAACAAGCACGCAACCCAACAAGTGCTTTAGTCTGAAAAAATCTGCAAAATTTAGAGTCGTTGCTTCTCCACAACTAACCATTTCTCACTCTTGCTCAGGGAGAAGCCACTCTGTAAAATCCAGTGCAAGGTCAGTTATTGAAGGATTAAATGTGAGAAAACTGTCCGACATTTGGACTAGCAGTCTAGGCCTACCAGTTGCAAAACTTTTGGCAGACACACTTCGATCAGGTGCATGGATTATATGTCGGCCATTGCAGCACGTTTCTTGGCCAACAGCTGAGAAATTCTACTGGTGTAACTCCAAAATGGATTAAACCACTTACTAATTCAGACTTTCAAAATGTGTGAAAATGGGTCATGGGTTTAAAGATATCAGCCTGTAGTAATTTCTAAACAAAATAAATAGAAAAATCAACCCCTGTTTGTTCTTTGCTGGGATGAACAACTACTTGAGAAAACTATAAACCCTTATTCCAATAAAGTTAGGATGTTGTGTGAAACGTGATTAATAAATAATTAGTATTCACTCATTTTGAATTTTGTGCCCAGGACAGGAGCATGTTTATTTCTGTGCTACATCAACTTTCCTTTTAGCAACACTCAATAAGCGTTTGAGAACTGAGGACACTTACTGTCGAAGCTTTAGAGGAGGAATTCTTCATATTCTTGCTTTTGTTCAACGAAGGTCATTGGTACCAAATGTTAGTTTTGGTTCCATGCTGCTTACATGCAGAGATTTCTCTGGAGTCTCTGAATCTTGTGATGATATTATCAACTGTAGCTGATCAAATCACTAAAATCCTTCCAACTGTACATTGAGACGGTCATTCTTAAACTGTTGGGCTATTTGCTCATGAAGTTGTTCCAAAAATGCGTTGAACCTCGCCCCATCCTTGCTCGTAAATGACTGAGCCTTTCAGGGTTGCTCCTTTTACACCCAATCCTGATACTCAACTGTTTCCAATGAACATGTTCACCTGTCTAATGATCCAAACATTCCTTGGTTTTCCCGTCTGTTGTTGCCCCTGTCCCAACTTTTTTTGTTGTGTGTTGCAGGAATCAGATCCAAAATGAGTGAATATTTGCAAAAAAACAACAATTAAGTTGATCAGTTTGAACATTAAATATCTCGTCTTTGTAAAGTATTCAATTGAATATAGTTGGACAGGGTTTGCAACTCATTGTATTCTGTTATTTATCTTTTACACAACATCTCAACCTTATTAGAATTGGGGTTTGTACGTACAGAGACAAAAAGAGGACAAATGGTAGCTACTGCTCAACTCTAAGCAAGTCTGTTACAATGTGAAGTGTACAGGCTGAAGTTGGAGTTGACTAAAAGTTATATATTTAGGCCTGTCGCGATAATCAATTAATCGCCTTATCGCTCGATAAATAAAAACGAGGTCGATAACTTTGCCAGCCTCGATAATTGACGTGCGTTTGTTTTCCTCCTCTCTCGCTACCAAACACGCTGGATGAGAGAAGAGGTCTCACTCTGCGTATTTTTCTCGGCACCTGGGGGCGTTGGCTCTATAGCGGAATGAACAGAGTTAGTGAACCCTCCTGTCAGTCATTCAGTGTCTTTGTTACGAGGGGGCGCGCGCGCAGGTACACGTAGGCGCGCACAGGCACACGGGCACAGACTTTTGGATACAGTGCTGCAAGTGAGCGTCGTGAGTGAAAAGCAAGCAAACAGAATGAACACGACAGCTTTGGTGTCTAAACCGAACGCAACAGCCCAAGTGTGGGAATATTTCGGCTTTAAACCACTTTTGTTTTTGTCAACCACAAAACTCCACGTGTGTGCGCGCGCGCGCGCGTGTGTCTGTGTGTTGGAGGAGCACAGCAGGCTGATGAGAGCTGTCAGAGCGGACTGAAGCTGCTCCTACATGTTTAGCGTTTAACTGACTGAGTTTTGCAACTCTGTTCGTCATTTTCGTCTCGTCCCATCAACGTAAACACACTTTCGTCTCGTCACATTTTATTCATCTCCGACTTATGTTTAGCTCGTCAACGTTACGTCTTCGTCGTGGGTGAAATTAAAGTTTATCACTTTTGACACGGTGTACTCGCATTATTATGCCATTTCATATCATTATCTATAATTTAAAAAACGGTGTCAATAATATCGTTTATCGGCGATAATTTGTAGCACAATTATCGTCCAGCAAAATTTGTTATCGTGACAGGCCTATATATATTCTTCACTGAGATTTATTTTTGCGATTTTTAAACCCAGTCTAGAGACTTGAAACAGAATCTCAAGCAAAAAAATCAATAATGATTTCAAGGCTGTCTGGTAAAATGAAAACTGGCTGAAAACCAAGTGTGAGTGCAAAATCTGAGTTCGACTTTGTGCAGTGTGTTGAATAGATTTGATAGACTCACATTTTTTTGCAATGAGGACACTTGGCTAGCGTGTTAAACCGAAGCTCCATCCACTGTGAGGAAACAGAAGAAGAAGTTACGCACATACACAAACTGACCAGCACACTACGATCACCACCTACAGGAAATGATTTTACGTGATCACTTATGATGGTTCTCATCTTGGAGTTCAATATCAAACCTTGTGGTCATATAGGGAAAAAAACGTTGGACAAAATTAGCAACAAAAATGATTCATCATGATATATTAGTCAGGACTGTAAACACATCATTTTTCATTAGGGGTTCTGGCACACCAAAACAGATCAGCGTTCATAATTTAAGGTCGTATTTACACAGGTTTGTCATGCAGCTCTTGAAATAAACCCATCGTTTTAATAGAGGCTCTCTTTTCAGCCAGATGTGCACAGAGTCACATGATCACCGGTGTAAATAAGACCTAGGATTGGACTGGAGCAGGTTAGGCTGTTGTTAATTTCTCCACCCGTGTCACCAGCTTCGACCTGTTGTTGTTGTGGTGGCAGGGAGCCATCTCTGGGAACGCCAGACATTGGCTGGGAAGAACTGGCGTCCTCACTCCCCTACAGACGCCGCAAGCAACAACGTGCACACATTAGGAGGACAATACCACTGATATGACTGCTGTTGTGATGACGCAATACCTGATCTTCTGCAACTCCTTCCTGGTAGATAAACTCCTTTAAGGTAAACATGCAGCATTTCATAAACACTAACTGAACATGCAGGGAGACAATGGCTTTCAAGTGAATGGGAATAAGCTGCGATCACACGGCAATGCAGTACAGTCTCAAAGAACCAGAAGGAAAGTATTCCTGCAGCTAATGCCAGCTTTACAAACAATATATTTGTTCAAAATCTACACTGAATAGAGTTTTTATTTGCACTAAACAAAAAACAACCAATAAGCTCTCATGTGTGCTTGGGACTAACATGAATAAAGTCTATCCTGATATACAGCACAACAAGCTTTATGAACTGAAACAAGTGTACAACTGTTCCATAATACAGCTGAAAATCCCTGTTTGCATCAATAAATATGAAAGATTATAAATCTCGGGATTATTAATATGCAAATATCAACTAACACAATCTGCATGAGCAACTCGTGAAAGAGCGGATTGCTGTTTTTTTTTCTTTCGTGGGTTTACATACTAGGAAGGTGTTGCCACAGTGACCGCAGACCACTCTCATCCCCTCAGGTTGGATTGGCAGAGCCGGCTGTGCGGGTTGCTCCTCAGGGACCACCATCACCGGGCTTAGGTTGATGATGCGTCTGCTGTGGGAGGGGAAAAAAGAGACAAGAGCTGTATACTTCACATCTGAGAAGGCACCAAATCCTCTGAATTTATATTATGACCGGTGAGATGAGGGCTGTAACCTTTATCAACAGAGCTAAATCAGCATGCTGTACATTTTGCTTTTGACGGAAAGGAAACTGGGGAGTAGAATTTCACTGCTGGCAGCCTACCAGTTTGGTCGAGGACATCCTATCCTCCTGGATGTGTCTTTACAGATGAGCAGGCAGTTACAGGGACATCTCACATATTTCTTCCCCGATGGAGGGTTCTTTATGGGCTGGAAGAAAACATATTTCTATCAGCTCACTGAAAATTAATAAACACCTGAGCACAGGCCAGATAACTCGGCAGAACCTTTCAGAGCTCATAGGGAAATAGAAGCGCAATACAAAAATCAATAGCTGGACCTTTAATCTATTAAATCTGTAGAGTCTTGGATCCTGTATCTATAGCGGCCTCCAACATGGCCGAAAATGCTGTATTGGAAATTGTGAATGTGCCATCTGTTTCACTAATTTGGTTCGGCCAATCAGCCTCCAAATTAACAAGTTTGAGGTCAATTATGATATGTAACAAAAACAAACAACATTTTACTGCTATTAGAGACTAAAATGTCAAATAAATGCTGTTTTTCTCAAATAGAAGCTATTTATTTGAATCATAGTAATGATCAATAATGGTACTAGGGCATCTCTCTGCTGTATACGAGTACATGTTGTGTCCTATTTCATGTTAAATTTGTCATTAAAATGTCTATACAGCCCCGAACTGTTCTGTTTATATCACACAAACACTTACATAGGCATATTTTAACATATATGTAGGCAGATGTTGCAGAGAAGAATGTCTGGAAAACCTCGGCTGAGTTTAGCTGCAACATTTGAGGGCCAAACAACATCCACAGTGTGCTGTTTGGTATCCATTATATTATATCATCAAACAGGTGTGTAGATGCTTTTAAGCAGCACCATCATCAGCTAACAGACATGGATTTTCCTGCCGGAGGGTTTGAGAGTACAGCCATTCATTCTGTTGCTGTCTGCGCTGACAGCTCTAATAAAGTTTTTAAACTGAGACACATTCATAGAGCTACAGTAGAACTTATCATTCGACTAGAGCTGCTCAGATTTAATGTTGTTACTCAACTTGACAGCGGGACGATTACGACTGTCATGTCATCACCGACAGTGTCCACCTCCACTCACCGTTGCTTCATTGCAGACCGTGCACTTGACCACGTGCTGATGCAGCTTCCCGTCCAGGTTGATGAGCGACTGGCAGACACGGCAGTTGATGACGGGCACACCGCCGGCGTCCGGACTGGCGATGGCTGTGTAAGGAGGAGGTAGTTCGGCTTTGAGCAGAGGAGGGTAAAGCACATGACACACAGCCAGCTGTTAATGGCATGCATGTATCAACACTTCATGAACAAACCTGGACCTGGGATTTGTGGTTGGTATCTGCAGAGACCGGCTGGCATGACAGAGGTTTGTTACTGAATCATGACTATTAATCCAGGTGGTTGATTTTGTTTTCAAAACACGAGTCATTGACTATTGATTTGGGTTTAAATGATAAATTCATGTCATCTACACATATATCTAACTATGAGCTACGAGTGTCATGTTTACATTTCTTAATGTTAGCATGTGCAACATACAAATCACATCTCCTTTCCAGGTCTGTTGCCTTTCCTGACTCCTTTTAATATTATTTTAGTTATTATAAAGTGCTTCATCTTGGACAACAAAATCAAAATCTAAACAATGTGATATCAGCATTATATATCAGCCCTGGGCACCTGCTCTCCTATTGTCAGTATCGGTATAGGAAAAACTGTTATCAGTCAATCGCTGTACTGGATCAGCATTATACTGAAAGGTGTCTCTAATGTCTTACTCCTCTCATGAAAGAACACAGCAGTACACCACAACCCACTTCAGCCTGAGTGATAAAACTGTGCTTATTTGTTCAAAACCCTATTTCTATTTTTTATTTTGAATATTTTGATTTTTTTTTTAGAAGAAATGTAATAATTAAAACGATAGAATTAAAACAATCATATTTGTAGCCCTAAATCACCAAAAACTCCTTCAGTAAAGAAAAGATGCAAACATCCTGAAGAACCGATCTACAATGCTGCTATTGTCTAACATGACTCACATCCAGATCAGTGATATCCAAGGGATAGTTAAGGTTACTCTTCGTCATTGTTTCAACCAAATGTAAAAGAGGCTCTGCTGCTCATACTGTATGCAAACCCATGACAGCCTTTGTACGACTTGGATGGCCCAACATGTGACTCTACTCTCTTTGACAGGGGGGCTGGGCAGGCACCACTCTGTATGTTAAAGACATGAACAATGGGCTCTTTTAGATACAGAAGTGATGCTGCAGAAAATCCCCTCACTGCCAGGATCGACCGTTTCAACCCTCATGATTGAGAAACACACTTATCTATGAAAAGATAAGATACTTCTGTGGATGATATTCTCAAATATGTGTCATGAATACAGGGAATTATTCATGTTAAACAATATGCAACTGTTTGTGGTTTGAAAGAAACAGGCCAATGAATAAAGCTTTCAAATCTTTTGCATGCACCACCTACCTTTACATGGACATTTTTAGACTTGTTTAGTGGGTGCATTTGTGTAATGATCAGCTAAATTAAAAATATCTCTGCAAATGAGGCAAATACATGGCTGACCGCTCTTATCAGCAAAGAAAAGCCACTGATTAGTGTTTTACAGACAATAAATAAGAGTTAAAAGCACTAAAAGAGTGTCTGCCTTTAGAGGCGTAACGATTTTTACCCGAGAAATACTCATTAAAGGAGCCGTTTTTATGACCTCTACGCTATTTATCCCCACATTGTGGGATTAGTCCACATCCATTATCTTTAATACAATATGTCCATATTTTTCCAACATTCATAACATTTACTACTGTACTGTGACTCACACTTTATGGTCTGTGAGATACTGGCACTAATCTTAGATTTAGATAACTTTAACCCTCAATAGAAATTATTTTCATAATTTATGTATTTATTTATCTATTTTCAAAATTTGCTCTTGAAAAAAAAAAGTCTGATGAGAATCAGGCAAAATGACTTGGCAGAAATACATGTTTACGTGTACAGTGGGATATCATCAAGAATCGGGCTGAGAGAACTGGTCAATCAACAGAAACCAATCTGCTTTAATCTGATCAGCTTTTAATCATCAGGGCCTTTAGCATCTCTGATCTTCGTAGCAACAACTTTCACCGATAGTTTCGCCCTATAAGAATATGTAAAACTGGGATTTGGACTGAGGTAAGAAACAGTTTAAAGATACCAGGCAAGTCTTCTGTAAAATCAACATCTCTTATTACACAGCTGTGTTTACTCGATCATGATTGGTCAATATGTAGCAACATCTTAGAGCAGCTGACTGTTATTTCTCAATAGCAGGTTGTTGCTATGAAAAACAGACCGTTGCTAGGCAAGGGGGTCCAACCAGCCCAGGAGGTTTGACTGTATCATTGCACAGAAAAAAGTCTAGTTGATTTGACATTGGTTAGTTCACATAAGGAAAGTCTCAGACTTGAGTCCAGCTCACCGTGTCGGGGTTCCAAGTGTCTAAAACAGCCCACTCACTATACGTTGTATGTTACATAATTCATACAACTATACATTTAATAACAGGTTAACATTGTATAAATGACACGATCATCTGTTGTAGACAAGTTACCAACAGAGTATAAAAACAGACTATCAGGATACATCATGAGGTCTTTGTTAACCCTGATCTCATTCTTATGGCCAACCACAACGGAGGTACCTAATCTGATAAATGACCCTCTAATCTGAGCCTGAATGAGATAATGAGAGGAGTCAAAAGGTAAACAAGCTTGGCTGTGAGATTCAGAGATGCTTCATATGTTGACACCACAGGGACAGATGGGACAACGATGGGTGTGTAGAAACATGGTCCTGAAAACATGCAAAGCAGCCAAAGAGTGGACATACGTACTGTGTGCAAAACATAGCTCTTAGAAACCCGGGGTAATCTAGAATTTAAAACAGAGAGCCCCCTCCTCTTAAATTGTAACTTTACAGTAACTGTAATAAAGAAAGGTTATTAAACTGAAGCACAGACAGCACTTTTCTCTATGATCCGGCAGGGTTGACTCTCAGGACAGGCCTGTTTCTGTGCTCTGACTCTGTTTTAATGCCCCTCCAGAACTGAATATAGCAGCTATAGGTTTACAACGTCACCGTCCTCAGAGCCGAGGAAACATGAGAGCACACCTCCACAACAGCCACCAGCAGCAACCACAACATATACAGCCTCCTGCTCAGCTGCCTTGTGCCTTCACTGACTGTATGACGATGTGGGACATGTGGTTTGTAATGAGGAATGGCAGACTGAGAGGATTGGATGGAGACACAAGCTGCCTAGGAATGTTTTCAGATATTGACTGGTGTTGTGTCCCTTTTTCCAATAATAGGTCAGTCTAACTCAGCACAGCCTATCTGTCCACAAGATTCTGTTAGAAATATGTAAACAAGACAAAAAAGTAAGTCTGACATTTGATATGAGACTTACTCATTTCTAAAAAGGCTGACACAGTGGGGTTTTAATAAAAAATGTTACCTTAAAATACTCAAATTGTGTATTTGAAGACTGGTTAGGTGTTGTGTATCTTGTGGCCAAACTGGATGTCACTGTATTTGATGCTTTCTGTATACATCCATCCGTTATCCCAACCCCTTATCCCATCCAGGGTCACCACGTAGTTGGAGCCAATTCCAGCTGTCGGTGAAAAGCAGGGTACACCCCGGACAAGCTGTCTGACCATCACAGTGCAAACATACTGCCATAGTCATTGTTAATAGACACACTCAGGAGCAGAGCTCCATGCATTAAGAGTGATCAGTTAACCTAACAAGCATGTTGATGGACTGTGAGAGGAAGCACTGAGAAGATACGCACACAGAACAGATTCAGAGGAGCCTCTTTGCAGTGAGACGACAGCACTATCCACAGTAGCTCCATGGAGCTCTGATCTTTTCTGTAAAGGTTTTACAACCAGCTCCACAGTGCTACAGTTGCTTCTGTGTTTCTAGAGCCAACTCTCCCACAGCAGATCCAACAGTGTCACCATGACTCAGATAAAAAAATCTTCGTTCTTGTAAAGTAAGACACACTTGCGTAACTTTTACATCTATGAGACAGTTTACATGTGCAATAGGATGTAAGTGCAAAACTGCACATGTACACCTAAATCAACTGCACACTACAGGGCCTATGTTGGCTGTTTCAAAGACAGAAAAACACTCCAGCCAAAAGCTTGTGTTTTTAATAATTTTTGGCTAGGGATGGGAATCGAGAACCGGTTCTTGTTGAGGACCGGTTCCAAATGGTTTAGTCCATCAACATCATTTACATTTTATCTTAACGATTCCCTTAAAAAATTCCTTTCTTCTAGGTGCCTTGAAAAATGGTTTTGCGAGTGCCGGACAGAGACGGAGAAAAAAGCATGGTGAACGGTACAAAAAGTAGGCAGAAACGATCTAAAGCGTGGCTCAATTTTACTAAGAGAGACGACAACAGCGCAACGTGCAACGTTTGTCGAGCTGTGATAACATGCAAAGGTGGAAACACCAGCAACATGCTTAAACATTTGACAACGGGCACGGCATCAAAAACATATATCTTTTTTCTGTTATCAGAGACTCAATAAAATTTTGAGTAAACAATGAAAACCTATAGTCTACCTTTCTTTTTTATTAAATCAAAGAAAGGCATTGATAAGGGAATCATTAACGAATTGAATCGATAAGCAGAATCAATAACGGCATCGATATCGATAAAATCTTAAAATTCCGATCCCTATTTTTGGCTTTTGATGGTGAATAAAAATGTACATGTTCACCAGATTTACTGTCTAAACCTGAATAATATAGCATCGCTTTGACAGATTTAATTTAACAATATGATGGAAGATGTTCTGTCTTTGGTTTAAAATGTTGACCCGATATGTTCAGAAAAGTTTTCTTTATATCCTCAAACCTGTCAGGATTATAAACACCATGAGAAGCTTGAGTTGCTGTCAATGCGCTCTGCCCTTCAAGCACAAAATCATCAGGCAGGCGATGACAAAATCAAGCACAGCTCACACCTCTAACCACTCCAAGGCAGCCAAGGTCATTCGTCTACGCCCTTCCCCACCTCCACCTAGTACTCCACACACCACACCACACTTGGATACAAGAGGGAGCACATAAACAAGAGTCATATGTTGTCCAATTATGCAGAGATTGGGGAAATCAATACAACTGTTCTTCAAAATAACCGTTTAAACCCAGTTTTTCTAAACGCAGCTTATTGTCGATCAAAGCACCATCTCTGTTTTTGTTTTCAGACAAAACAAATCAGTGTTTGACTTCGATTAATCCAAAGATTAAGTAAGTCAACTTAACACTGCACCCCAAAATCAGCAGAAATTAAGAATTAGCCGTAATTCAGACTGCTGAGAAAGAGGGCAGAGAAACTAGGCCATGAAATCTAGTAACTCTCATGTAGGATTTCTGGACTACATCCTAACAAATTGTGGGTTTACGAGTTATTACAGTCTCCACTGTTAAAGTCTTTAAGATTAATCCTGTGGGGAAATATGAATTTTCCAAGATTGCAGTTTGAGAACAACAAAATGTTCATTTTTTTCTCTCTTGTTTTCTTGATATTAGCCTCTTGTCCTGAACTGCCCTCAAAAGAGTATTATACAGTCAATGAAGCCATTCATTAAGCAGCGCAGCAACCAGGGATGTGATGAGGCAACACTATGTTTTGTTTTTTTCTGTAACAAAAGTCTGCAAATTTTCCAAACTACTAAATTTTAAGGTCAATTAAAATTTCATCACCATCCTTTGACATCTGGATGTTTCTACACAATGAATAAGAGTAAACTGTACAAGAGAAAAGTAATAAGTCATGATCCAGCTTCAACTTTCTGATCTTCTGCAACATGAATGAAGATGTTTATCTGACAGTTTTCATCGTAAAGGCAACAAGGATCTGACAGCAGACTCCACAATGAGCAGACAGAAGATTTATGAGCTGTAATAGCCTGGGTCATAGTCAGAGTCAGCCCTGCATGCATTATGGTACCATAACCTACATTCAGCTCTTTACTAAGCAAAAATGTAGACACTGTGTCAGCTGGGATTTAATCTTTGTTGATGCTCAAAAGATGGAGATTCAGGTTAGAGTTGCAGGATAAAGGTTAAATATCTGCCAATCATACAAACCAGCTCAATATCACATCTTATAAATAAATAATATCATGACGTCCAGGTGGTTTCCTGCCCTGTATGCATGAAGGGAATATCCTTTCTCATTTTCTTTTCTTTTTTTTTCATTTTACTGCTGGAACAAAAGGTTGCCTCCATCTGCAGTGGGTCATCTTCACCTCGTCAATCAACACAATCAAAGCCACATCATCCGGTGAACCCACGCAGAGCCATCACTTCCCTGCGTGTGGACCTTTATATTTTGGTGAAAGCCCCCACAACACGGCAGGCCCCGTCGAGTCGTGATGTAAGCATTTCTGCAGTAAAAACAGATCTTGCTGTTATTGTAGGCCCCTCTTCTCTAACCCACTGCTCCAGTTCTCACAGAGCAAGCTCCACCTTTTTCTCCGCTGCCGATTCACTGCCCTTGCCTTTGCTTTGCTTTGCCTTGCTGCAGTTTTATTTACGCACAAACCCGATACGCCCTGAAATGATTCAGCATGCAGGCGGCGGGGGCAGCCCTGCATGCTGAATGTGTGTTTACCTCGGGGGCTTGGATCCTGCAGGTACGGGGGAGCAGTGGGGGTCACATTCTCGGAGTTGGGGCCCGACAGCAGAGGAGATCGCTCGTCCATGCCGTCGGAGGCCATGTCGTTCGCGGTTGAGAAAGGAGGAGCGGAGGCGATGGGGAGGCTCCTGGCTGCACCGGGTCTTCTCTCGGCTTTGAGGAGCAGCAGGAGCAGCAGCCGGCGGCTGGTTGTTTGGTGCCGAGTTGCTCCGGTCCAGCAGCCCCGGTGACGGCAGCCCGGAGGGGGAGGAGCAACGTGGTAATCCCCGCCCCTCGATGATAGGACCTGGGGCATGGGCACAGCACTGTGAACATGACTATGGAGCTTATACCTACTGCATGGGTATGTACGATACTGTGTTGGAATTTTATGTAGAAGTGTCCTCTAATTCAAGTATATAGAACTGAACTGTTGTATGTTGCACATGAGTTTTAAATAAAGTTTTTACTTTAATAAATGGCTGTATTTATCTGCTTGTATTCTCAAACACCCAGTTGATTTATAAATGTTCTTATAAATGGATGGGCTCAGTCTTGAAAAAATAAAACGGAAAGTTCTACTTTTTACCACTAGATGGCAGTATAGGAGCACTGACAGTCCAGCAGGAGTTTTCCAAACTATAGTGTGTGTACCAATGGTGGAACATGAGCCTCACCTGGTGGTACCCACAGACTAGGGGTGGGCAATCATGTGCAATGGAGGGCCGAGAAGTTGCAGGTTTAATTTCCAACCCAAAACTCCCCCAGGTGATTTCACTGATTAGTCCCTGATCTCTGCTTGGAGGTAAGATAATCAGTGAAATCACCTGGTGGAGTTTTGGGTTGGAAAGAAAACCTGCAGCCTCTTGGCCCTCTATGGCACATGATTGCCCACCCCTGCCATAGACTGTATATAGAATTGACAGCATCTATCTCCTCTCTGGGTGAAGCCACTCCGAGAACAGCACACTCTGTTGATGGGCTGCAGTATAGGTCATAAATCCTGCCTCCACCAGCTAAGCTTATGGAGCTGTGGACAATCTTAAGAAATTTATTACACAGAACATAAAATTTTCTCCCCCCTGCTTGCAGTGTTGACATGTAGTTACTGTAAGACTGGTTTGTGCTCAAGTCCTCTTTTTTCTGTGCCGCTCCGATTTTAAAAGTTATAAGGGGGTTCATGTTTTCTATGATTGACACCTGATACAGCCTGTTGGCATTCAGGGATTCCTTAGCTCTCCCAGGGGATACACTGTTTGAGCCGAGCGTCATCACAGCGACTCTCGGCGACTGCGCGCCTGAATGCGCGCATCCCTACTGCGCAGCGCTGTTTTCAGGAAATGAAGAAAAAATCCCGGAAATACTGAGAGCTTTTTGGCTTCAAATCTGTATACAGGCAGGAGGCGGAACCAAGTTGTCCATAGTATATGAAGTCTATGGGTGGTGCCCATAGACTGCATATAGAATGGACACCGTCTGCCTCTTTGCTCACCATCATCACCTCTCAAGACTTCTGCAGAGAGAAACATGTACATTACATACCATATAAAGTAACTTTGAAAACTTTCAGGGTCAGAGCTCCTCAAACTTCAGACATTTTCAGCAGTGCATGTTTGAAAGAGTATCTACAGTTCCAGTTGTTGTTTCTCTTACATCTGATTGGTTAATGCACAGTCACTCTCGAGGCAGCTGTTGGTCCGAGTTATCTTTCATTCCGCTTCCTCACATTCATGGACTCAGTCAACACCCATGAGTAAACTCCTTCTCTTTATTCATCACAGTGTCTCCATTGTCTACAATGCCACTACGAGAACAGCACCCTCTGTTGACTGGCTGCAGTATAGGTCATAAATCCCACCTCCACCAGCAAAGCTTATGGAGCTGTCCAACAAAAAAAAAAACTTAGAAAGTACAAATCAGTCCTGATCAAGGTCCTGGTCAAGCACTGGGGTCTTGCAGGAATCTGAAAGTTGGCAGTTTAAAATCATTGAGTCATATTTAATGATTCAAATAAACAGTAACTATCACCTGCCAAACTACAGTGTAATTATGCCAACAATAGGATTTATGCAATTGCTGAGTCAACAACAAGCTTTTCGTCTCCTGTGTGAGACAGTTAATCCCGCCTTCTACACCTAAACCCTCCAGTTTTGTGAAAATAGTCTGAGGGATCTGGAACCAACATCTGGCTTTCTAAACCAGCTGCAGACCAGAGCCATGTGAGGACAGGACTACAGAGTAATCTGATACCGTTTGAACAGTTCCACCCTTTTTTAGAGTTACATCATTCATGTTTTACAGATTTTTCTTGAAATCCTCTTCTCAGATTTCAATTTAGGGGTGTGCTCCTCTTGACCAGTCTTTGCCCTTCACACCCGCCATGTTTTTGCCAAAACATGACTCTCATTCCTCGTTGGTTATGTCAGCGTGTGAGCATGAGGCTGTATCTGGACAGTCACTGACCCGCAAAATAAACCTAAATGGTGTGTCTTAATTCCCAAATTCCTATCATTTGGAACAAAACAGGCTTATGCAGGTTTAAAACACTTTAGGTCTGATAAAAGCAGGATGATTGTTGTTCATGAATTCATATCTGATCTGGAAACAGACTGTTTTAAAACACAGGTTTGAGCTGCACAGTGTTAGGCACAATTGGAGAGTGAAAATGGTGCAAATTCAAGCCTGACTGGTTCAGTTTAGGACATAGTAAAATGGCTCATAAATACCAGAAGTACCTCCAATGCTAATAACAGACTCACTTAGTCTGGTCCTTGACTTCAGAGCTACAACAAGCTGTGAATTCAAACTGCTATCATGTCCAAAAAATGATTCAATTCTGGGATTAAATCACGCTCTAAAACATGTGCATGTGCGTGTTTCCACATGTAAGTCAGGAGGTACTGTATTTCCAGTCAGACTAACAAGCTCATTTTACCTCACTCGGCGTAAAGGTTTCCTTAATTCCATCACAGACTCGGATGGAAAGTGTTTTCTCCTGGCTCTGCTGTTACAGGCCCAGAAAATAGTGACTCATATCGTTTGCTAGAGGCTGCAGTCATTTTTTCCGACGACTTCAGGCAGCAGAGGAGAGCCGCAGCCCTCACACATACACACCGCTTCTGCTTCTTCTGCTTCTTCTCTGCTGGACTCTTCTTTGCATGGTAAGACCCACTACACACATGAAGTTAAAGTTAAAAAGTTACATAACAGAGGAAAGATATTTGCATGTTTTAAATCCACTGTGTTGAGTTTGAGTGTTGGTTTGGTTCTGCTGGCATTTGTTAACTTTTGAACTTTCAACAGCTGGAAAAATACTCAGCCAAGGGAGTAGACATAACATCCAGAGTGTAAATAGGAAATAACTTTATGGTGCAGAGCGTAAAAGAAATATTTACTGTTCTTCATGCAAAATTAATGCCTTAGAAGGAGATTTTAAAAAATGTGGCAGCATTGAGTCTGATTTCTGTGGAAGCTCAGAGCTGACAACCATCCATACATCGTTTTCCTTCAATTGCAGTGATGTTCATTTTTTTATTGGAGATATATTTTTCCCTGATTCAATATATAATGACTCAGTCCAGTATATGCAAACTCAAATTTAAACATTTTGTTTAGATCTAGTGCCTTCAGTAGAAAAAGTAAATAAAAGCACCAGCTCATATTTGATCATTTATGGTAAGTTGAAACAACAGGAGTTTATTCTTCGTCACAGGCAGATGGGGTAAATACAATGTACGAATGCGTGTCCACCTCAGGCTTCCACACAATACTGTAAAACCAACCTTTGTGCTGTTAAGACGAATAATACATCTAATGTGAGGGTAAATCAAACTAAACACCAATAAAAGTCTTTAAGCGAAATAACATCAAGTTATCTGGACAGTGAACATGTCGACATGCACAACACACTGTTTCAAGTGTTTTCACATATTTCACTGGTTATGTCATGGCTGCTAACTGAAATAAAAAGGGTCCAGTTGTGCTCTGTTATGAAAGCTCGGTACTCTGTGGTCTTACTCGTAGATAAAGGGAACCTGTTACGTGAATAAAACAAAAGACGAGTTACAGGAAAAGAGCAGAGTGGAAAAAATGTGAAGTAGATAAAGTTTGTCATGATGCCAACAAATGACCTTTCCAGCTGGGCCTGTGTTTGTTTGTGTGTGTGTGTGTGTGTGTGTGTGTGTGTGTGTGTGTGTGTGTGTGTGTGTGTGTGTGTGTGTGTGTGTGTGTGTGTGTGTGTGTGTGTGTGTGTGTGTTCCATAAGTCTAACAGAGCCTCATACTTCATGTGTCAGACAGTTGGAGATGCTTCAGGGGGCAGTAAGCGGGGCCATGCTCTGCCTCCTGATGGTGGTCTCCTTCCCAGCAGAGGGAGCAAGTGCTGCTACGGTGCCTCCTCCTTCTCTTCCCCCTGAACAGGAATCTGGGGAGCCGGTTCTTGAGGACTGGGAAGGGTGGGGTTCTGGATCATCTCTTCTGCACCTGCTTCACAGCTTTCCTGCTGACAGCCCCTTCGTAACAGAAACCCCAGAAAATCCAGTCAACTGCTCCCAGCGCTTCTGGCTTCCGCCGTCCTCTGCCATCTGCTGGGAAAACATTGCTGGGCCAGAGGAGTTTGCCAGGTCCCGTCTGCTGGTTCTCCAGAACAGGGCCGCTCTGCAGGCCGTGTCCACCTCCAGTGGGGTGGAGGACAGTGGGATCTCATATGAACACCAAGCCAGAGAGGAGGTCCAGGGGATCCAGTCAGACTACATGAATGCGGTGGAAACCATGCAGACCATGGAGAAGGTGTTCGTCTCTCTTGAGGAGAAGAGGAAGGAGGGGAAGGAGCAAGGGGTCTTCACCAGGTGAGAAATAAAAACCCATAGACTATTGATTGGTAAATGCTGATAGATTTCAGAGGGAAACTTGTTGTTCCACAGGAAATAGACTGCACCCACTGGGTAGTGTTATGGTTAGAAGTCTACAAAAGAGTATTTCCTAAAACTCAGCGTTACCTGGGAGGACTCAGTGAATAGAATGAAAGTGTAAAGACTCACATTATGCAGAGTCTGAAACTGAACAACAAGGTTGGAAAGTTCAGCTTTTGGGTTCATGGCACAATCCACAATATACTGGGAAGATTGGGGATTTATGGACAGAGTCTGAAAAAGTTGGTGATGAAGATGTTTCAATCAAGTTGTGAAAACTAGACAGTCTACTTGAATGAGGAGAAACAATGCCATGTTCGATTGAGGCAACTCATAACAGGACACTGGAGCTAACAGTTGAGCTTCATGGTGTCATGGGCCTAAGGTGCCCATTTGATATCCTCTGGTCTTAAGAAATGACGTGTCAATAACTGCAGGGCTCCTGAGTGTCCACTTGAGGCTGACAAAAGGAGCACTGGAAACCACTTTTTCACACTGAGCCAAAAAAGAAGTCAGTTTTTGGAGCAAAAATCAACTGGTTTACAGCCTGATTAAGAAAATGGCTTTGGTCAGATCAACTCAGGGTTCCCACAGCACTCATTGTACAGGAGTGATTTTTTTTTGCAATACATTCATTTCAAGGTTACTCAGGATACAAGATAAGCAAATCAGAGACAGACACACTGTAGTTATTTGCGAGGAGGCTGAAGTAGCGCTTCTGGTAGGTTGACCTAACCCTCGACCCCTTCCCATCTCATCTCATTTTACTCCTCTCTCTTTTCTGTGTTCACAGCTCTAGCCATGATATTTTGCCTTCATGGGGGTCTAAAGGGTCCATAAAATAAACTCAAACAAGTGTTGTCAGTCAAAAGCAAGACTTCTATTAACAAGAGAAACACAAAGTTATCTGCAATGATCACTGAATGCAAGGAGGCTGCCAAAGAGCATGTGATCCAAAAGAAAGTCACTTAGAAAAAATATGTGTGCATAATCAAATGAAAGCAGTTATGTAACCTAATCCACTTGAGTTACTATTATATTAAATCTTAAAACTTCCTTACCTTCAGCCAAAAGAAACTTTCACAACTATCTGTCCTCCTCTCTCTTCAGATCCTCAGTTGTCTTGACTGTATCTCTATGTCTGAATTGCGTTTACATAGACCAAAAAAGTCAAAAATACAATCACAAGCTCCGCAGAGATAGATTAGCTGTGTCTTTGGTAAACACTGATCCATGCCAGCTGTGGGATTGTTCTTCAATAAGTCTAAGTAAGGCAGGCAGGATTTCTGGATCAGTGTTATTTGTTTTACCCAAACACAACACTGATTCAAAGCCAGAGATAGAAAAATGATCAAAACAAACAGCTGACTCACTCCAAGTGTTTCCCAGCACTCATCTGTACAGACATCTGGCCAAGATGCAGCTCTGCTATAAAAACCCTTTTAGAGAATGAATGAAAATTAGTGCTGTCTCCCTGTTGGATGTGATGGAGCACACTACAGCTCTCAGAATAAACTTGTGCAAAGTAGTGTGGAGGTGTAGTACAAAAGTCCAATGTTTTATTTGTCATCTCCTACAGTTTGAAGATGAATCTGGTCGACACGGGGACTGCCATCGATAACAGAGAGCACATGGTAAACGTTCTGGAGGATCACTTTTCAACTTTGGAGACGACTCTGCTGAACATGCAGCTTCGACTCAACAAACTCGTCGGACAGTAACAGAGACAAGGACCTGTTGCCCTTTTCCCCCCTCTTTGAACTGTATTTATATATTGCATGCATGCTCAGGATTACTCTACTCTGTAGATTTGCACTACATTTTATTAATACACTGCCCAATAATATATGTAACCTAGAATAAGTAGAGATGAATAAACGTCACATTACAGGAGATTTTCATAAACCTGCATGTCTGTTAAAAATGGTCATTTCCCTTTGTGTGGACAGGGTGTACATGGTGGTCTGGTAGTCACTCTCACGTAGTTTGTACCTACAATATTAGTTTGGCTATAATATAACTTTTTCTATGACTGTGCTTTGAAATCAGAGTGGTGCAACAAGAATGAGACAGTACGAATCTTTATTTTAATATCAAATCTAAACGATTCGTTTGTACATTTATGATGAAGTCTTTGTAAGGTGGTCAGCTGTTATTTACACTTTACATAGTCACATCGGTTTAGCTTCGAGTCCTCAACTGAAAGACAGCATGTTCAGTTGCCTTTTTGTGTCGATGAAATAAAACATGAGGTATTTATACTTCAGAGCAGACCAAAAAACTTTCAAGTAAACTACTCACAACTGAAACATGACAGTATTTTTTAAAAACAAGTTCAACGAAGATTCAGTAACGTCACATATTTCGCTTGTAAGTTTGCCAGTGTCTGTCTTAAAATGATAACCTATTCATATTTTAAAGGTCGATAAAAATCAGGACCCAAGACATCTTTGCTGCATCTTTGAGGAATGGATTCAGAACATGTCTTGGTCAGCTAAATGGACTAAACTCAGAGTGATCTGCAAGCTATTTGGAAAACTTTAACACCTGATTGTTAAAAGCATGACATTTACAGGAGATTGCTGCCAGAAAACTTTACAGTCTAGGAATATAGGTGCAGTTACATCACAGAATATCTAATGCTACTGATAAAGGTTGCATTATTCGCTACATCAGTGCTTCAGCACCTGCTGAGGTACATCTTTAAGAGGCAATCAATCCTGTACTAAACATAACGGGGGGTTTGTGTTATGATTCATCTAAAGCTGCTTTGTTTACCACGTTATTTCAAATTCAGATTTACAGAAATGTTCTAAGCAATTTGGTTCATCTTCTTTGTCCTTATGAATTCACACTTCACTTCTTCCTTCCCCTGTGAATACTCTATCTGAACTCTGATGATCTACTTGAAGGAAAAAAAGGGGTCTCAGTGTTTCTCCTCTGCCAGCAGTCACTTTTCTCTCTATGAATGCTGTAAACATTTGACAACATCCGTCCTGATGAGGAATGCAGCTGGATTTCTCTTCAATAGTCTGCATCTTCATCTTGCATTTGCTCCAGTGACTTGAGATAATCACTAGCCAGTATCTTCTTTGGCAAGATGTCTGTCAGTTTAAAAGAAAACAGGTTAAACCTTACACCTTTTATTCCCTTTAGTGTAACACATGCAGCTCTTGACCTGATTTCATTTAACTCACATATTATGGATGCAGAAACACACATACTTATTGTTCTGAGGTTTTTAAAGTGAAAATGAATTATTAGAAACCATCAACTATTGATGCACCTATACCTGGGCTGAGTGTATCAGCTGATATCCGATATGATCCAATACTACTTTTGAATGAATAAACTGTATACCTTGCCCTGTGAGTGAAGGCATTAGGCTTGACATTAGCCTTGTCATAAAAAAGGTAACACAAGAATAAATTTACTTAATATTATTTATTAAAAATTATCGAATTGCACATTAGCACACAGCAAAACGAAATAAGACTTCCGTGTATTAAAAGGAAAAAAGACACTGGATCGGCGTCATTCATCCGATATCCGATCCAGTTGATTTGTTAATATCGGAGCCGATATCCGATCCAAATATCAGCTCGGTGCATCCCTACCCTCAACATCAACAATACTTCAAATAAAAACATTTTATTTAGCATGCAGTAAAACTGTAAACACATGTAGTTGAATAGCTTTGAGTTTAATGAAAATCTCACCTGTAAGAAAGTGGAAAGTCTCCGTCTCCTCCGCCGTGTGAGCCAGGTCGCTGTATGACAGACTGTTCGTCTCTTTCCCGGAGCCTTTGTTGAATGAGGACAGCGCCAGGTGCTGGACAAACAGCTCCTACAACAACACAAGAGTAGAAACTGAAGATGAGCTTTTGATAAAACCAAGGCAGACATAGCTTGTGTATTATTATCCCTGTTAGCGTTTGTAGCAGAGTGTTAGCATTGAACTGCAGCCTGACTCACTGTCGCCTTGGTGGTGAGAAACAAAGCGTCCTGGTTGATGCTTGAGACATCCGGAGAGCTCTTCATTATCAACCTCACTCTGGAAATAGGGAGGGAGATGTTCTTCTTGTTGCTTGACGACTGCTCGTCTTTGTCGGAAGTATTTTGAGACATCTTCATGAGGACACGGCGACAGACGAGCGGAACTTCAAGTATTGTTTTGAACTGTGACGCACGGTTTTCTTCTTTTCTCACGTTCAGTGTTTACCCGCCGATATACCGGATTATCGACCCCTGCTGGAGTGGGGGTGTTATAGTGGGAAAGACTCCTAAATTACCACCATAACCAATTGTGGGCTACTAAGATTACTTATTCCAAGCCATTCCAATTCCCTTTAAAACACTGACTCAACAACTGCTGATGCATTCAGATATTTGAGTGGAAATGCTGATTAAGCACCACTACAAGTACTACTGATATCACTTTAACTTGTATCTTCACCTCTACCTCCACTACTCTTGCTTCTCTTAATATATTTTTTACTGCTCCTCTAACTTTTATTGCCACTGTTACTTCTACCACGAGCTTTACTACTTTGACTTCTACTTCTTCTATTCTAAAACTACTTCTACTGCTTACATGACTACTAATATCACTACTACAACTACCTATTATCATAATACTTCTAGTACTACAACTTAAACGTATGCCACTTCTCTATTTTCTTTGTTTTAAGGTAATTTTTTCCTTATCCATTTTTTTTTTTTTTGCAATATTAGACCGTTTTTCAGCCTTATTCAGCATGAATGCAATCTTAATTTATTAAGCACTTTCATACTATTTGTACTTTTACTCTGAGTTTTGGTTAACCAGATGTCTTTTATACTGTTGAAATTTGGCCAACGAGCTAGATAAAGTTTCAAGACTCTCATCGTCAGAAAAAAAAATCTTTATAATTTATCTGACTAGTGTTTTTGTCCGGTGTGGCTGCTGCCTCTGTCCAGTGGGGGCGCTAGACTATCAAGAAAACAGCACACCGTAGAAGAAGAACCGTTACTAACAGAGTAATGGCGGTATAGACACTGGGTTGGCAAGGAACGATAGGAACAATGTAGCTTTATGATGCTTTTGTGGTAATTAAGGGTTTATTTAGTTTTAGATCGGAGTCTAAGGTCTGTTTGTGTTTGAAAATAAATATCCCCTTGTATTCGTGTCTGATATTCCAGTAAATCAGTGTGTTATCAGTCAGCTGCAGCTGAAGGAGCAAACATCGTTTCATTGTTGGAAACTGAAACACTTTCTGTCGTTTTCTGGACATTAACGATGCCGCTGGGATTGAAGCCGTGCTGTGCTGTCTGCAAGACGAACTCTTCGTCTATGTGGAAAAAGGGAAACCAGGGCGAAATCCTCTGCAACAACTGTACAGGAAAGACCAGCAGCGGGGGAGCTTCGGGACCCTCAATGTCCTCCAACACTCAGCCCAGCAACGGAGGGGGGAAGCAGGTCGGTGAAATCACAGTTTTATCTATAATGCTTCAAAGTTATTTAAAGTGACTATGACACTGAGGTTCTCAGGTTCAGTTTAATCAGCTGTTTTAATGACTGATCAAATCTTGAGTTTTGGCCCTTGATAAACATAAAACAAAACGGAAACAGCTCAGTGGATCATAGTGTATTGTTTGATATAGGGGAGAGTGGGGTAAGTTGAGTCAAAGGGTAAGTTGAGCCACCCCCTGTTGCTTGGAAATGGTCAAAGAAATTACTCATGTGACTAAATGGTGACCTGGGGCTGCTATGACTGTTTAATGTTGTTGTCTTGGCCTTTTAATTTGTATGTACATTTTTATTTTTGTCTATGTGAATCACTTTGTGACTCTTTTGTCTGTGAAAAGTGCTATACGAATAAAGTTTACTGACTTACTTACAAATATTTAGGAGATCAATTCATGGAGTCTGTGAAGGTTAGAAGCACATCAGTGAAGGGGTTGGACATTTATTTACAAAAAGAAAAAAACATTTTCCACTCTTGAAAGTGAATTTAGTCTGTCATAAGTTTTATTAGAATTGTGTTCAGTCCTGCATGTTTTGGATGTTTCCCTGCTCCAACACACCTGATTCAAATGATTAGCTCGTTATTAAGCCATTACAGAGCTTGATAACGAGCTGATCATTTGAATCAGGTGTGTTGGAGCAGGGAAACATCCAAAATATGCAGGACAGTGGGCCTCGAGGACTGGACTTGAGAACCACTGACATAGGTGGCCACTTTTTTTGGCATGCTATACTATCAAGGCAGTTATGTTTACACTCATTCTGTTGGTTTGCAGGGATGCACGACATCTTGAAATATATGCAGATACACTAGTCAGAGATAAAACTATGACTGCCTTGATGTAGTGATCCGAAATATGAAAAATGGTTCATCTTACCCCACTCTCCCCTCTGCTACCCTCTTTCTCAGTCTAAGCAGGAGATCCACAGGAGGTCAGCACGTCTGAGAAGCACCAAATACAAAGCTCCTGCATCTGAGAAGAAAGTGTCCACAAAAGGAAAAGGAAGGAGACACATTTTCAAGCTCAAAAATGTAAGTTACAGATGTATTTGATTGGGAACTTGACATTTCTGAGCTTTGAATGTCTGTTTTTGACTCCTGATTGTGTCGTATCTCTTTTCTCAGCCAATCAAAGCTCCAGAATCGGTTGCGACAATCATCACGTCAGAGTCAGTTTTCTATAAGGTATGGTGCCAAACTTGACAAACTTCATCTAAATACACTTCAATGACAGCATTGTTGTTTCAGCCCATCATCCTGAGATATATGTGAGAGAAACAGCCAGTGTCTTATTCTTATTCTCAGGGCGTGTACTACCAGACCGGAGATGTGATCAAGGTAACAGATGAGGAGGACAGGAAGCCGTATTATGCTCAGATTCGGGGCTTTGTGCAGGATCAGTACTGTGAAAAAAGTGCTGCTCTGACCTGGCTAATCCCCACCCAGGCCAGCCCAAAGGACCTGTTTGATCCAGGGACGTACATTGTCGGTGAGCAGATGAGATGCTACATTTTCAAACAACTTGTACACCATTTATGGGACAGCCTAATAACTGTTTGTTGTGTTTAGGTCCAGAGGAAGATCTGCCCAGAAAAATGGAATACCTTGAGTTTGTGTGCCATGCTCCCTCTGAATATTTCAAGTCCCGGAGTTCTCCGTTCCCTACCATCCCCATACGCCCAGAGAAGGGCTACATCTGGACCCACATAGGACCCTCTTCAGCTGTTTCTGTCAAAGATTCTGCCAGCAGCAGCAGTAGTTAACATAATGTGCCATGGACTGAGCCTGTTGCTATTAAACAGACATTTGTATATTTATGTAATATATTAAAAATGAAGACATAGGAAATTGTGTAACTACGAAGAAATCTTTACACAGCTGCAACATTGATACTCACTTTTGTATTTAGTAATAAACAAGAATTCTGTTTATTACCATCCCTTCTGTCAGTGATTATTGAAAAAGTTTAGCAGTAGTGTGTTCATGATGAGTTTGTGGGCCATGCCTTTTGGAAGTTACATGTAGCAGTATTAGTGTTAATTTCATCCTTTGTGAAAGTGACTTGATGGTGTTTCCAGTTTTTAAGTCTCACAGGGAAGTTGCATTGAGGGTTTCCTTTTTTATTTTTCACAAACAAGTTAAATCTAACTTGTTATCTACTATTTACACAAGAGTTATAAGGTCTGATGGCTGATGGTACAAAAGATCCTCTGAATCTTTCTGTCCTGCAGCGAAGAGAGAGGAGCTGTCCACCACCATTCGTCCTTTGGTCCATCAAGGTGTTGTGAAGTGGGTGATCCGTGTTCTTTAGAATAGTCTCCACCTTCCTCAGTGTAGATCTCCTATCTAGAGATCTATTTGAAGTTTATGCAAACCAATATTCCTACTGATGCCCTTTCATCATTTGCAAAAGCAAACAAGTCCATTTGTGACAACAGTGATGATTTCTAAATTGTAATTTTTTCATGCCTAAAACTTGTGTTGGAGGGTAGGTGTCAAACAAGCAGCTAAAGAAAGTTTCACTTACAAAATATTTACAATACATGATAAATCTGACTGTTTAGAGTCAGCCTGAAGATGTTTTTTTGTTGTCAAAAGACACTACTTAAGTATATGTAAAAAAAAAAAGGTAAGCAAAGATCGTTTTGTCCACAAGGGGTGCTAACATTGACAATCAAAAACTTCTTGTAAGAGCTTTAATAGGAAAAAAAGAAAATGAAGTTCAAATTAAGTGTTGAAATCATACCTACACAACTCTCCAGTGCTCACAATTCAACTGACACAATGCTCTAATCAGTAACATAATATAGACTGCACATACATTTGGTCGTGATATGTCTCTGAAATGGACGCTCGAGATTAAAAATATGTATAGTGGAACTTCGGAAGAGGAAAATTTAGAAATAAAAACATCAAATGTATACTTTTACCCTGGTTGTTAGTGACTTGTTTCTAGGATATCAAGAAAGTACGACGTTTCATCGAACACGGAAAACCTCAGCAGGTCCTCCTCTTGCTCCACTTCTTCACTCTCTGATGAACATCTCGGTCAATATTTGAAGCCCCGTCTGCTCTCCTCTGGCTGCGGTGGACCTCTTGACTTCTTCCCTTGACTCTTCATGCTCTTGTTGGGAAACTTGAGTTGTTTTCCCTTCCATCATATATATTAAAAATCGTGGTACTTTTATGAACTTATTGAGTGGACAGGAGTATGGGCAAATTTCAGTCGAAATTTGGTGAGATTTGGAAACGCGAATTATTTTTTCCACATTAAAAATCGGTTGCTTTGTGTCTCTTTCGGCTAATATGTGCTCTTTCTACATATTTTTCAGCCCCAAAGCGAAGGCAGAACCCTGAAGGTAAGTTAAGTTTTATGAAAAACGATACAGATGATTTTAAGTCGCTTTAACTCTTTTACCTGTGAGTGTTCAAGTTTACATTGTTATCATGTTTTACAGGTGATAGTTTGACATCCAATGTGCTGAACTGTCAACGAAAGCTGGAACAAATCCACATCTACAAACTGTCAGAGGTACTGAAATAGTTTTTTTATTTATTCATTTAAGTATGCATTTATTTTGATTTTTGTATTTATTCTCCAAAGTTGGTAAAGTAGCATACAGCCTGTTCATCCTCTGCTTACACAACAGATCCCATGATTTTGAATCCTTGGTTTAGCCTGTAACACACTACAGTGGTATAAAGATAATATAATGTGAGATGAGAGTGAAAATAAATCAGCAACTTCAGTCAGGTTTGTGACAATGGAAGTCAAATTTACCCACTAAGATCATTTTATTTCAATAATAATATGTCAGAAATTAAGAAAAGAAAGATTTGGGTTTGTCTGTTTGATAGTTCACTTCATTCACTTTCAGACTTTGGTGAGAATGCCACATATACAAACACTTGTAAAAAAATGATTTGAAAATACTGAGATGAGTTTTAAAAGCTTTGAATACAAATTTATTTCAAAAGCAGGGTTTTCCTCTAGAATTTTCCCTTATTAGTAACAAAGCTGTGTAAAAAGTCTGTCTTATTGCAATCCTCTCAAGCTGTTTTTGAGATGAACAGCCTCTGCTTCATTGCAGTCAGGAGACATAAAAGGTGTTTGAAGGCAGCAGCAGTATGTTTTTTCTTCCGCCCTTCCTCCTCCAGCTCTATAAAGAGAAATCCAAGCCTGTGAAGTTCAACACCGCCTCCCACTCAAAACAGCAAGGTCTTTATATCCAAGTTCACCAGGAAAAAGTGGCTCTACATCTGGAACTGCTTTTCCTTTCCAGACTGAGGGTGGGAGAGGGGGGAAAAGATGTGGGGAGGAGGTATTTGGAGCTGGAGGTGGATGGGTGTGTGACTGACTGTGTAAACGGCATCACATGCAGACTGTTTTAATGATGCGGTCACACTTTAGGGCTCAGACACTATCCTTAAGAAAAAAATTGCTCATTTGGTAATGCCAACAAAACACACTGATAAGATCGAGATATTAAAACTAAAGCATGTCACAGTTGTTGGATGTGCGTCCAAAGATCACAGGATTTGCTTGTAGGAACAGAAAATTCATTTCCACCCGTGAAATGTGCTTCATAGCAGACAGCCTTTTCACTCTTAGTCAGCTTGTTTGATCTTTTGGGTGAAAAATGAAGTATAAATTGATATCGTGCTGTGTGGATGTTCTGGAAAGTTGCTCTATTTGGAAAATGATTTTTACTTAACCAAGGTGTGAAAGAATTTTGTGCCCGCTAAAGTCCTCCTGTTATTAGATTTTCCAGCTTCATATAGTTCAATCCTCCATGACATCACTGCTGTGAACTGCAAGTAATTAGGGGTCTTATTATGTGACACAGCTTGAAAGGGATTTATTCTTTTCATTTCATTCAAGTCTCTGTTTTTCTCTCTTACGTTTATGTATATACAATTTTTTTTTTCTGCAGAACTTGTACGTAGAAGTGAAGGAAAACAAGTCTGGCAGTAGCAGCAACCTCAAAGGTGAGTTGTGTGCATCACATCAACCTTTGCACTGCACTGTTAGCAGCTAAATTTTTACTGTGTACTGTATTAGTGCGTTTAAGGTCAGATGCATAGACTTTTATCGGTGATTCCTTCAGCATTTGTAGAAAAAAAAACAGAGAAATTTAACACCTTGTTTTGTTTTTACATGGAAAAGCTTTAGTCTTAAGATGTAGTTAATTCAGTTCAGGTTTTTGTCTCCTCTGCTCCAGAACATATGTAGAAACAGAGGAATAATAATTGTCATTTAAGAAACAACAGCAGGTTTACTCATTGTTACTGTGATTGTGCTGTTTTAAAGTGTCTCTCCCACGGAATAAAATGCCTAAAGAAAGTCCCAACATCCACCCCCATGTTAAAAACCAGGCAAAGAAAAGGAGCAGCCATGTTGGTAATGTGAGTATATCCTCTATTTTTCTGACAAATTTACCTTCAAACTTCATTAAACAATAGTTTTAGAGCTCTCTGAAAATCTTGAAGTACCAGTGTGTCTAAATAATTGTAGTTTTGATAATCCTGAGATATGTCTGTGGTTTTACTGTTAACGTCAACACTGACTCTCCGCAAATGACTGTACGCTTTAATTACACCCAATAAACTGCAGTTAAATGTTTAATGATGGAATAAATGCTCATGTTGCTAACATTTTAAACACGTACAGGTCACAGAGCCAAATGAGGATGCTCAGCAGGAATGGGTTTTCATACTCTACAACTCTCAAAGCGAAAGGGTTGGTTTCCTCCAGCATATTGTTTAACTTACCGTAAGCTGTTTACGTGCACAGTTTGTTTACTGTTGTGCATATGATCTCTAGGATAAGTCCAGCCTTAAACACTCCATAAATGAGGTTTTAGAGGCTTCGGTCAAGCAGCCCAACAGTGCAACCTTCCCCATGAGGATAAAGCTGGTTGTGTTGCCATCATCTCACCCAGAGAAGACCCCACAGACAGGTAAGAAGTTTTTGTTTTCCACCTGAAAACACTAAAGAGTCTTATTGTGCAAAAATCTCTGAATGACTAGAACAGAGGTGCTACTTTTTTAGTAAAAACAGCACCAGAGAAGGAGGTGAATATATCTCAGGAGGCTCCAGTCAGAGGACGTCAATGTGTGGATGAAAACAGGGAGCGCAGGAACCACTACATGGATCTGGCTGGCATTGAGAACTACTCCTCCAAATTTGAAGATAAAGGTAGTGAAAATTCTCTGTATTGTTCTGGCTAATGTAAAGCACTTTCTTGCAAGAGCTTCAAAGTAGATTTATAAAAAGGTATTTTACCCCCTTCTTTCCAGGGTCTCCCTCTGTAAAGCATAGACACTCTGCTCTTCAGCACCACCCTGCAGTGATCAGAGAGAACTGCACCCCCTCCGACTCCATCACCGGCTGCTCCAACCCATGTTCCCCAAAAAACAAAACCACACCTGTTGTTAAAGACAAAAATGGAGGAGAGAGAAAGCTCCACAAATTACACAGCAAACATCCTGCTTCACGCTGCAGTCATGACTTACACTCTCAGCCTGCAGTACAGTACACTCACAACAAGCGGATCCGATCAGGGGTGCCGGATGCTGCCTACATCCCGTACTCCTCACGTGGAGCTCTGACTTCTCCATCTAAGAGACATGAGCACCATCACCAGCATGAGCACCACCATCATCATCACCACCATCACTACCACCCTTCATAGAGCCACTCAAACACAAAGGAGACAGGTAACATTTTCTCCGTAGAAATGATATACGTGTACTTTTGAAAGTAAAGTATGAGTCAGTAAGCTCTTAAATAATCTGTTTGGCATCATGAGACACAACTATAACATGCAAACAAAAGAATAACTTATGACTGGGTGCTGTTTTTTACAACCATGAGAATGGATTCTTCTCAGAAAAACATAGATGAGGACTTAAAAAACAAAATGCTGTATAGGACACTATGATCCATCATGATATGATACATAACTGTATCATATGCTATGATATGATGCACTACAATATAAAAGGTACAACATGATAAGCACCCTCAGTGTATCATTTTACATGATACACTGTGATATGATAATATGCTATGATATGATACACTATGATATTATGTCACAATATTACACACCACAATTATATTACACAATGCTACATTATGTGTTCTGTCATATTACCATACATTCTGTTATGTTGCTTTTTGTTACATTTGATAACTGTATATAATTTTACATGTTGCAGTGCTCAACATTTTGTTACAGTCCCAAATAATCAAATGTGATATCATACAATGATATCCAATCCAATCCAATCCACTTTATTTATATTGCACATTTTAAAAAACATTCAAGTTTACCAAAGTGCTGCACAATAAAATTAAAGAAACAAACACTACAGAAAACATCAAGATGAAATAAATAAAAGCAGGTAAAAAACATTTAAAATGAAATGAAATAAAAACACAAGATCATAAAAGAAATAAAAGTGATAAAAGGACTATAAAAAGACATAAAAGGAGAGAGATCACACAACCTTCATGCTAAAAGCCTAGGAATAAAAATGAGTTTTAAGACGCGATTTAAAAGTAGAAAGAGTGGGGGATGTTTTAATCTCGAGTGGCAATTCATTCCACAATGATATGATATAGTATGGCAGTATATGACATAATAGATTATGATAAATGAGGGGTGATGACACCTTTACGTCTTTAAAGGAGATTTTTATTTAAATGTACACATTGCAAAGAGGTGCAGAACTACATTTTACCCTTGGAACATTAACACTAATCACTATTAACATACGCATATTAACAACCTCTTTTCTATTTCTTTCACTGCTGTAATGTAGAAGCCAACTTTAGTTTAAGAATTATTTGAAATACACAAGGCATAGCCTCAGAGGGAAGACTAAGGTTTGGATTGGGGTGATTGAGTTCTCGAGGTGCACCAACTTTTGAACCAGGAGAAGAGCAGTATAGAAGAAGAGGAGATCACCACGTCTCCTGTAAAATTAGCCACACTCCACCATAGTGTTGCAGCCATGTGACATGTTGTAATTTTAGAGTAGATGCAGAGGCAGGTTTAGGGAAAAGCTGATACACCGCATGTATACAGTCATAATCCCTGACCTGTCTCTCCACTGTACATTTCATGTTGTGTACATTTCAGAGGGTTTAATTGTCCTCGTATTGTTGTTCTATTTCTGCTCTCACTTTGTTGCTTTCTTTTGTCTCCGCTGCACTGTTGTATTATGTAGGCGTCACAAAGAGGTGTGAATAGTGACCATTTTCCCCATGGCATTCAAATGTTGTTCCTACTTATCTTGCTGGCAAAAGTTGCAAATAGACTGTCCCTGCCGAAGGACATGAGACAGCTGTTTCTATAAATAGTCTCCAGCCTGTTACCTACCATGAGACCCCCGTCCCCTGCTCTTGCCTCACTACTGGAAGTCTGGTCATCAACAAACGCACAGCTCTCCCTCAGACTGACAGACTCAACACAGCAGCAAACAAAGAAAAGGCAGAGTGCTGACACACAACGCTGCTTGACTGCAGCTCTGATCAACAGCAAGAAAATCTGCAGAGAAGGGGGGGGTTAAATATGAAGACACTGCGGTTTCTTGCAGCTGAGGGCTTCATCCAGAGTGGGCCAAGTGCTCTGGAGAACCTGAACTCTCTGTCCTTTAATCTCTACCCACTGATCTTCAAAGCCTGCTACCTGCATGAGCAGACGGACCTGCTGCACGCTTTAGTGCAAGCATGGCCTCTCCCTGATCTGAACTTGCAAAGACTCCTGGGAAAAACAGCCGATTGCCAGATAGATCTCACCTCCCGCACCTGCCGCCTTTGTCTGGGGGCCATTCTAACGGGCTTAAAGGTAATTATGTTTGTAATTATTAGTCTGTATAATCTGTTGTTGGCAGGTGACTCTACATGCATGAGTCCAGTTACACTGATCTGAGTGCAGGGTCATTAGTGTATTTAGATAAGTAGAAATATTTGGAAACATATGGCAAAAGCCTGCTCTGTGAAGTGGCAGGAGAGAACTCACTTTGGGTGATATACAAGGTTCAACAAAAACATGTTGATTAATGCTATTTACTATAATAGGATTTGCAAGATTATGCTTGTTTCAGCTTCTTTAGCTAATCATGATCTTTAAAGGTTAAAAACTCAAAATACTTTCAATTTTCTTTTCAAAGGATTATGTGCTGTCTCCTCCAAAAACCTACACAAAGAACCTTCGTACTGTGGACCTGACTGCCCTAAAGGATGTAGAGCATCAAACCTGCCCCTGCAAGTTATCCATGGGTAGATGGGGAAGAACCCAGCTCCTGACCCAAATGTGTTATGAGACAATGGTGGCCATGCAAGCCAACAACGTCCCCCCGTCTGTCTTTGAAACCTCCATTGAAGTCCGTATAAACGGCTTTGTCACAGGCCGCAACTATGAGCTGGTGGCTCAGGCGTTCCTCCTCCTCCGCTACTGTCCATTAAAACCTCAATTTGTTAGTTTTCGGGCCGACTCTCTCGCCCTCAAGCAGCTGTTTTATGTCCTTCGTCTATCAGAACCTGAGTTCATTGAAAAGCTGGAGGTTGTTCACAATATCCCTTTGGAGGCTGTACACCTGGAGGTGCTCTTGTCCAGAGTGGAGTTCCCCAAGTTAAAGTCTTTAACGCTGCCAGCTGGGGCGTTGGATGTGAGGAGGTTGGGCTCTGATGAAGAAGATCTGCTGGCCACTATCGGCAATCAGCTGGCACAGCTGAGCTCCCTGACTGAGCTCTGCATTGGTTTTTCCACGCTCACCGGACACCTGCGCAGGCTGTTGAAGTGAGTAACCGGACCGAGGGAGGGAAGAAGACAACAAGGTGTCCTTGTGTTCATGTGGGTTTATGTGTAACAGGTGACTAACAGCTCTCATGTCAGTCCTGCGTGCAAATTTCAGCATTAAAGGCTGTAGGGCTCTGCTTTAACAATGGAAAGTATTTAGTTGATAGAATAGCTGACATGATGCCAGAGTGAAGATAGACAGGAACCTGCTGGACTGACTTCAACATTCAAAGAGAACAGGAGCAGAAAGAAAAAAACAACAGAGCTCCTATGGTCTGTCTGTAACATCATTGAGACATTTTTATTAGAGCAAATAGATGCAAAAGGTCAAAGTCAAAATACAGGAAAGAAACTGAAAGTAGTTGAACTTAAACTTACCTAGAAATGCATTCCCAGCACCACGACTGCATGACTAATCCTATGAAACTTGTCTTCCTAAGTAGATAAAATTTACATTAGAAATATATTTTTATACATATGCTTTTTTGCTTCTTTCTGTGACCCTTCATTCCACACTTATTAATCTCTGTTACTTTTATCTTATCCTTACCCAGCCCTCTCAACACTCCACTGCAGAGCTTGGACCTGGCTAACTGCTGCCTGAGCCGTGTGGACATGACCTACCTCTCCAACAGCCTTCACAGCGAGGCTCTTGTCCGCCTGGATCTCAGTGGGCACAACATCTTTGTCACTTTCTCCACTTCTCTTCAAAAACTGCTCAACCGCTGCTCAGCCACACTGTCCAGCCTGGCCCTTGAGGAGTGTGACATAGAGGACGAGCACATGGACACCTTCATGAATGCCCTGTCCGGCTGCCAGATGCTGGAGGAGCTGAAACTCCTGGGAAACCCTTTAACTTCTGCAGCCCTCCGTAGATTGTTCTCTATGCTTTCTGCAGGCTTCCCCAAATTAAAATACATAGAAGCACCAGTTCCCAGGGATTGCTACCCTGAGGATGTCACGTATCCTCTTGAAGATTCAGTCCTGATGCGCTACAACAAGGAGATGTTCCGGGAAGTCAGAGACCAGCTGACAGGGATCCTGGAGAGAGCCGGGAGAGGAAGAGTGGAGGTGTGCACGCCTCTTATGGGGGCTTATGACCCGGACATTAATGAGACCAGCAACGAGCTCGGAGTGTCCATGTTGAAATCTTTCAATACGGTCATTGGAAACTTTATCGGAACAATTAATGCCGTGGACTGCAGAAGATCACACACTCAGACAGAGACTGAATGAGTTTCTGTGTAAAATATAAAGATAAGATCATGACCGATATTGTCATGACTGTAGTGATGTTTCAAGCGAAAGGAACTCTTTAAATACAACAGATTTTTTATGCTTTTTGACCACATTCAACTCTTGTAAACAGCTTCTTATTTATTAGGCCTGTTTGATGGCTATCTTGTTTAATAGATCCATTCACTTAAATGTTACGTGAGCTAGAAATGTTATAAAAATATAAGAGTTTTAAGGCTAACTCTGTGAAAGCAGTCAGTAAATCCTTTTTTTTTTTGACTGGATAAACATTACAACATGTTGTGCAAATAAAAAGCTATGTTATTTACCTTCACCCTGAAAAAAATGTGCTGATTGCAGACAGATGTAGCTGCAAAATTGGACACAGTAGATACTTGAAATTTGTATACATTTTTATGTCTATATGGTGTTAAAAAAGTATAGAACTAGATTTATAAGTCAATTTTTAATAAATGACATCTGATTTTATAAACCGTTTGTATAACCGTCTCTTTTTGTCAAACCATTTAACAAATTCTACACCTTTTATTTCTATAGTTAAAAAAAAAATGAGACCACTTTTACACCCTCCAAAATGTAGTTTTGTTTAATGGGTACTGTCTCTTTACATAGATCACATTTCATTTTAAATACAACACCAGGGAACAATCATAAACTGACCGAAGACCAGAATTAACACCTTTGTCCGGGTCTATTTTTTCATCCACTCCTCCCTTTCTTTCCTTTCACGGATCACCTCTTCCAGGTATGGTGTCAAATAATGGACATCCTAAAGGGAATGGACAAGAAATGTGAGTTTGCATTTTCAGACCTATATTTCACCTGTCAAAAACCCTTTTAAAGTACATACTGATGGGTGAGACAAGTGTATGAAGTTCTCCCTCATATGACACCTTTCATCCTTCAAATAAAATCAATATGAATTCAATCTACCTCTTCAAATTTCGTCCACTGCTCTTTAGGAAGGATTTGTTGCTTCATGGAAAGATCCAGGGCTCTCTTGACCCTAAACATCCTCTCATTGTATTGATTCTCCGGTAGCCTCCTCAGGGCCTCTTGCACGTCGGCGTCTTCGTAGACCGTATCATCGCGCATCAAACCTGGACAGAAAACAGGTATCGCTGTAGAAGCTGGAAGAAGTGACCTACTGTACAACCTTGTAAAGCCTAGAAAATAATGTTCCCCTGCGTGTTTTGATCAGGAAAATGTAAATGGTGGAGTATGGAAGTAAATCAGTGCCATCTGATTTTGAATTTGAATTTCTAAAGCTGAATATTTTTTTTGCATCAAAATCTGACTTTGAATTTCAAAACCATCGAATTTCAAGCAAGCATTTTTATTTCTTATACTTAGTTTTTATGAGAATGATGAAATTAATTCAGTGTAAAAAAATCAGTCTCTCAGAAGATTTTTTAAGTAAAAATTTAACTTAAAAATGTGTAAAAAAAAAAAAAATCAACATAAATCAACAAAATTTTGACACTGTATTTTTTGACACTAAAAATTTTTCATGTTGAATTTTTTTTAGTTTTTTTTTCAGTCAACTTTTTACACAAATTTTTTGAGCGACTGAATTTTTTACTCTGAATTTATTTCATCATTGTGAAAAAACACAAGTGTAAGAAATAAAAATGCATGCTTGAAATTCAATAGTTTCAAAATTTAAAGTCAGATTTTGATGCAAAAAAAAAAAACAGCTTCGGAGATTCATATTCAAAATCAGATGGCACTGATTTACTTCATTTAGCTTCATTTAGCTTACCAAGCTTGTTGAAACCACACAGATTATAGTACCATTTGCGGAAACCCAGCAGAAGCCTGCCTGATGCAACTGTAAAAAACACAACACAGAAAAGATGAACATAGATTAAGTTTGGCGTCAGTATATGAGTCATTTTACAATTAGGGGTACATTTCAATTCGGTATTGAAATATCAGTATTCTCTGATGTTTCTATGATATACATCCTCAATGTGCTAAATCAATTAATCGGCAAGCCTAAGCTCAAATAACTTATTTATAACTTAATTATTCTAATGAAAATGAACATTTGGTTTATCATTTTGTCAACTGTGTTACGGACATATGTTGTGTCATATAAAGCATATATAATATACTAAAGATTTGTTTTAAAGTGTTTGAGTCTATACACCTGGGTTTTTAGTTTATCTTTCCATCTGATTTAAAAATGTGAATTTTGAGCTTCAAAAAGACGAAAAAAAAGATGAACGTAGACGTCAGTCTAGGCCGACTGTTTAGTTTCCTACATTTCGTCAGTGCGTCAAGTACTGACGCCGGAAGTCCCCACTTAGAAGGGTCACAAATGTAAGCGGTACATCGGCCCTTCTTGAACTCCAATTTTAATGACAATATATTAATAATTTACAGATTATAACCTGCTTAAAACATAACGCCTCGAGTAACACAATCTATATATTTCTTTTAACATTTAACATATTGATGTGGAAAATCAGCAATACGCCGGTGTAACAGATTACATCCAAGTCAAGACCTTTACAGCAGTAAAACAAGACAGCTCAGTGCGATCAAAAAGAGTTAAATCAAACAATCAAATGATTTTTTTCCTTACAACCACAGCTTAGTTTAGTGTCTATCAAAAGCTTTAATGTCCTTAATGTTTTAATCGCTTCAGCTTTACTAACATTAGCTTCACCAGCACCATTAGCATTCGATCGGACGGGGACACTAAAGGACACACACACGTTCAGAGCTCCAAAGCTTTCAATAAACTCGACTTATCTCACATATCGCACTGCTAAACCTTACATTGTAAAACGATTGAAGCTTTACTGCTATAAAACACAATTTAACATGTGAATATTAAACTGTTTATCAGAGAGGAGCGGACATTTACCTGGTGCCCTCGCCGCCATTTTTTCCACTGGCAACTACCGCGGTGGATTATGGGTATGGGACGACTCAGGTCAACGCGAGTGTTGAGGAATGTGACGTCACTGAAAACGAGTGAGAAAGATCTACAGGACAAAAACTGAGTATTCTTGGAAAAAAATGGAGTATTCTTGTGTGTTCTGTGGTTCCGAGGAGGAAACAATTTGCTATCTGTTTTATCACTGCATGTATTCTAAAATATTCTGGAGGGATGTGCAAAATTACATGAAAACAGGACAATCAACCCACCTAAAAGACAAAGATATCCTTATTTGTTTTGAAGAGAAACTGAAAGAGGAAGATTTTTTTTGTTTGTTTTTTGTAGTTACTCTTTTTTCCTGGGAAATTTCACATTAACAAGAAAAATTGGACTGACTCTTAACTCAGCTTTGACCACTTTCTATATGAACTGAAGCAATACTGCAATTATCAATTAACTTAAGAGCAAGAAGGCTGTAAACAGACTACTACTAGCTTCTTTTATTGAGTATTTTATTAATTTTCTATGTTTATCTATATTGTTGTTTTATGTTTTAATATGTTTTATGCTTTTCTTGTTTTTATAGCTATTGTCTCTGGCTATTTTACTGTAAAGCACTTTGGTATGCCATTGGCTGTTTTTAAATGTGCTATATAAATAAAGCTGACATTGACACTGACTCTGTTTTGGACAAATATTACAAAGATTGTTAATTGTCTGGATGATTTATCTTTTCTCTTACTTCTTACCTGGTATTCATTTTCCTACTGTTTTCTTGTTCGTTTGTTTGTCTTGTTGGTGTTTGCTTTAGTTTTTTTTTTCCCCCCGGTATATTTATAATGGTATATTGTAAAATGTAAAAATGACAAAAAAAATCTACAAGACAAAGCAGTGACTTAAATAAGTCTCTAATAACGTTATCGTTATTTGAAACTTACAATTAAATTCATACACTGTGTCTTTCCATTTTAATATTGTTTAATACTGGAAGGTGTTCCTTATATTTTTAGTTGCATTAGATTGTCAAGACGTTTATGTTATGGCTGGTCATGCAAAATTAGAAACACTAGATCAAAAACAATAGAAAGGGTTTAACAATTACCAGAGTATTTTGGATGGTTTTCAACTATACTTATACATATGCAAGGTATGACTGTAAAAATACCTCTTTACTTTAAAATGTATTTAGAACGAGAATAAAAACACAAATCACAACAGCAAGTATTTGGGGTCTGCAGTTAAAGATACATTAGTGTGTGTAAAATTAGTTGCAATCCACCACTAAAAAGCTGAATCTTTTCTCTCTAAAACTTAGAAACACTGTTTTTCATAGATGATCTTTAAAAACTATACATTTGTAAGCACTTTCCTAGCTGAATCAAATGTTGGATGTGCCACAAACTAGTTCATTTTTTTCTCACATTTATTGTTTCATTATGTAGCAAAATAAACACCTGGAGACACACGGCATCACAGATTCCAATTCTTGGCAGAAGACACACTGTACATTTATTTAACATCAAATTTACAATACAAACAAATCAGTTCCTGCATCACCATTGATACCTGTTATGTACTTATCTTTTTATTCTGTGTCTTCCACAGCTTGGTTTTGAGGTCTGTTTGAAAGTCCCTTCATGATGAATCACAGTGTCTTTTGAAACAAATAAAAGTCTTCCAAAGTGGCCAGAGCCAGGTCAACACAGAAAAGCTCATCTGGAAGAGACACTAAGCGGTCTGGAGCGATGTAGTTGGGCAGGGCTGGATCATACTGAGCCCTGCCAAGGTATTCGAGGAACAGGTGGCGCTCTCTGATGCGCAAGTACTTGGCATTGAGGAGCTATAGGAGGAAATATCAAACGTACAACTATAAAGCTTAAATCAACTCTTGAATTAAAAAGCAAGAAATGAAAGTAATAATAGTGGTCGATGTACCTGTGGGAACTTGACAATCAGATGATGCGGTATCTTCATGGTATTGTGAACGTAGTCAAATATTTGAGTTAGCTTCCTTTTATTGGCTGTCAGCACTTTAGGAACAGCAAGAACGATGTGTTGAATTTCATTCTGCTTGAAGCCAAGCTCTATTTCACACACCTGTTGAAGACATTGACAAAAAGCATTTGAACATAGCACCTCAAATCTATGAGTTTACAATTTTATAACAATAATTACAATTCAATACCTTTAAATTTTCCTTGACTGGCTCCAAACTTCCACACAGTAATCTGGGCAGGCGAGCTACGACCTCCCGTGTCTAAAAAAAGAAAAAAAAAACCATAAACTATAATTAAATCATCTCATTTTGAACAACAAAGTCACCTGTTCTTTTCTTAAGACACTGTACACTGAAAATCATTATTTCTGCTAAAAGATGCTCACATTAGTGGCACTGAGTTTGAGTTGCTGCTGATAGAAACCCAGTCTGTTGTCCAGCCTCTTCACACTGAAGTTCAGCAGAAATGGAGCTCTTGACACCATGGATGCAACCATCGCAGAGGTGAACTTCTTGGACTTAAGGTAGTTCACTCTTTACAAACAACAAAACAAAGAACATTATTAATAAATCAGAGTTTCAGTCACTCATAAGAAGATATACATGACAACTCTTCAGACTGATAGAATTTACTATGTAAAAAAGTATAAAATATTTTCTTTCCAAGATCCCCTTATTCACCTTGCCCGCAGGTTTTCCATATCCTGTGTGAGAAAGAAAGGGTTGTGTGAGATGATATAGCCAAAACGAGAGTCCTCCACTCCGACCTCTTTGAGAAACAGCAGCCTTGGGGCCACATCTGTGTCAAAATTGAGCCTCAACAGCATGGAGCCCACATTGGGCTTCTCTTCAAGCTTCCATAAGTTTACACCTGCATAAAGAGGATGAACAAGAAAAAAAAGTAAACTTTATCCTGTCATCATTGTAACATCATTGATAATATGCTTTAAACTAAAAGTAATTCTGATTTAATATCAATTTTGTTACATATCTAAAGTCTGTGGTTTAATTACCTAGTTGAACTAGTTTGGTTAGTGTCTCAGAGTGGTCAACGTAGTCTCTCAGGGTTGTGGAGGCTGGAGGCAAGGCAGGGGGAACAGATATACCGACAGCCTCTTCATTACTGATCTCCTCTAATGCAGAAAATTCAACCGCAGCATCTAGATCTGGAGCATAAGGAAGATAATGTGACCTTGAATTCTTTCTGGAAAAACATTACATGTTACGACAGATCATAAGTCAAGTAAAAAAAGGAAAACATTGAGTACCTAAAGACAGCTCGCTCTCAGTTGCTGGCACTGCATCTCTGATTGGCAGCGTTGGGTTCTGGTACGCTACAACATCAGCTTTTGGAAGCTCCTCAGAATCCTTATTTTCTCTGGTCTCTGTAGTCGGTGGATCGACAGAGAGGGTACTATAAAACAACATCTGTTGTTTCCACTTCAAGTTCATCTGAGTTGTTTTGTGATTCCCACTGATCATTGAGAATCTTTGCGGGAAATTGACCAGGATCCCTGGAACAGCAGTGCAATGAGTAGCATACTTCCAGGAATTTGCCACTGTCTTAGAGCAAAGAAGACTTCTGCATTGGAGACACAGCTTTACACATGAGGAAGTCATGGTGAATCTGAGGGGGAAAAAAACAAAATCAGATAATTACTGCATTGAAATTCATAAAAAAAGCTAAAACATTTCACTAAAGCAGAGAAGAGCTGAACAAACTATCACTGTATACAAGTGTGGGGATATTATTTTAACATTTAGGGGAGAGTCGGGTAAGTTTAGCCAAAGGGTAAGTTGAGCCACCCCCTGTTTCTTGGAAATGGTCAAAGAAATTGATCATGTGACCAAATATTTAGGAGATGGGCATCAATTCATGGAGTCTGTGAAGGTTAGAAGCACATGGATGAAGGGGTTAGACATTTATTTACAAAAAAAAACATCTTTCACCCTGAAAGTAAATTGAGTCCGTCATAACTTTTATTAGAATTGTGTCTGACTCACTTAAAGGCATTCTCATGTAAAAGTGGCTTTTTACAAAACAGCTTTTTGGCAGTTATATGCAATACTAATTAAAAACAATTATTGTACCAGTTGAATAGAGTATAATAGATAAAAATACACATGAATGTGAAGAAGTGACTGTTATTTAGGGAGAGAGAAGGTGGGAGAGGGCTGGGGTAAGTTGACCATAGGAGACCACTTTTGTTGGCATGCTACATTATCAAGACAGTTGTGTTTACACTCATTCTGTTGGTTTGCAGGGATGCACAACATCTTGAAATATATGCAGATACACTAGTTAGAGACAAAACTATGATTGCCTTGATGTAGAAATATGAAAAGTGGCTCATCTTACCCCGCTCTCCCTTAATGGCGGTGATGGGACATAAACAGATACAGACGCTACATGAAGCTAAAGTGAGATGTATGCTAGCTAGTCATCGGATTAACAAGCCCTCTTCAAGCATGGAAAGAGCTCAATAATAACCACCATTAACTACGGACCATAACCTCTATACTCACATTTCCTCTGTATAATGAGTGATCCTCAAAAAGACTCCATCTTCCACCAAGGTTCAGCAATGTCAACCGTTTTCACGTGTATTTTAGCGGATGGACAACCCGGAAGTTGGACGGCTTGGGAAGTACCACTATGACATATCTGGGGGTGTCACTAAATTTTACTAATATACTCACGAGGGGGGAAAAACAACAAAACTGAAGTCACTTTGATGCAATGATATCATTAATTTCACATTTAAGTTGCTCATTAGTTTTTTTTGTTTTATATATTTTTAAATAATTTTTTAACACGTATTGCCACATACATACACCCCTATTAGCTGTATGGATCAGCCTATCTTAAGGGTTTCTTCATGAGGGGCTTTCTACGCATTTTCCTGTGTTCTGCGTTTTCAACTTCAAACTTTTATCAGCCAATCTAAATCTTGTAGTTAAAATGAAGAAAGTGGGTCAAAACAGCGGTATGTCACCTGCCGGTACAGCCAGGACACAGTGGAAGGATGATGTCAACTATAAACTACATTTCCGAATGATAAACGATCAACAAGTGGAGGATATCTGTATCGATTTCTTCTATAAGCCTCACACCATCACACTGTTGACAGTCGCTGTCCTCAGCCTCATGTACTTTGTGTTTACAAGGTAAACAAGTCTGGACTTTGTCTGCCAAGCTGCTGAATGATATAAGTTTTAAAATGTATAATAACAAAAAATATATATCTTTTGTTTGCTAATCTGCCCATAGTTGACCGTCTGATTGCTGATATAATGTTGTGATGTTACAGGAACGATGAAAACTTTGACAACAACCTCCGAGTTGGTCTACTGGTGGTGATCTCCTTCTTCTTGGTCATCAGTGTCCTGGCCTTTCCTAATGGTGAGATGTTTCGATCACTCGAGTCCAGAGCCGGCCCAAGTCTCAATGGGGCCCTAAGCAAAATTTGATTTTGGGGCCCTCTATTTCTGCCAATAGTATTGATTGTTGATCATCCACACACCTTCACAAATCTCTTTGATTAACATTGCAAACATACCTTTATCTTGGCGTCTTTTCTCTTCTTCCTCTTTCTTCCTGATGGATATGTCTTTTTTGCGACATTGTTTTGCCCCACAAGTACCTGCTCTTTGGATGCTCAGTGCACATTGCACAGCAGAAGGCACATTGTGGTCGTGGAGGCCTTCATCAGCAGCGGCACTAAAATGTTTTTTACTTTATTTTATTTTTACAAGAATATATATTTGACCATACAGAAAGCATCACTCATACATGCAAAAATATTTAATTGTTTTGATTACTCTTGGAGGGCCCCCCTATTGGCCGCGGGGCCCTGAGCAGGTGCTTATTTCGCTTATGCCTTGGGCCGGCCGGCTCTGCTCAAGTCACAGACTTCCAAACCGTCTATATTTCAACTTAGTTACTTATATTACTGATGCTTTCTTTAACAGGACCTTTCACCAGGCCTCATCCTGCAATATGGCGAATGGTATTTGGTGAGTTTTCACCAACATCACTAACTTTCCATTCATATGATCTGATTTATTTGCGTGTATCCAGCTCTTCTGAAACCTCACTCCCTCATCTCCTGTCCTGTGTAGGTCTCAGTGTCATGTACTTCCTGTTTCTTGTCTTCCTCATCTTCCTCAACTGGGACCAAGTAAAGATGATCATGTACTGGATGGACCCAGGTCTTCGCTACGCAACAAGGGAAGCAGATATCATGGTAAAGACCAAATTCACATTCAACTCTATTTGTATTGCACTTTTCAGACAAAAATGCAGTTCAAAGTGCCTCACAGGGGCTAAAAAACAACAATTAACAACAATAAAACCAACCCTCCTATCCACACACCCACCCATGGACCCCCCCACACACACACACAAAGACACAGTGTGAGAATTTAAGATATATTGTTTAAGAGACATGGCCTGACACCGTGACAATACGTGAGGAAAGAGCTACCTTTAGGAAACACCGGAGATAAAAGATAAAAATGGTAAAAAGAAAGACTAAAACATGATGGACTAAAACAAGAAAATGATATTAAATGAACAGAAAAGTAAGAGCTCTTTACCATGTAAAAGGGGTAAAAGAAGTAAAAACCTGTGACGGGAATTAAGAAAAAGACTAAGAACAGAGAAAATTAATAAAATGACATAAAATAAACATGAAGAACTTTGATTAAAATGAACATTTGCAATAAGAGAAATATAAAAAGGCAATTAGTGAAAAGCCTGGTTAAAAAGGCTCTCCTTAAAAACATCAACAGTCTCTGACCAATTCAAACCCTGTCATCTGAACCATCTCAGCAAGTTTACACTGTACTTATATATTATATAATAGATGTAAAGGAGAAAGATTCTTCATGTAGTGTACAGGCACATTTTTCAGCTGTTTCAGAGTGAACATAATGTCCTTGATGACTCTGTACATTGTGCAACAGAATTAGCTGTGCTCCTCTGAAACAGAAAAACAGTAACATTTATCTCCCATTCATCTCCCTCCCTAATGCATTACTGGACACACACATTTTCACCCCTGAAATGCTTTTGACAGGAATACGCTGTAAACTGTACAGTGATCACATGGGACCGGATTTTGAGCCACTTCGACATCTTTGCATTTGGCCATTTTGCGGGCTGGGCCATGAAGGCTCTCCTCATCCGCAGTTACGGCCTCTGTTGGACCATCAGCATCACATGGGAGCTCACAGAGGTAACAAAAAAGTGACTTTTTTTGTAGTGAGATTGCCTTAACCGGGGTGCAATCCCAGCTTGTTGTCATGCCACAGAGGTGCTTGTGCTTCCCTCAGTCTGTGCTGGCAATAAGGATTGTTTGTTAAGGAGAAATTCATCATAAGAAAGCAGTATAATGAATAGCAGGGTGTTTTGTCGTAATGATAACAATTACAGACTGGAGGGGTTGGATAGCAGTATTCATCAGCATAACACCAGATAAACTCCCTACAGAACTAAGGGGGTCCTGTTCCCCCTGAAAAAAAAGGCAGAATTTTTCTTTAAATACATGAGAAGTACTAGAGAAATGTTTTCACTTCACTCAAATATCCACTTTCACTTCTCTTCACAGCTCTTCTTCATGCATCTGCTACCAAACTTTGCAGAGTGCTGGTGGGATCAGGTGATACTGGACATACTGTTGTGTAATGGGGGAGGCATCTGGCTGGGTATGACTGTCTGCAGATTTTTGGAGATGAGGACCTACCGGTGGGCCAGCATTAAGTAAGTGGAGAGTGAAGGCTTTCGAAATAGTCACTCTACTTGGAGATGGTCTTGTTTGCACACAGAGGTCATTTAGCAACATCGGTTTTATTTTCAGTCTGTTTCAAAACCAGACCTGATTGTTAAGACATTAGAATCCGATAGTTCTTGCTGAGCCCTCTGAGAACTTCTTTTTAGTTGTTATTGTGGAACAGAAACTACAGTTGTATTGTTACTTACAGTTGCCTTTTTAGAGGATGTGATTTTTCTCTGTATCCTCAAAAGTTGATCAATTCTGTACAGGGAAATCCACACCACCACAGGGAAGATAAAGCGAGCTGTGCTCCAGTTCACCCCGGCCAGCTGGACTTTTGTGCGCTGGTTTGACCCAAAGTCCTCCTTCCAGAGACTGGCAGGCATCTATCTATTTATGATTCTGTGGCAGGTACTGCCATCTTTGACTTTTGAGCCAGAAATGTCTGTAAATTGTTTCCTGTGGTGGGAATGTAGCCAACAGTTTTGTCTTTATTTGCAGTATTGACCAATGTGCTTGATGGTTGTCTGTTCCAGTCTTGTTGCTTACACTTCTCTGTCTCATATTTTTTATTCCCCCCAGCTGACAGAGTTGAACACGTTCTTCCTGAAGCACATTTTCGTCTTCCAGGCGTCTCACCCTCTCAGCTGGTGTCGTATTCTCCTTGTTGGCGTCATCACTGCACCCACTGTCCGGTATGTCCAACCTTAATAAACAAACATTACTACACTGTCAAGGGTTTGAATAGTACATAAAGATTTTTGTCATATGTAAGTTAGCATTTACAAACCCTAAATTTAGAGAAAAGGGGTGATTAATTCCCATTTTTTATATAACACATGTCTGTTTTGGGAAGTTGAACTCTTGTGCTGTCCTTTACATGTTCCTGTTTTCTTGAATTTTCCTTAGGCAGTATTATGCATACCTGACAGACACACAGTGTAAAAGAGTTGGTACACAATGCTGGGTGTTTGGGTGAGTATCTTTTCATTGTTTTACTAACCTGAAGTTACATTTTGATAACCACGTATTTACTCACTCAAATGTATTTCAAACATCATAAACATAAAACTATCATGTTATCTTAAAAAGATTTAAGCTGTTTGAAAAAATAGGAGTAAAAATGTTCACAAGATGAAACTGGTTCATTTCAAAATGGTTTAATTTAGCTGATCTGTATTCACACTCTGTCCTAAGAGAGGATTTGTTGAAATTTATAAAATTATGAATGAAGTGCACAATAGGATGTAGTTGCTGACCTCACCTCAGACACAAAGCTGCTTATGCTCTCAGACTGCTCTAGTTTCCAAGGCAACGAGACTGGCCTTCTCTGTCTGCATGAAATACTTAACATTGAGGGTGCTCTCTTATGTGAGGTTTACCCCTGCCGTGTATCCTTTTAACATGAAAAGGAGTTTCCACACTAGCAGAGGGGAGCAAATACTTTAATTTGTTTGATTGGATTGGGATCAATACCGCGCAGCACGCGCATTTGCACCTGAATACCACAAGTGTCATACTCTGCTGTAATGGAATAAAATTGCCAAAAGAGGGGGCCATTCTTTAAATGCAGGAGCTTCTGTGGAAAATTTCCATGAGCAGCTTCACTGTTCCTCTCACTTGTAACATGTTTCTCCTTCAGGGCCATCGCTTTCCTCGAAGCTCTCGCTTGTGTGAAATTTGGTCACGATTTGTTTTCCAAGACACAGATCCGTTATGTGCTCCTGTGGCTGCTATGTCTGGTAAGCCAAAACAAATGCATCTGTATGATACATTTGTTTTAGTAACTGGGATGCTGTTTTTAGAAAGAGACAGGAATGATGTGTAAACCATCATGGTCTATGATTACCTATTATTATTAAATGGTTACTAAAATCTCTGCCAGCTGTTGTTGTTGAGTCACCACAATATACAAAACACAGAGAAGTCTTATTGGACCTGTTGATCATGATAGCATGTGGCTGTTTTTTTTTTAGGGATGTTGCTTTCAAGCTTATCTCGGTGAAATATACAGTACACTAAAGAATATGGCCATTCCATAACGGCTAAAACCTTTAGGCAGTGTTTCAGTGCAATTACCTAATTTATTGGAGGTAGTAGTTGCCAGAAAACTTCCTCAGAAAATTTATTTAAGTAGACTTATGTATACAACTTTGATGTTCTGCATTTTCTACCCATTATTAGTGATTTCAAACTGTTGGATCTAATCAAACATGAAATTTGACTTGTTTTTCCCATTTATGTCACATTCTCAGGCACTTATTACACTTCTGTGTTTATATTGGATGGTTTGGTACGAGCAAAATAAAATGAAGGTGAGTTGTTGCTCCTGGTATGATATACCTTTTTCACACTTCACTTTACATTAAAGGATTGTGGTATTACTTATAGACAACAAATATTTTTTAAAGTAACTCAAGATCAGCTGGAATGAGTACATAGAGCTGTACATTTGCAGTTTACCATCAACTCCTTTCTGTTTACAGAGCATCACTTCTATACAAAGTGAGGACTGTGATGACAGCATGGTTGTGGACTCATGTGGGTTTGTCCCAGATGGCTTTGCAGGTCAGTCACATAACAGGCAGACTTGTGACAACTCACATTGCACATTGTGCATTTGTATGAAATGTGCCATACAGATAAAAATGAATTGAGTTGACTTTGTCCATCCAAAATGTTGAAATCATATCTTTTATCTCCAAAGCTCAAAAGGAATCCTTGAGAAGTTCACAACCTACAAAACGAAGGAGAGCTGCTGGGAAAAACAGATTTGTGAATGGCCATGGAGGAAAGAGATAATAAATAACCATCTCTTAGTATTTTCAACCTCTGTAGAAGACTGTGTGCTGAGGTGTTACAGAATAAATGTTGTTTAAGTTTCATCAAGCTGGAAGACAAACTCCTGAACAGAAACACCTCAGCAACCTTTCGATACTATTTCCAATTAAGTGTGCAAGAAGCTGAAATTGTTTACCCGAGGTCTCCATAGACATCGTTGTTGATTCTTTGTGGTATTGGCAGTGCTCACAGATCTCAAACACTGGTTGACAAGCACAAAATTTGTTGAGTATTTGTTAAGATATTTTTTAACAAACCTTATAAACCAAATGGTACACACTGGGTTTTGAAAGAGAAGGTGACCGTATTTGCACTGTAAAATTATCATGCCAGCCTTTCTTGCACCAAATCATTTTGATAAATTATCCAAAAGTTGTTTTGTTCCAAGTGTAATAATTGACATGTTTGAGTAAAAGTCAAATGTGTCAAATGTTTAAATGATTACTGCTTTTTTGAACTAACTAAACTAAATGTTTTACTACATCAAAATGTCATCATAGGGATGATATTTTTGTCTACTGTTAACCAAGTGTGACTAAACCAACCAACAACTCTTTTTGTAGCACCTATCAATGTTATTATTAAGACTGTTTAATTGTTCCTAAAACTGTGATATTTTCTATATTTTTGGGTGTTTGGGGTTTGAGAGCTTAGTGAATAGTGAGAGATTGGTGTACTGACAGATAAACTGGCATTCAAAGCAACAGCACTGTGGGGACATTCAAAAGCAGATGATAATCACTTATGTGAAGTCAGAGTTTTCATTTGATCCTTATCACTGAAATGTGATGTCATTACCTGATGCAGGTCCGTATAAGCTATTCTTAATACTACTGAATAATGTCATTTAGTGACACGTGTTGTATGTTTTCTCTTCTCGCTTGATGTCAGTTTTTAATGTCTGCTTATTGAACTATTTTTATGGCGATAGCATAACTTATTGATTGCAGTGTTTTTCATCTTTAATGCTTTAAGTTACAGACCAAAATTTATTTACACTAACATGTTTTAAGTGTGTTTATTGTTATAGTGATTTTGTATGGAAGGATATGCTTGTTTTGTTACACTCAATTAAATGATTACTTTTTTGCTTTTTATTGTGTTCATTGAAATGTGTGCATGAACTGAGATGTTGAAGTAACTTGATGCAGTTGACTTCTCATATATTTTATCATTATGATATGTGTTTTACACACATGGTATAGACTCTATGCAAAGTTTTTCCTCTATACTGTAAAGGGACAAAAACTGTTGAACTAAGGACTGTTTTAACAACTCCCAAATTATCTAGAATTTAGGATTCATATTTTGATTATTAACTGAATTTTTATATGTTATTGAACTTATAATGATAACAATAATAATGATAATAACAATAATAATAACTTTATTTTAAAAACAGAAGTTTACAAAGTGCTTTGACAAACAGTCGTAAAGCATCAGCACATGGAAATAAAAACAAATAAAAAACAAAAGCTCGTTTAAAAACAAGGCCTCCAAATTGAGGGCCAATTTCATTTGTCATAAGTAATCCAGACAATACAAGAACCCTACAACATAAATGAGACAATGAGGACCAAAATAAAAACATAAAATAGGTAAGAAAAAAAATGTAATGAAAAAAGGGGGTTAGAAAGCAGGAAACAGGATAGTAATTATAAAAAGACACTATTAATTATGACAATGAAATCCTAATAAAATAATGATGGTAGTATTAATGATTAAATGAAATAACAAAAATGAAAAAATAATATCAATAAAATGCATAAAAGGTTAAATAAAAGATTATAAGTAAAACATAGGCTAATGATAATAATGATAACAATCATATCACATCATAATAGTGTTGTTATGATTATCGTATTACCATATCATAATAATAATAATAATAATAATAATGAAAATTATTATTATAATAATTATTATTATAATTGATAGTCAAAATTTCCTGAAAAATCCCCCCGTGATTGACTTATCAATTAAAAGAGTAACATAGGCAATTTATTTCATTTAAAAAAGTTGAGTTCAAAATATTTGCCCTCATGACACGAAATAACCCCATGTCTGAGCTATGAATTCCCGATTCTTTGTTTCGTTACCTACTACATTTCCCACAATGCACCCGGTGCTTGGACGCTGTTCTGGATGACAGCTATCCGGCGCCGAAACACCGATAGACACTCAGACGAAAGAACCATGGCGGCCACGGGTGGAGGGAAAATTAGAAGCAGGAGATATCATATCGCCTCTAAACCTTACGCCAAGAATAAACAGGTAAAACAAAGAAACGATTTCGTGCTCACAGCCCGCGCCGAACACCTTACTATGACTGTTGTGCCTCGATATCGTATCTCTTGATATTGTTTTGTTGGAGACATTTTGTGGCCTGCCGTTAGCGCTCGTGGCCTCCACGCGCAGCTAGCATGTCCGCGAGATGCTAATGAACTAGCTGGCTCGCTTACACGTTAGCCTGATCACACGGACTTGACAGGTCAAATTGCACCTCAGAGATTTGATTAGATTGAGCAGCCGGCCCAAAGATAAGTACAACGATAGGTTTGGATGATCCACAGTATGAGCAGTGTCTGCGTTTTTAGGTGTTACAAAAGTTAGCGGAAAGCTAGGAAGTAGGATTTGAAGCATTAGCCGATGTGGCTAATGCGAGGATTGCATTGTTGTCTCCGGTTCCTTAGTCGCCGGTAGGACTAACGTGATCGTTGGATCTTAAATCACGTCTGTCTTAAACCACAGGTGGCTCCTTTTATGAGGTAAAACGTGAAGACCGTGTCGCCGACCTGTCGGAAGTCGTTTTAGGTGGCAGTTGGCGTTAGCAGCGGCTAAATTTTGGTCAGTTGTGTTGCGCAGGAAGCTTTAGCTGATTGGAAACCCACATGGTTAAACTGAGTGGGATCACCTGCTGCTCGGATCCCAGCTGATGCTGCTGGTTTCATAACCACACCGCATCGTTTCCCGTAAACGACATGCGTCCTATGGATTTATGGTATTATTCTAATAACGAAGAAAATCATGATGAACCATAAAGGAAGTTTGTTTACATTTAAAGTCAGCCTGATCATACCAGAGAACAAAATAACTCCAATTACTCTTGTTGATAAACATGTGGATATTAATAACACTGATTGGTCGTTTAATCATGAGAACCATGTAAGCAGCACTTAAGATAGTCCTCATACATAGTTGTCGTAAGAGTTAAATTCAATATCCCTATGTGTCACCTGAAATTTAGCCATGAGTTGTTATATTTTTTATTAAAACAACTACAGTGAATACACACAACTTTGAGACACAACAATTTAACAATCTGAGAAATCTTACTAAATACAATGTTAAATTCTTTCTTCAGGTAGCTTCTACAGTTTAATTTTTGGATGACATGGTCTGATAAGTTGTAATTCTCCTTCTATCTAGTGAATTGTTGAAATTGTAGCTGCTGTCGGTGATGAACTGGAGTGCATTATCTTGGACAGTGTTCCCAGTAATTTTCTCTCTTCATGTTTGTCAATGAAATGGACAAAATATGAAGAACACCTCTAAAAATAAACTCCAATGATAGTTTATAAAATTAGTAATAAAAGCCTTGAAGATCTACAGGTATACATAGAAAATGGTGAAGTCAAGCTCAAATCAACAGCAGAGGTTATCACTGTAATAAAAAAAAAGAGGGCATTTAAGGTCAAAGTGTCAGGGCATATCAGGCAAAGGGTTTTAAAGAGAGGTTATGACAGAGCAACACCTACTTACTTCATCTACAATAACTGATCATTTCAACAAAAACTCATTATTTAGAAGCTGCCTGACAGTACAACTGTTGTACTGGATTACACTAGATTATTGCCCAATGTTATGACTGATCAGTCTATAAACTTATCTTCATGCATTTATGTCTCGGTTGTTCAGATTATTGGCATTAGTAAACGTTGTCTCTCTACTCCATCTACCTTCAATGGGAAAAAAAGACTAATAAAAAGAGCTTTCAGTTCAATTTCATGCTGTAATAAAAGTTCATTTGAAAATATTTCTGCTGAATAGCCATTTAATTGATCCATAAAAACCTTGAAACTGCTCTCACTGACTCAAACATAATTTAGAGCAGGCTTGAAGTTTAATTTCACATTGGTTTCAGCTCGGCGGGTTGACCCAGAAAGCAGATTTTATTTTTTAAGTAGCCTTAGGTCGTTTCGCATTTGTGTGCAACTCCAACTCCAATTTTTCAGCATTGAATGTTAACTCAAAAATTACATGTCTTGAACTGAAAAGGCATTGATGGGAAGAAACCCTGTTAGTAAAAGCATAACTAGAAACATGTACTTCTGACATTTAGTTTTAATTAATGCTAATTTGAGTAAATTGATGCCCCTGACCTGTCATACAGCCATTCTAATCAAACCTTTTAGTGCATATGTATTTTAAAAAGCAGCCAATTATGCATAACTGCATTTAAGTGTATCTCCATTCAAAGCAGACAACACTACCAGTCTTTGAAAAGTGGTTTCTATCTTTATTATCCTAAATTCACATTGAAGTAAAGAAAGCGAAAGAAGGGTGACATTTGATCTCATGTAATGTTGCTGCTACTTCTGTTTTCATTTTTCATCCCGAGGCTTGCTTGGTTACCAAAATGGCACTTTTTTTCATCAAGCACCTAAATAACCTGCATAATTATAGGAAAAAAAATCTGTTTCAGTGGTGTGCAGAGACCAAAAATCTCAACTTATCACACGGCCACATTCATTTCCTTCTGATTAAGCTTTGGGCGTCATACTCATCACATCTCTTTCAGGGTTACTTTTTGGCTTGAATGCTGATCTTTCCTGGTACTAGCAAAATGTATACGACTACCTGCACCTTTACTTGTTAGCTTTCAAAGAGAGAGCTGTAGTTATTAAAAGGCTACTTGGTCACAATACCCTATACAGAGCAGAAATGCAGCACCATCAAAGCGTCATGATGGTCGCTCATTAAAAGCACGATAAACTAGCACTACAGCGGTTATCACACTTGCCCTTGACTGGTAACAGTTGTGTTTTTATTTGCACATAGGTTAAAGTGCAGAGTGGTCCACAGGTGTATTTTGTAGATAAGCAGGAAGCAAGAGGCTCAGATCACTCTTATCAGGTCTTGACAGCTACCTCGGGTCGAACAGCGTATGAAGTGATGCACTCGCAAGAAAGACTCGATTGTTAATTGTTTTCTGTTCAGTAGACTTTCTCCATCAGCAACATGAAACATGGAAGACCTATAGATATGAGTTAAAGCAGATTGTGTTCTCTCCTTTTGTACATTCACAGTGTTATGTGGTTATTATCCACAGAGGCTCGATAAGAGAAACCAGACTGCTGCAAACTCAAGTTTAGAAATTTAAGCCCTTCATCTTGTGGTTGGATTACATTAAAAAAAAAAAAAACAGTATACAAACAAGGATAAAGGGATTTGATTGCTCATAAGCTTGACTTTTCCCGCCACTTTTGAAAAAGCGATAAACACTGTTGAGGTTAAACATTAATGAAAGATTGATAAAGGAGCCTGACGAGTGGCTGAAGTAAAGGGGGAGCACCAGTCTGAATCTTAAACTCACAAGTTTTGCTCAAGGCATCATTTTGACATCATTTTGAAAACCACTAGGAACAGAATATAGTGCTGACCTAACTACCTATTGAGAGACGGTGGATAATATTCCAAGTTTACCGACTCAAACCTGTAAGTGTCCTACATTTATCCTTTCAGTTCTCACAGCTTGTGCTCCTTTCTGTGTGTGATGTAGGACTGAACAAACAAGACTGAACAATGTCGATCTAAATTCATTTGACACTGAACCTTAGTAGCATACAGTTCAGACAAGACTCAGTCGCTCGCTGCTTCACAGAAGCATACACAGTCTTTGACCCAGTTTCCATCCTACTGAGCGTGTTTGGCTTTGCACTCGGGAGCACCAATGGCTTCTCATTACACGCAGGGCTGTGCAGCTTTTCAAAATATTATAATGCAGTACTGACAGATTAAAGACTTAAAATGACTTTTATCCTGAGATTGTTCAAAAGGATACCTAATTTGATGATACTTATTTTATCCTTTTGATCAAATCTAGTTCTCCATTTTAAGTAAATGTTAACCAGTGTGTATTTCTGTAAAGTTGACACTAAAAACTCAGACCAGATTTAAGATTTAGGCCTGAGACTTTTACAACAATGGGACCTAAGTTAGGTACAGTTAAGTGGATGATGTCAAACTATTATTTACCAAAAAGTAATGTTACAGAAGTTTCCCAGTAACTAGAAACGTTTGCGTACTTTTCTAAACAGCATAGAAACACAGTTGCAGTCATCAGCAGCAGAAATAGATGCTGCTCCAGACTAAAGGTTCTTACACACCGGGGCCAACACGAATATAGAACGCGAAATCGTGAAATATTCGAAGGCGAATTTTGACCCGCCTGACTACACACATCAAGCCCTATGTGATTTTGAGACTTTTATGGGGGAAAGTCCCGCCTCCTTCGCCTCTGATTGGCTAGAAAAGCTGGAAACGTCATCACACGCTCAATTCAAACGGTCAGCACTTAACAGCCAATCAGGGGTGAAGGAGGGCGGGTCTTTCCCCTGGAAAAGTCTTCGCCAGGATGCGTCTTTTCCCCCTGGAAAGTCGCAAAATCGCATCGGGCTTGATGTGTATAGTCAGGCATGTCGTGTGATCATTATGGGGCTTAACAAATAGACTGACCATCAATTAGTCCGGAGGAGGAAACAAATAACTGCCTATTAACTAAACAATATGCTTCTTTGTCTCCCTTTTTGTGTGTGTTACAGCAACAGTCAGGCCTCATCAGTCGAGTGACAGACACAGTAAAGAGCATAGTTCCCTCCTGGCTGCAAAAATACTTTAAAAATGGAGATGAGGGAGGAGGGATTGCACATGGGTCAGAGCAGAACTGTGAGCTGCCTCCACCTCCAAATGGCAGCGAAGAGGGACCTCCTCCCCTTGATGGACGAGACTCCCCAGAACCAAGCACCAGTAACACAGGTGAGGGTGTCGATTCCAGGAGTTGAATTCCCTTGAATCAAAACTGAGACTTTAACTAACTAACATAACTTTGTTCATTTTTGCCTTCAAACAGAGCCCTCAACCAGCCGGGCCTCCCTGAACTTTCAGGACTATGTGCTGTCTCGACCTCCACTTAGTCGCTCTCACCTCCACTTTCCCCCCCTGGATGCCTCCTCCCCTGTCCTGGGGGCTTCCAGCAACCTCTTCTCTCAGCCTTCCACCTCCTCAGCCCCCGGACCCTTTACTACAGGCTTCTCCTTGGTCAAAGAAATCAAGGACAACCTATCACAGCACGAGGACGATAACATCTCCACCACTAGCGGCTTCTCCTCCCGCGCCTCTGACAAAGGTAGAGTAGTTTTTGTTTTATTATTCACACAGGGAGCCATTTCAAGAGAGGTGAAAGTGTACAAATCATCAAATGGAAAAATGGAGGCAGCTTTTCATGTATTGTTTCCCTTCACGATGGCAGAAGATATCTAAACTTCGCACACCTGAGAGTAGAGTAGGAACGATGTTATTGTATATTGGGATGAAGACTTCAAAACGTCCCTGAGCACGTGAAGATAGCTTTCTAGATCTATCTTCTGTTTCATATCTCTCTTATTTCTCTCTCTTTTCCACAGATGTCCCCACTTCTAAAACAGCATCACTTCCCCAACTTTGGTCCCCAGAGACAGACAGAACAAACTCTGGGTCTCATCCCACCCAGTCTAGTCTGAAAAGGCCTGCTTTCAACCTGTCTGTGTTTGGAACTTCATCCAACGTGAGTATCTGTCCGCTAATACACCGACAGACAGAGGAAGAGAAACTTGTAGCTAACTGTGCTTCGTTTTTGAGTGTTAGGGTTGTACTCAGAATCAGAAATGCTTTAATAATCTCCAGGGGGAAATTGCTTATTGTTACAGCAACTTCAGTGCAAATAAAGTAGAAAGAGGAGATAAAAAATAGATAAGATAAGTTATAAAAAAAAAAGAGAGATAATCAGATAAAATAAGTAAAAATAAATAGAAAATAAGTAAAAATAAAGAGATAATCGAGATAATCTTGAACTTCAATGATTTTATAGCTCTTCAAATGTGTCCATATCCCACAAACCTAAATCAAAACTACTCCTGAATACACATAATCGAGGAAAACAAAGGTTCTCTGCACACAGGCAGACTGGCCCTGATTTGTTGCATCCAGCTTCACTTGTGTGATCAACATGCCGATGTTTACTCTTTACAAGCGTGGCAGGTTGCCAGTCACCACACCTTGTCGGTTCTTAACGGCCGATCTGCAGTAGGAAGCAGTCAGACTCAGATTTGTGCCTGACAAGACAAGTAATGTCATTAAAAAAAACTCAGACAGTTCAAGTCTCAACTTGTTGCATTACAGACTGTCAACATCAGTGGCAACATGTCCCACATTAACCCCGGCTGCCTTTCATTATAGTCAGATCCTTGAGAAGACGACTTGATGGATAGAAAAGAGTGTCAGCGTTTACTGGATTTAAATCAGTGGTTCCCAAACTTTTCTGCGATGCCCCCCTTTCGAGGAGGAAAATTACATGTTTTCCCAGCTACTCACACCCTTTATCGTGTCTCTGCACCTCCTCCAAGTGGGAGTCACACCACACACTTTGAGAACCGCTGAATTAAATGAATGTTTGTTAAAAAGATACAGGATTTAAACACAGTTTTGCTCATAACACTGAATTGTTTCGCCACACAAAACGACTAACCCTCATTTTGTGTTAAGCAGAAGTTTGTTTAATCGTACAATGATGTGCCGGTTCTAAGCCCAAGTTCAATTTCTCCCTCCCTCCCTCCCTCTCCCAGTCAACATTCAACAACACAGTGCTAAACTCCAGCCAGCTTGGAGATTCACCCTTTTACCCTGGGAAAACAACATATGGTGGAGCTGCTGCAGCCAGGAGCTCTCGCGCCCGTCCTGGGACACCGTACCAGGTGAGTTAGTGAGAGTCACATGATCTACCAACTGAGACCTCTCTCAAAGCTGCAAAATAATGTCAACACTTTGATAAAATATCGCTAAAAAGGCGCTGCTATTTTAACCTCGCTGTGCATAAAGCGTTGTGTTATCAGTGTCGCTTGTTATCATTTTTTATTGCTAGCCGTTTCACTCCAGCTTTGATATCCAGCAGATTGTAGGACCATAACATTTAATTCCTAGCACTGACATAACAGGACAAGTGAATGTTATGACTTTATAACCAGAGACTTAATTAGCTTTCTTAATCTGTAGGCCCCTGTAAGGAGACAGATCAAAGCAAAGCCTGCTGGAGCTCAGCCTTGTGGGGTGACCAGCGCCACCGCCAGACGCATCCTGCAGTCTTTAGAACGCATGTCGAGCCCACTGGCTGTAAGTACACACACACAAACACACACCTCTGTCCAGGATTCTTCTAATGTCAGATAATGACTGTGATTTATGGTCAGTAATATTTATCAAATATTTTTTCGTCTTCTCCAGGACGCCAGGAGAATCCCTGCTGCAGCATCATCGCCCCTTTCAGCCGTAAGATTTGTTCCCGTGTTTAAACAAACGTTAGCATTAGCAGTGTTGCTGTGACACATTTTATAATACAATGGGAAATATTCTTTATCAGCAGATATATGTGAAACCCCCCCCCTCAACAGTCATGACAGTACAGGACGTATTTTCACTTGTGTTTTGTCTTCACAGATGGATGGCACAAACCTGGACATTTCACTTTTCCACTCAAAAAAGAAACGGGTAAGGAGACTTCTGTCATGTCTGAGTTCTCACGCTGGGATTGTCTGTTTTCATGTGTCGCTTTCCTTATTAAGACTGGTTCCTCTGAGTTTTTATTTTCTTTGAAACCACAAGCTGTATGACCCCGATTGACCCAAAGCGTGTTTGTGCAGCTCAGCAAACCTGGTCCGCTTGTGTCTTCTGTCCAGTGTGGTTGTGTCTCAGCACAAAGCTCAGTGATAGAAACAGGGATATCATTGTACAAACCCAGCAGCACATGTGTTAGTTTATCCGCTGCCTGTCGGCTTCCTCTGCACCTGTTAACAGGATTCTCCATGGCTGGGGCACAGCTGTTTGCCACTGTGTGGAGCGTGTGTGTAGTTTTTTTTCATGATACACAGAATAAGGTGCACAAGTTTGTGAGTGTGTGTTGGTGTTTGTGCTGAGTTTGAAGTGTAGGGCATTGTTGAATGGTGCCAGCACAGTAATAGCCATCAGGTCTTTCTGACTGTGAAAGCTGCTTTGTAAACCCAAGCCATAGGGTTTTTTTATTATTATTTTAATTAAAAAAATTTTTAAAAAACACATCTCTCAAAAACAGAACCTAACAGGGAGCACACACTGACATCATTAGTTGTTAAAGGTATCTTAGTTTTCAAAGAGAAAAAAAAACGGGTTCATCACATATTTAGACAAAATCTGATCTTACAGGTTTCACACACTCCGTCCATTTAGACCACACTTGATAAAATTTTTCTCTTTGTAATTTGAGGGAAAATGACATTTTTTTCCATTCAAGCCATAGTTTTATTTACCCTTTTCAGTGGCCCAAGATCTGAGCCGGTATATGGTGGCTGAGTTTTGTTGTAGGGCTGTACCAAGACCACATCAGTAATGCTGTTTAATCAATATGAAAGGCTTGTACTGAGATTTGAAAAACAGGCTGACAGCAATTTTTGTAATCAAGAAAACGAAATGGCCCATCTTAGCTAATCACAGAAACATTATTCTAAACCAGCAAATCTACAGCTGAAAGATCATCTCACCAGTTGTGAAAACTATCCGACCATTTCTAAATTTCACCTACGCCTGAGTCGGAATCCAGCATTTCCTCTTGAGCAATTTAACCCCACTGGACAACTGATAGTTATACATCCATAGTGAACTAATACAGTTAATATGGAGGCTAATGTTACATCAAACACAGTAACGCCCAAATTGAGGCACTTCCATATCCATTCCTTTGTTTCTGAACGTGTCTGCATTCTTACTCTCTCTCTCTGTAATTCAGATGCATTCATCCCCGCCACCGGTACAGAAGCTGGTGGTTCCCGCTGCAGCTTCAGTGTCGGGGAACCGCTCTGTGTCGTTCAGACCGACTCTGACTCCTGGAGGAGTGAGCAGAACTGTGGACAGAACCTCGAGGGAAACAGTGAGTTCTGCGTTATTACACACCTCTGTTTTTCTATGGCAAATGAAGTTATTTAAAAAAGGGTCACGTACTAGTTTGATGTTTATATGTGATACTGATATTTGATGCTGTTTGATTCACTCAGCCAACAAGACAATCACCACAACTACCTGAAGCAACCCCAGGTCCATCTCAAAGGTAAGACATTTCCTGTTTTATTTCCAGGTTGTATTCTTTTTTGTTTTTTGTTTTTGTTGGAATGAATAATACCTCCTCCTTTTTCCTATGAACAAAGAGAGACATTATAACTTATAACACTCCCAGTTGAAATCAGGTTTTATTGTTCATTATTGTCATTTGACTGCCCTGTCTCTCTTGGTTGTATTTGTGTCACTCACTACGCTCCGGTCCTGTCTGCTTTGTCACGTCTAGCACAATGGGTTTCAGTGGGTCAGCCTATCCTCTGTCCAGTACGCCTGCTGCCAGCGGTGTGGGCTCAGGAGGGGGCAAGATGAAGAGGGAGAGGACGACTGCGCGGCCTTCCTCCAAACGCCCTGAAGAGGATGAGGTGAGGGATGAATAAGTTATTTCTGTTTTTGATGCAGTTGTTGTTTTGAATTAAAGAAGCAGATGATTTCATTTAGTGATAAGATGTATTTTCTCTGGAAGCGGAGCTGACAGAAATACTCGTCTCCTGAATTTCAGGTGGCCGAGGTACCGGACCTTCCAACAATTTCACTCCCCATCAGCACCTCTGCTCTGCCCACCTTCAGCTTTACCTCCCCACTCCCACCTCCTACTACATCCACCACCATCAGTAACATCGCCAACGTCACGCCCATCACTCCCACTAAGGAAACAAATAAGGTTGGCTCAAAGAGAAAAGTTCACATTTTAGAGCTGTTGCTACAAAACTACAGAAACAACTCGCTAATTTCTTTTCTTTCTCCCTGTTTTCAGGAGCCACAGATGGCCGCCACACCTCCATGTGTACCTTTTACATTTTCCTCCCCAATTGTCAAAGCAACTGCTTCTAGCCCACCATCATTTTCCCCATCAGTAAGTGAAGTAGAGTGTAAAGCCCTTGATAGTTTTTTATTGATTTTACGACTCTTTAGAACATTAATATTTCCTCTTTTTCTTTTGCTTGTAGGCTGGTTTCACTTTTAGCGCACCTGTAGCAAAGTTAGAACCTAGCATGTCAAACGGGAAGCTGTCCACGACGATAGCAGCAGCAGCAGGTGAGAGTTGCGTCACACAGCCATGATGCTGCTTCTACAACGTTTCCAAGAAAACAGACTGAGTGTTTATATTTTTATGTTTTTATCTTTTTTGACAGCCAAGCCAGCAACGAGCAAAAGCACAGAGGATTTTGAAGGACCTTTCAAACCAGCCAAAACCCTGAAGCAAGGCAGTGTGCTGGATCTTCTCAAAGCACCTGGTGTGGATCTATATCTCATTTTACCATTACAGTGTCTGTTTTGTGTTGTTTGGGTTTACAGAGTTGTTCAGTGTTTTAATCACAATATTTCCTCTGTCAAGGCTTTGCCTCACCCGTCTCCCGGACTTCACCAAACCCAGATGACGCTCTGCAGCAGACCACCACACAGTCGACCGCTGCCACCTCCTCCTCTTCTTTCACCACCTCAACCACCTCCTCCTCCTCCACCCTCCCTCCTTTAACAGGGTTCGGGGCTTTAGTTAAAACCCCACCAGGCTGGAGCTGTGATGTCTGTTTGGTGCAGAACAAGCCCTCAGACACCAAGTGTGTGTGCTGTATGGCCCCACAGCCTGCCTCCTCTTCATCCAAATCTACAGACTCTAAGCCGTCAGCGGCCACTTTGGTGGGGCTAGAGAGCAGCAGCAGCACCAACACAACCTCCTCCACCACAAGCACCACAGGTTTCGGCACAGCGTTCTCCAAACCTGCAGGAACTTGGGACTGTGATACGTGTCTGGTTATAAACAAATCTGATGCAGTTAAGTGTGTGGCTTGTGAAACGGCCAAACCTGGGACAGGACTGAAACCCTCACTGACTCTTCCTTCTGCCTTTTCTGCTGCTAAGACTGTTTCCACCCCAACAGCCCCCGTTTCTACAGGATTTATTGGATTTGGAGACAAGTTCAAAAAACCCGAGGGTGCTTGGGAGTGTGATACTTGTTGTTTACAAAACAAGGCAGAGGACACAAAGTGTGTGGCCTGCTGCAGCGCTAAACCAGGTAACCAAAGTGTGGCCGTAATTAATTTTGGATATACTGCCAAGTCCTGAATCTCTGAGCGAACAACACATTTAAGGGAGATTTCCTCAAAGGAAAACCTGATTGTTTTTAAAAGCCAGATTTGATTTTACTTCATGTATTTTCTTTTCTTCTCCTCACAACAGGGGCATCCACGGGTTCTGCAGCAGCAGAGGGCTCCTCTTCAGTCAGCGCTGCTCCAGTGTTTGGGCTGGGAGATGCATTCAAGAAGCCAGAGGGCATCTGGGATTGTGATGTCTGTCTTTTGCAAAACAAAGCTGCTGATGTGAAGTGCGTCGCCTGTCAAGCAGCCAAACCTGGAGCAAAGGTGGAGCTCAAAGGTAACGGGAGCGACCTACTTTCAGGATTCGCATTAGAATAGAAAAAATAAATGACTTGAGACACAGTGTCGCTCGAATTTTGAAATGAGGCCCCCTTAGCGTTTGTAGCAGAATTGTGTAGGAGGTAGTTTTGTTTCATTTTCTTACGTTTATGCATTTGTGTAGTGAGATATTATTTTTCTCCTGGAATAGGAGCTGCTGTATCAGTGTTCTGCATTTCCTAAAAATGTCAGGATAACCACATAGGAGCTGAGAAACAACCTGTACCTCAGTGACTCAGTTCACCCTCTTATTTTGTTGTCTTTGTCTCTACAGCTTTTGGAGATTCAAGCTCCTCTACTACTGGAGGGTTCAAGTTTGGCACATCAGATAGTACCTTGGGGTCTGGATCTGGAGGGTTCAAGTTTGGCACATCAGACAGTACCTCAGGGTCCGGATCTGGAGGGTTCAAGTTTGGCACATCAGACAGTACCTCTGGGTCCGGATCTGGGGGTTTCAAATTCGGAGGCTCGTTTTCAGAGTCCTCTTCATCATCAGGTGGATTCAAATTTGGAAGCTCCACGTCAGAAGCCACCTCCAAAGACGCTGCTGCTGCATCAGGGTTCAAATTTGGCAGCTCATCTGAGGGCTCGAAATTGGATGACAAGAAGTCAAACCCAGAACCTGCTGCAAGTTGGTCCAAGTTTGGTACCGCTGGAGGTATAGTGTTTGGAACCGGATCATCTAACACAGAAAGTAACTCCTCTAAGGGTGGCTTCACTTTTGGTCTGTCAAAACCAGAGGAGAAAACATTAGATACCACCTCCTCCACCACCACCACCACCACCTCATCCTCTGTTAGTTTCACTCCTTCTGCTCCCTCTCAAGAAAAGAGTGACAGTGTGGACTCTTCAAACACCACATCAACAGTCACCAACTCATCCACAACCGCTACAACTACAGCTGGCTCTGTCTTTGGGGATATCGCCGAGTCCACCTCGGCAACTACCAACACCACCACCACCACACCACAAGGGGGCTCCACATTTGGCTCCTTACAGGCAGACAAACCGCAAGCTGCTCCCACGTTTAGCTTTGGGAAGCCGGAGGAAAAGAAGGAAGCGGCTGCCTCGGCTCCCTCCGCCTTTGTCTTCGGTGCTGCGAGTAAAGATGCAGACGCTGCGCCAGCGCCGGCTTCTACAGGTGGCTTCTCCTTCAGCAAGCCCAGCGCTCCAACGCAGCGACCTCCGCCTCCGTTTACCTTTGGAAAGCCTGCAGATAAGAGTGAAACTTCAACAGCGGAGGCCTCAAAGCCCTCTTTTACCTTTGGGCAAAGTGCTACAGGTGACAGTTGCCGTCTCTCTTAACCTGTCCTATCAAACAATAATGTAGACTTTCAGGGCGTAGATGCTGCAGCAGGGTAGCTCAATATTTCAGCACAGACTGAGTCTTATTCTTGACTGCTCATTTCATGTTTTTTTTTTCTTTGTTTTCCAGATTCTTCTGCTGCTGCTCAAAAACCAGCATTTTCCTTTATGGTGAATAATCCCACTAACAGCACTGACTCTACCACCCAGTCCTCCTCCACCCCCACACCAAGTCTGTTTGGCACCTCCACCACCACCTCCACCAGCAGCAGCAGCAGCGGCTCTACTCAGGCTCCAGCTCCCTCAGCAGCACCCAGCGCTTTCGTGTTCGGTCAGCCCGCTGCAGCTTCTGGGGACGGTCCTCCTGCCAAGGCAGCCTTTGTCTTCGGTCAGAATCAGGACAGCCAGCCTCCAGCTCCGTCAGCTGCTCCTCTTAACTCGACCCCAGCCCCTGCCCCGGCTCAACCCTTCATCTTTGGTGCTCCTGCCAACGCGCCTGCTGCTGCTCCATCCTTCAGTTTTGGAGCAGGAGCGCCCTCTGCTGACTCATCTTCAGGTCTGGATTTGATTTGAGTGCTGACATGATGAATGAATTAACAATTACAAATACTATATTTGATTTCGTTCTTTATTTTTGGTGTCAAATCTCTGATGTCCATGACCATCCCTGTTTCTCTCCAGCTCCATCAGCTGCCCCCTCCCCATTTGTTTTCAGCCCTGCCTCTTCTGCTGCATTCGGGGCCAACCAGACCCCTTCATTTGGCTCATCCTTTGGATCCCCCTTTCCAGCAACGCCCTCACAGCCCCCTGCCTTTGGGGCCAAACCCAACTCCACACCTGTCTTTGGTCAGCAGGCCAACTCCACACCTGCATTTGGGGCAACTACAAATTCTGCACCGAGTAAGTGACTAGAAAAGTACATTTGCAGCTTTTGTGAATAATCTGTACACCATCGAGTTTTGTTGTTGTAAGAACACTGAGGTCACGTTCAAACATGCAAATGTGTTGACATTAATCAGGTGGAGGATTTCAGTTCGGAGCAGCTAGTGCATTTGGAGCCACAAACAACACCTCAGGTGTGTTTACTTTTGGAGGAGGATCAGCACCCTCTCCTGCCCCCCCTGCCAACCCGTCAACAGCACCAGGAGGAGGATTCAACTTTGCACAACCTACGTTCAATGCTTGGTATGTTATGCATTCCAAGTCAACACATATGCTGACCCCCAATTTCCACCGCAACTGGAATGGCTACGAAAAGGCCGTATCCGCTGATCGTAGCTGATCGTAACCATTCAAGTTAATCTTTCAATTTCCACCAGCTTCTTTCCTTTCTGCAGCTGATCGCAAGAGTTCTATGTTTTCCGGATGCCAGATAAATTCAGCACAGATTAACCTGTGCTGGAAAGGAAGCCGGGCACAGACGCAAAACAAAACATCCGTCTTCTTTTCAAAATAAAACACTCCGTGTTTTAGGCGGATCATATTTCACATCATGTAAACGGGCGGGGACGAACAAGTGAAAGGTTTATAGACAGCATTTCAACCCGGTAACACCATGGATGAGGAGATGTTGATTTTATAAGTCTAGAAGTAGATTTCATCCTCTGGAAGGACACAATCTTATATGGTTAGCCCTTGTGGCTAAAGACGACTTGTTGTCGCGCAGTTGCATGTGAATCCGTGGGTTCTTGTGAGTTCTCGCGATTCCTGCTGTCTGTAATCCGCCATGAAATTCGCCTCACAAACAGATCTGGTACGATTTGGCGTATTGCGAAAATCCCAGCCGTTCCAGATCGCTGCACAGATGGTAAATGTAATTAAATTTTTGTATTTGCTCTTCAGGTCAACAAGATCCTTCCCAGCCTCTCCTGCTGGACAACAAGCAATCGCTGGGCGCAAGATCAAGACAGCGGTGCGGCGCAGGAAGTAGAGCCCCATGGACTCGACTTTAAAGAAGACTTGACTTTGACTGACTGTTTGTTTTACTTACTGAAGGCTGAATAAAGCTCCAGAAGGTCTGCACTGGACTCTGAAATGGCTTCACTTGAGTTGAACGGCCAAGGCTTGGGGGCCGCTTAATGCTTGGGCTGGACGTAGGGGGCGAGTTTGAGCTGATGGCTGGGCTTATTATTCAGAGGGTTTCACATGTAGACCAGAACTGTGTGAGGGCACCCCACAGGACTTCCCATGAGAAATCTGTCGACTAAACAAAGACACTGACTAACAAAACAACAATCAAGCAAAGACCCCTGCTGATCAACAAGCAAGACAGTCATATCTATATTTTCAACTACGACAAATGTCTGCTAGACTTGAGGCATGACTTTTTGTAATAAAATTACAAAGGCAAAAACTGCAAATCTAAAGAGATGCGAGTGTTCACAAAATCTTAATTAGTATGGGTGATCAGGTTATGAGCTGTGATTCATAGAGAGGTAGTGAGAGCTGTGCGGCTCATCTCCAGCGGTTATTCTGGAAACTTTTTGACTGCTCCGCCTACAGGAATCAAGATGCCGCTGGAGATGCAGCCCTGGTGTCAGTGCAGTGTGCTGTATGTACAGGGATGAGCGTGTAATCTTTGTGGTGAATGCAGCGTGCTTGTTTTTTTTTTTTCCTCATTATGTACAGACTTGAGGTGTGTTTGATTTCTTTGTACATGCCGAGGTTGCGTGTTGGTGTGCGTATGAAAACAGTTATCGCCTTGGTCGCTAACAGGCGTCGCCACAGGTGAGCAAGCAAATGAATGTTCAAAATAAAAATAAGGGGTGGATGGAAGGAAGGAAGGAAGGATTAAAGGGGGGTGGGATAGGGAGAAGAGAAAACGTATCCATGCACTGTGGAGGATGGACCGGGCCGGAGGCTTACGCCATCGTTCAACTCCTTTAGGACTTTGTAAATGCATCGTTTCCAAACTCTGTTACATGTTTGATTCTTTGACCCACTCTGGTTCGTCCCACTGCTCTGCTTTTGTGCCCTCTCTTATCTCCTTCTCTCTCTTTCTCTCCTCCTGAATCCTTAAACTCTCCCTCTTTACCTCTCTCTGCCTCTCCCTCTTTATCTCTCTCTCTCTCTTTCTCTCTCAATTGGCCTTTGAATATTATTATAAAAATCTGTAAATAGTGATGTTTTTTTTTTTTTTAATCTGTGAAGTTGAATTTTTGTGTTACCAACTCTGCATTCAGCATTTTGTCTTTAGAATTTGTTATGTAAATTCCTATATTCAAAGTTGCCCGAATCCATTTAAAAGGAGCTTAAATGCAAATTGGAGAGCCTTTGATGACTAAAGGTATATTGGCTTTTCTGATCCACTTTTGTTTGGACCAAAACCAGTATTGTACAAAGTATTAAGTATATATTTTTCTATTGCGTGTTTAAATGGACGAGGGTGACTTTGGATGTTAAGGAAGTCAGTTTAATTTTAAAGCCATGATTATTACTGGATGAGTGATAAAATTAAAAACCATGGGTAATTACCATCAATAAAACTATTAAAAAAACAAACTAGTGACTGTTGAAGCTTTGCACAGCCCTCTTCAGAGCACCCCGCCAATGTTCAATGGGATTCAGGTCTGGGCTCTGGCTGGGCCATTCCAAAGTCTCAGTCTTATTCCGGTGAAGCCATTCTTTTGTTGATTTAGATGTGTGCTTTGGGTCATTGTTGTGCTGAAAGATGAAGTTCCTCTTCATCTTCATCTTTCTAGCAGAAGGCCCAAGGTTTTGTGCCAACACTGACTGGTATTTGGAACTGTTCATAATTCCCTCCCCCCTGATTAAGGAACCAGTTCAAGCTGAAGAAAAACGGCCCCAAAGTATGATGCTGCCACGACCATGCTTCACTGTAGGTATGGTGTTCTTTTGGTGATGAGCAGTGTTGATTTTGTGCCAAATATACCTTTTGCAATGATGCCCAAAAAGTTCAGCTTGGGTTTCATCAGACCGTAACACATTTTCCCACATGCGTTTGGGAGATTTCAGATGTCTTTTTGCAAAATTAAGCTGGGCTCTGATGTTTTTCTTTGTAAGATAAACCTTCCGTCTTGCCACCTACCCCATAGCCCAGACACATGAAGAAGACAGGAGATTGTTGTCACATGTACTTCACAGCCAGCACTTGCCAGAAATTCCTGCAGCTCCTTCAGTGTTGCTGTCAGCCTCTTGGTAGCCTCCCTGACCAGTTTTCTTATCATCTTATCAATTTTGGACGGACGCCCTGTTCTTGGTAATGTCACTGTTGTGCCATATTTTCTCCGCTTGATGATGACCGTCTTTACTGTGTTCCATGGTATATTTAATTGCTTGGAAATTCTTTTGTAGCCCTCACCTGACTGATATCTTTGAATAATGAGATCCCTCTGATGCTTTAGAAGTTCTCTGCAGACCATGGCTTGTGCTGGAAGATGTGGCTACAAAAATGTCAGGAAAAGCAACTAGAACAGCTGATCTTTATTTGGGGTTAATCAGAGGTACTTTAATTGGTGACAGGTGTGTGCTGACTCCAATTTAACCTGAGTTTGAATGTTATTGGTTAAATCTGAACACAGCCACATCCCCAGTTATTGAAGGGTGTACACACTTATGCAACCACATGATCTCAGCTGTTTAATTTTACTTCACCTCCCTAAAAGATTTCTTTGTTTTTCAGTTGTGTTTTACAGGTTATGGGTCACATTACAGGTGGAAGAAGTTGTGAAAATATCTACCTTGATTTAATTTTTTTACATGACAAAAACCTGGCAGTTGAACAGAGGTGTGTAGACTTTTTATATCCTCTGTACGTGTCCCTGCATGGGTGTCACCTCTGTAACCGGGTCAGATTTATTGTAGCAACGGTCTCTTAGCAACGCATCGGGTCCATAGAGACTATCTGTGGAGGAATTCAAAGATAACCGTGTCAAACATTTGGGGAAAACACAAGAGGAAGTAATTTAACCTGAAATTTTACAACTTTAATGTAGTTATATCTCTTCGTTGTTCTGAGGTGAATAGCTATGGGATGCGGCAGTTCTTCAAACACGGCGGTCACACCGCTGACACCGGAAGAGGTGAAGAGAGACGAGGTAGGCTCCGTGTCACCGAGCCCGCTACTTTAAGTCAGTTCATACTGTGGAGAAGAGAATGCGAGTATATCCAGAAATGTACCGCTAGAAAAGTTAATATTTAGAGGCAGCCAGAAGAATTAGCGATATTTCGGCGGTTTCTGTGTGCTATTAAATATGGTAACAGGAAAGGTGTGTTGCTGTGCTGTACTAAACCTTTGTGTGCCCTATCTACTTACTTATAATTCACAGTTTTTGGTAGGAGGTAGGTATGGTGGCCGAGAACCGCCGCTGGAAAAAAAAAAAAAAATACCAAAAGTGCAGATTTTGAAAAAAAAAAAACCCTAACAAATGGAAGTTAACAATGCAAAAATAAAAAATAAAAATGAAATAAATATTACTTACCACGAAAAAAAGGGATGCAAATTAAAAAAGCCACAATGGGAGTGAGCTGCCGGGGACCAATAATGATGATGCACCGTTTTTTTACAATCTGGGCACAGAAGGTTATTGTTTAATTTCGCTTCGTGTACTTTTCAATGTTGTATTTGGTCAGGTCATGTTGCGCCTGACTCGATATGAAGTTAAACTGGAGGATGCCTGGGTAGTATTTGCTTCAATTCAAATTCATATCGACTCAGGCGCTACACGGCCTAACCACATTGGAAAGCACACGAAGTGAAATTAAAAAGTAACCTTTCTACGTACTTCTTTGCTCGTCATCTTCTGTGCCTAGATTGTAAAACACCAGTGCGTCATCATTATTGGTCTCCATCAGCTCACTTCTGTTGTGGCTTTTTTTTATTTGCATCCTTTTATTTTCGCAGTAAATAACAACTTTTTTATATCCATCACCACTTTTTTGTGTTGGTTACAATCGTGGCTTTTTTTTTATCTTCACCATTTATTTTTTCTTTTTTTATTGGCTTCTGTTTCTTTTTTCTTTTCTTTTTTTGCATCAGTAACTTCCGTTGTAACTTCTTTTTTTATTATTTATTATAATTTTTTTTTATTTGCAGCAGTGGCGGTTCTTAGCCACCGTAAATATCACTTTAAAGACTAGACATTATACGTGAAAGCAGTTAATATTTTAATATATGAGTTAGTAGCCTATTGTATCTAATCTATCAAGTAAAATTAGTGATGAAACTGCCTTAGTTAAAAAAAAATGTGCCAAGTACAAAAGTTTAAAAGAAAAATAGTTAATTTCTGCAAATATTGTGAATTTTACAGTCCTGTTAACAATGATTTATTTATTTTTTTAACTGGATTTAAAAAGTAGTGTGTATGATGAATACATGTGTCCTTTTGAGATTGTGATTTTAATGGTTTAGCAGGAGGAAGCCCCCTTACACGGACATAAATGCTATTAAACTTTTAAAGGTAAAAATAAAGTAATGTTATCAGCAGCTTACTGGCATGCATAAACAGCTTTTGAAAGAAATAGCTGGATGGTTTGAACTTCATGTGTACTCTATGTGTACTGTTTAGTTTCTTTTTTAAACAGTTTAAAGTGATAATGTTTATAGACATAATCATTTCAATCATAAAATCATGATTTTTGTTAAAATCATTCATGTGAATCAAACTCTGGTAGTTTTTGTTTATACCTGCAGTGTTATTCCTCCTCAGACTGTGGTCATGACAGTGTAGCGGCACGCAGATGTCACTATGGCAACCGCAGGTCATCTGATAAGTGTCTGTCTTCATGTTTTGTCTCCACCAGGATGAAACGGGAAGTAGACGTGGAGACTCAGCTGTGTCAAAGGTCACCACGGACAGTGGCGTGGTAATGGACTTACCCGGAGCATTGCCCAAAAAACAGCCTCCTTTAATGTGTGTCGGAGAAGGTGAGACAGGTAGAATCTCACACGACAGTATCTTTGTACACCAAACATGCTGAACATGATCCATGTTGTAGAGAAAACCCCTGACACTTCAATGAACTTGTTTTATCGCCAGGTTTGTTGCAGCAGGAGGGCGCTGCACAGGAGCACAAAACATCCAACGAGATCCTGGAGGAGCTGTTTCTTCAGGGCATCATCCCAGCCGGACAGCACAGAGAGAGCAGGGCGGGGGAGGCATACTGCATCATGGTGGGTACCTGGTAAACACTGGACACGGGGAAGAGAAACATGTCAACACACTTCTTCAACAGGTTAAACTTGTTGATATTGTTTGAAGTCTTGTTGGTGTATTTGAAACTTTATTTTATATTAGTTGAAGGATCGAAAGAAGAGATCCTTTCCTTCTTCCAAATATGATACTATTAAAACATCTTTAAAATGAATTCATGCTCATAATTAGTCAGACTTTGAGCAAACTGTTCAGTTTAGATGAGTTAAGTCATTAAGTTTGCATTAAGATTTGAGAATGGCAGGACAACTTAATTTACAGAGGCAGTGGTAATCAAAATGTATCAATGAACAAATCCTACTGCGGAGAAAAAACGTCTAATATTTACTCTCTTGTAGCTCCATCTGTTACTGTAAGAATTCTTAGACTGCTCTAAAATGTTCACTAGGTGCCGAGTACCTGCTCTCTCTTATATTTTCCTGATCTACACATTGATTTTTCCTCCCAATAAAAAGTAAAAAACTTTACTTCAAACATTTAAATGTATTGAAAGTATCGAGAGAACAAATCTTGGTGATCCAAAGAATGATTAAACAGTTTTAGATGTTTTGTTAATCCTGTAAAATACACACCAGGATTAAATCAGAAATCTTATCGTTAAATGGGGCCTGTAAAAAAAAAATGTTTTACATGTTTCATTGTTCACTAGAAGCTGTAGTGTTGAGATAGTGTGTTCTCTGTTTTTTAATATCAGCTGAATGAGAATGAAGGAGTCATGAGAACACCTCCTGCCAGGCTGGAGTCCTTGAAGACCAAAAAAGCAGAAAACCTCCCCAGCAGAGAAGAAATCGAGGAGAAGCTAAGACTGGCTGATGAGCGCCGCAAGGTACACAAAGTGTTTATTGGATAACAAGTGTATATATGAGTATATCCCAGTCATTTCTCATACACACACACACACACACACACACCTGCTCTCTTCTTCATTTCTCAGTCAGAGGAAAATGAGCTGAAGATGCGTTTGAGGTCCAAGTCTGCACACGGCGTTCGCAGCCCTGCACCTTTCTGCACCCCGAACGAGGACGCAGATCTCACCCCTGTGGAGACGCTTCTTTCGCCTTTGACCCAGGACACCTCGAGCTCACCAACTCACAGCCTGATCCCACGAGAGGCCGCCGAAGGGGGAGAGTGCGTGAGAGAGGCTGCAATTGATGGAAGAGAGAGCAAGGAAGATGTGAGCAGAGGAGAGAGGAGAGATAAGAAAGGAGATGGAAATGGAAGTGTAGATAAAAGAGATGTATTTAAGAGTCGTGAGGAGAATGGTGATGGAGAAGAGGGAGGAGAGGATGAAGAGGAGTTGACTCAGGTGGAGGAGCTCAAGGAGGATGAGATCCGCACAGCTTCAAGGGAGCTGGAATTTGATTCTCGTTTTAAATTTATATCAATTTAAACAACAACAAAAAAGCCACGGATGAGGGTAAGAGAGGTAAAGTATGAGCCAAAATTCTTCCTTTTGCACAGAAGAGACCCTTTACAAAAAAAACCTAATGAGGAAATCTGCAAAGTAGGCTTCAGTTAAATAGAAATAACACATGTAAGGAAGTTTTAATTGGCCCAGCTCAAAGAAATATTCGGGATTTAGTCTCACTGAATGCTTTTTAATTATCTGTCTTTGTGCTGTACATATCAAACTCATCTTTGATCAGAGAGTCTCAAGTTGCATGTAGTGTCCTTTATGCAGTTGTACTCTTGGACATAAGATGGCGCTGTTTCAGTGAAATAAAGTTCCAGTGCAGCTCCAATAGTCTGGTCATCATGTAAAGAACATGTAAAGAAGTGCCTTACACTGTGAGATGTGTAAAATAAACTTATTGTTTTATAAAGATCAAATTATTTTCAGTGTGTTGGGATTTATTATCAAAACTTAATACATTACGTTATAAATAAGAGGAGATTTTGATTTTTAGAGCATTTTTCTGAGTGGTTGAGAGGTGTTGATGCAGCCTCAGCGTGACCGGTCTCTGGGTATTCAGCTGTTCCAGTAACCTTTGACCCCCTAGCCTGACAGGTGTGTGCTACTGTCAAAACAGCCACAAAATTACAGTTTGGGCTTTTGGGCGTTACCCCACTTTGTCTTGACAATATGAATAATATTTACATGTGTAGCATACAACAAGACCACTTTTATTTGGACTATAACAGGCTTATATTGCTGTATAAAGGATTTTTCAGACAAACTTATATTACACACTCGTGGAGCCAGGGCTTATCTCACTGTGAATTGGTATGGCCTATAATAAAAGCTTTCTCATAGAAGTATAAGAGGATTCAGACAAGTCAGCATGTTGCACGTGAACAGAAAAAAAAACAATCCAACGCAACATGACCAGATCCCATTGTCTGGGTGGGATACTTGAAACTGTGCCCCCCTTGTTTTCACGGCTTCATTTGGACTCTGAAGCGCGCGTGGCTGCATGAATAAAATAGTGAGTGAGCGAAGACACCAAAGAGAGGCGCTCTATCAGGTTGCGCGTCCGTGTTACAAATAGTCCTGCGGTGGCAGTTCACATGGGTTCTAGATGGATTTGATGTTTTCAGAGAGTTGAGAAGTTTTAATCAGTTTTGAAAGTTTCTTTACAAGCAATGCGGGGCCATTTTGGACCACTTTGTTGACATAATTTAACTCCTGTTTAAAAAAAATGCAGACTGATGTGGTTTGTGTGTGCAGACAGAAGGTAACATGTAGAACCGCTCACAGACATCATGAATGATTCAACAGCGGAGCTCCCTCTCACATTACTGGACTTGAATGGTTCCTCCTGACTGTTCAAAGGGACAAACATCCAGCTGTCAGTCAGCTGGGTCCTGAGGAGGGCCGAATCCCACTTGATGCTTTAATCATTGATGTTCAGGCTGCTGAGTTCATTTGACTGTTTGATTCAAACCTTTCCTGACATCAGGGCAGTGTGCAATTCCATGCATGGCACATTTGTAGCTTGAGAGCTTTTGATTCACTTTTATAAAAAAAAAAAAAAAGGCATTATTTAAGATCCTTAAAAGACATAAATAAAAAAAAAGACAATATCTTTGGCCTTATTTTACCTTCAGTAAATAAATCACCTGCTCCAGTAGACCTTCCTGACTCAAACTCCTCAGTATCAGTCTTCCCAGTATTGGTATTATTTTTATCAGCGCTAAATTAAGCCCTGTTGAGTTAAGCTGTTGCAGCTGTTGTCTGTCAAACTCAGTAAATGAGCAACATAATCTGTTGTTTGCTCATTTAATTTCTAATAGAGCCTTTTTTTTCGCATTTTTTATTATGTGGACTACTCTAAAAAAACATGGATCACCCACTTCACAACACCTTGATGGACCAAAGGGCCAATGGTGGTGGACGGCTCCTCTCTCTTCGCTGCAGGACAGAAAGAGTCAGAAGATCTTTTGTACCAACAGCCATCAGACTTTATAACTCTTGGGTAAATAATAAATTACTTTTAGAGACATATTATGTGAGACAACAGACAATTGAATTTCCCTTTGGGGATTAATAAAGTTCTTCTTATCTTATCTTATCTTACAATTTTACAGATACATAATTGGGACATGGTAACCGCAAAGTGGTGTCCACATCCAGCCTCAATATGTAAATGTAAATGTTCTTTATTTATGCAGCCCTTTATAACAAGCCTTTCAGTGAACCAAAGTGCTTTATAATAGTAAATAAAAATAAAAACAATATAAAGCAATAAAAAAGTGTCACACACTACTGGGTATTATAAAGCCAGCGTTAATAAGTATGTTTTCAAACAAGATTTATAAAGGCCCAGGTTGGAAATAAGTCTCATTTCGGTGGGGAGCTTATTCCAGAGCCTGGGACCAACAACTGAAAAGGCTTGGTCATCCCAGTGCTTGCGTTTCGACCTGGGTACCCCCAGCAAAAGTTGATTTGGTGACCTCAGAGCTCTATCCGGTTAAAACGGTTAAAAGCTTGGTTAAATAGATGGGAGCGAGGCCGTTAAGAGCTTTAAAAACAAACAAACAAACGTTTAGAATCAATCCTAAAAGAGACGGGAAGCCAGTGAAGGGAGCTAAGGTCAGGAGTGATGTGCTCACGCTTGTTAGTGTTGAAACAAATTACTGACCCTATTCTTTAAGATCCTTATCCTTGCGATTTCTGTGAGCTGAAATGAAGGTTTCCTCACTGCTGATGCCAACTGTTGCCTTGTGTTTCGCTCATGATGGGCTCATGTTGAGTCTTTTAAAATGACATGACAGAGATTAACAGTCTAGATCTGTCCTTTTCAAAATGTTCTGACCTCACAGGAGACATCAGAGTGATTGAAACCATCAAAACCAAAAGAAGATGCAAAAAGTTACAACTTTCAAATTCTAGCTCTATGTGTGGTGGTCTACATGGTCTCAGAAAGTTGCTTTTATCAACCCAAAAAAGTGGACTGTCCTCAATGTCTGCTTACTGTCAGCCTATAGACTTCTCCTATAGTTAAACCTTATGCATGTTTTCAATGAAGAAATCTCACCAAAGATGGAAAAGACCAAAAATTAACAGACATTTTTGTGGAGGAAATCATATGAACACTTGATTTCATACTACTCCCAACATATAATCAGGTTCCTTTAGGCCTCTGATGGTAACTCTTGTTTTAAAAAGCCCGGATCTTCTGGGTAATGGTGCTCCAGGGTTTCACACCCAGCTCGCAGGTCTCCCAGCTGTTTGTGCGCGCTGGTGGGCGGGCTCAGATACGGACTGAACAGTTGGGTGGAGTTAGACAGCAGCGCTTTTAGGAATGGGTCCCAAACCTATTTAGTTAGACAGCAGAGTTCCCCAAGAAGAGCTGGAAACACCTGATGGTCTCTGTGGGACAATCCGCTCCATATCACTCACCTCTTTACTGTCGGAAGATCAATCTACCTCCAGGCTTCATTTTTGTCGACTTTTTGTTTTGTTTCTTCTTCTGAATAGTAACAGAGCCAGCTGATCACTCTTTTCTCTCCCTTCAGCCAAAGAAATATCGATAAGGAGACATTGCACTATTCTTCTTTTAGTTGTTAATATTTATTGTATTTTGCACTAACGATGCACACCACGCAAAAGGACACGACCTACACGAAGATTTTTGTAGGGGGGCTTCCCTACCACACCACGGATTCAAGTCTCAGGAAATATTTTGAGGTTTTTGGAGAGATTGAAGAAGCGGTTGTCATTACCGACAGGCAGACCGGAAAGTCCAGGGGTTATGGATTTGTAAGTAGCGCTTGGTTACACATCTGTCACTTTTACGCAGATTGCAGCACAAACTTTTTACGCATGAGGATAAAGTGTCCTTCACGATGCTTTCTACCACAGCATCATGAAAAAACATGAATACATCACTTTTCATCAGGTGTTTGAGAGTTGATATGTCAGTCCTGCCTAAATTTGTCGCCGGTCTATGTTGCAAACTCGCACTCGGGGACTTGTTGCGCTCCGGTATGCGCCCTGACACGTTCAGAAAGTTGGCTGACAGCTGCGGTGGGTTTGGGAAAAAGCGCACGATGATGTCTCGATATTACAGGACAGCTTTCTCGAGCGGTTTCATCATCTCTTAGAGATGTTTACAACTACTGTCGTGTCAGTTAGGGAAACATTTCACCCCCACTTGTCATAAACCTTCGTACGCAGATGTGAATTGATACACTCCGTCACCTTCGTAGAAAACTGACGAACAACAGATCGACATTTACACGAGCAAGACTGCTTTACGACGATTTAACATCAACCTGCAGATCTAAAGAAATGCAGGCCTTGGATATGTAGACCTCCTTAATACCTAAATAAGGCCATGAGGGTGTTTTACTGTCAGATGCTGTCAGTTTCTCCAGATTGTTCACCAAACACCTCTAACCTACAGATCTGGATTTTTTTGTCAGTTTTAACACTTTTAATCTTTTCTGTAACTACTTCTCCTGTAACCCTGGTCAGGTTTTGGGTCGCCTGTTGCCTCCCAATGTTACCCAATATGACAATTAAGATTTAGTATAATTTAAGTTGTGATAAATCTAATGTCTTGCATACCACGTTTGTCCACTTAGGCGCAAATATCCAAGAAGTACTTAGTTACCCCTAGTTTTCCTTGGACAAGTCAAACTTGGGTAAGGTTTGGGTCAAGTGGTACAGCAACAACAGATTCATTTTTTGAACCCTGAGTGTTGAAAGTTTGGTTGTCCCAGAGTGAGTGACTGAAGAGTCCTGTTCTGCCAGTCATCCCAGGCTGGCTCCAGTTTAATGCAGATAGTTTCGTCACTGCATCATGAGGATGATGGATCTATGTGTGCTGCCAAATACTTGTCACACACACAGATCTGACATACATACACAGGTCTGTGCAGGGAAACTTGCTTCTTGTTCTTTCTCATCTCTTTACAGTGTTATGTTGTTCTCTACATTTGTTGTCGAATGTATAAAAACGACAATCTGGGACAGGTGGGAATGAGAGCTTATAACCTTTTGGCAGCAGTTGGCAGCTATCCATTAAAGAGACTAAAATTCCCAGTGATGCCTCTTTATTGCGTATAAAAGCAAACTAGATTATTAGCTGAAAGTCTGACCACATCTGTGTTAATTTTAAAGAATGTAGATGTCAGATGAGGCATTTCATGGTACAGTAAAAAAACAACATTTCCTCATCCATTGCAAATATTCTTGTTGAGTCAATGAGGAACAAAAGCAGGGTATTTTGCCAGAAAACCCATTCGACACATGTTCAGGATAATATTTGCAAGCATATAACAGGTGTCACTTTGTCCACAGGGGGCGTCAAAGTCAACACAAACAAAAAGTTCCTCACAGGAGCTTGAAACAGATCTTTCTCACGTTGAGTTTCTTCTTCCTCATCGTGTCAGGTGACGATGGCTGACCGCTCAGCCGCCGACCGGGCCTGCAAGGACCCAAACCCAATCATCGACGGCAGGAAGGCAAATGTCAACCTAGCCTACCTTGGGGCGAAGCCTCGGGTGATGCAGCCAGGTAAGGAGATGATCAATACAAAGAAAAAAATATGTGTTTTTATCTTCTCAGCTTCTTATCAAATAAGCTTCTTGATAATATTCAAAGTTACACTGGGAGCAAGAGTCCTTGTTCCCAGGGTAACTTTGGGAGTGTGAGCCAGTTTGATCAACACAGCAGCAAACAAGAAAATCAAGTCAGTCCTTACTTATTTTCACCTCAGGGTCTTTGTGGTTTTTCAATAGTTGGAACAGTGTAAGAACACGTTTTTGGGATAATGCAAATGCTCAGCTCAGAGATGTATTATAAAAATTATATACTTTCATATGGTCTGAATTTACATGTTTTCCCTTGCCCTTTAATTGTTCTGCAGGTTTTACTTTCGGCGTTCCTCAAATCCACCCTGCGTTCATCCAAAGGCCTTATGGGTAAGTACAAATGAATCTCAGACAAAATGTGTTTGTAGACAAATGTTGGGATGTAACTCTCGTTTATGTAAGTTTTGATTGTATTTTTTTACACTCTAAATGGGTGTTAAGTAACACTTTAATTCTTTTACCCCTTTTTTCTCCCAAATTAATGATGGATGGTTCATAATTAGAGCTGGACACTGAGTTGTATGTAGCTTTGTCATCACTGTTCACCAAACAGCCAGGCAAACTGCCTTTACAAGGTTTGCCTGTTTGTAAAAATGTGTGTGAGTGTGTGTACATACGTTGTGTGTGTGTGTGTGTGTGTGTGTGTGTGTGTGTGTGTGTGTGTGTGTGTGTGTGTGTGTGTGTGTGTGTGCTGAGTGGACAATAATGGAAACTTCCAGCCTGACTGAATGTTATCTATCTTTCTCTGGTCCGACAGGCTCACTCTCGGTTAAGCTAAATCTGCTGGTTTGTGGAATAGTTCTGCGAGCGTAATCACAGATCAGAAAAAGGAATAACCTGTAGAGTCAAACACACACAAACAAGCTCTGAAAATGGTGATTATAGATGCATGTACGTGGGTTTTGTCCTTCTTTTTACTATATTTGAATAGAACTTAGAGCTTTGTGTGCAGTTATGAAGTGGTGTTGTTAGCTAAACCGTGTGCTTTCTCACTTTAATGATAAAAAAAAAAAGCTGGATTGATTGAATTTTTGGGGTGTACTTTTTTCTTTTTTTGTGGAGGTGTGTTAACTTTGCCATGGATGAGCAAAGTTTTTTCTTTTTTTTGGCTTTTAGCTTGTGTTTTTTTTTCCTTGTTAATCAGGATGTAGTGTGTCATGTGTCTTGGAGTGAGTGGTGAATTTTCTGTGTGATTTTTTTTTTTCTGAAATCACCTCAGTAATCTCATTCCTCACATTATTCTCTCTAAATAACAAATCCAAACACTGCTTTTGTGTGCTGAGAGCATATTCCTAGTGTTACTTGCATTTTTTCTTTACATTAACACAACCTAGGATCGGCAAATTCAAGTGTGTCTTCTTCCAAATGACCTCTGGCTCTCTTTGTCACTAAATCATGACTATCCTGTCTCTCCTCGCTCCTCTCTTCTACAGATGTGAATGTGGGAGTCTCATGAATGAATGACATGCTTATTAGTTATTATGCAAGCTCTAGCAACAAGAATATGTGTATATAAGTGTGTTGCATTGTTACATGCAAATCTGTGCTCTAACTGTGTGTGTGTATGTGTGTGTGTGTCTTTGTCTGCAGTGTGATACAAACAAATGTCTGGATGTCTCTCCCTCACTCTTTCTCATTCTCTTGGAGCGAGCTTTCGTCACATGGGCCTGTGGTGTTAAGGAAAACAAGCGCACCCATTGTGCCACACAAAGCCCCGAATGCTGACACTGCAGTCGCATGAAGCTCTGTGTTGTGTGTGTGTGTGTGGTGGTGTGTGGTTTGTGTGTGTGTGTGTTGGAGGGGGGGTCTGGTGACAGCATGGTAGTGTCTCTATCTGTCATGTAAGCAGAGCAAGGGCCATTTAAACAGGGTCAGACTGGCTGTTTTAGAGGCCTCGTAAGCACAAATTGTTTCCATGGTCTATGGGTTGATTTCTAGTGAAGTGCTATATGTAGAACAATATCATAATTGGATGGCACCGGCTGCCCGCCCACAATAGGTTTATTTATACTCATGAAAACTCAGTTTGAATCTCTAAACATTTTTAACTGAGAAAAACTTTTCTATGAGTAAGAACAGTAAGGGCCTGTGTCCACAAGAGGCATTTTTTACGCTGGTAGCACCTATTTTTATCCTGAGAGCAAAATCAGAATTGGTTAAACTTGTTTTTATTGCTAAGTTATCAGCATTCTCATTTAAAAAATAGTTGAAATTTCAACAGTGTAACTTCTCCCTTCCCAACCAATCAAAACCAAGATCATAAAGGGGCGGGACTTCTGATATAAACTTTGTCTGTGTCCGAAATGGATCTCTAATGCCTATATAAGCGACTACATGGGGGTTAGCGCCATTTTGAGGGTTGTCCAAAACCTCAGTGATTAATTCCAATTCCGATGGTCACTTACCGGTATTGGGCATCCCGTCATGCATTGCGTCTTGCCATGTAGTGTCCAAAACCTCCGGTAATTGAGCTCACTACATAGTCAGCTATATAGTAAAACCCCATATGGGGGTTAGGGGTTAGGGATTGAGTGATTCATTTCGGACACAGCCAAAGTCAACAGAGTTGTCAGAGGAGGAGTGACAAACCTGACTTATTTCGTCGATGGTACAGCTTCCAGATGTCGAGTTGCTGGCAAATGTTAGCATGGGACTCTGTTCTGTTGTTTTAAAACTTTCTTTGTAAGTAAATACAATTAATAGAAACAAATGTTAGGCATACAGTATATTTTATTTCAGACATTATGGTCACTACTGATTTAAGAGGCAATGAAGTGGGACAACTATTGCACCCAAGTTGGCCTAACAATAAATACTCTTAAAGAGAGGTTGTGGGCAGTACCTGCACAAAAACTGCTGTTAGTGGGAACAGGCCCTAAGATATTGTTTCATTTAATTTGATAGAAGACAATTGTTGGGCACCCGTGCTCTTCTCGTACACTTAATACACTTAGAGGCACCTTAAAGTCCTCACAGTGCTCAGAAACTCAAACAACCATGAAAAGATCATCAGAAAAAGTTTTTGTCCCAAGATAAATTCCAATTTGTTCTGCACCTACAATAATCCTTAAACTCTGAAGTCTGTTGACTGCAGAGTTGTTCACAACTAAGACAGTCACTCACTTAAAGGCACATAGGACTAGTTGTCACTGCACTGGACTGTAGTGTGGATAATACCAGCATAGATCATAAAACAGCCTCATCGCTACAGTGATATTTTTAATCCTCCCTTTTTATGAGTTCCTCGAGGAAAACAAGAGTAACTTTACAGAAAAAGACTCAGACAGACTTTAGCTTCCCATAACCAGAACCTCTGCTCGAGATGTTTGTAAGGGTACGTTGGTATGTGATTGCATATGTGCTGCAGTCAACCCAAACTGTGAAAAAGAGATTACTCTTTAAAAGCAGTAAAGAAGTTAGGTGCACGGTAAATCCGAGATAGCATCTAGAGGAACCCAAACACTGAACTGTTTTTAGTGATTTTTTAATTGTAAGTTTTGAAAAAAATAAAAATAAACAAGCTAAATTTTTTTTTTTTTTTTTTTACTGCGGAGAGACTTCCCTTATTTTCACACTTTTGTGAAAATTGTGCACCAGACAGTTGTCCAGTAAAAGAAGTTGCACAGCTCTTCAATCAATAAACCAATGAATACTATCAGGTTACAGGTATTACATACAATACAAATATTTCCTGTAACTGTTTTACAATATCTCTCTAAACAAACAAACAAACAAAAATCATTTCCTGATATGAATAAAAACATTCATGATACTGAGACATAATTCTTTGAGGTATGTCATTTTACTGATCAAATGGCAGAGAGATATGATCCAATACCTGCACTGTTTCTAGCATTTCCCTTTAGGGTCAGATAAGTACTTGTGGTACCCCTATAGGAGGGTGCAAGAAAAGTAGGTCTGCATAGATCCATTATTTGGGTGCCTTTCAAAATAATTGTGAAACATGCTGTACCATACTGTATCAGACCACTTATCAGAGGAAAGGCAGCTTAAGACTGAAGTCTCTGCACATGGGGGCACATTTCTATCACATGAGCTAAACTGGCGCCTTGTTCATTATTGAACTATTTGACTTTTCAAATGTTCTTTAACAGCTGCTGATACATAAAGAAAATAAGAGTACCTAAGGCTTAGCATGTTAGAATTGAGTCTAGCCCAATCGACAATGTGCTAATGGGTCAGATAGTTGCTGATCAGTTCGTCAGAGAGAGAAAGTAATGCAGCAGATTACTTATAGATGTGTGAACTGCAAACCTTAAACACAGGAAGACGACATGATCACAAATAAATATTTCGATTCATTTTACTGGCCTTCTATCTAACCTGTGTGCGTGTTTGTGCGTGTTTGTGTATGTGTGTGTATAATGTACATATGAAGACTGCCTTTGCACCCCCCAAGAAATCTTCATCTCCACACAGTAACACAGTTAATACCTTGCAGTTTCCTTTTTTCTTTTACTTCCTCTCGGTTGAGTGAATGTGCTGTGGCCTTGTTGTTGTTTCTGTAGTCAGTCTGGTCAAGGTGGACTACTCTTCACATATTTCTTCCTCACTGACGCCTTGCTGTTGTTTTGTTTTTTTCCTGTTTTTCTCCTAGTGCACTGTTTTTGGGTTGATATGTGGGTTGGATTGGATAATTGAGTGCCGATAATAGGGTTGCCACGATAGATCCCGCCTCACATCTTTTACAACTACAGCACCCAGTCTCTTTTCTCCCAATCAAGACGCAAAAAAGCGACCACCTGATGTCCATTGAAGCAGACTCAACTGATTATATTCGGCTTCTCTTGATGTTTCTTTCAAGAGATCAAGGAGCAAACTTTGTTCAAACTCACCCGCAGTCACATAGTTGTTGCCACTACAAAGAATCTACGACATATATCAAGTTATTTCTCGCCTGATGCTTCTTATTTGAGTTTAATTAAACTGAGATTCAATTTGACTAATCTTTCATCTCTTAAGTGAGGAGATAGCTGTTTTCCAGGAAATCAAACACCCAGATTAACACAGATATTTCAGTTTTTTTCTTGTTACTCCCACCTACATCCAACAGTTCCCCTCATGCCAGTTGTTTCCTGTTGAGTTTCCAAGCTTTATTAAGTCTGAGGGCCGGGATAAAGCTATGTCATCGAGTGCAAAATGTGCTCATTGTTCATAACTGTTTATTTAATCAAAATATCCCTCTGGGTGCTAACCTAGTCCCTACCCCCCTCCCGCCGCTGCCTCCCCAGCTCTTTGTCCCAACAGAGAGGGGGAAATGGCCAGCAGCGTCCCTTTTTGAAAACTGTCCAGCTGTCAAAGTGGCAGTGACATTTTCACAATGCTTCTCTTGGCTCATCCCCTCTGTCCATAGCCCTGACCCCCCCACACACTGTAATCCCCCACCCCCACCCCACCTCTCACTCCCTACCCTGCTGCAGCACCAAAGCCAAATCCCAATGTGATGGACGACGAGTTAAATACCCGAAACTTTTTCTGCCATCTCGCTCCCTTTGGGTCAAAAAAAGTTAAACTTCACTTCTCAATAAAAAACTTGAAAATGTGTCCCCCCTGTTGTTTCCCATAGAGTTCCTGACACCACCCCCTCCTCCGTTTGTTATCGTACTGATGTGATTTCTCAGAAGATTTGAGTTTACTTCTGGGTGTTCAAAGTTTACAACAACTTCATGTCTTCTTTTCACAGAGAGATTTCTATTTTGGCAACCCTATATTTTTCTAATCCCTACTAGCAGGCATTTCCTGGGTGTTCTTGACTGATGGATTGGACTGGGGCTGAATGGTGGGTGGTGGGCGGGTGCTTAGCCGCAGTGTGATGGAGTTGGGTTTGGTTTTATGGTTGGCCCTTTTACTATCATCAAACTCAGTTGTCATATGTGTTTGTTTCACAGCATCCCAGCACACTATGTGTACCCTCAGGCCTTTGTTCAGCCAAGTGTGGTCATCCCACATGTGCAACCTGCAGCTGCTGCACCTGCCACTGCCTCCTCTCCTTACATCGACTACACTGGAGCTGCCTACGCACAATATTCTGCCGCAGCCAGCGCTGCAGCCGCTGCAGCTTACGAGCAGTACCCTTATGCCGCATCCCCTGCTGCCGCAGGTTACGTGGCTACTGCCGGCTACGGCTATGCAGTTCAGCAGCCCTTAGCCACCGCAGCCCCAGGCTCAGCTGCTGCTGCAGCCGCAGCATTTGGTCAGTACCAGCCTCAGCAGCTGCAAGCTGACCGTATGCAATAGCAGCGACTGCAACCGTGGACATACTAAGCGAGGAGGCCCACCCCTGGCCACAGCTGATTTGTCTCAAGATGGAGCAACAAACGAAAAGGAAGAAGGAGTGGCCTCGAGGGTGGGCTTGTCAGCGACTCAGAGGCAGAGTTGCTTTGATGATGATGATGCTGGTGATGATGATGGTGGTGGTAGTGATAATGATGGTGAGATGGGAACTTTTACAGTAACTTTCCAACTTGCTGTGCTTCAACCAAAAAAATTAGAAAATGAAAAAAAGTTGCAGAACAAATAATGGAAAGAGATTTACTATTATTACTGTTGTTACTATAATTATAATTATTATCATTACTATTATCATTGTAGTAGAGTACTTATTTCTAGAGAAAATGCAGGAACTAATCCCTGTGGTTGGTATAGGTGTTGAACTAAGCCTTTAAGTCCTATTGCTGTCTTAATGTTAGTTAAGGAAACTGTTCTCTATTTTTCATTTGTGGTTTTCCACATGTTTATTTTTTTTCCAGTTATTAGACACCCTCAAACATTTATATTTATTATCACTATTGTTACATTGGGGGCTTTTCTTGTCTTTTTTCGTCTTTTCATATTTTGGACTTAATATTTTCTGATAATCAGGGAAATGGAACCGTTTCCAAAGTGTTAGCTATTATAATGTGACCTCTGTCAGGAAGTCAAGGAGTCGTAACATGTTGTGTCACACATATTCGAAGAACTACCTTTTATCTTCCTGATGCTGAATGTCCCTTTTTTTACTCTGTCGCTCGACCTCTTGACCTATGCGAAGCAAACAAATCACCAGGAGACAAAACAACAAAGAAAAATACAAAAAGACTGAAAATGTCATCAACTCTGACTCTATTCTTGGACTAAAGGGGGACTTTGCAAACACAACAAACGCACTGACAAAAGGGGAGAGGTTGGAAATGGCTTCAGACAATGAGAAACACTAAATCAGTTGCTTTTCCACACGTTTCACTCGCTCACACGTACAGCAACACATGCATCCAGAGTTGCACACATGGCAGTCAAAGACAAAGGCAGTACAGTTGTGTTTCTCTGTGGCTCTCGGATAGATAGAAAGAAAACGAGAAAGAAAGACAGAAAGAAAGAGGGAGAGAGAGAGCAGCTGCTGGTGGGGGTGGACAGAGCCGCTCCAGTGCCACACAGACAGATCACTCTGGAAAGAACGCATCACTTGTGCTCGTTTGTTGAGCTGTCACATTTTAATCCCTGGCCGGGCCCATTTGGGAACCAACTTCACAGCCCTCCACCCAGCACAGAGCCCCAAAGCAGAGCCCCCACCCTACCGGTCATTCAGCCCTGCAGCTGTCAGCACTTCCACCTCTGTGCTGCTGTAGTCTGGTGTCAGGTATACACTCACAAACACACACACAAGCTTTTTTACCAAAGCCACCCCAACAACTGGCCTGCCTCATGTCTGTCAAGAACACCAGGTGGGGTGGAGAGGACGAGGTTTTGACTCTGTGACGTTTTGTTGGTCTGTGTGCCTTACATTTTTACTGCTATTTAAGAAAGATAACAAAAAAAACAGAAAAAAAGAAAGAAATATACTATTTAAGATATTTATTTTTGAGGGTTGACTATGTTGACGCTCCAAGAGTAGAGACTTAGTGGCGGTACTGTATTGATAATATTATTATGTACTCATCTCAAGGCATATATAAGTTATTGATTAGTTTTAGTAATAATATTATTATGATTATTATTATTAACATACTCAACCAAAATGTTGATGTAGAACTTATTTAAGATACTGTTACGTGCACTGTACTTTAATTTTTTTTATCTTCATGATTCTTGAGAACATGACATTTAATATTAGCTCAATGCCGTTATACCTTTTTTAGGAAGGAAACTTTATTTAAATGCAGGCCTGTTTGCATGCAGATTGTACTCTGCCTCCTCTGTGTTTAGATGAGAGCGAAAAAAAAATTATTTTCAAAAACAAGCAAAAATGCTGCTTTCTCCACTAGAATGTATAGTTGTTGTCGAGGTTTCAGTAGCTGTGCTCCTTTTGCTTAATATTCATCAGATGGGCTATTTTACACTGTAGGGAATTTTTATACTTGAACCATTTCTTACAAGGGAAATATGAAAAATAAATGAGAAACAACTTTCTAAGGAAGCTTTTCATTATCACTGGATGAAGGCATGTAAAGTGTTACCATTTAAAATGCAAAGGTTCTGTTGATATTGAAACCTTTACTTCAGAATTTGAACACCATCTACTCAAAATTGGAATAAAATGTTCAATATTTAAAAACAACCTGGTGATATTTCCTTGTCTTTCTTTATGTTGACTGGCCAAACTGCTGTTTAATGTACTATTTGAATGTATGCATCTGAAGGAAAAAATTACACTCCTTTGCCTTTTACAGTAACCTTCCTCAAAAAATCCTAAATATCAATTACCAGCTAATTTTAGCTGCTATACATACATTAGCTGTGTGTCCAATAAAGGGGTCTACACTCATAAGAGCATTTCTAGATCGTGCCACGGCAGTCAAAGGCGGTGCCATGTCTTAAGACTCCTTCAAATGTGTCCTACCTTTTCATCCTCCTACAGAGGTTCATTGCCATGACACTTAAAACAAATATGTGTATCATTTATAATTCTTTTTTTCAATATGGTTTTAGTTTACTTTCTGATTTGGCTAAATCTAGCACAACAGCTAGCTTTAATGGCAGCTTGTAAAATGAAACAAAAATAGATTTTGAAGTTTAAGATGATGAAATGCTTAACATAATAATAGACTCATACAATAAATTAATCTAAAACTGTTCTAAAGTTTCATTCTACTAAACTCAATTTTAGTACAAACTGGGATTTTGATATTTTACACTATATTATCTGTGTAATTATTCAATTCTGAATACTTTTGTGCTAGACGGCCTGCACTTGTGTATAAGTTTGAATTTGTGTGTTACTTATTTCTCTACCTAAGGTGAAAAATACCCCGACATGTCAGATGTTGCACCGCTCCTCATCACTGTGACACATTACTATGACACCCACAGTTGGATACAACTGATACATAATAAAGTCTCCAAGGACCGAGTCTATCAATGATTGATGTGTCCTCCAATCAATAATTCATTTTATGCATGATACTGTGCCTCTGCCTTCTTTTACTTGGCTACAGGGTGTATTTTGGTCTCTGCTGAAACATGACACTAGCCGACATGCTGTAGCTCTGTGACCATGACAAAGCAAATGCAGTAGCGCCTTATGGGTGATTTTAGCTGCTATCATGTTGTTTGACTCATGAAGACACCTCTAAAAAAACTGATGATGTAGAACTGTAACAGAAGTCCAATGAAACATGACTATTTAGATCAGCGCTGTATTCTGTTTTTTTATAAGTAGTTGTCAAAAGATAACAAATGTTCAACTAGATGTTTGCAGGTTGGTTGAAAGCCTGAATGGAAAGTTTGTTTGAGACGCAAGATCTTCAAAAAACCCTTAAAGGTTTAGACATTTGACCAGGGGCAGCGGTAGCTCAGGAGGTAGAGCGATTGTCCAATATCCGGCAGGTCGGTGGTTCGATTCCCCCCTATCCCAAGTCTGTCCATTGTGTCCTTGGGCAAGACACTTAACCCACCTTGCTCCCAGTGTGTGTCCTCCACTGGTGTATGATTGTAAGTGTTGTGTGGTGGTGGTGGTAAGAGACATAGATATGATATACGTGCCTCAAAGCCTGACGCTGCCTATTGGAGCTCTCGTATCAGCATGGTTGCCATCTTGGGTGGGTCCCCTGTGCACCTCTAGTGCATTAAGGTAGGTTGGAATGCCCTACCTTATTGATAATAACTCTCTGAATCTCTGCCCGATTTTCACACTGTTTGGTTTGTTACAACGGCAGAGATGTAGCAATAATGCAGGACAATGTCACACATTAAAAATAAAACAAAAATATTTTTTCAATCCTATTTGTAAAATGTAATCCTACATGATCTGGTTTCAATACTGCGTTGGGTTTTTCAACCATAGAGTGCAAAAAAACGGGCATAGTTGCTCTATCTCCATTGACCCCATTTGGCTCTTGAGCGAGCCTGGAGTGGGGAGACCCATCCAATATGGCGGCAACACTGGATTACACTCCAGCAGGTATTGAGGCGTCTAATGTCTATGATTAAAGAGGCTGTAGGTGCAAACTGGCCCTAGGGTAGCTGTGACTACACAGGTAGTTTACCACTACCAGTGTATGACTGTGTGAGCAAATAAATGATATCTCCAATGTCAAGTGTCTCTGATAAAGCACTATATGAAATTTGATGCATTCATGTAATTTAATAATATATTAAATATTAACAACCCAACATGCTGGGTTTAATGAACCCAATTGTTGGGTTAAGTGAACCAACCCAATTAGTTGGGTAAAATTTGCATGTGTTCTGTCCAATATTGAACTAGCTCTGGGTTGGGAAACTACCCAAATTGGATTGTTTTTAACCCAATGTTTTTAAGAGTGTATATAATTGGATATTTTGTTCTGGGCATGTCCTTTAAACATCTTGGATCTCAAAGTGGGAAACCTTGCTGACCTTACAAGTGGCCTACTATGTTTTTAGACCATGTTTTCGTGATTTGAAGATTTTCTTGGACTCCTGAAGAAGGTACCCCTGTAAGTTTGGGTCCCTTCCCCGAGCTGGGAGCGACCCGGGCTGACATTTCCACAACGTCCATTACTAGTTTATTTATAGCTAGACTCTCTCAGGCTGCCATGTTGCCTGCGAGGTAACAACCCATCCGCCCCAGACGAGATACTGCGGCACTGAGTCATGGTCCGGGTCTGTGCGCCTCTCAGGTTCGTCGTGTGGCTTAATTAGGAGATCCCGGAAGAGTCCCGGCCCCGCGCGTCGCTGGGTGACGGGACGAGAGGCAGGAGAGGACCGCAGGACAGCAGCAGCACACCGCTACGACTCTGTTCAGGGATATTGACAGTCCAGACAAAACATCCCATCCCACAGAAATAATACGCGGACCAGAGGAAAGAGGTAAGTTGTTTCTACACTCAAAGTTAGTGGACTGTGAAGGAGCCAAGTGGAGGAGGTGTAGGAGGAGGGGGTGAAGGGGGTAGCCTACTGTCCTGCAGCTGAAGAAATGTCCAGACCCCTCCATCTGTTTTCTCTGCGCATTGGTCTCTGGTATCTAACAAGGGGATTTACAGACTATAAAGCAAAACGTGTTGATATTTTATGAATCATTTTTCCTCCCTGTGTCACTGTGGATTTATGAAGCATCAGATTTGAAGAGGGGTGGGGTAGGTGGGGTGAAAGTCCTGTCAGACATGTCATGTTTTATTTTGAATCCTGGTCATCTTGTGCATGTAACAGACTGAGAAATGAGCACCTATATCTGGCTCATAGAGGATTAAAACTGCTTAATAACGTTTGAAATTGTTGGTCAGTAGATAAACTGTTTTTAGGGATTCAAAATGAATTTCCACAAGGATCAATTTTGTAATTTCTGCACCTTTTTACATCAGCTTAGCATTTATTTTCAAACCTAATCCATCAGATGGCATGGACATCCTAACTTGTTCTAGAAAAAACATTTTCACCACAATAAAGATCATGAGATACTAATATCTGATCCAGCTACCTGATTTTACACTGTGGTTGAACAATAATTTTAATAACACAGTTTATTGTCCGTCAAACACATTAAGAGCATTTCTACAGATTGCTTTTCTGCGGTCTTATTTTAATATCTCTTTTAATTGAAAAAGAATTCAATGGTTTAGTCATTTATAGGTGATAAAACGATAATGATATATTTCAAAAATTAATTTCCGACGATATCGATATGAAACATGGTCAATATGCATTTCGATAGCTGGCATTCTACTGTGTTTTGGTAGACTATAAGAATAGCCAACGAAAAGAGGAGTCGCTCAGAGTTCGCACTGCCAATTATGTCGAGTACATGTTCCCGCAAAGTCGGGGGAAACCTCAAATCTTCGCAAAAGTTTACAAACTCCGAGCAGAGCAAGTGCAAAGCAGCCCGCAGCAACTGTGCAGCCAAAACAGCCGACCATTAAGTTCGCTTTCTCTAGCGCAACGTCTTCCTCTACTAAACTTTAAGATTTTAGTTTTCAAATTAATGTTTCTTACATTCATTTGGAGTTGTGTATCTGTTTGAAACACTTTTATGTTACATAAGTTCATGTTCAACTTTGACAGAAATTAAATACTGAAATAAAAATGAACCTTATGATATCTTTAAATTCACTTGAGATTGACACGTGATATACATTGATATCAACTGATATGTAAAAAATATATCTTGATAAACTTTTTCCCATATCGCTCAGCCCTAGTTTAGATCATCAGTTACTTTATTGGTCATTAAATTATACTTCACAATTCACTTATCCTGAAATCAACAAGACCACCAGCTTTCACAAACATAGTCTTGCTGTCTCAGCTTCCTGTTTTAGGGGCACACTGAACAGGTGTAGCACTTTCGAGCTCTGCACAATACACATAATACCTTTATGTAGTTAATTTCACTTCTGCTTCATCTTTAATCTCTACAGGCTTTTGCTGTAGCACAGGACTTTGAGACCTATAGGATGTCTTACAGTAAGTCCATAGCAGCAAACTGCAGGCGGAAGCCCAATATAGCCCCCAAAGATCAGATACCAGACTAGAGGGTTCAGGAGACACAAGCTGCAGGTCAGGGTGAAGGCAGTAATATCTTTCCACTGCCGGAGCATGTGTCTTTTCTCAGCTGTTGGTTGGGGGGTCTTATGTGGCAGAGTCTGTCGCCCACCTGTCTGTAGGAACAAAGGGGAAAGTGTTTCCACTCACTGAGGGCTGTAGACTACCAATACTTAATACAGCTTATTGGTGTATTAATACCAGTGACTGCTATGCTTTGCTGTTTTGTAGTGTTGAGTAACTCTGTTTTTCCTGGTTCGGCAGAAAGAGTGTAATTGCCTTTGAGACTTTGGCTGCTCCACACTACAGTCAGTGCAGATACCGGCTGTTTCGGTCTCATGGTTTTGAACATGTCTTAACATAGTTATTCAGTATTAAATGTGGTTTTGGACTTTAGTAAGCACTGTTACTAAGTTTTAGTCATGTATTTAAACACTAAAACCAAAGAATCATGTTAACTTCTACTACTTACAATCTGCGGATAGTTTTCTTCAGTAACCAGTTTATTGTTTTGTTTTTTTGTTGGCAGAAATGTGAAAGATGAGGTGACACCCTTGACATTTAATGCAACAAACCTTTACATTTCAGGGGTTTTGCCAACTCTTCCTCAGTGATGTACTGACATGCTCTAGGATGCTGTTACAACATTGGTTGTACTTACAGGTGCAGCGGAGCAAATGTAGCCCTTTAATGCCTGACACCACAAATTATGGTCAGAAAATTCTTTTTTTTTTTTGGAGCTGAAATGTTTATTTCACTTACTACTGAAAACCAAAAAAATCTAAATGTCCTTAAAATTTAACAAATATATTTATTTATCTCATTTGATACATTTTACATGACATTTTTATCATTTATCAGACTGTATTCAGGTGTTTGTTTTTGGTAATTTGTTGATCATACTGATTTGATAGAAGTATGTAAAAGTATGTATCAAATATGATACAAAAGGCAATAAAGGGATAAGAGCCGGTCAAATAACTCACCTGTATTGGCAGTGGCTATTTAGTCTACTGCAATAAATCACTGATGAACTGAGGTCTCTTCTAGTCTGATAGAAGACATCTTCAAAACTTTACTTGAAATTTTCAAGTCTATATTTTTCTCCCAGTTTTTATTTTTCTGGTACCAAATAACTCTCTTTTTTTTGTTATATGTAGGAACAGCTTGTGAGACAAACCAAAGTTTTATAAAGACAGAAACCTGAACTTAAACTTTGGTATCCAGTGTTTAAAATATTTGAAAGCCGGAAATAATGCGTGAAAAATGAGATACATTTACCCATATTAAACTCACTTAGTGATCTTGCTCTGTCTCTAGATAGAGGGATTTAAACTTGTCGCTTGAAATTGATCTCCTTTGAACTCTCCAGGTTTGAGCTCTTGCTTCAGAGCTGTAGTGACCCAGAGAGCAGAAATAGACACTGAGTCCTATACGAAAGGCATCTGGCACTGCTGAGAGGTTTCTCCAGAGAGATGACTCGATGACGCCCATCCTCAGGACGTGTTTTCTCCTCCCAGCACATAATTACTTAGATTACAGACAGGGGACATACTCTGGTCTGCATAGCTGTCATAATACCGTGACTGTTATATATGTTTTCTAAATAAGTCCAATCAAATAAAAGTTATAATATACACAGTTGGGTGTTGTAATGGCCATGAAGAGAGAGAGTGTCAGTTAAGGTCTTGCTTGTTACCTGGCAGTAGTGCGTGTAAACATTTAGTCATTTGCTGGATTGAATTCCACCATGTTGACTAATAAATATTGGAAACAGGCCTGCATTGCCACATGGTGATGTATATGTCTGGTCAGTGTTCACAGAGATATAATATGTTCTCACTGAAGGCACTCAGTAAACACAGATTATTTACTGAGTAATGTAGGAAAACACTTCTGCAAACAAACTCTTTACATCTTCTGTTGTTCAATCAAAAAAACACTTTTCTCACCTTTTTTTCATCCCGTTATCTTCATTTTCAAGACATGCCTTGAATCAAATGAAAGGTGTGATGAACAAAAGTAATATACTCGTCAATGTATCACTACAACATTTATCAGACACAGATCGGAAAGGTCATGGAGCATCTTAAGAAACCATTCCTGCTTTTGTTTTTAGGTTTGTCACCATGGAGGGTTTAATGGAGCGGCTGGAGCGAGCTGTGACGCGCCTAGAAAAGCTGTCGGTCACCATGCAGACGCCCAATGGCATGGCTAACGGGGACTGTGTGAACGGTATTGATGGAGGCAAGTCCAGGTTTTATAGATGCCCGTCTAAGGGGGTTTGCGGAAATCTTCATTCCATTCAGCTATAATATTTATAAGTTATAAGACTTGGCAGTGATTTTTCTCTGTGTTTTCAGGTTTGTCTCAGTGCACCGAGGCCTTTGACGTCTTAATGAAAGGTCCTGTGACAGAATATCTGAACAACAGCCAAGCCATTGGAAGCGAGGTGGAGAAACATGTAAGTCTGGATGAGTTCACCTTCAAGCCTCTGAATTGTTGAAACAGTATCTATACGCTTGGGATAAGAAATAGAACCCAGACAGACATTGTGTGACAAGGATGAATTAGACAAACACCTGTTCATGCACACAGACAGATGTCACCTCAGCTGCTGTTCTATCTCTCTGTCAGTTTGTTTGTCTGCTGTGATGGCTGAAGAGATAATGATTATATGTACATGTTCAATTTTCTCATCTTGATTACTGCTTATTTCTTTACTTCATATATTAAGTTCAGAATAATGTGTGTAAGCGAGAAGACTGACACAACAGCAGACTAACTGTTTTCAGTTCTAATTAGACGCTAGTGTTGAGATGGCTGTCTGTCATGATAGCATGTACTGAGTCAGGGCCAGTACCAGATAATCACATTAAACTATAATCCATAAACGTAAGGTAACAACCGAGACCCAATGGTGCCGTGACAGCAACGCTGTGATTGAGTTTGAGACAGTGAAAATATATATGGTATGTTGTATCTGAACAGGTTAGCTTATGAGCTAAAGTTACTTAGCACTGATGAAAGTTAAAACAAAGACGTTTAGCAAACTGTTAAAGCACACAAAACATCGTCATATGAGAAATCTGACGCTATGACTCTCCACAAGTTGTCCTTCAGGTCGTTATCTTTGTAATATTTGTGTCTTTTATCAAAAAGCACTCTGTTCTCCGACACGTAAACAATCAGCCGGTCGACCATGTTGGATATACCGGTGAATCAGACGTCGCAACAACACGAAATCTGATTGGTCAGAGGTGGACACACAGTATGCGAAGAACAGGCCGTTATTGTTAAATTTAGACTGCAGTAGAGTTCATATGGTTTCTGCACATTTTTGGGTGATTGGTAGAAATTTTAAAAAATGTTTGGTTGTTGGTAAAATTAATGAGACTAAAGATGTTGCTGAGTAAGTATTACATCTCAACTCTTGGTTATTGATCTCAAATTTTCAAGTATCAATTCATACACATAAATTTTACACAAATGGATATCCTAATTTAGATCTAAGTAAGATAAACTTGACTGTATAAATCTGAAGGGCTCTGTGTATGGGAGGTCTATGGTCCAAAAGGTTTCCTGTCTTTTGCAAAGCTGGGGAGGATTGACCCGACGTTCATTTATCAAACTGCTGGTGGAACGCTTCTTCCTATTTGGTAATGACCGGTACCCTCAATAGGACTCTGTGTGTTTTGTGTTGAGCCAGTTGGCAGTAATTGCAGTGGTTTGCCCTTGTCAGCCAAACAACAAGATTTGCTCCAAAACAGAAAGAAAAGATTTCTATCTCTGTATCCCATCACTGTACGGGGTTAGAAGGAGGTAGAGTGTGTGAGTAAGAACCAGAGGGAGTTTTTCCTTGTCTAAAGAGCTCCTTTTATGGTCGAAGCCTCCCTGGTGGTTCCCTTGGCCCGCAACTGGAGGTTCAATCGCACACAGGACACAGCTGGCTGGGACAAACCAAAACTTTGTGTGTGTGTGTGTGTGTGTGTGTTTTACGATACCTTTTCAAGTAGTAGATAGGCAGATTCACTCCCTAGTTTCCCCAGCCATGTTTAAGAGAGGAATAGAGTAAACAATGGAGAATGAAGAACAGGCTCTGCAACATGATGAATATTCAGTATACATAAAATGACAGGCTGCTAATTATGTTACACTTGGTGTGTTTTTTTAACCATGAATCAAACCTATCTGACTTTGTATTGACAGGCAGAGATGGTGAACAAAGCGTTGCAGACTCTGCGAATTTTCCTAAAGATGGCCACCATGCATCAGGAACCTGCACAGGTACTGAAACCTACTGATCACAAGACAACTGATCAGTCACCCTTGTTACTGTTTATCTGATTGTGTTTTCACTGTAAGGATTCAGGTATTTTATTGCATTAAAATAGTGATGGGCACGGCAGTTCTTTGAGATGTACTGAATCATTAGAATCAGTTCACTAAAAAGATTCGTTCAAAAGATTCGTTCACCAAATCACTGAATCATGTAGCGCTTGGCTGGAGAAGCCTGCGACTCCGACCTCCTGAACTTATACACGGCTGAACGGTTCAGGATTCAGTTTCTGGGACTGGGAGACGAGAGTGTTTTGCTGTGTTGCTTTGACAAACAGGTTTGTAAAAATGAACTTGTTTATAAGTCATGATGTTTTTGTGTACTGTCCTATGGTATGCCATTTATTGGCATGCACCGTTCCCTCGCAAATCGATGCAATGGGATGGGATGCGCACTACTTGTTACATGCTGTGTCCTATTGTATGCATGTTGTAGTGGCAATTAAGCAGTGAAAAAAAGGTAGTTTTGCCTGACAAAAATGATTCCAGAGAGTGTAGTTCAATGCGTGATTCGTTCACCAAGTGATTCAGGTGTCGGTGCATGCGGTCCCTTGTTCGCCGGTTGCTCAACTGCAATGCTATTTCTCACTTTAGTTCAACTAAAGTGAGAAACGAACTAATCACTCGAGGAAGTGATTCGGATCAGTATGTTCACTTAAAAGATTCGGTTCTTTTGAACAAATCGTTCGCGAACGACACAACGCTACATTAAAAGACCACCCTGGCTAGCAGTTATTCCTATCTTTACAGAACGTTAGGGATAATATGTCACCATTCAAACATCGGCGTATCTTTACTGCATGTAAAACAACAGAAGTTATTCAGTAATTTATTCATGAGCAACAGAAATGTGATTAATTTGTCAGATATAATGAGATTCTTGTTTAGGACATACTCTGAGAGCAATCGAACCATGTGACCTGACACCACTGCTATGATTGGCTGCTGCTGATTTTGTTTCCAGAGAAAGCTCTCAGCAGGTGTTGCCCAGAGCTAATCTAATGCTACAAAATGCGTCAGATGTTTCTCATTTATCACCTGATCTGTATCTTAGTCCCGAGTGTCAGTCAGTGTCCTCCCCCCTCCTGTGTCCCCCAGTGGGCTGGGCCGTTTACAGAGGGGATTACTCCTCTCTTTGAGTTTGAAAACGCTAATACAACACATTCCCAACATGTTCACGTTTAGAGAGAAGGGTGTGTGAGAGAGAGAGCTGATATCATCCTACTGGCCCTCTGTTTGTGCTGTGTGTGTATGTGGATGTGTCTACAGAGCCCACCAGGAAGTGATTACTCCGTATATGTCAGGTCATTGGCTAAGAGGTGGAGAAAAGAACAATCAGTGATCGTCAGAAATGCAAACAAAGATAGAGTGAGGATTTTTACAGGGAAAGGGACAGATTCAGAATACATTTTTATTCTTTTATGTGAAACCTTTCAAGATTTTGTACGCCTTGGGTAATGTTTCTTATTCTTTCTTATAGTTTAGATTCAATCAGATTTGAGATTCATGCTCCATCATGCAAGTTTGTAAGAAAAACGTCTCAACCAGCAACTGAGCTTGGAGTTCACATACTCCGGCCTATAAAGCTGGACCTGCTCCAAGTTAAAGTCTTACTCTTTGCTGTTTATTTTAAGGTTTAAATCATTTCCTTTATATGAGATGTGGAGATTTCTCTTCCCTTTTGTCTCGCTGTGTTTAAGAAGTGCTCATAGCTCTTAAGACTTCATCATTCTTCATCCACCATCCTCTAGCTATTATACTGCTAGAGTCTGACCCGGCTGTCTCAAGCCATGTTCTGGTCGTGTGATTAAACCTTCAGATAATTCTTCTCTCTTTCTTCAGATATTTTATTTGCATCATCAAAGAAAAATCTCCTTATTCACACCCAGGAGAGGGGTGGAGGTACGAGATGAAAGAAAAGATGAAGTTCAGTCAGATGGGGAACCTCAAACTAAACAGAGAGAGACAGAAAACAACTTCATGAATTTCACTAACTCTCCCAGTTTTCCATGAGGAGTTCTATTATGCTTATTAAGTCGTCTGAAATTCACATGGATGCCTTTTCATCATATCCAAAAGCCAGGAAGACCATAGGCAACAAGACTGACAATTGTTGTTTCATAATTTTTAATGCATGAACCTCTTTCGAGGAGATAGGTGACAGCCTTCCAGCTATAGAAACAGCCCTGTTTTTATAGTGTACAAATAAGATGCTCATAATAGATTTCATAATTAACTGTGGGATGTCAAACATGTAAAAGACAAGATAGATTAAGACTGTTTATACCCCCAGGGGGCGCTACAGTTGACACAAACTGAAAGTTCCACATTGGAGCTTTAAGAACTGGTATCATCACAGATCCATGGAGGCTGTAGTTGCTGATTCCTTAGAAAATTACATTTTATTTTTGGTAACAACCTGGGATTTATAGATTTTTGCAGTAGATGTAGCCTTATCTTAAACACATCTAAAACCTCTTTTTTTTCTGTAAGTCAAAGTCAACTTTATTGTCAAATATGCTATACATGTTAAACATACAGCACAGATGAAATTTCAGTCCTCTCAGACCCACGGTGCATAACAATAAACTGTAAGAATAAAACTTTTAAAATATAAATATAGAATAAACAACTAAGCTGAACAAAGACTACCTACGACTTTATTCATGCGCAACAGAAATGTGATTAATTTGTCAGAAATAATGAGATTCTTGTCCCATTGCAATATTTGTTTACGACATACTCTGAGAGCAATCGAACCATCAAATCTTTTTAAAGATTAGATCCACTTTTTAATGTGCTTGAAAAGGATCACTGAGTTTTTAATTGTCTTTAAATGTACAGATACTTCAGTCCTGTTCATAAACATCATGACAAACCTTTTTAAAAAACACTGTAACACGAACAGAAACACAACAGCCGACTGATTATTTACATCCATATCTGTAGTTCTCAAAGGGATCAGGAAGAGGAGAAAAAGTCTGCGATACTCTGACCAGCAGAGCTCATTCCAGCTACAGACATATACACACATGCACACACGGCTAGCAAACTTCTGCTCTTTCTCTGCAGCTCAGCGCTGTTGTACTCTGACTTTTTATGGGCATGTTCTATATTTGAGCCTGTTGTCAGTGTGTGTGTGTGTGTGTGTGTGTGTGTGTCTGTGTCTGTGTCTGTGTGTGTGTGTGTGCCAAAGGCTGTATGAGAGGGAGTTAGATATAGTGCGACACAAAGAATGGGGGGAGGCAAAAGAAAGAAAGCCTCTCTCTCATGTGACCTCAAGTTGGCCTGTAGACTTAACGTGTGTTTTGGTGTGTGTGTCCATGTCGCTGCTTCATACACACACTGCAGTCCTTCACCGTTTCAAAAATCCCTCCTACAGCTGGTCTGGTTCTGTGGACCTCCAATCTCTTTCTTTGATCCAGTGCTTGTATAGGAAGTCAAGGCTGGGACGCTTTGCTGTTGTAACACAGCAAGCTTATTTGATGCCCGTCAAACAATGCGAGCCGACGTTTTAGATCCTTTGTCGGCTTGTTCTCTTTCTGTCTGTATCCACTTTACAGTCTGTGATCCCTGATTCAGTTCAACTTGTATCCATGTAGAAAACCGTCAGAGCTAGTTCAGAGGTTAGCCAGTGCGCTAGTGGCAGGAAATTTACTTTTTGCATTTCAAATATAGTCATAAGTAGATTAAGACGTGTTGGTGACAGAATTTTGATTTGATGTGAATGAATGATTTAATTTTGGTATATGACCGAAAGGGTGTAGGCAGAAGCAATGCTTATAAAGACCTACCACTTATACCATACAGAGTCAATCAACACATCAATAAATATTCACTCTTAAAATCAGATAGAGTTACGAACATGATTTACACGTTACATTAATAATCAAACATCATTTCCTCTACAATATTGAGAAATAACATTATTCTTGTAAAGTCTCTTAAAGCTTACCAGAGTGGGACATTTTCTAATTTCTACCGGACAGTCGTTCCATATTTTCACCACTTTTACAGACCTGCAAAAATGTTTGACATTTATTCGCGCTTTCGGTTTCTCAAATAATATACAGCCTCTTAGGTTGTAGTTAGAGTCCCTTAGTTTAGACGGGTTCTGGACATGCTGCGGTAGGGCTAGGTTTTTGGCTTCGTACATGATTTGTATTGTGATGTGATCTACTAGGTCTTTGAATTTTCAAACATTTAAGGAAGTAAATAGGGGATGAGTTGATGCACGGTAATGTTTATTGCAGATGACTCTTACGGCTCGCTTTTGTAAAAGAAATATTGGGTTTGTATTTGTTTTATAAGTGTTTCCCCGAATCTCAATGCAATGAATCATGTACGGAGTCGTCAGGGAATAATGTAGAGTGGCTAACCCTTTTTGTGAAAGTAAATCTTTGGCTTTATACAGAATAGTGATAGATTTTGACATTTTGGATTTAATATGATTTACGTGTGATTTCCAACTAAGTTTGTTATCTACTATGACCCCAAGGAATTTGTTCTCAGTTACTAACTCAATGTCCTTATCGTCTTTAGTTAGATTAATGTTTGGATGTTTGGATAGGTCTGAGCTTTTTCTGAAGTTTTTCCTCAACATTAACGAGGGGATCCTGTTCTGGTGAGTCTTTTCCGCAGTTTTCCTCATCTTCCCTCGTGCTTTTTCAGCCATTTAAAGTGTCTCACTCCTCACTCTCCAGCCTGATTGAGAGCGGGGAAGTCCACATTTTGAATTATGCAGTGACTCACAGAATACAAGTCATACTTTAAGTGAGAGAGCCAAGATGACAGTGGCTAAACCTGCAACTATTCTGATTTATTAATTTAAAAAAAAATGGAAATGATGTTGAAAGGACAGTAAGTATGTATAAAAATGGTTTAGTAGGTAGAAGAGGCAATGGAGAAAATCTCCTAATATATTAGTTTTGGGTCATGTCACACTCACCCTCATGTTGCCACAAATCACCCACTAATCCCTATTTTCAGTGCAACTTTTGTTTTGGGGGCTGGATCATCCTAAAGCTGCTCATAGACAGACATCAGCCAGATTTAGTGGGAAGCCCGATGAACAGAAAGGCGTGTGTATCTCAGCTCATGGAGATCATGTGCATCTAATTGGAGGAAGAATCTGATTGGGAAAAAAAGGAGAAAAAAAACCTTTTTTCTTTTCTCTTTCACATGCAAGTATTAAATCACAAACTAAGATATAAACTCATGTATTTATACAGCTTTATCGAATGAAGAAGTAAGCGGCATCTATGCAGTTACACAGCTATTCTTGATGCGTGTAAGTAATCAGTTTCTCCAGTAAAAGAGCGTTCATAAAGAAATAGTTTTGTTCCAGATCATTTACAGCAAATTGATCACATATGAGCAGCAGTTCACATCAGATCAGAACAAAAAAAAAAGCTACAGCAGCAACATTGTGTTCTTGAATCTTAGTGTGCGCAGAAGCATGTTAGGTAAACTGTAAACACTGGAGGAGTGGTATGCCTTACAAGGCCAGAGGGATCTCCCCATGAACTGAGGAATGTTTGCAGGATCGGAGGGATGAGGAGGGAGGGGAGCTGAGAGCTGGGAGAGGAGCTTCACTGGAACTAAGATCTGGACCCTTCAATGGAAAAAGGCTCTTGTTAATAAAATTAGGAGCCGTCCTTTAGCCTAGTTTAGGAATTACTGATTTGGCAACAGCAGGCTGGGTAGGAGAGCGAGGAAGCAACACAAGGATGAAAGAGTAAAAAGTATGTGGAGTATGTTGGAGAGAATTTTGCATGTGAAAGATGCTGTCGTTCGCTGTTGTTGTCTAACTGTACAAACATATTTTTGTAATTTGATTTAAAAAAAAAAAAAATAGTCGTCTTCTCTTGTCTCCTTTCCTTGCTTATCTCCTGCATCCCAGCCAGTCATAAAATTCCCCTTTTTCTTCCGCAGACAGAGTTGCAAGACCTGCTCAAGCCAATTTCAGATCACATCCAGGAGATCCAGAGCTTCAGAGAGAGAAACCGAGGCAGCAGCCTGTTTAACCACCTGTCAGCTGTCAGTGAGAGCATCCCTGCTCTGGGCTGGGTGGCTGTGGTAAGCAGGAATAAAAGCAACAAAAACACATACAAAGCTGGACATCAGCCTTATAACAGCATTTAAAAACACTCTGACACACAGAGTCTTTCACTTCAGCAAAGTATATCTAGGTCACCTGAAATTCAAGATGTGGTATATAGAAAAATGGTAATCCTACAGTAAAAGATGTGTTTAAATAACAATAATTTAGATTTAACTGTCAGCAAGAGAGAAACTGCAAGCTGAAGTTGCTTAAATTAAGAGCAGATAGTGTGAAATATGTTTGCACTGGTATGTTTGTGTAAATTAAAAAAAAAATCAAAAGTTAAAGCACATCTTATTTCTCCCTCAGCTTCTCAGTCCAACCCTGTGCCATGTTAGGAGTTGCAATCAAAAATAAAGAAATGAGACATTTCAGACGGACCGATGAGAGTGTAACCAAACACAGCCCACTATGTCGTCCACCATATCTTTCCATCAGTCTCTGTTTTACATCTTCCTCTGAAAGTTGGCTTATTTTCATGCAAACTGAGATCAAAGTACCTCAAGAAAAACCTCTGGATCCATCTCTGGTCTGTGTTCGCTTCACTCAGGAGAGCAGCAATCACACACATTTAAATACAAAGTATTAAGACAAGTCTCCTAAAAATTTTGTCTGTGTGAGACTGTTATGACCTGACATCGTTTCTTTTCTCCTGGCAGTGAGACAAATATTTTCTGATAGGAATTTTTTTTTTAAATCTCTTTTAGAGTCAGAAGCCGGGTCCGTATGTGAAGGAGATGAATGATGCTGCCACCTTTTACACCAACAGAGTGCTGAAAGATTATAAAGAAACGTAAGTATCTATCTTTGCACTTTGGTGAGTGTCCGTATTTACACTGGAGTATGAAATGCTGTTATTTTCATCCATTCCATCCTTCAGATCTAGAGCCCAGTTACTTATTTTATCTATTTATCTCTATATTTTTACTTATTTATCTAATTTATCTTCTATTTTATTTATTATTTATCTCCTTTTTACTGTTTTTACTCTTTTTACTTTTACTATATTTGCACTATAACAAAAGCAATTTCCCCCTGGGGATTATTAAAGTACTTCTGATTATAATTTTACAGATCTGACAACAATAACAACATTATGATAAAAAAAAATTCTAAAGCAAACTTTTGTAGGTATTTCCTCATAGAAAAAGAAAAATATTTGCGTAGCCCTTTAATGCCTAAAACCACAAATTATGGCCATAAAATTCAAATTTTTTTGGAGCTGAAAGTTTATTTCACTTACTACTGAAAACCAAAAAAAACCAAAATGTCCTTAAAATTTAACAAATATATTTATTTATCTTGTTTGATACATTAGATGTTTTTCTAAACTGTTAAACTAAAAGAGGACCTTTTTATCATTTATCGGACTGTATTCAGGTGTTTTTTTTTTTAGTAATTTGTTGATCATATTGATTTGATAGAAGTATATAAAAGTATGTATCAAATATGATACAAAAGGCATTAAGGGTTAACAGAGGTCGGATCAGTCATTTCTGATCTATTCTAGGGAAACAGTATTCGGCCATTACTACACATTAGAACTGCTGAATAGGTACCTCATGGTGAATTTCACTCTTCAGTTTAGAGGTAATAGCCGAGCCAAAAGCAAGAACGAAAGGAAAGAAGAAATATTGTTTTCAGATAGTGGACCCCTCTGAGAGTTCTGTTTGTTATCTTACTTTAAGTCTTACCAAAAAAGGAAATCGTGCACACTGTCTTAAAGTCACAAAATTTATTCAAACAGACAATGCTTTGAACATCAGACACTAAACAATTAAGTCAGCCAGATTACACAACTCAACAAGAATGTGCAGATTGATTTTTAATACTGCAAAGACATTCGAGGACAACAGTAACTGTCTGTATAACCAGGAGTGAGATGGAAGAATTACTCTTCTTCCATTTCCTTCTTTAATTCGTCTGTTTTGATATTTTGTCAGATCTTATTTGCATCTTTTCTCCTCTCCCGTGCTGCACTCATGTCTCTGTCTCTCTCTCAGTGATAGACGTCATGTAGACTGGGTGCGCTCCTACCTGTTGATCTGGACCGAGATGCAGGCCTTCATCAAACAGCACCACACTACGGGACTAGTGTGGAGTAAGAGTGTGAGTGCAACATACTGAAACAATCATCGCAAACACCGTCATCCATCTTCTCTCCCAAGTTCAGAACACAATTTCATCAAAACACGAAACGACACTGAGAACAACTTGTTTATTATCTTAGCTTTGTTTTCGTTCACTTTCCATTCACAGGCCTTGATATTTTTACATCGGAGCTCAAATTAACTGCTACTTTTTGCGTACATTTCCATTTTTAGTTATGGTGCAGCCTGTTACATAAACCGCTGTAGAGAGCATGAATGAATGAATGAGCTTCCCTCCAGTGGCTGCTCTCCGCCGGGTTCCCCAGAGAGCTCACAAAACCTTTGACACTCCCACACACACACACACTTCTGTTTATGGATGTGTGCTCCGGGACTCCTCAGCACTTATACTCGCTAGATCCCAGAGATTATGATGGCCTGCAACCAAATCCTTTAAATCACACTGAACTCTGTTTCATTTTCGCTCAAACGATCCATAATCTTTGTCCCAGGGAAGTTAAATGAAGTTTCCTCTTTTTTAAGGAAACTCTGGCACAAAGTTTTATAAAAAATGTATGTACCATCCTTTTTTCTGCTCAAATAATATAAAGCTACAACTGGGAGACGGTCAACGTATTTAATGATGGCACAAAAGCTTGCATGGCTGAATCCTGAAGTTACGCAATCCAGCTAAAGCCCTTTTAAACTCTGAAACATCATATTTCATTCATCCACACCACATGACCCCACAACCCATAACACATTAAGGAGAAGTGACTTCAGTGCAGTGTTAGAAAGAAAAAGAAACCTGTTTGGGTTTGAGCTCACTCTCGCTAGGTCAGGAGGGAGAAAGAGAAAGGAGGGCAGAGAAAGGAAATAGAAGAGAATGTCGAGATTATAAGAAAGAAATACGCCATAAACTCACTGATCAATAACCAAAACATGAAAGTTTGGGGATTTTTCCTCTCACCTTGAAGATACAGTTTATTTAAATAAAGTAAGAGATGTAAAACAAAGCTTTTAATGTCAAATTATGAGCTTGAAACCCAAAGTGCAGTTAATGCTCAGCAGCTGTGTGCACATGTGTTAATGTGCATGTGTTTTCCTGCAGAAAGAAACTCCAGGACCGTTGGTGGCTGCGTGTGAGTGTGTCAGCTGCTGTCCCTGCTGTCAGACAGCAGAGCTGAAAAGTGTGTGTGTGTGTGTGTCTAAGGCGGGGAGTGTGTGCTACTAACAGGTGGTCCTCAGGGTTTACTTGAATGGAGGTTTTTCTTCACAGAGAGACCCCGACAAAGAGTCTGTGTACACACACACAGCCGAAGTCGTAACCTAAACCGCAGGGCTGGTCCCCTGAAACGCAGCCGTCATCTGCTGCTCAGATCGGGGTTTAGTGACACGCTTAAAAGTTAAACTGGAACATGAACAGGACGACATATGGAAGAGGCTTTGCACACAAAGACAGACACGGTACCCAACAAATTAGTTGACACGCCTCAGATAAAGCCCCTAAATGTTCTAATACTTCAGAAAACGCCATTATTTCAACCAAAATCCAAGTTTTACAGTTTATTTGAGTTTTTCAGTAGTTTAAGTTCCCATCTTTGAGCAAATTTGTTTGACTTTTGACCCAAAAGTTATCAGTACAGCCTAATTATAAGCTCCCCATTGATTTAAGTCAAAATATTTAAGACAGATGTAAATATGGCCAAAATGTTGCTTTATTGTGTCTGATACAGCAACACTTACAGCTAGAGGAGGACTCTTAAAGTTGATTATTAAAATAGGGTTTACAAGCATGTTTGTGTACACCTACTCACACACAAACATAAATGCATGCATGAACACAAAGACGCAGTCAGACAGTTTCACAGCCATGCATGAACACACACACTTATACACACACACATGCACAAGCGCGCTGGCTCTAATCTGCTGGTATGCGCTGAGCTGTTTGGTGTAACAGGTCAGTATTGTTCAGCTATGATATTCTCGACACGTGTGCTCTGGTGTCAGAGGTCAAGTAGTCTCAGCTGTACTCAAAAGTGCATAAACTGACAGTCCGACCCCTCTGATGGGTGCGTCCGTGTGTGTCTGACAGCTGCGCAAGTTCATCAGACAGCAAATGTGAGTGTGTAGTAGTGTGTGTGTATCAGATTCTCCTCAATGAGCAAGAATGATCGGAACAGAAAACTTATTAAAAGCTTCAGCTGGTTGGTTAAAGAGCTGATTTAAAAATGTTTAAGAGACACTGAAGTAAAAAAAATCATAGGGTTTGGATTTGGGATTTTTGGGGAAGGTGTTTTAAAAGATTACAAATATTTTTTCTGTTTCAAATCAATACTGGAGTGTAGGAATTGAGTTTTAAGTCCTCATTGAATGATGTGAATACACACAAAAAGCAGTAAAAGTGTTATACAAGAAAGAAAATAAAAGTTATTCCTCATCTTTAAGCTTGTCTTGGCACCAAAATTAAAACCCTGTCACATCCTCCCCTGGTCAAAAGTCATGAATTGTTGCCTGTGAAGCTCTCTTGTATTTCTTGTGTAACACTCTCCCTGCTGGAGAGAGTTGTGACTGCAGCTGTTACTATCTAATATCTGACTTTTTCCACAAACCCCAGGGTCCCATCGCTCCTCCTTCTTTCTTTGACCCCCCAACTGCCCCTTGTGCTCCCTGCCCCGCACCTCCCCCTCCTCCTCCACCACCTGGGCCTCCTCCTGTCTTCACTGAGGATGACACTCAGTCTCAGGCAGGTGGAACAGGGGCACAGCACTCTGCGCTGTTTGCCCAGCTTAACCAGGGCATGGATATAACCAAAGGTGGGCTAATTAAATGTATTGTAATCATTTGTTGTAATTAAATAATGTAAAGAGCTTAAGCCTTAGCCGTTTTGACCAACCAATATACTATAAGACTGGGTGAAATAAACCACCACTTTGACTACTACAATGTTATTGTGTTCAGAAAAATTATAGAGTTAACTCTTCGGTCACTACAGTGAAAAGAAAGGCAACAATAAGATCATGCGCTTGTTGATATATATTTAAACTTAAACACAATGAAACCTATTGAATTTCATCATTCTTTAATTTATCATTCAGTTTTAATTTATCTCTGTTTTCAACCCAACAAATTAATATATTTGATTATATTAAGAGGTGTTTGATGTTCTGAGACGAATGATCAGAGGCATAAGCGAACTAAACGCCTCTTTAGGGCCCCGCGGCCAGTAGGGGGCCCCCAAGAGCAATAAAAAAATATATAGATATTAAATATTTTTTATCTTTTGCATGTATAAGTGATGCTTTCTGTACAATCATATAAATATTATTGTAAAAAAAAAAAGTAAAAACATGTTAGTGCTGCTGCTGATGTAGGCCTATGATTTTTACTGCTGATGACACTTTTACATTAAACACAATGCTTCATCATTTGGAAGGTTGTGAAAATTAACCCCAGGCTGCTCTTGTCGCTGAATGTGTTACATTTTAAGATTAAAAACCACATGTGGCACCCTGAACATCATTCATCAGTCATTCATTGGTATTATTTGTATGATTGCATTGGTATTATTTATGTTATTACCTAAGCCACCCCCTTAAATGTGTAAAGACATGTCAGGCGCATTAAATTTATACTGTAGTAGGTGTGTGAATGATCAACAATCAATATTATTGACAGAAATAGAGGGCCCCAAAATCAAATTTTGCTTGGGCCGGCTCTGCGAATGATTGTGACAATTTTAATTTGCTTTCTATGAGCCTTTGATAATTCCTCCTCATATTTTCATCTGTAGGTCTGAAACACGTATCAGAAACCCAAAAGACCCACAAGAACCCAAAACTGCGATCACAAGCAACGCCAACCAAATCTAAGTCCAAAGGGGGTGGGAAAGGACAACGAGCAGCTGTTCAGAAAAGACCTCCTCTGCTGGAGCTGGAGGGGAAGAAATGGAGGGTGGTATGTGAACAGTTCACTTCGCAATTAAAAGGATCATTCCTGAGATAAATATCTGTATTGACACAATTTATGGATTGAATGTGTTTCACTTTTGCAGGAGAACTTTGAGCAAAAACACGACCTGGTCATTGAAGAGACCGAGCTGAAACAGGTGGTCTACATCTTTAACTGTAACAACTCCACTGTGCAGGTTAAGGGCAAAATCAACTCCATCATCGTTGGTGAGCTGCCTGAAAACACACTGGAGCATTTTTGTTTGTTTTTTTCTAGTTTCTAATCATAATTTTCCTCATCTTCTGTCCAGACAACTGCAAAAAACTGGGTTTGGTTTTTGAGAACGTAGTTGGGATTGTTGAAATCATCAACTCCAAGGCCGTTCAGTTACAGGTGAACAAAACACAACTTTACACTAACATTTTTAGTCAGGTTTATAGTCCTTTTGCACTTATCTGCATGTCAGGTGCCATATCTTCTGTTTTCATGATTTAGATGTTTAAGAAGAAGCGCAACTTCTTCCACTCATGCGTGTCATTAACTGCGAGTAATCTGTCTGAAGGTTTTGGGACGCGTTCCCACCATGTCTATTAACAAGACAGAAGGCTGCCAGGTCTACCTGAGTAAAGAGTCCCTCAGCTGTGATATTGTCAGTGCAAAGAGCTCTGAGATGAACATCATGATACCACAAGAAGACGGGGATTACGTAAGTCTGTTAAATAAGCAACAAGGCTGTTTTATTTCCTTAAATCTTTCATGGTTGCTGTTTCGTGTTCTTCATTATCCTGTTTTTTTTCTGCAGAGGGAGTTTCCAGTACCAGAGCAGTTCAAGACAATTTGGGACGGCTCCAAACTGGCGACAGAACCAACTGAGATTGCAGGCTGATTAAAACTTCACCATCATCTTCGTCACTACTTCTGATCAAGTTTAATTGAGTTTCTATGACATAAAAAGGGATTTTGTTTGCAGGTGATATAACTGATTTACTAAAGATCGGCTCATTGCTGCTTTGATTTTGACTCATTGTCTCTGTAGCACTTTGAAAGTGAAGTCTTTGATTTCTGTGCCATGGCAAGACGGGCATTTATATGCTAACATGTAAAGGCTAAAAAATGAACAATCTTATAAATCGCCAGGTATCCTAATCTTTAAAATTTCTTTATCTTCTACATATTTTTAAAAGTTTCATGAGGTTACTGTTATTCCCACTGTACTACCTTTTTACATGTGATGTTTTGTTTTATGAAAGCATGTTTTAGACCAGTGCTGGTGCACATCTTTACAAGAGGTATTAGGATTACACAACACACATAGAACACTTATAGGTCAAGCTAAAAGTGGTAACCAGAAGTTAAATGTGGGGCTATTTGGTATACTTTCTATCTAGATTTAAGTATTTTTGGTAAATTAATCAATTAAAACTGGACATTTTTCCTCTAGATATTAACACACAGTAACCAGCATACAGTGACTAATTGTAGTTTTCATCCTCAAGCACTTCATGTCGACTTTATCTCCTTGTACCAAACTCTCTTTTTACTCAAATGTAGCCAATGGAAGCAGAATGATGAGGAAAAAACTGTACACTAATAAAACACTTCAAAATTTTTAATTTACAAAAAAAAAGAACTGATGTAATTGTGTATCATTTTTTCAAATAAAATCAAAACCTTCCTTCTGTGCTTTTTGGTGTTATTGTAAGAGGTAGTTTGTGATCATATAGACCAAGGAAAGAGGAAAATTTACGTCTGGAAAAAATATACAGAAAAAAAAGGTGAGAATAAGAAAAAGCCGAAGAAAAAACAGGAATTGAGATGAAAACAAACTAAATATACAGAAAATAGCTGCTTTGCTTCATGAAAATTCTTTAAAAGTAGAAATATATTATTTACATAGTAAGTTCTGAAATCTCCTTTCAGTGTTTAATCACCATATTTCCCTGTGAGTCTTGAGTCAGCAGCATCTCATCTTCCTCCTCCTCCAGAGATTCAAAATCGCTGCTTCTCACAACCCCAGAACTTGTGTTACTCTGGTCTTTCAACGGACTCCTGACTGGCAGTCCTCTGTGAGCTATCACCCTGAAACCTTCAGAGTCCTGGGTGAACAACATGGCCAGACTGTCCTCATCAGCAGCTCTGAAAGACTGCTGCGCTGCTTGTTTTTTAAGAGGAGGAACTCTTGGTTTTTTCCATTTTGACTCTGAGTTAGGGCTCTGTGGTTTTTCAGGTTTTTCCCACAGGCATGAGGGGATGTTTCTGCGAGGAGAGGCCGTTTTTGTTTCTGTTTTGTTTCTATGATTTGAAAGTGACTGAATATGAGCGAAAGCTGTGTGTTTACTTGGGGATCTTGAAGATGAAACAATGTAGTTTTCTTTTTCATCATCAATGTGAAGAAATTTTGAGTGTTTAAAATCTTTTTGAGTTGATGTTGTGCCTTCCATCAGAGCGCCAAAGGCCTCCTCACTTATAGGATTGTGGAGGAAACTGGGCTCAGAGTCTGTATATTTCTCTTCGGCTCTGTTTTCTTGGTAAGTAAGGTCCGCTTTGTCTTCAGTGTACTGGCTACACGTGAACAATGGGTCCTGACTCCATGCCTGCGGAGGAGGTTGGCTATCTTCAGGCAATGAGGTTGTTAAAATGAGCCTCCTCTTACTCTGTGGTGGGTTTATCTCTTCAGCCTGCTCTTCAAAATCCCAGTACATGTTTGAATGAGGAGTACAGCTTGATCCTTGCTCCTGACACACTTTTTTGTCAGGCTCAGTCATAGTTTGATGTTTCCACTCATGGTCCAGCTCAGGCTCAGAGTTGAGATCTGTCGCAAGTCTTCGTTTTTTTCCCGATGTCACAGGTGTATGTGAAGTCAAGACGCACATGGATGGGTTGGGTGAAGATGGAGGTATCACTGGATCAGACGTAGACATCTTGTTTAGAACTTTTGGGGAAGTTGAAAAAAAGAAATGTTAACATCATATTTAAGTGTCCCTCCAACTAAATTAATCTTAACAGAAAGACAAACTTACAACAGAAAGAACCAAACAAAGAGAAATACAATTTTATAATAATAATGGGAATTTACACTGTTAAGTCTTAAAAAAAACACTTTTAATCCCAAATATTTGTATTTTTTAAAATTATATATCCTACATTTCAAAGCTTTTCTAGTTTTTTTTAAGTCATATTAAAATTATTGTTTGTCCCGGCCAACAATCCCCTGTGATTAAAGCCAGAAAATAATATTTAAAACTATTTTTTTCCCACATATCAATTAAGGAACCAAGTGGAAAAAACTGTAATTATATAGGATGGCTAATTTCAGGATCTCCAATATGATTGATATTGATTGTCTGTAATTTGTAATGCATTAGTGCATCAGTTAAGTTAACCATCTTCTGTAGATCAATCAGCATCCCGAAAGAGCTCCAGACAATAATAATTATAATATCAACTTAACAACCTTTGAGCAGCTTCTCTTTTTAAACCCACCTCTGCGCTGAGCTGTGAAGAAGGTTGAAATAGAGCTCTGTTTGGTCTTTGGCATTTCCATTTTGGTTTGTGTAAAGTTGAGAGCCACAGCCAGGTTATATCCTCCACCTCCAGCAAAAGGATTCAACAGTTTAGAAATGGGACGGGCGAGTCGTTTCTGAAGGATAAGAAGAAGAAAATATGATTATGCTCAATCTCTCAAGTGCTAAATGATTCCTGCTAAATGATTCGGTGATTTGGTGAACGAATCTTTTGAACGAATCTTTTGAGTGAACTGATTCTAGTGATTCAGTACATCTAAAAGAACTGCTGTGCCCATCACTAGAAGAAGAAACCACTAGAACTTCTTGGAGTTACATACACTGTGGAGCTGAACTAACTGAACATACCTTTAAAATGACATGTCACCTGAATATGACCTGTACATGTCTTTCTCACTGGACCTATTTTCATGTTGTTAATGAGCTGTGCTTCGCTTTTCGTTAATGGACCACTTTTGTAATTCTGTAAGTTTGTAAAGTTTGTAATTTGATTTTTTGTGTGCTTCTGGAAAACAGAATAAAAGTTTCAACAACAAAAAAATGAATGAAAGGGTGTTGTAATTTTAAGATGACTTAGATATGTTAAGGTTGTTCCTTCGGTTACCTTTTTAGCATTTCCTTTGAGCTGCACAGTGTCCAGCCAAACACCACACTCCTCTTGAACATGGGTCTTTGGTGCTGGTTTGGAGGTCTTCATGATGGAGCCTGAGGGACTGATCTGCAAAACATTCAATTAAAATTCAAGACTTAAGACTTAATGTTGTAAGGACAGTGAGCCATCCTCACCAACATTACCTAACATCTTCGATAATGCCATGACAAAGGGATTTCTTGTAACAAATATTTCACTGACCTTGTAAAAAAAACGTTGCAATGTTTTCAGTTTTCTCCTGCAATAATTAAACTAATCAGATTTTACTGAATATTTGACGTTAAAACAAAATTCGTCGTCGCTACTCATTTGTTTGAGTCTCGCGCCTCGTCAGTTGGCTGCCGTTAACGCTCGACTGCGTAAAAATGACGAAAGCGGCAAATCTTAAATAACCTTACTTTTAATCAAACAGTTCCTCAAAATATAACACACAGTACTTTTGAAGAATAAATTACTCATGTGAACACATAAGTTAAGATTTGACGCTTTATTTAATTTCGTCAAGGCGCACCTGATACCTAATATTCTGACGTCTGATGGTCCTCGATGATGGTGGGTGTGTTTACATTGACGTCACAGCAGTTTGCGGATAGAAGGGGTGAGTGGAAAATGTCTCTATAGTGTTTTTCTGTCAAAACACGATAATTGAACCAGATTCAATATTTTGATGATGTTCAACTCGACACCGCTATAACTGTCAGTCAAAGGCGAGTAAACATCAACCCCAGCTGTCCATACAGATATGATAAATCATTGAGGAAGTGCTAACGAGTTAGCCTCGACGGCTAACTTCAGGGTTCGAGTAAACAAGAAACTTAAAGCTAATGGTTGATTTTTCTGTCATTTAGATTAAACGTATATCGCCCTTGTTTGTTTTTAAATGTTTAACAAAGTTGTTTAAAGGCTGCAGCATTGTGTGTTTTCATATCACTCGACTACTGTCGACAACCTGCTGCTGTAAATAGGGCTGGGCGATATGGGAAAACATTATCATGATATATTTTTTTTTATATCAGCCGATATCGATATATATCACGATATAAAATGAAGTTCAACAGGAGCATGTCTTTTGCAATACAATAAGCTACTGCTTATTGAAGATGTACTAAAATCTGACACAATTATCACATGTTTTCATTGAGGTAAAAAAAAAAGAAAGAAATGTCCCCATTTTTCGTTACTGTTAAATTTTATTTTATTTCATTTTTTTTTCCAAATGTTATTTGAATTAACAATATTTTGTTCATTTCAATTTGAAATTAAATACATAACAATCTTCTACGAACTCATCCGAGGAAATAACTGCCTGCACTTGTAACAGCACAAACACATAACAAATTAACAAGGTAAAAAATATATAAAATAAAATAAAAATAATAACAGGGGGTGACATTTCAACAAAAAGTGCTTTAAGCGTGTTAAAGAAATAGGACTAAATTTAAAGAGCAAGAGACTTTGACATTGTCTGATACAGTTCATTCGTAGACTGATTTTTCCTCTGACAACACCTTTAGCGATGTTATATAGCTTTTAATTTCATTCTTAAAACTGTTTATTGTGGGTTTGCTGTTGTTCCATTTATTCTTGTGTATATGATATTTTCCCATAATGAAAATAATGTTTACCATTTGGATATATTTTTAACAGACCATTCTTATAGATCAACACTTGAAAATTGTTAAACAGCGAATCATTAATCTCAATATTTAACCATCGATAAACATCTTTCCAAAGCATCATTGTGACCGAACAAGAGAAGAATAGGTGTTCAGTTGTTTCGTGTTCTGTCATACAAAAAACCTTTTCCTTAGAGTTTTAGCAGCAGGATAAATACTGTTTATTAATTTGAACTGAATTTCTTTTACCTTGGGTGAAATTGGCCATTTAAGATAGCTACAATGAGTGCTTGTTAATGTCACTTCATTTTCTGTTATCTTTATTTTCATTGACTTTTGAATGGAATAGCTTTTCTTTATACACACATCCAAGTGCTTTGTTATGACATTTTCTTTTGCCCAATTTCAATTCATCATTTTTTTAAATCAGGTAGTTTAATAGACACATTTAAATTTAAAGAGATACTGTTAAATTTTGGCTATGTTGAGGAACCAGTATGTTATGGAACCAAGAAGTTGTATTAATTTCTTGATGACCATATGTTTCTTGTTTCCTATAAATCTCTTTCAGAACAAGCTTGGATACATTTCCGTCATGTTTCATGGGATACCAGTCACAGGAGGTGTGGGAGGAGGTATGGTGTTTACAAAAATATGAAGTCTTCATTCTTTTCAGCAGTCATACTGGTTTTGTAACTCAAGGCATTGTATTCTCAAATTTCTCACAGCTCCAGCAAATAAGCCTGAGTTATATGAGGTAATTGAAACTATTTTTTGTTTAATTTTGGCTTTTTTAAGGTGTTTTCACTTGTCACACAAGGCTAATTGAATGACCTTTAAACTCAGGATTTTTTACCTTTTTTGAGGATATTTTGAATTCCAACACAAATATTTGCTTAAATGCCTTTAGCAGATCAAATCTGAAACATTCACCATCCTATACAGGAGTTAAGGGTGCAAGAAAACACACCCAGGAGGGAAAATACTTAAGATTTAAAACATGATCAAAATATTGTTTTGTTTTCTTTTATCAGGAAGTGAAATTATACAAAAACGCCAGAGAAAGAGAGAAGTAAGTATGATTTAAATCATCCTGCAGATTTATCCTGTTAAGAACAAACAGTAACCCTTGGTATCACTGCAGTTCTAACACCTGGTTATCAACTCTGTTATTTTAAGGTATGACAACATGGCAGAGTTGTTTGCTGTCGTTAAGACCCTTCAGGCCCTGGAGAAAGCTTACATCAAAGACTGTGTCACACCCAATGAGTGAGTCATGCTTTATTTATGTTTTTTCTTTTTTTTCTAAGACTGATGAATGCCACATGTGACTGTATTTTAACACTTTTCATAACCTGCAAATGTTGTATTTTCAGGTACACTGCTTCTTGCTCCAGACTCTTGGTTCAGTATAAGGCTGCTTTTAAACAGGTCCAGGGCTCTGATGTTGGTTCCATTGATGATTTCTGCAGGAAATACAGAGTGAGTGCTTGTTTGGGGCACAGATGACATTATCTACTAGTCTGATTTTGTTTTGTAAATATTATTACAAACATGTCCAACTATCTCTCTTATAGTTTGCTTCAATTTGGGGTTTTGCTCAGTAAACAAGAAGACTTGCTTTTACTATTAAAACAGGCAATATATTCAAATTTGCATATCTAAAGTAGGACAATTTACTGTACAATATTGGACTTTTTGGATAATGATAAAGTCAAAGACCGGTACAAAAATACTCTACCACATCATTTCAAATCATAACCAATCATCAGAGAGGGTAAGTGCTTGACTGAGTGCTTCATTTTCATCACTGGTTTGGTGACAACATTTTAAATATTGTACTGCAGTTGAGACATAATAAATGTTAAAAGATTCCTTGTTGATTGCAATCAGCCATAAAATGTATTCAATCATTGTTTCAACCCCTTTAAATACAGAACTGTTGTTATGTTTATTTTTGTTCTAGCTTGATTGCCCACTAGCCATGGAAAGGATTAAGGAGGATCGTCCAATCACCATCAAGGATGACAAGGGGAACCTGAACCGCTGCATTGCAGATATAGTTTCTGTACGTCCTCTATCCTCTCCATCATATTAAACTGTCAAGCCTAATTTAGGCCTACATGGGACATCTGCCAAAATGAAAACTTGCTGTTTTTTTAAGATGATTTAGTGGGATCAGTTCAGGCCTGAGTGGCTGAAGTGGTTTTACTTAATTTGGCGCATCCTCTGCTCAGTCACTGTAGAGAAAGAGGGTGTGCTGCCAGCTGGATCCACTGCCAGCATCTATCTTGTCCCATAAAATCAGACACACCAATAAAAGCAGTGGTCAGATGGCTTCACAGTGGATCAGGCTGTGTTCTCAGTTTGTTGTACTGATGATACCAAAATCCTGAAAAAATCAAATCGATATCTTCTTATTTCATATTTTCTTCCATCATTTCTTGCTTTTAGCTCTTCATCACTGTAATGGACAAGCTGAGACTGGAAATCAGGGCCATGGATGAGGTAATTTTTTTAGATATAGTGTGAAAACTGATGTTAAATGTGTTCATATTCATATTAATGGATTTATATACAGCAGATTTAAAGTATCTCACTGATTCTTTGATTGGACCAGATCCAGCCAGACCTGAGGGAACTGATGGAAACCATGAACAGGATGAGCAACATGCCTCCAGATTCAGAGGCCAAAGACAAAGTCAGCCTCTGGTCAGTGACATTGCCCTCCATCCCAGTTAACTGTCTTAATATTTTTTTTATTTCTTGTAGCAGTTCACTGGAAGATATTTAGGGGACACCCATACATTCTCAAGCAGAAGAGTCCAAAAAAATGGGTTTTAAACTGTGGGTTCATGCATATTAGTAATTTAAGTAAAACCTCATCCAAACAGATTTGTTTAAGGGGAGGTCGAGACGTAAGTTGCTCTTTATTTTGCATTATTGCTGGTCAAATGCTTTATAAACGGGGGCTGTAAGTAATAAATTTTATTTTTCCTTATCATCAAGAATTCCTCCGCAGAAAGATCATGAAGCAAATCAGATAACTTTGTTGAAGCATCACACCAGTCATGCAGGACAAACCATGGATTACTGAGTTGTGTTTTGAAACAAATCTCAGTGTACGTGTCTGTTTCTAGATAGTAGAGTGTGATATTGAGGTCCAACAACAAGTTTCAGATGCATGTTTTTCATGAAAGCTTAAGCCTGCTTCATTTATATCCACCAACAGTCTTAAAAAACTATAACTTGGTATTAAAGATGTAAAATTTTTGCACAGTAATTCTCAATCTTGCTGAACTTCTTGTTGTTTGTCACGTCAGTGCTATTAAAACTGTCGTCTTTGTTACTCTTCAGGTTGACCACCCTCAGCAGCATGTCCGCCTCAGACGAGTTAGATGATAATCAAGTTCGTCAGATGCTGTTTGATCTGGAGTCGGCCTACAACGCCTTCAACCGCTTCCTACACTCCTCTTAAAGCACCAATCAATCATTGCTGCAACATGTGTGAAAGTCTGACTCTAACATCTCTGAAGTTCAAAAAAGAAACACTCTACTTTCTCCTTATGGTCATTGGGAGAAAGTTTTTCTGCCTCATATCCCTGAAATTCTTCCTTCTTTTTTTTCTAAGTCTTATTTATGTTATACTATTCAAATGTCCCCTTGTATTCCTCTTCCGTGTCTGGTACATCATGCTCTCTGCAGGCTTGTTCACCAGGCCCCCTTTCTCTGTGCTGTGAGTGTCATTTCGGCTCTCTTGTTGCCAAAACTGTGTGATTAATCTAATAACGCTGACTGTATATTCTACCCCATACAAAACTGTTTTCTCCAAACTTTGTACTGAAATATCTAAAAAGTCTAATTTTATACTTAAGTTTTGCAAAGCACCAGAAGAGAAGAATAATACACTTTGATTAGGCAAGATCTGCCAATGAAGAAAAGGTTTTAAAAGCCAATGCCTTTGTTTTCCTGAAAAATTCTACATTTTTTTTCATTTTGGTACCCACGTTTAATCAACTACCTGCACCACAGGGTCAGATCAGAAGTTTTTGTCCCACACAAGCATTTTTCAACAAGATATTTTAAGGGTGAGGGTTAGTTTTTGATAATGGAGCAAAACAAGCTGTTAATAATGGAAAAATAGAGCAGCCAAAATGTAGTTTCACCAAAAAAAATGTTAGCCTGTACTGTAAAATAATTACTGAACATTTGATGGAAGGAATTATTTATGCTCATCTCCTTAACTATCTTCTGTTAACTTGCATAATCCATGTTTGGTTAAGAAGTAAGGGTGGCACATCCAGTAGGCTGAAGTAAGGTGGACACACCCTCATCATATATTTGCTTGCTAAATATGTTTGTGACCCTCAAACAACATCAGGGAAAACATATTTACCAAGGTTTATCAATGTAAATATTAGTTTTGATTTTTAAATAAGAGCATGTAACACCTTTTAGAAATAAAGTTGAAAAATCTACCTCCAACTCAATGTGTCCGTGACTGTGTTTATAAGATAGCAACTGACCTTTTTCTCTTGCATTTTCATGCTATAACAGTGCAACTCATGTAGGTCGTGTGGTGAATGTGTTTTGGGTTTTTATTTTTTGATAATATAAATATTTTTGTACTTGCAATCTGTATTTTCTGATAAACAAATCAGTCAAACACATCCTTCTCTGTTTCACAATACCATTTGTTCTTCACTGGCTGCTGTATACTATTGGAAACATGCAATGGTGTGAAAACTTGGAAGAAAATGAAAGTTTTTCAATCTAAACACTTCAAAATCTTACGGCGAGATTTAGAGTCTTGCTTTTATCAAGCTTCTTTGTTCTCTCCCCAAACTATTTAGACATTGTTACTGGGAGTTTGAGATTGTTTTAGATATCTTCACATTGGTTCTTAAACAGTAAGAATGGAGAGAAGAGGGTTAGAGTAAGGGTGAAAAGTCCTTATTAATATCCAAAAATACATTGCTCTTTGGCTTTTTTTAAACATTTATCTCATTGTAACTTTTTCTATGGAGTAAACAGACACTTTGATGTTTAAATACCAATCAATTCTGAAAGAAAACCTAAAGGGCAAAAATCTTTAAAAAATTATTTAAGATATTTTTACTTTTCTAAGCATGTGTTTTTATGTATTTGAGACTCTTTTATGGTGTTGAGACTCGAAATTGTTGTGGGGCATGAAGGTAAAACAGGTATTTGACCATAGACTGTATGTAGAATGGACAGCGTCTACCTCCTCAATGGGTGAAGCCACTCCGAGAACAGCACCCTCTGGTGACGGACTGCAGTATAGTTCATAAATCCCGCCTCCTCATGCTGACATGTAGTTATTGTAAGACTGATTAATGTTAAAGTCCTCTTTTTTCTGTGCAGCTCAGTTTTTAAAAGTTATTAGGGGGTTCATGTTTTCTATGATTGACACTTGATACAGCCTATGGGCGTTCAAGGATTGTGTAGCTCACCCAAGGGATACGCTGTCATCACAGTGACTCTAGGCGACTCTCCCGCCAAATGCACACAACACTACCGTGCAATGCTGCTTTCAGGAAATGAAGAAAAATCGCGAAAATACAGAGAGCTTTTTAGCTTCAAATCCGTACACTGGCGGAGGGCGGAACCAAGTTGTCCATAGTATATCCAGTCTATGGCCCTGAATCTGTAATCTAGGAACGTTTAACTTTTTGAATGGAATTATGGAAAGAAATAAACTTTTTCATATTCTTACTTTTTGGCAAGGGTCTGTATATGCACTTTGATACTGCCTCCAAGTGCAGTTTGTGAGTTATTAGTGCTGCGGGCCCTTTAAGAAGCAGGCGGCAGAGTACTTGTTACCAAGACGACAGGTAATGACAAAAGTGTTGGGTTGTTGGTCTGTTAGCAGCGGAGTGGGAGGAAGTGACCCGGCAAAGTGAAGGAGAAAGGACAGACTACCACCGTCAGAGATAATAAGATACTATCCCGAGAGCAGGTGAATTTAAAAGCGTGTCCTGGGCGTTAAAAGTCTGCATGTCGACCGTTAGTTATTAAATAGCGAGCAACGCGGCTACTCCTGTCTGCAGTAGGAGACACAGGGTCGCATATGGGCTGCCAGCCTCACCTCCGTTCATTTTCATATTGGTGTGTCTCTGTGTGTGCAAACTAACAGCCAACTGGGCACTGTTCCTCCTTTCTCATCACAGAAGCCCTGTCTCTGGATATTTGAGAGATTTAAGAATATGGTGATTATTTCTGCTTGAGGACTGAAACCAACAGTTGATGGAAAAATGAGCAAAAAGTATGAATCATCAACCGTTTCAGAGGTGGAGGAGCATATTTCTCTCAAGTATGAAATCAAGAAGAGACTTGGGAAAGGGGTAAGTGTATTTTTTGGTCTGTTTTAGTTGTGGATTACCTGATATAAAAGTTGGCTCGCCCTTTTATATCATTGCTGAACTCTGTATGACCCACGTTTGCAAAGGTTTTGTAACTAATGCTCTTTACAGGCTGCAGCTTGCACCCCTCATTACATCGACCAACTCTAAACACACAGACTACATTAATGTTTACCACACCCCCATTTGAACTTCAGCCCTGGAGAGAAATGCCTAAAATAACTCAGACTTAAGGTTCTCAGTGAATTCCAGTGTTGTAAGCAAGAGGTTTATTTACTTTGGCCAGACCAGTTTGCAGATCAGCTGACGTGTGAGGACACTTGTTTCCCTCTAGAGTCCAGACCTCTTTGTTTTTCTCTCCACTGGTTTCCACCTGGTTAAAAACTGCCTGCTCCCTTTCCATAGATGGTCCACAGAGACTCGCAAATTGCAGCTTTGCTCGAGATGGCCAGGTGGTAACTGCCACGTAGACACATCATATTGGCTAACTAGACATAATATCTGAGGCTGGCAGGGACTCAGGTTACACAGCTGTTGAACCTGTTTACAGGTGACTGCCGTGGTCGTGTGGAGTGGTGCTGTCAGGGCCAAAGAAAAGGGTCAGCTGGATCTTAAACAGCCTTGAATATACCGTGTTTTGTTTCCAAACATTAACCACGCAGCTTCAGTTTAATATGACCTCAGTGGAAAAAGCAGGAGAGTCTGCAGCGTTGTATGAATCTGGTCTGTCACCATAATGATAGTGCTCACTGTGCTTTACCACAGTGCCTGAAAGCCATCAGAGGTTTGACGCTGAAGACACAAAGGCAGTGTCAGTTTTGTATTAGAAAACTCCAAAGAGATAGAAGCAGTTACGCTGAAAGAGTCCTAACATTGCAAACAGATTTTTGGAGCTGTTAAATTTTGCATTGTTTAGGCCAAGAAAAGTCATCATTTGCATAAACAGATAACAAATACAACCTTCTTCATTCCTGGCTCCATCTTTTATACCCACAGACTTATGGAGAAAGAATCATTTTGAATGAAAAATCAAACATATTCTAAAAAAAAAGAAAAGAAAATGAACAGCTGAATTGATAAAAATAATAATAATAATAATAATAATAATATTGTGACCTCATTGTACCAACATGGCTCAAAGTTCTGTCATTGTTTGACCAAGTGTAGATTATTAAGGGCCTCCTGCATGCAGAAAAAGAGACCAGCTGCTGTTTTAATCTGCTTTGTGTCCATCTCAGGCTTATGGCATTGTCTGGAAAGCAGTTGACCGACAGACCGGCGAGGTTGTGGCTGTGAAAAAGATCTTTGATGCCTTCAGGAATAGGACAGATGCTCAGGTATGAACATGCTTTGACTGATTGTTTACTTCAGTTCTTATTGTCACATCTACAACCCCAATTATAAAAGATTGAACTCTATGTACAGTGTTGAAAAACATGACAGACATTGCCGGTTTGCAAATAATTTAGACCTATATTTGAGAATAGATAGCTTATCAAATGTTGAAACGAATGGTTGTTGATTTTTTTATTAAAATATTTGCTCATTATGAATTCGATGCCTGTGACAGGTTATATAACAGTTGGGACAGGGGCATGTTTACCGTCGTGTTGCATCACCTCTTTTTTTAAACACACTGTGGAAATCAGTTTATAGTTTTGAAAGTGAAATTATTTTATTCTTGCCTGTTGTAGGATTTAACGGCTCAAAAGTATGGGGTCTCCCTTTGTCATATATTTACTTCATGATGTGCCGAATGTTTACAATAGACAGAGGCAGGTCAGATCAGCACCCTGACATTTCTACTGTACGCAGACATGCTGATGTGATATGCACTGAATACAGTTTGATATTTTCTTGCTGAAATCTGCAAATCTGTTTTTATCAACTTTTTGGGTCAAACTTTTTTGGCATAAATCACATTCAAAATGAAGTAATGTCAATTTTGACCTGCAAACAGTTCCATATATCTGAAAATGGATTACTGTAATAGTTTTCAGAATTAAAACGTCCATACATGATAAAATGAGCATTTGGGTGGACATTTTGTGGCTGCATGTTGCTTGTAGATTCATATCTTAACTGTTATTATCTCTTCTTTTGCAGCGGACATTCAGGGAAATTATGTTCCTCCAGGTAAAGGATGTTATAAATTCTCTACATTAAGTCATGACTTAAAAGCTCACAGCTGCAGCCTCACTGTTTGTATGTGTTTCCACTATATTAAACCTTGATTTAATATCTATTTGAATACAATAAATACACAACATATTAGATAACACTGAGACACATAGAAACATGCTCACAAAACAACAGGAGAAATTCCTGTTATTACTTTTTTAAGGTAATTTTAAGGTATATTTATTTTAATGACTGATGCACTCATACAACTGAAGTAGAAGCACTTTAACTTTATTGGACTTTCTAGAGTTAAAGTTTCCAGAGATAATTTTACAGTTTAGTTCACCGGACAAATCAATCAGAAATAGATATTCCAAAGCCTTAAGTGGACCACTACAATCAGGGTAAATAATTAGAAATAATGTCTATTATGGTAAAAGATGACGATGGAGATATTTTCTTACATTTTTAAAAATTGAATCTTTGAGATCATTTGGTTTGCAGACTTCTATCAAAAGCAACAAACTGAGTCACTGTGCCTCATCCATCGTGCCAATTATTCCTGATTCACTCTCCATCTGCTGACCTACATCGTCGTGTCCTTCAGTTGTCCTAATCAGCCGCTCTCATCCCCCCAGTGAAACTCCACAGATCATCGGGTTTAAAGGCAGCGTTACGCAACCTGTGTTGAAATTTTCCCCCTTATCTACGAAACACCTGCCTGTTACTGGAGGTCAAATAATGGTCAGAGGCGGATTTCTGAGATTTTATGTGTGTCATTTTTGTGGTTTCAAGTTCCTGTTCTCTGTTTTGCAGGAGTTTGGAGATCACCCCAACATTGTCAAACTTCTGGATGTCGTCAGGGCGCAAAATGATAAAGACATTTACCTCGTCTTTGAATATATGGGTGAGTGCTGGAATTATCTCATAGTCACAAACATCCCTGCTACAAAAATCGATTTCAACTCATAAAGTAAGGAAAGAAGAAAAGCTGGAGTTGCTTTTTTGTTGGTTTGCTTGGCACTGAAAGGCCTCTGTATATGTGAGTGCGTGTCTGCCTCTCGCCTGACTGCACAGTCTTAGTGCTGAGTCTACAGATTGGCCTCTCATCAGCAGTCTAAACCATGACTTTACAGCAGCATCCTTGTGTAGACCTCAGTGTTTCTTTGTTGTCATATTCGAAAAAGTTGAAACAATCTTGTTTATGATTACAAAGCTGCATGTTTTAAACTTTCAAGTGGCAAAGTCATAGATAAAGATGGATTTTACTGTGACTGTAATTGTTTGCTCTCTGTTTTGTACCAGATACTGACCTGCATGCAGTGATCAAGAAAGGCAGCCTACTGAAGGACATCCACAAACGTTACGTCATGTATCAGCTCCTCAAAGCCATTAAATACCTGCATTCAGGAAACGTCATCCACAGGGACCAAAAGGTACATCAGAGGGAGAATTTTACCTATCACACTTTTGTCCTGCTGAAAATCTGTTCACCACTGTTCTTGTGATGAATGTTTTCTTGTACCTGTTTCCCACAGCCTTCCAATGTACTGCTCGACACTGACTGTATAGTCAAGCTGTGTGATTTCGGTTTGGCCAGATCGCTCAACCAGATCCTGGAGGACAGCGGGAATCCAGCGCTGACAGAATATGTGGCGACACGGTGGTACAGAGCTCCTGAGATCCTGCTGGGGTCTGCAAGGTAAAAGCAGTGACATGCATCTGCTGTCAGTGTCAGAGGGGTAGTTTAGATAGGAATCATTTCTTTTTACTCACAGTAGCAGACTGTAAAAGGAACTTACCTCGTCTAAAGGTACACTAAAGGTGTGGACATGTGGAGCCTTGGCTGTATCCTGGGAGAGATGCTGCTGGGAAAAGCCCTGTTCCCTGGGACGTCCACCATCAACCAAATAGAGAAGATCATGAGTGCCATACCACATCCCAGCCCAGAGGGTGATCTATTTAAGTCTACAAAGCATGAAAAAAATATTTTAGTTATGGAACTTTTCTAGTGTCTACAAATTAATTAAATGTTTTTTAACCTACAGATATCCTCGCAATCAAATCGGAATATGGAGCCTCTGTTATTCAGAGGATGTTACTGAAGTAAGATGAGCTTCTTTTTATAAATATTTACATTGTGAAAACACTTTTTGCCCAAATAACATGTTGATGGTTGAAAGGTTCAAATTTTATTTGTACACATGAAAATAATAACTAGTGGTTTCTTTTGTACTCACATTTACTTGAAAAAACTGTGTGTGCACCGTTGACAAATTTTGACCCTCTGGGACCTCGAGTATCAAAGCTCACAGTCAATGTGTTGTATTGATGAGAAAAACAACTGATATTGATTTAAAAAAAGATATTTCTGGTTCTCCAGCAACTATTTTTGTTACGTTGTGTACACTGATTTTCCTCTACCAGACCACAGGTGCCTTTGGAGGATCTTCTGCAACCATCTGTGCCTCCCGATGCCCTAGACCTGTTGAAAGGTTTACTGGTTTTCAATCCAGACAAGCGGCTGACTGCTGAGCAAGCCCTCCAACACCCATATGTGGCCAGGTATTTAGACCAAGTATGACTCACATCAGAAGTACTGGAAGAGTTTTAAACGTTTTTTGAACTTGATTTAGATAAACAGTAAGAATCTGTCATTTTTCCATGCATATTAAGAAAATCATCACTGTTATCTGACATAAAATAAGATTTTTATAATATTTCTTTAACTAAGCACTTTGTAACTTGTTTTTGGATAAAACTATTATCATGTCTTTGTCCCTAAAGGTTTCATAATCCAGCCAAAGAGCCAGCTCTCAACTATGATGTAGTGCTGCCTGTGGATGATGATGTGCAACTATCTGTGGTTCAGTACCGCAACAAACTTTATGAGGTACTAAACTACAGATCATTCATCTTGAATTTAATTTTAGTATTTTATAGTATTTTTAGTTTAATAAATAAAAGTTCATTGCTAAATTTTTATTCATGTGGTGTAGTCACACCAATAAAACCCAATTTCTCCTCTTAATCTGCAGATGATGCTAGAGAAAAGAACCAGTCAGAGCATGCTGAGGCTGATCCAGTCTAAGGATGAAGGATGTGTCAGTAATGGGGAGAAGCCCGGTATGAAGGATAAAGAAGAGAAGCGTCCAGAGGCGGCAAATGGCAACAGAGATACAGATGAAAAGACTGCTGAGACGAACCACTTGCATCCACAAATAGGAGCCACCAAACCCGGACCTGTGAATGCGTTAATCCTGCCTGCTGTGGAGAAGACGAGTCCTTTAGCCAGCCCTGGATTGGGAAAGCTTACATATAACCCCATCACACATGCCTCAAGTATGTCTGAATTTGTATGTGTTGGCAACACACCAGGATTGGTATCAATATTCCGTTAGTCTTGACCATATACTTTAGAAAGGAAAAAACCCTCGCCCTTTAAACGCATCGCTATTCGGATTCTTTGCTGTGGGAGTGTACTAAAGGCTGTTTCTGCAGCATGCTCTGAATCGTTTTAAACATTAATCAAAACAAAATCAAACTTGCTCATTTGCTTTTTTAGCTCAGAAAGAAGAGTCATAGTAACTACAGTAAATAAATAAAGTCTCATTGCTTCTTACAGATGGTTTTGTTCGTAGCCCAGTTGGTCCTCCACATCACCACCACCACCACCCATCTGCAGTCAACAGAAGAGTTGCTGAACAGAGCAGTAATGCAACCACATCACCAACAGAGGGCACCAACAATAATGTAGTGAGCAGCAAACATCTGTACAGTTTGAATCTGTTCTTCTTTCTCTGTTTTTGTTGAAGCCCTTTTTTATTTTTGGACTGTTGTATTCCTTGTCTTCTATGGCTCATCATGTATTCTATGTGTCTCTAGTCCATGGACCAGATTCTCCAGCGAGGTCGGTCAGCCCCTGTGGCTCACAATCGATCCTTCTCCTTGACCCTAAACCAAACCCAGAACAACCCTCTGGTTCGCAAGGATGAGCCGTGCCTGTCATCTGGGCTTTCAGTTACACCTACTCGCCTGGTCAGTTTTCTAAATTAGAATTTAGGTATACAATCCAGTATATGCTTGATTCATTATTTTTAAAAACAAAGAATCCATAAAAATAATGAAAACTTCATAGCTTGGTGACCTTACTAAGATGCAGAAGAATGGTGTAATTTCTGAATTCCTCTTTCCTTCCATACAGAACCAGCGTTCAAACTCCCAGACACGTGAGGCTCGGCCACCACCCCGGTTCAGCAAGAAAGTATTTCAGAATAACTGCAACGTAGCAGCTGCAGGTGATGCTCGAGCAAAACTGGGCAGCTACTCTCAGGCCTACGGTACCATCAACAAGACTGACCTGGACAATCTGCTTCAAAGTCGCCCTTACAAGTGACTGCTGCTGTCATGTCAGGGATTGCATCAGTCTTGGGGGGCACTAGTGTTTGAACATTCAACCAAGTTTGCCTTGCAGGAGGATGTTACATACATGGCAAATAGGAAGAGGCCTTTTACACTTGTTGCCTAATGCGTGTGATAAACTTGTAAAAAGCATAATTTAAGTGTACCAGCAAATTATCAAAAGATCAACTTTCAAAGTTAAACAATGTAGCATGTGATCTACGGGCTAGATGGTTTATGAACTGGAAGCCGGTGGATTTTAGAATGACTGTAAAATATGCAAATAACTGTTTAAATTGATGATATGCAACTGTGAGCTACTTTTCATGTGACTACAAGCAGCAATAATCCTTTTTGTTTCTTCCAATGTGAAAAGGCAGGAAAAGAGGAGTATTTTATTGAATGTGTAACAGCAAAGCTGAATGTGGCAGCAGTTGACCCCGAAGTTTAAGAATAAACATTGTTGAAAATGCCCAAATCCTTTATTTTTTAAAGGATGCAATATTGTAACTACCTCAATAAAAAGCTGTATTGTTTTGTGCAAAAAATGGGCCTTGTTGGTGTTAGTCTTAAATTTAACTCAATAGATGGGGCCACACTTGTTTGAATTCTTTGGGTATAGTTTGCAAAGTGGTTCCCAACCAAGACGCTGGGCCAGATTTAGAGGTAAATAAAGGGGTTTAAAAAGAGAGAGAGAAATGTCTCTATGTTATGCTTGATTTATAATTAAAATATTTGACAAAATTGCCACTGAACAAATGTTTGAATCAACCTGCAGAGAGGTTTAGAAGGTAAATCACGAGTAGGAATGCTGCAAATTGTTAGATCTTAAACCTTGAACACTATTGCAGGGTGATTTTCACCTGACCAAACGTGTTTACGTGATTTTCATTATGTTGCTTTTATCACTTTATCAACAATTATCACTTGGATAGAGTTGGAACAACACTCTCAATAGTCGAAATTTAACATTCACTGGTAATTTTTTTTAACACTAGTGTGTAGTGTCAAAAATTAAAACACTCATTGAGTTTTTTTCAACAGTGAATAAGATTAAAATTATTATAACACTATGGGAGTGTTAAACATATTACTAATACTACTTCTACTACTACTCTTAATTATACTACTAATAACAATAATAAATAAAGAAAACCACACAAGTTACAGTTTGAATCAACATTTAATTTAAACAAGCAAACCACAAAAAAGAAAAAAAAAACTGTGGGTTTGGGTGGATTTGATAGCTGTATGTAGGCGAATAAGGTCAGTAAGAGTGGTCCTGGAATTTGCATGCTATCTTTATTTAGTGCAGCGGTTATGAATAACTATCACAAAGTAGAGATTTTCAAGGTAATTCATATAGTGATAAGAAATAAGAAATAATTTAGTCAGCTGGTCATTTTTACGCCATATCCTGCACAATTCATAAATGCCTGATTTCAGTCATTTTGTTGCATTTTTATATGGTCCCCCACAGCTAAAAAGAAAAGAAAACTACTTTAATTCTTCTTGTATTGTCCTGTTTTGATATATTCTGATGACAAGTACTTTTTTGGGGTACATTATTTCGGGTAAAAATCACTATGGTTTTTCAATAGTGTTCTAGGGTTACTTATACCAACAAGGGCATTCAAAGAGGTGCAGTTTCTTTAGTAATGGGTCTTTTACTGGAAAGATTAGGCTAAGTCAAACGTCATTCAGGCTTATCTGATTGAAAGTGTTTCTCTCTTTTACAAGCAAAGTTTAGAAGGTAGAGGTAGTTGGTGTGGAGTATGACTTTAACTGGGGGGTTAGTAGCATGAATGGGGCTTAGTTACATGAATAGGTCGCGTCGGAGTTCTCGTAAACCGGGTCCAAACTATCACCTTTTTTTCCTTTTTAAGACCCCCGACGACGCTATGGAAAACACTGCGTCATGATGGCATGGATGGGCTCGTTTCGTGTAACAACCGGAGATTCCCACACATCACGTGACCACGTCGTGCGGCGGCGTCGTCAGCTGCTCTCGACCCAGTTGTCCAGTCTGAGTCCGGAGAACCGGAGGAGGAGGAGGGCGAACTTATGACGGGAGCTACCCTGAAATAAACACACTAAAAGGTAAGGTTGTTGACGTTAAATGTGGACGCGTACGTGCCTTTTGTCTGTTGGAGCGATAGAAGTTGATTGTTTTGTTTAAATGCGTTTAACGTGCTGCCCGTTCAGAGCGTTTGTGTCAGCATCTTGATTATCACCAACTGTCACCAACCGTCAGCAGAGATAGACAGCCGTAAAACAGCAGATAACGTTAGCAGAAGAGCTGCACATTAAGTTACATTGACTCACGGCGAGCCTGGATTTGCCTTCAGCCGTCCAGCCGAGCATCATGAACGTGGGGGCGCGGCGTGTGGTCCATCCTCACACTTACCTAACGGTCTCATCATGGCGGATGTCTGTAGCCTCACGGTAATATTGACCGTTCAGCTGTGTTTTTTCAGTGTGCGATGGCGCGGCCTCGCAGCTTGAAGCGAACACGCGTAAGTTTGACGTTCCAGATGGTCGCAGTGTCGCATTTATCTGCGTTAGTGAGGCCTACATGGAGGTGCAGCCCGCTGCAGGTGCAGCATGAAAGAAAAAAAAACGAGCCTCACTGTTTGTGTTTCATCGTTGTTTCTGTTTTGGAGTATAGTCGTGCACAGCATCCAAATCTCCAGTCTCCTAATGTGTGTCCTTTCATCACTCTTAACTAGATATTATTATTGATATCTATTATAATATACTATTAGAGACAGTCTTGACTTAAAAGCAGCTGTGTTGTAAGTTTTACATCAAATAGAAGTGATATTTGTAGTGTTTGAGTGGAAATGACAAATATTCTCCCACCAGACTTAAAGGATAGGGGAGAGTGGGGTAAGATAGACAATTTTTCATATTTTGGATCTGTACATCAAGGTATTCATAGTTTTGTCTCTAACTAGTGTATCTGCATATATTTGAAGTTCTGCATCTCTGCAAACCAACAGAATGAGTGTAAACATAACTGTCTTGATAATATAGCATGCCAAAAAAGTGGTCTCCTATGGTCAGTTTACCCCGGGTATGGGGTACGTTGACTATAGGAGCGGGATAAGTTGAGCCATATCCCTACTACCCCACCACTCTCCACCCCAGCCCTCCCTCACCTTCTCTCTCCCTAAATAACAGTCACTTCTGCACATTCATGTGTATTTTTATCTATTATACACTATTCAACTGGTACAATAATTCTTTTTTTATTATTATTGCATACAACTGCTAAAAAGCTGTTTTGTAAAAAGCCATTTTAACATGAGAATGTCTTTAAGTGATTCAGAACATTCACAGCTGTATTATTGAGAAGAAGAAGTAACACATTTCAACAATCTAAAGTGAAACTCTGATCCTCTCATCAGACTCCTTTACTTTCTCAGTTACCCCAGAACTACTATGATGACTTTATTAGTCCTCTAAACTAAAATAGTGGACTTTTATTCTAGGTTTTTGACCTCATTTTGTAGCTCATAGATACCACAATTGATAAAACAAATTTAAAATGATCTTTTTTGGTCTGAACACAATTCTAATAAAACTTATGACAGACTAAATTCACTTTCAAGAGTGAAAAATGGTTTTTCCTTCACCCATGTGCTTCTAACCTTCACAGACTCCATGAATTGATACCCATCTCCTAAATATTTGGTCACATGATTTTTTTTCTTTTTTTTTTTACCATTTCCAAGCAACAGGGGGTGGCTCAACTTACTCTCTGGCTCAACTTACCCCACTCTCCCCTATGTGTCCTTTCATCACTCTTAACTAGATTACTATTAGAGACAGTCTTAACCTAAAACCAGCTGTGTTGTAAGCTTTACATCAAACAGAAGTGATATTTGTAGTGTGTGAGTAGACATGACTAATATTCTCCCACCAGGCTTAAAGGATATGTGTTATGAAATATTTGTACGATAAATCAAACTCAGATGCAGCAGCTGTTTACAGTTTTAGCTTTTCCTTTTTTGTTTCAGTAATCTATTTATATCTTTAATCATATTTATTAGTGTATTCTTCTTTTTTAAAATGACAGGACTCAGTAAAACGGTTCCAGTGAATCAAAAGTCCAAAGACTAATCCAAAGTCAAACGGTATTTGAGGCTTTTTTGCTGCTTGAAGCACTTCTGATGTGCATTTGTGATCACAAAATGTCTTAAACTATGAGCACAACAATTTATGCTTCACACTGTGTAGAAACACAGGAGGTGGTTACTATTTCTAGATGACATATTCTCTACTAGATAAAAATGGCTCTAACTAAAGGCAGGCTTTATGGATAAAATCTTGTTCTAAAGTTTGTAATCTAAATTAATGATACTGATATTGATAACAGGACTCCAACAGTTGCTCTTTTATTTCATCAGATATTTGGCAGCGATTCTGACATTAGGATTGATCATTTCGGCCTTTTCACATTTTGTAAAAAAAAAAGAACAATATAATCTTGTTCGAATCTTTTTCAGATAAAGTAAGGAAAAATGTGTGTATTAGTTATTGATGAAATAGCTTTCTAAACAGTCCAGTGTAGATTCAAGGAAAACTGGAAGAAAACTAATCTGGGAAATTTCGAACAATGTAAAATCCTTTCCTGACAAATCAGCTTAACAACCAGGTTTAAATACATTATTTTGAGTGTTTTAGTTGGATGAAACATTTAAGCTTTTATCGTACAGTTTATGGGCTACAATCCTGAGCTTTTTGTTGTCTAGTGTTACTGTCCCTGAAGATATTGACATTTTTATTTTTATTTGTTTGTTGACAGGGCCGTTGGTTTAAATGATCAAAGTGGGATTGGGTTTAAAATTAAGTAATCTATCCAAGAATAATATTAAGCAGTGCAGAGAAACAGCTTCTCTCCTCACAGGATATGTATCATCATGCCATGTGGAGAAAACTTCTTTCTTATCTTTATACACAGATTTAAGTCAAGTGCTGGATTAGGAGTAGATAGTTTTACAATCAGGTCTAACTAAAACAAGTTCTGAAGAAACTGAATTTCCGATGCATCCAAAATAGCAGAATTACCTGATTGCACATAAAAGCCCTTCCAGCAATGTTCCTAATCCTTTTGGGTCTTACGAGGATTGTAGAAGGGGATATTAAAAATTCCAGATAAGTTGGTTTTGTTTACACCTCAGCTCCGTTTGGCGAAATTTGGATTTTCAGGGATCAGCGGGCTTATATAGACCAGACACGAGCTGTAAAGCTGTGCTGTCCTGCCAACATGGCCTCCCAAAACTGGCAACTGCTTTCACTTTGTAGGCTATTGATAGACCGTTAATTATGGTCCAGCAGTGTATCGCTTACACCAGTATTTTTTTCCCCAACAACAACTTTTAATTTGTTGCAGCATTTATTTCTTGTTGTTACACAATGCTGTTTTTTGTTTCGTAATTATAAATGAGAAATCGTTTCAAGAAGAAAGGCACGTGGTATACCTTAAAATTCAAGTCAGCAGCATGTTGTAATACTGTGACAGCTTACCTAAGGTGCAGCCGTCTGTCACAAAGCCAGGCGTCTGCTAGTTTGACAGAGCCAGAGCTGCTGCTGACAAGGCGGGTCACAGGGACATTTCTCGCCAGACAGCCGCACTGGCTGGCAGAGATACAGTGTAGGATTTATCAGCTTGGGTGGTTCAAGTAGCTTATTCACAGCAGTGCTGAAGATATGATCATTGTGTAGTGTGAGTGCTTTGAACTTTGTAATTGCAGCTGGTTTTTGTTTTGTGGCGGGTTCAGCGTGTGAAACATCCAGAAAATGTGAAAGTTTTCTGCTTACAGGTTGCAAAACTGTGTAAGCACTCCATTAATTACTCATCATGTAACCATGAAACAGCGATTTGATCAAAGATGTTACTTAATTAAGTCCTCACTGTTGGTAAATTCGCTTTAAGACTGGTAGACTTTGGATATTTTTAAGTTTTAAATTTAAAATTGAGAGTTTTTGTTTTCTTTTTCATTGAACCCCCACTTCAGACTTTCCACATGTTGCGGCGCTGCATGTTTGAACAGGCTGATCTCTGTGGGGGCACCACTTCTTTGTGTGTCTGCTCCTTTTTGTCGCCATGTTTCCTGGTATTGCTCAGCCATGTTGTTTATAGGTCTCTCATGGTATTGTGCTTGCCTAATTGTGTTAACGTGGCTCTATAGCTAACTCGCTGAATCCTTCCCTTTAACCTAATTCCCCAAGTGAAAGCTATCAGCCCAACCCAGAGATAGCGTCAGTGTTTTTATCCACAGTGTCCGGGGCATCTCCCATAAGAGGATTTGAATCCTCCATGTGATGCTTTTAAGGCTGCACAGACATGCCCTCCGACAGACTGAAAGAACTTTGTGTCTTCTCTTCCACTTCTGATATGAAAACTAATATAAAATTATTGTGACTGATTTTGGATCTGGTTTATCTTTCTAATAATTGATAACTGTTTTCAATTCAATCTTTGTTGTAACTTAATTGAATCAGGTCTTTATTTAGTGGTCACGCAGCATGAGACATTTACTTGTCTGGTAGGTTGTCTCTCCTAATGTGGCTCTTATGACTTCATGCACATTTCAGCCATTAGTGCCCCAGTCTCTTGGCCGCATTACAGTGGAAGTAATCCATCATACAAGGATAAATAAAAGATAGGAACGGACCGGCTCAGATCAATTCAACTCAAGTCATTTCAGGTAAATATGACAAACCGGTGTGAAGAAATCTGAAAATAAATTCAAACTGAGGATTGAAAGTTTTTGTGAACTGATTTTTAAAACTACAAAGCTGTCTCTCTACACAAGAAAGCTGTTATTTTCAATCAGTTTCTTTAGTTTTTGTATTTCACATATATATATTTCTGTTAGGTAAACTATTTAATTATCTTTGACAATATCTTTTGAAGAAAAATCCACATCTCTCTAGTCATGGCAGCCTTGTATAGTAAGCCTTATCTTTAATTTTTTGTGTCTGCATTTTCTTTTTTTAAAATCACGTGTCTTGGCCTGATTTTTACCTTTCACACCAATTTTCTTGCACAACAGTGAGAAGTATGTTGCACCACCTGCATGACCTGCATTGTGTGATGCACCACCTACAGTCTAGCATACATTTCAGGGGTACCCCTGGGTCCTATTAGGCACTGTACCAATCCATTTCAAGCCCCACACTGGTGCCCTGGTTTAAAAATCTATGTATAAAGTTAGGGTGTGGTGTGGATTGTGTGTCAGGATGTTCAAAATGTGGGCCTTGGTAGGCCATGATTGACAGTCTTCTAAAATCCCCCTACCTTCAGTTTCAAAAGTATGAAAGGAATTCTCATTCATTTATCAGGATGAATTGATAAATAGGGAAATTTGTTTATTTTTTTACCCATAAGATTATTTTCCATGTAATTAAGCCTTATTCCCCAACCTTTTTGAGATAGAAAAAAACTTCAGAGCGTAAAGTCACAAACATAAATGCGCTAGATGGACCTTGGACAGGAAGAGGATCACATGCCCTGACAGTAAGTGTTACTGATTAGTTCAGGATTCTTGGGTTGATAAGTGGCCTTTGAGTTGTTTAAGCCGATAAATGTCATGTCAAAAGCAAACAAAAACTTTCGTACTGATCACATCAAGAGTGTTCAAGAAAAAAAATTTCACTCCAGTGAAAGTCAGCTATGAAAGAAGCACATACTGTAACAATACCAACGATACACTTCTATTGTAGTCCAGAAAGACAGGAGGGATTTGGCGTCTCAGATCGAGGCTGTAATCTGTTATGATCTTGATAGAGGCTGTCATTTCAAAGCTGTGCCCGCACTTGTCACGTTTGTTTGCATTCGCCCTTTATTTTCGTCTTGATGGACTGACAGGAATCATGAGGACACACACTGGAACTCTGACGTGTTTTCCAGGGCACAATAGAGCAGCGTTGTGTAACACTTTAAGTGTGGCCTGGAAAAGGAGACTTGGAGAAACAGCCAAGATGATTTTTTTTCCCATTAAATCTGCCGCTGAATTGAGTTTAGCGCTTGATGTCTGATTTGTGTTTGTGAAATAAATGGCAAATGAACTGAGAGTGTGCTTGTTTGTTTCCATATGCATATACATCTATACAAAAGCAGTTATTCAAACAGAACAGGCAGGCCTTTGTACAAGCGTGAAGCCTTTTTGCTGTCCACTCAAGCTTTTCTTTTCAAGTCAGCAATGAGGGGAATTGATTTTGGCTCCCAGCCGGCCTGGCAGAAGATTTCCTCTGGGCACTGCAGGCGCTAAAACAAAACCTGCACTGCACATTTGAAACAACTAATCAACCTTGTAGATCTGACCTCACACATGTGTAGAGACTTCAGATTTCTAGTGTGAAGCTGTGTTGCATGTGTGAAAGCATTTCTGTCATTTTAGATTGCAATGTAAATGCCACAGAAACCGGTTGACCAGGGTTATGCTGGTCTCTTGCAAAGAGGAAGAGCACTGCAGTAATGACCCGTATAACCGTGTTTCCTCTAAAGCAAAGCACATTAATAATATATCTGGTTACTAAGGTACCAGCTGTGTCCATGGAAACACAGACCACACTGGGGTGGACAGTGTTTACGATCTCCCCATTTTTCTGCCATCATTCATCCCCACTCCAGCTTCTGTTTTTGCCCTCAAAGTCTTTACAGTCATTGACTTGACATTGACTTGTCTTCATAAATAAATCTATACAGTCATTATATATGGGGACTGAAGTCTGGACATGGACATGAATGAAAGTTGAATGACATCAAATGGTATTACAGCTGAAATATAGTTTTATTGTTAGAAGAAAATGTGCTGTTGCTTTGCTCCAACTCGGTGCTCTCTGCCTGCTGAATTGTGGGATTGCCTGTCACCTTTTTAATCTGGCAAATGCAGCATTTGTGTTGCTGCAGTTTGCCCCAGATAATGTTGCAAGCTTTTTTTCCTGCTTTTATTCTGTGACTTAAAGGTGTGTGGTGTTCAAACTGTATCGATTATCAAAGTGCAAAAACAAGCTTTGGATTCATCTTTTAGTGCCTGATTAATGTAAATTGATGTCATGCACACAACAGATAAATGTTTTCTTTAAAAGAGACCGGTCTTTATTCTACTTCTCCTCTTCTTACAGACTTTTCTGACTGTGGAATAAGCCGTCACCCACACCATGTCCCAAGACAAGAGTGGATACCCTGGTATGGGTGAGACTAACCCACTTCATAACAATGTCTACGGGCCTCCTCAGCCGGGCTTTGGTGTGCCCCCTCCCAACTACAGCCAAGCCCCAGGGGGACCATACCCACCAGCTGCAGGCTATGGGCAGCCAGGCTTCCCTCAGGCAGGCCCGGGTTTCGCTCCTGGTCCCTACCCTCAGATGCCTTACCCTCAGATGCCCTACCCGCAAGGCCCTTACCCCCAGGGGCCATACCAGCAGCCAGGCTTTACCGGTGGAGACCCCATGGGTGAGTTTTAAAGACCTCTGAGTTTAAGTAATCATCATTTGATACTTTTCTAAAACCTTTTCCTAAGAGATTTCCATATAATATCACTTTCATAAGAAGAGAAATGTTTCTACAAAGGATTTAATCATTGAAGACTTTTGAATACTACAGTAACTGAACACACACTTGCCAATCCAGCTAGAAAACACACAACACATTGCAGGCTTACTCCTGTGGGACCAGACTAAACACAGATGATGGGGCGATCAATGAGTTTGGTCGATAATAATCACAATGTGCTGAAAAGGCAGCAGACACAGATCCCTACGTTTGGCCTGGATTTTGCTGCTTGTTTTTGATTACATTTTAACCCAACTTGCTTTTCTGATGTCATTTTACGACAGCACCTGCAGGAAGCCCTGGTTACCATGGTGATGGCCCCCCATCTTACTATGATAATGAAGAGTTTACCAACTCTGGTTTTGAGGACAAGACCATCCGACAAGCCTTCATCAGAAAAGTGGGTACTTTAATGTCGAATTGATTGAATGTTACAGAGATTTAATTTGTTTGATTACGAAACAACTTGAACTTGCTTTAAAGAACTATATATGACTTATGGCTGCCTTTTTTCGCACCAACAGGTCTTTATGGTCCTCACAGTGCAGCTGCTGGTCACTTTCTCATTTGTTGCTGTCTTCACTTTCGTGGATGAGGCAAAGTTCTTTGTGCGACGTAACCCATGGACTTACTATGTGTCCTATGCGGTCTTCTTCGTGGCTCTGATTGTCCTCAGCTGCTGTGGAGACTTCCGCCGTAAGCACCCCTGGAACCTTGTTGCACTGGTGAGAGACTCCCAAAAAAAAAAAAATTCACTATTTGTCAAGCCTGCTTGCGTGGTAGATAGATAAATACCCTTTCCAAACAATTAGAATATCATGGAGAAGTTTATTTGTTTCCATAATTCCACTCAAAAAGTTAAACTTTAAAAGATTATAGATTCAGGGCCCACAATTTGAACGATTTCAAGTATTTATTTGTTTATTTTTACATAATTTGGGCTTCCAGCTCATCAAACCCTTGAAAACAGGAATTCCAAAAATTTGAAATTATGTAAAAAAAAAAGTGAAAAGTGAAATTCTACTAATTAAGACTTATTGAAAAGATTTAAGGGTTAAATATATACCAAAGACCCCCAAAGGGAGGTCAGACTACACCATCTTTCGGTCTGTCCGATCAGCCACTGTGTCAGATCATGTCTCTTCTTTTCTTCATGAAAGCAGGGATGATGTTGCCCTATCTCTGTCTCATAGTTCCATTGTGCAGCACCACCTGAATAAGTTCCCTCACTATTTATTTTTACAGTTATTTATTTGTGATGTCGACTGTGATGTTAATTTGTGTTTCTGTGTCTTGCAGTCCATCCTGACTCTGAGCCTCTCCTACATGGTGGGCATGATTGCCAGCTTTTATGACACAGAGACTGTCATCATGGCTGTGGGCATCACTGCTGTGGTCTGCTTCACTGTCGTCCTCTTCTCACTACAGGTCAGTACTCACCGACAGCAGCTTGAAAACACCATAAGTAAAGTCTTTTTGTCATTTGACTTGTTTGACAAGCAACAAAATATAGAAACAAATAAAATTGGTGTCAGAGAAATTGATTTATAAAAATACCATAAAATCACAGGTCTAATGTTTTATCAGAGCTTCAATTTCCTAACATGTGATCTACTCTCTTTGTGTTCTTCTTCCTTGTTTACCACAGAGCAAGTATGACTTCACGTCCTGTAGGGGTGTGCTGTTCGTGTGCCTGATCGTGCTGTTGCTTTTCTCCATCCTCTGCATCTTCATCCGCCACAGGATCTTGCACATCGTCTACGCCTCCCTGGGGGCGCTGCTCTTCACCTGCGTAAGTTTCACGCCTACTTGTTTGGTGCTGTCAAAGGGTAACAACATTCAGTAACAGCAGATCAATCTACTCTGGCTTTGAAACTAAGAAATTGACATTCATGAAAGGTCTGGTCTGTGAGTCAGTTCTTCCGTTCTGTTAAGGGATATATCGTCATTGGTACACACTTGTATTTCCACCTTCAAATGCACTTTAATTTGTGTAAAAGGGATGGTTTCGTCTGCAGAAGGAACAAGGTTGTTATACAAATTGAGTTGGAAAAGGTTTACGCTTAGAAAGAGGAAAGTGGGCCACCAACTTAATTATCAAGAACTAGATATGTGACCATGCATCATGAGAGCTAGACTGAACCAAAACATCTGCTATTACTCAATGAATAATTTATCATGAAGAGTTTTTTGGCTAACACAAAAAGAAGAAAGCTCCATGAATAGAACTCCATAAATCAGATTTAGGTAGGATCATAGAATCATGATCAAGACCAGCCTTAAACCAGGTTTAAAGTAAACATTAAAACCAGCCCTGGATTGGTGAGAATGTGTTGCTGATTTGATCATTGCAGAAGGTTAAATGATCAATGAGGTTTAAGGTTTGACAGGCTGCGAAGCAATACACAACATTAATGATGATCTTAGGCCAAGGCTGCATTTGGATGAATTTGGTAGCTGCTAGACATATCACCTGAAACCACAGCTGGTAAAATAGCTGTTTATGGCATTTATCTTAAGTCTACAATGTAGGTATTTCTCAAATATCTTTTTAATTTTTATTTTTCCTCTCTGCAGTTCTTGGCTGTGGATACTCAGTTGCTCCTGGGCAACAAGAAGTTGGCCTTGAGTCCAGAGGAATACATCTTTGCTGCCCTCAACCTCTACACTGACATCATCAACATTTTCCTCTACATCCTCGCTATTGTGGGACGCTCCCGTGAATAAAGCTGCACCTTTAACTGAACAGGAGGGAGACAGAAAGAGCCTGCCTGTTTCGTGAAATTTTTCTCCCATCCTAATTTTTTTTTCCACATTTGAGTTTTCCCCCTTTACCTTTTTCACATGGTTTTGTTTGAGTTCTTTTTAAACCAGGTAGTTGTGCTGAGAAGGAGTTGCAGTAAGTCATATGATGCAGCTGTGAGGGTCACTATTTATGAAACACAAATCTTTGTTGTTATTGACAAAGTGTTAAAATGCATCTTTCCCTCAATTTAGACCACTGTGCTTGCTGTAACTGTCCTCTGCTTCTACTAACACAGAAGGCTATGTTATGTCGACATTACCCACCCTCTAACTTCCAGTATGGCTCAGCACATGCAGTATAATAACACGTTATCATGTGGGTGCTTGGCACTCCACCTTGTCTTGCTGCAGAGATAAAGCAGAAAAAGAACAGGGAACGTATCAGTAGTGCTTGGTATTGATGTAAACCAGCTTTGCCTGAAGAGAAGAAGTAATTTCTAGAAATAAACATCACCTGATTCTTTTTCCCAAACTAAACCCTCCCTTACAGCCTGTTGGTGTAAAGTAACTGCATGGCAACACTGGAAACACAACTAAAGATGTGTCAAGTTCTTCACAACAACCAGAGGAGGAACTCTAGCTTGCTTATCACTGCTGTAAATAGTTAAGTATATTACTGTATATGATGCCAATACCCCTGCCCCTGAAAGGCATGCTGGAGTGATTTATTTGGATGTGTTTCTTTTTGGGAAAAATATGCTCTGATATCAGAACTTTGCTAACCCAGTACAGTAACTATAATCTTTTAATGGCAAAAGAATGAAGATCAATGTTGGATGTATATGACACACATGAAGCTATATATTCTTACAGAATGTTTTTAACCGGAAGGAAACTTTGATTTTGAAATAGTCTCCATGACTCCCTTACCGTCTTCCTTTTTTATTTAACTGTCCTCATTAATTTCCTCCCATCTGGTAATTAATGTGATGTGACATTAAGTGCTGTTTTTCTCTTTACCACTAATGTGAAATGTAAATGGAAATATTGGAATTTCTGAACACTTTTAATGCAAGTTCAGTTTCAGAAATCATGATATAACAGACTTGAAGCAAATACAACTTATAACTTATCTATTTATTGAGGTTGGTGTAGATAGCAGGGCTACTCTTATGTTGCAATAAACCAGTATTGAGAAAACAACTTTAGACTTGAGCTACAAAAAAAAGTTAATTTCTCAAGTTCATTTTAAACTGACTTATCGGCTGTACTACTGCTCGACATGAAGGCTAAAGTAACCAACATGCACTGAAGTTCTTAACATGCCAAGCTGAACCTGAATGATACATTGAACATTAACTTTTTTTCTTTTCTTGGTTGTTTTTTATTTAATTTTATTTTCCTCTTGCATGATCCTCTTCTGGTTTTTGCATGTGCTGATAATGCACACTTTACAGGTAACCCTGTGTTGGAGAGACACGATGTTTGGCAGCCCTGTTAAGACTTTTTTTTAAATCTCTTGTGTTTGTATCTAACTTAATGTGTATGTGTATATAGAAATTCATAGTGGTTTGGTGTGTATAGATAAAGTAATGTTGGGGCTTTGTAGGTCTGTTTGCACTGTATATTTGCATTTAAATCAATGTAGAATTGCATTCCTCTACACTGCTGTTCGCTTTTCATTAAAACTGATACTGTGTTCACTGTCCCTTTTTTTTCTTTAGACAGTGTAAGTGTCTGCGTATCTTGGTCATACCTCTTAATCTAATTTAAGGAATCCTGATTTAAGTTTTTGTTAAATAATAAAATGAAAAATTAGCCAGGAATCATTTCTGTGTTTAATTCATGGTGTGACAACTTATGGGAATCTGCTTTAAAATCAGGTACTTTTTAAGATGTGAAACTTTTATCTACTGACATTTTTATTTGACAGTGACACTGGTCATTCCAAAGTCGAGGAGCTCTGATAGAGAAAGCTCTGTCACTTTTAGTTTTGAGCCTCAACTTTGGAACGACCAGGACGCCTTTGCCAGAGGATCTGAGGCTGCGAGTTGGCTCAAATGGTATTAAAAGCTCTAAAATGTAGCGTAACTCTCTGAAGAACCTTGTAAGTAATCAATAAAATCTTAAAATCATTTCTAAAACTGACAGGAAACCAGTGAAGGGAGGCTAAAATTGGAGTGATGTGATGCCCTCTACTAAAACCAGTTGAAACCTAGCTGCTAGTTGGAGTAAATGTGAGGTTAAATCAATTAAAACTTAAGTGTACTGTCCACAGACTTGAAATTGTTTCAGCCATTTCTGTCTATTTCTTTATTTCAGATAGCAATTCAGAGACTGTCTGGAAGGTGTTGTGCCGCAGAATGCATCCCCTGCACCCTGTCCACTCATTAGCTTCTTAAAGTGGAAGAAAATGATCTCGTATTTAGAAAAAAACCCAAGTATTGGATCATGACAATATGTCAAATGGAGCAGCAAACTTTCGTTCTGTTTTTATGTGTCGCAAAAATGCGCATATAGAAGTGTACCTGGGTGTGTAAACTGAACAGTTAGCTGTCAAGCTAGCGAACATTATATTTACGGGACAGCAAATATCCCGAGTCAGAGGGCTGTTGTTTTCGGTTTATCTGAATAGCCTGAATGAAATCATTAAAGGTAAACACTTTTGAATTCGTCCACCGGCAAGGAAAACTTGGATTATTTCGCCTTGTTACGTACTTTCAACCGCGCTCTCGTCGAGCGGGCAATAAATCGTACACAATCGTCACTTCACCTGGTTTATACGCGGCTCGTGCTGTTCCATGCTCGTGCACACGGTATTGTCAGTTGGGATCACAGACTATTTGATGTAAGGCGTTAAAAGCTGAGGACAGGACTCCTTTGACGGGATAAATATGAGCGATTCAGCAGGTCAGACGATGAAAACGAGTATATCTTTAAGACATTTTATTAGTCTGTTTACACTGACTGTACAATAGTTTGTGAAAGAAAAGTTTTGCATGAGAGTTAATCTCAACGCTTCGGCCGTTAGCTAACCGTTAGCTAACTCAGTTGGTGGCAATGATATTTCAGACACAGCAGGGACTTAAACTCGTGCAGTATGTTTTCTTTTGTGACCAATATGTTTTATACAGAAATATAATCATGTCTTAACTTTCTTTAGAACTATCAGCTCAATAAGATGCATTAATACTAGTTTACTAATGAACTGTCAACTGAGTCTCAAAGAAAACCTGAAGTTGCTCAGTGAACTCTTTTTTTAACCACATAATATGTAATTATCCAGTCTGGGCAAGCTGAAATGAATAGTCATCAGGGACACCTGGTAGATTGGTGTATCCAGTGGGGCATAACAGTAAAGTCAGTCAGACCAGTATTTTCACTTTTTCTATGTTTGTCCTATGCCAACAGGATTCAACATTGATGACTTAATTAATGCTGCAGCAGCGATAGAAGGTAAACTATTCAAAGTTACACAAAATAAGTACACATTTAATGACTCTTCACCCAAATATAACACTAAAATGTTTTCACGCATTTCTTCTACTGTTAGGTGGAGAAGCACAGGAGGTCAAAGTTGACCAAATCATGGGCAAAGTGAGGAGGCTGTTGCAAGGTAAAGGTGAACAAAGAGTAACATGTCTCAAGCAGACAAACATTTCCTAATGTTGTGTATAATCTGCATGTTGGGATTCTTTAACATGGAACCATAGACTGTATATACACTCACCGGCCACTTTATTAGGTACACCTGTCCAACTGCTCGTTAACACTTAATTTCTAATCAGCCAATCACATGGCGGCAACTTAGTGCATTTAGGCATGTAGACATGGTCAAGACAATCTCCTGCAGTTCAAACCGAGCATCAGTATGGGGAAGAAAGGTGATTTGAGTGACTTTGAACGTGGCATGGTTGTTGGTGCCAGAAGGGCTGGTCTGAGTATTTCAGAAACTGCTGATCTACTGGGATTTTCACGCACAACCATCTCTAGGGTTTACAGAGAATGATCCGAAAAAGAAAAAATATCCAGTGAGCGGCAGTTCTGTGGGCGGAAATGCCTTGTTGATGCCAGAGGTCAGAGGAGAATGGCCAGACTGGTTCGAGCTGATAGAAAGGCAACAGTGACTCAAATAACCACCCGTTACAACCAAGGTAGGCAGAAGAGCATCTCTGAACGCACAGTACGTCGAACTTTGAGGCAGATGGGCTACAGCAGCAGAAGACCACACCGGGTGCCACTCCTTTCAGCAAAGAACAGGAAACTGAGGCTACAATTTGCACAAGCTCATCGAAATTGGACAATAGAAGATTGGAAAAACGTTGCCTGGTCTGATGAGTCTCGATTTCTGCTGCGACATTCGGATGGTAGGGTCAGAATTTGGCGTCAACAACATGAAAGCATGGATCCATCCTGCCTTGTATCAACGGTTCAGGCTGGTGGTGGTGGTGTCATGGTGTGGGGAATATTTTCTTGGCACTCTTTGGGCCCCTTGGTACTAATTGAGCATCGTTGCAACGCCACAGCCTACCTGAGTATTGGTGCTGACCATGTCCATCCCTTTATGACCACAATGTACCCAACTTCTGATGGCTACTTTCAGCAGGATAATGCGCCATGTCATAAAGCTGGAATCATCTCAGACTGGTTTCTTGAACATGACAATGAGTTCACTGTACTCAAATGGCCTCCACAGTCACCAGATCTCAATCCAATAGAGCATCTTTGGGATGTGGTGGAACGGGAGATTCGCATCATGGATGTGCAGCCGACAAATCTGCGGCAACTGTGTGATGCCATCATGTCAATATGGACCAAGCTCTCTGAGGAATGCTTCCAGCACCTTGTTGAATCTATGCCACGAAGAATTGAGGCAGTTCTGAAGGCAAAAGGGGGTCCAACCCATTACTAGCATGGTGTACCTAATAAAGTGGCCGGTGAGTGTAGAATGGGCGTGATCTGCCTCCTCGCTGGGGACCCTCTGGTGACAGGCTGCAGTATAGGTCATAAATCCCTCTGCCAGCCACCCTTATGGGACTGTGGATAAACTTGAGAAATTTATTACGCAGAACATAACAGAGTACATAAAAAGATGAAAATAAGTTTTAAAAATTTAAAATGAATGAACTCTAGATGAATATCTGGATATGTGACTGTGTGCTCTTACTTATTTTTAAAATAAATTTCAAATCCTCCACAGAAAGTGGGCCAAGTCCCAAGAACTGAACACTTTCTTCACAAATTTCAAAGTCACTTTTTCGTTTGTTAACTTGTTTATCAAATTAAATTTCTGGGCACAAAAACAGATGTGGAACAGCAGTTAAAAAGAGGATTGTGGATCTGTCATGCAGTGACCTACTCTGTCCAGCAGGGGCGCAAAGAGGCTCGTGGCTCTGTCACGGTCTATGGTTGTGGATCTGCTTGGCTCTCGGGCTGTGCAGACACGTGCCATTGTCTCAAGCAGACAAACATTTCCTAATGTTGTGTATAATCTGCATGTTGGAATTCTGTACACATCGAACTATTAACGATTTGTACGTGTTGTTGTTTTATTAGTAGACTTGTTTACTAGTTTTCCCTTGAGCTACCACCACGTTTCAGACCTAAAGTATCGACAAAGAATATAGTGGAAGTGGGAGAACTCACTTCCGTGTCTTCCGTCTTCGTTTTACAGCTCTCATTTCATCCGTGCATGGTGTCGTGGTGTGCTTCTCCATGGCATTATTAAGCGGGCATTAAAAACGTCTTGTGATCATTTCGGTGCTTCTACTCCAAAACAGTCGCCATTTACAAGTTAGCCTGAATTAAGACAATAAAGAAATTAAAGGAAAAAGCTGTTGTGTTTGTATCTTGACGACTTCGATAGTCTTTGTGAAGATACACTTCCGCTTCCGCTTGTAGATCGCAATATCTTCTTCGTTTGATCCCTTTAAGGGGTTTAAAATGATCACCTGATACAAGTGTATCATGTCTTCAACAGGTAAATCGCGTCCGTAGTTTAAAACCTCTTCCACACCTATCCCATAGAGCGATACGCAGTTGAATAGATGCGCACCAATGAGAAGGCTCCATGCGCGAGCTGTATGCTAATGAAAACGTAGTTACTAAAATAATAACGTGCTGGAGTCAATGCTTTCTTTAACCCACCCTGTCAAAGTCCGTGATCAAAATACATTTAAATTGTCATGATTTGAAGAGGTTCAACCGAGCCTTAAAAATATGAAACCGTGACTGAAGCAGTTGTAGGAACCATTCATAGAAGTTGCCTTTACTTTATCACGTCATCTTCAGTGAGGTACATCCTTACCTGTTACTCCACACGTGGAGTATCAGATCATGATGAATGGAGCTCAATGAGACATGATTATTGTCTCCATCTTGTGGGGAACAGCAACACCCCACAAGACCATTCTGATTCACATCTGTTAAAATTAAAACGTATGGTACTGTAAAGTGAGGATGAGCAGGAATTTGTTCTAAACTCCCGCTCTAAAACCATTTGAAAATCAGCCACCTCTTCTTTGTGTCTAGTAAGATTGTCATGATCTATTTCATCCAAGGCAAAAGGGCTCTGGAAGAAGAAATTAAAGCGATCCAATCACTCGGTGATTCTTTGCGGAAAGAGCTGGAAACAGGTAAGAAACATTATTACTTGTATTCTTCCACATATGTTATTGTACCCATTGTACCTGTTACATAAAGCAGATAGTAACCTATTTAGTTTAGACTTTGACATTCAACATTTGTTTGGTGATAAATATTAAGCTAGAAATAGATATATATAGATAATATTGAAGTATTTATATGAATATATATTCATGAAGTGTTTATGTGTAGTGTGAAAAAAGGAATTCTTCTTTTTATAGTGCAAATAGAAGCATATCAGCTGGAGGAAAACCATAAAGAAAAAGAAGGTTTGCACAGCCTAAAATGAAATTAATTATTTTTAGTTAAATGTATCTATTTAAGCCCAGATATATGATGTCATGATACTGCCTAACAGTCTTTGACTTTGACTTAAGACCGCTTAAGTGTTTTAATGAGAATGCGTATCATCCATAATCATAGGCTGATCAGCATAACTACATTTTTTTGCAGAGTTGTGCAGGAAGCTGCAGTTCCAGTGTGATGAGTCTGAGCGGGACTCTGCCAGGTGACTCCACATTAACAAGACGAAGAATTTTACTTTATGTGTTTGCCAGTGAAAAGTGTGCTTCCTTTCACTGTCTCATTTGTTTTTGTGATATCAACCACCAGAGGGAAGCAAAGACCTTTGTTGTTTTCTTAAGGGGCTGATTTATGCCTGCACACTGCATGCTACAATAGCATCATTGCGACCATGTTTTGATATTTCCTGATTCTTATGTGGCATTTGAGGGTTTAATTATGGCCATTTTTAAACTTTACAGATATGAGGCAAGAGTGCAACTTTTAAATGTCTTTTTCTATTTCAAAAACACTTCACATCTGGTGTAAAAACATGCTCAAAGTTTTTGATACGTATTATTTTGATACATTTGTGAAATTACCACTTCTGCCTTTTTTTGTTATTTGAGATAGTGTTTGAAATCGTCACTGTTTTGAAACTGAATAACTGAGCGCCAATAGTTTGAAGGCCTGTGGTCTCATCACTGAGCAATACGTTAAAGTTGTGAATTAATGATCACAGTTTATACGTGAACATTTAAAAGATTATTTTGGTTTGTACTGAAAATAAACTTTTTGCTTTGCAGGCAGATAGAGCAGAACAAGAAAAGGGATGAACTGTTGGAGCAGTACAGATGTGAAATCCAAGAAATCGAGCTAAAGCAGCGAAAGCAGCGGTACCTGACTTTCCGAAAACAACATCTTAACTTCAAACATTAAAAAATTTTTTTTATCTTTGGTTTCCTAAAGCTGGCCTGATTTTTGCAGCATGAAGTTTGAAAACCAACTTCTTCAACTGATAGAGCAGCACAAGAATCTGTTCTCTGTCTTCGTAAGCTTTTCTGCATTTTGAAATACACTGCAACAAAACTTCTCACCGTTTTTAACCAAAATGATGATACTGTAAATTTTTATGAAACTGTTGATGACTTTTGTCCTCAAATTTTCAACCTAGGGTCCACAAAGGCTCCCAGATGAAATAAGAAGTGCTGAGAATACAAAACTTCAACTGCTGGGAACTGGTGAGTACCTGCAAATATTTCATGCTCATGCATGCAGTGAAACATTTGGTTTTCAAGCTTATACATGACTATATAATTTGACCTTTATTACAAACATCTATTAACTGCTTTATTTATTCTTGAAGTGCAAGCCAAGCTGGCTCAGCTGCACATTCTTGATGAGAAGCTCGAGGAAGTAAAGAAACAGACACAGCAAGCTACTACACCTGCAGAGACATAAGTGGAGTAAAATCCATGTATGTAAGTGGTTCAAAGAATTAGAGGTCAAATGCTTGAAGATGAAAACTCTCAGGTACGTTTCCCAGATACTGACTTCAGGACACCGTCAGTTCAATGGCTGCACACTACCCACAGTCAACCAAATACTATAAATTGTTTTGCTTCACATTGTGCTGAAAAGGACCGAAGAGATTTTACACAACTGATTTGTATTTACCTCTATTTTCTGTTCAATATTAACTAATATATAGACACTTATTCTTTGTTCTTATTGTTCTGAACTATTTTACTTTGATAAATTGGTAATAATTCTGTAAAACTAGAAATTTAGCCCATATGTTATCTATCTGTAATCTAGATATCTTCTTAATATACATAAGGAAACTGATGTGTTAATGAAATGTGACGTGTTTTATGACCGTTGAGTGTTGGTTTTAGTGTAGTAGATTTCATTGTCCTCTGACACTGTGTTCACAATGTAATACTTAAAAATTTTGCTTTTTTAAAAAATCTTCTATCAAAGTCCTTTCAGTGCTTTGACAAGTTTGTGAAATGGGCTTCATTTTGTGAATCCAATGAAAACTTATGAAGAAAAACACTTTAACCATTTACTACAGTCTACATTCTGTGAATATTTACTCACACCCACGTTCAGCTTCAGTTTAAAAGACATTTAATAAAAGACTTTTACTGTTTTTCAAACACAATGTAATACTATCTTAGGTTTTAAAAACACATTCCCCCAATCAATGCCAATTATATATTACAACCGATACCACATATTTACACATTATTTAAAAATTAACACAATGCACATCAATAGGACAGTTAAGGTGACCACAATCTAATTTGTTAATTAGAATATCACCGAAAACTTTTCAAAAAATATTTACAATATTATCCAATATAGAAAACAGTAACCCCTGGAGTATGAGCAGTAGTGTCTCCAATTCCTCACTGCGTTGTACAAAAGCAAAACAAACACCATGTTGTTCGATGCTTGGCCAAGCTGTCAAGCAGCATGGGAGCTGCATTTTATAACTTAATCTTTGGTTAAGTAGTGTTTGGAGTCCTGTGTAGGGTGGAGCTGAATAATTTGGGTGACTTGTGTAAACAGGCACCGTCCATGTGTTGGTACTGCATGATGTAGCCATTATTTCCTTGTGTTTCAGAGGTGATGGCTAGTTTTTACTGTTGTTCAGGGCAGCTATTTCTATCAATTTCATCAACGTTCAGAAGACGGCATATGACACTCACATTTTGCACTCCAAACCCTATAACCATGACTGCTTGAGGGCCTCCCTCTGACTGGTTATTCGACTCTTCAACTCTGATAAGTCGGTCCACGCCTTAATAGAAAAGTACATATCCCTCCCTTTAAAGGGCAAAGTTCACCCAAGGCCCTTCTTTTGATTGAAACTTACTTTTGCTACTTCTGTTGACACATCTTATTACCCTCAGTATTTATCTCAGTCCTTATTTTCTACAATCTCACATACTTTTCCTTAAATTTTCAGCCTCCATCAGTTCCTTAAGTCAGTTCCTGTTCATGCATCTCTTCCACCTCCTCTGTGTTGACAACTGTCCTTCCAGCTTTGGTAAAGCTCCTGTCGGCAATTGGCACATGCAAAATCCATGAGACACTGGGTCCCATTCAATTTCAAACAAGTTCAACCTGACACTAGCAAAGACACACAACATTGATAATTTACATGTGTACTCATATTCACATTCCCTCAGGAGTAAGATGTACCGTCTTTCTTTTATCCTCTCTAACTCCCTAAGTCATGTTCATACAAGACCAACTATCAGTTAATCGCCCTACCTTTTTCTGTTTGGTGAAACACTAGCCCATGCTGCCAGTGTACAAGCGGAGTCAATCTTCTTTCTCAGTCACCATAAAAGGTAAAACTAGTACCAAGGCTTGGCAAACATGCACATTCCAAACTCAGTGACCTAAGTTTGTTTTCAGCAATCTTATATATTGTCTTTTCAAGTTTTATTACTTTGTGTGGAAGTCCAGGAAAGGCTGCAGTGTAAAGCCACAGAGGTACTTTGATAGAGTTGTTGGCAGTAGGTCTTTTTTGATCATCTTGCATAAATAGTTTCCATTTAAAAGGCTGCTCCTCCACCTCTTGTTATCCCAGGTTGTTCCCCATCTGTTAACAGAACAACAGGGATAACAATGAATGCAACAGAGTATGAACTTTGGTCTGTTTTGACATTCTCTACCCTCTTACTCATCTTTACAGTCAATATATATAGGTTTCAGGGGGAAAGTCCATTTTACAGTTCCCACTCAACACATTTCACAACAGAAATTAAAATCCAAATTTAAAAATAGAATTATCCATAAAAAAGTTCTTTAGTTTTATTGTCAATATAAAGTCATGAATGTAAACCTGTCTAACAAAGTACTTTCACATTCTCAAAGTGGAAACCATGCAAAAGTTTGATACTTTCTGGAAATACAAGCTTTGAATCATATGACTAGAATTTCTGAATTTACATAGACCCTCTTTAATAATATAGAAAATCTAACTGAAAAGCTACAATATGACAAGACAGTGATATATTTTCTGGTATTGTCAGTTTAAAGCCATGTTTAAAAATATTTAATTTATAATGTTCACAGTGATGCCCAAACAAGGGGAGTAGGTAGTTTAAAAAGTTGCAAAGATATTAGTATCTTAAAATGTTATTCTCATAACGTAATTTCATACGCGGTGGCCACACAGTTATTCTGTATACCACTATATCTGACCAATTTTAAAAGAATAGGGTTTTGTCTCCATATTCTAACCTGCAGTTTTTTTGTGTTATGATTTTTTTCTGAACACTCAGTTTCTACTTATGCACATATCTACCCCTTTTTTGTTTGCAACTTATGTTTTTTTAGCTTTTGACATCCCTCCCATTCACGCTGCAAACATCATCCTTGCAATGATAGACTACCTCAAAGCGGCTGTAGACCTTCTTCTCCTTTCTCAGACTCTCAATCCTCTTCAGCAATCCCTCCCGCTCCTGGATGTTGCCCGGCGGCCGCAGGAATCTACTCTTTTTTAAAGAGTTTTGTCTTTCCAGTGCCTTTTCTGTTGTATCACTCTCTTTTCCCCCTCCGGCTTCTTCTCGCTCCAGGCGGTTCTTTTGGCTGTTGGCTGATATTTGCTCAAGAATTACTTTGGTGTCATCTCTTAAGTTGCTACTGAAAATGACAGAGTTGCCCTGGGCCTGGTATCGAGTTGGGCCTGATGTTGTTGTTGTTGTTGTCTTGTGATTGGCAGCTGTTTGGTCTGTAGTAGTAGTAGCAGTAGAAGATCCAGTACTTTTTCCTATTGAACTTGGCTTTTTGCTTGAATCATCCGTGTGTTCTGCAACTGTGCTCATGCTTTTTTCGTCTCCTGAAGATTTTTTTTCTTTATCCTTTGGCCCCAGGAATCCCTTGAGCCTCTGAGTCTGCTTCTTTAAGAAGTCAAGTGTCTTACCCTCTTTTGTCTCACCAAGCGTGTTGATGGATGTGTTAGATCCCATTGTTTTTTGCAGTCCCTCTTTGGATTCATCTCGTGGTAAGGTGGATGAGCTTTGAGAGCGGTTCTTTCTCAGTTCACTCTTCTCTGCATCCGTGGCATCTGTGGTCAGTATCTCTTCACCACAAGAAATACGGCGAGGATTCAGTCCTTTGAGCTTCAGTGGGTCCCTTCTGAAGATCTTTGGTGAAGGAAGGGGCTTAAGTGACTTGAATATATCTTTCTTTTGACCCTCAGTTGCAGTTGCAGTCTCCTCTTTTTGTGCTTGACTTGTCTCTAAAGCCTTCTGGTGGGGGCTCACATAGGGCTTTGCAGTGATTATTGGGGGTTTGGAGGAGCCTACTGAAGGTTTGCGACTGAGCTCTGCCAGTTTCGCAGCGATGTCTGGTTTCTTTGGTTGCGATTCTGCCGAACTCACCGAGACAGTCGGGACTTTAAGAGCCGTTGGAGTGTTGACGGGAGGTTTATCAGAAAGGTCAGGTTTTTTCACAACAGGCTCTGGGACTTTTGGTGAGGACTCTGTCTCCATTTTTGATGCTTTTCGCTTGGCAGCAAGGTCTTGGAAATACTGCAGTCGACTGGCTGGGTCATTCATGTTCAGAGATGTTGATGCTGTAACCCCAGATTTCTCAACGGCTGGTATTGTCTTCACCTCTTTGTTGGTTTTCTGAGGTTCCTCTTTAGCTATTGTTTCATATTTTAAACGGATATCCTTCACCTCATGCTTCTGTTGTTGTTCTTTCTCTTTCTCCCTTTGCCTCTCTAGCTCTCTCTGTCTCTCTTTCTCCCTCTCTCTTTCTCTCTCCTTTTCTTTCACTCGCTCTCTTTCTTTCTCCTTTTCTTTCTCTCTCTCTCTGTCTCTCTCTTGTTCTTTCTCTCTTTCTTTGTCCCTCTCTCTTTCCCTCTCTGCCTCTTTCTCCTTCTCTTGGTCTTCTTTTTCTTTCTCCTTCTCCTTATCTAATTCATCAGCCTTCTTTCTCCACTCATAAGGATCGCGTGACAGTGACCTCCTCTTCTCTAGGATCTGGGCCACAACTGAAGAAGTGCGTAATGAATCTAACTCCTCTTCAGTCTCTGAAGCTGGTTTTAGACCCAAGCCACCACTGTGCATTTCTGCTTTGGATGATGAGAATATCAGTGAGGAGCGCAAACGAGAACTACGTTGGAGAAGAGGGTTAATACGAGAGCGAAATGATTCATGTTTGGAAAGGAAGAGGTCCGGACCCTCTTTCATCTCCACATCAACACCCATTTCACTTCCTGCACCCTTATCTGTCTCTCTCTCCCTTTCCTTGGCAGCCTCTCTCTCCTTTTTCTCCAGATCCTTAGTGGTTGTTGGGACAGAGTCTTTACTGTTGCTCTCAGGTAAAATGGGCTTCCCAAAGCGTGGTCTCAAGACTTCTGGTCTGGATTTAGAGGGAGCATTGGGTTGCAAGAGGGCTGAACTCTCTGTGTCAGTTGGTTGCTGAGATGAAGGAGGATCTTCAAATGCATCAGGCCCCAAAGGTTGAGGCAGACCCTCTTCAGCGCCGTCCTCATAGGAGCTCAGATATGAATGGATTCTCCAGTTCCTCAAGCCATGCTTTGCTTCTGGATCGTGTTCATGCTCTTGATCGGACTGTTTAGGAAAATGTTTCTTTTCCGGCGGATGGAGCTGTGTGGGTGAGCTCTGACAGGCATATGCCTGACCTATTGTTGGTCTCTTATGGGAGGACCCTCCTCCATATCTCCCAGCTAAAGGTGCATGGTGCCCCTCAGGTCCTCTCAAATCCTCAGATGAAAAGTAGTCTCTGCCATGATTTCCAGGTGGAGGCTCCTGATCTGAGCGAAAACTTGATTCTGAATGCTGGTCAATGGAAAGGTGCTGAGTACGAACCCTTAGCCTGTCGTAGTGTCCTTGGCCAGATCCCGGTCCAGGCCCTTCACTGTAGAAATGGCTGGTTTTGGTGAGATCCCTGGAAAAAAGTTACAGAAGCATACATAAATTGGATACAAAGACTAAGATCATAGTTAGGGGTACGGATATACATTTGATGAATTTACAGACAAAGTTCGGAATTGAACATACCTGTGGTAGTCTGGCTCATCCAAGTTAGTCATGACTCTGTGCTTCATGTATTGCCTTGAAGAGACGTAGTTTTCCTGTGTCCCCTCTGCATAGCTGTGCCTCTTAAAGCCACTGGCACTCATCTCCATTTGCCTGGAAACTAGTGACCTTCCCTGCTCCAGATATGACTGCTGAAGACGAAACTGTTGCTGTGAATACTTCCCTATTGTAATTCCTGCCCCAGGTTCAAGTGTGTGACGAAACGGATCATTCCTCCGGAAAGGAAGTGCAAGATTACGGTCAGTGTCTCCATAAGGGAAGCCAGAGGTAATCTCAGGTGGCCTGCGGTAACCTATGGGGTTACGCAAAGACTGGGTCCTCTTCAAACCAAATTGGCTGCTGAAGTAACTACTCGTGCTACTGGTGTCAGAGAATGCCCCATCGGATGGGTCAATGACTAGAGGCTCTGACTGAGCAAACAGAATGCGAAACTCTTCATCAAAGGTGGCAACCAACTCCCCGAGGAAGAGGTGGGCAATACAACGGTGGATCTTCTCATAAGACCACATGAAACTATGAAAAAAACAAAGGACAATAGAGGCTGTTAGAGTACTTAAAACTAAAGAACGGTTAGTTGTCAGTCTTAAAATTTAAATGAACTTTTAATCTGCCTAATTAAATGACTCACCTGTAATTGCCACTGAGTACTGCCCTGCAGTCAGCCAGAAGGAATCGATCTTTCACTTGCCCTTTAAATGATTTTCCCGTACGTGAATGATAGGTGATTCCCGCAACAGTCCTCACGCGCATGAACTGTAAAACAATGTGAATCATATTAAGCCTTCGTATAAATTATGCACCATTGTCACATATGGCAAGGGCAAAAGTATATGAAGGAACCAAATAACACAATAAAATACCACAGGAAGGCCAACTCTTAACCTAATTTATAAGGGAAAAAAAGAGACTAACTGGATTTAGTTCCAAGTTGACTTTGCAGTTGATGACCATCGAGCTGAAGTGATGAACATCCTGTTCATCCAGCAAAATATAAACAGGAACATGTCGAGATGTTGCTTCCAGAAGATCGGCAAAAATGTCGACATCTGTAAATATGTCCATCACCACAGCGATAACCTGGAGACAAGTGAGAGAACACACAAAACAGCTGTTTATTGCTTGATCAAGTTATTCCAGGCTTAGTCTACTCTTATATCCTTTATTCCAACCGTGTTTCTTTTGGTTAACTTTAAAAGGGATTACTATCACCTGGACTTTTCAGTGACACTTGTTTAGTACATCAGAACATCATATTAAGCAAACTAACGTTTATAGAGAACTGTATATGGTTTTTACTTAGCATTGTACTTTTGAAAGAAATGGTTTCCATTAAAAGTGCGTTAATTGTAGGGATGTTATAGCGTATCTTTTTGCTACGCAAACTGACAAACATTAAAAAATGAATTTTGAGTTTGTAAATAGGCAAAGTTTGATATCACACAAGAGGACCACACCAATAAACAAAGTGTGCATTTAAATTGAGTATACAGTATCACATAAACAGAAACTGTCATGTCTGTTGATGGTTATTTGCATGTAACCTTGTGCTTTAGATTTGACTGAGTTTTGATTGAAAATATATCCTTATTGTAACTCAAGACTAGCAATAAGATACTGATCTGAAAGGGAGTGGTCACAAAGTTGGCAGTGGCAAAGAGTGTAAGATTAAACTAACATTGAGATAACATAATCAATGCCTAGACTTCTCACTCACAGCCCTTTATAACCCCCTTTTTCACAGATAGCATTCAACCTGTACAGTACACACAGATAAGACAGAAATAGGTTACTTGTGTTCAGAAATTACACCACAAAGTGTCACTTATCTCTTTTTAGATCAAGAAAAGAACAGCATATCTGTCGCTGTGTTAAATGAGTTGGACTAATATACACAGGTTAATTTATGATTGTAGATTATTTGATTTTAGCCTCTGAAAGCATGTGGCCTCTGAGTAATGCTCCTTGAAAGCAAACTGGATATGCCAGTTTAAGTCACCTTACTGCTGAAAGTTTCTCCCTTTAACTTACTTGACATGCACTCTTAATGAGTCTTCTGGCCTGCTCTTTGATGCTTGGCATGTCTGGGTCTGAAGGGTTGACCAAAGTAGTGACTTCTGTAGGGCCCCTGAAGCTCTGCTGTGGCACTGGCCAGCCCAGGTCCAGCCCTGGGGCTGCAAGGTCAGACTGCATTGGCCAGTAGGTATCAGAGGAGCCATCAACATCGTGACCTCCCTCATGGTATGTCAGCTCTGGGATGCTTGAAGACAGGTTGGGCGTCTGGATTGTGGACCTGATCAATTCAATTTCTGGCTGTGCCAGGAAACCGACCACCTCTGCGCTCTGAAGGAACTCATAATAGCCCTGTTGTGAGAGAAAACATTTCCAAATTAATGAAATCATTATACAATGTGGATATTTATTTGGTGTGTTTTCAATAAACTAAACTAAATTTACCTTTATGTCCTGTTCTATCAAAGCATCAATAGCTAGACGGTACTCCTCACGATAATGTGGGGGCAGGTAGTTTGGGTCGAGAGGGTTATCCCCAATCGATGAACTCTGAGAACGGTTTGGCATATTTGTAGAGAGGGGTGGGGTCAAAGGTCTTGGCTCAAGGCTGTGTGTAAGTGAAGGGGATCACCTCTGACCTGTGAAAAGAAGTCACAGAGAAACATAATGTCAGTGTAACAAACAGGAAAACCATGCTTAAATGTTATTTATGATATTTACAGAACAGGTTCCTATGACAGTTAGAAAAAACACTGCATTATGAGCATTTTCATGTGTACACAACATGTTTTCTTCAAGAACATACAACACTCATAATTTAACTCAATTTTCCTTATGGCGGTGAAACGAAAATAAATAAAATCAATGTACACAGCATGGACTGATCACTGACAACCTCCTACTCCTGTAGACCCTGACAATTATGACCTATCACCACAGAACATATTATCCACAACCACATTTACTCATTCTCAAGGTAAATGGCTGCAATCACTGAGGGAAGACACTACTTCTCATATGAATAATTTATCATTATAAGTGAAATGATTTTGAAACAAGTGCTGTGGGTTATTTTAATCATTGCAATTAATGTTATTGAAAATGCTTTTTCTACTTGCTCACAATACAATGGATTATCTGGGGCATCTTTGATATCAGCAGTGTTTAAGTACAGTCGCTTTTTATGGTTAGACTTTGAGGGAAACTGATTAGACTAGGTTCATTGCATAACCTGCCTAATTGCCTATTTCAGCTGATGTTGGGGTTTTTTACGAACGAAATATCCTGACTGATAGTTGTGAAGATCAAATGAATTCTGGTTTCTGAGAAAGCCTTACATAACATTAAAAATGGATAAAACTGCAGAATGCGCACAACAAAACTAAAGAGAGAAAAGAAAAGGAGGTTGAAGGGAGAGGTTTAGACAGGCATGAAGAGCTGTATAGACAGGTTCTCATTACTTTAATAATTTTCATACTGGTGGTGCGTCACACCTCAAGTTGTTACTCAGACCACATCCTGATGAATCTGTCAGTCATGACACAAACTGATCCAGCAAAGCACAATGAGTAAGCCGCAAGACTTGAGGAATGAATCATAAGTGAAGGTACAGTGACAAGAACATTTGTTACATAAAATTTTGTGAATGTACTATTGTTCTAAGGAGAATCAGAGGGCAGGGAACTTTTAAAATCTAGGGCCGAAATTTGCCACAATTCTCAAAAATGACCAAGAGTCAAGCCACCAAACAACAAAGAATTCAGTAGAAGATAGGCTAAAACAACTTAACCTGACTAGCAGAATGCTATAACAATATCACACAAAGCATGATAATGAGGCGATTGATTATTGGCACAGTGGATATGTCTGTGGATTACTTTCACAATTAATTAATACTTGTCTGGAATATAAAATATTATCAACAGTGGAAAATACAGAGCACATTTTCTTAGTCCAAGTTGGTTTCATAAAATTAATAAATAAGCTAAAACTTAAAATTCAACGGATATCACATAATAAAGAGAGACGCTGCTAGTTTTACAACTAAAACACAGTCACAAAACTGTGTATTTTATTGCCTAAATTAAAATTTGATATTGTTTCACTCCTCCCAAATGAAAAAATCTACAATTAATTAAACAATAATCAAATATAAATATGTACAGCCAAAGTTCAATCCACTTTTCCTGCGTTCATTTGGCTATAATTATCATTATTCCCATTGTACTGACCGTTTTATGGATTAGTTTTGTAGGCAAAGGTAAATACCTCTATCACTTAAAAGATGTAGTTTGGCTTCACTGAAGGGAAATGAGAGAGGATGTGCACATCACTCAACAATCCAGAGCTGGATTTCAACCCACAGCAAAGCTATGTGTCGTACATCATCAACTGATCCAACCAGGACGACCCCTCATGTATATTTTATGTTGCGGCTGCATTATGGACATGCGATAGGGGGTTTTGGCTGACAGCTCAACAAATATCCCAAAAAAGCTGGTTGAACACTGAATAAATCTCACTACACATGGGTCTCTTTGATGCATGGCAACTTGCTGTCAGATCAGGAAGTGTATTGTACTGTTTTGGTGTGTCACCATGGTAATGCACAGCTGCTGAAATTGTGGTTAATTGGCAGTCTTCGTATGCAATCAGGGTGTGTCTAACCTGGGGTCTGTGTGGTAGCACGAGGAGGTGTTAAATGAGGTCATACCTGCTCTATCTCTCTGTGACGTGTTTTCTGTAAACTTCCACACACATGCAAAATTCAGTAGGGATTTCAAAGGGCTCCAAGTCCCAACCCGCAATCACTGGGAGAAGCTGTCTCACTAAAATGGCCTCGTGAGTCATCGGGTAGCCTGGCCTGGCCTGGCCTGAGGATAAGTTGTTTAACGTTGCTCTGTGGTGATTCATCCAGTGGCAAAATGGCTGACATCCTGTTTCCATGCTCCTCTCTAGCTATATAAGTTAGGCATTTGTGGTGCACTGTTCCCTTTTAAAAGTTCCATGGTGGGCAGGGAGGCACGGCAGCCGTATGGACCGCTTGGAATAATTTCACTCTTGCCAAGGAACAAAACTAAAATGGTAGGATTCCAAGGACTTTGACTTGTCTTGGTACATACTTTATTTGGAGGTATTCTAGCAGCCTGGGGCCTGCTCAGTGAAAATGTGCTGAGGTGGCAGTAAAATGCTAAGATGCATATTTGAGGACTTGTCATAATGGCCACTGACAAAGAGGTGTGCACCTGGCTGCTTGTTGTTGTGTTGAAACCTCGGAAAAGACATCCAAGAGTGTCCAAAACTGATTTAATTTCTTTAGGTACGATAATGAAAAGGGATGCAGCTAGTGGTCACTTTTATCACCAGTTATTTTTGAGTCTAACTAAAATTTTTGCTGATTAAAAAAACACCCACCTTTAAGTAACAGAGGAAAATAGTATCAGTCAACCCTGAGATGGATATGAGTTTCTCGGGTGACTCAAGAGCTCAATGGTACCAAACAAAGCCCGGGGTTTCTAATTCACCCCCTTGACCTCTGGAACGACATAAAAGACAAATAACCCAACGTAAGAAGCATGTCCGACTCTCCCGACCTCACCTGGCTGACTTGTAGGAAGTACAAACAAATACTGCTGTCGTGTTTATTGTTATGGCAACTGCAGTATGCATCAAACTGTAGGTGATAAGAATCTCCCTTTTCTTCTTTCTGTTCCTCCCTTATTTATAGAGCTTTCTGCTGCTCACCAAAGGACTGGACTGGCCTAAATGTACCATTGACAAAGCCGGTTTGAAACCCTAAACCACCACATGCAAGGCAGGCGGGGACCAAGTGATGGTTGCTCCCTGATGCCTACAAACCCAATATTCAGATGTCCTCAATGTTTGCTCACCAGGCGTGTAAATAGCTCTGTCTCTGCATTCCTTCATGAACTCTTGTATGGGAAGAGGCAGAAAGAGTGTGTGAAGAGCAGAGAAGCACAAAATTTGGATGTGTCTCAACCTGTTACAAGCAGAAATAAGCTTGAGGAAATGATCAAGCTCAAACTCTCCCTAACCCTCCAAAAAAGTTAGTTTTATCAGTTTTCACCCTTTATTATTCTCTCTCTCTGTAGTTTTCCCACACATGCATCAGAAATGAACACACCTCACTAAACAAACTCCACGATTGATCTGGCATACCTCTCCAGTGGATTCATTTTGTACGATAACTTGGTGTGAATGGAGCCATACTACAATACCTGAAAACAGGTTTGGAGGGATGAGCCAGTAATCTCCTGCTGCTCCTGTCAGGACCTTTCAGTGCCACTTTTCGTCAGATTAACACACACAAAACACAGACAAGAGCAAACACTGAGGATTGCTGTCTCCCTGTATATCATCACACCTCAGCTTGACTCTTGAACGTCACAAAGCAGACAGCTCAAGGTCGTGTGGATGTACACATGGCAGCACCTACCCTCTCCTTTGAAAGCTGTACTTCATACAGCAGCACTGCTAGAAAAACAGGTCCTCTGAGGTCCTTGTCACCTGCTTCAACTGCCTAAATGTGTGCAGCCATCTTTTATGGACACCACAACAATCACAGCTTACAAAAACTTTCTACTCTGCCTCTTTCCTTGCCTAGTTGCACAGTACTAATCACACATAAATTACAACAGCTATTCATGCAGCCAACGATCCCTAACACATAAAGTGGAAACAAAGCTATGAGATGCAGGCAGGGACATTTGGCTAGTGAGTGAAGATGAAACCCATAATGAGAAGCACAAGAGAAGAAAAGGCACCACAAAAAGCTGGCACCAAAAACTTTTTCCCCTCAAATTACAACCACATGGCGGACTATTCCTAACCAGTGAGTCACTGAATGAAGCGAGTCAATGCATGCAAAGGTGATGTTCAAATCAATTCATTGCTTGTCGTGTCAAAGCTCTGAATGAAAACTTATTTGCGTGCATTAACGAAAGAGAAAAAATTAGAGCCAACTGACAAAAAGTCAAAAGAAGAGGATGCATATGATTTGAAGGCCAGGATGTATGTAATTTTACACCTTATCTGTATATTAGAAGGCGGTGATTGAGCCCTATAACAATGCCTGACTGTTGTGCATACACAGCATTGTGCAACCAGGGCATCAGACATGCTTGTTAAAGCACCTCAGGCCTTTCAAGCCTTATTTATTGCTCCTAGTTCACTACAGTTCACTGGCATTTTGTCTTTTCCCATGATTTCCATCGCTCTGTGGGTTCGTTTTTGAAAAAGCAGCTCATATAAAGTCATTGTAATAACCGTAGAATACAGACAAGGCTTTACTCTGTCAGAGGCCATTTTTCCTCTGTGTTTTTTTCTTCACGTCTCCAAAGGGCTGGAGAAACACCAGCAGTACCAGCCAACACGGAGCCCTCTGTGTGCTCAAGCTGTAATAACAGAACTGTTCAGGTTTTGCAATGCACAGCAGTTACCTGGATGACTTAATCCTTCATAAAGTCCTGGCAGGGGATAGGGAAAGTTACTTGCATTTCACTTTTTATCCCACTTATAGTAGTAGGGAAATAACAATGGAAAAAGACTTACTTAAGAGCATATAAACTAAAAAGATTAAATTTAAATATTAAAATAATTTTTTAAAAAGAACAAGAGATAGATTATATGGCTTCCATAAGATGCACTTAGATAAAAAATAAAAACAAGATAGAGGAGAGTAGATAATAAGATACACTGTGGGACAAAAAGTTCGTCAGTCCACTGTCTGCACTTGCAAAATTAGTTTATATTTCTGCTCCCTACCTCCTAACTTTGCAGTTCAACTCGTTTCTTTTCTTATCTTCGTACCGAGGAGTATCGCTCCCCCTCAATGCAACCCGCCGACGTCCGTCTTCTCTCCGTCCGTGCGTCACATTCCTCAGAGCGGGCAAAGACTCCACCCAAACCCCCGGTGTGCACCCTACCACAGTGCCGACAGTCGTAGAAGTGCAAGCCGAGCAAACACGGACCACAGGCCCGGGCTAAGCGTGTCACTCGGCGGCGTGAGAACGTCCAGAGCCGCCGCCACTGAGGAGCAGGGCAGCGCGATGAATGAGGAAGCAACAGGACGACTCCTGTTAGGCAGGGCTTCCCCACCGGTGAGACTCCTCCCAAAGCCTTCGAGCACTGGGAACAGCCCACCATTGGAAGCGCACTTCTAGTGGCATGCTGGTATTCCTACTATGGCTGCCACTGTTGTTTTTTAAGAGATCGTAAAAGAGAAAAAAATGCATCTTTGAAAAGTTTACCAAGGAGTCACGCAACAGAGGTTTTTATGGTTTGGTGGACTATGTGCCAGTTTGGGTTAATGGCTAGACTTAAAGTCAATCAGAGGTTATGTTACCTGCTTGAACCCCTGGCCACTCCTCTATAGGGGAGAGTGGGGTAAGTTGAGTGAAAGGGTAAGTTGAGCCACCCCGTGTTGCTTGAAAATGGTAAAAGAAATGGATAATGTGTTCGAATATTTAGGAGATGGGCATCAATTCATGCAGTCTGAGAAGGTTAGAAGCACTTGGGTGAAAGGGGTTCGACTTTTATTTCCAAAATACCAATTTTCCACTCTTGAAAGTGAATGTAGTCTGTAAGTTTTATTAGAATTGTGTTGAGACAAAAAAAAAAACATTTTAAATTTGTCTTATACATCAAGAGTGGTATCTATGAGCTACAACATGAGGGATATGGCTCAACTTACTCTGCTCCTATGGTCAACTTACCCCATACACAGGATAAGTTGCCCATAGGAGACCACTTTTTTTGGCATGCCATATTATCAAGACCGATTTGTTTACACTAACTCTGTTGGTTTGCAGGGATGCACAACATCTTGAAATATATGCAGATACACTAGTTAGAGACAAAACTATGATTGCCTTGATGTAGTGATCCGAAATATGAAAAATGGCTCATCTTACCCCACTCTCCCCTACACACCCCTTGCTGTTCTGGCACCTGATCATATGTAAATATAAGTCTTCCCTGCCAGGTTGTCTTGCATGACTGGGCTGACAATGTGTGTCTTCATTTTAAAACCTGTTTGAAAATTGGCAGCATCTGTAATCATTTTTACACGTTACGTAATATATAAAAGAAAATAAACCGATTTTTGATTCAAAGGTTGAATTTGTCTTTAATAAAAAGCTCCAGATGTCAGTGATTTTGCTTCTAAGGCCTCGCTTTTGTGGCTGGTAGTAGCTTTCTTCAGATAAATGACACTGTATCTATGTGACATTTTTAATCTTCTTTTTCACTCCCACATGTTTCCAGTGCCATTCAGAGACTCTGCTGTATGAAAGTTTGGTTTTTCCGGAGACCATTTCTCTTCTGAAACTTGGTAGAAATGAGTCATCTGTTGTTTTTCCCCATGCCTAAACACTGGTGTTGAATCAGTCAGCTTCAGCTGTACCTATTACTGTATGAATAAGAAAAAAAAACACCCCCCTTTCCATTTGCAGTGTGCTCGTGTACCTCCTCCTGGATTTTGGTCACTTGTTTTTCTACCTTAGCCAATACAGACACAGAGGAGGCCATAACTACACTATTTAACTACTCTATCTACCCTATCCTGTTATGCATAAACAATCATTTGTAAGATCACACTTTGGCCAGATTAGAAATGGTTGCTGTATTTCCCCTTCAGCTTTTTTATTGGGCGTTATGAAGATAGTTTGTTTTTGTTTAATTCTTATCGGCTTCTCTTTTGAACTCTCAGTTTCTCTTATTCACTCACTTGGACTCCAATACACCAAGTAGCCTACCACAGCATTTGAAGAAGTCATAACACAACTGAAACTGTATATTGCTGGGTTTTGTGCGGGTTATATGGACTGTCCTTTGTCCTGAAACGTGTCTATCAGACAGAACACACCTTGTTTCATTGCTCTCTGATAGCAAAACTCTTATGAGTACGGTTGTGTGTTCAGTCCTGCTCTAAGGGTGTGACTCCTGTTTGAATGTCTGCCTGAGCACCCATGTCCTACAGTGCTGTTATGAACTGAACTCTGCAGGAGCCATTTTTTTTTCTAATCCCTCACCCTGCCTGGTTCCTTTCCAGTTCATGCAAATGTGCCACTCTCAGCAGATTTGACTAGATATGAAACGGGGGGTGAGAGGTTTGCATACAGCAGTGTGTGTGTGTTACACACAAGTGCAGTAATAAAGGAACAACAGATTAATGTGTGTTTGTGAAACTATATCTGATGAAACAAGTGCCAGGAGAGAAAGTATTGCAAGTGTCTGCTTACTTGAACGCTCTGATAACAGACACTAGCAGGTATATAGACGCTGAAACGCAGGGTGCGGCTGCTCCAAGGAATGTGCTCAAGGCATCTCACCACACCCAACATCCTACTCTCCTACTCTCTCTCTCTCTCTCTCTCTCCCCCCTTTTAGTCATCCTCCTTCTCTGAGTCACCTGGCAGCTATCAAACAGGTGTACAGGTCCAGGCAGAATCCAGGCAGCAGATAAATCCTGGCCTGCACTTTGGCGCACCTGGGAGGGGAATTGGACGGGATCTGGGACTATTTGTTTGTTATACGCAATTTTTTTACTCGTGGCTGTTTGAGCTTAATGTTGACAGCACTGTTTGATTTATGTAAAGCATTTAAACATTAGGGATGTGCAGAGAGCATGAAGTTGATTATTAGATGTTGAGAATCTGCATGTTTCCATAGCTTTAGTGCCAAAAATAATACCTCAGTTATACAGCTGCTTGACAACCAGAGATTGTATCATTTTTGGTATTGCCTAAAATGCGCTCAACAGGTGTGTCTCAATTAATGAAGATGTTATGTAACCTCTTTTAGTTATTCAAGAAAGTGAACATTTTACATGTTTGAGACTCATTGAATGCCAACTCAAAAGTTTCAGTCCTAATGGTTCAACTGCTGATTTGACAGTCGTCCAGAAGACAATCATTATCATTGACCCCCCTCCACAGAGGGTCATTGCTGGAAAGGCTGTATGTTTACAGAGAGCTGCGTGAAAGCAGATTAGTGGAAAGGCTACTGGGAGGAAGATGCGTTGGAGGGAAAGTTGCACAATGAACAGAGATGACCGCAGCAGGATTGTCAAGAAAAGCTGATTTAAGAACTTCAGAGGGCTTCACAAGGACTGGACTGAGGCTGGAGTCAATGCATCAAGAGCAGAGAACCTGAGGTGAGAAGGCCACAGAACCAGGATGTTTGGGGTCCAGTGTGAAGTTCCCACAGTCTGATGAATTGGGTTTGCCATGCCATCTACTGTCGCTGGTCCACTGTATTTTATCAAGCTGATTTCCTTTCCCAGCAAGATCTCACTCTTGCCCTCAGTGCCAAAACTTGTACCAAAAAGTTTACTGACTCATGATATACTGTGCTTGATTGGCCAGCCAAGTCATTTGGCCTGAACCCTGCCCTATACATTCAATAGAGCAGCGTACAGTCAGCTTTTAAATGTTCAAAACCATGCTCAAACTCAGAGACACTTCAGTTTGTATTCAAAGTGAAAAACACAAGATTGTGCATGTCAAACTACTGTATATTAGTTTATTATACTCACTTCTCTTTACATCAGTGTACCTGACTTACATTTATTTTATTATGATGAAAAGACAAGGTGAGTAAACACAAAATAAAATAAGTTAGTGTGTGAAAAACTTTCATCTAGTACTTGAATATGATATCCAAGTAGTAAAAGTTAAGATTAAAACAGATACTAAAATGAACGGTGACTCAAAATGTCACTGAAATACATCTTTTGTTATTGTTTTGATTAAGAGACCCTTGGCAACAACCCTGCTGTCAACTTCCTCTTTCAGTGGTGAAAAAAACTTAAATTCAGATTGAGACAAGGGAAATTCAAGTCTTTAGGGAACTCACAGTGGCTTTTGTTATATAATTCGGGCAAACCCACCAGTCTGAAGGTTGCAAAATATATTATTCCTGTTTTTAGTGATACAAAATCTGTTGTATATATTTCAAAACCTTTTCTTGATATCCTCCCTGCACTTAAATGACTCTGTAACAGCTTGTCTACAACTAGAGAAGCTGTTGTCCTGGAGCGACTTAAATACCATTTACATGGATCAACTGGAATTCACTCCTGCATCATTGAAAAGTACCACAAAGAGATTCCTCTGTGAGTTTGCTCTTGTCTCTCTTTTTCTCTGCCTCTTTGTTGCCCTGTGAGCTTTCCCAGCATGCTTTTCTCACGCTGTAATGTCACACCTGAGTATAAGGTGACTCTCTGGAGCCTGGGGCTTTGAGGTCGTCTTTACACCACAGTGCCGGGAGGAAAGGTGCACACATACGTCCACTTCTAGTCTGTACAGTGCATGCAGTGTAGTGTATTTTTGTGTGTGTGGGTGGGAGACACCCATGCCGTAGATACGACACCACATTCCCATTACCACCCACTATATAATGATATTTATACTCTACTGTCTTCAGGTACTATTTTCCCCTAATGCAACAAGATCCTGAAAATAATAATTCTCACTCACTACGAGAGTAAAACATGATCCTCAGAGAGTAAAACAGCACTGTCAGAATGTAATTGTGTGTATGTGTAACTAGGAGACCTGGTTACGTAACAGACGTTAGATCGTTGCGACAAATGACACTGAAATAATCACTGCCAAGTACTTCTAAATGAGATTTGTCTTATAACCCTGGCAAACCTACATGTAAGATTAAAATGTGAGAGTGCTTTTGTGTATGTGTGTGTTTAGACCAAAGATTCGCATCTTGACAGGAAACATCTGACAAGGTTCATCAACAGTTTTTAGTACTAGGTGGGGCATCAGCATGAACTGTGACTCCTGATATGGGAGGAAAGTCCCCACACTGTGTGCAAGGTGAGCGTCTGTGTTTGAGAACTGGCGGCGTCACTGCATACCTGCGACAGGTGTTGGCACTCTGAAGCTATTATTACCAGTGGAATGAAATGATGGTAATGGTTATTGAGGAAACACAGTGCATAACTCAACAGACAGGATACAAAAAGTGAGCAAACAGGGGTCTGATTTATCAAACCAGCTTGACACCATCTGGCTGTGACAACAAAACTCAAACACTGACCTTGAGCACGTCCTTTACTTTTGCTACTGCCAAGTTTGAAGCTCGAAAACAGCAACAAGTATGGACAACCACATCGGCTAAGTGGTGAAATTAATTTAAAGACACTTGGAGAGTGAGAAATAAAGGCTCATAAAACCTGGAGGTTCAACAGACTGGCACACTGGGTTCTACCTTTGGACTTGAGATTTATTTTTAACTTTCTTCAGACAGGAAATAAGTCCTCTTGTTCAGACACAAAGTTTATATATCAATAGAGTGGCTGAGGTTGAAACCACACATACTTTTTAAGGAATAAAAAGGCCTGAGTCCTTATAAAGACAACCAAAACAGTTAAAAGTAGTAGACACGGATTAAAGTTTGCACCAATAACTCTCTGGTTTTTATTATCCAGGGCTGTAACATGCGGGCTGAAAGGAGGAGCTGCAGGCGGAAAGAAGTGATAGAGGCTTAAACACGATAATGCAGCTTTGGATCTTCACCATGAAATGATAAAAGCTGACAAAGCAGGAAGAGCTCACCTTTAAAGGTGCGCCTGTTTGGCATTAATGCTACCTGGTCACTCTGTGTTTGTTTATGAAACGAATGAAACTGACCTCGGCTGAGTTTTGTTTTGGTTTCAATTCAGGTTGTAGGTTGGCTGAACAATAGATGGCCACCACTGGAAATATTCCAGCCAATGTTTTCTCTATCTTCAATGAGGGGTATATTGATGTTTTTTGATCCCTGGAATTGCTTGAGGAGGAGGAGGAGGAGGCCTCCAGTTTATTAGCCCCAGCAACAATTAATCAAGGACTTTGGATCAATAGATCACTAGGTCACTTTGATAAAGAGGTTTTCCACGTTACATGAAATTGAATGAATAAATAAAGACTTGTCATAGTCATTTGGTTTCAAGTATTCATGTAGCTATTTCAAATCGATATATCTACTTCTCATAAAAAAATGAATAGCTGATCTAGCACTACTGTTTTTAAACATAAGTAACATCTTTAGATAAATCCCAGGCCCTAATAAATCTCAATGTTAAGGGTGTAGTTTTCAATGTATTACATAAAAAGATTTGTGTCCACCTTTAGCCATTTAATGCATTTTGTATCATAATTGATACATACTTTTATACACTTCTATCAAGTCAATATGATCGACAAATTACTAAAAAAAAACACAAATATCGTCTGATAAATGATAAAAATGTCCTCTTGTAGTTTATCAGTTTCCAAAAACGTGTCAAACTAAATAAATAAATGTATTTGTTAAATTTTAAGGATATTTTTGGTTTTCAGTAGTAAGTAAAATAAACATTTCAGCTCCAAAAAAATTGAATTTTCTGGGCATAATTTGTGGCGTCAGGCATTAAAGGTTTAGTAGATGGAAATGTAAAGGAAGACAACCTGTTGTCGTATACTGCCCCCTACTGGACTGAACTTAATCATGAACTTTGTATGTGAAATATGTCATCATTCCGAGTACAAATAAAAAACAATAGCCTACCAGTACTTTTGAAGAAAAAAAATAATGACCAATGAAGCTTGAAAGCAATGGAATGTTGGCCCTGAATTGAATTAATGTTTGTAAAGACTCAAAAGTAGGGGATCAATAAAGCTGAATAAGACAATGAGCTCTTGTGTGATACAAGGACGATTAAAATACAAATCTGTTTACAAAATAAAAGATGAGAAAGAAAAAATGGTATTTGTCTTCTACCAGCTGCTAGGAGGCCAAAGGAAACAGAAAGCAACTTTGAGTTTCCTAAATGATGAAATACTAATTTCATGAATAAGGTGAACGTGGATTATCCGTGAGAGTGGGTGGTACAAAAGGGGTAAATGACATTGATTGCGTCGAACCTTGTTTCATGGGGCTCTGCCTCACACTGTGTGCACCCAGGATGGAAAGCGAAACTGTGCTGTTAAGTTTCGTTTTCCAGAGTATCAGCTGCGAACAGATTATAAATACAGACTGCCTACGAAGCTGCATCCAGAATTCAGACGCATCTCTTCGGCTCCGTAGTTTTTCCACGAAGAAGACCAACAAACAACATGAGCAGATCAACAGGTAATAAATGAATCTGATTTTTTTCTATGTAAAACAGTAATATGCCGTTTATTTATTTATTTTGTTCTTGGACTCAGTGTGTTTGTTTTGATCAGTGAGACGCCATTCTTGCCTCATCAACTTGTCCTCCCCTCATATTAACCTACATTAATAGCATTGTTTTACATCTCTGTGTGATGTTACACTCGAGAAGAATGATATTATCCTATTTCCCAAATGCAAACCTGGACAAATAAGACTATTGTTGTTGTTTTTGCTTGAGCAGTTCCCACCCTTCTTATTATTATGGGCTTAAGGTCGCTTTGGAAAATAGGAAAAGCAATGTGAGTTTTTTTGTTTTGTTTTCTTGACTACAAAGCTCTTTTTTCCCCCTCACTTTTTCCTCAGACTGGACTCCTTCCTTGTGGTTGGACATTTTTGAAGAATTGCTGTATGATGACAATGAGCTGGACTATGGAGACCAGTGGACCCTGAACTTCAACTACAGCCAGACAGACAAAGTCACCAAGGAGGAGAGGAAGAGAGGCTGGAAGGTCTACTGCCACTGTGCATATGGAAAGTATGTATAAAATTGTATTCTTAAAATCTATGGATTTGGAGCTCTTAATTTTTGTAAACTCATTTTGTTAATTGTGGTTACACCATAATAATGTGTTCAGTTGTCAGCTGTGTTTGTATGCTCTCTCAAACTCCTCATACTGGTGTGACCTCATTCCAGGTCATATGATTAAATGATTTTGTGACAGTGCGCAGGTCACATGGAGCATTAAAACAGTGTCACACTGTGGGGAAAAACAGGCACTGCACCCTGTGGTGGTAAAAAGCACCTGGATTATCCAATTGAGGGGACATGGCAATACAACAGAGTATACAGTGATATTTTTACTTTGTTGTGATAATGGAAACCTGTGTAGATGTGTACCTACAGCTCTAATGGAGTGATGACTTAAATATAACTCACATTGAATTGTATTTTAGTAGTTTTCAATGAAGAATAGGAAGATTGACCCTATGGATCCAGATTCAAATTCTATCAGCACAAATGTTCCTAACTTATAAAGATCTCACTGTGATGCTTTCATTCATTGTCCTCTCCTCTCTTTCACAGTTTCCGATGTGCAACCTGCAACAAGACCTGGCCTTCTGCTCGGGTGGTGGTGTTGTTCCGCTACCGGCTGAGGGGGGACCGCGGGACGGTGATCATGCGGCCTTTTGGGCAGTCCTGTCGCCGTTGCCAAGACGATGAGTTTGATCTTCCTGGATTTTCCCAGAAGGAGGTGGAAGAGGCCCTCCTCAGGCTGTTCAGCAAAATACGCAAGAATTGCTACGGAGACGAGGATGACAGAGATGATGATGGCTCATCAGCATGCTCCACTAAAGTGTGGACCAAACCACATGAGGCGTCCCTGTGTGAGGCCTGCATTATGGGAATCTGCTGCCAGGATGATGAGTAGAAGTGTGTGTGTGTGTGTGTGTGTGTGTGTGTGTGTGTGTGTGTGTGTGTGTGTGTGTGTGTGTGTGTGAGAGAGAGAGTGAGAGAGAGAGCGAAAGAGAGAGAGCGAAAGAGAGAGAGAGACACTTTCAAGAGACCAAAATTAATAATTTGTGTTCTTGCTGGCTAAGATGCTCCTTTGTATTTGGCCTCTGATCCATTTTTCCTGTACATACAGTATGTTGGAGAGTTTTACTTACTAGGAGCGATGCCTTTACATTCCTAAGTGCTATAAAAATATGTACCATAATACTAGGACCAATGATAAGGGTGTTTAAGTGTACATATAATTGTGTATCTCTTTGTACTTTTGTTGTTATTAATAAAGTAAATCAAGTCCACCAACATAACTATTGTATCAGCCTTTGTACTTCATTATGTATACCCTACAACATGTATTGTTTCAGTGCAGAAAAGATTACAAATACAGGGCTGGTTAGGACAGTTATGAACTTTAGAAATTAAAACAAATAAAAAAGGGAACAAGTGTACACAGGAACAAGATAATGATCAAGGGAATGGATGGACAAGGGCACAAGTTTCATGTTAATGGTCACAAACAAGACTTCCGGATGTCATGTTGCTTCATGTGGGTAAGAGGCGTGTTGACCTATTTTACTTAAGTGCGGTTGACAACAGGTAAGTCCACTAATTCAAATCCTTAAAAGTCAGGGGTAAATTCCCAGCAGCTCCAGCACATAAAGCCTTTTTGTTTTTTACACAACTTTCCAGGGATTTCCCACTGCGCTTATTCAGTGATTTAAATGAGGTCAGCAACAGCATATCAAAAATATCTTAATATTCCATAAGCACAAACATTTACACAGATAAATGTTATGAGTATCAGGGCAATCTGATGCAACACATCAGCTCTACCACAAATCCTACTTTCAGGATTTCTTATTTGAAGTGAAGTCAGGGTATTTATCCTGTTAAAGGATGAGTGAAATGAGATCAGCACGCCAGCTTGATTATGAGTTGTTTTGCTTCTACTTTTTAAATTAGTGTTATATGTATGTACATGTAGACATGTGTTTATGGGTTGGTACACACGCCAATGCGTGTGTGTGTATGCATATGTACCTTTGTATATATATGTACTTGGGTGCTAGTTTTGAATTACAACCGGAACTCTGTTAACTGAGGCCGAATATATGATGCCCTATAGTTCCTTATTTATTTATTTGCTCTCTCTTTTATTAGGGGTAGAAGAGAATTGATTGGTTATGTTGAATGTATAAACTATAGTTTAACTGAACATGATTAATAAGGAAGACAGGGCTGTGCCAATGAATTTATTTGTGTATTTACTTTGAATTAGTATAATACCAATTTTTTTCATTGTATGCATTGTATTTATATAGTCATAAAAATTGTTCTTTTTTCTGAACGTACGTGCATACACAATATTTTGATTTTTTTTTCCTTTTTTCCTCTTGCTTTTTTCTTTCCTTCTTTATTTTACTACCAGAGGCCAAATCAACAAGTGTTACTATTTTTATTACCATAAATACTTTGTTTGATGTTACCCTTTCCCAAGATACCGATAAGAAAAAAATGTATGAATATGATTTTGATACTGAACAGACCGACAAACCTGCCACACTATGATACACTTTGGGTGTTATTTATTTATGTATGCACTTATTTACTTTTTTTCCTTTCTCTTTTTTCTGCTTTGTCTTGAATTTATGTGTTAATATGGTTTATGTTTGATCACATGAAAATAAAACTAAATATGTTAAAAAAAAATTCTTATTTGTAGTTCAAGCAGGTGATTATTATACTACAGAATTGTGGTGAGCTCGGGTTCATTATAATAAATTACATCCCTTCATATTTCAACAACAAAAATGTCAATCAACCATGTCTAAGTGTGTAAGTGACCTAAAAGAAGAATTGTGGGAGAGCTGTTGAATTTAATTGCATTAGATTGGTTTGGTTCTCCTGATTTTATAGCAAGTCGGTGTGTAGGGGAGAGTGGGGTAAGATGAGCCATTTTTCATATTTCAGATCACTACATCAAGGCAATCATAGTTATGTCTCTAACTAGTGTATCTGCATATATTTCAGGATGTTGTGCATACCCGGAAAAAGAATACAATGAGTGTAAACATAACTGTCTTAACTAACTGATAATACAGCACGCCAAAAAGTGGTCTCATGTGTTGACCATATTCATGTGTATTTTTATCTATTATACACTATTCAACTGGTACAATATATATTTTTTTCAATTATTGTTGCGTATAACTGCTAAAAAGCTGTTTTGTAAAAAGCCATTTTAAAATGAGAATGCATTTAAGTGATTCAGAACTAGCCTGGCCGGGCCATCCTGTTGCGTGAATCACTTGATGTTGTGGGAAGGAACATCAAGTGATTCACGCAACAGGATGGCCCGGCCAGGCTAATTCAGAACCTTAACAGCTGTATTTTTAAAAAGAAAAAGTAAAACATTTCAACAATCTGAACTGAAACTCTGATCCTCTCATCAATGGCTCAGCTTACCCCTGAATGAACTACTATGATGACTTTTTTTGTCCTCTAAGCTAAAATGGTGGACTTTTATGATTTTTGACCTCATGTTGTAGCTCCTAGATACCACAATTGATGTATAAAACAAATTTTAAATGATCTTTTTTGGTCTGAACACAATTCTAATAAAACTTACGACAGACTAAATTCACTTTCAAGAGTGAAAAAGGTTTTTTTTTTAAATAAATGTCTAACCCCTTCACCCATGTGCTTCTAACCTTTACAGACTCCATGAATTGATGCCCATCTCCTAAATATTTGGTCACATGACCAATTTCTTTTACCATTTTCAAGCAACAGGGGGTGGCTCAACTTACCCCATTCTCCCCTATATCAACTGTTGATCATCTTGACGGTAATGAATTTTTTAAAACGTCACTTTTAGCCTCATGAATGTAAATATAAAAACTAATTTGTTAAAACAGCTGGGCCACATCAGTTTCATGTAAAAAAAAGAAAAAAGATAAACCAAACAAAACCACCTAGTGAACCCAGAGAGCCGACCAATCAGATGAGAGCGTTCCGTGTGACAGTTGGTACTGAGCATGCGCAGTACCCTTTTCTCTTTGGCAGCCACAACAACATATACTGAAGCGAAGCAGCAGTCAGTCTCGCCCCTCCGCTCTCAGCAGCATCATTATCGTCCCCGCCGGGTCCGGTGGAAGTGAGGATGGTTCAGCGGAAAAGCAGCGGGGGATGCGAATGACAGTGATGAGATTATGGCCCTCGATATACGGAGGTTCTTGAATGTGCGACTGGCTTGACCAAGTGAATCGTCAGTGTGAGTATATTGGCGGTGGTTTGCTGCTGCTGCTGCTGTATGGTCGGCTAACACAGCGCGCTAACGTGAACCTGGGAGACGGTCTGCTAGCTCTGATAGCGACAGGAAGGTGGGCTGCTCCGGGTGTTAACGCTTTTCCCGAGCTGGCAATCTGGAAACCCTACACCTGGGTTTTATCTTAGCATTCCCGAGAGGCTGCTCCTGACAGTCGGTGTTTTGAGCTGTGTCAGTAATGCACACAGACTGTCAGTATGTGTTGAACAAAGGAGCTTTAACCGAGGGGCCGCATGGACATGCAGAGAGAAGTCGACTGCTGTTTGTTTTGTGCTCCATTTCATGCTGACACACTTCTTCAGAGGTAACCACACGAGGTCTGACCTGATTATTTGGCTGATACACGGTGACCTAGCTAATTCTGGTAAATGCCCAAGCGCTGGAGAAGTAACTTGCTCTGTTTGTCATTATAATGCAGCTCCTGCTTGACTCAGGCTCCCTCTCACAAGTTTTCATGTCTCTGTCAGTTTATACAGCAGCTTGATCCACCCATAGTTTGGTAGAGATGTTTGAGATAACATGTATCAGGTGACAGCAAGTTTTGATAATGACACAATAGTGGGTGGTAACTATGTTCAATATATTCGATAATTAAAGTAGGAGTGATAACTGTGCAATCCAAAAGACAACAGCTCTACCATGAATTCTGCTTTTTAATTTCTGTCATCATAGACAGCCAGGTTATAAATATTTCTGCTGGTTGTTTTAGTTGTTGTGGGTGTTGTTAGTGTACTGAAGTGCTTTATATTGAAAGGCGTACCTTATATTTTCCTATCGATATAACACTCCAGGACAACTCTGTCATATAGTGTCTTTAGTAACAAATACATAGTACATTATTTACCTGTTGGATCATAGAGTTAAAGTTTATCAGCTGACTGCAAGTTCTGAAAATGACACAATAGTGGGTGATAACGATATTCAATATATTTGATTGTTAAAGTAGGAGTGATAACTGTGAGTTATGCAGTTATAACTTATCGCGCACCAGAGTTAAAGTTTATCAGCTGACTGCAAGTTCTGAAAATGACACAATAGTGGGTGATAACGATATTCAATATATTTGATTGTTAAAGTAGGAGTGATAACTGTGAGTTATGCAGTTATAACTTATCGCGCACCAGTGCAACCCAAAATACATCAGCTGTACCATGAATTCTACCTCAACACATTTCCTGCCTTTTAATTTTTGCCATTATAATCACACAGGTTATAAATGTTTCTACTAGTTGTTGTGGGTGTTGCTGGTGTACTAAAGTGCTTTATATTGAAAGATATAGCTTATATTTTGCTTTGTAGTACCTTATATTTTTCAATGTAGTTGTCAAAATATATAAAACACCCATCAATATAACACTCCAGGACAACTCCACCACATAGTGTCTTTAGTAACAAATACATAGTACATTAAGTACCTGTTAAAGTGTATCAGCTGACTGCAAGTTTTAATAACTGCATGATAGTGGTTGCATAGTAAGAATAACAAATGTCGTTATTGTTTGTAAAGATGTTGAATAGTAAAAGTAACATTGGGTTATAACTTTAAACAATGTTCTTGGTCTGTGATCGATCATGCTTGTGGGTTATCAAATGGATAAGAAACACATGTGTAGATGGCAATATTCTCAGATGACAGACATCCCCCTTATTACCCCCTTTATCATGGTTTTCATTGGGTGTGCAGGGATCAGTGAGTCAGTTCATGGGCAGAAAATTAATCTTCAACTTTGTCTTGTAGTCATTGATCGAGCACTGCTGGCAAACACACTCATTTTTCATACGCTCGAGAGTGCAGGTTTGCTGCGTTTCTCTTTTTACTCTATTAAAGAAACCATTGTCAGAGTTCAGTATTTGTGATTGGCATGTTCAGAGTACACTGTCTAATGCTAATCCCTGCTGTCTTCAAGTATCATATGAGCAGTTTTAAAGCAGCAGAGATTCATACCAGGGCTTTGAGGATCAGGCAGTGATTGCTTATTGACTAACTAATTGATCTTGAACCCTTTACTCATAAATAAGATCTCTAAAAAAGACATCCAAATATAACCTTAAAATGGCCTGTTGCTTGTAAAACTATTCAATTTTCATCTTATTCTTATGTCTAGCTTGTGAGTGAGTTCTTGTAAATGAGTAACGTCATGATATCAAGGGAGGACTCATGAGTTTGAGATTCTTGAGCTCATGTGTCATCTTAGTTGGAGAACCAAACATGGGGAATACCACATGTATGAAAAGCCTGTTCTGTGCAGACTCATGGAATAGATGAAGCTGTCCATGTACAAACATAGATGCAAGGCATACCTTTGGTCTCGTGTGGATTCAAGGGAGGGCGTCCAGCTCCTCAGACTCTCCACCTGACCGCTGAGTGACGTGCAGGCTCATGAGCTTTCGTAATGCTATGTAATTGCACTGTCACTGCCAAGCGCAAACAGTAGGACTAACAATCTCTGGGGCTCCAAAGTTCTCCTCTGTCCCGACTTCCTGTCCTTATTTAGTATGAGAAACAGAAAGAGACTGGCGGGGGATTCACAGAGGAGTGAAGTGAACTGGAAGTAAACTAGTGTGCATAAAACAGAGCCACGCAGACAGACTGACCTATTAACTATACTGTCCCCCCTCTACCACTACAAACATCCCTACAGATATCTACACAGAGAACTGTCTTTTTCATGCATCACAGGGGCGCATCTTACAAGATGTTGGCTATTATTCACAAGTGGCAGCAGCCTCTGTGAGGGCCTGTATGCCTCCATCTGTCAGGCGGTGTTTTGCCTGTCTGTTTCCCTGTCTGTCACTGCATAGAATTGAGGAGGCAAAGAAGGGGAGGCAGCCAGCCACGTTATTCAAATGTTCCAGAGCCCGGACCAGCCAGCGGCCAACTGTAGCCGGGCTAAAAGAGGCTCTTTGTAAAGGCCAGACAGATGGCTATAGAATGAAGACTGTAATGACACCCTCAACAGCCCAACACACACACACACGCACACTCAGACACAGACACATACAGATTCTGCTCATTACAGGATGCAATGTGGGGTTCATGCGGTGAAGACAGGACAAACGGTGTGATTTAGAAGTGGGAAGACGAGGAAGGATATGAGGTTTGCCATAGGGATCATGTTTGCTTTTCTCTTATATCTGTTGTTTTGCTGGAAAAATGCAGGTAGGTGCTTTTTAAATTGAAAAAAAAAAAGAAAAGTAAAAGAAATCCAGATTACTTACAAGTCTACAGGAGGGTTTTAAGCTGTTGCCGGGGGAGTACACTCAGCAGTGGCAGCCATAGCTGTAATTCCTGTGATTCTTTGGTTTAGCACCTTAGAGGAAAGTTAAACTGGTTTTGGTCATGTGTGTTAGCGCTGCATGGTTTAACTCACTTACAGATCTCATGTAGCAGACAAGCATAAAAAAAAAGCCTAAAATATGCAAATTCCTCACAATGACAAGCGGACTGAACCTGCAGTGGCCAGCTGTGGTGATATTGACCATGCCTTTCATTAACTGACTAACAAAATCGATGGCTTGGATATCATTAACCTTCCCCTCCTGCCTGCCCTCTTTATAATCATCTCTCTGGCTTTCTAGTTTTTTTTTCCGTCTGTTTCTCTGTTTTCTCCGTTATTTCCGGTGAGATAACATCCTCACTGCAGCACATTTACTGATCGATGGATGGACTGATTGATTGAGCTGCTCCCTCTTGTCTCTCCCTTTTCATCTGTTTCGCGACTTCTTCATTTTCCAGCCTCAGTCTCGCCACTTCCCTTGTCCTCCTTTCACCGGCGTTTTCCCTTCATCCATCCTGATTCTTTCCTCTTCTCATGTGAATCTTTCCGCCATTATTTATTTTCCTCTAATCAATGCCCCCAATCTCTCTTACCTCTGCTTACAGGGCAGGAAAACACTGAGCCATGTTGCTCTAAGGTGTGACCTGTGGTGAACGGGGGAGGAGGAAGAGGAGGAGGAGAAGGAGGAGGAGGGAGGAGGCATAGGTGGGCAGGAAGGAAAGACAACGGACGGGCATCTGCCACCTCTCCCTGTAGGTGGCCCTTTTAAGAGCTTAAAGCCATGGGCAACACAGCGACCAAGTTCCGTAAGGCGCTGGTTGGAGGTGACGAGGCCCTGGCCTGGCAGCTGTATGAAGGCAACCCTCAGTTCAGGGAAGGACTGGACCCAAACGCATCGTACGGAGAGCAGTACCAGCACAACACGGCCCTGCACTATGTCTGCCGCCACGCCATGACTCGTCTGCTCAGGTACGGAACTCTATGGAACCCTACGGAAACTCATTTGTTTTTTGACTCCCAGCTAAAAACTTGTAAACAAAGAAAACGGCGCCTGGTAAAACTGGGAGGTCCAGCTGTTTTTAATAACCCTGATGAAGTATTATCATTAGCACAAGACCCAACAACTACACATACAGTGTTCAGCGGTGAGGTAGATGTGTTTCTTTCCTTGACATGCTGCTGTCTGTTCACTGTTGCTATGTGCTTCATCACACGCTGAATCAATCTGATTGGTTTTTGCTTCCAGAGGCAATACCAGCAGCGACCATCGCTAACTTCAAGGTGAATTAGTCAGGCGGCATCAGGCGAGTGGTTTTTGGTACTGGGGTGTGATTTGTTGGTGGTACGAAAATTTAAGATCCTGAATATGCAGCTCCTTAATAAGAGGTTATTCATACTTGCCAGTGTCACTGCCAAACAGCAGAGCAGACACCTCTACTTTTTTCTTATTATTTCAAGTGAGATGGTTCAGTCAACAAGTTGCAACTTACTGTCCTTTTTGGAAGCTGTCTTCTCTATTCTCCAAATCATTATGAGCCTGAGAAAAATGGGTGTAGGGCTGCATTAACATTGCAATTTTTTTCAACCCTGCAATATATAGTGATATTAAAAAATAGAGGAATTTTCACCAGATGACTTGAATAGCACTTTATGCTGAAATCTTGTGGACAGTTAACCTGTACTGATCTTTCCTCTTTTTGTGAGTGTTAGTAGAGTGGCTTCTGTCCATCTCAGAGAGATTTTGAGCTTGCTTTTATTGTGCTGGGACTTGTTATCTCTCATTGTGGAAACAGATGAACACAGAACACGTGTTTGGTCAATATAATCGTTCTTGTAACCGAAATAATTCCAGATAACTGACTTTCCCTTTCTTTTTGGCAACAAGTCTTCATTTTCGGTGGTTTTCTCTTGTACGTTGCTTATTTTGCAATCATTGTTGTTGTTACCGGTGTTATGCCGAGAATTGCATGTCCGCCGAGAATTGCATTCAACTTATGGCAATGCACCGCATTTAGTAGAGTGGTCCACGGAAATATACAATTTAAAACCCATGCAATCCTTATTTGTGGGGCTAAACAGGAATGAATAATGTACCAAAAGTAATTCTCGGCGAGCATGCGTTTCTCGGCACAACACCGGCAGCGCCAGCGACTCACTCCATGTGCAGGGGCGTGGTTTCCTCCCCTCTGATTTTGATTGAGGGCTGGCAGGGTAGTCTGATTGGCAACTGAGTAAAGAATTGAATGTGATTGGTGCATGCAGAGTCACATGCAGTGTATCTCAGTCAGCTACCCTTGAAATTAGATGAGCACATGTACATCGCGATGATGATACTCAGGCGATACATCGTGCAGCCCTAAATTGGTGTCTGCCTGTTTGCTCCTGTCCCTCTGTGTGTGTGTGCGGTAGGGGATGCTCAGTGTTTAGAGCTCTTGTGAGGAACTTTTCTCTCTGTGTTGATTTTGGACCCTTTTGAGGACAAAGAGGTACCTCCTTGTATTGTTACCGATTTCTCTCATCTTTGTAAAACTGGTGTGAATTGACAAAAACCTCCTCCTGTTCTGTTTTTACTGCGAAGTTTAACACTCACTGTGAATATTGGCTGTAGGAAAAGAATCAAAGGCTGTTCCTTCAACGTACCTACCCCCCTCACAGAAGCTATAAGACACATGACTGTTCATGTCGATGTATGGACCTAGCCTTGAGTTATGAATATTAACTCCGGTTTTGTAATCACTGAGGTAAAGGAGCAGAGATTTCTTGGATGGTTTTGCTGAGGACACTTTTACGTTTAACAAGACGCTCACTATACTGAACAGTCATATCTGAGGCTATGTAATGCTTGAATATTGTTCAGAAGTACAAATACAAAGGCTGCTCTTTTCAAAGTCATATTTAATTGACGGCAATAATTAGATATATACCAGCTTTACCAAGTTTTGAAAGTCACTTTTTAAAACCCTTTGATTCTAAACCATCACAGAAAAGTGATGTTTACTTGTTCGAGACACATGAAAATATGTGCACAGTAAGAAACACTGATTAATCAAAATACTAACTACATTCTCAGGAAGGGCCAATTACTGGAATAAGCTTCTGTGAGAGCCTCAAAAAGCAAACATGAAAGAGTCACTCCACTAGTACTGCACATGAGGAGTGCTCCTCAGCCTGTGAAAACAGCTAACGGTAATGGTCTCTTCTGGATCTGGAGGGCTTTATTAAGCTACTCTGGTGCTTGTGTCTAACCAGGGACCAACAGTGAAGATGTCTTGTGCATGCCAGCTGTGAACATTTCCTTTTATCTCATCTTGTCTCCAAACGTAATGACGCTTCAATGCCAAATTACAACGGTGACAAGTGAGGACTGCCAACATGATTTTACAGCATGGTTTTATGCTGAAAGCAGCTTTGTAGCCTCTATTCTTACTCGAAACAGGTGCACACACAGCAGCAGAAGACCATCCCTTGGGTAGTGTCCTCAAAGACAATAAAGTGGAGTCACCATGTCTGGAACAACCTCCAGTAAGGGGTCAAACTAAAAACCATATGGCAAACATGGCACCAGTGTGTCTTTTACCCCCTGCAGGGATAATCAGGCTGATAGCCATGACCAAAACAGCTGATTCCATGACTCAGTAGCCATCGTCACCTCCTCCCTCTCCTCCTTGCACTCTCTGCTGCCCTCTCTTTCCATGATTACTGGGGGCGGTGGGGTCAGAGGAAGCAGTTTGAAAAGGCCAGTCGATTATCTGCGCGTCTTCATGTGCACACATGTGCATGTGCGTGTTTTTTAGGGGGGAAAAGTGCGGCTTTACGGCTGCTTAATGCATCCGAGTCTGTGAATATAACACAGTGAATCATGGTGTGCTATTTGTGTCCTTTCCTACTAACCTATAATGGGCCAGGGAGGCGTGCTGAAGGCAGCGCTCTGCTCCAGATAAGTATCAGAGGAAATGCTTCTTTGTTCCAGCAGCTCTTTTGGACGAAGGAAAGCAGAGAGAGACGGCAGAGAAATCTCAGACAAAATACAAACTCAGAGAGGATTGAGCGTGGGCTGGTGAAGGCAGAGTCTGTTTTTTTCAGCTTATTTTTAACATGTATCTGTGCCATGTCTATTTGCCCTCATCCTGTGTTCTCAGTGGGTTGGATTGGTTTGAGATGCGCAAACCAGGAGACCTATTACTGGAATAAATGGGTGTAGTTCAGGAAGTGTAACCCTTCCTTCCACAACAACTGAGAATACAGTGCTTGAAGTATGTAAATAACCACTGTGACTTGATTTCCTGTTGCTTTAAGGAGGCCAGGACATGCAGTATACAGCCGACCACTCACAGCATCTTCTTATTTCTTCTCATGGGTGATGGACAATCAAACTGCAAACCATATGAACAGTTTGGTTTGAAGCCTACCCAGAAATCTCCTGCTTTAATTAAATCACAAAGTGGTGCTCCACAGCTCCAGCAAAACAAATGTCATCCCCTAGCCTGTAGTTTGTACAAAACTGATATTAGGGCCATTCATCTTGAACGCCCGGCTTAGTGCTTGTATGTGTGTGTGAGTAGAGGTTGTAAGAGAGCGTTGGGTTGAAGTGGTAAAGGGGAATAATTAGTGATTATTGCCGTGTGGGTGAATTGGCAGTGCTCTGTCATTGGGGGGAGGCTGCAGGGGCTTGTGGCTGACGATGAGAGGAGAAGGTCAAAAGCAGAAAAAGCAAGACAGCAGTGAAAGAAACGGCTGTGCAATAGGGAAACGTTCAAACAAATTCAATAATGTCTGCTGCTGTGAGTCCAAATTAAGGAGTGAGCAACCTGTGGAAATCAAAAGACATGCTCTTTTGTAAAAGGTTTTCTCATATGCACTTCTATGCATATTACAACACTGATTAATAGGGGTGGGAATCACCAGTGGCCCCATGATGGGATATTATCACAATACTTGGGCCACGATACGATATTATCACGATACTTGGGCCACGATACGATATTATCACAATACTTGGGCCACGATATGATATTATCACGATACTTGGGCCACAGTTATCACGATAATTGGGCCACGATACGATATTATCATGATAATTGGGCCACCATACGATATTATCACGATACTTGGGCCACGATTCGATATTATCACGATACTTGGGTCACAGTTATCACAATACTTGGGCCACGATACGATATTATCACGATTCTTGGGCTGCGATACGATATTATCACGATACTTGGGCTACGATACAATATTATCATGATACTTGGGCTACGATACTTGGGCCACGATACAATATTTTTGCGATTTTATTACATTGTGCAATACAATGAGTGTTCAATACAATATATCGTGATTTATAAAATTTTTTCAACTGTTAGCCAATTTAGCATTTGTCTTTCCTTTATGTTTGTCTTATTTACACAGTATTTTATTTTCATGTAGCACATCTTGCAAACCTTATATATATATATTTGTTGTTCGAACTTTTGCTCTATGATGTTGCCTCCGCCAACCTCACTGGACAAAAAGTTGATTGTATTTTTCCATTATCATAAATTTATCTTCATATTAACAATTAGTTTGAAGAAATTGATACTTGGTAAATTTATATGATACGATATATCACCAGACAAAATATCGCCATACTATGCTGTATTGTTTTTTTTTCTCCCACCCCTACTGATTAAACAGAAACATGCAGCTTGTCGATGGATAACAGACTAAATTTGATGCAGAAATATTGTGATATTTCATGACGTGATATTGTACTGACTCTTGAAGCACCGTATTGATATTTTAGGTTCCTACAGGGGTTGTAAAAAGGGTGTCCACTGTCCACCACACACACACAGGATTAATAGTCCATACTTGTGATCATCAGTGTCCGACTGTGTCCATTTCAATTAGGAGTGAGCTTATTAAACTCACTCTTTTACACAACACAACCAAACTGAAGAAGACCGAGGACGAGAGCATGAAAAGCTAATCTGCTAATGGAGATTCTGACTGACAAACAGCAGAGGAAAACAATCCGCTCGACAGAAACACACCCACAGCCAGGCTCACAGTGCAACTTTCACATCCATCACTGTCTGTGTGAGTGAGTGTGTGCGCTCATTCCTGTGTTTGTGTGTGTGTGCACGCACACCTGCCAGCCAGCATGTCCATTATCTCAGAGATGTTAAACAGAAACAGTCAATATTCAGCAATCTTTCCTGTCCTTCCTCTTTTACAGCTCTCCGTACCCACAGACACTCATATTACACCACACCTCACTAACATACTTTGTTTTCTTCATCTGTGTCTGTCCATCCATCTCTCCCTGATCCACTCAGTTTACTCTTTCGCTTCCTGATTAAGGTGGTCTTCCTGTAGCTGTCTTGTCTTACCTCTTATCCCCCATCATGTAAAGTTCTGCTATTCTATGGGAGGGATGTTGTTTAGTGAGAAGAAGGAGAAGTTCTTGTCTCATACTGAAGGGATTCTAATTAGGGATGCAGTGATCCAATATTTGATATTGGTATTTGTCCCAATACTGAAGAAAATTCTCGATCGGGTATTGTGACAATGGGCCCAATGCATAGGAGTTAATCTATTGAGTCTAACTCTACGCTATGCGCAGTGAGTGGCATCCACAAGTAAACACACTGAGCAGAAAACCACATTGTTTTCAAAATGGAGCGAGCAAAGGGGTCTGCTATCTTGAGCTTTATCACAATACTTCAACTCAACTCAACTTAACTCAACTTTATTTATAGAGCACTTTAAGTACAAACAAAGCTGACACAAAGTGTTGTGCATGACATAAAAACATAAAACAACAATAAATAGTTCTTTTAAAATATAATAAAAAGCTATAAAAAAGCTATAAAACAATAATAAAAATGCTGTCTCATGCTGGGTCGAAAGCCAAGGAACAAAAGTGGGTTTTGAGACTCGACGGCCACTTGCAATACCTGCACAGTAAACGTTCCGAGGGGCAGTGGTATGGAAACTGGATCAGTATTGACATCTAGACATCTGTATCGATATCGGAGGTGTTAAAAGCGTATCTGTGCATCCCTAATTCTAATTTACAAGACCGCCCCTGTACTTTGCATTGTCCTGTCAGCTACTTGTTGACCAATTAAAGGCAGACAAGTTGATCGAAAACACAAATTTAATTGTTGATTTCAAAATGATCAAACTAGCCGGAAAAATGAGTCACTCAGATTCCACGGTAAGTAATGCTTCCATGGCAACAGACTCCCAGTGTTTTTGCGGGAAAAATTAACCGTAATCTAAATATTTGGTCATCCTGAGTGCTGCTTTTGTCATCGTGAGTTGATTACTGTTGTTGTGGGGCTTTGACATAGACTGTTTAGAATGGACGCCGTCTGCCTCCTCGCAGGGTGAAGCCACTCTGAGAACAGCACCCTCTGGTGACGGGCTGTAGTATAGGTCATAAATCCCGCCTCCGCCAGCAAAGCACATGGAACTGTGGACAAACTTTAGAAATTTATTACACAGAATATAAATTTTCTCCCCCCTGGTTGTGATGTTGACATGTAGTTACTGTTAGACTGGTTTGTGCTCAAGTCCTCTTTTTTCTGTACAGCTTTATTTTTCAAAGTTATTAGGGGTTTTATGTTTTCTGTGATTGACACTTGATACAGCCTATGGCCGTACGAAGATTGCGTAGCTCACCCGGGGGATACGCTGTTTGAGCCGAGCGTCATCACAGCAACTCTCCTGCTGAATTCGTACAAAGCTACTGTGCAATTTTGGTTTCAGGAAGTGGAGAAAAAACACGGAATTACCGAGGGCTTTTCAGCTTCAAATCTGTATACTGGCAGAAGGCGGAGCCAAGTTGTCCATAGTATAAACAGTCTATGAGTTTTGACTAATCAGAATCAAATGATTAACAAAGCCTTGTGATAAGTCAGACAGATGGGTAATGGTTGTTGTCTTTCTCGCCTACATTATACAGGTCCTTTTTGTTCAGTAAAGAGGGAAACCCCAACAAGCGCAATGTCCACAACGAGACCTGCCTCCATGTGCTGTGCCAAGGCCCACAGATCCTGCTGCTGGCAGAGGGAGCTCTGTCACCGCGTCTGGCCCGACCCCAGAGGGATGAGCAGCGCCGCGCAGACTGCCTGCAGGTACACACAGACACACAAACACGAGGGGTGTTACCCACTGTGCAAACTTGCATTCTGGTGTGATGAAGGGTATCACGTAAAGTTGTTGCTTCCGTTTGAATAATGTTGCACATGCTCTCGTGGGATTCCCCCCTTGCTGCTGTCAGATGATCCTGAGCTGGACCGGAGCCCGGCTGGAAGGAGGCCAGTACGAGAAGGCCAATGTCAACGCCACTGACAATCACCACAGCACCTGTCTGCACTACGCCGCCGCTGCAGGCATGAAGAGCTGTGTGGAGGTGAGAGAAATGTGTGTTTGTGTGGACCACCGGACTCACACCGATTTAAACTTTGTTTTCTGTGCAGCAGATCTGTCTGTACTTTTCTGTGATTGGATCTTACAGTCAGGAAAGTGAGTAGACAGTAGTCTGCCAGGCCCTAGGTTCAGACGCATCTGCTTTTTGTTTTATTACTGTCAGATCCAACAAGCGCTTTCTCTCTTGATTTTGCAGCTGTTGAATTAGAAAAAAAAAAGTTTTCTGATTTGAAGGAAAATTGAGTTAAACTGTGATATGAGCAGCCTGGGGGAAAATATCTCAGATATTATACTTGTGGAAACAAAGTTGTATCTACAAGACACTTTCTCGTCAAGTCTGAACTCTCGTCTTTCATTTCTCTCTTTTCTTCATTAGTGAATTGTCTGTAAACTGCTGTACTTTCTCTCCACTTGCTTTCTGTTCAAGTTTATTGCTACTCTTCATTAAATGTTTCTCCCGTTTCTTTTTCCCCCTTCTTCTTCTTCTTCTTCCTTCTCTAGCTGCTAATCCAGAGTGAGGCGGACCTTTTTGTCGAGGATGAGGACAAGTTAACGCCATGCGACCATGCAGAGCGGCATCACCACACTGAGCTGGCCCTCAGCCTGGAGTCACAGATGGTTTTCTCCTCCTCTTCAGCTCAGCAGTCAAATACAGACACACATGCTGAAACAAACCTGCTGCAGTACAAAGAGGTGAGACAACAGACCCGGATCTGAAGTTTCCCCGCTGGCTGGACTCCTCAAATTATGTTGCTATTTTGGTTGTTTCTCTTTCCTACTGTGTCTATAATTGAATTTTTTACCAGTACCCTTCAAACGCACCAAAATGTTTCTCTCACTGAGTTTTCAAAGGTCACAACTTACACGGGATTTAAAGTGTATTCATACAAATATCCGCATGCCCTCGCCTCACCTCCTGTTTCTCAGGGTCCCGGTTAAACAGAGGGCACCGACAGTCATCAAGCAGCAGCTGCTGCCAACTGATAGCAGTTTGATCTTCCATCCTGCAGCCAAATCTATGCTAATACCTAATCTCTCTCCCCCCTCCACCAACCCCCACTCTCGCTGCCCTACATCCCTATCCCTTTCATTTTTCTCACACTGTCTTTTTTCACTTCCCTGAAAATGCCTCGATTTCTCATTCTCAGAGTTTTCTTTTTTCTGAATAACTTCCTTCTCTCTCTTAACATCATCCCTTTTCTCCTTTTACTTTGATTTTCTGACCTGTAGCTTACAAAGATTTCTCTTGTTCTAATTTTTTCAGCCTTATGAAGGACTGAAGCTTCAGGACCTGCGCAGGCTGAAGGATATGCTGATCGTAGAGACGGCAGACATGCTGCAAGCCCCCCTCTTCACCGCAGAGGCCCTGCTCCGAGCTCATGGTGTGTTTGTCTATCAGAGGAGCAGAGAGATGAGACTTATGAAACTTTTAAAAACCTCACAGCTCCGCCACTCTTAAAAATCTCTAAACCTGTGTGTGTCTGTCAGACTGGGACAGAGAGAAGCTTCTGGAGGCCTGGATGTCTGACGCTGAGGGCTGCTGCCAGCGTTCAGGTGTGACCATGCCTACCCCGCCGCCCAGCGGATACAACGCCTGGGACACCTTACCCTCGCCTCGCACACCCAGGACCCCACGCTCACCTCTGACACTCACCCTTACTTCCCCCACCGACAGCTGCCTCACACCTGGAGAAGAGGGCCTTTCCACAGTGAGACAAACAAACATTACTTTAGTTGTGTTTAGCATTTAAACCTTTTTGCAGCTCAACTTGATCACATTTATTTTGGACTCTTAAAACCTCTTTATTATATCGGTCCGGGTTGGAACAATTTATACGATCTGTATTTCTTCAACTTTAAAAGAAGAGAGTTAAATGGCCCTTTGATAAATGTTGACTTAGCAACTTAAGTGATAAATCTGCTGTGTCAGCACTTTATCCCGAGGCTTTTACTTTATCAATAAGGTTTTTTCAGAGGCTGTTACTCCTCAACAAGACTCGTAAATGGTCCTGGTGCACAAACTGACAGCTAAGTGAAGTCTAAAAAATGTCACGATATATGGGGACAGTTTTACAATAATATAAACACATAAATAAGGAGAATTTATATCTGCTGCTGTGTTATCCATCCCTGTGGACTGTAATAAGGATAATATGTTACAATGACTTGCAACAGGCCATCACTGTTACACCGTTAAGTTTAAGCTAACCTTTGATTATGACGTTAATTTCACTGTTTTCTTTGTCTCCCTGCAGTGTGGAATCTGTCTCTGCTCCATCTCCGTGTTTGAGGATCCAGTGGACATGTCCTGTGGACACGAGTTCTGCAGAGCATGCTGGGAAGGGTAGGTGTAGGAGCCAAAATATATTTGTTGAAAGTTTGATTTCGACTAGGTACGTCACTTCCGGGGATTGACACTGAGGGGTGTGGTTTTGGGATGTTTGGCAGGTTATTTAAGTCTCAGCGTTGTAGTCGGACAATGGGTTGTGGTAAGCTCTGATAATTTTCTGTTGACTGTTTCACTCATCCTGTTTTAACCCATTAAGACCTGAACCCTGTCTGAGACACGCCTCTGAAATCCTGCGGGATATTTTGAGAAGGGCCCCCAGATCCTGAGGTTTTCTGACGTGTTGAGGTTTACAAAAAAGCTGCTATCTTGGCCTCTGTAGAAGATAGAAACAAAATTTAAAAAGTATTTGAGAGGGTATACATGTGGCTTTCAAGATAATCATCTTCTATTTGTCCAAACCCTCATCACATTATTTAAAACCTTGAACAAACAAACTCAAATGAAATAAAGCGGCTGTATAGATAAAAGTAAAGGCTCTGCACTGGAGAATAACAAAAAAATTTGCTTTCTATAAAACAAGTGGCAGTCATGATAAAGTGTCCATTCAATACAAATGTAAATATAAAAAATAAGGTGTTGAAAGGGTCTGCAGCTGCCCCAGTGTAGTGCCAGTACAAAAGCAGCACTAAAAAGTAAAAACCAAATAAATGATTGGCTGACAGTGTGGTCATGTCTGTGCTCACATAAAGTCATGCAACACTCACAGAAATCGCCCATAGTGTGAGCCAAAGACCTCCATATGAAGAGGTTGTTCACACTGCTGGATGCTTCTCCTCTGAAGCTGCTCTCTGCCTCCGTCACTGTTTACTTTCCTCACGAGGGCATGGAGCAAGATCCGAGCATGAATCCGCTTTATTAAGCTTTATAAGCCTATCAGAGACAGACAAGTATGATGATTTGATTCGCCATGGCTCCAGATTGAAAAACTACAGAATTTTACGAAATGACACATCCACACTTCTTACCCGGCTTGAAGGGTAGAAATGCGTACATGCTGTCCCTGATTAAATGGGTTAACCTCTTTTCATCGTATCACTTTTTCATTCGAAGGCAAAAGTTTTGGACCTGGATCAGTGTGTTTTCTTTTTTGGAACAATAAACCACTTTTAACACTCAAACTGGACTAAAAATTGAACGATTCACAGAAGCAAGCGCGCCTAAACCCCAGCAGCCTTTTTGTTGAAGGAAAACAGTCGCTACAGCAGGGTCCAGCTGTGTTCGTATGTGTGTGTGTAAATGTTCCTGCTTATTGCCGACCTTTAAGCGGTTGACATATGTGTGTCTCAGGTTCCTTAATGTGAAGATTCAGGAGGGAGACGCACACAACATCTTCTGCCCGGCGTATGAGTGCTACCAGCTGGTCCCCGTGCATGTGATCGAGAGTGTGGTTTCCAGAGAGATGGACCAGCGGTATCTGCAGTTTGACATCAAGGTAAAACAGCCACAGGTCACACAGATGCTGTTACTGATGATCTCATTAATGCTCACAATTGTCTCCTTGCAGCTGTGTCTTGGTCATGTGTTTGTGCTCTTGTTTTATATTTGTATGAATTCTCTTTGCGTCGCTTTGTTTCTTCGTTAATCTCCCAAACTCTTCTGCTCTTCCCCTCCTTCGTTTCCTCTCATCATTTATTGAGTTTGCTCGTCTTCTCGCCTCGTCTTGCAGGCGTTTGTCGAGAACAATCCGGCCATTCGCTGGTGTCCTGCTGCACGTTGTGAGCGGGCTGTGCGACTCACCCGACCAGGCCCCGGGGACAGTGACCCTCAGAGTTTCCCTTTGCTGCCCTCCCCAGCTGTTGATTGTGGCAAGGGTCACCTCTTCTGCTGGTACACTTCCTGATTTACTATCTGCAAATGTTGTTCTCGAGCCTCCAACAAAAACACTCATGTCCTCAATTGCTGTGTCCTCTTTTTCTTGTTCTTATTGTCGTGCTGTTTTCAAGTTTAAGAGACAGCGGCTGTTGTTTTGCCGCTTCTTTTACTGGTGAGTTGTGTGATAAAATACCTGAAACACTGTTAATCATCTTCTGTCCGCAGGGAGTGCCTTGGCGAGGCCCATGAGCCATGTGACTGTCAGATGTGGAGGAACTGGCTCCAGAAAGTAACAGAGATGAAGCCTGAAGAGTGTGAGTCTCTCGCTGTGACCTTAATGTTTTCAGGAATTTGTCAGTGTCCCTGGGGATCGCTTTAGCTGCAGCTCAGCGATCTGGCACTACAATAAGCCTGTTAACGGCAGCTGTCAAGGCAGGCTACCAGGATGTGCTCTCATGTATTTTATAACATAGCAGCAGGTGTTAAGGTCACTGATATTTGCCAAATGCGTGCACCGGAGGGTAAAAGTACAAGGCAGGTGCCAGACAATCGAGATGTTGCTAATGTGCTTGAGTGTGTGTTTGTTTGTGCGTTCTGCAGTGGCAGGTGTGAGTGAAGCCTATGAGGATGCTGCTAACTGCTTGTGGCTGCTGACCAACTCCAAACCATGTGCCAACTGCAAGTCGCCCATTCAGAAGAATGAGGGCTGCAACCATATGCAGTGTGCCAAGGTTTGCACATTAATCTCTCCGTCAGCTGTTTGTCTGATCACCGGCTATGAAGTCTTTATTTTTATTTCACGACAAGGCAAGAATCATCTCAGAATTAACTCGCTCGCTCGCTCTCGCTCTCTGTAGTGTAAGTACGACTTCTGTTGGATCTGTCTGGAGGAGTGGAAGAAGCACAGCTCGTCAACAGGAGGCTACTATCGCTGCACTCGCTACGAGGTCATCCAACAGCTCGAGGAGCAGTCCAAGGAGATGACTGTCGAGGTACAAACACATAAAAAATAACGTTAACATTTACACTGAATTGATATCATGGGGAGGTATATTTTTACTGCTTTAGTTTCCACTCGTGAGAACTGCTCAATCACCTGTCAGATGATGCACGAGTGCTCGCTCGGATCATTGTAGAGATTCCAGTGTACACACACACACACACACACACACACACACACACACACACACACACACATACACACACCCTGAGGCTATCTGAATAAAACAGAGTTCTCTTTTTTTTTTATTGCAGGCAGAAAAGAAGCACAAAAGTTTCCAGGAGCTGGACCGTTTTATGCACTATTACACTCGCTTCAAGAACCATGAACACAGTTATAAGGTAATGCGTCGCTCACATACACACACACACACACACACACACACACACACACACACACACACACACACACAGTTAAGTCAGTGCAGAGCAGAGTCTTTGAAATGCTTCTGAAGAAGACGTGCTGCGCTACAGTCTGATGTGTCATTTCCTCCAAATATGTTAGTTGGAGCAGAAACTGCTGAAAACAGCGAAAGAGAAGATGGAGCAGCTGAGTCGAGCTTTTATTTGCCGTAAGTCTCTTCTTCTGTCTTTGCTTGTATTTCTTATTTAGCTGCTTGTCTGATGGTTTCTTAGAGATCTTTTTGTTTTGTTCATGAATCCTAATACATGATTCAATGTGTTACATTTTTTTGTTATATTATTTATTTATTTTTATTTTTAAAAAGCGGTACAAAAACATGGTTCTCACCAGGTACAGGGTTTTTAACCATCGGGTGTTTTCATAAATGATTTATATGCTTATTTACTCTATTTTTGTTAATAAAATGTAAATATTTTTGAGATCGACTGTTAATTGAATAGCGGAGAAGGGGTGGGTTTAAAAAAAGCACAATGCTTCATCCTACTCCTTTTCGGACATGTTGGGTTCACATTATTTATTTATTTATTTTATTTTAATTATTGATTTATAATTTTTCTTGCTTTGATTATTGTTTTACTTTCTTGTGTTGCACAAACATGTTCGAAAAATAGACAAATATTGTGTCTGAGTTTATTTTTGCTGTTTACTGTAACCTTGCGTGTTCCTTGTCCAGGTGAAGGCACCCCTCCAGATACGCGGTTCATCGAGGACGGCGTGTGCGAGCTGCTGAAGACGCGTCGCGTGCTGAAGTGCTCTTACCCATATGGCTTCTTCCTGCAGCAGGGCAGCACTCAAAAAGAGATATTCGAGCTCATGCAGGTATTACATACTCTACGTGTCTGTGACATATACTTCTGCAGGGTGAGGACACGTCCCACAACTTCAGTAAGACCGCTGTGTCCGTTTAGAACCGACAGAGTGCAGTGAATAAGTGCTTTTGTCTTGGTGATGTTTTGTATAGTCATTATAGAAACTTCTTGTAGACACATCACGTTTTCACATCGTGTTCCACTTTCTGTAACATGAGAATTCTGCAGTCATGTGTCGTTTAGTTTTGACTCTGTGTAATCAGTCGTAAGCGCAGTCAAGCAGAACTGAGGTCTGTTTGGTGTATTTTTGCGATGTTAATGTTAATTACGAGTTGCAAATCCCTTCTTAAATTTGAATTTTTATAATCTCTAAACAGATGGAAGAAGTATACATGTCTTTCTGTTGTTTCTCCCCCAGACGGACCTGGAGATGGTAGTGGAGGATCTCGCCCAGAAGGTGAACCGGCCATACTTGAGGACACCTTGCCATAAGATAATCAGCGCCGCCCGTCTGGTGCAGCAGAAGAGACAGGAATTCCTGGCGTCAGTGGCCCGTGGTGTCGCTCCCAATGATTCCCCAGAGCCTCCGCGCAGAAAGTATGAGAAACACGCGCAAAGTCAGACATGACAGTTTTCTCCAGAGGACAAAAAATACTAAAGATGAGAGAGCTGCTGCGTGTTTTTCTGTGAGGTTCATACCACTGTGACACATTCTCTGTCTCTGTTTGTTTCAGCTACCCTGGAGGATCATGGGACTGGGAGTACCTTGGTTTTGCCTCACCTGAGGTAAACAGAAACTCTTCCTGTTACATTAAAGGGATATTCCGGTGTAAAATTAAGTAAGGGTCAAACACACCGTAACACCGAGTTAGACACCCCCTAGAGAGATGAATGTTGCAGACTGCTTGCTTCTTGCGCTCAACCAAAACGCCACTCTATAGCCACAAATAATGCTCAGAACAGCACCTAACTTCATCAACAGTACATACAGGGTCCCAGCCATAGTACTAGCCACCAAACATCTTTTTAACTTTGCCTGATTTCTTTAGCAAAGGGACTAAACACAACTCACCTACTCTCTTCCAGCAGCCGCTTGTTTGTAGCGAGACCTCAGGTCAGTCCATTACAGACTGCAGCGGGGTGACGCAGCTCAAGGAAGAACATTTATGATCATTACTTCATGGAAATACAATCAAATGAGACACCAAGGTGGAAGAACGACCACGTCTGAAGTGCAAAATTATTAATTTGGTTATTATTACTTAAAGGAAATGATAAAGTAATGATCATAAATGTTCTTTCTTGAGCTGCTTCACCCCGCTGCAGTAATGGACGTTGGATGTTTGGTGGCTAGCGCTATAGCTGAGACCCTATATGTACTGTTGATGAAGTTAGGTGCTGTTCTGAACATTATTGGTGGCTATAGAGTGCCGTTTTGGTCGAGCGCGTGGCTCCTGAGACCACTGTGTATTGCTATCATGCAGTCATTACTAAAGTTGGTATAACTAGAGAAGCAAGCGGTCGGCAACATTCATATTTCTCGAGGGGGTGTCTAACTCAGTGTTACAGTGTGTTTGACCCTTAATTAATTTTACACCAGAATATCCCTTTACGTTTCTAACTATTTCAGTTCTGCTAATATTGTGGTTCATGCTTATCTAATACTATTCCTCAAACCTGCGCTTAGCCGCCATAGTCATCTAATGCATGACTCCGGCTGCAGCTGACTTAGTTTGCTTGTGTGTGTGTTAAGATGGGGAGTCGTCACTCTGTGCTGGGAGCAGGAGATCAAAGAGACAGACAGTCACAGGTACGGTAAAGAGCGCATCATAGTTTCGGGGATTTGCGCATTTGCATGTGCTAAGTTCACATTTCTTTTGCCTGAGATAGTGAACATGCTTGATGCAAAGGTAGATTTACAGCGTGGCTTTTTTGGAGGTTGGCTTTGTACTAATGCAGCTTGAATCACTCTTTGCAGGATTATGCTGACATTCAGTACCGCCGCAGACACAGGCCACGGCGCAGGGGAGATATGCTGAGTCTGCACAATCTGAGAAGCAGCAGCAACACGCCAGAGACCAGCAGGAGGAGTGACAACATAGGTCTGCAAAAAAAAATCTTTTAATATATTACACCACGATCTTTATCTAACATGATTTCCTACATTCAGCTCTTTCCACGTACATACAGGACGAGGCATTTTGAAATTAAGCACCCCTTTCACTCACATATCGTACCCCATAAACAACAGATCATCTATAACAGCATATTTGTACAAACACTTGATCCTAATCCAACTCTGTTCTGCCCCCACTTATAAATTCTGACTTGTCATTACACCTGACAACCAGCAAATGGGATTTAAAGTTATAGCTCCATGAATCTTGTTTTCTGGAAGAACGCAGACACATTGATCGCTGGGATCGATATGCATCAAGCCATACAAAGCAGTCCTCGTTCAAATGCGATGTTGTGTTTTTTCCAGAAGGACCGGAGCGAGGCGAAGGTCGCAGGAGAGCGCTGGGCTCGCTGGATGAAGATGACCCGAACATCCTCCTCGCCATCCAGCTTTCCCTGCAGGAGTCAAGAAGAGAGCGGAGCCTGGAGAGGGGCATGGAGGGACGTGTGGAGCTGGTCGGCGGACTGGATAGAGGACAGGAGAGGAGGACGGGTCCTGCGGGAGATCTGGGCAGTGTCGCTTTGCACGCCCTCAACGCCGACGGTCCTCCTGGAGCCAGAGGCCCCTCCTTCCCCACCTCTCTCCTGGATCCTCCCCGTCCCCCTAACAGGACAGACTCCACATCCCAGCCTCCCTCATCCAACTCCCTCCCCCTCCCTCCCCCGCCTCCATCTCTCAGTGCGGAGTTGCTGGAGCTGGGAGACAGCCTTATGAAACTGGGGAACATAACCACTCCGTACGACCTGGACACGCGCACTCAGGAGCAGCTGTGCTCACACCACACATACAACCACAGTACACTCACTGCCCCCTACAGCAGCAGCGAGCCCGCGTACAGCGGCTGCAGCCATAGACCCGACCAGAGTGCACTCCCCGCTCCGTATGTGCTCAACCATATCACCATCACGGACCCTCGCTTTAACAGCAAAGAGCAGAGTTACTGCCACCCCACTGCTTATTTAGCCGAGGCCGAACACACCGAACGCACCCAGAAACCCGCCCATCAAAGTTCCTACAACCGGGAACACGCAGCCACGTACGACGGCCCCCCAAAACCAGACAGCTCTTACACCCCCCTCCCAGAACACAGTAGCTCTTACACTCAGGAGCGTCCCGTTGCCTGCGCTCTTGAACACCCTCCCAAACCAGACCCCCAGCCCCCCGCCCAGTTGTGCCTCCCATCTCCGGAGCTCGAGCCGGAGCTTCTTCTTTCCCCAGTTATCCCACCCGGGGGCCCTTTCACCCCCAGCGACCCTCAGAGCCTGGAGGCCCTGGACCCCACCGCCAGTGCCCAGCTGCTGGACAACATCATGGCCTGGTTCAACAACAACATCAACCCCCAGAACAACCCGCAGAGCCTCGCCCTCATCCCCTCTCCGCCCACCACGGAGTCTGACTCCTCTCCAGAAACGCACACTGAGACTGAGACAGAGAGTCAGACCTCCAGGGACCCCACCCCTGCTCCTGTCTGGCAGCCCCTGGAGGGCGAGCCAGAGGCGGAGAGAGGGTCAGCGAGTCCCCATCAAGGTGCAGCGGGCTCAGAGGGACCCAAGACGTCGAGGCCGAGCACCCTGGAGCTGGAAAACAGAGAGGTGGTTCAGGAGGGTGCGGGCGCAGGGTGTGTGGCTGACCTGTCGCTGGACGAAGCGCACACACACCCTTGCCTGCACTCCCAACGCGAAAACAGTCCCGCACACACTGCCCCGGCCACAGAGAGAGACTTGGACCTCATTGTGCAGCTAGAGGGGGACCAATCACCTGAGGAGTGGGAGGAGCAAGTGCACCTGGTGTGACAGCGGCAAAGCGGGCGTTGAGAAAAGGCCGAGGAAAGTACAAAAGAGAAAATGAGAAAGGATAGAGAGAGATGAAAGGAAGGAAGAACTAGAGAGGAGCAGTGATGGGAAGTGTAACGTTGACGTCTCAGTGAGAGATGTGGGTTTCTGGGGGTCCTGTGTTTACTGTGTGTATTATACTTTATGTAGAGAGGACATTAAGACCTGCGGACTTTGTCCAGTAAAGATGATGTCATACGCAGTTTTTTAAGTGCTTCTGTCTGCTCTGAAAAAGTAGACGAATTATTATTTGAAACAAATGAGTGTTTAAAACAAAGTACATCAATGGAAAGCTACTGATATCATAACTCATAAAATGCTGCACATGTTTGTTTTTATTTATTCCCCCCCCTGCCTCTGCCTCCTGTGTTTGCCTCCTCAGTTCATCCAGGGTGACGTTTTGGTGCTGATTATGCCGAAAGCCTCCTTTTAAGCCTGAACAAAGTGACCCAAACAAGAGCCTGTTCACAGCTCCCAGAGCCAAATACGACGATAACCACAACCTCGGAGCTGGTTTTAGCGTACTGTACAATCAGAGGGCCTGATTCAGAGTTTTGGACCTTCATGCACACTGTGCCTGCTTTGATAGAGAGCTAACACACTACTACTGATCTGTCCTTTTGGTAGGCTGAAATGAACACCAGAACAACATGCCTATAACAGTACTATTGTTTTGTAACACCACAAAAATGATAGAGAAGTCAGAGGTGAGAGCAGCACCTTAAGAACCAGTGAGAACTGGGAAGTGGATGTATTGTTCAAAGATGCTCCAGTGCTACAGGTGCTTGTTGTTTTTACACTCACTGCACCATCTTGCTACCATTTCAAGATCATTTTCTACCTTTATAAAAAAAAAGACGAGTTTTCATCCGTAAATGCTCTATTCTATTGGTTTGGCTGAGTTTTCACAATAAGAGTTTCAACATGACAAACTCTGAACGTCAAATGATAATTTTATAGCTTAAGCAGGACTCAAGATACTTCATGAGGACATCTTGATCAAATCACTGAAGTGTATTGTCATGTATCCTTAAGCAGTGCTGTCCTTTTTGAAACCCCTCAGAAAAAGGAATGAGGTTAAACTTAAAGGAATGACCAGAAAATGTGAAGAACTTCTGAGTCAAAGTAAAAGTGATTAATTGTTTTTATTCTATTTGGACAATTGATAGTATTTAAAAAGCGCTCAATCCAGCTAATTGAAATCACAAAATTATAAAGTTATTCAATTAACAAAGATGTTTTTTTTGTCCGATGTGAGAAATAAGAATTAAATGTTCCTTTAAAAATGCAGATTCTGATGACACTACAGTATATTTCACATCAGGACAAGTCAAAATACACACCATAAATGTAGTCCACCGTATTTCCTTACTGCAGAATATCTTTTCACTGATTTAACAAAGAGGTGTCTGTATTCTGAGTGATTTTAATTTCGTCACTTTGTTCAATCATACCAAGCCAAAGCAGTCAGAAAATACTGTAAAGAAACACACATGTAGTTTGTTTCAAATATAGCTTTTATCCACTACTGATGGCTGGTACAGTATGCTGGTGATGGTCGGGAGCTGGGTCGGGTTTTTACTGTAATTCTTTTTTCTTTTTTTAATTCCTTCTTAAAAAAAAAAAAGATCTATTTTAAGATAAGACCAGAGTCATCTGGTCTGTGTGCCTTTTTGTTTGTATTTGTCTTTTTTTGTCTCTATTTATTAGTGTCATTGCTATTCGAACACATGAGAATTATCTTTAATGATGATGATGGTGGTGGTGGGGGACTCATGGCCACATAAAGAGTTTTTTGATGCACATTTTTTATTTTTTCCTTAAACTTATCTATACTTTTTTCTCAGTTTGACTGAAATTTGAATAATTTGTTTTCTTTTAAACTTTTTTTTAGTTCCAATTTAATTAAAAACTTCTATGTATAAAACTTTAGAGGATTGACCTTTGTTTTCCTAATCTGATTATCTTTGAGCCAGACTGTATCGCCCAGCTGTAATGTTTACAAGAGAGTTAAAACACTGCCTGCTGTGTTTGAGATTTGGTTTAGTGCTTAGGGGACTGAAATGCTGGATATTGAAGTGTTTTGATCATTCTTTAATCATAGGGTAAACACAAATATCCTGCCTAAAAAGCAAACTGAGTCTGTTGAAATTTCTCCCTCTGCTCCACAAACGTATCCATATCTCACTCTAATTATTGATAACACAGTGTGAAAGTTGTTGAAAGTGCTCCAGGGAACTACAAACCACCTCTTCCTCTCTGTGTTGAACATTTACACTGTGAAGGTGCTTATGAAGACATTTCATAATCATTTGCCTTCTGAGATGAGACGCCCCTGATATTTCAGACTTTGTTCCTTGAGGGGTCGTGTGTTTAAAATGACTGCACACTAAAAGTTTTGGTTGCATTGTTGGCTGAGAATACACACTGAAAACGCAGATTTCTTTAATTTTCACAAGCATGCTTTTGTTGTGTTTAACTTATCGAATGGGGAGGACTGATGAGTGAGGCTTTTAATATTATTAAGATATTTTTTTTGTTTGTTTTCCTGATTTTAATTTTAATTTGTGGTGTGCCATTTTTGTACTTCATATTTAATGTTTCTACTTTGACGATCCCTCAGCCAACCACTTAAGAATTCAGAAGAAATGAAATTGCACTCTCATAGATTATACTTGATACATTCCCTGTGGGTCCATAAAGGAGGTTTGATGTGCGGCCAAAACTGTAAATGAAAGTCTCAGTGCAAAGTTTACTCTCAATAAAAAGAGCTGAAAGTGTGTTGCCGAGAGTTTTTCTTCAACTGGGATTCCCCAAAGGCACAGCAACAGAAATCTGCAAAATGGAGGGGGGGGTAAATATTTCTCAAACTTAATATTTTTGGAAAGTCGTGAGAATAATTCTTGTTCAGTGTCATTCAGAACTTGGTCAGTACTTTATTATAGTTCTTTCAAACTGTCCTCAATTAAGATAGACAAATCATGACATTTTTGTCCATTCAAAAGAACAGTCTTGATATTTACTTGAATTGAAATCAACACGGTGGTGGAAAATACTTGTTATAACAGCTCTGTAGTGCCATCTAACGGCCAACAGTGGGAACTAAAATATCAAATTTGAAGAGATTTTTGAAGCAGATCCTCTAGTTATTCTTGATATGATTTTTAAATGAGCAAGTTGAAATGTTAGAAAATTCTAGATACATTGAGGTAATGTGAGACACTCCTTGTATCTAGGCAACGGAACACATTTAATAATAATAATAAAATTTATTTGTGGGCGCCTTTCAGGGCACTCAAAGACAACTTACAGGGTAATTAAAAGACACACTGTGGTCATGTGACCATTATGTTTTCAATGTGTCGTTACAGCAGTTTCAGAGTGGAAAAAATAAGTGGATCAGTTTACCCCCAGCTGGTTCACTTTCCCCCCTTGATTTCTCAGGTCTGTCTCACAAGCACACGTTCATTTTAGGGACATTTTGCGGATGTGCCTTCTTTCGATTAAAATTTTGCGCTGACGAATTATAAAACACGAAGTAAAGTGATGTAAATTTCGACAGATTGTTACTTGAAAAGGTGGAGATTATATTAGCGCTTTACATACCTCCATTGTTAGGGGGCGCTGTCGTCATCAGCAAAAGTTCTTCTCTATGGCGCTTACTAATGACATCATTTCCGTTCAACCGCAACGTATTTGATTCAACAGCGGCCTGTGTTTTTACTCGGTCGTTGCAATTTTTTCTTCGGTGGAGAATTTTTCTCTACAGTTTATCACCATCATGAAACTAGTCAGGTGAGAGCCCGTGAAAAGTTTCAGTTTATCGATTGCAGTAATAAAAATCGATGGAAATACTGTGATAGTGAAGGATTGGTGTAGATTCAAACGGGCGGGAAGCGATGAATGAAATGAAAGGCGCTTGCAAGGAGTCACAACAACTGGGACAAGACTCTAGAAAGTGCAGTGTAGATTTTGGTTCACTTTATAGACCAATATGCTCACATAACTTGACTTGCTTTGTGTTATTTGCAGGTTTTTGATGAAGCTCAGCCATGAGACGGTTACCATTGAATTGAAGAATGGCACCCAGGTCCACGGCACCATTACAGGTAGGGCCACTTTCACAGTAAAGCCTCCATTCAGATATACCACCAGAGAGCAGTTTGCTCATTCACTTTAAGTTTTTAAGCTCTGTGTATTCTCTTTCAGGTGTTGATGTGAGCATGAACACCCACCTCAAAGCGGTGAAGATGACCCTGAAAAACAGGGAGCCTACCCAGCTGGAATCACTGAGTATCCGTGGCAACAATATTCGCTACTTCATCCTTCCCGACAGCCTCCCACTGGACACCTTACTGGTTGACATCGAGCCGAAGATTAAGTCCAAGAAGAGGGAAGCAGGTGAGCAGTGTGTTTACATCATCTAAGAGTTTAGCACAACAACAACAACACAGCAAACTGGTCTGATCCATGGTCTGCTTTAAACTTAAATTCAACTTTTCAGACTAAAAACAACAATAAAACTGACCCTCCCACTCACACACCCACCCACGGACCACACAGACACACACAAAGACACTCACTCAGCCACACAAGCGCTCACAAAGTGAGAATTTAAGATAAATTGTTAAAGGGACATGGCCTGACATCGAGACATCATGTGAGGAAAGAGCTACCTTTGGGAAACACTGGAGATAAAGATAAAAATGGTAAAAATTAAGTTTAAAACCTGACGGACTAAAACAAGAAAATGATATTAACTGAACAGATAAAAATACATCTAAAAACAAGTTTTAGAGAGTAGATATGTGCCAGCTCAGTAGTCACTAAGAATGAGCAATTCCATCCCTGCGTTCAAGGAATCGAGTACTTGCAAAATATACATTTTTGAACCAGTCAGCTAAGATTTCTGCAGTATCAGTTCATCAGCACTGCATGTCTCAAGAAGAGCAGTCTTCACTTCACAGTAATGAATGAAATAACACTTGATGGTACAACTCTATGGTGAGGCCTTTCCATGAGTCTGTGGTTACAGCCCTCAATTCTGTTGTGCAAACATCTGCATAGTAGCAGGCTGCAGCTACACGCAACCATAGCACTTTAACACGTGAAGCCAACAGCAAAAAAGAAAGAAAATGAGTGCTGTCCCCGACAGAAATGCAGAAGAAGGCTCAACATATGATGATATCGCCAACAACACTGGCAAGAAAACGTTAGCGGTGCGGGGTTTCTAGGTTGGACATGAAGCAGAGTAATGTGGACTGCAAATTATGTCGAGTACATGTTCTCGCAAAGTTGGGGAATACCTCAAATCTTTCAGTTCCATGCGGCAGAGCATGTACAATCCAAAGGTTGCAAACCCCGAGCAGAGCAAAGAGCCCATGTTGTAGTTGTACGCTGTGATAGAGGCTTGTGCTCCAGCTATCACCACCCCGGGTCTGCCAATAGAACTAGCAAATGCTGTGACGCAAGACTTCCTATCATGTCTCTCCTGTCTCTGTGCTTAAAGTGGTTAAGCACCAGACTCGTGTTTTTTTTTAATATCACGTTTAACATTAGATTTCTTACACAGCATGTTTTGTCATCCTCTATGTCAAAATACTTTGAGTTCAGAGTTCAGTTTTCCTGGTCATGAGTTGGTCAAGTTGGGCAAAGTTAATTAACCAAATGTCAGCTGCTGTCATTGATTAGTAACACTCTGAATGAGCATTTACCTGTTGAAAGGAGAGGACTGTATGAGAGCCAGTGTTTTATTTGAGGCCACATTTGTAATTGATAAAGGGAGTATTGACCTCACTGTTGTAGTTGATAGCAGTGCTGTTTGTAATAACTTTAACTACCTTGATTGCCTCTTATATGTGTTTATTCCTTTACTCTCACGTCTTTCAGGGATTTGCATTCCACTAGACTAAGTTAATGTTAGGTAACACTCGGCATGCTGGTGAATGTTTTACCCTTGTTTCTCACTCTCTCTCTTCTGTCTTTTCAGTGGCTGGACGGGGACGAGGCAGAGGACGAGGGCGCGGCAGAGGAAGAGGACGAGGCAGGGGTGGTCCGAGGAGATGATCACCTGGCTGTACATTTGCTGTCAGCCGCTGTTTGTACAGGATTTTTCTTTTTTCTTTCCACAAAAGGAGCGCGGTGTGAATTTTCATGTGCTTTTGTTCGGTTTTTGTTTTCCTATTTTGTACATTAAAATCCCTTAGTGGATAAACATGACTCTGAATTATTTTAACTTTTGGTAATGGTTGATTTTGTTATACGAAAATGTGTTTTCATTTTGTGGCTGAATAAAGTATTTCAATAGTTAAGTTTTACGTAAGTGCTAATTGACAAATGAAAATCTATACAAACTAGGTGTAATACCTCTGTATTTTAGACCCCAAACTATTTCTATTTATGAACTTAAATATTCTTTTATGTCACAATCTATTCATGGATCACATTACATCTAAGAATAGTTTTATAGTCCATCTCTTTGCTATAAAACTGGCATAGTTTGATAAAAGCACATTTACATAAAGACTATAACAGGTTACCTACAGAAGTATTGTTTTCTTAAATAGTGATATAAGACCCTTCATCGTAAAGTGTGTTTTTCCCCCCTCAGATAATCTGTGTGTTGCCTCATAACCACCAGTTAGACCACAGGTGTCAAACTCGAGGCCCAGGGGCCAAATCTGATCCACAAGATCATATATTTGTATTATTGGCCCACCAGTAAGAGGTCTGCAGATTTCCTCCAGTATAATAATGTAAACTTTAGCTCCATTATTTAAAATATCCTTGATAAACCATGAAAATTTGGGAAAGTAAAGAGTAAGGAAGATTTGATAAATAGTCAGGAATGTGGGGAAAATATTGTTTTATCCATAGTTCCAATTTTGCATCTCAAGATTACAAATCAGACATGATTTGACTTCTTATTTTGTGCTTTGATTTTTTTCAACATAGTATTTAGATTTGTCATTTTAATCCTTTAGATTCCAATTTTAAGTCATATTTTGACTTAATTCTTGATTTCAAAATGATTTTTTCCCCCTATTTTTAATATCATGTTCTGATCTTTTGAACCAATCTATCTTTTTTTTTTTTTTTATCTCAGATTGCCTATAAATTTATCTTTTTTACTTTTTGAATTTCCAAGTGGTTTATAATAACTGCTGATTTTCTTATGTATATTTTGAAAAGGAGGCTGACAGTTTGGGTTAAACGTTGACCCTGTTGGGCCCTCAGGTTAGACTTCAATCCAGATTGTGGCCCTTGCTGTGGTAGAGTTCGACACCCCCGAGTTAAACAATAGCAACAGAAAACTACTTTTAGTGAACCCATGATCATAATAGTGAAGCTGAAACGATGCCATCTTAATTTTCCATGCAGTAAAATAATAATCGGTTGTTTTGGGAGCATCTGACTACCCAGTGACTGCTTAGTATCTCGTTATTTCGTGTCATGAGGATTCACGCAGTCTTGTACAAAATGCAACGATAACCTGCCATGGTATATTAACATGAACCAAACCACAGAGCCTTTGGTTAGGACATGATGTACTCCCCTCCTAATGTAAATCAACATTTGATATATGAAAAAAACCTCATTGATTAGATATGAGTAAATGCCTGAATGATGAATTAACTGTTTAAATGAATGCCTGTCTTGTTCTCAATGATCGGGATGTGATTCACTGTAGCTTTAAATTCCAGCCCCATAACCCCGACAGAGGAACCACCATGACAGGAGTTAAGTCTGCACCATTCGTAAACAGACTTGTCTGTTCACAGGTTTTCTTCTTGCTGTGCTCCATTGTGCCATCCAGCTGGCAAAGCTCAGTGCAGATAAACCAAACCATGTCCGACGATACTAACGATCGTTTCATGTATTTCGCTTTTGGGAGCAACTTGCTGAAGGAGAGACTTCAGCTGGCAAACCCCTCAGCGACATTTTTCACTACCGGTCGATTGAAGGTAATGGATTGGTCAGTGCACCTACTACTACATTTTACAGCAAATATAGAAATTAATACAGTTTCGCCACATTATAACCGTAATTGTTTCATCATAGTTCCGTTTTGCATTTAAACAATGCTGCTGCCGTTGACGCCGCGTGGAAATGAGCTAACATTACTAATAGTGTGCCATTTATTACTCGTAAACGCCACATGAGTTGACAAACTCAGAGTATTTGAGCAGAAAATAAGACTGACAATGTTATTGACCATTACTTCATTCACTGAAATCACTCGCTTGTCATTTTTCGACGATATGAACACCCTATGTGAAGTGTTGTTCAGTTGTAAACCTTGTCTTTCTTGAACGCAGCACAGATTCCATCATTCATGCATACTGTTCTCATTGAGTGGGAATTATCTGCGACAGACCTGTTTAGTTTGCTGTTAAGGCTCTAAATATTCTTGATAGTTTTGGTTGTTTTATAAACTTTTATGATCATGGTATTGAGGTTATAATTTCTATGAAACTGGTTGAGAGGCGCTCGTATAAACTGCTGCTTAAAATCGTTGTAACGGCTAATAGGGGAGAGTGGGGTAAGTTGAGCCAAAGGGTAAGTTGAGCCGCCCCTTGTTGCTTGGAAATGGTCCAAGAGATAGATCATGTGACCGAATATTTAGGAGATGGGCATCAATTCATGGAGTCTGAAGGTTAAATTTGTTTTATACATCAATTGTGGTATCTATGAGCTACAGCATGAGGTCAAAAACCTAGCATAAGAGTCCACCATTTTAGGTTAGAGGACTAATAGTCATCATAGTAGTTCATGGGTAGGTTGGGCCATTTGGCCAGGGTTGGGGAGATGGGGGGTAGTAGGGATACGGCTCAACTCACCCCGCTCCTATGGTCAACTTGCCATAGGAGAACACTTTTGGCATGCTATATTATCAAAACAGGTCTGTTTACACTCATTCTGTTGGTTTGCAGGGATGCACAACATCTTGAAATACATGCAGATACACTAGTTAGAGACAGAACTATGATCGCCTTGATGTAGTGATCCGAAATATGAAAAATGGCTCATCTTACCCCACTCTCCCCTATCCATAGCAACACCTCTGCACTTTTCATTTATTTGATGTAACTTGCCAAGTAGTTATTGCACTTCAAGCTGTGCAGTTTGAAAATTAATACTGTCAAATTAATTGGCTGGTGGGGATTTAACGCCACCCCATCAGAATCAGCTGCAACAACAGGGCCTGGGTGCCCTCCTGATGGACCACGCTGTGAGCGAACTAGGCTCACAGGGGCCACTGGTGAAAACACAAACATAGCACCTTGAAATAAAAGACATGTCTTTTTAAAATATCTGCCTGCAGCCTTTTGTTCTTTGCTCTTTCACCATCCTCTGTTTTTGTGTTTCTGACAGGACTATGAACTGAGCTTTGGCCTGTGGGAGGAACATGTGGACAACAGTTGGCATGGTGGAGTGGCCACAATCCGGTCTCATCCAGGCAGAGAAGTGTGGGGGGTGATCTGGACTTTGAGCAATGCAAACCTTAACAGTTTAGACAGGTGAGACGCATAAATGCCCAGCTGTGGATTATTCAGCTGTTAGTTTGTCATTTTATCTAACCCTTGGTTTTTCATTTGCAGGCAAGAAGGAGTGGGGCAGGGACAATACTCCCCACTGGAGGTTTCAGTGGAGACTGATAAAGGTATGAGGCTCTGCAGGACGTACCAGATGAACAATTTTCACCCCTGTCCTCCCTCTCCTCAGTACAAAGAGGTAAGTGCATGTGTGCTGCGTGCAACAATGTTTAAAAGGCTTTTTGAAGCAGGCATTCAAAAGATCAGCAATTTCACTCATAGTTATCTTTTTCTCTGTGTGTTATTTAGGTGGTGTGTCTGGGTGCAGAGCAAAATGGACTTCCAGTGGAGTACTTGAAGAAGCTAGAGGCCGTTCAAACCAACAACTACAGCGGCCCTTCTATTCTTGATCAAATTAGACCCACTATGAAGTAAAAACTCATGAGTTCTTGACTTGTGAAGCATTAGATAACAAAAACATTTCAACGCAAGTTCTGTTCAGTAGCTGCTCTGGGATACAAGAGGCACAGAATTGAAACAAACAGAAACAGAGGTGTGAAAAAGTGACCATTGTGGCTGCTTACGGTGGTTTATCAAGGTAGTTCTTTTTTACTCATGGTAAACTTTCTTACATTTTTAGGTGCTTCACGTTGTGTTCCTTAAGTACTGCAATTGTCATGTCACAAAAAATAAATGATAGTAACGATAGTATATGTACATAAGGAGTGCAAGCTGGATCTTAAAGAAGAAATCTGTCAAACAATTGAAGGAAATAACACATGTACTGTCTATGCAGCTCAAAAATCAGAATACCTAAAAATTACATTTTTTTCCATAATTCAAAAAGTGAAACTTTCATATATTCTAGATTCATCACATAAAAAAGGAGAAATATCTCAATACTTTCAAAAGTATTGAAATATTTCAGTGTGTGATTAAACTAGGACATATGGAAGTTTCACTTTTTGAATTAAACTATGAAAAAAAAGTGAACTTTTCAATAAGATTGTCATTTTTTGAGCTGCACCTATACACTGCTATGTTTGGCTGGGCCCAACATATTTTAAGTACCATCATGTAATTTGAAAATTATGTTGACAAGTGAATATTGTTTGAGAAACTGAAATGCATATCATGGAAGGAGATTAAAGACTGATTTTGAGATTATCAGCCTCATACGTGACAGTAACTCATTTTTAAGTTCATTTAACATGAATTTTTCTTTTCCTGCTAATTGTTTTAATTAAATTCTTTATCAGGAATTGCCCTTCGAGGCATCCCGTCTCGTTTTGAGAAAAGTTTAATTTGTTTCAGCTCAAATGTACATAAAAAATAAACATACAGTATGGTGCTGTTACACAGCTTGGTTTTAAATACACTTTTTATTAGGAAATGAAAACTAAAAACAAATGACTCATAAAAGGGAACCACTTTATTTTTGACAACACAGTGGCCTTGGACAGAATGAGAATGTGTACCTTTCTCAAAGTTCACCTTTTTGGAATCATAAAAAATACAGAAAATACAAAACAAAGCTGTCAAGAGAACAAACGGTATCTGTGTTAAACACCCAATAATATAATATTGTTGATTTTCCAGATTATCATTCACAAGTCAATGCAAATATGCAGAACTCACTATGGCACAACTCATATTCATCTAATTGAACAATGCTCATGCAGGCAACATGGTTTGAAACTTTGAATAACCAAGCGTTCATGAACACTTAAGAATCCCGCTAAATCTATCATGTACAATCTCCCAAATTTAGTCTGAAGGTGAACATTTACCTATACTGTCTGCAGGAGTTTGTGATCAAGCAACAGTTTAAATGTGGAGAAGGAAGGCCCGTGAAAAACTTCAGATCGGCAGAAAAATACAAAATAAGACACGGAAGATGTGTACAACAGGTCCAAAAAGGTAAAAAAAAAAAAAAAACAACAGACACACAAAGAAACTTAAATAGAAAAGCAACTCAAGGTAAGGTCAAAGGAATATGAGTACACCAGCAAAGATGTAGAAAATCACTTGGGGTTTTTTTGTTGTTTTTTTTTACAAAGGGGATTAAATAAAGGGTGCAAAAAATAGCTTGAAGGGTCAAACCAGTGCTCAAGATAAAATCAGTAGCCATTGAGGAATGAGGGATGATAACCAGCTAAATACTGTTTTAGATTAACAGTCTGACACCATCTGACAAACACGTCTGTTTTGTAACTGTATTGTAGGAGCATTGTAATGCGGTCTTGCATTACTGTGGAAATTAGAATATACACCATTGACAGCATACCGATAAATAAAGCACTATTAATGAAGGCTACATTAACTAACTGCCCTCACTAACAGCTAACTCGTATGTTCAGGAATACACTGTATGCACTGCATGATGAACTTTTTCTAGCAGCTATCAACATAAGAGGCCATAGTTAAAATATTGGAGTTAATTCAGTTTTTAATCAAGAACATCTGCATTTGCATTACTTCTCATTATCAGTTTTGTTTTTATTTTCTTTTAAACACAGTCCATTGGCTCCACCTGTTCTCCACCTGTAACTTTATCACTGCCACTTTCATCCATTGGTTCTGGTCCATTGTCACTCTTTTCCATCGGCTCTGTTGGATCTGCAGGCTGCTCTGGAGAATGCTCGGGCTCTGCCGTGTCCACAGTTTGCGGCTCTGGGATGAGGAGGTTGTGCTTCACTTTGCTCAGTTCTGTCATGTTGAACCCGAGAAGAATGGCCGCTGTGTTTCTTTTGAGGCTCTTCATACATTTGCTGCGCTTCTTGCTGAAGAGTGCTGCTAGCTCTGCTTTGGTGAGCGACAGCCTCCTGCACAGCTCCTCAGTCTCCGGTTTGGTCGCGTAGGGGTTGACGTTGAAGTATTTGGATATAAAATCTCTGCGCTCCTCGCTGTTGCGGCGCTCCACTGTGTTGGGTTCCAGAGCCAGCTTCACTGTGGGGTCACTCTGAATCACAGGCTCTGGAGGGGGCAACAACTTCTCCTGCTCTCGTTTCTTTCGAATGGCGGCCTTTGCTTCTCGCTCTCGTTTATTGGCTTCTATGACTTGCCTCAAAGCCGCCTCTAGCCGTTGCTTGGACAGCTTCTCTGCTTCTGTCTCTTGAGGCCTTGGAGGGGGTGCAGCGGAAATCACGCGAGCTGGCGCCAGAGCCTGTTTCACTGTCAGCCCTTGTGGTACTTGGAGAAAGTAGAGTCCGGACGGCTGGGTGATCTGCTGAGCTGGTTTTGGTGGAGGCAGGGGTGCTACTATAGGTTTAGGTGGCTGTGGTTGTGGCGGTTTAGGTGAACAACGGCATCGCTGAATGTGAAGCATCACAGCTTGCTGGGTGACCTTTCCTGTGTACACACCGTTGCAGTATATGCATTTGAAAGCCTCCGTCTTCAGGATCGCATGAATGGTGGGTGCTACAAAATGTTTCTCTTTAAGATGCTGAAGATGTTGAGATTCACTGTGAAACTTTTCATCACAGAAGGGACAGTACGTGCTGTTGATTTTCACAGGCGCTGAGCAAATTTCTGGCAGGCTGGATGGCTGTAGCTTAAAGAAAATCAAGTCAAGGGTGTTTGTGACGAGGGCAAGGTTTACCTCAGTGTCCCCCAAGACCTCTTTAGGGGCCGTGGTGTGGACATCAAAGTAAGGAAACACAATGCCACCAGAAGCTTTTGAGTAGACCCTGTACTTCTGTCTCAGAAAATCACAGTATGCCCTGCTTGTGGGACTATGTAGCTTAACATGCTCTGCAAGCTGCCTGATTGAGAAGAACAGAGCTGAGCAGTACAAACAGTTCAGGCCATGGAGCAGATGCTGGAAGACACTTTTCTCTGATAGCAGAATTTTGCATGTTAGACATTTAATGGTCTTGTCTGGCATTTTCTTCAAGAAGGCTGCCCGTGCTGCCACACTTTCCGACTTGGCTGAAGTGGATTTTGTCTGATGTGCAACTTCTGTGTGGATCTCAAAGACATTGGAGGGAAAAAGTTCATTGCAGAGTGGACAGGTAATCCATTTCTTAGTTTGTGGCGAGGAGTTACTTGATTGCTCGATTGACTTCAGAGGGGTGTTTGTACTATGACTGTTAGGCACTGGTGCTTGCAACGGGGCAAAAGTATATGTGGGCATGCCGTTTACTTTGTTACCGGTCGGGATCAGGTGACTCAACAGAGACTGTGAAGTCAGCATGGTACCTTGTAGGTTTGTTTGGTTTGTTTGGTTTACTGGTGCATTTTGCGTAACTACGGCAGGTTTAGAAACAGTAGTAACAGGTCCAGGGCCAGTTGCCATACTGGCCTGCAGTCCTGACTGCAGAAAGATTTGCTGTGCTTGTGAATTCTGTTGAGGTTGAGAGGACGGCGCTATAGCCATTGCTGCAGGTTTCAGAGACATACTGGACATAGCTGGGAGCTGGACCATCGGTGGTGCTTGAGGCAACGCACTTCTGAGCGCAATAGTGGCGCCAGGCTGGAGCAGACCTTTAGCCTCGGCACTAGCTAGTTGCACCAGCGCTGATGCCTGCGGGGGAAGGAAAGCTTGGTTGGTCCCAGGGGTACAGATCAGAGTAGTACTGTTTGTAGCTCCTGGTAGTTGCTGTAATGTCACCACAGTACCAGCAGGCTGGCCATTACTTGGAAGCACCAAGGGCTTGCTGTTGAACATTTGAGTTGTTTGGGGTTTGGGAGCGATGCTCGGGAATGTCACAAACAATCCATTTCCATTTGGAGTTGATTTAATGGTGTAGTTCTTGTTCTCATAAATTAAGCTTTGCACCTGTGTTCTGACTGAATAGTGCGTCGGCTCCACCAACATGTGATGTAACGTTTGGTCCAGGGTTCCAGTGTTCACCCTGCACACCTTGCAGCAGTGGACTTTTACAGACGTAGTGCCTTGAAGGTGTAACCTGTAGCCTATGTACTGTTCTGCCATTCTCTCCAGGTGCTTGAGAATAATGTGCTTTTTCATCACGAAGATGGAAGAAGCCTGGAATCCACATTTTCTGCACTGGTACCGCTCATTTCCCCGATGAGTGAGTACAGGCGCTTCCCTTGTTGGTTGCAAATGATTGGTGGGTTTGGTGTGAAAGAACATCATGTGCTTCTTGACGACCTTGGGGTGGCCGATGAAGAGGCACTGTGAACAGGGTGCAAGTGCACAGTAGGGCTGCACAAATTTATGGCAGCGAGACACGTGGCTCCTGAAGTTGTAGATGTTTTTAGTCGAGTACTTGCACAGGTTGCAGCACAAAGACCGCGACCGATAAGGCCACTGAATGGAAAGAAAGAGACAGTCAGTTATATCAGTTAATGAAACATTATTTACTACACAAAGAGTATTTTCCATTGCATCCCCTGGAATCACAACTCTTCTCTCTAACAAGATTCTGTTTACCACATGTCACATTCACCTTTTTATACTGTCTGCCATGGTGTCCATCAGTGAAATCCACCCACTCAGTTTCCTGAAAGGTATCATCTTCTTCTGAGGTTTTCTCAGAGTTTTCCTTTAGATTCTGTAAAGTGAAACACACACATAGACCACATGTATAAAACTCACAGTTTGACAAATAGTGACATGTCCTTTACAAGTCCTGCTTTCAAAGTTGCTTTTAGTCCTTGGAGTATAAGCTCACCTTGTGATCATTGAGAAAGTAAGCAGTTTTGGAGGCTTCATGATTTGACAGGTCTGTAAATCTGCTGTCGTGGAGTAAAGCAACGTCCTCCCCAGCTCTAGAGTGATCTTTTTACATGACCACTTGTAAAGATGAGGCAGTGAAACTTCATTGAAACACCTGTGGCTAATGTTGTACATACCTGGAGGTCCATTGTTTAAAGCATGTGGACAAGGTTTTGCATTGAATGTATATGTACACTACACCTTGGGCAAAATGCACCACAACTTCATCAGTAAAAGTATGAGAAACTGTTCAGTGAATGGTACATGAGCAAAGATGGGTTTTGGAACAAGTTCATCTTAAGCTATACTGCAGTATTAGGAAGGACAAAAGGTATTGTGAAAATGAAAAGCAACAATGCCAATTTTTCAACACAAACCATTCCCAAACCGATGAGAACAGTTTTACCAAATATCCTCAGGATTGGCTGCATTTGACTTCGGCAAAATCCGCAGTTTGATTAATGTAGATGAGTAAAATGTTCTACAAAACAAATGCCTACAAACATTTAACAACATCTGAGGAAAACCTGTGCGGTCATGATGCTGTGGTCATTATGATCACTACATATCATCATACATGTTGCAACCATTTCCTATCATGTTGTGGGTGAAGTTTAGATAAACATGAATGAGTTTTAATCAATTTGAAAAAAATAAGAGGAAAAGATTCTTGTAATAAAATCTTATCAATCTTTGTGGACTGTACAGGGACTATTCTGCCCAGTGATTTGTAACATTATCTACTTAACATCCCAGAAAAATGTACACATAATACCATATCCCCAACCTGTCCTGTTTCCATAACAACAAATGAATCGCTCTGAATGGATGAGGGACCATTTTAAGCTGGATCTGATTTGAATTTCTTTCAAAATGGTGGTATTAACATTTCTGGTACCCAACTACAACAACCCTTTCTCAGAATAAAACTGTTCTTAACTATACTGTTATTGTACAGGGAATGTACTGCTCTGATTAAGCTGTGCAGTAAAATAGATTAAAAACAGCTTTTAGTTAGATCACCTATGACATCTGAAAGGGATGAGAAAATGTGGAACACCATAGCATCAGTACACTTGGTGAGTAAATATGTAACAAGTACAATCATATTTTAGAATATTGCAAATTTCCTTGATTACACCAAAACAATCATACCTTTAGCAGGTTTTGGCAGTCCTCCAGCCCAATCTCTGTCAGTATGTTTTTCACAGACTTGCGTGCCTTTCGAATCTTCTCAATATTTCCAACTGGAAGCTGATACATTGTGTCCTGTTAAAGACACAAGGGAAGTTCAACAGAGGCACCAGCACACAGAGTAATGATAAACAGAGCTGCTAAATTCAGATCACAAGAAAACTAATCACCAACTATTTTCCTTATCTATTCATCGATTCAGTCATAGTTTGAGCTTTTATTTCTAAATTCTTTTTTACTAATTCCCATTTAGACTTTATAGAAAAAGAATTCTGGCCATTACTTTTCTGGAGACCTTTATACAGCTTTGTGAACATCCTTGAAGGGGTTTGTTTGTATGCTCCTATCAGGACTGCAACAACCTCCTTTATCTCTGCTGATAATTCATTTTAATTTCTTTAATAAACAAATCTCTCAATTGTAGATATCGAAACATATCCCTGTTCTCTAATTTAAATTATTTTTTAATTGTTTCAAATGATTTAAAAGATCGGCCTTCAGTGAGCATACAAAGAGCAGTCATTGCCCTTTCATTCCACCATGTATAAGTATTATCGAGAGTCGCTGGTTGAAAACTAGGTCATTAAGAAGGCCACATCAGAAGTTTGATTTTGTTTTCAAGCTTGACATATCTTTTTAATTTGTAACATAAGTTATTAGGGTCCATGACGTGACAGTTGTTTTTTTTTTTGTTCCCATGGTTTACTTAAATTTAAAAAGGGCTAAAATACAAAGATATATTCACCATTTACTTGGATACATTCTCTTTTTGAAGACCTTGTCTAAAATTTCTAGATTTTATCAATTTTGAGAGAATATTCAGAGAATAATGGGAAAAATGTCAATGTGGTGTAACCATAAAAACTCATTCATTCATTCAAAAAATGCTAACCGTTTTCAGCATTTCTCCTGCTCTATATTGCAAAAATGCATCCAATTTTTTTGTAAAAAAAAATTGAAATTATATGAAACCATCAGAGATACAAAATATACATCTTTTTAAACCTAATGCAAACTTTTAAAACAATCTATTAAAACATTTTTGAATTACTCATGATGCAAACCCTTATTTGTAACTGACCTATTACTTAATTCCAAAAGAGAGCAAGTCACTAAAAAATAAATACTTTGTTGAGCCCCACAGAGAGTACCAATAAACCTTTTTTTGTAAAGGGGATAAAAGCAGGTGGCACATGTGTTGAATCCTCTCCTTGCCAAGACTGAGAAATCAACCACTTTCACTTTGTTAGGATGGACCAGTCAAAAATCAAGGAGTAAATGTGTGACCTGATCATGTTTGAAGGAGACTACTAAAAACACATTTAAATGAAAACTGAATAACAATTTAAAAAAAAAAAAAAAAAAAGAATAACTACAAAACAACAACAAACAAACAAAAATCATAATTAGGTCGGCATAAGATTAAATACCACAGTTGACGTGCAACAGCTGATTTAACTTCAGTATCTCGCTGCAAATCTAATATGAATTAAACGTGGCATTTCATTGCATGCATGGAAATCAACCTCTACTACGAGTTTAACAAAATACATTTTGATCATGTAAGTTCACACAGCTTCACTGTATACCAGTGCTGCTGCCTCCCCGTGTGTGCGTTTGTGTCTGTGCTGCTGCCCACCCTGGAGTCATTTAACTGCTCCTTACAGCACGCTGTCAGGGACGAGCCGGGTTATTAAGCAGGACACGCTGCGTCTCACGCTTGAGGATGCCCACATCCTCCTCAGTAATATTTACCTCGGTGTATTTTCAGTGCAGGTTAACGTTAGTTGTCGCTGTGCCACCTCCGACACGGCTGCCGTTTTACTTCCGCCGGCCCTCAACTGAGTGCGTCGGTAAGCTGCGTCCGCTGCACGCAGATGCTCATCCAAGCAGCATCCTCTTTCTGCGTTCACCGCTGGGTGTAAAATAGAGGCTAATCCGAGAGGTGGTGTTTGCAGAGCTAAGTTATATTTGGTCCAGCTTTTGTCCCTTTCTTCCTCTGTTGAGGAAAAAATGGCGCTCAAGTTCAGGATCTGACGTAGCAGTCCTCATTTGCATACTGAACAAACTGACCAATAGGAAAGTTCTCAGTCTATAACATAAATAAGCTCGTACCTCTTCACTTAACGCGTTTCATGTCTTTTTCAGAGGTCCAGGTGACATGTTTCACAACTTTCTTACTCTGTTTCATGAAGTGTTTGACTTCTTGACTAGCATTTTGAATTCACAACACATAGCTAGTTTTGGGGGCGTGGCTACAGCGACCCCCACTGGTAGTCACGTGGTACATGACTAAGCCCAACCAATAGGATGTCGAGGAAGTGAGCTAAATGGGTGGTTCTTGGGTTGTGACGTCATATCATGCTACTTTTCACATCCAATGAAAATGAATCATTATTTTGATGAGGGATGACAGCAGGCTGTTAGGTTAGATGTTCTTAGCTAGCATACAGAAACATTTTTTAGTTCTTTTTACAGTTAATAATCCAGAATAAGCACAAATGGTTAGCTACGTTCTCGATGTCATTAGTGCCGATAGCCACATGTCTTCCATTTGCGTTTCGTGCAAAGCGATTTTACGTTGAATGTCGACTTGAGTCTTTGCCAATTTTCGCAATATTACATTCACTTTTGTCGTAACGTTTGGAGCCTCCCACTTCCTGAGCAGAACTCAAGCCATTGCTAAAATAACCCTTAGCCACTAATTACACTATCATTGCGATTTAAGTTTACGTCTCGCAAACTATCAAGTTGACGGAAACCTACAAAAGTGCGATACTTAGATCAAAACTTCTTTGCTGTGGATTTGTAACCTTTAACTTCTCACGTTACCATTTCGGTAATTAATTTTAAATGGCTTAAATTGCCGTATTTAACTCGCATTGCCTTTCGATATCAACGTAGTTCCTTATTTACACCGGCTTATGCTTTAACTAGCTATACGACACCATTCCTATTTCCAATTATATAATTTATCTTTCTTTCTGACTTTCCTGATTCAAATATTAATCTAGGTTCTGTGATATAAACTGGTTTGATAAACAAGCTCAATATCTTGATGTTCCCCCTACTAAACCAAACAATCAGGATGATCTTAACAAACTCTTACCAAGAGTGATTATGCCAATCCTGATCCAAGAGGGCATGTTCTAAGATCAAAATTGGCTAAACACGAAAACCTTTGATTGAGTTTGCACGGTTACAGTGCCCATTCTATTAAGATTAAATCAGTGTGATGTCTTTTTGGACAACTACTCTTATTTTACTCAGTTTTAGGTTCCCTCTAATTAAACTATTGCCATATTTACAGAGGTACGCTAATGAGTAAGCCACCATTCAGAATCAAATTTTTCAGCTTTATCCATGTCCCTTCAAAGTGAAGTTGCACATAATTCAAGAGTACACCTCAATCATGCAACCACAACAACTACTTTGGACCGTTAAAAATGCTATGTGTGGAGCATCTTGGGAGATTAGTACATCTGCTTTTTTTTGTATGCCTCATGCTCATTACCATTTAACTCCCCCAACACTCGATGACCACAATAATACTCATACTTCCATAAATCTGTTAGTCCTCTTTTTGGGTTTGGGTTAGATACTTTTTTTTACCAACACTGAATCATGAAACTAAAACTGAGTTATAACAGCTCTTGTAGAGATATGTTTCCTTTGCATTGAAATCCCTGTTGTCATGCGTTTCTACAGAAAAAGTCAACTGCTTATGGTAACTATTTCACTTTCATTACCTGCCGAGTTGGGATTTGGCGAAAAAAATGGCTATCCCAAAAAACTTTCAGAGTGTTAAATAGAATGGTTAACATTTGTACTAACACACTAGTTTAAAAACTCTCCGATCAAGCTTTCAAAAGAGCTACTCAAAGCAAAAAAGCATGAGAGTTGATAATCCTTCAGTTTACTGTTTGTTTTTTCTATTTCAAAAGGCTTCAGGAAGTAACTTTGAGAAAGAACATTTAATGAGTAAAGAGTACAGAAATGCTGAACTGTTTAATGTCTATAACTGAACTGTATAATGATAAAAAGGGTGTATTTCAATGCTCAGTGCTAACTGAATGAAGGCTGCAAATCTCTGTTTACTACTTACATCCATTCTTGAGACAATTATGTAAGCTAGATTACAACACAAACACACTGTACTTGTGTTTTGGGAAGTGGAAAGAGTCTTGTGAAATGCACATTCATTAAAGTAAATACAGAAAACCTTGGTACAATAACTTTTCTAACCCTAACACTAGTTTTTATCAATCAAAAATGTATGTTATTTTCTCTTATGCTGCAGCGATGTGACTGTTCTGGTGTACTAGTAAAAGACACACCATACATGATTTTAGTGACTTCCTGAAGGTGAGGTGTTTCCTGATTACAAAACACGTGTGGGTGACACCACTCACTATTCAAACGGCAGATAAATTAAGGTCTGATTCCAAAAACTGGATTACGAAAAATGATGACACATAGACCAAACATGTAATTTCAGTCAGAAATGTATTAAATTAATCACTTTCATTACTTTAACAAGCACAATTTACAGTCAAAAACAGGCTATGGTCCATTAGTGCCTTAGACAAGCAAGTAATTAATACATTATTCAATTGTAACACACAAGGGCAGGATTCTTCAAAAACTGCAGTTAAGTCAGGTCACCATATTATTAAACATGAGACATTTAGCTGTACATGAGACTGTGCATTATTTCCCTCATTACTTCAGGGAGGCATGAGGAAAGGTTAGGCTTTATATGTTTGCGCAATCTCAGAGAGGTCTTTGTAGCAGGTCCTATACTTGAGATACAAACATGAACATCCACGTCTGCCAAAAGCAGATCGTTTCTGTTCAACCATTTAAAAAAAACCTCTCCTGTTTTGAAATTTTCAGATCTCTGAACAAGGATGAATCCCTTGGCAAAGACCTGAAAAATAGGGGCTCTGTTATTTGATATCACAGTATTTACCTACAAAAAGATTTTGTGCATTTTGAACCAGATTGACTGCTCTCTATTAGAGGCAAGGAGTGCATTGGGTTGTATCATGCCTTTTGAGTAAAGGGAAACCACTGAGGTCACAAATGGAAATCACAGCACACTTAATCCATGTAGCGTTAAAAAACACATCAATATCTTGTCAGGAAAACACTGTTAGATGGGCCACAGCATAACACCTGGGCAAAACACACTTAAAGATGGAGCTTTAAATATGCCCCAGTAATATCAGAATCCAATAAATAAAAACGCATTGAGGTGAGCTGCAATAAAGAAGGAGGTTACATCATTGTCTTAATTTCATTGATGCAAAATGAATGGCCTGCAGTACAGAATCCACATGAGGCAATGATTCTTTTAAACACTTCAAAAATCATCTACAGACAAATATGTTGAAGTTGATCAGACACAGAATTTACACGACTGTCAACAGGTAATCAATAGAGAATATGATTTTAATCAATTGTACATTTTGTAAACTGGATTTGATTTAGGAAACAAAAACCGCCTCAAACATGTTGAGGGGTCCCATCTCCAAAGAGTCGTCCATTTTGTTGCATAATGTCATTTGAGCTTGGGCTAGAGTTCTTTTAGCTGACTAATATTCAGAGTCCATGTGAGGGAGGAGCAAAACAAGAGGATTATCTTCCAGATTAGATTTGAAGCCAGTTGAGGTATTGAACAACCTTTTTTCTTACATTTTTGGGAGGCAAGAAAGTCAAATTCCTGGAAGAAATAATAGGACACACTGCGTTTTCCAAGGTGGCTGGAATGTTTACTACATTTACCCCCTGTCCCTTGTACCTCACTGACCCCTCTTGCCACATGTTGAATGCTCGAGAGGATCTGTCAGCGAAGTACAGGAACAGGGGCAGAGGGTAGTTACACGCTGTACTGGACCATGGAGAAATTCTTCATGGCGCTGTCCAGAGCCACACCAGCCTCCTGCATTTCGTACCTGTGAACAACAAAACATCAGGATCAGTCCCCTCCTTGAGTCTCACATCTACTGCATTACTGCACAGGCGGTGAACCTTGAAACTCTAACTCACCAGTCACAGGTGGAGACAGTGTAATAGATGGGCAGCTGGGAGGAGCTTAACTCCTCCAGGCCACAGGCTCCCATGTTGGAGAAGAGAAGCCAGTCCCCCACGCTGAGCTCAGGCAGCAGGCAGCGCTCCACCACACAGTCTAGCTGGTCCAGGGATGGGCCCCACAGGCTGCTGGGATACACTGCCTCCTCTGCATTCAGCACGTGCTGCAAAGAGAAAACAGGTTGATCAAAAATTTTAGTAAACACTCAAAACAGGAGAGAGCAAAAGCTGTAGGATTACAGTCTGAAACAGAGGCTGTGATACCAGGAGGATATTTTAAATATAACGTCATCACTTATAGTCCTTAAAAGCTTACAAATGTTTTTATTCATTTCCTAATTAATCTTTCTTTGTTAATTTAATCTATTTCAGGGTATTTTATTTTAGGGTAAAGCTGTCACTTATGGTTCCAGTAAAGTAAAGATGGCTGAGCAGCAACAGCTTTTCATCGGTTGGCATTCAATCTTTGACAACTGTCACTACTTCCTGTTTAAATATCTCTTTCTTCCATTCCCGAAACTTATATGGGAGTCTTTGTGTGGGGCAAAGTGACTCCCTTTCTAAAAAATTTCTGACCTTTCTTCCTCATATACTCATAATGCATGAACTCTTTTTCACATTCAACCTCATCTGCTATCAGATGTTTCTTTCTGTCCTGAATGGGGTTGACTCTTGGGCGGAGACCTACTAACCTTGTGTGCAGACGGGGCAGCAATGGTGTTTCCCAGCAGCTTGCGGCTGAATGGGCCGTAAACACCCTCATTCATGTGGTACAGGAACTCTGTATCTTCATTGTTCTCGCCTGTGTAAATAGAGAGGGCAACCATGTAAGAAATAAAAGAACAAACTGTATTATTTACGGTTGCATCTTGATCCCTGATTGTTCTGTTTTGATTATGCAACGCTTGTTTGTAAAAAGTGTGAACACTTTGTCTTTTATAAAACTGGATATCATTGTCTGCGCTGATTCACAATCAGGGCACAGACAGACAGGTATTATCGAGTTGAATAGAACTTAAAAGGACAAAGAGAACATTGAGAAAATGAAGTCACTCACTTGGAGCAAGGCCGTCCCACTGGGAGGTCACCACCTTTTTGTCGATTACGTTGACAACAAGGCTGAAAGCTGGGGCCACATAGAAGCTGCCTGGCTGGGCCAACACTTGCACACCAGAAAGTGGGCTGAAGTAGGCATCAAGCAGCGGCCTGACTGCAGACTCAACCTGCATATATCAAGACACAGTACATATAATTTTAGCTATTTTCCCTGACACAATAAAAATAGTAATGGACTTTAAAATTAAATCACTGAATAATTACAGAGAAGACCTCTATATTTTACACATCTATCAGTGAAAACTGTGCAATGTCAGAGCTACCAAAAAGTGACACAGTGAGCTTTGAGGTCTGAATGAAGTGTTAGGAATCATACTGTGTTTATTTACCTGTTTGAGCTGAAACTCAGAGCCAGTGAAGCCACCACCAATGTCCAGGATGTTCATGTCAAAGCCCAAATCAGCCTGTACAGACACAGCACAGAGTCAGGTGTTATGTTCGTAATATCTCCTGTACGTTTGTACTCTATTTCCACTTGTTCATTTGGTAATTAATGACAATGCCCAAACAACACTCACCCCCATGTCAAACACACAGCGAGCGTCCGATAGTGCGTGGGTGTAGGCCTCCTGCAGATCCTGGCAAGTGCTTGGGATTTGAAAAGTTACCCCAACCACTTGAACCCCCAGCTCCTTAGCTGCTTCCAGCAGGTGTCGGCAGCTCTTCAGAGAGAAACCAAAGACCATGCTGGTCTCTGCTGCCTGGGCCTTGGTGCTCAACTGCAGCAGCAACCTACAAACAGATCAAACATCAGCCAGGGATCTAAACGTTGAATAAAAAACACTTCTTATGCAAGTTGCACTCACTTCTTTATTTTACCAAAGTCATTTTCAGTTCAATAAAAAACAACAGCTGACTTGTCTATCAAAACAATAACAGCGTCACTCAGTACATGAGATATGAAGTACTTAATAATTAACTAATACTCCACTTACTTTGCATTTGGGTGCAGGCGGGAAATCTTGGTCAACTCCGCCTCATTTTCGCACACAAGATGCTGGATGTTATTCTTGGCAGCATGCTTGATATGTGCCAGCTGCTTGCACACACCTGACAGAATGATGTTTTCAGGTGGTACGCCGTGCTCCAGCACCAAACTAACTTCAGCCTGAGGGAAAGAAGACATGCACAAAAAGGAATTTAACATAAGAGTCTTAATAACCCAAAGGAATCAGGATAGTGTATTGCACAAGTTAAAAGAATAGCAGTAAACAGCTGAATAGCCATAAATTGAATGCCTTTAATTTTGGCCCACATGCATCAAGGGCAATGATAATGCCTCACAGGGCAGTTTTACATTAACCTGCTTAAATCGGCTTCTGTGTTCAAAGTTTACCTTGTTGGTACAAACAAAACCCAGACCCAAGGAGGCTAGAACCTCAATGACAGCAGGGCTGCTGTTGCACTTGACTGGGTAGTAGGGCTGAAGCTGTGGCACCACATTCTGCCAGCACACATGCTGCTGCATTATGGCACCAAGGTCCCCCACCACAAAAGCACTCTTCTCCACCTGGGGACACAAAAGACATGCACTTAGTTCACAAATCAACAGGTGAGACCAATAAAAAACATTTAAATACTACACATCTAAGGAAAGAAGGCAGGTCAGTAGCTAACATAGTGTTCAATTTCTCAACTATCAACAAGGGGAAGCCAAACTGTTAGAAAGATTTAATCCTAAAGCTAAACTGACCAGAGTCTGTTCGCAGATGTGTCCGTCAATGACATCCTCAAGAGTTACTCCTCCCTCCAGGAGTTCAATGGTGTAGCTGGGTTTGTCAGCGAGTCCTTTCATCTCAACCGTATTCCGCTACGCCGACAATCATAAAGATCAGATAAGCAAGTCAAGGGTCACGACTGAGCCAATGGGTCCTGCCGGTATGCAACAAACTGGGGGATAAAAAGGAGAAAACAAAAACATCTGGTAAGATTTTTAGCACAGACAAATTGAATACTGATTGAAAACATTTTGACATTTCTTTTCCTGATTTTTTCAGTCAAAAAGGAAGAAGGGAAATATTTATTTTCCTTGGATAATTCTTAAAAAGTGTCTACTAGAACACCGAATTTTTAGGTCAATCTGTTGAGTCGACAATAAAAATATTTACAACTCTGAGTAAACATGAGTAATCACTCTGTGTTATGGGTACTTATTACATCACAACTCTTCTGGACTTTGTTACAGGTGTTGGTGAAAAGCCAGCACGCCTCAATGTGTGTACAAATAATACTCAGACACTCACATGGACAAGTCAGGAGATGGACCTGTCCCGCTATCAGCTAGGATCCCAAGGCGGCTCAGCGTTGAAGTCAAAGTGCTCCCGGTAAAGAGCCGCCCCTAGGCCCTCTGGGTAGCGCTCATACACCTGTGCAGAGACAGGGGAGCCCTAAAGAGACCGAGATCCAGAGTGTAAGGTTACAAAACATTAAAAAAACAACATGAAAGGAAGAACATGAAAGTCACATGAATTTAAATCCTTAGCTGGGCTTCTTGAGTTACTAAAAATTTGAACAAATTTTATATAATTCATCACCATCATCTGTAGAGTAACATTTTTGTCACTGAGGTCAAATTTTTATGTACACAATCAATATGTGAAGCAACTCTCGCGGCAGTTCACGTGGCTTCGTTATTAACCCAATAAACATGTATCTTGTGATTTCTTACAACATCATTGCTTCATAAAATCATAGTGGGACTGTGATCATTTTATAGCTGTGACATCAGAATAACGGGTATTGGGTAACGAGATATAATTATTGTCATACGTCATCAAAACAATACACGGAGACCTACATCACGCAAATAACATTGATGGTTGTATCGTAAAAAACGTAAAAATAAATGAAACTGTCAGCTGGATTAAACCCTGCAAACGCCATTGCGAGGACACGCGCTGATCAGGGATTCCAGGCAGCGCGAGGGCTGCTAATGTTGAGCTGGCTGCCGACAGCACGTCGAAGAAGAAGCTTACGTTAGCGGTGTATTTTGTTTAAAAACACAAACAAACTATCAAGGCTAACACAAAAGGGATAAACAATGAAGCGGAGCGTTAGTAAGGCGTCATAATTCACTGTTAGCAACACATTGGAAATGATTTCTGTCAGATACACAGAATTCAATGAATCGGTCTGTCATGTGCGGCAAGAAGGCAGAAAGACCAGCCCGCCATGTTACGTCTGACTGCTGAATCCAAGGAAACCAACCGTAGTGTTTGGCTGTACTTACGTGAGATAACGGCCAGAATGTTTTGGAAAATCGTCTTCTCTTTTTCGGCGGAATTTTTAAAGAGTAGTGGGCACAACGATGAAAGAAAGAAAGAAGGCTGTTTTTGCCATATGTTTAGATGAAGGACGTGCGTCTGTTGAACTGCGTCTTCTCTATCGGCCGATGGGTGGAGAACTACTGGAGCCGAGCAGGGGAAGTCGAAAAGGTAATCAACGGCCTGGTGGGCGGGACCCGGCGTTCAGTTGAGCCAATGAGCTTTCGGCATTTTTTAGAACATACCAAATATGCATTTCCGAAAACCACACAGAACACTGTAGTTCTCTGACGTTACATAACCATAAAACTTTCCGTAAATGGCCTCTCGTTTCAGTCGAGCAGTTCAAGACCTCCTCTGCTCTTGTTTACATGACACAGTTTAAATACACATGTTGTACAAATCCAAGTGCCAGAATTTAATTATTCCCTACAAAACACCAACATCGCACAGTCCATCTGCAGCAATAAAAATACATGTTTTTGAAACTGTACTTGTGTCTCAGATAGTAGACTACTGTTTTTCCCCCCATACAAAAACTGGACAAAGGTGGGATCATAGACTGTATATACCATAGACTGTATATACTATGGACAACTTGGTTCCGCCTCCCGCCTGTATATGGATATGAAGCCAAAAAGCTCTCGGTATTTCCGGGATTTTTCTTCATTTCCTGAAACCAGCACTGCGCAGCAGCATTGTGCGCATTCACCGGGAGAGTCGCCGAGAGTCGCGGTGATGACGCTTGGCTAAAACGGCGTATCCCCCAGGTGAGCTACGCAATCCCTGAACACCAATAGGCCGTATCAGGTGTCAATCAAAGAAAACATGAACCCCCTAATAACTTTTAATAACGGAGCTTTACAGAAAAAAGAGGACTTGAGCACAAACCAGTCTTATTGTAACTACATGTCAACACCTCAAGCAGGGGGGAGAAAAATTTATGTTCTGTTTAATAAATTTCTGAAGTTTGTCCACAGCCCCATATGCTTTGCTGGCAGAGGCGGGATTTATGACCTATACTGCAGCCAGGCTCTAGAGGGTGCTGTTCTCGGAGTGGCTTCACCCAGCGAGGAGACAGACGGCGTCCATTCTATTTACAGTCTATGGGTGGGATGCACTTGTACAAACAGCAGTATTATACAAAAGTTTTAAAAATTAAAATTGGAAAAAGTAAAAATTGACAAAGAGTGAAATAAAATGAATATGAATACATTATAAAACCGACTCAAAGCTTGTAAATGGCTCCAAAGTTCATGCTATGCCACCCCGTTTTATAGGCTTATGCATGAAACCAAAATGTTTTGGTTTTGTATTTCCTAGAATTGCAGTTAAGGAACCTTACAAATATATTTCTCAGATCAGTCTTTGTAATTCATAGACTCCATTTAAGAAACCAGAAAATTGGCAATGCACTTAACAGGCCATACATAGCTTAACAAATCAATATTCAATAGCCAATTTTTATTTCCCATTCAGATATTTACATTTTTCTAATTTCATGTTTTTCAAAGTCTGTTTGGTAGCACAAAACGACCAGTCCAGCTTGTTTCCTCTTGATAGGAGCACTCAATATGTTTCATAAACATGTTAAAGATTTTTTTGAATAACTACAGCCTTCAGCACTGGAAAGTTTTGAGGTCACTGGGTCAAAAAGCCCTCTAACTGCACATGCTATCTCTTGCATGTAATTCCAACTTTCACAACCTTGCAGGACTCAGCTCTGAACTTTGCTGGAGACCGAATCGATTTGAAACAACGATGTGACAAATTTTCACAAGTAAAGCAAGCTTTCAATGAGTTCCTGGTCATGTCTCATGGAATTTGGGGGATTACAGTGGTTCAAGAGCTTATTGAATATTTTGTTGATTAGTCGTTAAGCCTTTGTCACACCCATTTAGCTCGATTTTAGCTGTGATAATTGAATGTTTCAGGCAGTCGAGTTCACTGGGAAGAATTGCATTTAGCTGATTTCATCACATTAAGCATGGTGGTCAGGAGTTTAGTGTGGCTTTGCCTGGATGACTGGTATGAGGAGCACAAAATCTCAGCCTGCAGCCACCTCAGTCGTATGACTTGGGTTGGTAAACTGGATCTCTGGTGCAACACATGCCATGACCTTTATCTGTGTTTCAGTAGCTGTCTGACTGTCCTATAGCTTTTTATGACAGGGACTCGAGGGACACTGTGTGCACAAAGAGTAATAAGAAGAGTCCCATGTGGACGCACTCTGATACTGATAACCTAAATACTCTCTGTGTTGGCCTTACTATGTTAAAAGACAAGTGACTGAATGTAATGTATGGCTTAATGTTGCATGATCATGAGCATTGCCATGAGGTGCTCCACATTTCTTTGAAATAGAGTAAATGTTGAAGCAGCTCCTAAATCCACGTGAAACTGTTGAGTGGAGGTTTATTTGTAAGGGGCCTGGATGTAATATGATTTCAGAGAAAGTGCTTCTTGAAACCATAAATCATTGAGAGATAAGTACCAAAACACGGTGTGCATAACAGCTTGTAACAAAGTAGTATTATGTCAATCATTAACATCCACATTCAATGATTCTGTCTCTGTTAGACCTGTGTGTTTGCAGAAAACTGATTTACAGATTATGAAACCATGACTGTAAAGTGAAGTATAGATCTAAGACAGTTTGACTAAAATTCTGGTCAATTTTCTGACAATGCCGAAGGAATGTGTAAAGCTGGGTAAGATATAGCATGTCTTTTAAGGTTCACATCAGGATCCTTGAAAGTAAGAGTTAATTTAATTTTTTGCCTCATCTCAGTTAAATGTTTTCCCTGTCCTTAGGAAGGAAATTTAATTTGTAGCCTGAAGCAACAGACACAAATAATTTGTGGCATAAATAAACAATTATCAATACACTCAGTTTTCCCACAAATTTATGAAAAATGAAATGAAAACATTTCCACAAAGTATAATGCAGTGTAAGTGATGTAAATATTGACCTGGCTGATACCCTTATGTGTGTTTGTGCTTGCAGATATAGCTTTACCTCTGTGTTAGAAAGAAGAAGAGGCAAAAGATTTACTAATTTTCATCCAGATTAAGATTCAACAACCCATTAGTTTGCCTGCTTTGTTAAAAGTGTTGCACAGTATACAATTTGTTCAAAATAGTCCTTTACACTCTTCACATCCTCAATAAGACCAAAGCAGCTAAAAACAGGTATTATAAAAGTGTTATATGATGACAACACCTGACGAATCTCTAAGTATTTACTCAAGGTATAGCCTATGGTTAGAAAACAGGTTCTGTATGTTTTTTTTTTTTTTCTTAGTGCTGAGAGAACCCGAATTACTGAGCAAAAATAAACATGCATGCTATATCAAACCTTCTAAATAAAGGAGACTGTTAATAAAATAAACAACAATTATGTTACTCAGTTTAAAGGAGTACCAAGTTTACTGAAGCCTCTGTTTCTAATGTAGTAGAAACATTTTACCAGAGGAGGTCAACACTGAGACTGTCACTGAGCTGCCAAAACTATTATCCGTGTTGCATTTAAGAACAATCTGAAATAATCTCGTTGGCTGAAAAACTTGAAGTAATGTTAGAAAATCAATTATATTGTACTTAAATAAATCAAATTACAAACCATACATGACTGTTATTCAAACAATACAATGCTCTAGTAGTGTGCCAACCAATTAGTAAATAAGATTATTGGATAACTATAAGCTTCATGAAAATCTGTTTAATTTTAAGGTCCTTTCTCATAATTTAGACTCATATTTCTGTATTGATAGCTTATTTACCAAAAAATGATTTTCATTTTTTATCCTTAAGTGAGCTTCATAAAAATAAGTTAAACATTTCAGGCCCAACTATGGAGGCTGGGGTTAGACTCAGACATAAGCCCACATTTTATTTGCTCTCATTTCACTTTCAGTAACAGACAAATACCCAATTCTTTCCTCCATCTTTACACCCATTTAATTAATTTAAACATTGATCAATTGCAAACCAGTCATTTCAGTATGTTCTACATTAACAAGAATCATTGAGAGTTCACACCTTTTGAACTTTCATTTGATTTTAACATTTTCACAGTTCCTTTTGTCTCACTGTTGGCTAAATTGGCTGCATTTGTATAGTATTCAAATGTTGCTGCTTGCTCAGTATGCAGGTATATTTTATCATTATCATTATTATTATTATTATTATTATTATTATTATTATTACTATTATTATCATTATGTTCAAGATCTTGGCATAAAACGTCCTAAAGTATTTATATTTTCAATCAGTATGAGGCTTTACAGTGGATCACTGAAACCAACGAGGGGCACTTGGTCACGTAAAGGCACCTTAATGCGCAGTAGATTTTGCGCATGCGCAGGCCTTCTAACCTGATCAGCTGACTGTGAGTGAGATGCACTGCTGAAGGACCGTTGAGTCAAAAACCTTTTATTATCTACGCTATGTGCGGGAGGCTGCGACTATCTAACTGAAAAACACAGTGTGGACCGAATATCGAGGCCTTTTAACAAACCGGTAAGTCCAGAAACACACCGATGAATGACGTCGTGACGGCGGAAGGCTGCGTTGCAAACAAGCTAGTGTCAGCAGCAGCAGCAGCAAGCTAACGTTAACACTGGATATATTCAGTCACTAACATATCAGATTCATTACTCTGCCTAATGCTAACCTTTAATCAGAGGGTCATTACTGAATTAAACCTAAAGTTGAACTGGTCTTAATCGTCACGTGATTCTAGAGGTGTTTCATTAGAGGATCGTAGAAGTATTTAGCATGTCCTTTACAGCTCCAAAACTGATCATATGACAGTCAATCAGCAGACAGGGAGACTTGTCTGTGTCCACTGTGCCCACTGATGTAATCAACCTGAGAGTGTGTATGTATGTGTACGTGCGTGTGCGTGTACGTGTAGTTTCCACATTTTTCTAAGGGAAAATGTGAAGAAGTTTTAGAGGCAAAAAGGGAACAAGCAGCTTAACGTTATGGCAATGGCTAGTTCCGGGACAATCATACCTTACATAGCAGTGTAAAAATAACTTTATCAAAGCAAAAGTAGAATCAGAATAGTTTGAATGATGTTAAAGTCATGTACTGTGAAAATTTGACCTTTACTTATTTATAATTTATAGTATCACGTTGTATTAAAGAGGAACTGAACTGATAAATTCACATAAAATGATCAATAAAATGTTTAAAAGAAGAACTGAACCAATAAATTTACATGAAATGATCATAAAACTGTATAAAAGAATTTAACTGATAAAATCACATAAAATGATCATTAAAATGTTTTAAGTGTCAAAAGTTTCCTAGTTAAATTTATATTAAGGCATGGTCTTTGTAAGATGATGTGATTTACAGCTAGCAACCATAATCATGTGATATTATGAAGAAAATAGACTTTTTTGCACCATGCCTAAAATGGAAAATTTAATACTGTATTAGCGCAGTATTTGGGTAAAGGTGAAGCTTAAAGTGGCTGTTTATTTCCCTAGTAATCCCATTATATGTGCAGAGTGAATCTGAAAGCTCTTACCAAGACACAATGACTTTATAAGGCATTTAATGTTTTGTTTTGTTTTTAATTGAAGGTGTTTTGCTTTTGATCAATCCTGTCAAATCAAAGTCCCTCATGTTATCAATGCAAAACGTTTAAACCCAGATGATCATGATACTGTCCACATCGTCTTAATACCTCTCCAAACTTCAAGGACATAGCCATAGATATAGAGATAGAGATTTTACTGTTTATTCGATCAAATATACATACAGGACAATTTTAGACAAGAAATTCACCTATTTTTGGAGATCAAAAAGGAGTAGGTAGAAGCTATCTAGCTCATTTGTACCTACTCTCAGTCCTTCCTATTCGTTGACCTTTTACATGTCTCTAGAATTTTAGGATTTCTTAAGTCGCCAAAAAGTAACCAAAGCTCCAAATTCTAACATTAGTAACAAATCATTAATACTGAGACAAGGACCTTAAATATACATATATACACTGATACCTATTTACACATATATACAAATCTCGAATCTCTCATTTGTACCATACCCGTATTCAATATAATAAGTGTGACAAAACGAAAATCACTGATATAAGTAATTTTCGATCATACTCTGCTTTAATTTACTTTACACTGTGCTTTTGTTTTGCTTTGTTTAATTTCATTCCACAGCATCACCCCCACAACAGAGAGACACATGCTTTTTAGAGTTGTACGAGCGCCTGGTTGTTTTAAAGATGAAAAACTAGGACAGCGTTTTTCCACAGCTGACAAATTTTTACTGTCTTAAGCACATTTATCCAATATACCCATCTTAAAAAAGCTTTTTCTTTCTTCATAATGCTCCTACAGCAACCTACTCAAATTAGAGGGCAGGTGAACAAACATCCTACAAGCAACCATGACAGAATTCTGGTTGATCTCTGCTCCGGGGGAGAAGACATGCCAGCAGACCTGGGACAAGCTGATGGTGGCGACCACACGAACCAACAACCTCTCTGTGAACAACAAGTTCAACATCCCTGATCTCAAGGTCACACACAGCAGTCATCTGCAGTTGTTGAAACAATCCTTACACACACGACACAGTTGGTAATATTTTGATTTTTTCCTCATTCAGGTTGGAACTCTAGATGTCTTAGTTGGTTTGTCAGATGAACTGGCTAAACTTGACACTTTTGTTGAAAGGTAAACTTTGAAATTACCACACATACTTTGTTTCTGTTTCACTTCAACCAGGAATATCCTTATTTCTTCTTATTTTTTATTATTCTTTGATTCGCTTGTGTTTCTTTGTGTTTCAGTGTGGTGAAGAAAGTGGCCCAGTACATGGCTGACGTCCTGGAAGACAGCCGAGACAAAGTCCAAGAGAACCTACTTGCTAATGGAGGTAATCACAACTAACATAGTCTTGAGTGTGATCACAGTAACTTCATAGATAGACATGACAGAGCACTGTGTGTTCATGTTTGCAATCATTACAAAATACTATTCAAAGCCCTTGGTGATCAATAATGACAGTTTCCTTGTTTATCCTTCTACAGTGGACTTGGTTACCTACATCACTAGATTTCAGTGGGACATGGCCAAATATCCGATCAAACAGTCGCTGAAAAACATCTCTGAGATCATCTCCAAGGTATGTCAGTGGAATTTCTGATATATCTCTGCTTATCAGTTCAAGTTTTATCGTAATCGGCAGCATTGTTCATTTTAGGATCACATTTGTTTGAGAGAGAAAAAAAATCCTCTTGGAATAACAAACACAAAAACAGCCCTGAGGCAACTTCTACAAAGTGACATATCACATAAAGATGCAACTACAATACATGTACCGATATGTTTAATACAGATAAGAAGAAATCTTTTGTGTTCATCCTCTTATATTTCGTTCCCAGCAAGCGACTCAGATAGACAACGACCTGAAGGCCAGAGCTTCAGCTTACAACAACCTGAAGGGAAACCTGCAGAACCTCGAGAGGAAGAATGCGTGAGTTACATGATGATTATCATCGTTACAATAGCTTTTAATCTTCTATTTAGCTGTACATGTCATCTGATAGGAGCGATGTCTAAAGCCAGATACAGGATCACCAGCAGCTTATGGACATGTTTGTAATAGACTTGTATTTTAGTGTTGGTTCTCTTCTAGATCAACAGATTATTAACAGTTTGGTTCAATCTGTACAGTACATCTAAAAATATACATTGTGTATCTGGACTTGAGTTGCACAAAATCTGAAGTATGTGTGTTGTCCTGTAGGGGGAGCTTGTTGACCAGGAGTCTGGCTGACATAGTGAAGAAAGAGGACTTTGTGCTGGACTCAGAGTACCTGATTACCATGCTGGTGGTTGTCCCAAAGTAAGTCCACCTTCATTGATATCAAAGGCGTCTGTGTAAAGAGGCATCAGTGGGATCTTACTCCATTCATACTCCACTGGGCCCGGCCAGTAGGGCCAGGTAGGGGTGCCCAAGGACACTTTGGCATGTGCACAATGGGGCCTGGAATTGACCTTCCAGTTGAGAGATGACCGACTCTACTTCTGAGGCACAGCCGCCCCTTCCAATAGCTTACTCAAAGACTTTTGAAAGAGTGGTATTATTTACTATGGTAGCTCCCTCATGTTATTGAATTTATGTCAGCTATGGAATTATATGAACACATGAAAGTAAGACTGCTCTTTTACTGCACTGTTGAGACACTGGAAGGATTTGGTTGAACTACTCTAACTACTTAAGGTTTATTTTGTTTCTGTTTTTACAATGTGCAAATTTAGCTCAGACTTTTGAATGAATGATACTATCATCAAGACTAAACCGATAAAAAAGAAGACGCTCTTAGATTAGAACAGACCACTGAATTTCATTACAAGCATATTGGTATTCCCCTCAAACTTTACTTCCATTTCCCTTTTTTCCCTCACCAGGACGGGTTATGCTGACTGGCAGAAGACGTATGAAACCCTGGCAGAGATGGTCGTGCCACGCTCCACCAAGTAAGAGCAAACAGATGATTCATTTGCCAAATCCTTGACTGATCAGCCTCAGGAAGAGGTCATGCAGTCTACTATATACTCTCAAATAACTTTACTAAAACATCTAGGGGCCTTTATATTCTGGGAACAGCTCTTCCTTAATTCTGGTTTAACTTCAAGCCTGATTGTTATGATCACCCTGTGAGACACAGTTAACTTTTTGACAATGGGGATGGATGATTTTAAGGTGTTATGTTCAAGGTGTTTGATTGACATGACTCAGCAGACTGTGTTCCTAGAGCAGATATGGAGCAATATCCTTCAATTGACTTAGAAACAGGAAACATCTTAAGGTAGAACAGCAATGTGAAGGGAGTTTCTCCTTGACTAAGACTGTTCTTGGATTGTTCCACTGATGTTGTGCACTGATATACAGAGGTAAAGCAGTCTATACCCTTTATCGTCCATGCTTTCAATGAAACAGCTATGAATTGTAATAGTAAGAGGTCTGGTCTGTAGTCAGCCATCTCAAATAAAGGTGGACGTAATGATGTAACACCAAAGTCTTTCTCAAAGTCTGTACAAGTTCTTCCACTACCAGAGAAGTCAAACTATTTCTCATGAGGAAACGTTTTTTTTCTCACTTTCTGCTCTTAGTGTTGTTGCACCACATGGTTAAAGTTGAATTTAAAATGCTGTGCTATTTATCAGAGTTGGAATACGCATTGAGATCATTTCCTGCATATTTCCTTGTCTGGTTGTGGTTGTTTTTAAAGTATGGGTCCTTGTGTGCTGATACATTTTGAATTTTTATAGTATCTCGGTGTGAGATACTTCTTAGTAACTGGGAAAACTAGCGGTGATCCTAATAAATAAACAAGTAAACTAAGCATTGTTTAGCTGACACAATAATGGCTGTTAAGTTGATTATTCAGTCTTGAACATATAAACCTATTTCTTTATGTTATCACGAATATTATTACTGTGTATATAATATAAGATGTATACTGGAGGAGCCTGAAGGTGAAAATAGGCTGTTTATATCTTTGAATAGAAACTTAAATGACAAAATAGGAGAAGGTTATTATTTTGTCAGACATTAGATGTGTGTTTTATCTTATATTAATGTTAATCTGTCTCTCTCCCTTCCAGGCTGTTGTTTGAAGACAATGACAGCGGTCTCTTCAGCGTGACTCTCTTCAGAAAGGCAATCGATGACTTCAAGCACAAGGCCAGAGAAAACAAGTAAACTATTTCATTAGAGATTTGAAATAATTTTACATTTTATTCTAAAAGCTGATGTGTAAACCTATCGAGCGTGAGCCTGAATTTACAGATGTATTCGTGAGAGTTCCACTTAGGCTGTGCCTAATATTGAGCCTTTATTATGGGTTGTTTTTAACCACACATTGTCTTTGCTTATCCATTATATTTATTTATTATCTCAGTTTTAGACCCTGAAGTAGGTGACCCATTTGTGGACAGAGGGACTCTCATGTTGTGCTCTAATAAAAACCGCAGTAAAATAGCAGACGCAATTTTGTCAACACTCGACAGTCTCTCTAATTAGCATTACTCATTGTGTGATTTCATTGTGTGTTTATGTATATGTGTTTTTGTATGTAGCCTGATTTTAAGAGAGCACTTCAGTGCGTGTGTATCTGTGCTCCTGTCTCTGATTGCTCGCTCTCTGCTGTGTGACCTGACCTCCTAGGTTTACAGTACGTGATTTCCAGTACAATGAGGAGGAGATGAAGGCGGACAAAGAGGAGATGACACGTTTGTCTACTGACAAGAAGAAACAGTTTGTATGCTGGCTGTTTTGTTTTACAAACAATACTACGGGCTGAGTAGAGGAGGGTTTATTTTTAACATTTAATTTGCATCATCTCCGTTTCGATAAAAGCTGAAAAAGGGAATTATTTGTCAATTATGAACCTCATTGTTGGGAACAAAATTATGAATGCTAGTTGAAAACATCACTGAGCATTAAAATTCTCCCTCTCTCTAATCAGGGGCCATTGGTACGATGGCTGAAAGTGAATTTCAGCGAGGCCTTCATCGCTTGGATTCATATAAAAGCTCTGCGTGTGTTTGTGGAATCAGTATTGAGGTGAGTGGGTCGATGCACTTTTTCCACTCTCAGATAAAAGCAAGCGGGGGGTTTCATGTCTCACCAATGACAGATGAAAGACGGCCTTACATATCTCTTGTGTGTCATAGATACGGGCTGCCAGTGAACTTCCAGGCTATGCTCCTGCAGCCGAACAAGAAGAACATGAAGAAGCTGAGGGAGGTGCTGTACGAACTGTACAAACACCTGGACAGCAGCGCTGCAATAATTGATGTGAGTATCTCTAACATAAACCCTCTAACCAGAGGAGTTTAACCCAGTTCTGTGACATTTAGAGGAAACGTGGGGGGCTGAGGTCTCCGATCATGACCCCCTAAGGGTTTAAGTTATTGACATCTTCTTGTTTGCTGTAGATTGGAAGGACTAAATCAACCTTTACTTCTGTTGCTTTTAGAAATGTGACAGATATCACCTCAGTTGCCTTAAATGTTTCAGACTATTAGTGTATAAAGTTTAGAAATAGTATGAAACGCATTGTAATAATAAACTAGAAAAGCACTCGGAGAGCACAGACCTCCGCCAAGCAGCTCATGTCCCCCCTTATATTGTGATTCACACCAAAAATTTTACTGTTACGTGTCTTTTATTAACGTTTATTTGTGTTTAAACTGGTATGTTCACTGTTCATAATGTTCCTAAAACAAGAAATGCACTGACGGGGACTCAAACCCAGAACCTTCTGGCTATGAGGTGACAGTGCTAACCACTACACCACTGTACCACCCATCTTCACCACTGTGCCGCCCATTGCTAATCTTTCAGCATTGAAAATTCCAACGACAGCCTTACTTTTGTGTGTTTGTTATGGATCACAGTATCCAGAATTTTGTCTGGATCACCACCAAAATTTAATGGGATCCTCCCGGGGCTGAGAAGCACCTCTGGTAAAAATTTCAGGTCAATCCGTCTGTTAGTTTCTCTGTAATATTGCTAACAGCCAAACAAACAAACAAACCAACGCTATCGAAAACATAACCTCCTTGGCGGATGTGAAAAATGGATACAAACAGCATCATATGTATTAAATTCTCGTCTTCTTGTGTCTCCGTAGGCCTCTATGGACATCCCTGGACTAAACCTAAGCCAGCAAGAGTACTACCCTTATGTTTACTACAAGATTGACTGCAACCTGCTGGACTTCAAAGTCTAACTACGTCGCCATCGTCGTCATCATCATCTCTGTGGAGTCGTGCGCTGATGTGACAGTTTCACACCCCCAAGCTTTAATTTATTTCCACTCCCACCTTGATTCCCACCTTTTGTGTTGCCCTGCTCTATTCCTGGTACATTCCTCGGTCCATGTTTATCAAGTTGTTTGGAATTTAAGTGCTCTCCGGTGATTTTTATTCATGTTAAATCGATCTAAGATGAGACTGTACGCTGTAATATACTCGATAAATATGGGCCCTTGTGTCTTCTTGTTTCCACCATGCTGTAAAAGTGAATTTATCCCCTGTTTACATCCATCAAATGGCTGACATTCCCTCATGGTATCCAAGGACATGCTCCAGCTTGAGTGTTGTTTTCTACTGTCACCACACTTAATTCAAAGCCACAAACGCAGTGACACATGGGGATAAATGGGGGGAAATAAATGTATGTTCAATATAGTATTTATTTAAAGCCTCTATAATCAGTGAATGTGTTTTTTTTTTGTTTGTTCAGTTCTTGAAAGTGCTGTGTTTTTAGCTCTGTGTAAGGAACGTCTGTTTACACGTAGATGTTGATCCCTCTGGCTATAATCCTGTGACACTCTAAGAAAAGTCATTTTACAGTATGAGGAAGAGGTTTGTTTGCTTAAAGTGTGCTCCTTTAATTTCTGTATATGAAGCAGTTTGAGGAAAATAATGATAGCTATATGTGCAAATACTGTATCGTCAGTATAAATGAAAATTTAACCACATATGTATAAATAAATGTGAAGAATAAAAACTCTATGTGAAATATACCTGAATTTTGCTTTTTGTTGCACAGCGAATTCTATTCACTGAGATTTCACAATTAAACACTAACTTTGCTAAAAAAGATTTTTTTTTTCTCTGTTTGTAGGGGACAGTGGGGTAAGATGAGCCGTTTTTCATATTTCAGATCTCTACATCAAGGTAATTATAGTTTTGTCTCTAACTAGTGCATCTGCATATATTTCAAGATGTGCATCCCTGCAAACCAACAGAATGAGTGTAAACATAACTGTCTTGATGGGTTTAGTTGACCATATGAGCGGGTTAAGTTGAGCACAACAACGTTTAACTGGTATTTCATTTCATTTCATATACTTTATTGTCCCCAGGAACAGTAACATTTACAGACGCACCACAGTCACAACCTGCCGCCATCACATTCAAACGGCCCTATTGCACAGTTCCAACGAAAGAAAATTCAATTTTTTTGGAGCTGAAATGTTTATTTCACTTACTACTTACTAAAAATAATAATAATAAAAAAATATATATAAAAAAATTAAATTGTCCTTCAAATTCAAAAAATACATTTATTTATCTTGTTTGATACATTAGATGTTTTTGGAGACTGATAAACCACAAGAGGACATTTTTATCATTTATTGGACTGTATTAATGTGTTTTTAGTAATTTGTTAATCATATTGATTTGATAGAAGTATCATAAAAGTATGTATGAAATAGGGTACAAAAGGCAATAAAGGGCTATGATTGAAAAATGTTTTTTTTTTTTTTTTAAATGTCTAACCCCTTCACCCATGTGCCTCCATGAATTGATGCCCATCTCCTAAATATTTGGTCACATGATCAATTTCTTTTACCATTTCTAAGCAACAGGGGGTGGCCCAACTTACCCTACTCTCCCCTATTTAAAAAAAACAGCCACCTCTAACTCAGAGTAACTTTCTTTTAAGTGTCTTTGTAAGAACAAACAACAACATTCAATGTGCTGCAAATTATTTTATTCAACCATATAGGCTCTGAACCTCATGGTATTCTTGGCAGGTGAGTTTTGTAATAATGATGATAGGTGCATACACATGATGACAATGATGATGATGGTGATGATGATGCCACTTACTGGAGTTGACTCTCCTCCCAGCCAACCAGCGGTCAGACTGGATGTCAGGCCGTAGCCCACTCCCCCACTCGCCCCTGGATGACGCACTTCTCTCCGGTGTGAGTTAACGCTGCTCAGCCGCTGTCTAAGCAGAGCAGCAGCACCACCACCACCATCCCTCAGCACCTCCACTGGCTGATGATAGAGATGGATGTGCGGATGGGGGCTGCAGTAGAGACCCACCCGGAAAAGATGCTGTGAGCCACACCGAGCCGTGTTCAGCCCGTGTTCCCGGCCGTTGATGATTTTTTTCTCCGATGGGTTGTGGAGGGAGTCGGGCGGACGCGATCATCGAGCCGAGGTACCATGAGAGCTGGACCAGAGAAACGGAATCGACGTGGCTTACAAATACGGACGTGGAGACCTCTCTGCCAGTGGCCAACAGTAAGAGCCTCGTCTGATTTACCTGAAAATGCATTCATCCTTTATAGCATAGACTGCTTTTCCTGTCAGATCGCCTACTAAACACAAGCTAGAACAAAAATCAAGGAATAGTAGGACTCACACACCAATCAAAACACAGCTGTTACCACCCTGAGATAGCAATCCAGCTAACATTGTCTTCATACTGGAGGAAACTAGCTCCAGAGTGAGCTATTCTTTCAAATGTTAAGCCTAGCCTGAATCTTTGGTCCACAGGTAAAGCTCTGGAGGCCAATCTGAGGGAGAAGAGGATGGTGAACACAGGCACCCAGTGTGGGAAGCAGGCCCTCACATCCACAGGCTCCAACCACCAGAGGAGACCCAGGAGATCCCTGACAGATGTAGGTAGCTCAGGTAGCAGATGTAGGCACATCCTACTGTTGAAGATGAACACTAACAGCATCTGTATTTGCATGTCAACAAATCATACCCATCATGTTAGGCAGCTCTGCAGAGTCATTATGAGCATGAAGAAAGCCCCGTTAAATGGCAGCTTACCATTTCTAATTATGCATAACCTGCTAGATCCCACTGAAGATGTTACACTTCACAAAAAAAGCAACATTAAAATCAGCAAAATAAAACAAAACTACAAGCAAGAATGTGTCCAGACTACTTGCATTGGGGCGGCCCAAATGGGGCAACAACTTTTGCTGGGGTGGCATTAAGTATGCGTGCATCCACAAAGAAAGAGAATTGATTTACTTCACTTTTTCTCTGTTTTTTTCCCCCTCAACCCTTATCGCTATATTGCTATATTTAACTATGAAACTACTAACAGCCTGCCACAAGCCAGTTGGTTTAAACCTGTTCTACCTCTGACGTGGCAAACAACCAGTCATAGTTAAAGACTTTTTGGCTTTAACAGAGGGTAGAGTAAACATATGACCATGATTTGGGCCAGTTGATTAAAATTTCACCTCCTAGTCTAAAAGTAGATTGTACAGAAAACAAAAACCTTTTATTTTCTGGGACAATAATCATGCATGCCTCATAATCTCAGGATAAACGTAATGCCTGATAAAGTATGTTGTATTATTTACACTGCCTCACAGTGACTTTGACACCCTGGAAACTGTGATTTACAAAAATGACACACTGGTAGATATATAATTTAAATGAGTATCAGTTAAATATGTAGATTTTGTAACGATAGACTTATATTTACATTAAATGCATCACAATATGCCAATTAAACATATCACATATATAAATTTATAAATGTGTTTTGATTCTCAAGATCTCAGCCTCCTCTACCATCCTTTTCCAACCATCTTTTTGTCCACGTTTTTATTCTGAGACCTAATTGCACAAAAGAAACCAAGAGCATATTTTGTTGTCTGTCCTGAATGCAAATGTAAGGGCTTTAAAATCAGTGACTGGCTGATAAGAAGAGACGAATGCCACTGCATGCACACTCTATCATGATTTATATTCATTTTGGAATCTGTTATGAGGGACTGAATTGCATATTTCAAATATAAAAATCACTATAATATGTAAATAAAAAATAGGATCTTTAGATGTTAGAAATTACATCTGTACTGTCCGGTTTTATCATACTTTTGGATGAGCTCTGTTGACTCCGCATACTTGTTTTCTGTTCTAAAAAAAGGATTTCACATTTGACTTTCTCCACAGCAGACCACTCGTGACTCCAAAAGGAGAGCATCGAAGGAGGCTGGTGGGTTGTCAAAGGACGGGCAAACTGTCAGTATTAACAGCAGTGGTGAAGCTGAACCAGGAAACACGTGCGATGAAAGATGAAGGACAAACCAGGGCTAAGTGAAGAAGATGAAGATGGATGGAGCTGCAAGCAGGGTCACCAGAAAACAGGGATGATGATCGAAGTAAAAGTGTGTGGTTGAAGTTTGCAAATGACTCTAAATCTCAGCGATTTACAACATAAGCACCTGCACATGTCTCCATCCAAAGACCTTGGGATGCTGCATTTTTGTTGTGCTATTGCAAATGCATGTGTGAAGCAGAAGAGTGGAGGTACAAACAGTGTTTGCGTTCTCCACCATGCTTTTCTCCACCATGCTTACGGTGCTGGTCAGGGAATGTGTCACTGTGTTGAGCTAATTTTACAAGAAAACTAGAACAGGCCATCTCATATGCACACGATAATCATAATCTGCACATCAAATGTTGTCTTTGCGGGGCCTTCCTAAAGATTTTGCTTCAATTCTTTGTGCAAATATATTCATTTTGTTGTGAATGAAAAACAGATGTCTGAAAGCCAATGATGAGGTAGTTGAACCTCAGTCAATGCTGTAAATGATCTTTCATTTAAAGACCCTGAAGTGCTGTGTAGAGGCTGCGATCTGGACGTTTTGAAGCTTGAGGGCTGATGTTGCTTCCAGCCTTCACAAGATGAAAAATACAAACACACCCGCATGTGCCTACAATTCATGTTGATCGTGACTGCTTCTGTTTTCAGTTTGACAGATTTTTTTTTTTTTACTGTGTTCAGAAATTTGTTGTCTCTAATTCTCTTAAATTTTCTCTTTTCTTATATGATGTGCTATTTGCGTTGCTTACACTGATCTGCATGTATTAACAATCTCAAATGGATTGAGCCTTGTCTCTGCCCAAACTTTAGCAAAAACAAGATATATGATATAAAATATTTTGCCTTTTTCAGAACGTGAAGATGAAAAGGTGTGTGATCACAAAGTGTAAACTAGACATTGAGATGTATAGCCAGCAGAGGGCGTTGTTTACCAGTTGGGATTTTACAAACTGAAGACCTCAGGAGGATTGCTAATGGCAACAGCAACCACTCTCAGAAAACCACTTAAAGGATGATTAAGTTACTTTTGCTGGAGTCTAATTAAAAGGCAATCTCTTGGAAGTGTGTCGTTTGTGAATTCAGAGTCCGGCCTCATGTTTCCCCCGCCTGTGATGACTGTTGCTTGCCCAGTTTCACTGATGCATTTAGAGTATAGCTTTGAAATGTTTGCAGGCAAACCTTTGTGATGGATTTTAATATACAGAAAACAATTTATTTTTTCTTCTTTCAATTGAAAATAGCGGACATCTCCTAAAGTTCTGAAATCCAAGCAGGAGTGATGTGAGAAGTATTGCATATTTTAGTATTTGCTACAACTAAATTAATGAACCTTTATCAACAGACCTTTACCTCCCCTGAAATTGTTTTTATTTTCTTATTTTTGTTCGGGTCAGTCATTTATTTCCAAAAAAATATATGTTTTCACTCTTGAAAGTGAATTTAGTCTGTCATAAGTTTTATTAGAATTGTGTTCAGACCAAAAAAGATAATTTTACATGTGTTTTATACACCAATTGTGGTATCAATGAGCTACAACATGAGGTCAAAAACCTCACATAAAAGTACACCATTTTAGTTTAGAGGGTTACGGGGTTAGGGTTAGGGTTAAAATCACTGTCCAGGACCTTTTTAGGAGCACATGTCAGACCTTTTGGAGTCAGTTAGTACAAAAAAAGGAAAAGTCATATATTCTTTTTTAGGTGTTAGGGCTTCCTTTGGGTAACACCGGGGTATTGGGTTACGGGTCCTATCCTCTAGGTAGAACTAATTAAGTCATAATAGTAGTTCTGGGGTAAGTTGAGCCATTTGGCCAGGGGTAAAATGAGCCAGGGATGGGGTGGTGGGTGGGTGGTGAGGTGGTAGGGATATGACTCAACTTACCCCACTCCTATGGTCAACTTACCCCATACACGGGGTAGCTTGACTATAGGAGACCACTTTTTGTTGGCATGCTATATTATCAAGACAGTTATGTTTACACTCATTCTGTTGGTTTGCAGGGATGCACAACATCCTGAAATATATGCAGATACACTAGTTAGAGACAAAACTATGATTGCCTTGATGTAGTGATCTGAAATATGAAAAATGGCTCATCTTACCCCACTCTCCCCTAATACTCATTTTAGGTCTTCTGCAGTTTATATCTTAGAGAATGACTCAGTTTTGTCTACTTCATTCTCCATTTAACACCAAAAATCTCACTTGAACATGTTATAATGTTCTGCTGATATTCACAAATATCTTTTTATTTTTTAAAATTCACACCAGTTTAACAAGGCACTTCTACTTGAAGCTCGTAGAGAACATAAACATAAAGATTTATTTATTATGTCTATGGTTGAGAAGACTGAACCGGCGGACATTAGGACCACGCGGAATCCTGCTGTCAGTGAGCAGTCGCCTAGAGCCGTTAGTGTACTTGGTTCACACACTGGAGATTAAACAGCTGATCGAGAGGGTAACGTTTGTCTGACTTCTCCGCATTTTCACCGACCAAACGTTCGTATTTTCGCTCTGTTATGGGAGTATAATGGTGTGATCATGGCCAAGCGACCGGGGACCGACGACGGGATGCTTACTTCGCCGACCATTCCCCGGGATTTCACCGTCGACATGAACAGCAGCGGGGATGTGAACATGGACAGCAGTGAAGGAGCCGTTGACGTCTCCCTGGAAGAGATCCTCACTCTGTACAGCCAGCCGATCAACGAGGAGCAGGCGTGGGCCGTGTGTTACCAATGTTGTAGGACTCTAGCGCAGTCACAGCGGAGGAAAAGCTCCAAATCCGCCGCTGGTGCCTCTGCTGCCGTCTACCCGAAGAGGATTGAGGGACCCGGGGATGTGAGGCTTTGGAGAGACGGGACTGTTAAACTACACTTTGAAGAAAGCACAGGTAAACCATTTGAGACCAGAAAGGTGTCTGGGTTACACTCAATCGTGGGTTTTGTTTGTATAAGTGCGCAGCTATGCGAGTGGCAGCCATGAATGGTTTTCCTCCACATCACTCTCAGGCCAAACCAATGGAGCATCCCTACAAAGAGGCCATATTGTTATTACTGTCTGCTCACAGCCATGTGGTGAATTTGTTTACACACGGACAATGCTTTTGAATAAAACACCACGAATTTCTGATTATGTGCTGGGAAATACAGACCAAGCAAACTATGAGCTATGATCAGTTGTAAACAAAGGGGCTTTGTTCTGAGACACACATATGCCCATCATCAGCATGCTTTACATTACCCTTGGATATAAACGGGTGTGTGCTGCAGAATGGCTGCTTTAGGTTTTTGCACTTGAAATTATGCTCCTGCAGTAAACAATGTACCATGTGATGCATTCAAGCTGCAGAGTATTTTGGGTCCAATCCAAAGCAAAGCATTAATATCAAGGATAATGTGCATAACAGCTCGGATGACTCAGCCCAAATGGTTCGTGTAGTTGCATGGAAGTGGAGGAACAGATTAACATGCAGGCACCTAGGGGGGAGATGGAAACACGAGTAATTTAGTTTGGTAAAAATAGCAAGGTGCAGACTTTCATCCACATGGGCTGAGAGGAATAACACCATTGAGCTCTGGACCACGAGGTCCTAAACCCAATATAGTTTGTTGCTGTTTGTTGCCTTTAATGCCTCCGTGAAATTGATGTATTTTAGCAAAAATGATTCATTTCTATCTCTTGAGTTAGATTTTTTTTGTAGGGTTTCACTCGCCTCTTCCGTAATTTGAGTACTTTTAAGGTTGCAACTTTTGTTTGTACTAAGAAGCACTATAAAGAGGTCATCACTGGTTTTTCACTGATTTCTGATGTCTTCACCACATGGAAGTAATCACCATTTTAACCTTGCTCCTGTGTTTTTGATTTTAAGTGCTTAAAAGAACCTCTTAAATTAGTTTTTTTGCATTAAGACTTTGACTTTGTCAGGAACCTCTATTTCAACAAAATAAAAAATTAAATTGACTAAATTATAAAATGTCTTATTAAAATGATGGCACTTGTGATGGAGTCGCTGTTGACCTGGTTAGATCAATATCTAATAATCAAAACTGAAATCATAAGTGCACTGTCAGGCACCACACTGACAGTCAGATCCTCTTCCGATCATGTGAGATTTTGGAAATTCTCATTTTTCCATGTTTTCCCCTGCACAAAAAACAACATCAGGCATGTCCAGACATGTGAGATCAATTCAGTATAAATGTTTGTATGAGGGGTATACTGACAAAGAAAGGCCCAGAGGCCCACTAAAAAAATTATTATAACTGATATTTTCATGGATATTGAAGCCTAACAAGGTAACCTAGAGATGAGAACCAAACTGGATGATAGAGAATTGTTTTTAGTGTAATTTGAAGTCGATTTAACCGACCCGTAACATGGTGCCTGCGTAGTAAAAGCTAACACAGGAGGAAGGTTAACCTAATCTACTAGACAACAGGTTATTTATCTGACCCATGATCAGGAACATGCTGTGTCTGTAGTATAGCAAATGATTCTAGTCAAAATTATTTGTAACTGCTTTTTTTAGTAGGGTCCAGTGTATGTTTTTTCCACCAAAAAACTCTGGTGGTCATTATAAATAAAGCTCAAAGTTTATAGGGTTGAGCTACTGGCAAAACAAACCATTAGTCTGTAATTGAAGGTTCAAGTGTTAACACTCAACACCAGATAGCAAAATGACTACACTAAAAAAACATGAAAACATGCATGTCCCAGCTGAGGAGATGCTTTTAAAATGCATTCCATTAATATGTAAGAGATGAAGCTGGGTGTGGGAGGAGAAGGTGTGGCTGTCAGCACAGCCTAAGGCAACAAGGTTAGGCCTGCTCTCCCTTGGGAACTTATTATCAAACATGTTTTTCTATAACCCTACGCCAGTTTTTGCCCCTGCAGTGCTGACTGATCTCTCCCTCTTTAGTCCAGGTCCCCTTCATCATACTGAATCAAGCAGCTGAGTTTGTTATGTGTGGGGGTATTGCAATCCCAGAATAAACACATTTAGCCAGTGGCGCTGCTGCGAGCGTTGGCACTGTCAAAAATGTAACGAACGTGATGATTGGATGCAGAGACTTTAGGAGTCTGAGAAGAGATGAGTGTGAGGATTATAGGGAGAGTCCTTTTCAGCTCCTCTGGCTACTGGCTGAGGTACTGTGGGGACAGCTTGGCCCTGTCCCGATTCTTCTCATTAGACCTGGCGATGAGAGAGACATGAGGCTCATTATTAAGCTCGGCGGCTCTGCGGCTACTTTAAGAGGTTCGACCCAAGTTTCCAAAAAGTTACTGCTTGTGCAACCCAGGCATGGCCCGCACATGAGTCAGTGGTAGGATTGCATGATTTAGCCAGCACCCACATCACTAACACTACGCTGGTGGCACTCTTCTCTTCGGATTGCTTCTTTTAAGATGCTGTCTACTCATAATCTGCTGCGGTGTTTTGCTAGCAAGAAAACCATAGCAAACAACAAGGAAGTGTGGTTTTTGTGATCCACGGAATAGAGACTGAATGGAGAATCAGGCTAATAAGCAGAAAGATGTTATTTTCGGCTGAATTAATGCAAGCTGCCTACTGCTTTTCCTGCTGCTGTCACATCGACTCCTGTGCAGCATGAAGAATATATTTGCACACACTGAATGTTGTTTGTAGAAGGAATGCTGCACCAAGATGAGACACTTGTTTACCCCGAGATCTTCAATGATTCATACCTACAGTGCAGCGCAGAGGAATTTGGTGCATGCAGTATTTTAAGTGAGAAGGTTAATTATTTAAGCCTGACGTATATATATGTGTGTCAATATCATGGACCTATTAGATTCATTGGCACATTAGGTGGATGATTTTCGAGGTTGAGAGATGCATAGATGCAGAAACAGTGCTTCGGGTGATTGAGAAGTTATCACTGTTTGGAAAACTTTGAGCACTGACAGCGGGAGAGGGACACAGTGTCAGAGCGGAGTTGGTCCCCACTGCTTGACAATGCAAATAATGAGAGATGATCTTTCATTAACAGCTTAATCTGTGCATAATCAACACAAAACAGCCTACTTTAATGCTGTGATTTGTATTAGTCTATCTCTATAGATGTCATTGATTGGGTTTGAGTAAGATTGGGCCTCTTCTGTGTTCATTTTCTGTTTAGGTCAGTAAGAGGCGCAGTGTAGAACTTGTGATAGACAGAGGTTGACATTTCTGTGAATAGGTTTGTCTGGGTGACTCTGAACACTGCTCCAAATATGTCCGCTCTGTGACTTAACCTACCCAAGGAGAAAAACAAGCGCCCCGGCCAAGCCGTCTCTCCTCGGCTGAGATAAACAGAGGACTCAGTGTTTCTCAGACAGGCATTGGTGGATGACTTTATTTTCTTTACTCGTCTGGTAACTAACAAACAAGAATGTCTCGTGAATGTTTTCATGACACACCACATGCAGCATAATCAAAGTATTCCCATTAATGGCAAATGACTACATGATTTCCTCTACTGATGGATTGAAACTGAAATAGCGATCACATCAGCAGTCAGAGAGATGACACATCTGGTCAGAGTGTCTAATTTATAGTCGCTGATCTGATGTAACTCTCTGGATTAGAGTTCAAGTCTGCATATTTATCAATGTGAACTTTAAACCCTGACGTTATACAGTCAGTGTTCACTAACGATCAGATCTTAAAGTTAAAGCTGATTTTCGTGTAACAAATATGCTGCTGTTGAATCAGAGAGTTTAAAACATCCAGTCAGGGAAAGAGACGTACGCTGTGTACTTTTAGGCTCTTGAGTAAAAATGTAGAAGTACAAGTGTGTTTGAAGAGAAGTCTTAAAAGAAGAGATAAGAGTGTCAAAGTTTGAGAGATTGCTCTGTCTGTTGTCTGATAGGGGGAAAGGGAAAGTACAGGTTGTGGGTGCGACCTGACGCAGTGATTAGTGAAAAAGTCATGATAAATATTCAATGTTTACATGCTGTAAAAATTAACAGGGAGCAATGAGTGGATGTTTTTCTCTCTTGGGTGTTAAAACTGTCATATCCAGTGGCAGGTCCTGACATCTCCATTTGCCTCAAGCAGCAGGAAGCGACTGCCAAGAAAACATAATAATTTATTTACTCGCTGGTTTTACGGTCTTCTTCGAGGTATCAAGCAATTGTACTTCTCATCTCTCCTACATTCTCAAGTTGAATATTTAATGTCCTGTAGCGCTGTGCGAGGTGTGATGTCTCTGTTCACGTTAAATATGTCTTCCCTAAGTGAACAGTACACACATAAATATTAAACAGGGTGTGAGGCTCTAACGATTGTCTGTTTTAAATAACCACAAGCACAATTGAAAGCTAACTACAGTATTTATGACTGTGAATAACCCTTTCTCTTTGTGTGTTTTGTCGTTACAGATAAATACGGATCGGCTCCCACGTCATTAGAGGTGAGTGTCATGCTGACTTTTCATACGCCATTACAAAAAAGTAACCTTATTATTGTGGTCTCCAGAATGAAGCACCTGCATTTATAAGAATACCTCAACTCAACCGAATCCAACAGCATGCATGACATCCCTCCACGTTTTCATCGCATAGGTTGAGCCCTGACCCGTGATGCTCTAAACATGACTAAGTGGGAGTGAGCTCTGCATAAGCAGTGCCCTTTATTCTCCGGTTGTTGTGCACGCTGCACTCCAATACTGAAGGGAGGGCACTTAAAAGAGAGCACATCTGTGTTCTCCTTCTCCTTTGATTCGTAAATGCATTACTTCCTTAACTATTCTACATCCCAAGGTTATCAACCAACCACGTGATGGGAACATGTGGTCAGTGCATGTTTGGTCAAGCATGGTTCATTGGATAATACTGGGAGGAGACGTCTCTTTAAAGCTGCGTTATGTGTGCACATATACGTACAGTAATTACACAGAGAGTCCTCTGTCAACTCTGAGCAGTCTGATGGGCTTTCATGTTTGCCTTGTTGCTCATGTGATCACAGGCATGCAGAGTTTGTGTGTGTTTTCTATGGCTCAGTGGGAAATAGAATTCCTTCGCCTCAGCTGACAGATCATGGATCAAATCTTCTGATGAAATCTCATGATTCAGGCGTGAGCCCACACCTCTTTACTACAACAAACAAGGTGTGGAGGCCCAGTTGGATTGGAAATACATAATGTCTTACACAACAGTTATTTTGAAAAGCTTAGGGTGACAATCCCCTAAATCCAGTGCGTCACTAAAGCTTGGGGACAAATATGTTAAGAATCGTGTGTATTTCTTTCTTTGAGTGTCATTGATTAGGAGCTTAAGCCCAAATCTGGTGGACTTGATTGCTTGTTTTTTCAATCAGTGGTATTGGCCAATGCTTTAAAACACAAATCAACTTCAATCCACTTTTTAAAAAACAAAACAAAACAAAACACGCACTTGAATTTAACACAGTCATGAATGCAAAATTGAAAAGAAGCAATGAGGACTGGGGAAATATCCCTCCCAGTCCACTTACTCACAGCTGTGTATAAAGTATAAACTAGCATATACCCATACCTGTACCTGTTAGCCTCAGCTGTACTCTTTGTGTAATACCTGCCGTGCTTTGTGTTGAGTGCTAATTGACAAATATTTGCATGCTAAATGCCAACAAAGGTTGAAGTCATAATAACCATTATATTCGCTAAATCAGTGGTTCTCAACTGGTGGTTCCCGACCCACAAGTGGGTCGCTGACACGTTCTGGATGGGTCACGAACAGCTGATCAAAAAAGTAAATATTTAATGCGATATTTATTAGATTTTTGATATTTTCTGTTTATGAAACTTCAGTAGTAGTAGTAGTAGTAAATAAATTTGCTTTGTTTGAATTCTATAAAAGTGGGTTGCGACTTATGGACCATGGGAAAATGTGGGTCCCAGAGTAAGACCAGTTGAGAACCACTGCTCTAAATGCTAGCGTAATAGCAATTATCAAAGCAATAGTATTCAACTCTAAGGCTACGTTGACACTGCAGGTTATGATGCAAAATTCGGATCAGATATTTGTCACACATGGTTAAAAAAATCGGAAATGACCTGCAGTGTGAACATAGCCTTAGTGAAACTGTTGCCAATTACAACCAGACAAGTTGAGGAGATAGCCAGCAAATCTGCAGGTAATAATGTCCAACCATGTAGGGGCAGGAAACATAATCTCGTGCTCTAAATCTGCCTAAAATTGAGTGAAATAGACTTTTATGCTTTCATGTGCCCTCAGATTTTAGCTGTTGATGTGTGTCCCTCATGTCATTTGTGTACTTGTTGTGTCTCAGTCCCTTGTGTAAGACAGTCGGACAGTCAGATTAGCCAGCGCATCTCCCTCTGCGTCTTTCGGCGGCGATCACAAGCTTGACCCACTTCCTCTAATTGACACCAGACAATCAGTGTCAGGATAATCTTCTTCAATATCAAACTCATGGGGATTTATTTTCATTAACGCTGGTCATGAGTGTCTTTTGTTCTTGTGGTGCTTCATTAGCTGTGTCATGACACTGAATGTTTTGGAATTTGAGCCGGACATGCACCTTTTGTTGTGACCCTCGCAACAAGCTTAACCTAGTTTATCCTGAGTTAAAGATTAGGGTTAGAGTACATGTAGTATCCTATTAAAGGTTCTTCAGTTTGCCAGGCTTGTCTAGGTCCTTTTTTTATCAGTTTTATAGTACAAGGTGAAGCCTTTAACTTTGAAATGGATCCGATTTCTGTAATAAACAAATGGCTGCAATCATACCTATTAAATTTCACATACCTTACTTTCTTTGATTCAAGATTAAGATCTGATCTTTATTAAACTCACTTATCCTTCTCCCAGATGGTTTAAGGTTAGATTTAATTGTTCGGCTTTGGCTCAGAACACTTGCGCATATTTTTACATCTTAACGGTGTACAGTAGTGGCTTCCAGGCTGCAGCTGGTTGAACAGGGGCTGCATGTGTCTGCATGTGAGAGGCGTGCCCCCTCCTTCCCCCCACCCCCCCACCCTTTTACCAGTCTGCAGGCTATGAGCTCTGTCTCTACAAAGACTGTCTCTTATGCTGTTACCGGTTGCACCCGAGCATCAGGGTGCACATTCTGAAAAGCAGAGGCTTATTTTTTCATGATGATTTCTGATATCTGCTTTAGACCTGATACTTCAGTTTGATCCCTGTATTTATGTACCCCTGACCTCATTGTCACATCCTGCTTTTATCCTGATCGATCAATTGATTTTTGTGACACAAGCACCTTTACATAAAAGCTCATATTACAACCTGGAAACTACATTACTGCTTATTTGGGGATATTTACAGCTAATCCAAAACCACAGGAACAGAGTTTATTGAGCGGTTTGAGCTATTTGAGTCAGTGAGGTCTATTTATATCTCTGTCCTTTTTTTCTGTTTCAGTCAAGCCTTGAGAGATACATTGAGTCACCACCTCAGTATGGCAGGTTTATAAAGTAATCAGCTGTTTTCACAGATATTTTCCAGTAAGCTGTGTGGGTTTGTGTAAAGAAACGGTGTTCAGAGCATTAAAGTGATCTTTTTTCCCTTCTCGGAGGATGTTTGGAGCATACATGCATGAACTTCTTTCTGCATAACTTTTAAAACTCTGACACCCAATCATGTCACTTTAAAGTTTTGGGTTAAATCTGAAAATGTAAGTCATTTCTAGAGTTTTTCACGTCTTAGCTTCTTGGCCTCTGTCAGCTTGACATGATGACACAGGATGTCAGTGATCAGTGATCGGCGTATAATCCGGAGGGACATTCCTGCGTCCTCAGCGGTTTCCAGCTGACCTCACGGATGAATGCAGACTCGACATTATCTGACCAGAGGAGACGTATGTGCATCATCAGGCTCTGTCCCACTGTGAACTATGCAAGTGATGCAGTAGACTGGAGGAAGCTCAGCATCCGCTCCTCTTGGTTTTGAGCTCAGTTGGTTATGCAACTGTCTGTGTTGTGATGGCTCTGCGCTCTCTCTGCTTAGGGCTGCTTGGCTGTCTGCTTTCTGGGCCGCAGCAGCAGCAACAGTGTAATCATGTTAAGCCAAAAATTCTGTCAGTGTAGTTGATGTAGTCTGCAAGAATACATCTGCTCCCCGATAAACAGCTCTCAGTCTCATTCAAACATGTCGTTTATTGGAAAAGCAAGGCTGGAAAAGCTGCTCGTCAGTTTTATAAAGAACACGGTGATCCTTTTAGTTAGCTTAAATCGAACACCAGACAATCAGAATATCAGAGTTCATTGATTATGTATTGGCTATCTAATGGATACCAAATTGACACGTGATATGATGTGACATTTGATGTTGGAAAATCCAGCAGTGTTTAAATTCCCCTATAAAAACTGTTCTCTGTGTGGAGTACTCAACAGCACAAAGACAAGTCAGACTTTTTCCCATCTCGTGTGTTTCTGTGGCTGTTATTGGTGCCCTTTAACACAAACAGCTCATTCTTTGCCCGTCTACGTAATGTTTGACTCACTCATGCTCCTCACTTTCTCCTTCTTGGACCAGTATAATTCTACTTTTTGCTGTTTGTAACCATTCAACCTGTAGTTTCTCATATTACTTTATCAAAGTTTATAACATTTAATCATTTTGTTTTTAATTTCCAAACATTCAATAAAGTAAAATTTAAGTAATTCCAGAAATTAAATGAAGTGAAATATCCAAGAAAAAGTCTGTGCTGCTTTACTTCCTCTAATCAGGATTAGATTAGGATTAATGAAGCGTCCCTCCTTTATTTCATTTATGTACTGTGTTAAAAGTCAGGATTTGTTCAGTGTGCAGTCAAATCATTTTCATCAGTCAAGTAAAAAATGACTTGAATTGTGTGAGTCATGTTTTTGAGACGGATAATATTGGAGCTATGTTGTAGAGGAAAATGATGAAGTCATAAATTTCACAAGAATTGAGAAACAAATGCCCAGTAATTAAGTCAAAGTTAAAAGTAAAAGTTGTTAATAAGTATGAAGCTGTGTATTTACAAGAGTACAGTAACAAATACATGTTGACGTTGACGAAATATTTCATCGTCATCGTCAATGAAAACAACACTGCAGAATATATGTTTAGCGTTTGACTGACGAAATGCTCATGAATTTTGCAACTCTGTTTGTCGTCCACCACTAACGTTTTCATCTAGTCTCGTCTCGTCAATGTAAACGCACATTCGTCTCGTCACATTTTAGTCATCTAAGACTTATGTTTAGCTCGTCAACGTCACGTCTTCGCTGTGGGAAAAAAAGGGGCGTTGACAAAAAAAAACACTGTCAGAGGAGCATTTGGCACTTAAGTGAGGAGCCTGGAGAACTTCTGGACCTCATACTTCAGTAAAGATTTTGTAAATAACTGAATGCACAACTTTTTCACTCATTGTTATACTCCAATCTTATTCTGAATATAGATTAACTATAGCCTGTAACTTTTTACTTTATATGAGATCACTGATCATGTAATGATGTCTTTCTTCTCATGAGATTAGGACTGTCCTCACTACTTTATTCTTGGTGGTTTATGATTTGGCCTCATTAGATGATAATCTGATTATTTTCATCCTTGTATCACCCTGGTAACATGAAATGCCTCTTCTTATGCAAGAACTTTTTACAATAATTAACTCTATTATCTACGTATTGTTAATTGCTATTACGTGATTTATTTGTGAGAATTTTAAAGTTTAACTTTGCTGCGAAACAACCTCTGGCTATGACGTACAACATTTAATATGAAGCGCAGCGTTCCCTGGAAAGACAAAGGTTACTCACAAACAAAAACATTCACCTCTTTGGTATTCGTCATCGGTTCTCAGGATGATGCCTCTGACTGTGGTTCTTCTTCAGTATGAAAAAGCTCATTGTTTTTAACAGAAGCCTGAAGTACTTTTCTACCTCGGGCACTGATTTCATACTGAAGTTTAGTGTTTGTCACTTGTTTTTGAGTATGAGAGCATCTGCGTCTTTAAGGAGGACAGCGTGAACTCAATGTATTTCTTCTAGAACGTTATCTAACGCTAGTTATTGTGATATTCATGTGTCAAACTGGTAGTAGGTTGGAAGCCTGTGTCAGTGATGTTAAAGCGATGTTCGTGAGTCATCTTGCTGCATTTCCTCAGAACTAAGCTTATAAAAATGTTCCTCTGTGTTACCTGTAGTTTGTCGCAGCACTAGGAACATATGCTTGTTTTATCCTTGGCGGTGTTCCACCTCACCCAGGGTGGGGCCTGATTTCAATCAGTGGTTTCCTAGCAAGTATTTCTGCCTGTGCCTAAAACTCAGTGAGGGGTTTTCAGTCTTTCTTTCCCATCACTTCATCAGCATACTTGTTCTCTCTCTTTCTTCCTTTTACCCTCCTACCACATGATCTTCCTCATTCCTCTGAGTCACAAGTCTTCAGAGGAAATTTGAATATGTTATCAGTAAACCAAGCCTCATTTTTCTCATCTTTGTTTCACCATCTTACTCAAACTCGTCGCTAAACTTCTTGGCGTTTTCCGATAGAAAGGGCCGAATGAAGTCGCTCCATTGAAGTTAAAGAGCTCACTTCTTTAATTGAATTGTTGGCAAGTGAGGCAAAGCTGCTATTATTTACGCTCCGGTGCACCCAAACCTTGGATAACTTAGTCAGATTATTTCACAGAGGGCTTTAATCAGTGATGCATTGAACAGTAAGCTGTTCCGTGCTCGAAACTGTCTAACACTTGGCTGGTAATTATTACACACTGTTATGTGTAAGCAGGAGAGGAAGTTTAAAACAATAACTGTCGGCCAAATGTCGAAATTTCCTACTTTTCAGGTGGAAATGTCACTTAATCCAAGACATGATATCGATTTCCATGCTTGGTTTATAGTTGTAAGTTTGCTAATGTGGTCCAGTGTAAAGCTCTGCCTCATGAAAGAAACCCCTTGTGCTGTTCATCTCTTTGCAGTTCAGAGTATCTCTCCCCACTACAGCGCATGTTGTCCTGCAGATGGATTATAAGGTTACATAACAAGACACTAAGGAATAGAGTATTTGTTTTAGCTCTGGTACAGGATTATCAGCCGCACTCAGAGATGGTGGATGGATCATAAAAGGACAACGCCACGAACTTGATAATTTTCCAGGGGTAAAAAAAAAAAGGGTTGTATTTAGAATAAAGTTTAATTGGAATAAATTTCAGTTTCCAAAGTAAACAGTAAAAAAAATCCTTCAAGAATCTCTTTGTTTATCCAAACATGAGGGCAGCATTTCTACTTTACAGCTATGGTATGATGTGTGTCTAATGATTTTCCTCGTCACCTGAAGCCAAACACACTCTGTAAACACCCATCCTTTCTGTCTGCTACACTCCCAGACACCTCTGCCAGGTGCTGCTCCCTGACACCTCACCCAAATTTGGCAGCCATGCCCAGCAACACCAGTTTTATTCACATCTACCTGTTATTTGATCAGGACACCTCCCTTTCTAAACAATGTGGCTCCTTTCTTTTCTGCTTAAGAACATACAGTGCCGTTAGCTGATTAGCTAATAATTTAACAAGGACATGTCATAATAGCTTGAGGTGTTTGTTGTTGTCGTTACCACAGATATCCCGCGCTTTAATGTTTTTCGAATGGCGTCCAATTTTTCTAGAAGGATCTGCTTGTAATAGTATCAGGGACCATTTTAGCGGATTAGCTTCGACAATGATGTGAAGTTAATTTTTGTTTATACCCCACTGTTCACTTTTAAGCTCTATTGTGCGGTGAAAAACGCTGAAATCTGTTGCAAATTGCAGACTTAGAGAAAATAAACCCACCATTACGAGTTATCTAATCGCATTGTGGCGTACAGGAATAGCCAGTGGTCACCATGAGGATTTTCACGTCAAATCCTGTTTAAAGCATGCAGAAATAGCACTCTCTTATAATAGATATTTTAGAAAGCAAGTTACAAGCCACCAGAAGGAGACTACAGTGGAGAATTGAAATAATCTAGATATGATTTAGATAAACTTAGTAAAGATAGTAAAAAGTCAAACATGTTTCATAGGGGTGGGAGAAAAAAAAGACTCACATAAGTATCAGGATTTTTTGTTTAACAATTTTTAAATCGATTTTTATGTTCAAAAACCTTTATTTTTTTTAAATATAAGAATAAATCTTAAAAACTGACTTATATACGATGTGTATTTTTGGGGGGAATATGGTTCCTTGAATAGTCAGTAGACAATCATAATCATTCAGCTGTTTCACTCGTGTTATAAAATGTAGGCTAAAGATAGAGAAAATCGTCAATATCGTAGATTCGCAATTTAAATTGACTCAGCATCCAAAAAATTATAGAAGAATCAAACCGGGAGAAAGGCATATCATCCCAGCCCTAATATTTCACATTTAAACAAAAACAGCAGCACACAGTACATCAAAATAAAAATGTTCATCTTGAGAGGACTGTCCCTTGTTATAGGCCTTGTTTCACATCCAGGAGAATCTGACTGGCTGATCTCAGTGCTCTAGCTGGAGTGTTAACACGTTGAAGTTCAGTAAAATGAGGTGGCGCCAGTCCACAAAGAATCTAAGACATGTATATTGATATATTAATGAGGCCATTGGAGAGAGAGTAGCACAGGTGTGAACCTCATGAAACTGTGGTTGGAGAGGAATCTTGCCACCCTCTGTCAGTGTGAATGCCAGATATCATTCTCTAATTGGGACGATGAGTGATGCACTTGAATGTTTTCTCTTGAGAGACACTAATTAAACCTGTCCTGGTTAAAATCAGCAGAGCCTACTTCAGCCATCCAACAAAGCTAAGAAATATAACAGGAGCCATCCAAAAGTGAAGCAGCTTTCAAGGCAAAACTTTGAATACATTGCTCTTGATAGCAATCCTTTTAGAGTGATGGTAGATGAGGACTTCCACAAGCTACTTGGATTGGTTTTGGGCAAAATGAGTTCAGAAATTTTGGAAATGAACTAAAAATCCATGATCATGTATCCTTAGTGTTGATAGCTGAAATTTCTTTTCACCCCTGAAGCTCTGATTGCAATCTTTCATCCTTTCTGATGCATATTTTCCTGTTTTCATAAAGACATGCACCAGCTTTTATCAGGTTTACTGTCCTGTGTAGAAATTTGTTCATTCTTCCATACGTTTATTCTACTGATAGATGTGGTTAGATTGAGCTGTCAGCAGACAATACGACACAGCAGAGCCTGCAGAGAAAGAACAGCTCAGTTCTGTTTGTTTGTTTGTTTTTGGCAGCTTTTGATGGCCTGTAACAAGCTGCTAAGGAAAAGAGACTGGTCACACTGCCTGTAAATAAAAGAAAGCAGTGTCTGAATGAAACCATCCCCAAGTTGTGGTAATAGTTACGCTGTTTAGAAGAACACTGTGGCCTAATTTCACTTTAGGTTTGTGGACAGGAGCTGTGGCGCTGTTGCTTCAGGTGATTTGTGTTTAAAGTCGTCTATCCAGCCAAGCCAGAAGGGCTCGGAGACTGGGTTTGTTTCACGAGGATGTGACGTTTATTTTACATCATCGGGGTCAGGACAATAATGGAGTCATTAGCCTGCCAGCTGATGACAGCATGATATTGGCACAAAGAAGGGCTAGTTTAGAAGTTATGAAGTGACAGAAAAATGTCTAATTATTCGACTTAAAGTGTAACTATCCTTCAGATAGAAACAGATTGATAAGCTTACTTTCACAGTAAGTTGTTCATGTTGTGTGAACCACCAGTAAAAACAAAAATTGGTCAAATTCTAACCTTTGGAGGAAGAAAAGAAAGTCTTTAAGCACTCAAAGGAAGCTTATATATTCTTTAATTTCCCCTTATTTCCTCTTGTTTGTGAAACCTCTCACATCCCTTTTTTTTCTTTTTGTGTCGCAGGTTATCGACTCTCTGGGCGTCATGATCTACAAAGCTCTGGACTATGGCCTCAAAGAAAACGAGGAGCGTGAACTCAGCCCGCCGCTGGAGCGCCTGATCGACATGATGACCAACATCCAGGAAACCGAGAGCGACTCGTGTCCCGACGAGGGCTACGAAGCCACAGAGGAGGAGGAGGATGAGCGCGAGGAGGAAGATGAGCTCGTCTGCGCTACCAGCACTTGTCCGGTCACAAGCGTTCGCAGCTATCGAGACCTCATCATGGTAGGTTCTTGAAAGAGGAGAATATTCTCGCACAGTTGTGGCGGAAAATAAAAAAAATTCTTTAGCTTTGATATAACCCTGGAGAAAATGAGAATAATGTGTAAGCTGTCCTTCGAAGTATTAAAGGGATATTCCGGCGTAAAATTAAGTTAGGGTCAAACACACTGTGACACCGAGTTAGTAACGACCGCACGATAGCAATACACAGAGCCACGCCCTCAACCAAAAAGCCACTCTTTAGCCACAAATAATGCTCAGAACAGCACCTAACTTCATCAACAGTACTCCATAGCACTAGCCACCAAACATCTTTTTAGCTTTACCTGATTTCTTTAGCAAAGAGACTAAACACAACTCACCTACTCTCTTCCAGCAGCCGCTTGTTTGTAGCGAGATGATGCTGATAATAAGACAGTTGTTTTAAAAGTATTTTAGCCATTTGATTCGATATTTTACATTCATCATGATGAAAATGACATTTTGCAACTGACAATGTTGAGCACACTTGTTTTTGCCACTTTCACACATTTTGCCATCATTCTGATCATCAACACTCTTTCATTGCTTAAGCTTAAAATGTTGCGCTTCTGGAGGCCATCCCCCCTGCAAACTCCCTAAGTATTTTCTGCCTATGAGGCTTGTAATTATAGCTGTGTAAACATGCTGGTGTCTGGAGAATAGGCTTAGAAACTTTCACAGCCTGCTCCGTACATATAATCACCCCAAAGTGTTACACAATTTGAGCTTTGTTAAATGTTGTGTGAGTCGAACCCGGCTCCTAATTCCTCCAACAATCACTTCCTTTGGTGTAAACTGCTGTCGTGACGCGGCCTGATTAGATAACTGCTGACCTCCTTCTTGACTCGTACTCTAGTGGTCTCTTGTGCAGACATAGGTGGGGTGGCTCAGGGTTCAGTGACAACACTATGCTGACAAAAGGTGACAGAACATGCCGACGAAGCTCCCAAACAAGGCAAGATGAGTTCGACAGGGAGCGGGTTTTCTCATGCTTTAGCGAAATGGAGCGAACCGAGGAGTGGCTCCATTGTTGTTAGCTCACTTTGATGTTAATTAATGTTCATTAAGTTGTCAGAAGATTTCACACAAGGGAGGCAATCAATTAAACAGCAAGTCTCCATCCCAATAAACTCTTATTTATTCTTGTCTGTGTAAAAGTAGACGAAGTGTGAAGCTTGCAGATCACTGTTATTAGTCAAAACAGTGGAAAACACTGATTTAGCTGGATTTGAAGGACATTCGTAAACACTCGCCATGCTCTGGTGTCATTTCACCTGACATTCCTCTTCTGAGAATGAGGAAGAAGGCACGCTCTGCTGAGTCAAACATGCCTGTGGTGAGCCAAGCCCAACATAAAGACAGCAAAAATGCCATTGGTCTGGTTTTGTCCTTTGTGTCCCTGGAGATAATTTGACTGTGATTGTATTGAAGAGCGCCTGCTGGAGTAGTGGATGAGCTGCTAAATACCTCATAGGTCAGAGCTTTAAATGGTGCTTCAGTGATGCTAGTCGGGCAATGTTGCTCATCAGGTTCATGTTGTTAAAAGTTTTGGTTTTGAAGTTTTATTTTTAGACACACCCTCATTCCGTGGATGATTGTCAATCAGATACACATGAAAAAGTGTGTTGAATATTAGAGGGGTGACTCACAGAATGATTCGATACACACAAAAATGATAATACCATGATACAGCAATTCTGTGGTAAATAACAAACACCAAGATAACATATGTAATGATACATCTGATTCACTGGAGAATATCAGATATGAGGTGAAGAGCAGGATTAATGTCTGGAGTGCCAACGCCACTGTGAGGAGTCATGATTAGAGATGCACCGATCCGTTTTTTCCCAATCCAATCCGATACGATATCTGGGCTGAATGTATCGGCCGATATCCGATACCATTCAATACTACTGTTGAATGAACAAACTGTACACCTTGCTCTTTGAGTGAAGGCATCAGGCTTGACATTAGCCTTGTCAAAAAAAAGTTAACAAATTAACACATATATCTATAGATAGACATGTGTTAAAAGAAAAATTTATCAAAACGAAATGAAGACTGGATCGGAACACTGGGTCGGCATCATTCATTCGATATCCGATCCAAATATCAGATCGGTGCATCCCTCGTCATGATAGGGAAACTGTTTTAAGCACAATTTAATAAAAATAAATAAATACTCAGCACAAGCCTTTCCATAATGTGTTGTACCCATCAGAGGGCTGTATCATATTGATAGTTTTTCCCACCTTTACTTGACATTTATGCTTCTCAGAGATTGAACGCTGCAGGCTATTGTGATCACCTAAAAGTTTTCTCTCTGCAGATCTTTTACTGTTTGTCTCAAAAAGTGTTGGTGAATTGCAATTTTATGTTTTATGGATGGTCATATTCTCCTGGGGCTGAACCATCTTGACTTTTGTCTCCATATTTTCATTCTATCTAGCCTAAAAATCCCACTAATATTTAAATTTGACCAAATAAATCCAAAACTTGTATTATTTATGTTTGCCTCAGCTGTATTTGATGTGCAGTTGTTATAAGAGCATGTTAGCATGCATGCACATTAGCTAAAGCGAGAAATGAAAAATGGTGTTCTTAAGAGACCAGCTTCTGTGGGAGGATTTGATTCGCTGCTGCGTCTGAGCTGTGGAGAGTCTAACCTGAAGTCAGTGATTTTAACAGATAAAAAAAGTCACCAGATTGTGCAAATTTCCAGCATGTTTACATTTTTTAAAAAGCAGTGCAGTAAATTCTTGCGGAAGTGTGGGTGTATGATTTTACATTTCTGGATGAGTCATTATTCTATATTTGTAAAATATAAACTGTGGGGGGTGGGGGGTTTGCCTCCTTCATTGAGCGTCTGTAGCTGGATGCGTCATCATTTCTTTATATACATATTTCAAAGATTCCTCTTCAAAGTCTTATCTTTGTATTCTCCATTTGTTTTATGAAATTTTTTTTATTTGCATTTCATCTTTAAGTACCACAGTATACAGTTCTTATACTTTATGTTCCTTCCTCTCCTGTACAGCTATGTTCGTCACACCTGCCCAGCCCATCAGACGCCCCCAACCATTACCAGGCCGTGTGTCGTGCTCTCTATGCAGAGGCAAGGGAGCTGCGCACCTTCCTGGAGAAGATCAAGAGTGCCAAAGAGGTAAGAAACTCCAGAGTGTGACATCTGTGAGCTTGTGCTAAATCTGGTGAGGGTAAGTCACGCTCAGTCTGAAACAAAAAACAACACCATCTGCTTGTGTACCTTCCAAAAAGTCAGAAGTTCGCTCGTCATTTTTATCCCAGACATTTGACTCATTAGCACACCTTTCATGTCACAACATGTGGGAAACTGGAGGTGATAATCATGGTGCGGATGTAAGAAAGCACCAATATCTCCTTCTCTTCAGTTTAGCTCTCTGGTGTTTTCCATTCCCAGCGTTAGAGTGCCCGTTGTCTCAACAGATCTTGATTCAGCCCAGTCAGTCCTCAAAGTGGTGCCCAGAAACAACACGAGAGCAATAGCTGATAGGCTGGGAGGGTTGAGAGTGAGACTGTGCGTATCCCTATCTGACCTCCCTGTCAGGGCAATTGAGAACTCAACATTGTTTTCGCTACTCGCATGACTTAACTCTGCACATGGACTTGATCCGGCATCCTGTTTTCATCCCTGTATATTAGCTTATTGGCAGATTTATTGCTCGGAGTGGACTGTTGGTGCTGGAGTAATTGAGTATGATAAATAAGAGGTTCCCTTAAGAGCGTGTGCATTAGAGAGCATGTTTAAGACCATTAACTGTCTGTTAACTGAGATGTTTTGTGGTTTGGATCAAAAAAATCATTAAATATTGAGACCAAAGAAAAGACAGAGGATGGAAGAAGTTAGGGCAAACCCTTTTATTACAAATCTCAGGATGTGTCTTTCATAATAAGTGAATATTTTGAGTTATAAAGGAGAGTGCATACAAGAAGCATCTACTTCATCAGAATCAGAATCAAAATGCCCTTTATCGTCATTATACTGGAGGTACAACCAGATAGGAGAGCTTCTCCATTTTCAGTGCAAACAAAAACAGGTACAGACTATATACAAGATAAAATCCTCTAGTGCAGGGTAAATAGTGCAATGAAAACTGTATACAAGAATAGGAAAGAGAGATAAATATTAAGAATAATGTATGTTTATATATAATATTGAGGTAGGATTCAAAATAGCAGCAGTGGCAGTAGTAAGTATATTACACCTGTTACTCATACTGAAGGCTGGGGATGTTTTCTACGGGAGTTCAAGGTGGTGATGGCTCTCGTGAATAAACTTCATAGATTTAAATATGATTTTTAAAATTATTTTGCCAAACCACTCTTTTAGATTCTACGATACAAACTGGGTCTAAACCAACACTTCAATATGTCGCCTTCCAAAAATGGGACTCAGCAGTCCCAAAATGGGCCCACTCATATAAAAAAACAGAGAGAAAATTGAGTGGTGAAATGATGAGCTCAATGACTGAATGTAAAAATCTTCCGCTGTTTTACTTTCCATTAAAGCTCCAGGAAATACTCCTACCTCATGGTTAATACCCAGAGGATGAGCTAAAATAGACACAAATAGAAACCTAACCAGTCTAACCTTACTGTTGTTGTCCTCAGTGTGTTTTGTTGAGTGTTTGTCAAGCTCTTCAGTGTTTTCTTTTTCTTTTTCTTTCATTTTATTGTTTTTGGCCAGAGTGGAAACAGGCTGAAAAAGCATCTTACTATGAACAGGCTGAGATGAACTGCACTGGCCTTCTTTCTGCAGATTCATGTGAAATTACACGGTCCTGATATCAGATTGGATCTGAGCTCTCTTCCTACCCTCTGATCTTTAAAGCAGCAGAGAAATAGCAGACACGAGTGCTGTGATTACCAATCCAATCTTTAAACGCAGTAAATATTAAAAGTGTTATTTCAGTTTGAAGTTGATGGGAAAGTCATTGCCCCACCCCTCCCATCGGCATCAAATGAAACTCTGGCGTTCATTCCGGCTCATGCTTGTGCTCCCTGATTGAGTTGAGGTTTAAAAGAAACACATGACCTGTCAGACTGCTTTAGCGTACAGTAAGTACACAATCATGCGCTAGGTGCTGGCTGTGACTTCTGCGGGAGGCATGATTCATACAAACAGTCTTATGTAATAAACGGTTATAGAATCAAGTTTAACCTTATTACAGCAATTTAAGGAGCTTACAGGAGGGGGACCAGGAGGCTTTAGGGGCCTTTTTTTACTTCCTGTAACAGTGTGTGACATGGGATATTTGCTAATAAGTAACCATACACAGTAACACACATGCTTCCAATGAGCCTTTCTTTTAGTTTTTTTTATGATGTTTTTCTCTCTTTATCGCAAGAATCTATCTGCATCTTCTTGTAGGATTCCCTGCCATCTGTACTGCCAGTCTACGAATAAACCGAAACTATCACTTGACAGGAAAGGTGTTGATTGGTGTCACAGCTGAGAATTAATTTTGACGCAGAAATGCTTTAAGAGAGAAGAAAATATAAATGAAATAATGGTCCAAAAAGCAGCTCACTGTTTCCAACCAAATAAACAGGTGTAATAAATTAATGTGTAGAAATATGTGTGTAACAGTATTAAAAAATCAATCTGTTCACTTCAAATCTGTGATTTGAGGTGTTGCTTTGGTTCATTCTCAGTAAACTCAACACGTTAAACTGATTTTCCTTTATCAGAAAATTGTAGATCATGTCTGAAGCAAACACTGACAGATTAGGCTGCTCAAATTTATTTATTTTTCTTATAACCTTTTAAATGAAAAGATAATATAATAGGAACAATCAGGATCTGGAGTTAGACCCTAATTAGAACCAAATGCAGGCAGCATCTCTGTTTTGCGAGTGAACTTCAGAGACCACATAGCAGTTTAAATATTCATGTTATGAACCCGTTGATGCCACTGTACTGAAACCAGTGTTTCAAGTGATGAACCTGCATGATGCCACTGTACTGAAACCAGTGTTTTAAGTGAAGCACTCCCGTTTTCTTTTATACTTTTAGTTCTCTGGTACCCCTCAGTTCTGTACCAAATGTATCTATAAATCTGTGACAAGACTAGTCGAATAGAGGAAATCTTTAAAAGATACAATACTGGAACAACACCCATAAATCAGTTAACCAGACTGTTTTTACAATATGGATACTTTGTGTGCTGTCAATACACAAGAGATCTTTTCCTCTTTCTTAATATTTGTCTGTTTTTCTGTCTAGAACCTGCGGAGGATGGAGGGCGAGACTCAAGAGGAACCAGCAAAAGACCTGGATGAGCTTCAAAATGCAGACTGGGTAAGAACTTTACTGAAGTGATTATAATCTGTTTGCATTTTTACTTATTTTAATTGCAAAAGTCATCATGTTTCATGTCTCTTTATTGGGTCCATATTAGGCGCGGTTCTGGGTGCAGGTGATGCGAGATTTGAGGGATGGCGTGAAGCTTAAGAAGGTTCAGGAGCGCCAGTACAACCCGCTGCCCACCGAGTACCAGCTCACGCCGTATGAGATGCTGATGGACGACATACGCTCCAAACGCTACAAGCTGCGGAAAGTCATGGTGGGAATTTCACTGCGCAAGCTAAAAAATCACAACAAGAACCTTTTTTTTGTTTCCTACACTTCTGCAGGCATAACTTTATTGCTTTCTGAACATCAGTCTCAGATATCTGTTTACTGTAGCCTGGACTGTGATTTAAGATGAGCTTTGTCCCGTGATTGTAGGTGAATGGAGACATCCCGCCGAGGTTAAAGAAGAGCGCTCATGAGATCATTCTGGAGTTCATCAGGTCACGACCACCCCTGAACCCTGTGAGTATCACACAGTGAGACGTCAGAAGATGTTGCATAATTCACTTATTTTTTAAAGTTATAGAAGAAAAACAACAGATTTAGTTCTGATTATTATCCATATCTAAAATGGAATTGAACTTCTGATGACAGTTACCATCTATGTGCAGTAATGTTTTACAGCCGTTACAGTAGTACAATGGTGTTCACAGTAAATGCCAAATATCTGGGTGTGAATGATGGGACACATTAAGTCGCGTACACGTGACTTGATGTGAGTTTGTGGCGTTGTCAACAACACAAACATGTGATTAAGAACAGAATAGTTTGATGATCTCATGCAGAACAAAATAGGCAATCCTGCTCGGGGAGATTTGATAGGGGAGTCTCACGATGGGTTTCTACGGTGATTGCAGTCAAGAGCTCACTTGTTTGGTCCTTTTGACAGGTTTCTGCCCGCAAACTGAAACCACAACGGCCGCGTCCTCCCAGCCTCCACGAGCGACTCCTGGAAGGCATCAAAGCCGAGAGGAAACTGAGGCCTGTCTCACCGGACATGATCCGACGACATCGCCTAGGTCAGCAGCTCACAGTTACACACGTTACCAATGTTTATACACACATATCATCATTCATCTTAACTGTCTAACAACATCTGAAGAAATCCTGTTTGTTTCCGATCATTTAAAGCATGGCTGTTTACTGACCGCATGAGCCAAACGTGTCCACTCAGGACAAAAACCATTAACCATGAGTCTGACATCTTAACTACATCTGTCATGATTACTCAAACAGCCCTGGTCCTGCATCGATCCATGCACTCCATCAAGTGTCGTAGTGTTTGAACAAGGATTGCTAACACTGTCGCTGTTCGATAGATCCGCTGAACTTACTGTTGCAGTGTCAGGAAATTGTTTAAGAAGATCTTCAGTGAGATTTTTTACTGTAACTACCTTTGGTATTTACTCATATTTTATGATTTTATTTAGGTTAGTATTTTCTTTTACTTAAAGCTCCTGTGAGGAGTTTTTTGGTTATAAAATAAGAATAAGAATTACTTTATTGTCATCTTGTCTCTAGACTGAAATAGAATCAGAATCAGAAGGGGTTTTATTGCCATTGTTGATGAACAGGATTCACAAACTAGGAATTCGTTTTGGCATGATGGTGCAACAATAAACACAGAGAAATATAAAATACTAGAATAAAAACTAATAAGAGCATGCAAGAAATATATAAAGTATAAAAGTATAAAAATATAAAAGTATAAATATAAATAGATGCTATGGCCTACAATAGCAAATTAGACAATCTCTATGAGGACTGATTATTTTAGTGTAGTTATTTTTTAAATCTGAATGTGCTGCTGAGGGGTAGATACCAGACAAAGTGGTTCACAGCACAGAAATCAGTGCATGAGGGTAGGTATCAGTGAAGATGCTGTGTAAAGAATTCAGAAATTCATACATTTGACTGTAAAAAGGTCAAAAGATGCTACTTCAGCCTGTGAAGGACAAGACAAGCAAGGGCGGCTTTGTCCTCAAAATTCATATTTAGCTAAAGTTCCTTATAGGAGCTTAAATTTTTGTCCATTCAGTCAGCATGTATCAGGAGTTTTTCTCAAAAGCTTAACCTTTTTGAATTTGGTATTTATTTTCACAAACAGACTGCATACATGCGGTATATAATCCTTCAGGTATGCTGTTGTTATATCCAGTTTAACCTTTAAATCAGATTAAACAGAAATGATTGTGTCAGTCTATTTACCATATGGTGCTTCTGTGCGGTGCGCTCAAGAAATCCTTTGTGAAGCGATTTATGAGGCTAACGTGAGGCAGGTGTTACATAAGCGTACTTGTCAGGGACTGCGGTGTCCACTGAAACTGTTCCAAGACTTTTATTTTATGAATATACAATTTACTTTTAATGAACTTTGATGATTCATTTAATTTGCAATCCATTTTAACTCCCATGGATTTCTTTTCTCCTTCTCCGTTTCTTTTTTTTCCCCCCTAAACATGGGCGATTCTGTCAGTCATGCGACCTCTTAGCATGTCTTACAGTTTTGACTCATCAGGTAAAGTTGCACGTCACCCTTTTTGTGTTCCTTTCGTTGTTCCTTGTGTTTCATTCCAGGCTATTTTAGGTCGAGCTTGTTGTTCGAGCACAAACACATGGACACACCCTGTGTTTTTTTTTTTTTCTTTATTTCATACTTGTGTTGTACAAAGTGTGTATGACACTCCTTTCACTCGCTGGTTGTTGTTTACACACACTTAACTGCAGCTGAGGAAAAGATGGGTTGACACAGTGCAAACTAATCTCTGTGGGTCTTAAGTTCTTTAAGGATTTTGCTGGAAGACGACGAAGTAAAAAAAAAGTACAACTCACAACAAGTCCTCTACATTTAATGAATGAGTTGGATGAATTATAAATAGTAGTTTCTTTAGGTATACTTTAGGGATGGCCATCAAGTCAAAGTGAGAGGGCTGAGATTACAGATCAGTGGCTTGTCCCTGCAGCCAGTTGGCCTCGCTTGTCACCCTAATCCGCTCTCACTGTGGAATATGAAAAGTTACATAACACCAGTGTCAGCAGCACTACCTCAGAGGAAGAGTTGAATGGCAGATGTCAGCCTGAATGCTGCATTTTCACAGAATGAACCGGGATAATCCAGACGGATGTACGGGACTAACATTTGCACTGTGGCTGCACTCACTGTTTTACTCCGCATCCCTGCCACTTCCTGTCACTTCCCTTTCATGTTGTGCTTTCCAGCTTCACATGTCTTAATAAACGCCACTTCTACGCAGCATCCTCACAGATCACATCTGGTCACACAGATGTTTGTCGCTCTCATGTCCCCCTCCCCGTGGTACCAGTCTGGTGTAAAGGATGGAAATGTTCGTTTTTTTTGCGGTTTTTCTGAAGGTTTTATTCCTTTAAATCCTTCACAGGTGCAGGGAAAAGCATCAGCACTCCTCAGGACTTGTTTCGCAGCACAGGTAAAACTCTCGAAAAGTGACATCTCACGGTTATTAAGCCAGCCTTTTTTCTTTTTTCTTTTGCTTTCTGGAACAAAACTCTTTTAAGAAGAGGCAATCTGTTACATAAGCGTATGTTTGAGGCCTATCTTGGTCACCATGTGGTTTGCGTACGCACACTCTCCACACCACGCATAACAAAACAAAGACACCCATAGTTTACACCAAGGATGTGATGGCCAGCTGTTAAGAAAGATAAGGAGAGAAGTCATGGGAATTCAGGATTTACTTGTAATACATGACTAACCAAAATGATATCCGCCCTCCCACAGACACCCCGGACGCACCAAGGAAGTTGGCCGTTAGCACCCAGTCTTTGGCCAGCGGCACCACAGGACCCAACCAAGCCGGAGTCCAGCCGCTGAGTCAGAGGAAGAGGCTGCTCCGAGCTCCCACACTGGCAGAGTTGGACAGCTCTGAGTCTGACGTAAGATGCCGCTCTTTGAATCATGATAGATTTATGAGCTGAAGTTATCTTTATGTGAAATCTTGCGGCAAGATTTATTGATGTTTTTACAACAATAACCTCAAACTCTGTTTATTTTATAGTTTTTTATTATAACCAAAGGCATCATTAATTTACATTCTCCATTAGCTAGAAAATACAGACTAATATTTACAGACATATAACTCACAGCTGCAGCATTCGAGTCATTTTAAAGTCCTGCAATTTTTCAACCAATTTCATGCTCTTATGAGACTTGATGTGTTTTGATTTGATAGGATGAACCCACACGGAGCAGCTCCAGTATGTCCACGTCTTTACTAGATGACACATCACCTGAATCTGTCATTGGAAAGAAAGGTAAGAGCTCATCTCAAACGTATTCTGCAGCTCATATTTAATCTAATTTTTTCTTCAGTTTCATTTCATATTAGTATTTACATGTCATGTCTATAATTTCTCGTCCGTTGTCTCCAGCTCCTCCAAAGTTCCTCCCCATCTCTGCCACCCCACAGCCAGACAAGCGTCAGTCTCCTCAGAGGAGACACTCCATTGAGAAGGAGACCCCCACCAGTGTCCGCCCCTTTGTGCCTCCATCCAGACAGAGCTCCAAGTCTTTGGTATGCACATCGTCCAGGAAATTTCTATTAGCTTATTCAGTAGACATCCCTGCTGTTTTTGTATCCAGCTTCTTTTTGCAACCCCATAGTAACTCCTCTTAAATATTGTTGCTCTCATCTGATCAGTTGAATGTGAATCACCCTGCAGCGCAAACGTGAATTGTAGCTTTAGCGAAATAGCAAATCACACACGTGGCCGTCCACAATTTTAATGAACTCTGACTAAATCTGTCGACAGCTGTGGAAAAACAATCATTTATTTGTTACATTTTCCGGTCCTGTGACTGGACATTTGTTTTCCATGAGGTCATTAGTTCGGTGAGCAGCTCTGTGCCGGTCGTATGATTCCAGTGAGATAGACGCAGCTAATTGAAACCACAGGACAGGCTGCTGTGTGAAGGGGATTTAGAGGTTCATTCTCACCACTCACTGGTCTGATAGTAGACCTCTGAGGCTAGACTAGGACCTCTACTTTCAGCCACCCTAAGTTCATCAAACAAGACGAAATCCTCTTTCTCAGTTATTTAGTTTATTTCAGTGTTTCTTCTTCTTCGTCTGTTATTCCTAATGTTGTTGATAAGAGCACATGTTCGAACACGCCTCGACCTCCACATAGATGGTTAGTGTTTAAATTTCCAGGAGGTTTAAAACAGTAAGATCTTTGTTGCAGATCCTCTGCAGCGCTCATATTCACATTACTGTCTCATTAAAATTCTTACTGTGGTCAGCTGTTTGATACTCAAGACTTAATTTATTTTCTATTTTATGTAATGCTGCAGATGAGGGCGGATCCCAGGCCTGAGGTAACCTTTCTTTAACTGCAACAGTCCCATTTATTTAGCATTTTGTACCTATTGAACAGAGGTAGAGAAATGTGGTGCTGGGTTGGGAAGAGAGAGACAGGAGTAGGACTTTCTGCAGGGGTGTGTAAAATGCAGGTCTGCAGCATCAGTGGGCCGCAGCTTTGATCGTTGGTGTCTGTAATAGAGCAGAAAAAATGCAATCATGAGATGAGACGACTGCCGTCTCTCCTCAGTGAACTACCCTCCTTTTGAGACGGAGGCCGTCAGATGATTTTTCTGTCATGGGATTTCCTGTTATGAAGTTCTGCTGTGATAGAATTAAAGTTCATTTCACATGTGAAATATATAAAAAAAAAGACTGGAGTAAATACTAAGAAAAGTTGAAGAATTTTTCCACAGCTTTTGAACTTCTCAGAATCTCCTCTGTCAGATGAATAAAGTTATATTAAAGTATTACTAATATAAGGGGCTGCCTCAGTTTGAATGTCCTGTTCCCTCTGTTTGCTGGTCAGGTGGGAGCTGCCAGCGGTGCTCAGGGCTCGGTATGTCACTGTCACTGCATGTCATCAAACCAAATAATCTCAGGCACAAAGTTGTGTGTGGGGAAGCTATCCTAAATATCATGTATGATATGAACAGGACCTCGTCTCAGAGGTTTTTGTGCAGCGTAAGATGGCTCAAGAGGGTTAAAAAAAGAAAACAAAGCTGAAGAACGATCCGTAAACATTTACAGCTGATCCCCTTAATGTCTTATCTAAGCTAACTCAAGGTAAATGATCGGTCAGGAAGTTTACTGAGTACATTTCCGAGCTTGTTAACAAATCTTCTGGCCATCAAAGCTTCTGCTTGCTAATTGGTTATGAGAAACTAAAGTTACAGTAAATAAAAAACAGTCCTAGTATAAGTTACAGGCAGGACAGAAACTTGTCCACAGTGAGCGATCTGACCTCCAAATTTAGAAATACAGTCACCTCTTGAAGCTGTTTTTGTTAGTTTGTAATTCAGACCTGTGGTCAAGAATAAACTCAATCCAATAATTGAATAAAGTCGAACGCTTCAGACCCCTATCGTGATGGGTGTGTCACGTGACTGGCATGTTCTGTGTTTCTGTTCACTATCATACAGTGGGGGCAGCTTAGAGGACTGGTGTTGTCATCTTTATCATCTCACTGCATGCTGGATTATTTGCCTAAGCGGTGTGCAATAGATGTTCTTGGTTTTGGCTGTATTATGTGGAACGTGGGTTTGTCCTCATGCACATGGTGTACATCTCATTAGCACCTGGAATGTCACTTGAAGTTGTTGTGTTCTTCTAGACTAACCATTTCCTAAACCTGCATATTTAAAGCTAATTTGATTTCTAATATAACTTGTATTTTTCTTTTTTCCACCAGGAGGAGTTTTGTTATCCGGTGGAGTGTCTCGCTCTGACCGTGGAGGAGGTCATGCACATCAGGCAGGTTCTGGTCAAGGCAGAGCTGGAGAAGTTCCAGCAGTACAAAGATATCTACACAGCCCTGAAGAAAGGAAAGGTAAACACCACCTGTGGAGTTTTTCCTCCTCAGAGTGATCTCTGTTTTTGTGCTCTAAATCAACACAGTCTTGGTACCTTTTTCATCTCACTCCATTCTTCGCCCTCTAGCTTTGCTTTTCATGTCGGACCAAGAAGTTCTCCTTCTTCACCTGGAGCTACACCTGCCAGTTCTGCAAAAGGTAAACGAACAATAAAGCCTCAAAGAGGACTGCTTTCCAGTTTCCCCTAGGATAGATAGAAGTATTCTGATTCTGATTTAGACTTGTAAACAGTGTAAGACTTTTTGTTGTTCCCCAAGTGATTTTACTTGACTAAGTGTAATTTGAGCCAGTAAGCTACAAGCATAAGAATGAAAAAACCTCTTTTGCCTCTCCTCAGTTCTTTTCCTGAACAGTTATGTAATGAACTAGCAGCTGACAGGATAAACTGTCTGAAGGCAAATTGCAGAGTGTATTAAAGGTGGGGCAGGCAGGATCTGAGGACGTTCCTGTTTTTTGGAGAAATCTTGAATGTAAACTCTACCCCTCCCAACCAGTTTTCCCCTCAGCTCCTCCTCTCCCCTCCCTCTCTGCTCAAGCAAGCCCCGCCCACAAACAGACGCTTCTGCTCGCTCGTATCATTTCAATTAAATTCAGATATAGTGCAGATAAATCCTTCAGATAATTACAAATGCGGCCCAGTCAACGTGAAAGTAAAAAGCGTTGGTGCTACTGTAGATGCCAACAGACTACCAGCAAACACAGTGTCACTTTATCCTACTTCTACAACTAGGATAAAGTGACATACTCCAGGACCCGAGGTCAACAGTTTAGCGCCACAGTCAGAAAGAGCGGGCCGCTCCAAAAATTTAAAATGTTGACTACACAGACACAACAAAACAGCGATAGTGTTATATTACCAAATGTCATCAATAACTTCTAGCTATTGACAGATATTAAAAGGTTATTTGTATATACACCACAAAAAAAGATGCTTCTTTAACGGATTCCTGCCTATCAACCTTTTGAGTTTTTTTTATTACATGGAATTAAAGTTTGATGATGATGGTTCGTCTCTGCAGTTACTTATCATGAAGGGATTACAGCTGTTAAAGGGGTTCAGTGATGAGTCTGTGAAGTACTGGTAACATCTGTTCAGCAGTGTTTGATTCATATTTCTTCTCCTCTCCAGGCCTGTGTGCTCTCAGTGCTCTAAAAAGGTAAGATGTAGTTTTTGTTTAACAAACCCTAAAGCTCTCACTCCTGTTGAATGCTCCATTTGTTGTGAGAACAATCTGTCTTTACCAGTTTTCTGTTGTTTATTCGTAGATGCGTCTACCGTCAAAGCCCTACTCCACCCTGCCTATCTATTCTTTGGGTCCAAGCTCTGTAGCTAAAGAAGAGGCGAGTGGAGCGTCTGCCCCTGCTGATCCAGAAAAGAACCCGTTTGGATCTGGAGAGAACAGACACAGTCTGCGCAAGAGCGTTTACAAGTATGTTGCTGCTCGTGTTTTATTTTATAAATGAAGCAAAGATGTTAACGTTTATATTTTTTATCAATTCTCAATCATTTCTTTTTGTGATCTAAGGTTTTCTAAGCACAGCAGCAAAGATGCCCGCTCACAGGATGAGCCCGAGCTGCCCAAGGAGCTGACAGAGGACTGGGTCACCATGGAGATCTGCGTTGACTGCAAAAAGTTCATCACAGAGATCATCTCCTCCAGCAAGCGCAGCCTGTGCGTCGCCACCAAGAGGGCCCGTCTCAACCGGAACCGTAAAACCCAATCTTTCTACATGTCCTCGTCCAACTCGGTGAACTTCAGGCCGACAGAACGCACCATCAGTGAAGTGTAGAAACTTACACCTCCTTGTGCACTCTTGTTCATGCCTAGAGCTAAGTCGTCCAATAAAACAAAGCCCCCGTCTAGGTGTAGATTTTACATGGATTGGTTCTTAAGCCAGTCCACCCTGCCCCAAAGCTAGTAAAGGATCTCGTACCTTACCCTGTCTCAGGAAAAGTCGGCACGCTATGATTGGTCATGACTGGTCAGGGCAGTAGCTGACAAACTACTAAGGAGAGCCATGTTTGTTCAAGTCTGACAGGACGCGCTGGGTCACATGGATAATTCAAGTCTAGGATGTTGTATTTGGTCAAAACTCATATGGTGGCCATTTTCTTTTGACCTCACTGGGTGGGAGCCTCAATGCTGATATGTTTTACTGCTATTTTAAGGATATGAACTGTATAGATTTCAGATTTTTAAAAAATATTATCAGTTTTTTTGCTTCTAAATTGACAAGACACTTCAATCTGGAGGGACACTTGCTCATATCTCAGGATAAAAGAATGTATACGATAACTTAGGGACGCCTGCAAGACAGCTAGTGCTAGCATTTAAGCACATGTAGATTTGCCAACATGATATCAGCTTGCGTGTATGTTAACTAGTTATACTGTATATCCCAAGCTAACATACAAGTACATGGGCAAACTTGCTAAAGACTTGTCCTGTTGGACTTGCTTGAATGCTAGGATTAGCTGATGTTTAAGGTAAGCAATGAGTGCTAGCCCTAACTAATATCATCGATTACTTGTTAATATAGTCGGTTTTTCCTTTTCCATTTGCTGCTGTTACTCTTCAGTTCAGTTCCTCATTTATCAAAAAGCGATTAAATGATCCGAATTGAAAAACAAGTGCCCTGCTTTGATATGACTCTAAAACTGGAATACAGTTATGAGCTACTATGACAGCATTTGAGCCTCCTGAGAAAATGGCCCTCGAGTAAATAGATGTAATGTTGGAAAAGTGCGTATGTTTGACAGAAGGGTTAGATCAGATGGAGTAAAAAGCTGAAAGCTGCAGTGATAAGCGTGTAAATAGTTCAAAAACCCAGCCCTAATCCAGTTTTCCAGCTCCTGTTAACTTCTAGCACTCAGGATAAATGACAGATTGTCTATGGACAGAAAATGCACTGTAGATCCTGCTGTCAGGTCTGTTGGGGTAGATCTCTACCACTCCCTGGCCCCGGTCGTCTTCTTCCAGTAACAATTATGCCAAATTTTACATCATTCGTTTTTCTAGTAAGTTAAATACATGCACACTGTTCTCTCATCATGCTGTAGGGACGGAGTGAGATTATTTTTGTGGGTGGGTATTTAGTTTTTAATGTACATGCGATTCTGTGCCTGGTGCCAAAATGTAATTCTTTCTTTGAATGCCTTTTGTAGTTGCGGACCTACTGTACATATGTGTCATAAACTCAATGGGGGACGTTTTTGAGGTAATCCAAGGTTTGGGTGTCTTGTCCTCTCATGTTCGAAGGCGAGCAGTAGAAGCACAGAAATGTAGGGTTACCAGTGTGTACATGCTGTATATCTTAACTGTTCCAAATTTAATATAAGAAGAACTGAACTATGTATGATTATGATTTAACCTTGTTCAAAGATTTCTGCCTCTGGAGTTTCTTCATCTGAAACATTCATTATAATGTTATTATGTTTGTGTCATCAAAAAAGAGTTTATTTCTATTGTATAGTTTATAAATTCCTCAGTGTTAAAATACTCCCCTTAAAAATAGCACTTTTATTTGAACAATTTGTTTATGTTGGGTTTATTGTCTTAATTATTAACAATAATGATTAAATTCTGTTTTTCATCTCTTGGGGGTCCATTGTGCCATTTCCCAGGGTTGGTCATGAATGACAGTTTGTGTGAATGGTTGTTTGTAAGAGAGAAATTACGGTTGAAACAAAGCACTCTGTTAAATTGAATGTAGGCATGTGAAGGGATAACTGTCATTGAATATGTTGTTTAGTGACAGTTGTATCCAAATGAACAAGATAGAGAAGGTTAAACACGATGCCATATTCTAGAAAAAACATCCATGTGTTTTATTTCAGACCTCTGTATGGAATGTATGCATGCTGTACTGTGGTCTGTTTTTATCAAGGAAATTCTAATAAAATCCTCATGATTCTCACTAACGACCCCTCATTCTTTCACTGAAGCTGCTTTTCAGTGAGTGCACAGCATTCTCAAACACAAACAGCAGAGGGCGGTAGAAGTCAGTGAAGGGAAATCTCCCTGAGGTACTTGACACCGCTCAGTGGTCTTCGTGACATCAGGTGGTCGGAGGTGTGAACTGCAGTCGTGAAACTGTCTTATTCAGGACGAGTCGAATTGTATGAGATTAAATGACATACAAAAGGGTTAATTCTTACAGTCATTTTCATTTGAGAAAATCTGAAGTTATAAATTCAATCACCTAATTTTAAAAAACCTTACAGGGTTCCTACACTGTTGGAATTTCCATACCCTACTTTTTAGAATAACTTTTGGAAATACCTACTTTTTCATTTTAGAAAACAGTATTTTAGAAGTGTGGTAATAGTCTGAAAATATAAATATTTTTCCATACTTTATTTTTCATTTTTTCATACTTTTTAAGACCTGGAAATTGATCAAATTTATTTCCATACTTGTGTAGGAACCCTACTTAAAAAATCATCATTAAAATCTTTACTTCATTGCAGCGTTGTTTTATCTAACTTTGAAGAATTAAGTGAAACTGTCATGAGTACTAACGCACATATACATGCATTTTTTTAAAATCTAAATCATTGTCTAGATAAAAAAAAATCCTTTTGAAAAACACTTGTCATCATTGATGTCATCATCAAAATTATTTTAGTTTTTTTTTAGGTTTTAGTAATTTGCAAATCAATCAAATCAAATTCTCTTATTATTACACAGCATCTTGACATTTTTTAATTAGGACTGTAAATATTCTAGACAAAGACAATGATTGATTTTCATTATATTTAGGATCACAGTTTTTCACTGTAAGGCTATACACAGTGCCTAAGATCACACAGATTGTTACATTCATGCTAGAAAAGAGCTATATCACTGACCATCACTTTTTTCCCCCAAATAATAGTAAATTATAACATTAGTGGCGGCATTCATGCTCTTCATATAAATGTTTTCGCCCACCTAGCACAATTGCAGTGAATTAATATACTCATAGAGTGGACTGTGAATGAAATGCTATCCCTGGATGGGTTAGTAACAGACACTGAAAATAACCTGCCGGGCCCTAGACTCCCTGAAGGGTGACCCTCACACGCTGGTTTCTATGGAAAGACAGCCAGCAAACACAAAGTCAATAAACAGTCTCAACAGGCTGAGTATTTAGCAGCAGCTCAATAAAAGGATTCACTGGCTGTTCTGAAATGCTGGTCTGACTAAACGAATGGAGCAGATGACATCTGACTCAGCTGATGGCAAATTGCTCTGACTGCTCCTTGTCTTGGGTGAAAAGCATATAGAGTCTGGACATTCAGTTGTATATTCTGTGTGAACAGACAGACACACACACACCAGGGATTACCAAGAAGCAAGTAATCTCTATAAACAGATTGTACAGTGAAGATATGGTGTTGAAAGCATTTTAGCTTTTCATTCACAGTCTAAGTGGTTTTATCCAGTACAAAATTATGTCATTTATTCAATTAAACTCCAACTCAAATGTGCACAGTCATAGGAAGCCATTTTCCTTTATCATCATACTCACAGTGGAAAGCTCAAATGCTATAAATGAGTCTGCAGTCAGGATAAATCTAAACTAAAGGAATAATTGATGAATCCCTGCACACCCTGAGGCATATCTGATCCCACATCTATTTCCGTAAGCAAACCAGCGGTCTGCTCACCACATAAACAGTTAGCCTTTCAGGGGACTGAGTAACACAATATTTATCCTACATATGAGGCTCCTTTAGCCAGATGATCTTCCAAGAATGTGGCCCAATAAGGTGGAGGGTGACACATGTGAGTCATACAGGAGCTAAGGCACACTTGGATAAACTGTTTTCATTGTCTGTCACACGTTTCTGTATCAACAATGTTACTTTAAAATAGAGACACATTTAAATCTACATCACATTCAAACAATGGCAGTGCAGGCTCAAATAAGACTGTGGTCATGTAATAATAGTAACAGTCAGAGAAGTACATAAATCCAAATTTTGTTTTATAAACCAAACAGGAAGAGAAATATTTAAAATAAAGCATAAGTGCAGTAGAAAACAAAGTAAAAAACAGAAAAAGAGGGGAACAGAGAGGGAGTTTTGTTGTGTAATGAGTAATAACAGACACTTCTCTTTCAGTGTCATGCTAAAGGAAAGAAGCCGAATACTCTTCAAATGTTTTTCAGTTTTTTGGTGATGATCTACTCTGACCTATCTCCATTTGACTATTTCCACATTAAAGGCACCATGAGGAGTTTTGAAGCGGTTAAGAAAACTCACCAGAATTGATACTGATGCCTCTTTATGTCCTTCAAAAGCAAACATGACCGTCAGCAGGATTGATAGTAGGCTGAACAAGTTCCTTTTTTCTTCGCTTTTTACAGAGCAAATACAAACAGTGGTTGAAAAACTTCACAGATATAAGACAACTGAATTAGGTTGAAGTCTGAAAGCACTACTTTTCTATGTACAGGACAACAGATAAAAGATGTTCTCTTGTCCAAATGGGGTGCCGGTAAAAACATGGACTAAAAAATCCTCAAAGCACCTTTAACAAATAGCTGTAATGACAAAATTTATGTGCAAATCTGGGTAGTTTTGACTACATTTGTTTGGAATGAAAACAAAATATTCTCAGTGACTGATGCTAGCATCCAACCATTTAAAAAAATGTTTTGGTTGCTAGGATACAAAATTGAAGGTAACAGTGTTCAGTATGCCCTTTTTTTTACATATCATGTCGACAACCAGCCAACTATAACATTGACTTTTAGAAAATACCAGACCACCTGTGACGTTATCAGGCTGGTGTTTGGTGGTTAATGCCATTTTCTGATATATGAATTTATTAAACTTTGTTTTAGCAGTAAATAAGGTAAACATCCCTCTGGATTTTTTTGTTTTTATCTTAAATAATTTTAGTTTATTAGATACCCTAAATAGGCCAAAGAACCTGGTAATGCGGTTATTTGAAAAAGAAACAGCATCTATGCATCTAACCTTCAGCATGACCTTGTGGGAAAATAGAAGCTGAGCTCTTGTAGTTACTGGGTTGATAATATGGTTGCCATAGCACTTGATACAAGAGCACAACAGTAAATATGCGCTCCACAATGGTTCAGAAGGTTATGGAGCCCATCAGCAACATATTGAATGCATTGGAGACCATAGAGGCTGTAAACCCTGAAAACCTTCCTGCTATTTCCAGGCACTGTTGCCTTTAATAGGTCATTGCGTCCCCTTACTATCACACACTTGTGCTTGAAGGCAGTGTTGTCACATGTCCTCAGATCATCATAGCTGCCTGCGAAGCCATTTTCTTGAAGAACATCTAAGCAAACCCCCACTGAACAACTCAAGAGAGCTTTTACAAAAGCATATCTTCTTTCTTTAGACCCTCATACCACAGAGTTACAATTAATCATTTCAATTGACAATTTTATTTTGGATCGACTGATCAGAGATTTGGTCAAAAAAAAAATTAAGAATAAAGCATTTCCCAAAGCCCAAAGTACTTCTGACAACATTTTGTTTTGTTCACAATCAAAAAATTTGGTTTACCGCGATTAAATAGTAAACAATGATCAAAACAATTGGTGGGCAAAGGAGGAATGTGTTTTTATAAAGTGCAATTTTATAAACTGTCAGTTCCTTCACAGGTTTTCAAGACGGACATCAAATTAGAAAGCAACCAAACTGCATTTCTTTAACTGCTTCAGGGAGGAAAACTGCAGCTGCCAGACATCAATAGTCTGTGAGTAAATATCTGTAAAATTACAGCATTAACACTATTAGTTACCATCTTACAAGTGCAGCCATCTGTGAGAAGAGCTTTGGCATTATGTGTGCCTGGACAGCTGTTTGTTATGTAAGAGTGTTTGGCACTCATCAAATCTTGGATTCACAGTTAAGTTCAACACCAGGTGCCGCAGAAATGACACCTCTGCTGTTCATCTGAGCTCCCCTTTGATTCCATGAAAGTCTGCTTGGCTTCACATGCCGCTAAGCCGTGGCAGAGACTGGGCCGCGTGAGGGAATGCAGCCAGTTTGAAATGGTTTCCCGTTTGTGTAGTTAGAGGCCAATCAGTCTTGGCAAAGGGGACGCTGGGGAACATGTAGCAGAGTATCTGCAAAGTGGCTGACTGGCTGGTGGGTCATGGTGGGTTGGGTTTATTGGAAACACAGACCAATGGTAGGGATCCGTGGTCGAATAGCTTGTAAGGTAGAGAGCCTTTCGAAGTCCAGACGTCTGTCTTTGGGTCATAACACTCAAAACAATCCGAGTCCTCGATTACATCCTGGCTGTTAAGGGTGCGTCCACCGGTGACGTAGAGCTTGTTGTTGATAACTGTAGCGCTGTGATGCATCCGTCGCTCCTTCAAGTTCTCACACTTGAAGAATTTGTTGGCCTTGGTGTCGTAGGCGATCATTCGTCTGGTGTAACCTGGAGATTAGATTTTCAGTCAGCCATATTTGAGGAAATGGTGGCGGTGATATAAGATCTTTTTCTTTGAATCAACAAATTCAACAAAGAGACCAAAACCAACATTTGAGTGACATCAAGTGTCAACTATGTTTCAAAATCTGGATCTTAATTAATTCCAAAAATTCAGCTATTTTAGGCACAAACTTTTCAAGAACTAAACTAAGCTGGACTGTGTTGGTGAACAAACATACTGCCATTTTCATTGGATTTGTTGACCACAGGAGAGACATGTCCTGTATCAATATAACCAGATGTAGTGTAGAGTATGTAAAACTACACTTTAAGTTAATTAAATTGAACAAACTTGTTTGAAACCCATCACCTCCTATGATGTATATCTTGTCTTCAATGACAGCAGCAGGAGCACAAACGTTTTTCACTGTTCTTGTCTCCAGCCTGGACCACATGTTGCGAGAGATGTGATAAACCTGGTGAAACATCACAAACAAGACAACAAGACAAAGTCAGTCTGTCCACAACAGCACTGAAGATGGTTTGACTGCTGACCATCTGAAATTCAAGTATCTCTTGAATTTCTATGTTTCTCTCCATGTTTTTTTATGCAGTATGCTTAAATCAGCTTAAGGTCATGTCTGCAATCGACTTATAAAGTGGATTTCAATGTCGATTGAAGTATATTTCTACCTGGATAAGCCTGACTGGATTCTGCATGGCGTCCTCCCCTCCAAAAACATAGATCCTTTGGTCGCTGGCTGCCACAGCTGGATGTAACACTGCTGTGGGCATTGGCGCCATGGCCTCCCATTGGTTAAACATACTGTTGTACCTCTCGACTGACTGAGAGATCCTCTTGTCTACCCCAATGCCCCCTAAAACAAAAATAAAGTGCAGATAGGACACACTCTGGTGCGCATATCGTGGCTCCAACATGGGCTCAGCCGTCCGCCACTGGTTGGTCTTGAGGGAGAGTGTGTAAACTGTTGCGCTGACTGAGCTGTCACCTGATGACATGCAGAGGCTGAGCCCACCGAGCACATAGAGAATGCTATGAATGCACACATATGCAGCTTTGTAGAGGCGCAGTGGGAGCTTGGCTAACCACTGCCAACGGTGAGTCCTTTCGTCATAGAGCAGGGCCTCTCTGGATGTCTGTTCATTATTTTTGCGTCCTCCGACAACCACCAGTGTTTCCCTGCAGGTGTAGCGTCGTGGTGTTGTCCAAAGCGGCTTGAGCTCACGGGTGCACTTGGAACTGACTGTAAGCATGAGGCGCCGCACTGAATCAATGATCTCAGTGCAGAGGGTGGAGGACTGCACCAAGGGGTCATTGGCAATAAACTGGAAGAGGTAAGTTGGGTGGATGTAGCGTAGACGAACTTTCTTGAAGAGGTCATGGATTGCACCTCGTCTGGAGAATGGGTCATGGTGGATCCATGCGAGGAGGGTCTCAAACACTTGCTCCTCCTCAGCACAAAGTCGGTCATCCTCAAGGTAACACATGAGCTCAGGAAGGGTCAACTCACTGAAGTCCTCTGTGGTAGCAACATCAGAGAAACACCTCACAGCCATCTCCTTCGCCCTGTCCCTCAAACTCTCACAGTGCAGGATCTCAGAGAGTCGAATCATGCTCAGACAGTTTTCTGGACTCAACTGCTTCTGTAGGAACATAGAACAAGCCTCAAAAAGACCTCCATAGTGAAGCATGGATGCTGCCTGCATGAGAGGAAGCACGATTTCCATGGTGATAGTGATGCAGCCAGTGTAGACGTAGTTAACGATGCCAGTCAGGACTTCAGAGGAGATTCCCTTTAGATTCACTCGCGCTTGGCTGCTCTCGAGAAAGTTGCTGCAGAACATGGCACGGAAGTACGGGCTGCTGGACACCAGGACGTTCTTGTGACAAGGGATCTCCTGGTGCTCTGTGCAGAGTAGGACGTCTGTTAGGATGCGCTCGTGACGGAGGATGTTGAGCTGAGCAAGAAGGTGAAAGGGAAGTTCTGAGTCTTTGAAAGAGAAAATTTCTCTTGGTCTACAAGCCATTCTGTGGAGAAAGTAAAGAGAAGGAGAAATGAATAGATTTTACTGCAATACTAACTTTTTTTGTCTATAATGTGCACTGATAAAATAATGCAGCTGTAAACACTTGTATCAGACTGAAATGACAGGGGAAATGCTGAAACTTGTCAGGGAGGTAAGCTGAAGATGTTGCAAAACAAGAGAGACTCTAAGAAATTATTATTCAACTGATTTCAAAATTTCTTAAAGGTCCAAAAATAAGGGACAAACGCCTCTGAAAAATTTGCATCTTCCAATGGTTTACCGAATGGCTAATCCAACAAAATCCCAATTTGCTTGGTACATCTTTTTCTTTATTAGCAAATAAGTGACAAAACGCTCTAAATGCGTAACAAGTTGGATTGCGGTTATGCTGCAGTATGTTGTATTGCCATTTTAAGATGCTATCATCCAAAGACTTTATTTTCTCTGATCATATTCTAGCTATTTGAATAACATTTCTGCAACCACTCTGCATGTATTATCTTGTGTACTGCCGTGTCTTGTCAGGACTAGCACATTTTCAGTGACATTTTCCTGAGCTTTAACTTCTACCCCTGGGCTTACTTAATCTGATAACAAACCCTCTCATTTATTTTCCAACTTGGGCAGAGCAGCTGTCCTTAATAGGACGATTACTGACTCACAGATATCTATTTTTACCTCTTCTAAATTATCTTGATGCATCCATGTAGCATTGGGCTTCATATCCCTTATCAAGCAGCCCAATGCCACTTACATAACAGAACTGTGTCAACAGACCATCTGGGTTTCTCTCCCTCACCCTCTTTCTGTCTCTGTTGCTGGGCCTCTGGTGTTGTGTTTGTCCTCCATCACATATAAAATCCTCTCACATTGTCTGTGTCTCCCTGCAGGGAGGTTTGTGATGATCCTGCCGTTTAAAGAGCAGGAATTTCAATGGGCTATTAGCTACACTAAATCCTTTAATCATCCCCTACGACAGCTACTGATTCACTCCCACTTATGGGGCCCGGCCTGTGTGATATATTTGGACCTCTGAGTGCTATTGTGTATAATGAAATACCTAAGACTATGATTGACATTATATTTGTAACTGTTTTCACTTAGATCTGAACACAAGGACTGAAAAATCCTGTATAAAATTGCACAAGCAAGTAAAACCTGAGCTAATATTGATATACCTTTAGTTGATAAACTATGATACTTTTTATTAGGTTCTTAATATTTCCAAACATACACTATCAAACTTATATATTGTAACAGGGTTCTTTTTATATCTAATTATGTAACCCTATTGTCAACCAATTTTGAGAAATAATTCATAAATTCATAAAAAAAAACACAAAATACTTCAGTTTTGACTGTTCAGGGTCTGGCTAAAGACACTCACTCATTGCAGCATTTATAGTCACGTTCACTTAAAAGAGAGCACAGTTACAGCAGGCACTGAAGCCAGTGTTGGACACATGGATCAATCACACAATAAAACAATCATACTGACTCACTGAGATTTCACACTAGTGTCAAATTTACAAGTTTTAGAGAGATGTCTGTCTGATGAACCTGCTGCAAGTTCATCATCAACATCTGTGACAGAGTGAATCCTTACCTCCCGTCCTCAGAAAATCAATAAAATCCACAATGTCTGTTCCTTCTGGTCAAAGCTGATGTCAGTTCAAACCAAAGCAGAACCAAAACACAACCAGAGAGAAACTGGGTAGTGTTTTCAGGGAGAGAAAAAGGAGCATGACATAAAAAAACGACGAAGACCTCCAGTTAGGCACTGTAGTGCTGGCCATGAGGCCACTGTGTACATTCCTGCTGCTAAGAATAGTAACCCGGGCCACCGTGACTCCAGCCAGGCCTCTCATGTGACACCGAGCTGTTTGGTACCCAGTTTGCCAGCTTAACAGCTCTGCCGGTGTCCAGCAAAGAGAGTGTTTACAATAGCCAGGGGAGGGAGAATCATCCCAGGGTCCTGACTCAGCCATAGGGCCCACCCAGACAGCTGTTTAATCATAGTGTCCCAGAGCTGCTAACCCTTGTCCATCTTCCTCTTCTGTTTAAAGCCAACCCTCCACCACCACCTCCTCCTGCACCTTCTCCTCCTCCCTTATGTGTGTAACCCAGGATGAAAGTAAATATAGAGCAGCGCTGATGGGCCATCTTGATCAGGAGAAACAGCTGTAAGACCTGGATCTGCTTCAGGATGTGGTTTCGTGTTTGTTTGTTCACGACAATGTGAACATGACTACTGTTTATGCTATTATAACATCCCTGTATCAGATGTCAGTCAGCACTACATGTGTCTGAAACATCCAGTACTTTCTGTCATAATCATAGTGAAAATGTTGTTGCCGCTCACAATGATTTTGTACAATCAGCAGGATGCAATAAATTTCATACAGGAGTGTGTCCAAAATGGTGGCACTGGTCCCCCCTTAAAATCTGACTGACCACCTCATGAGGCCGCCATAAAACCCCAAAGTTTTAATTAGTGATTTGCTTTCTCTAAAAACATCTGTTTGGATGTGTAAACAGGCTGATGGATGCTTTCTATTTGTATAAAAGACACTTACTTTCCTCTGTTAATGTCTTTAGTTGCTACTGTGGACAAACGTCTTATAAAATCCTCAAATAATCAAGCTAGAGGATTTACGTGTCGTTGATATGTGTTTATTTTTAAAGTAAAGAAACATACACAGTAATATAATAGCTGTATGATACTTGATGAAAGTTGTTGAAGTGATGACAGGGAGGGCATATGCTATCAATTTGTGTTTAAGTGCATACAACCCTGCTAACCCCTACATAGAAATAGCCACCATTAATGTTGATGGTGTACTTTTTGTGTCATAGACATCAGTATTAGTGCCAGTCTGCTTAAAACTTTAAGTGTTTTGACCTTTGCATTACAGCCTCTGCATTTCACTACCAATCAGTATAAACTAGTGACAAATGAGGATCTTTAATGTTCATTATATGATATTCTTAGAGGGACACTGTTGGCCTGGCAGTTTGGTTGTGGTCCTCATGTGCAGAGGCTAACATCCTTACAACAATCATAAGTCCTGACATGATTTTGTGCATGTCACTCCCTCTTTTCTACATTTGTTGTCTCCCTTAAAGCCTGTAATTAAGCTGTTGGAATTGAATTTGAAACTAAAACTGGAATTGTTTGGCTAATTTTGAATCCTGGTTTTCCAAACATGGTTCATGGCTCTTTCGCCTGGTTCCTCCTATCTTGTCGCCTTACCTTGCGGAAAGATAAAATAAATCTTGGCAGAAGGATCTTAACTCGACTAAAGTTGCTGATGTGGAGGCTCAAAGAAATCATGATCCCTCTTAGTATCAGCGCACTTCCCAGAAAAGGTTTAAGCCTCCTTTTCCTCACCTTTGATAGCACCAATTTGTCATTTCCTTATTCCAGGCGTGGGTCTTATCTTCAGCCCCTCTCCTGTTATCTTCTTACAGCCTCCGAGGCACTGAGATGAATTATTGCTGTGTTTGTTTAGCAGCACATGACAGAGAACTGGAGTTACATCTGGACAGATTGAATGACATAGCTGCAAGAAAGTGAGCTGTCAGCAAGTCAGACATCATGACACGGGAGCACATGCAACTCTGGCGGACTTTGTCACACACAGAAACTCTACACTGTGTTAGCAGTTACCCAGTGACAGGTTCGTGCTCACAGGTCATGGTGTGAACTACAGACTCCTACAGGGAGGAGCAAGGATATGTCTCTGAACGAGTGCAGGCTGAGGTGCGGGATAAAGATATTAATATGACAGTCCTGCTTAATTTCACAGGATTAAAGCTTTATGTCTCTGAGCCACGTGTATTTGCAGTGAGGACAGTTAAATGATGGCTGTAGATCTTAATTCAGATCTTCTAGCAGGGTTCAGGGTCTGAATTTTGCTTTTTTTTAAAGCAGAAGTATAGAAAAATAAGTAAAGTTTTTTTTTTAAATATCTATTTCTATTTTTTAGTAAGTTTGCCAAATTTCTTTTGCATATCCTCAGTAGTGGGACACATGACTTGAGCATAACTTCATTGCGAAAGTATCTCAAAAGATTTATCACGTTTTTATTGTTATTTTTTTAAATTTTTATCATTTTTGATCTTGATTACCATGAAATGATGTTTTGATGATAAAATGATAAAATACTGTTAAACTGAAAACCCTACCTTTAACCGAGTTTAAGTTGTGAAGTCTGTGAATTATCTTATGGCAACTGATTCGTGCAAATTTAACAAAGTTTATATAACTAACAAAAAGACAAAGAGATGAAGAATCATTTTCTGTTGATTTTGAATCTTGCCCCTTAAAAATCAGGGCTCTGGACATCAGTCATCTCAGTTTTAAGTATGTGGGCGATACAAATTCAGGCAAAGACTTTGAGTTTCCAAAATCACAACTTTATAACAAACGTGTAGTTTGTCATTAGCTGGTCCTTTACTGCAGTGGTTCTAAACTGGTCTCACTCTGGGACCCACACTTTCCCATGGTCCTTAAGTCACGACCCACTTTGATAGAATTCAAACCAAGCAAATAATTTTCTTTTTATAAAAAAAAACTTTAAAGACTCTAATCTTTAACATGAATCCACTTGTTTTATTGAGTAAAGTACATTTCAGAGCACATGAAGGGGACAACATGAGGACGACAACTACTGAAGTTTCTTATACAGAAAATATCAAACTATCACATTAAACAGTTACTTTTTTGACCAGCTGTTCGTAACACATCCAGAACGTGTCCGTGACCCACTTTTGGGGGTCGGAACCCACCAGTTGAGAACACCTCTGAGTTTCAGGGACCACCAAAGAAAATTTGCCACATTTTTTCTTGCTTTTTACTCAAGTCCTGCCTCTGACAAGACAACTAGCAAATCCTCTTTAAGGATTTAAAGATGGCGTTGTGTGGGTGTAGGTGGGTAGGGGGGGAGTTTCCACCTCTGACCGCCCCTCTGGACGCGCCCCTGCATTCACAACCAACGGTCACGCCTCGACAGGAAGTGACGATTGTAGCCACGAGCGTGACGAACGGCTTGTTCGAAAATACAACAAGGAAGTGGACGTTCATTGTTGAGGAAAATAATCACCGCATAAACATCTCTCAGGACCTGGGGGGTCTCCTCGCTCGGCTGTTGGGTGTCGGTGGGGTAAAGTCACCGTGGACTTGCCCGCGAGCCCGTTTGTGATCGTCTCGAGGGATTCTGCTTGTAGCCTGCTAGCTAGCTAGCGATGAACACGGACGTGGAGTTTCACATCAGGCAGAATTATCCGTGGAATAAGCTCCCAGCTAATGTCAAGCAGGTAGTGTGTTTATTTTTACATTTTCACGGGGCAGAGAGGGAGGGGGTGAACCTGTCAATGTGACCGCGGCGCGTGCGAGCGTGTGAGTGTGTGTGTGTGTGTGTGTGTCACAAAAGGCAGCTGTCAGGGTCGCGCGGCTCGCTCACCTCCTCTGCAGGGTTTCACCATTCAGCCATAACTGACCATTATTATATTACACCTCCGAGGTTCTGCTGCCTCTGCCCTCTGTGCGTCACATGACCGATTGTTTGATAGGTGGCGCCACATGATCTTAGCGCGTGGATGTCACCTGCAGATCCTGACGTTCAGACCCCCCCTCCCCTCTCATGCGTTATGTTTAATAGACGCATAATGTCAAAACTCTGAAGGTGGTTTTGTTATTACCCGCCTCCTCCATTAAGGCTGCTGTCTTTACGCAAACCTGTCACTATGAAGAGGAGGTGGGTGGATGCTCATAGAGAGGCTGCGTGAATCCCTGAGCATCCTCAGAAAGAGCAGGATTACCTAGATTACCAGGAAAGTGGGCAAATCCCCCAGGACCCCCAGATCTGCAGGGACTCTACCTCAGGATTCATTGAAAGTAAACAGTTTTTTATGTTTACATAGAGGAAAATGTGGTAAAAAGTTTCCATGTTCATCCCTCTAGGAATCAGTTTTAATTTACCCACAAATCAGCATGGTCAAGGTCAGTGATTGCAGTTATATTGATGCATTTTTTGTCAATGACATCCTTAAAGGGGTATTCTGGCTTAAAATTAATTAAGGGTTAAACACACCCCAACACTGAGTTAGACACTCCCTCAAGAGATGAATGTTGCTGACCGCTTGCTTCTCTAGTTTTACCAACTTTAGAAACGACCGCACAATAGCAATACACAGTAGTCTGAGGAGCCATAAACAAACCTCAACCAAAACACCACTCTATAGCCACAAATAATGCTCAGAACAGCACGTAACTTCATCAACAGTACATATAGGGTCCCAGCCATAGTCCTAGCCACCAAACATCTTTAAAACTTTGCCTAATTTCATCAGCAAAGAGACTAAACACAATTCGCCTACTCTCTTCCAGCAGCTGCTTGTTTGTAGCGAGACCTCAGGCCAGTCCATTACGGACTGTTGTAGGGTGACACAGCTCAAGGAAGAACATTTGTGATCATTACTTTATCATGTCCTTGAAGTAATAATCACCATATTTATAATTTTGCACTGCAGACACGGTAGTTCTTCTGCCTTAGTGTCTCAGTCTGATTACATTTCCATGAAGAAATGTCAGTAACATTCATCTCTTGAGTGTTACAGCTGGAATATCCCTCAAAAGAAACTGTGGCCGACACTGACTCTTTAAAACATGATCAGCCTGCTGTAATAAACTTGATACAGGCACGTTCAAATATACGCTTGTAAATACATACAACTAAAACCAAGTCCTTCGGTTAGTTGTACACTCTGCTCAGACAGTTAAAGAGACTAAGCTTAGATGATGACCAGCACGTCTTTTCCACTTACAGCAGGTTACATCCACTCCACCTCACCTCACCTCTGTTCTGTATTTGTTTTTCCTCTGCAGAGTTTGGGGAACTCTCAGCGTGAGTATGAGAAGCATGTCCTGCTCTACAGCATCCGCAACCAGCTGCGATTCCGCAATAACCTAGGTGAGCGATTTTTGTTCCCCACACCCCGACACTGCAGTTACTGCTGGTCACAACATGATCAAATTATGAATGACTCCCACTTGTATTTTACAGCTTTAGTGAAGGGCATATAATTAAGTTTTTTAGTTGATAACATAAACACTCTGTCCCTTTTATACAAGCTTTGTTTAGTTAAAATGATTGTATTCACAGATAAGTAATACGCCGCATTAAACAGTGTGTAACAGTCTCTTAATAGCTGTGCAATTATAGATCTGTAATCAATAGCATTACTTCTCCTGTGACCTTCTGAAGGATCAATGCCCCTTTTTTTAACCGGGATTGATCCTCTATAGATTGTTAGAAAGTACTCACTCGCCCTTGTCTGTGACCTGACGTCTGTGTGTGTGTGTTTTGCGAGCAGTGCGCCACGTAAGGAAGGATGAGCGCAAGTATTATGAAGAGCTCCTGAAGTACAGCCGGGACCACCTGATGCTGTACCCCTACCACCTGTCTGACATCATGGTGAAGGGGCTGCGAGTCACACCGTTCTCATATTACATCGGAATCATGGAGGTAAGAAACGAGGAACAGAGGAGAAGAGAGAGTTTGATATGGAGATCTGGAGCTTCAACCACATTTCTCTTATCATTATCTTGACAATCAGCTTCTCATACACTTTGTGCAAAAAGGTGCAAGCTGGTGCTGCTTCTTTTTAAATCCCCAGGCAATAAAGTGGTGGTTTTACAACTACATCTCTGCTTTCATTACAGCAAGCAAGGGTAGACCCACTGGCACAGAGCAGGAATTTGTTGTTGTGCAGCAGAAAAGGTTCGGTAATTGGTTTGGAAACATCCAGTCTTCTCTAATTTAAATGTAACAATGTCTTTCTGTAAACTGCTGCAGAAAAGCCAGATTCAGTACAAAACAGGGAATCTAAGAGGCCGTTAGAAAGAAAAATCTGAGCTTTGTACAACCCCCTGCTGTCAGGCGGAAAGTGTTCTTTGTCACTTTGTATAAATGAAAAATATCACATTATATGATCCACCTGACAGTCCCGTATTGTCTTGGCGTCGGCACCAAATTATGTATCGCTGTTTACACATCGTATTGTACAAAGGCTTAGTGCATTTACATGACAACGCAAAATCCACACAAAATCTGGTTCGGGTTGCCCGTCTTGTTCTGCTCCGAGGTGGATTCCACGACAACAAGTTGTGCACGCGTATCATGCTGCTTTCCTGCATGAGCACTTGTTGCTGTTTTTGCCGTAGCTGGTGTTGTTGCTGTTCTAAATGTTGGTATAAAAGTCGTAGCAATATTTGTAGTTGCTGGAACAAGAACAAAATCACCCCAGCTACCGCCATTGTTGTTGTTGTGGGCTGGGGGGCGGGGAGGAGGAGGGGTGCTGTGAGGTCACCGTCTTTTCCGGGGTTATCTATTTATACCAACTACGGCATGAAGACGAATACCCAGATATCCACCTGCAGATCCGTTTTCAAAAAAGATGCGGAGTCATGGACAAATACGCGTCTCTGTGTGTCAATATCACCAGATTGATAGTTTATTTTACAGGTGTCTTACAAATTCGTACTCGTGTAAAGACCACCTGAAAATGTGTCCTTTTTGTGGGATATTTACAACATCACATCATACAGCTGCTTGAAGCAGAGCGTTCTGTGCGCATCGTGTTCTTGCAAGAATGAGTCATGCTCTTGAAAGTATGATCTCATCATACAAAAGAGGCATCATGGCACACATTACTTAACTTTATAGTGAATCTATTCTCTTACAGCATTAACTCGATTACTTTATAACATTATGGGCCATTTTAGAAGAGCATGTGATGCTCCCAGCGATTCCAGACTTTACATCATTCAGGCACTAGATGTCAGTCAGAGTCTTGCAAAGCCACGTGCAGCAGTTTCAGGGACACGCAGAGGACTTATCCCAGGACACACACACACACACACACACACACACACACACACACACACACACACACACACACACACACACACACACACACACACACACACACACACACACACTCATCCTGAGAGAACCTGTGCCGTTTGCTCTGCAGTCTGTTCAGGCTCCGTCTGTGTGATGTCTGTGGTTTGCATCTGGAACAGCTGGGCTTCTCTTTGACCTCTGAAACTTTAAATTGGATGACAAAGTCTGAGCCCATGTGCTCAAACAACAGTTTTTAGGATACACTCATCATATCTATTATCCTAGTGATCTTCTGATGAAAGTTTTGTACCTTTAAATACAGTTAAACCTCTCTTGCTGCCCTTTAAACAGATACTCGTTATTTCATTTCTTTGTGTAATGATTCATTTAGTCACTCACACCCTTGTGTGCTTGCACTAAATGAATAAGTGCGCAGATATTAGCTGCCATATTTGATTGCTCCTCATTCATCGAGCCTCCAGTTTCATCAGATGTGACTCATGCGCTCAGTGTTGTTTCCTCTGACTAAAGTTACAAAACTGAACAGTCAAGCTTCAGCTAACGCCTTAAAAGGCTTCACGCCTTTTTCTCTGTGCATGCTACACAAAATTTGACTGAGCTTCAATAGTGGACGACGAATTTCTTGAAGGCCATGTCATATTCTGATAATTCATTTTAAACACTTCATTAAAATGGGGAGTAGAAATTCGCACAGCTGTCCAGATTTGTTGATCGTGTTATAAATCAGAGGCAGGAATTAGAAATTGGTAGAGAGAAATTAATTCAATTCCTCCTCTCCTTGTCTCTTTTCCTCTTTTCTTTTTTTGCCTCCAGGATATTATGAACAGCGAGAAGAGTTATGATTCCCTGCCCAACTTCACTGCTGCTGACTGTGAGTTTTTTCTTTTACCCCTTCCTTCCCCAACACTGCTGAAATGACGGCACTAGGGAACTAGTGCCTTTTTGACTCCTGCTCGCATTTTCATATTTCCAGATCCTGTTTGAAGGGCTGCCATCGTTGAGGCAGTGGCACATTCAGAGAAATAAAACATAAATAGAATATAGTGGAGTTCAGGGGTCAAAAAACAGTCACAAGGTCATTTAGGGTAGGGGTGTCACGACACAAATATTTTACTTCCGATACGATAGCGATATTGTGGCCTTCAGTATTGGCTGATATTGATATTGGCACAAGCTTGTGCATGACAAGTTTTGCACTCAGCGGCAACGTCTTTTTCAGACTTAAACCAAAAAATACTGCCATACAGCCAATGTCACTCCTACTCCTTGCTACTTTGTTAGTACCTTAGAACACACTGTAGTTGTGATTACATGGGCTCTGCATGCTGGATCCGGGTGCTTCTAGATAGAGGTGCTGGAGCTGAGTCTGGAGTGGACTGCTTGTATCGGAGTGCTGATATTAGAGATTTTAGATGCAGGGCGATATAATCCGATATTCATTTTTTTGCTGATATCGGACTGATATCCAAGATCAATATCGGATTGAGGCACCCCTAATTTAAGTTGCACTTTAAAGGGATATTCCGGCGGAAAAATAAGTTAGGGTCAAACACACCATATCACCAAGTTAGACACCAACTTTAGGAACGATTGCAGGATAGCAATACAGAGAGCCATGCGCTCAACCAAAACGCCACTCTATAGCCGCAAATAATGCTCAGAATAGCACCTAACTTCATCAACAGTACATATATCGTCCCAGCCATAGTACTACTCACCTGCTAAAGAAGTCAGGCAAAGCTAAAAAGATGTTTGGTGGCTGGGACCCTATATGTGCTGTTGATGAAGTTAGGTGCTGTTCTGAGCATTATTTGTAGCTATAGAGCGGCTTTTTGGTTGAGAGTGTGGCTCCTCAAACCATTGTATATTGCTACCTGCGGTCGTTACTTAAGTTGGTATAACTAGAGAAGCAAGCGGTCGACAACATTCATCTCTCAAGGGGGTATCTAACTCGGTGTTATGGTGTGTTTGACCCTAACTTAATTTTACGCCGGAATATCCCTTTAAACATAAACTTACTACTAAAAAAGCCTTTGGGCAGATGCAGCATATGTCTGTTATCCATAAAGTTCTCTTGACAGATTTCTTCCAGGAAAGCCAGCTACTTTTTTCTTCTGAAGATACGTCTCATACTTATTTTTTTCGGATTTCTGTGAGATAAAGTTTTTAAATCTTTCTGAAACTTCTTTCAGCACTGGCCAGATGTTTTTTCTTTATATGAAATAATAAAAATCACACTTCACAAAGCAATATTTATTCTCTTAAAAATCTGTTCCATTTTTTATGAATCACAGCATCATCAGAGAGCTGCTTTCCTAAGAAAATGTTGCAAACCAGATTAAGATTATCACAAAGCTGGGAGTCATGTGTACATTCAGTTGTAGCATTCCTTCTGTTGTCATGTGAAACGTACTTTGGCCCGTGAGTGACTCAGTCCTGGCAGTGCAGGACCGTCACGCCGAGTAGACAGAAGGCTGCCAGCAGGATGCTACTCAGCTCACAGGGGCCTCTCTCCTCTGATCACCCTGGAGGAGCTTTGGAAGTGTGTCATGCAGAAGTGGGAGGACGGATAGACAGTGAGAGAGCGTGTGATCGAGTATTACGGGGGCGGGTGTTTGTGCGTTGTGTCTGTGTCTTGGTGAAGCAGCGGGAGACACATGTAAGATTCTGCTGTGTTAGGAGGCTGAAATGAGAACATCCCTCACTGCTCCCTGCCTGCGTTGGCAGCCATCCCAGCACATTTCGGTCCTCCCCTTCCATGGCTGAGCATCAGGCTGGAGGAGGTGGCACAATGGGACTCAGAGCCAAAATTTGCAGCCCTCTCCCCTATAGAGACCACAAAACTCTACATGACCTAGTGTTTTCTCAGACAGAGAAAAATAACAGAGAGTTACACATAGACATGCATGCACACACTCTTCTTATTTTAGAAGAGACCACAGTTCATGTTTTGTTTGTTTGTTTGGTGTGCGTGTCAGGGGATTGTCTCAGAGAAGGTGTTTTTTTTTTGTTTTTTTGGATTCAGTCCTACAACAGAGTCTATATGAGTCAGTGTTGAAACTCTTCCTCTCCAATATGAAGCTTCAGATTTTTAAAAAACCCTACTACCCAACCTTGTCTCTCTTTTTTTTGTAAAGCCTTGCAGGTTATAATTGAAGTAATCCAGAGACACCCTTTCAGCCAGATTTATTCGCAGCAGTGTTAACATGCAGCAATTACAGGTTCAGAATGATTTGCTGAGAAATTATTGATTTTTTTCAACCCGTTTTTTCCATAATCAGGTCTGCGGCTCCTTGGCATCGGGAGAAACCAGTACATCGACCTGATGAACCAGTGCAGATCTTCAAAGGTAGGACATATTTCCAAATGTGCCTTTTCTTTTAAGTACTGCTCTAAAGGCAAATTTTTGCGCAGATTTATTAGGAATCATGACACTATATTGAGCTGTATCGCATCTTGATGTTTATACCTGAAAGCTCCTGTGGGAAATTTCTTGACATTTATAAAACAGACTAAAATTCATACTGACCAAAAGTTCCTCACAGGAGCTTTAAGTAGCCATGAATTAATTCAGGAGTCCTGTTTTCTGTAGTTTAACTCTCAATTTTACAGCTGTGTTTACTCACTTTCTCATTTGTCCACCATCTCAGAAATTCTTTCGCAGGAAGTCAGCGCGAGACCTGCTGCCGGCAAAACCCGTGGAAATCTCTGTGGAGCCGTGGTGGGTGGCTCAGACAGGCTACATCACGGAGGATGATATCAGGGTGAGATAAGAGCTTTTCATCCTCTCTCATCATTTGTGTTTGATTGAGTGGATGTTAGACTTTAAGTAGTACCAGACAGGGATGGATGAGATCATAATAGTACGATGGGAGGTGAGAATGAGATTTTTCAGATTGATTGAAACTTGGTATTCGGTTGTATTCACATTACATTTCATTAAATAAGTGACATAATGATGCATATCCGTTTGAATTGTTACAAGAGGGTTCATTGAAATTGACACACAGAGCCTACAGCTAGAGCTACAACTGTTCCCCCCATGAGCCCCTGCACTTCAAGAGCAGAGCTCCCCTACCTAAAATAAAAAGATCTCTCAGTTCTCATCAGGTGTTCTCATTTCCCAAGAAAGAAAAAAGGCAGACAGGAAAACTTTCTGTTCACAATATGTTCATATTTCCTCCTCTCAGATTCTGCATTACCTTCTTTTTTAATAGACTCACATGTATATTTACGATCATTTAATGTTGTATGTGTGTTGGGTTGGGTGCAGATCTGTTCTCAAGCAGAGAAGAAATCTATCGATAAGATGATTGACTCCGGGCCTCAGCTGGCTGGATCGATGGAGTACAATGTTGTCTTAAGTGAGTATGTAACGTGTGATTAAAATCAACAAGTGTTAATTTAAAGCAGCTACAGCTTGATTTTCATTATCAAAGTGTTAAATCTCAGATTTCTGTGCCTATAAAAAGAAAAATACACTATTTATAACACTATTTACTGAATCTAAGGATTTTTTATCACCTTAAAAACCTGCGAATGTCAATTCTGTGCTTTTAGTTTTATTGCAAAAACCATCAGGGTTTTCGTTAATATATTTTGAAGTATTACCATGGAGGATGACGCAAATGTTGCTGCTTAAGGTGAATATCAGAGATGACACACAGGGAGCAGAGATGAGTCTGTTCAGTTGAGATGTTAATTATCAAACAGCTGGACAGTAATGATACTCTGACTCTGGAGAGCTGCTGACGAAGCGGGATAAATGCTATCAAAGACAGAAGACTCAGGGCGGTTTGAGTAGGAATTATAAGTTTTATATGAGATTTATTCTTTGCTTTTCTTCTCCAGGCTTGTACAACCGAGGCTTTATCTACTTGGACGTTCCCATATCTGATGACAGCTGTATCTCAGGTACATTACTCTGTGTGTTTTCAAGCATTCTGTCTTTATCCTCCCGCCAACTCTCTGTGTTTTTAAACAACAAACTGCACAAACAAGGATTTTTTTCATGGGTACTAAACTCATGAGATAATGATTAAGTAAATAAGAAAAAAAAAAAAACATGACTGAAACTGGCCACTCAGTCAAGCGCCACTCTTTGTGTCTTCCAGTGCCTCCTCTGGAGGGCTTCGTCATGAACCGTGTGCAGGGTGATTACTTCGAAACACTTCTCTACAAAATCTTTGTGTCCATCGATGAACAGACAAACGTCTCCGAGGTATGTGGCCTTATAGTTAAATCAGAGCTGCCTGACTCACTGAATGTCAAACGTGTGTGCGTGCATTTATAACTTATTTTTTCTCCTTGTCTTCTAATCCTCAGCTTGCAAACGTGTTGGAGATTGATTTGGACTTAGTGAAGGTGAGTATTCGGCACCAGTTTAATGCAAATATCAATTTTTGTGAGTGCTTCTTTAAAAAAAGACACTTACAAAATAGGAGGTTGATTTTTTTTTATGCTACTGTAGTTTTGAACAGATTTGAAGACACAAATCGTCTCCTTAAAGGTTTGAAAGCACACAGCTCATACGTAAAGCCTTTTCAAATTCAAAGTGAGGTTTCATCTTGTTTTAAATCTGACGTATTATTATCCTTTGCAGTAATATTTGTTTTTCTAAACTGCCTTCCAAATACCCTAGATAAATACCCACACTAGAGTACACGTTGAAGGTAGACCTTAACACACACACACTCACACATTGCTTCAGATTAGATCTGTCGTGCCCCATGACTACCAGAGGGCTGAGCAGCCACATTCCAGTTGAATTGGTGCTCCAGAGTGACCCAGTTTTCCCCAGTTTCCTATTCACTCTCCATCAGACACAGAGCCAAACTCCCCTCTCAGAGTTCTGACCTGCAAAGTGAAGAGCTGGACTCTCCGGTCCCTCAGTCACATCTCATCTCCGCTGCTGCAAAACAGCACTTAAGAGAAGTGGCTCAAGGCAGTGGCTGCAGGTGGAACCTTGCAACTTCTGAGATGATTGAGACGTCTGAGAGGTCTCCTTTGTGCTGAAGTTTTTGCCTTCGTGACTTGAGCCGAACTTTCTCCTTTGCGATAACTACACTCACTCCCTGAGACACTTGAAACTTGTGCTTCTTTTGATATGATAAGAGGGTGACAAGGAGTTGACCTCAGCCTGCACCTGAGGAGCGTGAATGTGCAGAAAGTAATCACACCACCTTTCTTGATTAGTGGTGGCGTGTTCTCTCTGAATAAAGAGCAGAGCACTTAGATGACTGTACAAATTAAGAAAGTGATGAAAAAGGCAGCCGGCAGTTAGAGGAAAGTCTGTCTTCATGCCCTTTTCCTCTTTAACTAATGACCTTTCTTTTTCTTCTGACATCTTAATCCATCTTTCACTCGACTAGTCGCCCTTTTCCTCATCAGAGTGATTTTAAAAACTGGCCTCAAACACACGTCTGAAAGTCCTTGTAGCTTTTAAAACACTCAATAACATCGCTTTTTTTTGTGTTTTTATAAACTCTAAAAAAGTCGTCAAATAAAACATCTACTCCCATAATACTAAGAGCTCCCATCCATGTCTTACTTAGTGTTGACAATGTAGAAAGTTCATGTTACTGCAGCTGCTGTGCTTTTTAAACATTTTATTGGAGAAATCAATTTCAGGTTGATCATATTTGAAATCAAAGTATTTCTGTCATTTGTTTCGAATTTTTTTGACTGTTTCTGATCTTGTTTTCTCAGAATGCAGTTTCCATGTACTGTCGCCTCGGCTTTGCTGTCAAGAAAGGTCAGGTCTTCGGCTCAGAGCAGCTTCACCCCACCTGGAAGAACGCCCCGTCCGTCAACAGGCTCAAGTATGTGATGGGTGTCAAAATGAATGATAAAGTCCAAGAGAACATGTAAAATCCTGTTTTTCTCATCAGGTTAACAAAAAAAGTTTACAAATGAATGGATTAAACATCGAGAAGGGTATCTCCTTAAATATGAGAGCATTCATTTGTCCACCTCATAACTGTTTTACACTCTACAGAAGGATTTCTTTTACTCTTTATTTGTGATGCAACCAATCATGGTTGGTCTGTTGCACCACTATTGCATGCACAGTATTTTCAGTATGGGTTTGCAGGAGCACAGGCTTCGGTGTTGGGCTAAAAGATGCAAAATCCAAATTTGCATCCACCCTGAATTCAGTAAATTGTTTTTTGTCTCAGGAGCACCATGGACCCTCAGAAGATGCTGCTGTCCTGGGAGCAGGGCAGTCCTGTCATGGAGGGAGGCTCCTCTGCTACTGACACGGACACTACAAGTCTGGAAGATCAAGGTCTGTCTGGACGTGTACAAACGCACACATACGTTAATTTATCCCTAAGAAAGCTCAGTCCTCAATTTCCTAATGTTATAACTGTGCTGTTACATCATGCATGTTGACTGTGTCTCTTTTCTCTGTTTTCTGCCTGTAGCAGACACAGCCAGTGTGAGCAGTCTGAGCATCCCAGCCGCACCCACAAAGAGGATCGCCTTCCTCTTTGACTCCACTCTGACAGCCTTCCTCATGATGGGCAACCTGTCTCCAGTTAGTGAAGATCCAGATTCTGTTAGAGAAATACTTGATAAAGAAAGAAATCTTTTCACTAATTCACATCTTTGTCCTTTCAGAACCTGAAGAGTCATGCGGTGACCATGTTTGAGGTGGGGAAGCTGTCGGATGAGACGCTGGACAGTTTCCTGGCCGAGTTGGAGAAGGTGAGACGGAAAAATAGAATGACGACTCTTCTGTAGTTCTTTCAGGTCCTGTAAATGCACAAACACTTCGATGTTTCGTGTCTTCAGGTGGAGAGCACAGCGGAGGGTGAAGCCCAGCGTTACTTTGACCATGCTCTGACCCTGAAAAACACCATCCTCTTCCTGCGCTACAACAAAGAACTCACTCAGGACCAGGGACCTGACATCCCAAATATAGGTGATTACACAAAGTTGTTTAAGGGATTTCTTTCCAAACAAATGTGTTAAGAGTCTGATTCCTGATAAACTGCTTGTTCTTTCTGTCTTAAATATAAATATCAAAATTTACGTTGGTGCTAAAGACAAACAGGATTCAGGTGAAATAAACCTGAAAAAAAAAAAGGTTAAAATGTGTTTTTTGTGTGATAAATGTGGTGCATTTTCAGTAGATTTGAAGCTTTTTCAAGTTCTCTTTTCATCCTGAAAAGAATTTTTGAGCCATCATTACCAGAGCATCAAGCTGCTGGAAATTACCCCTCTTTAACTTGCTCTGTGGTCTTAGAAAATCAATAAGTGATGAAGCATTTGAGCGCTACTTTGAAGTGAAAGTTCTGAACAAGGCTTGAAACTCTTAAAAGCAAAGAAAAAAAAGGAAGTAGGTCTTCTCTTTGTGTCGTTTCTCTGTGTTTCACCCTTCGGCTGTGTCTGACGAGTGAATAGCTGAACAGCCACATAGAGTATTTCTGGATGCACATGCAGACTGTGAGTGAAGTTGTATTGTTTCCCTCGCGTCTCTAGAGGGAGCAGCAGAGAGGATCTTTGTGTTTCCATGTAGCTACTGTAGTGCCACCAGATGCTGTTTGTTTGCTTTGGCTGTGTGCCTCCTCTCTGATTGTCTTATCTCTCAGCTCTCTTCAGCTGCTGCTCCAGGCGAGGGAGCGCACTGAGAGCCCGCAGGCGGAGGCTGAACTAAACCCACAATGATTCGAGAGTGTAGTGATGATGCTGGTGTTTGTTCATCTGGGAAGAGAGGGGAGTTTATACAGGCAGCAAACTAGACTCTTATGGGGGTCTTCTCATCCTCAGGGCAGTGCTGCACTCTTACAGAAAATTAAACACTGATTTACAGCACATAGGAAACACACATTGATTCAAGTATGAGCCTCTTTTACATATGCACTACCCTCCAAAATAATCTGAATCTATCCAGGTAGGGTGCATTTGTCAGTGCAACTCTAGCATATTATGTAGATATTTTCCTGTAAGCTTCCAGGTCAAAAGTCTGCGCTAAGTTTGGATGAGCAAGTGTGTGAACACAGCAAGTTGATGCTGTGCCCCCTAATGACATTTCCAAGGGGTCAAGGTAAAAAAGCATAGGATCTAGGATTGAACCCTGGGGCACACCACGATTCATTTTGCAATGTCTAGATGAGAATTCGCCCATACAGTCAGTTTAAACTGTTCAAAATGGTTAAAAACAGTCCCAGAGATGCCAATAACATTGGTGTCTGAGAGAAATAACCACATGTAAGCAGGCTGAGTGCTGATGTTCATACCGTTTATACTCTAACTGCTCGCCATAGATGTCAGCCAGTGCTAATAAATAATACATTACAGGAGCTTTTACTGTTACTCTTTACTGTTGATGCACTGCGCCGCCATCTTGAATTATGACGTCGTCAAGTCAGGGTTGGCGAGGATCCTCAGGCTCGGAAATCCTGACTTCCGAGTACAACTGGAATGCAGCATAAGCCAGCCTAGCTTGACAAAACGGTCTCATTAAATAATATAATATAAACATAATATAAACATTTGGTTCCTGAAGTAAAAATTCTTTAATATTGGCCTGAATTTATCTGCAAATATTCACTCTCTGCTCTTCACAGACACATTTTTCCTCCTAGATTTACAGACAGGAGGTGAGGTGTGATTATGAAACTCATCTTTGTGTCCTCTGAGAGGAAGTTCTGTTCAAGTCACCTTTGTAGAAACACTCGTCTTAACACCATAGCTGTAAAAAAAAAAGAGAGAAACTCACTCAAAAAAGACCTCCTGGATCTTGATTGGCCCATTTTTTCTTCTTCTTGTCACTTGAAAGTTTACTGTGAAATAGTCTTACATGGTTTCTATGGGGAAATGTTCTCTATCACTTTTGAACACTTCTCATGAAGGTTAGGTGGGCTGAGCAATAGACAGATAAAGCTTGTAGAAACCTTGTACTGGTGCTTCAGGATACAAGTTTTATCTCTGCTGGATCTATGATACTAAAGTTACAGAAGACATGAGAATGCAAACTACTTACAGACTTAAATTGCAGAATATAAGGTAAGAAATGTCTGACTGATCTTGTGTTTTTCTTTCAGGTTTCCCGTTGGACATGTTGCGCTGTGAGAGCCTGCTGGGTTTGGACCAGGCCACCTGCAGCCGCGTCCTCAACAAGAACTACAAGCTGCTGGTCTCGATGGCGCCGCTCAGCAATGAGATCAGACCCATCAGCAGCTGCACGCCTCAGGTATGACGCCCACAGAGAGCGAGCAGAGGGGATCCTGTGTGATGTGCTGGGCTTTTGGATCAAATGTCGCCTCTGTTCGAGTCCTGTATTTGTGTTTCCTTCAGTTCATGCGCTCATGTGTACTTGTGTGCTCTGTTGTTGTGTGTGCCCTCTTTTCTTTGAGTGATTTGTGGCTCCGTGTGTGTGCGCATGTGTATGTTCCTTGTGGGCGCTCATTCTGCAGTTGCCCCAGACAACAAAACTACACAAAGAAAAAATGAGAGCGGGAGGGGAGGAGAGGAGGCTCATGAGTAATTCTTCTAGCTGGCCACACTCCAGCTTTCTAGCTGAGCTCGGAGAGACGGAGGGAAAGAAGTTAAACTCTTGTTGTGCCACTCACGCTGCTGTTTATTCTCTCACCGCTGGGACTCAGCGCAGGGGAATTTAATGAATTCTTCCTTTACCCACATCTCTCAAAGCAGCTTTAATCTCCGCTCCTCTAACACACGCACTTATTTGTCCTCTTTCCTTTTTTTTTGACATCTTTTTGTCTATTCATAAATTTTGTGTTTTCATACTCACATCCAGCTGTACATACTTGTTTCTCCTTGCAGCACATCGGTCCAGCCATCCCTGAGGTGAGCTCCATTTGGTTCAAGCTGTACTTATACCACGTGACCGGTCAAGGCCCGCCATCGCTGCTGCTCTCCAAAGGCTCAAGGCTTCGCAAACTTCCGGACATATTCCAGGTGAGCCCGGTCTAATGACTAACCAGGCAGCTCATGTATGCTGATACAGAACAAACAAACCTGAAGTCAGATAAGAAAACCTCCTGTTTTTGATAAGAAAATACATCCTTCTCTTTCCTTCGCCCTCACTTTCCTCACAAAGCGTCACAGTCACAGCCACACCACACTGTGCAGCGAGGTTTCGCTCCTTCAAGGCCTCCCTGTGGTCTCTCGACTATCCTGGGAACATGAGAGTGGGGGACAAAAGAGAATTTGATGCAGTAAATTCTCAGAGGGGAGATAAGTAATTTCATGTAAATGGGTCACTCCAGAGAACACAACAGTATGCACTCTCCTGATCCACATTTAGAGTGTTTACTTACATGGAAATTATTATTAAAAACAGCCAAAGGAGTGGCACAAAACAGCCGGTATTGTGAGGACACTAGAGAGAGTAGGTGAGTTGTTTTTAGTCTCTTTGCCAAAGAAATCAGGCAAAGCTAAAAAGATGTTTGGTGGCTGGGACCCTGTATGTACTGTTGATGAAGTTAGGTGCTGCTCGGAGCATTATTTGTGGCTATAGAGTGGTGTTTTGGTTGAGCGCATGGCTCTCTGTATTGTTATCTGTGGTTGTTACTAAAGTTGGTATAACTAGAGAAGCAAGCAGTCGGCAACATTAATCTCTTGACGGGTGTCTAACTCTGTGTTACTCCCTTTAACTACAGAGGAAATCTTAGTAAAGCCTGTTTTTTTTCTGTGTTCAGGCCTATGACAGGTTGCTCATCACATCCTGGGGTCATGACCCTGGAGTGGTCCCGACATCCAACGTGCTGACCATGCTGAATGACGCGCTGACACACTCTGCTGTGCTTATCCAGGTAAAAAAAAGAGAAAGTGATCACAAACTTGTTCACTTTGCACCACCTGCTGTTGTAGATCCTGTCCTGTGTGATTGTTTATTTACATATGTGGCATAAATTGTCCTGCATGTGTGTAATCCCCAGGGTCACGGGATGCACGGCCACGGAGAAATGGTTCACATCCCGTTCCCCTTCGATGAGGAGGACCTGAAAGGAGGTGAGTTTTTGCTCATACAGAGAGCTGTAAAATCACTTTAACAGTTTTGCAGCTGCGAAGCTGTGGTAAAAATGAGCCCGTTCTCAGCTGATGTGAGAAAAGATAATCAAGTTTTTATTGAACCAATTAATTCAGAGTCATGCAAAATCTAATGAAGAACATCATTTCACTGAGTCAAACCATAGAAATGTGACGTATAAAGCAGCTCTTAGTGTGCGTAAATGTTACTGTCCAAGAATGAGAAGTCATCCTGAAACAGAGAGAAAATGTGTTTTCCTGATGTTGTCTTTCATGTATAGATGCCTTTCTCTGGCTTTATATTGCAGGATTTCAATTCTAACAACAAATATTGAGCAGTTAAATAGACAGTAGTTTATCTAAACATTGTGTTGTTGGGAAACTTATGAACTGAAGGGGTCTAAGGCCAAAAAAGTGAAAGTACTGCAGATAATGTTTGAGTAAAAAAACCTCAATGTCGTCTCTCCTCATCCCTGCAGAGTTCTCGTACTCCAACATGTGTACACACAAGTCCCTGCAGAAGCTGAAGGAGCAGGTGGACCTGGAGCATCAGTGCGGCTACATCACCATGCTCAACTCCAACAACAGGCACCGTCGCCGGGCCAGCGACACTGTGGAGTGCAGAGGTGAGGGTGTGTATGCGGGTGCACAGACGCGCAAAAGTCCTCGGGTTTCTGGTAGAGCTGCGTTTGTGATCGTGGACAGCCACATTTTTCACCTTTAGATGACTCTCTTTTTCCCATCAGCCCCTTTAGTGTAATTTATTGAGTGGGTAGGTGGGGATGAACACCATGGGATGTCCTGTCCTCCCCTTGTCTGACAGGGGAGTGTTCATACCGCGAGAGACACGTGATCAAGCAACTTTGGGGAAATTAAAATTTGTGAGAGGTTGATGTGAGACAAGATATATAGTAGAATTAGTAACTATGTCCTCACCTTTGATAGCTATTGGCAGTTAATGTTGCAAATTCAATAAGTATCGCTCACAGTCGACTTTAATTACGCTGTTTGTCTGCATAATTGTGTTTCTGATTGTGATAGCCTTTGCTAATAGGCCCGGATCGAACAGTATTAGCCTTTACCTTAATTAAATAGTCTTGATGTAAGAGATCACTGATTATGTTTAAAAATAGATCATTTTGCACAAAGCCACTCACTGATACATATTATTTGAAATGTTTTGTATCTAATTAAGATTCTTTACCGAAGCTGTAATCCGCTTCCTGAGTATTAACCTCCTCATGTTCGCTTTTCTCGAAGGAGACACACATCTGGGTGGAGGCCTGGACACAAACGGCAGCACCGAGTCCTTTGAGTTGGTGACTGAAGAAAACAACGGAGAAGGCAAAACAAAGACAGACGGTAAGTCCGTTTAATGTATTTATTAGAGATGCAGCGATTTATGAAAATCAATGTCTGAAATAATAATTTAGCAGATTGATACTGATGGTTTCAGCATTACTTCACTGTTATTTCTCAAGTCTGTTTTTGTAAACAAACAGGATTTGTCCACCAGGTTACCTCTTTTCACTGAGAATATTTCTCTGAAAATTTATCAACATATCTTGACTTTACTGTCAACGCCAAAACGTGTGCTATCAATACAGGGCATTTCATTTTGAAATTGAAAAAGAAAAAACAAAGCAAAACAAAAGTTTTAGCACATGTTTTGACATTAAAAATAAAGTAAAGCACATGAAAATCGGTTGAGAAATTAGCAAGATATGATGTGCCTTAACGGGAAAGTTGCCCCTCTAAGATGGCTGCCATGTAGGCATGTTGCTTAGTACAGCACGCTGGCATATCTAGTCTTCTATATATATCTGTGTATGGAGGGGCCACTTGTTACGTCATAAACTTAACTTATATTAATAATTCCTGAAGATGTTTTAATCCTCCCTGCCCAGATTGTAACTTTTATTCAAATAGAAACATTTTCCAACCGTTCGTAATCAACAGAGCTAACTTGAGCTGACACTGATACATTTTTGCATCCCTAATAAATATTCCTTTGTTATGTATTATATTATATTCCACGTTAAAGATGCTATAGAGGACCAAAAGGCTGCATACAGGGTTCCAAACCAGCATATCCATGATCAGTTTGTCTCATGTAGTCATGTATGTTCTGCACGTCCCCTCTCTCTCCCTCTCTGATCTCTCTTCCAGCCCTTTCATCTGAGGACGAGTGGGTCCCACTTGAACTGTGCTTCGGCATGCCCCTCTTCAGCTCTGAGCTCAACCGCAAAGTGTGTCGAAAAATTGCCTCGCATAAATTGTTCAGTAGCGAAAGGTAAAAAAAATAGAAAAAAGAAAGAAAGAAGTAATAATCACCCAGCAGATTTGAAGATATCACTCTTGTTTTAGAGAAAATGATTTCAGCTGTGTTATTGTTTCAGCCTTCAAGAGCTGCTTCACTCCAGCAGAAAGCTTTCGCTGAAGGTGTTGAGCTTCGTTCAGTCATTCCAGGTATGAACAATCTGCTCTCTATGAAAGTGGCCACTTGATAATACTCAGAGAAGAAATGTGATAACAAGAGACAGTAAAGACACCAGCTGTCAGGGGTTTATTTTGACAGATTGAGTCCGTTATGATTAAGGTCCGTACACACCTGGACCGTTTTTGTCGTGTGATTATTTCGGACGTCAATAATTTCTTTCGAACCTGTATCCTGTCAATACAAGCGTTCACATCAGCGTTTTCCCGTCCTGCGATATTGCGGCATTTATTTTTTCAGATCATGGTCGATTTTTCTTAAGTTTCGCATACTGTGTGTCCACTTCTGACCAATCAGATTTCGTGTTGTTGCGATGTCTGATTCTCCGGTATATCCAACATGGCTGACCGGCTGATTGTTTATGTGTCGTAAACAGAGTGCTTTTTGATAAAAGACAAACGACCTGAAGGACATCTTGTGGAGAGTCATAGCTTCAGATTTCTGATATTTCGATGGTTTGTGAGCTTTAACAGTTTTCTAAACGTCTTTGTTTTAACTTTCATCTGTGCTAACGTTTGCTAACCATAGTTCCATAGTTTCATGTGCTTATCTGGTACTGGCCCCGACTCAGTATTTGCTATCATAACAGACAGACATCTCAACACTAGTGTCTAATCAGAACTGAAAACAATCAGCAACCATGGTACAGTTTCAGCCCCTGAATTGAGCAGTGAAACTCACCAAGTTCTCTTCTTTTTCGTAATATTGGATACACCCATGTGCCACATTTCTTTTTTTTTTTGAGAAAGCAAACGGAGTACCAATTTGCCATCACTTGAAGTTGAAGTAGACTCCATTTTTGTCTTCTCGCTTGCACCTGGGACGCTGGTTGTTATGGGAAGGTCCCGCCCTCCTTTGCCTCTGATTGGCTATAAGTGCTGACCGTTTGGCTTGAGCGTGTCATGACGTTTCCAGCTTTTCTAGCCAATCAGAGGTGAAGGAGGTGGGACTTGCCCCCCGGAAAAGTCTTCCTCGGGATGCGTCTTTTTCCCCCGGAAAGTCGCAAAATCGCATCGGCTTGATGTGTATAGTCAGGCGCGTCAAAATTCGCCTCAGAATATTTCATGATTTTGCGTTCTATATTCGCGTCGGCCCCGGTGTGTGAGGACCTTTAAACAAAAGTATGATTTTTCTAGGACTCTTACTTTTTCTGTCTCAGAGATTTCATGTTGTCTTTTTGCTCATGTCTTGATAGGACGGCAATCTGACCTCTGACTTGGACAGTGGCGTGTCGAACCCTCTCAGTCAGCCCCCGGCGGAGTCTGGCGTCCCTCTGCCCGCCCTCAACCTCCTCTTTAAGGAAGGGCAGCTGAAGGAGTGGAGCGGGCGGGCCCCTCCTCCTCTGGACATCTCGGCTCTGCAGAAAGACCAACCCACATAAACAAACCCTCCTCCACCTCGCCATAAAAAAACACACACAAAAATCCAGTCATGAGGAAACTCTCAGTCCAGGTCCAACACTGCATCTTCATATCTACTCATGAGGAAACACGTTCATTCAGAACCTGCTCACACCTGTCAGTCAGTATCAAGTCATGGGAAAGTCCTCGCCAGCACTTAGTCATCACCGTTTGAGGAATCACCGTCCCTCTGACACTAGTTTGACTCCCTCTCACTTTCCCTTCTCTGTGATTTCTTGTATTCGCAGCGAGGCAGTGTTAACGGTTGGAGTGGTGCTACCGTCACAGTATATAACAGTGATGCAGATAAACGACATTCGACCCAGAAGAGCGTTAAAAAGCGGAAGCACAAACGCTGTTCTTCACTGACAAGCCCCCTCCCCCCCAGCCTTCTTCTTCTATCAGTGGATGTTTTGTGATCATTGAATGGGAGTGTAAAGTGGTTGATATTGTATAGTTGTGTAAAAAAAAGAAGAAAAAAAAACAGTGTCGATCAAACTTCTCCAGGAATCATTTGAAGATATGCATATTCTAGGACCAAGTCTTGAAACTGGAGGTTGAATGCAGACCCCCCGACCCCACCCTCACATGTGTTGTCTTATGTTAAGTGATCTAATGATGCATGATAATGTTGCACAACATGCACCATAAAAAAAACAACTTTCTTCCTAACCTGTAATCAATATCGGGGGCATTTATTATTTGCACTGTGCAGGATTTCTTCAAACCTGTGGATGAAGTAATTTCATTAATTTTTTAAAGAGGTCGACTCTGTCGTGGTACGCACATTATTTCAAAGCTGATGTGTTTCCTGTTGGGAAATCAGTCATAGAAGAAGAAAAAAACAACATGGGTATCAAAGTAACTGCTGTTTTTTTAATGTTTTTTTTCTCGGTAAAAGAGAACACCAAAGACCATTTTCTTTTCCAGTGTAAAGTTTTTGTTGAAAAAAAAAAATCTTTGAATGTTTTACTTTAATTTTGTTGCCTTATAAATCTCAGCCAATCAAAAACGAACAAGTGTTTGATCAAAGCTCTTGATTTTAATTTAGGTATGTTGATTTCCTTTTTTGCCTTTTTTTTTTTAGACCTGTCACATGACTTGTATACATTTCAGCGAGTGTGTATAGCCAGTTATAGCGACAATATTAGGTCACTAAATTCCACCAATCTGCCCTTTTTTAGGATGTCTACAGGATTATTCAAGTGTATCTAATTGCATAGAGTGGGAACAGTCGTGTCTGTGTGTTTGACCCGGGCCTGTTGCCACCGTTGTCTGCTGCCAGCACCTCCCCCTGGATCCACTCCAGTCTGCGCGGTGCACTCTCAGCCAGCTCGCCACACTCTCCGAGGATTCTGTTTACACCGTGTTTTGAAAAATAGGGGTTTGTAGTCTGGAGAGAAGGGGGCGGCGGCTCCTGTCTGAAGGCTGTTGGAGACCTGCAGGACAGAAATAATAACGCTGTACCCGGCTTCAGAGTTGTTGTGGCCTATGAAGTGTGCAGAGTCTGTCATAAATTTTCCAGAAAGGACTTTTTGATGCGTTCAGTGAAAACCCATCCTGCTGTTTTTTCTTTTATTTTGAAGGAGTCTACCTTCTGATGTGGTTGTTCCCTATAAGGCGACGCTCAAATACACAAAAAAGAGACTTATATGAGGTCCTGTTGAAGCATGATGACTGTGTAGAAACTGTTGTGCGTATGTTGTGTATGCGTGTGTATTGTACACCTCACTCTAGGTGTGTTTTCATACACGCCCACCTTCACAGTAAGAGTCACTCAAATCCTGCCTGTCTGTTAACTCGTCGCAGTTCTCATCCCGGACATTCCCCACTCCTCTCCCATGTAAACATCCACCACAGTGTTTAAAAATGCTAGTTTTATATGTCAGCATATATTTTAGAAAATCTCTGTTGTAGCTTGTTTCATGGGACTGTGAATATAACTGACTGAGTGAAAAATGATGTAATTAAATGGGTGGAAAAAAAAAAAGAAGAAAGTGACATTCCTGCAACATACCCTTCCCCATCTTTGCTCCATCTTCCTCTCTGCTCTACATACATATTATTATTATTATTATTATTATTACTACAAATAAATATGTAAAAAGTATATGAAAGTATAAATAAATATGTAAGAACTTTTTCCTCCCTAAAATGCGTCCTCGTGTTGTTTATCTCGATCAACACTTCGTCATGTTGTATCACCGGTTCTACCCCCTTCTGGCTCTGAAATGTAGCCAATCACATTACATGGTAATAAGCCTTACATGATATGTTTTTCTGGCCAGGTGGAGCAGATGGAGCGCAAGACGCAGCAGTACGGATGCTCTGTCCATCTGTTTCAAGTCTACGTTTTCTCACCTGCCTTTGTTGACTTAAAAGCTGTAAAACAATGTCCGACACAGAGATATGAAACCCTCTGAAAAGCTATGAAAAGGTGTGAATGTGCCCCTTCTGGCCAGGTGGACCCTGATCTAATTGCCTATGTCTTCCAGGTCTTCCTGCTCCACTAATCTCCCAGCACCACAAATGAGAGTGTGTCGCCATCACGACACCGGGGGCGTAAAGTGGGTCATACCACCTAAAGAGAAGAAGTGGTCAGAGATTCGCTGCATTTCAACACTGTGGCAGTGCACTTCATTTCTCTCCTTCAAACCTGCGCTGACCTTCAGGAGAGGTGTTATTCATCTGCTGCTATTCATTCAGGTTATTTTGGACTCCGCTTGTGTGATAGTGCTGCAAAGTTTAAGGCTAAAGTGGGAGTAAGAATAAAAAAATGACCTTAAAAAAAAAAAATGGTATCAAATTAAGTCAGTGGGGGTGATGGTGGAGTGTTACGTGTCTCTTTTCCTGTAAACATGAAGTAAAAGCAGTTCCTTTTAAATACAGGTTAATATTATGAAAACAGATCATGACGTCACAGTTTGACTTTTGACCAGATTATTATGCTATTATAAAAAAGAAGCAGTCACTGTAGCATCGAATATATTTTTTACTCTTAAACAAAATGGTTCCAGTGAAATTCAGAGGACAAAGAGACATTTGGGTTGGATACCATGAGTGAAAATGTATACTTATGAGTCAACTTGAAGATAAAATTGGGAAAACATACAAGTCATTTCAGTCAGGATCACTTTGTCAAAATTCAGCTTTGTTGTAAAAAATAAATTTGGAGGCATAGTTCTGTTCTGGGTCCCTGCCCGTCCACGTGCTTGTGTGGAACCCAGAGGCAGGAAGAGCCCCTTCCTTCCCTTCACGAGCCAGCATGACGGCAGAAACAACGGAGGGTAGACCAGCGAAGAACAGGAGCGCTTGAAGAGTAGTGGAACAGTTTAGCCGGCATAAGGGTGGAGCTGCGGTGGAGGTGGGTTGCTTATTGGCTGTCGAAGCAGAGGAAGAGACTGGGTTAGGTCAGTTTTACATAGGGTGCTCTAAGGGGGATAGGACCAAAAGGAGCTAGGAGTAAATCAGCTGGGCCATCAGCTGGTTGAGGTGTCTACATGCCATTGGGTGTGGATCAGTGCTTGACTTCGAGACCTGCCAGAACTAATGCTATGCTTCATTTAATTAGACTAGGGAGGTAGAGGACAAACGGGACAGCCAGAATAATTCAGGTTCATACTCTGGGTCTGTGCCATGAAGGCCTAGTATGCAAATTTTGTCAACTTGATGAAAATAATGGAAAAAAGTAGGGAGTGTACGGGCAATCCAAAAGAAAACAGTGGGAACAAACCACGCTTCAGTTTCTTGGGATCATCAATAAATCAGTAAATCAATCAATCTTTATTTATATAGCGCCAATTCACAACAAGTGTTATCCCAAGGTGCTTAAGAAAAAACTGGTCTAGAACAAACTGGATTTACAAAGACTCAAAGTAAAGACGGGATAAGACTGGGCCCACTTTTGCAGAATTTATCAAGTTACAGCAGAGAGGGAAAATTTCCTTTCACAGGCAGAAACCTCGAGCAGAAACAGACTCATAAAAACTTGTTCAAAATGTTAAAGTAACTCATTAAAAAGCTTAAAGACCAACATGAATCATTTTCCTCAGTGTAATCTTGCCAAAGCTAGCTCTATCTTCATGGAGACCTGTGTCGGGACATTTTCATTTGAACCCTGTGACCTGTGTGGAACATTGCTAATCAGGTAAAACATTCAATCTGATTACATAAGGTTGGAAATCATACAATGTGATGCTGTGCAGCTTTGAGAAAAGCTCAGTTCTGGTAGCCTTTAAGCAGTGCTGTGTGAAGGCCTCCTTGTTAATCTGCAGAGTCCACTGTGCACAATCAGACCATTCAACCTGTTTAAACTGGATTCATGATCACTTTTCCCGTTGGAGCAAGTCTTATATCATATCTACTGTACTGAATGTCCTTGCAGGCAGGTTTAGGAGTTGTTCCCCCCTTTGGATTCTCAGCTCAGTACTCAGGGTCAAATTCAGGTCGCTCTGCTCAATTAAAGTTCATGCCTGTGTCAGTGTCTCTGTTGTAAAGTTCAACAGCAGCTTCTCGGCACCTTAAATCCTGTCCGACAAGTTCACATAATTAGCGGCTCTCGCAGTCTCTCACTCGCTGCTCCTTCGTTTCCAGGTATTTTCACACACAGATGCCGCTGCAAGCCTGTGCCACTTTTGGTACACTCTGAGCATATTCCTCTTACCTGAGGGATACAGTAGTGATAAGGAAAAATCCCATTATGAGAGGTAGTCCAGGCAGTCTACAAGCCGCTACAAACATTATAGAGACTTTATGGTCCCACCAGGAGATGGTGAGGAAGCTAATGACTGCATGGATTCGGTTCATTTCAGGACAAACAGGTGGTGAAAACAGTAAAGACTCAGCAGATGTTCATTTGTAAACTATGATAGGACCAGAGTCACAGACTAAAATAGGACGGAAGCTTACCCAGGCTGTTTTTATTCCTCTATTACTTTTTTTGAATGAGGTTTGGATCTGAGTGATTCACAAAAAAGAAGGCCATAAATGGAGTAGATTGATATATAAGAACACTGAACACAACTACTACATTTGGGAAAAATGAAGTGAATAAATGACTGCATAAAGAAATGTATAAAACAACTGAATATTGCTGAATCTAAAAGCAAACTAAGTACATGAAGATGAAACTGGAACAAGTAAAACATACTGTCAAATAAGAAATTAACTGCAAAGATGAATCAATGAAAATATTAAAATAACCAGTTATATCGTCTGTAACTTAGCTACTGAACAAGGTCTTCACTAATATGCAAGCACATGGAATATCTGAGAATAAAGTATCAAACATAAATTGAAAGTATTTCTCAGCCGAAATGTCCACGTGTATGGAAACCCTTAGGGGCCATTTTCACAAGGTAACATGTTAACAAGTCATTTTCTCTACATGTCAAAGTTGAGCATGACTCATTTCCTGAGTTACAAAACCACAAAACAATCTGTAACCTAGGCTCAGTTTACTTTATGAGTGCTGGCAGTTGCAGCATGGCATGATCTTGACTAAGCGCAGACAGTTGGTTGCAGTTGTTGTTTTTTTTTCCTGATTCACAAGAAAATTATGAAGTTTTCTTGAACGAACAAGCGTACAAGACTGGTAACAATCTATTTAAAGATCTGTTGTTATTTGGAGCTCTGTTAACCTGGTTGTTGTTACTGAAAAGGATGTATAGGGGAGAGTGGGGTTAGATGAACCAGTTTTCATATTTCAGATCACCACATCAAGGCAATCATAGTTTTGTCTCTTAACTAGTGTATCTGCATATATTTCAAGATGTTATGCATCCCTGCAAACCAACAGAATGAATGTAAACATAACTGTCTTGATAATATAGCATGCCAAAATATAGCGTGGTCTCCTATGGTCAACTTGCCCCGTGTATGGGGTAAGTTGACCATAGGAGTGAGGTAAATTGAGCCATATAACTGCTAAAAAGCTGTTTTGTAAAAAGTCATTTTAACATGAGAATGTCTTTAAGTGATTCAGAACATTCACAGCTGTATTTTTGGAAAGAAAAAGTAACACATTTCAACAATCTGAACTGAAACTCTCATCCTCTTATCAGACTCCTTTACTTTCTCAGTTGAGCTCAACTTACCCCAGAACTACTACTATGACTTTATTAGTCCTCTTAGTTATAATGGTGGACTTAAATGTTAGATACATAGACTCATAGATACCACAATTGATGTTTAAAACTAATTTAAAATGATCTTTTTTGGTCTGAACACAATTCTAATAAAACTTACGACAGACTAAATTCACTTTCAAGAGTAAAAATGTTTTCTTTTTTTAAATAAATGTCTAACCTCTTCACCCATGTGCTTCTAACCTTCACAGACTCCATGAATTTATGCCCATCTCCTAAATATTTGGTCACATGATCAATTTCTTTTACCATTTCCAAGCAACAGGGGGTGGCTCAACTTACCCCAGTCTCCCCTACTTGATATCTGGCCAACTTAACATATAAAATAAATAAGTTAATAAATAAATAAAAAGTAACACAGCAAAAAGAAGTAACTTTTTTTCCATTTGACACAAACAACTAGCCTAAACAGGATAAACAAAATAATAAAACATGCACTTCCAAAATTATACAATTGGCCTAAAACGACTACATAGTCTAGATCAAAATATTAGCGAACCATATTTTAAATTGTCAGGGAGTCATGTCACAAACTGGTGAAATGAGCATCATTATACAGGTATTGTTAAATATTACGTTGTCTCGAGACGTGGAGCGGATATAAAACGTGATGTGATGCAAATTACGCACACTTCCGCTTTAAAAGCGGCTCCGTGTGTGGGGATTCAGAGACGCTGTGGCGATGCCGACGCACAGGACTGCGCTCTGCTGCTGCACGGTGAGGTGGAATAGTTCATCTGCGGTGTAAATGTTCATCATTTCAGTCAACTTGGATGTTCACTCGCACTGTTTCCTCTTCGAAAGCTGCCGAGCGGAACTTTACGCAAGCAAACAGCAGGTGAGTCTCGAAGGCTACACCTGAGGGATAATCCTTCTCAAAACTCGCTTGTTTTCTCCTCTAACTCCACTTGTTGATGGGAAATACAAACCCCCACCGGCGGTTATTTCACGGATATTCCTATGCGTAATTTGGTGAAAAGTCCTGTCCGGCAGAAAGGCTTCGTAAGTTTCAAACCTGCGAGGTTTTGTAACAGATGGCGGTGATGTTTGGCGACTGGTAACAGCCCATCAGATCGTCTTACACACAGGCTGCCACCAGGTGAGCAGCGGGATGGGGAACCAGATGGACAAGCTGTCACATTTAAGTTACGCAGAAGTTCCCACAGTGGACCCGAACGGCGTGGACACGGAGGACGGTCCACGGATAGGCGTCTCTTACATCTTTTCTAACGATGATGACGAGCTGGAGGATGGCTGTGCCGTGGATGGCACACTGAGAGACCCGAATCAGGAAGAGAAACAATACGATCCGCGGGACGAGGTGGAGTGCGCCGTCTACAACAGAGATGAGTGTATCTACGAGAAGAGCGCCAAGTGTGCCAGCCTGGAGGTTTACTCTCCGGAGAATCTGCTCAACAAATGCAAAGCGGGGGATCTGGTGGAGTTTGTGGCCACGGGGCAGTACCCGCACTGGGCTGTTTATGTAGGGGACTTCCAGGTGGTGCACCTGCACAGAACCGAGGTGAAAAACAGCTTTCTGACGGACGCGAGTCAAGGGAGGAGGTGCAGGATTGTGAACGACTTTTACAAATTCAAAGCTCTGAACGCGGACATGGTGGTGCAGAACGCGATGGAGCAGGTGGGGTTAAAGGACCGAGAGCTGAGCTGGAGGAACTCGGAGTGCTTTGCAGCCTGGTGCATGTTTGGCAAGCGGGAGTTCAAAATGGGCGGGGAGATCCGGATAGGCAAACAGCCGTACAGGCTCAAGATCCTCGTTTCAGACAAACATTCACACGTGCTGGAGTTTCAGAGTTTGGAGGACATGATCATGGAAAAGAGGAGGAACGATCACCTGGGGAGGGCGGCCGTGCTGCAGGAGCTGGCGACTCATTTTAACAGCGTGGGGGTCATAAAAAGTAGTGAGCCAAGCGCTGACTGATGTGTGCCCTTTCAAAATAATGATGGTTCTGGAGTAGGGTAGCCTTTACCTTATGGAAGTAAAACTGTGCCATCAGAGTTTGACTATAAATTTATAAAGCTGAATTTTATTTTGGCTTCAAAATCAGACTTTGAATTTCAAAACCATCGAATTTCGAGCACCTATTTTATTTCTGACACAATTTTTTTTCACAATGATGAAATAAATTCAGTCTAAAAAAAAAAAAAAAAGGTTGCTCAAAAAAATTAAACATAAATAAAAATTCAGTGTCAAATAATTCAGTGTAAAAGAGACAGACCATAAACTGTATATACTATGGACAACTTGGTTCCGCCTCCTGCCTGTATACGGATTTGAAGCCAAAAAGCTCTCGATATTTCCGTGATTTTTCTTCATTTCCTGAAACCAACGTTGTGCAGTCGCTGAGAGTCGCTGTGATGACGCTCGGCTCAAACAGCGTATCCCCTGGGAGATATCAGGTGTCAATCATAGAAAACATGAACCCCCCTGATAACTTTTGAAAACGGAGCTGTACAGAAAAAAGAGGACTTGAATTTATATTCTGTGTAACAAATTTCTAAAGTTTGTCCACAGCTCCATAAGCTTTGCTGGCAGAGGGGGGATTTATGACCTATACTGCAGCCCGTCACCAGAGGGTGCTGTTCTCGGAGTGGCTTCACCCAACAAAGAGGTGGACACTGTCCATTCTTTATACAGTCTATGAGACAGACTCAACACCCGGCTAACCAGGGAGAATCAATCGATTCCTGCCTCAATCATCCATCGTCCAGCCAATCAATTCATGCCTGATTGGTCATGTGCCACAGACCCCAGTGGAAGATTGAATCCAATCGATTGCTTCTCCCTGGTTACCCGGATGTTGAGTCAGTCTCTTTTACGCTTATTTTTTTTTCTCAACAATATTTTTATTAGTTTTATACAGATTATACAAAGGAAACACATCACAAACACCCACTTTCCCTCAAAACCTCGTCTACTGCTGGATATTCCTATGACTGTGCTTAAACAACAAATTCTGGAGCTATAACAAAAATAATAATAATAAAAAAAAATCACAAATGAAAAAAAAATACAAGTGCTGGAATTCAGGTTTTGTAGATCTTGAAATACATAAGATGTTGAGGAAAAAAAGTAAAAAGAGAAGAAGTTAAATGAACTTCTGTACGTGAAGAGAAATATGAATGTAGACAAGTCGCTGAAAACTGAAAAAGTCCATAAATACACTTTTGAATTCTGAATGTTGAACAGTTTTTTTTAAGTCGAATTTTCACTAAAAGAATATTTTGAGAGACTGATTTGTTTTTTTAAACTGAATTTATTCCATCATTGTGAAAAAAACTAGTGCCAGAAATAAAAATGGGAGCCTGAAATTTGATGGTTTAGAAATTCAAAGTCTGATTTTGATGCAAAAAATTTCAGCTTTAGAAATTCAAAATCAGATGGCACAGATTTACTTCTATATCACCAAACTATTCCACCCTGCTTTAATCTATAGCAAGCCTTCACCTCTTCCTTTTTGTTTCTAATTGGAGCAAACATACCACCATTTTTACCAGGATGATTATGGTTTCCATTTGATATGATTATTATTGCCTTAAAATTCCCTGATGCTAAATGGCCTTACAGTTCTGGATCCCGTTATTGGACAGAGGTTTCTCAGTAGGCCTGTTAGTTGCTCTTCTCTGAATGTATAGTTTTCTAAAAGCTTTAAAGTTTGTCTTAAAGTGTCCTGATTCTGTATGTTCACTTCTGTTTTTATGTTGATTGAGTGTATACTTCTTTCTAGCGAGTTTTGACTCCCACTCTCGGCTCACGCACAAGGCCAAGTGTCAGAGCTGTCTTTTGAAGGTATACTTTTCTTTCACCAGCACAATTGTCAGAAATGTTTGGAAGTTGTTACACTGATCTGAGTCTGTCTCAAATGTGTAAAGGTCAAGTAAACTGTCCATGTCTCTTTTTGAAACCAGGCTCCTGTTATTTTGTTTGAAGGTCGAAGAAAAGGAGTTGAATGGTGACAGACAGTATTTTCTTTTTCTTAGGTTTGACCTCATGCTTGAGAAACGTTTCTAAATTGCAGCAATGAGGATGAATATGAACTTTCCTCTGGTTTTTTTTGGATATGAATTTAATGCTTTTTTTTTTTTTTTTTCAACAATTAGCCAACAGAAAGTTTCAACCTCTGGGCTGAAATGAAAACACAGTCACACTGCTTACTTTTGTTCTCTTCAATGGAGAAACTTGCATTTAACCCAAATTATTACACAAGTGGAGTATCTCTTATTCCTCAGTAAGTGGTTGGTTTTATGTATTTCAGATAAGGTAAAAAAAACAAAGTTTGGTAAAAAGTTTTGGTTACACTAACTATGATAGTGATAGATATTTATAAAGCTTTATAAATTCATCTAGAAGGCATTACAACAATCCTTATGAGTGATAATAAGCATTCAGAACAACTCCTAGCAATGTTTATGAGGTGAACATAATGTCTTGTTATTCTACAGTTCAAAATGCATTATACTTTAATGCAAAATAACCAACATACTTTGAATTCTGGGTTCCGAAAAATATGATAATAATGATAATGATGATGATAATGATAACTTGAAAAGTCCCACTGGGAAATTTTAAAAAAAGGCCATGGAGGTTACTGCCAGGTTGTGTAGATTATGATGAGATTCTTCATAGATTTCAAAAATTACTAGTAGCATTTTTAATATTATATACAATGAGCACACCTATGACAAACATTACTTTTTCAAGCATTTATTTATAAAACAAACAAACAAAAGAAAAAACAGAGCCAGAACAGTAGATGTTTGAAAAACTCAGATAATTGCTCTCTTTCTTGGCATATCCCATTGACTTCAATGCAATTTTTTTCTGCTGTTTTTTGCGACTTCATGAAAAAATTTCTCTTTCTTTCTTTCTTTCTTTCTTTCTTTCTTTCTTTCTTTCTTTCTTTTTCTCTCTTTCTCTCTTCCTTAACTTCTTTCTTTCTTTCTTTCTTTTTTCTTCCTATTTTTCTTTCAACACTCCTTTCTTTCTCTTTCTTTTTTCTATCTTTCTACACCCCTTTCTGTCTTTTTTCTTTCTTTCTTTCTTTCTTTCTTTCTTTCTTTCTTTCTTTCTTTCTTTCTTTCTTTCTTTCTTTCTTTCTGTCACTACTTTCCTTCTTTCTGTCACTCCTTTCGTTTTTTTCCTTCCTTCCTTCCTTCCTTCCTTCCTTCCTTCCTTCCTTCCTTTTATCTTGTTCTAAAACAACATAGCTTTCTCACTGAATTTGCACCCTGACATAAATATTTGAAATTGAAAAACTGAATTTGAAATTTGAAAAATTTTGAATCTCAAACTGTCCAAATATAAATGAAGCTGAAAATCAAACCACACTCACTAGTTTCAGCTTCTTCTCTGTGACAGTTTGCTGGTCTTAGTTAAATGCTGTGATGTCTGGTTGGATCTGCTGATGTTAAGCTGACTAAAGAAGATACAAACAACATCACTTTGATTCAAGTTGGTCAGCAAATTAAAGTCAGAAGGGGGCCCTCAGTAGCTTCTCCTCAGAGACCCTGAATTTAGCTGCAGCCCCGCTTTAGGAGCACAATTTTGCCAAATTAACTGCGTTCGAGGGGAAGTGACAAAAGAAAAACCTGCTGAACTAACAGAAGTGACGTTAGGATGAGCATTTTTAACCGAGTAACAAAACTACAGCCTCGCTTTGTTTGTAACAGACCTACAATGAATGTTAACAGCATTTGTAGACCATCTGTCCACCTCAGAATTAAAGTAGAACTTGTCGCAAATAGCAGGTGGCGAGTGACCATAATACCAATAAAGTGGAGTTGTTGTTGCATGTAATTTCCACTGTATAATCTTTTGTAGGATTCCAGAGAGGACATTGTTTTTATTACAGCCTGAAGAACAGGAGGAAACATTGTTATACCAAGTGTTTACAGCCTCAGTGTGAGGAAACAGAACTCCAATGGAAAGAATGCCTATTGTGCCCTGATTATAACAGCAATAGGATTATGTTATTACAGTTGCTGAAGCCTGAAACATCTGAAATGCTCCATCAGTTATTCACTGAGAGCTTTATCGCCAGAAACAGTTTCTTTTACTGAAAAACTGTAATTCTTCTCTCAAGGCTGACCTTAAATTTCCGATGAAGAGCCTCTCCCACAATTTCTACTCAAGAAACGGAGAGCCTGACAAAAGAAAAATCCCTGTAATGTTTTTATTTAGTGTACAAAATAGTGCAACTTTATAGTAATCATTGGGAGCACAATATCTCTTTTTATAAATATGCATCTCCGGCTGCAGGGAAGCAAAGCTGATGCATTAAAATTAAATCTGATTGATGCAATTTACCATAAAACTATCTGACGTTCGAATGTATGTGTCATCTTTCATTAAACAATCAGACATAAACATTACAGTATACATACCATACATGGAACATAAGGTATATACTACACTCTCAGCAGTGTGGCTGTGTTTGCTGTTATGCTCCTCCAAGCGCTGTAATCAAATTAGAACCTGGCAAATCCTCCGAAGGGTCTTGTCAAGTTGAGTCCTCCCTAAGTCCATTAGACTCTTTTATACTGAACCAAGAGGCTTTTAACAAGACAGGAGAGCAGCTGTGCAGATGTTACTGCTGGATCTGCAGAAGCACTTGTTCTGAAGTGAGCTGCTGTGCTGAAAATAGAGCTATGAGATGTACATCCTGGTTGTAAGGATGTTGAGCTTCGTTTGAACTCAATGAGAAATACAGTATTACTCTGTCAAGAGGTCAGGTTAGTGTCTGGTGTCTGTGTGGCGCTTTGGATGGAGGTTTCCATCTCTTGGTTTCAAGCTTCTGCAAAAACTACAACTAAAAATTGTGGGTCAAGGTGTGTTTAAGAGTCCTCTTTAGCTATTTCTTAAAATGTGAGGATTCATCACTCAGGAGGGGAGTTTTATATAAATCATTGATCTTAAAGGGATATTCTGGGGTAAAATTAAGTCAGGGTCAAACACACCGTAACGCTGAGTTAGACACCCCCTCGAGAGATGAATGTTGCTGACCGCTTGCTTCTCTAGTTATACCAACTTTAGTAGCGACTTTGGTAACCCACTCTCTTCCAGCAGCCGCTTGTTTGTATGGCGACCTCAGGCGAGTCCATTACAGCAGCGGGGTGACGCAGCTCAAGGAAGAACATTTATGATCATTTCCTCATGGAACTGCAATCAGACCGAGACGCTAAGGCAGAAGAACTACCGTGTCTGCAGATAAATATGATGATTATTACTTCAAGGAAATGGAACTGGCCCGAGTTCTCGCTACAAACAAGCGGCTGCTGGAAGAGAGTAGGTAAGTTGTGTTTAGTCTCTTTGTTAAAGAAATCAGGCAAAGTTAAAAGATATTTGGTGGCTAGTACTATGCCCGGGACCCTATATGTACTGTTGATGAAGTTAGGTGCTGTTCTGAGCATTATTTGTGGCTATAGAGTGGTTTTTTGGTTGAGCGCGTGGCTCCTGGGACCGCTTTGTATTGCTGTTGTGCGGTTGTTACTAAAGTTGGTATAACTAGAGAAGCAAGCGGTCGGCAACATTCATCTCTAGACCGGGTGTCTAACTCAGTGTTATGGTGTGTTATTCTTTCTTTATAAACAAACAAAATTCACAATCTTTTTTTTTCAACATAAGAAAGAGTTGCAAGTAAATTAAAAATAGAGAAGCAAAACTACCGCTCAATTCCAAGTTCACATATGCATGTCGGTAAATCTGGAAACAAACATTTTCTGTGTAAAGTCTTGGGTGAATTTGAGAAACTTACTCAAAACTTTCCAAGAGTCTAAATTTTTTTCTCTTTGTAAATTTAAAGTTTCCAATCACTGTGAGTTTGGAGGAAACAAGAAATACGAGAGCAGATTAACTGCAAATTAAAACGATGAATTTTTAAAAACAAATGGATTTACTCAGGACTGAAGTACGAATATGAAACGATCAAACCTGTAAGTGTGTTTCCAGCAGAATTAAACTTGTAAATGTCTGTGTTAATCATGCACACACACTCAGACAGGCCTTTCAATGAGATTGTGTTGGCCCAGTTTGATTATGAGACCAATAACTGTCTCATAATCCAGTCCAGTCTTGATCGGATGTGATAGTATGGATGTTTTAGAGGTAACTCAATTATAACCAGCCATTAGGAGTACCTGAGCTTCCTGGTTCAGCGTATTCTCTTCGTAAGATGGTTATAAAAAACGGTTGATAAAGCCAGAGGAAAATTTTAAAAAGCCTTAATCTCTTGCTTCCTACCTGGTGTCTTTCTTCTCTTATCCTCTACATATAAGTTAACATACATCCACAGCCTGTAACAGAGATTTAAGAAGTCTGTCTCCACTGCTAACTTTACGAACTGCTGCTATCAAGCCACCCTGAAGTTTCCAGCTGTTTTCTGGTGTCTTCTCCTTGCCAAGAAATAGACTTGCACAACACCGGGAGTGTTTTGGTGGGCTTTCTGATCTGAGCTTCATTCTTTTGTTCAACCTTCATTTAGGGAGATGAAAAGTCTCCTACAAGCAAGGCCTGACCGAGGTACCCGCCACGCTGAATCACAAACGCTTCAAAAGTGGCACAAACAACACAAACGCAGCCAAACAGTTCTGAAAGAGATATTCAAACACACAGCAGGAAAAGAGAAACAACCACATGCCTCTGTGTCCAATTTCTGCTCTTTCTGAAGATTAGTCTATGTCCGAGGTGTATTATCGGAAAAGGCAGTTTTCTCCAGATCTGTCGAAACTCTGGGTGTTGTGAAGAGCAACAAGTTAGAGGATCACTACGCTTGTGTAGGAAAGGTTATCAGTGAATGAGGATGCATGCTTTTGTAGTGTATCCCTATATAATCAATCACAGACAGAAACGCAGACTCCATGATTTATTACTTGGCCCTGAAAGTGAAGCAGGATTTGTTTCATAAAT